CTTAATTATAGCCTTTATAATAGTCTTATCTTTAGTATCTACCTAGGTTATAGCTTAATTATATAGATTAAATAATTTACCTTTATATATATTAAGGTCTATAAGGATATTATCTTATAAAGCCTTTATAAGCCTCTAGGGTTCTCTTATTAATAATAAAGATTATAATAATAATAATCTTATTAGCCCTTATTAATATTAGGCTAATTATAAGACTAATAGTAATTAATATAAAGCTAGTTAATTTTAATTTAGGGGGTAATATAACTTAGCTAGAAAGAGATTAAATATTTATATTATAATATTAAAGTCCTAAAAGCTTTTATTTTATATATTAAAGGAGGGGATAATAGAGGAGTTTAGAGATTATAATAAGCTTTTAATTTAGCTTAATAATAAGGGGGAAAAATAAGAAATTACCCTAGAATTAATAAGTAATATAATTCCTAGGGTAATTAAATAAATAATATTTCTTTTTATCTTTATTATTATTTTTATTAATAATCTAAGAGATTAATTTTATATTTATTAATAATCTAAGAAATAAATATATTATTTATATATATTAGTATTTACTTCTAGGTATTAAAAATAATATTATTTTTATTATTTTTTAAATATTTATTAATATTTCTTTTTAATAATATTAATAAATAATTTATTATTAATAAGATATTATATATAGATTATTTTTATTTATTATAAATATTTAAATTCTTTAAGTTATTAGAGGTTATTTTAGCTAAAGGGATTTATATATATATAATATTTATAAGTAGTAAGTAATTATCTTATAGTAATTATTAGGTCTAATATTTACTTATAAGAAGTAACTTAGAAAACTATTATTATTTAATATAATAAGTTAGCCTTAGGGGATTTATAGGCTTTATATATAAAATCTTTTATAGGGATTATATTAAGGAATATTAAGGGGAATCCCTAGGCCTTTCCTTAGGATTACTTTTTTCCCTAATCCTTACCCTCTAAGGGAATTTTAATAAATTTCCTTAAGAAGCCTCTAGGGGAAATCCCTAGGAAATCCTTAAGAAATCCCTATCTTATCTAATAAGGGAAATCCCAGGGAGGTTATATAACCTTAGCCTTATAGCTTTCCGTAATAATTACTTAGTTATTACTAGAGATTAACTTAGTATTTATATTTTTTATTATTATTTAGAGATTATTTAATAAATATTTTTTAATTTATTATTAATTAGTCTTTTTTAATTAATATATAAGACTCTTAATTATTTAGTCATAGGCTTATCTTTTAATTTATTTTTATTACTTAAATTTATTATCTTTAAGGCTATTTTCTCTTTCCTTTCTAGGCCGCGATATAGCCTTCTAGATTAGGACTAATATAACTAACTTACTAGAGATTAATTAGCTATAGCTCTTATATAATTACCCTTAGAGCTATTATATAGGATCCCGCTTAATAAAGATATTTATAGCTTATATACTTACCTAGGTATTATTATACCTTGCGTTATATATATTATTAATAATTATTAAATAAGGCTAGGGAACTAGTATAAGCATAGCTAGCTATATTAATAAGTTTATATAGCCCCCCCTATAGCTATTATAATTAGCCCTTTTAAGGGTTTAGCTATAGCTTAACTAGGCTTTTATACTATAATTATATTAATAGAATTCTATACTTATATAGCTTTTATAATTAATAAAAATATTTTATTTTAAAAAAAAGCTTTTAAAGTTTTTAAAATATTTTTTTTTATAATTTTATCTTCTATAAATAAATAAATATATATTTTTTAATTATTAAAATTAAAAATTAAAATAAACCTATATATTAATAAAAAATTAAATTTATAAATAATTTTATTTTCTTTATTTAAATCTATATATTATATTTATATTTTATTTATATTTTTAATTACTTTCTTTATTTTATGATAAATTCTTTTAATTATATATATACTATTTATAAGAGAAGCCGTGCAAACTTATTAATACGGCCGGCCGTGCCTATACTAGTTCCCATAAGGCTAGGGTCCCAGTACATGCACGACCGGTCGTGCAAATAAGACACGTGATATATTGCATGGCCGGTCGTGCAGATAAGAATTTAATGACTAAGCCCTTGATAAGCCAATCAAGAGGTAGCTTCTATAAGCCACCAGAGCCATATTTAGCCATAGGACCTCAATGCTACTGCTGAAGGTCGCTATAAGCTGCCTTTAAGGGCCGTTGCAAGCTGCCTTTGCAAGTTGCCTTTGCAAGCCATAGGATCTTAGTAAATTCGGATACTCTAGCGTCTCTACAAATATAAACAAATAAGCACCTTAGCTAATAAGTAAATAATATCTTGCCTTTTTTGCGATTAAAAGTGGAAAAGTGGAGGAGCTAGAGTGTCCGAATTGACTGAGATCCTATGGTATCTTTACTAATTAAGAGCTCCTAAAATAATAAGTTATCTATCGCGCGCAGTAGTTCTGAGTTTTTGCGGGTGACTCGTTCCAGTAGCATTAAGTAAGTCTATCTAGGACATCTCTTAACTTCGGTCTCAAGGGGAAACCTAATAGCTCTGCGTCTGTGGCATGGGCTGCACCTCTCTCCCACCGCAGCTTAGCCTCCAAGTAATGATCCATTTTCTGAATCCGCCTTTCCCACATGTCCTTGCAAAACAGCAAAGTCTCCATCCCCGAGGCCTTAGGTTCTCCATGAAGGCCGGTTTTCCCCCTGGGATAGATACTAGATGCAACCCGGACGATGCTGTCATCCTTGTCAACAGCCCAGTCTGGGGCCCCCTTGGTGCACTGGCGGATGAGCTGACGGATGTTTGGGGGTGAAATGCGGAACTCGGGGAACTCCCACTCGCAATCGAAGCGGTAATCCTCTCCCATGTTGTTCTGAGTGTGGCTCCAACCTTCGAAAATGCACCACATGAGTTTGCCAAGGGAATAAACCATGGCTGACTCGCGACAGCTGGGGGACAGCAAATTCCAGATATCAAAGTATCCTTCTTCTGGGTTCGAGTAAGCCATCCCCTTACCCAGGTCCCTGCCTGGAAGGTGCTCTCGGAGCAGAGCGCGGTACAACTCCCTCTTCTCCTCCGGCACATATTTCGATTCAGCCAACCTGCGGAGATTCTCAACATGGTGGATTTCAGGTGCAGTGAATGTCTCCCAGTTGCCAGATTGCTCCATGTCAATTAGAATCACTTGATCCCACCCCGAGCAAATGACATTATCGGGTTTCAGTTCCGAGTAATACCGTGCAGGAGATTTCAGAAGCCAGGAAAGAACTTGAGTGATTTGGCGTGCCCACCCCAGCTTGGTGTCGAATGTCAGAGTCCCTTCGATCCGTCGGCGATCGATCATGCCTGCCAGGTTCCCCATAGGATAGAAAGGGACAATGAAGCCGCATACCTTGGTGGACATGGATAGATGATCTTGCAGGGCGACCAAGTACTTGGGGCTGCGCAACATGCCAGGGTGCTCGTCGAGGAGGAGAAGCATCTTGAGCTCGTGGTACAGGTACTTGGGGTCATGAATGTTTGACTTGAAGACCCAAAGCTCATCACTTGAACCGTGAGGCAGTCGCACCAGAGAGATTGTGTCATGGATCTGTCTCCGAAGCCGTAGATGATCAAGGAGCAATATCGGGGGGAGTTGGAGATTAGGCCAAGCGAGTTGTAGAGAGCCGACGGTTACGAAGAGCTTCTCGATGTCTGGCATAGGATAGAACCGAACTTTGACTGTGTCAAGATCTGGGGAGATGGTCTCGATGATGATGCGTGACCCGAATGGCATGGCCCGATATATATGAACAAAATTCAAGACGGTATTCGACCACCTGGTGAGCACACGCAATATGTATCGAGCGAACGGCAACTCATTGATGGTCGACCCGCTGGCAAACGTAGTTTCTGTGGACCTGAGGATCTTGGATATCTGTGGGTGGTGCCGAGTTTGATCTGGGGTGTAGACGTCAATCCGCCGTAAAGGAACTTGGCCATCATCGGCAATGGCTGTGGGAACGGCGAAGAACTGTGTGCCCAGTCGGGCACAGCCGTCGATCCTCCAAGAAACAGGACCCTCGAGCTCTTGGCGTAGACGCGCATGGAGCTCGGCGGAGGAGCCATGTTGGTCCGTGGCATAAGGCTCTGAGGTGCCGCTGGCGTCACTCAGTCCTGAAAAGCCATACTCGGAGGGGTCCAGAAATACGGCAGTGGGACAAATGTACGGGTTGATGCTTGCTGAGAGCTCCATAGGTGGCTTCGATGGGTGTGTCGCTCTGTCAGTGAATCCAGGCAATTTGCCGGAGCTACTTATCATCGTGGATGGGCCGTGTCGTTGAAGTTACGAGAGTATGTGTGTCAACGTGGGAATGGCAGCGTCCAATGACTGATGACCATTTCAAAGGGACGTAGCCGTTACCCACCGGCATCCTTTCCCGGGTCATGAGTTGTTTCTGAACCTTCAACAGTACCAATGGAGGCTGGGGCGGTCCAAGCCGACACATACGCCTGCTCATCCCGGACACCAGTCTCTCAGTATGTTGTCAACTCGGAAGTACCCTCAAAACGGTAACCCGACCCGGTCCCCACTTCAGCTAAGCCGGGCGTAAATGCATGCAGCCGCCAGATATATATCACCCGGGAGCGTGTGGCACCTATAAAGAGGGGTTCTGCATAAGCGACGTGACACAAGGGGGTGAGGCTCTGTGCATTCGGAGCCTTGTTTGAGTCTCTCAGTTGTCAGGGTCTCGGGCGGCCCCTCCTAAGCAGAAGACGGTTTGCACCTCTATATGTAGACTTGGAATATTGTTCCCGACCGTCTCGTCTCGAACCAGCGAGCCCTGAGCAACCCAACCACGACACCACCTTTGCAAGACTAGCACGGGACTCTTCTCGGTAATTTCTCTCTTCAGCATGAACGAAGCAGTGGCCGACGAACTGAACGTTGTGGTGACTGGAGGCACGGTTGGTGAACCCCTTCTCTCGACAATCCCGTAGGATAGTGTTGACGTCCTATAGCCCTTTCTGGAATACGATTACAACACCTCCGCCCTTGTCCGCGACGCAATCTCGCCCAAGATCACAGGTGGTGGCGGCAAGACCATCAACATCGTCAGGTATCCCGAAGACGTTCGCTGCAACTACCCATGGGTAATCGACATGTCGAAGAAGATCCTTTCAGGCCGTCGCGACGTGTTCCAAGGCAACGTTCCCGCGACAGATGAGCCATTCGTCCCAGATCTGATCTTGCACATTGGCATGAGACTCAGCTATCCTGGGTACTGCTTCGAAACTCATGCTCGGCGGGAAGGCTTTGTTCAGCCGGGTGAAGATGGAGAGACTTTCCAGGAAAGCAAACCGCTGGAGTGGGAAACCCTCCCCAAGGAGCTGTACACGCAGTATGACATGAACGTTATGAGGGAAAGGGTCCTCAGAGAGTTACCGGTAGGTGTCCCTAACCCTGCACCCTTTGAAATCATGACCTGACCAGAGATGCAATCCAGGATGCCGACATCAAGGTTTCTGATAATGCTGGCCTCTATTTCTGCGAGTTCCAGCTGCTTTCGACTCTCGCCGAGCTAAAACTGAAGGGCCTGCCTGGTAAGGCGATTTTCCTCCATGTTCCGTCAGGTCAGTCCCCAGAGGCTATCGCACTGGGAGCAAAGGTCGCCGAGGAGTTGATCTCTTCAATCTTGGATGGATGAGAAGTACAGATACAATGACTGGGACGAAATGGCCTTGTTGAAATGAATCATGATGCCAAAGTCTTTGCTTTTCGGCTGTCGGTCACTAATCTGTGGCTGCCATTCATTCTGTGTACTCAGCCCATCCGCATCCATGTTGCCAGAGTGATGACCACTTCAGGTTGGTGTACTGTCACCATCAGTCCTTTGTAAATACAAGAAGCCTGATCTCCAAACTCTCCCTTTGAGGGCTGACATTATCAGCCTCTGGAGGAAACGAACTGTGCAGGCAGACTACAGCCGAGATCAATAAGCGAGTAACGGGGGTCCGAGAGTTTCCTGTCCCAACTTACATTTTGCATCTACCGCGTCGCTCGAGTCGTAGATTTTGAGGAGCGTGACCTCGTCTACGTCTTGATCAGAGAGGTAGAACCACTGCTGACCTTCGCTGTGCAGCCCGAAGCACGTTTCTCCAGTGTATCGGCGACGCACGATGTCGCACGTTACAAGGTCGTTTTGGTTCACTGATCTCGCATCGCACGTTGCTAATGGCCATGATGTTACCCTATCAAGGGGCCTCCAGATGCTACAGGTTGTCAATGTTTTGATTCCACCGGGGTCACTGTGTGGATGGTACATACTTGATGATTCTCACCCTGGACTGGAGGAGGTCAGTGGCCTCGTCGCCTAGGTGCCTGTGGACTCGTCGTATTGCCCCTGTAGGGCTTTGGTCTGTCCGCGTCAGTTGGTACCATGGCCGTCGGATATCCACCGTATCGCTCACCAACATGGGGATGTGTGGCTGGGAGAAGAGGGTCGAAGCCGTTCTCAAGGTTGACCGTCTTCTTGGCGAAGACGGTTGGGTCTACTGCTTCGCGCAGCTGCAGAAACATAAAATCAGCCGCAGGCGTAACCAACTAGAGAATGAGTGTCAGGAAACCCACCCGAATATCGAAGCAGAGCGTTCGAATACCACTAGGTTGACCAAGGGTGTGCTTCAGAAACTCCTCCATTTCGGGCACGTAGGTCGTCAACACGCTGTCTCGATCCTTCAAGTTGGCGACATTGGTGGCGTGCTTCTCAAACTGAAACCCCTGGGTGTCGAGTTTAAATTGATGCTCCAAGCCACGAGCATTCTGGATGGGGATAAACTTCTTCTCAAAGACAAGGTTGCTGCGTGGAACGCTGTGCTCATCTCTAAAACTGCTGGTCGGGATGAAGACTTCATAGGGCTTCTGTCTCTCGAAAAGAGCGTCCCACTTAAGGTAGTCAAGGGAAGCCAGTACAGTCGACATGTCGGAGGCCTGGCATTTCCCAATTTCTGTGTGAGTTTGAATAACCCTAGGGAATGATAGTCATAAGCTTGAGCAAGACGAGCATCGATATTGACGGTGTCTTATGGCCACAATAGCGGGGAACCGGAATGCGCCATGCTCTGATAACCCAAGAAAGACATCCCGAGATGTCCATCAGCCGACCTGATGAGTCCTGCACGGGAGGAGACAGGTGCAGAATCGGGCTGGCCACGGGAGATGAACCGGGTAGGGATCGGCCAGGGAGAGCCCGGCCACTCTCCCGCGCCAGGCTGCTGCTATCCCGCGCAGCTGTCTGTCTGGTTTTGGTCAGGCCTGGCCTTTGTCGTCGCATGGGTTGTGCTGACCCAATGATTATCGCATGGGAGGCCTCAGTGCCTACTTCTAGAGCCAACATTGCATCGAACCTCCCAAAGATTGCCGAGGTCGTCTCTCCGGTCGTCAACTTGTGCTTCTCGTCAACCCAGACAACCCCCCTCCCACCCTACCTTTTTGAACATTTGCCAGTCCCCCACACAGCATGACTAATGTCAATGGTTTTGAGGGGAATTCCGATCTTTACGGCATGGGCGTGAGGATCGGCCTCTATACCCAATGGATCGCGACTCTCCTCGTCACTCTCTTTATTCCCTCCGACGAAGCGACTCACCGCGCCGTAAACCTCGTCATCCAGTCGGCTATTTTCATCGGACTATGCACAGAGTCCAACGAGAAGGTCAATGCTGTGGGCTCGGTCATCACCATGGCCTTGCTGTGTGGATCTCTCTCCAGCGTGACTGGAGACGGAATATGTCACCTTGATCGGCTCGTTGGTCTTTTCCGAGTTGCATTCTACACGGCGCTTTCTGCGTATGGATGTTGGTTCTGGTTCAGCGGCATCGACAGGATGGCGTCCTCGGGCTCTGAGCAGATTGTCTTTTTTGGAGCAACTTCCATCCACAGCGGGATCCGAACTTTTGGCAAGGTCGTTTCGGTAATTGGGCTTGTTGCTACGACCGTCCTCACCTGCTTGTCTGTACGTGCCGTGGCGCTTCGCCTAAAAGGAAGCACAAGCACTCGACTTCCGAGACGGTCGAAGAACCGACCCCAAGTCGAAATCGGCTGGCTCCTGATGTCGGCGGGATTAGCCGCCGTGACGATGGCGTTGGTGGAATACCTGATTGTGAAAAACATGGTTTCAGGAGTGGGCGTGAATGATCTTGAGTCTGTGGGACAGCTGATACCCCTGGTTGTTGGGATTGTGAGCCTCTTTTTGGTCTGCTGGAAAATCATGACGGAGAGGCTGGTGTTTAGGAAAAGATGTTGGCTGTTATTTGGATGTCACCTCTAATAAAAGTCCAGATGACTGGGAAATGGCACTATTGGCCCCCTTCCATCAGGCTCATCTATCGACGACATGATTCAGACTTTTGATGCGTACTTACCCTCCTTGTAGTACTCCTCCCCATCAGGGACGTCTGGGTCATGGACCCAGTTCAGTGATGAAATGCTGCCATCCTTAGATTCCCTGAAGGTCAACTTCCAAAACACAGGCGGCTGATCAACCCACCGACCTCTAGAGGCCATGTAATCACGAGATTTGAGCCACAGGAACGTGTTGTTTTCGTAATGATCGAGCTTGAACTTTTCTGACTCCAGGCCCTGCAAAGCCCAAGAAAGCTCACCATCATCCAGCGTGACATCAATCCTCAGGTAGTGCTTCTTGTTCCAGTACGTGCCGACATAGGCTTCCAGAGGCTTGGGAGAAGTATTATTGATGCGCTCCTTGTCGAGGGCAGCAGATGTGTCCTTGAACCACTGTAAAGACTTCTCCGCGGACTCCTTTGACAACTTGACATAATCATTACGGTTAGGAGCATCGAGGATCTCCTCCAGAAGTAACTGCAAAACCCAGTCCGGGCAATCATTGAGGGAGAGCGAGTTCGTCATGACAACAACAGCTGTCCTGTGCTCAGGAACCATGGCAATGGCGGATAACGCCCCAGGAAGGCTACCCTGGTGGTAGAAAGCAAGTGTCGATCCGATTCCTTTGGCGACAGTGGGCATTTGGCCGTTGATAAGACCGGGGTTCATTCCGATATGACCCATCGGGCCTGGGAGCTGCACACGGGCGAGCCCAAACCCATAAGAGGCTTCCTGATATGTCGGCTGAGCCATGGGTATCTTGGCAGAGAAGAGATCTTGGGCGAGCTTGATCTGGGAGGAGGGGGTTGAGGCCGCCGCAGTAGAGAACTGGTCCGTGACCGCATCCATCACGGCGGCGTAACCCTTCAAGAGGTCAGCGACGCAAGTGAAGATGCCTCCACTGGAACCTCCAAATGTGCCTCTTCCGGACTTGACGGTGGGGATCTCGACTGATGTGGCATTTTCGAGGGTGTTGTAGGCCCTAGAAACATTTTCCACATCACTGGGCGGGCGACCAATGTATGTTCGCTTCATGCCGAAAGGGTCGAAGAAGGCGTTGTGAACAGCATCAACCCAAGAGCCTGAGACTCGATCGAGAATGAGGCCAGCAAGCTCGTAACCAAGATTATTGTACTGGAACTCCTGGCGAAATGGCTTGATAGGAACTTGGTCGTTGATAAACTTGAGGCTGTCGTCGTGGGAGATGACAATGTTGTTTTCGCTGCCGAGGTAGAAGTCGGCGATGGACATTCCGGTACGGTGGGCCAGAATGTCAGTGACGGTCATGGACTCTCTGAGGACTCGATTGTCGATGTCGAAATCGGGGAGCAGGTCCTTGACACGAGTGTCCCAGGCGAGCTTGCCTTCATCGACAGCGCGGCCAAGGGCCATGGCGACGAACATCTTGGTGAGGGAGCACCCCGGAAAGATGGTTTCCTCATCGACAGGTGATTTGTCCTCGACGTTGCGATGACCGAAGTTGGCAAAGTAGGCAGGCTCTCCCTGTCGGTAGACGCCAAAGGAGAGCCCCGCGGTGCCGGCGATGCGCATGAGCTCCTCGATCTTGGACTTGCATCCATCAAGTCGAGCCGACAACGAGGGACGTGCTGTATGCGCCGGCGTCAGTTTGAAGCTCAGCAGAGGACGTTTCAAGAGTCTTTTGCACGCACCTGCGGCGCCGACAAGGCTGGTAAGTCCACGATGTTCATCCATGACGAAGCGGCTGGTGAGAAGGCCGAAAGTGACGAGGAGAGCAATGAGGGGAAGAAGAAGAGCCTGAGGGGGACGGTAAAAGAGATTTACCATGATACTCTGCCTGGCTAGCAGTTGGAGGCAAGGAAAGGTATGATTGAGGGAAGAGGCGGGTCAAGCAAGCGCAAGACAGTTATCTGACCCAACCAAGAATGAATGAATGAAAATATCGGGCAGAAACGCGCCGGTCGGTACCTAGGAGGACAGACAGACACGCATGCACAGGATCAGGTTGGGCGGCGTCAGTCACGAGGGGTAGGTCCAATGTTCTGTCGTGGACATTTGGCAGAGGCGAAGACGGGCGAGGGGGCGGGCGGGCAGTCCATGTCCAACAGTTGTCATTGTCCAGTTGTGTGACGGCTGAGACTCCTACTGCATGACGGGGACCATCCGGATGCAACATGGCGCAGCCTGATTTTCAACCCCCGCCGACAACAGCCAGCAAAGCTGCGGCTGCGTGCTCGCCAACACTACGCCCTGCATTTCTTTCCACAAGATTGAGGCTGCTGTACAGTTACGCATTCATCACATTCATTTCCGTGTCGGTTCGGAGGGAGCCTGCAGCCTCAGCCTAGGTACGGAGTACGCAGCGCAGAATGAGGTGACAACTGCATCAGTGTGGTAGCACAGAAACAAACATCCTCCCCCCGACCCACCTGCAGCCAAGGAATTTTTCAGCTCAGCCCGCTCATGCTCGGATTGGCTTTGTTTGTCAATTGCCGTCAGCATGGGTTAGCACACCCATTGCACTCTATTCCGCTCCACATCCAATGCTCAAGCTAGTCAAGGCCATCACCCGCGAAGCGTCCAGTGGCTGCCAACCCGCTCAATCCAAATCTTGCTCTGTCCTGAAAATAGCGGCAGGAGAACCAGCCACGCCCTTCAGTGCGTCTGGTACGGGCAAATTACAGCGCAAGGCTGCTGAGAAGTCACGGGGGCGGCGGGATCATGGCCAAGCTCAAATTCGGCGATGCGGAACCTCGTCGTCAGCCAACCGTTTCGTTGCGCAAACAACAAAACGGTCCATGAGTAAGTACTGACTGTATTCGAAGTTGCGCATCATGACCTCCGACATCTGGAATAGCGTCTTTGAAGACAGGAAAAAGAGCATCCAGGATGCATACATGGCAGTGGCCGCCAAGACTAAGGACCCTGAGCAGCTGTCTCTCGACAACCTTTTAGCCGAACTGGAGACATTCGATGCTTTCAAGTCCAAGCTGAATGCCGAATGCTCGCGTTACAGCCAGAGTCCAGCCGTCAATTTGATCGCCAACAAGATCAACCCCCACCTGAAGAACTTTGGGCGCTTCGCCATGGTCATCGGCGAGGCCTCTAAAGGGAATTCGACTGCCTCGATATGCTGGAGTTCCATGTTTCTCGTCATCCATGTATGTTCGGGCTCCGTGACGCTGAGTTTTGATGAATGACTTACTTTACAGTGCGGCTGTGGTCTCACCAAAACCCTCGAAGATGTGGTCGATCAGTTGGCCAACTTTATGACGCTCATCCCAAAGGTGGCCGATGACGTTGAACTCTACAAGGAGTATAATCTCAGATTGAGCCAAGTTCTCAGGGACATGTTTGAAAACTACCTCGACTTTTGCGTCTCCATTCTCAAATGGATGCAGAATTCACCAACCAGTATGCTTCCTTGCCTGCGCCCCCTCCCAGTCACTTCTAAATGTAAAATTAAACAGAGAACATGTTGATGAGGAGCAAACTGAGCCAGACTCTTGATGGTCATGTTTCCAAAATGGAGCAGAGCAAAAAGGAGCACCACGACATTGTGCAAGACATTCGCAAGCGACAAGAGAAGGTCATGATTGACAAGTGGGCTAGCAACAGAGCACCGAGTGACCCTACATCTCCGAGACATCCCAAAGTGTCGCTGAACTCTCCGCCAAGGCGACGAAATGTCGAGTTCATTGGGCGAGACGCCGAGTTGAAGCAACTGTTTGAGCACCTCATCGAAGACGAGCCGAAAGAGTCCAATATCACGTCCTGTGCGATATCTGGAATGGGCGGTGTCGGCAAGACTGACTTGGCAGTCGAGTTTTGGTATCAGAACCGACACCATTACGGGGCTGTCATCTGGATCTCGGCCGAGTCTGACTTGACTCTGAAGACGGGCTTTGGCGAAATCGCCACGTCACTTGGCTTCGTCTCTGCCAAGGCTGGCGAAAACCGTGAGATGCAACGAGAGGTACAGCAGGTGAAGAACTGGCTGGAGACGCAGAAAGGTTTGAGGTATCCTCATGGGACGTGAAGGCGCTTTGACTGACCGACCTGCAGACATTTCATGGCTCCTGGTCTTCGACAATGTCAATTCATACAAGGACATTCAGCCGTATTGGCCTGGAGAGTCGGTACGGGCATCATCTATCCTTGCCACAACCCAACAGAGGGTTCCCCGTGCCAACAAGTGGGTGGACCACGTCGTTGAGTTGAACGTGTTTAGTCGCGATACCGGCTCGCAGCTCCTGCTGAGTTACCTCGAAAAGTCAGGCATACCGGATACTGATGCAAACAGAGAGGTTGCAAAGGAGATCTCTGAACTTCATAGAAATCTCCCGTTGTTTATTCCTCTGGTGGCCTCAGCCATCGAGTTGGAAGAACGTTCTCTGAGCAACTGGCTCAAGGAGAGGAAGGGCCAAGATGTCAAACCGGACCAGTACGACAGCGAAGGAGTCTGGACTTACGAAAAGGACCCAAGCGCCTTGTTTGATCCAGCTTTAAAGTCGCTCTCGGAAGACGCCAGGAGGCTGCTCTTCATGCTTGTGTTCCTCAGCCCTGATGGGATACCAGAGAACCTGCTGCTGTGTGGCGACAGGGATCCCGACCTGGCTTTCGTCGATTCCAGCAACATACCCAGGTATGCGACCTTTGGTACCAGTGTTGATTAGAAATACCCCTTCTCTAACATCTTCAAGATTCCGTAGAGCCTTGCGTGAACTGATACAGAGGTATTTCATCACCACCAACCACGAGAACGATGATCCCGACGAGACGACATTCATCAACATTCATCGGATGACCCAAAGCATTCTCTCTGGGATTCTGGATCGTGATCGCAAGCGTCTCGATGCGACTTTCCGCAGGGTCGTCAAGGTGCTCCGAGAACGATATCCACAACCGGACAAGCTCATGCGCCCGGCTGCGGGAACAAGCGAGCGAGCTCTTCTTATTCTTCCCCATATCATGCACGTCAACGACAGATTCACCAAGCTCGAGCCGCCCCTGGGAGGCACACGCGAGTTTGCGGAGCTTCTGGTCGACGTGGGAGGTATGGACCTTTCTGTGCAGGGCTATGTGCAGGAGACCATGGCGATCCTCGAAGTCGCCGAGAAGATTCTGGACGATCCTCTTGTCGAGGATACCGAACTCTACCGTGGCCACGTTCTAACGGTGCGCGGTATGTGCGGCGATCTCATGGGCATCTCTCGACGCACCGAGATGTACAAGTGGCGCGTAGAGTGTCAGCAACTACGAGAGCAATGGTTCAAGAAACTACCAAGCAACAAGCGTGACAAAGACGCCGAGGTTCTTTTATACAACTCCTACATGGACGTTGCTTGCTGTCTGCAGCATCTGAACATGTTTGACAGTGTTGAAAAGACGGCTGAGAAGTGCCTCTGGCAGTACAAGAAATGGGGTCCCGAAACGAGCGATGCAGAGGCTTACGAGTACGCAAAGTATTACAATCACATGGCATACGTCCATCTTTATCGCGGAGAGAACGACAAGGCAGTCGAATATGCCAAAAAGGGCTTCAAGTTCATGGAAAGGAACGATAGCGAGTCGCAGATGACGATCCTGTTTCAGTTTGACTGGGCTTCGGTCCTGTTTCAAGCAGGCCACGAGGACGAAGCCATTGCCGAGCATGAGAGAGTGCTGGAGAGACGGATAGAGACCTGCGGAGCAGAGAATGTTCGCACTCTGGAAAGCTATCTGACCCTTGGCGTTGCGAACTTCCTTGTCCGCCGCTACCAAGCAGCACGGTTTGTGTTCCTTCCCCTCCCTCCCCATTCAGAGAGACATGAACAAAGGCTAACACGAGTCGCTAATCAAGAGACAATCTCAAGCTGGCCATCAAGCCAGAAAGCAACGAATCGTACATGTGGCCGAGAGAAAACAACGTGCGGGCCAAGTACTACCTGGCCAAGGCATCCATCGCCCTCGATCCCTCGGACCAGGTGGCGCAGATGGACAAGAATCACGCGCTCATGGAGATTGACAGGCTACTTCGCAGCGACCCAAACGCGACCATGGCATTTGACGGCAAGGGGCCACATGTCGAGGAGCTACGTGTGGACTATGTCGTAGCTTGGGAACTTCGTCTTGTCACTCCTCGGCAGCCCTTAAAGCAAGCAGAGATGGAGTGGTGGCAATTGGCTCTGGGAGCATTGAAAAGGCTGGGGTGGTGGAAGTGGGGGGCAATCTTGGTAGTGATGGCCGCTCTGGCTCTGCCTTGGGTCTGGTAGTCTACCCACGACATGGCCTTACGCCCGTTGATCCAATTGCTCGAGGACACGAATGAAATGAAAAGGGGGGTGAGAATGCAAGAAAAATTTGCTTGTGCGACCTTGATTAAAAATCAATACTTGAGTCTTTCGCACCCAAGCCCTGTCATGGTGTTGGGGGAGCCGTATCTAAGTCGGCAGGACTTCCACAGCCTGATTGCCAAGCCCAGTTTGAAACCGCCATGTGATCAAACATGCATACAAATAGATTTACATTTGCCGAGCCTGATTATCCCATGTCCAGAGAGGGGGACGCGGGATGAACGCCTCATCTTATCCTAACTCCTTAGCCGAGGGGTCCCGTCGCCCAACCATGTTCCCATCTTACAATTGAGGCTTCGCAACCCGACCTGTGCAGTTTCTTGGCGCCTCGGTTTCCCTGACCGTCCTTTCCGCGTCTCGGCTTTCCGAATTTTGAAATCTCTGCAGCCCGAAAGTGCAAGCTGGATTGCGAGTCTGGGTAAACACCGACATGGGTCGGCCGCGTCACCAGAAGGGTGACTGACACTCAAGGATTGTAGAAATCCCCTCTGGATGCTGAATCGGGCCGTTCCATCATATTGGTGTCTATAAAGGAGCCATCTTGTGCTCTTGGGGATTCATCATAATCCGACCAGCGCATATCTCAAAAACACATCTTCCATTCTGTCCCAAGTTCTCACATCTCATCTCACTCAGACAACATCACTTAGTCGCCATGACTGACTCACTCGCACCCACACCCACACCCATCCCCATGCCCAAGACAGCTGAGCCTACCAACTTGGCCGAGACCAAGAACGACGCCATCAAGACCCCGGCTTCTGTGGATGAACGTGACCAGCCATGGAAGGCCCTGGTGGATGTCATTGAGAAAGAGAACAAGAATAACCCTGTCGGAGCTGACTTCTTCCCCTGCGAGGACGGCTTTTACGCTCACTCTCTGGCTGCCTAGAGAGATGACACTCGGTGGGTCTACCAGCCCCTTTTACTTGCTTTTCACTGCTGAAAGATGTGTGTTGATAGCCACCATTGGATGGGCTGAAATGTCTAGTTCAGGGGGTTTTCCGGGATTCTCCTCCAGAAATAGCTCGGAGCACATAGCCGCGCGTCTAGTCAAGTTATGAAGGAAATGAGATGCTATTTGTTCCAAGGTCCAATGAATCTGGTCAAGAGGCTGCCACTAGAGTTCTCGTGATTGTAACCCCTGCAACTGTCGCAACTGTCTGCATGAGATTTGACAAAGCGTTGCTGCCCGCTCTGAGATTGCTGTCGTGAACTTGATTATATTTTGAGACACCTGTTGTGGGAAGCAAGTCTTGTAACATTCTTCAGCTTCTCAAAACCCAGATGTGCTTGTAAGAGAAAACGCCGTTACGTATTGATTTCTCGTTGTGCCTCTCTTTTTTCTCTTGTTCTTCCTTTTCTTCAGAGACCCCCCCCAACAACAAAAAGGGCCCATCATGTCATGGCCTGATGAGTCGACAGGGTCGGCAATCTTCATTTCCGAACGACAAACAAGTTGCCCAGTAGAAGGCAATAGCGACCTTTATGGCCTTGGAATCAGACTCGGAATATACATCCAGATGATTACAGTCCAGATCTCGGGCGTCACAACCGCTAGGGCACACGGTAAAATATCTGACCATCTGGGCGAGGCCGCCCTCATATTTATCCTCTCGGCGGGCATCGTCCTGGCTAGACTGGTTTCCCGAGCCGAGATCCAACCAGTCGAAGTTATCCCCATTCTCACTCTCCTAGTGGCTCATCTTGGCGTTTGTCGAGTCCCCTGGTGGCAGGGGCGGACTCTCATTCTGATCTACGTTGCCGAGGTTTCCTTGCTCGTCGGTTTGATAGTTTGGTTCTGGTGGTCAGGAATGGAAACTCTGCCGAGGTCATGCGCCAACGACTATGCCTTCTTTTTCCACAAGGTCAGGATCTGGGGTTGGTTCCGCAAGCTGGGCAAAGGCGGTTCCATCATTCTCAGTGTCGGTACATTGAGCGGCGTCGCATTCTACCTCATTCGTGAGTCAGTTCCAGTTACGGAAATGGTGAAGTCAGATTCCCTTACTTATTCGCAACAGAATTATCTCGTCTCATAAGGAACTCCGCCAGAAACAGCCGTTCAGAGGAACGAGCGCCACAGGGAGATCACCAAACCTGGGCTCAGAGGCTGAGATTCCATCTACTTGACTTCTTGATTTTTGGCTGTGCCATCACTTTTGTGGAAGTAACACTTGCATGGAACCACATCTCACAAGTCCATTCTCTTTCATCCCCCGGCCAGTTCATGCCATTTTTCATATCACTTGCCCAATTAATCTCAACTACGACTAGAAGTGTGAAAATTTGCTTCAATGTGGATAACAGTCCAGAGATCGCCGCCCAAGGCCAAGATGGTATGTTCTCTATCTTCAACTGCCTGTATGATAATGGCGTTCTTACTTACCACTCTACATATAGACTCCAGCCTTCAATGCCGTCATAGAGCTTCAAGTAGTGCCTATGACTTAGAGGAGCAGACTGGTTGAAATATCATGGTTAAGATAAGGTTATGGTATTTGAAACGTGTAAGACTGGGTTGATAGCCATGTCCATGATGTCCACGGACCACGGTTGCAGGGTCGGAACATGGTCAGCACCCTCCACAAAGTTTCCTCTGAGCTGTGTCACGTTTTTCTACTCAAAATGGGCCTCTGGTCTTTATTCAACGAGCATTCGTTGTGCCCGATACTATAATCTTGCGCGGATTGTGATATTTGGGCCAACACCCTAGGTTGAGATGTGTGGTATCACTTGTAATTCTTCCAATGTTACTTCCTAAAGCAATCAACTAAGGAAACAATTGTCAGTGATTTTATTAACTGTACTAGCAACCCAAAGGATAACGTATCAGCCCTGGGGCGGATCCGACCAGCCATCTCGTGATCGGTCCCCGATCTCCGATGCAGATGTTCATCACTCTTCAGCCCCCCCAGACAAAAACCCTCTACTTCCACGTGCATCATGGCGCTCTCTAGAATCGCTCGTCGCGACTCTTAGATTCCCTTCACAATGGTGCATTTACTCGAAGCTTGCAAGCATCAACCACGGCTAATATCCGTCATTCTCTCCAGTCTCCGACTGCTCGACCCGGCGCAAAAGGGCTTTGCCAATGAAAACGTATTTGAATATAGATAGAGAGTCTCACTACACATCACGCACCCCGAGGCTCCTAATACCAATGGTCAAACCCCCATTCTCCTCTGAGTTGGCGGTGGATAGATCCTGGACAGCGTGGAGCTAACAATGCCGCCAGCCCTCGACTTTGCCCTCAATCACAACTCAAAACACATCATGTGTGCGGTTTACATCGTATTCTCTAGTGGTATAGTAAACATATGCTATGGCAACTATTCCCTGGACGTATATTACCAGGTGTATGATGTCTTAGCGGCATTACGACTTGAGACGGAATGGGCTGGAAACCAACTAATAATGCCGCAATGTTGACGCCTGGATCTCCATTATTAGCGAGACTTTGATATCCAGATAGTGCGAGCAGTTGCTAGTTCCATAAGGTGAGGGCAGTCGAGTTCTCAACTGTGTCAAATTTGATTTGATAAATTATATGAATGACAACGCAGTGAGACGTTGAGCATTTGCGCATCAGAGGAGGATGAGGATAGTGAAGACGGTATGCTAACCTACAGTAGGAAAGCGTCATTTCACGGATGGTGATCCTCCGCTTACGTTATCATCTTGCCCACCTCGTCCCGATGCTCACTCCACCAGTGGAGCGTCGTGATCCTTCAAGTTCCAACACGGCACGTCATCCTCCGCTTTCAGGGGTCGAGCACTTGAACGATGGAGACAGTCTACAGGCGATCTCAGCGGACGTCTAATGCCTGCGACTTTTGCCGAAAGAGAAAAGTAGGTACAATTACTGATCCTCGACCGCTCCGTCTCTCTTGAGCGATGCTAACTGATTGACGCCAGTTGGGATGTGACAATGCAAAGCCCAAATGCGAAAACTGTCAAGGAAGAGCTATTGAGTGCACATACACCAAGAGAACCAAGCATGCAAGGTAAGAAGGTTCTCAATGCGGGTTGTTCATCCGCTTACACTGCTTCAAGACCCTCCAACGCTCGCATTCACACTCTTGAAGAGGAGAACGCTCAACTTCGCGAGTTGCTCCGGCTACAAAGCGTAAGCCTGAACCGCGATCAGTCATCAAACCCTTCTCAACCTCCCTTGGACGATTCGACTTTCGTCCCAGACCAACAAGATTCCGCTTCCGACACAATCCACGTGTCAGAGACCGTTGATGGACCTCATCCCGACGTATCTTTGTCTCATTCCACAGCTCCAAATGAAGCAAATCAAACCCCCTTCCATGGTCCTTCGAGTGTTGTCTTTGAGCCGGAGACCCCCAGGCCTGCCAACGGTGGTACAGTTAACCCATCTGATCTTGTCGTCAAGAATCAGCTTTTGGCAGAGACAACGAGGCAACGTAGGTCATCTGAGAATTAAATACGTGATTACAGCTAACTCGAGCCGTAGGCCAATATGAGATCATTAACTTTAAAGCGGGAAAGCTTGATTTTGGAGGCATCGATCCTGCTCTTGGCATGGGGCTTCTTTCAAATTTCTGGAACCGCCAACACTACTTAGGCTCCATCGTTTATAGACCAGCCTTTATGAGAGACATGGTCTGCAAGGGTCCATACTACTCAGACTTACTACTCAACGCCATCTTATTTGCAGGCTCAAAGTATTCAGACGACCCAGCGGTGCGAAGCAACGTCAATAACAAGGAGTCAGCAGGACGTCCTTTTCGCGCCAAGTTTCAGGAGATTCTGCACGGTTCGCAAGTGCTGTTCAAAAGTCGAGTAACCACTATCCAGGCTCTTCTTATTGTTGCTGACGGTCTCTTCTCTTGGTGTGATGAGACGAGTCTATCGTGGCATTACATGGGTCTGGCGATAAGCATGATCATCGATCTTGGTATCCACGTCAATGGCACTAGGAGTGGAAAATCAGCAAACTACACACCAGAGGACACAGAAGGGCACCGAAGAGTGTTTTGGGCAGCCTTTAGTATGTCATTGCAGTTTTTTGAGAATATCGTGTCACTGACTAGTCGATAGCCCTTGACAAGGTGCAATCGATATATCAAGGTCGACCTGCACGACTACGAGAGGCCGATAACCGAGTGCCAATTCAGTTTCTTGACGAGTATGAAGAACTAGAAGAGTTCAACACCAATACTTACTCAGAGCAACCGACACAGTTGGGTTGTCCGACATATAGTGTCTCGACCTTTGAGCAGCTTTGCAAACTCAGCATCATCATGGATCGAATTTTGTGCAACCTCTACTCAGAAAAAAGTTGTACTAGAGATCCTCAAGAACTTTTCGATGCTTCAAATGCCCTTCATGCTGAGTTAAAGCGCTGGAGGAGTGAGATGCCTGCACACCTGATTGTTCACCTAAACAAACCCGGCAACTCAACAATCCTTCCTCACACCCTATCTTTACTGTAAGGCAGCCTCTTCAGAACACATGACGGATGCTAATGATTCAAGGGCCATGTACAATTCTCTTGTCATCCTGCTACATCGACCCTTTGTCTCCGACGGCCACCTCCAATCCGCGTCAGCATCTGCAGCTCGTGATGCGTTTTCCCACTGCGCAGTAGCAGCACTAGAAATCCACCACATGCTCCAGATCTACAGACAGCACTTTTGTCTGAAATCAGTACCTTATTTCGTTTCGTATGCGACATACGTCAGCGCCACAATCCACGTCCGCATGGCTGCGCAGAGAGGTCCCGAGTCAGGGGCCCACAAGTACCTTCGAAGCTGTCTGGAGATTCTAGGGGAGCATCAGGCCAAGTGTTTTGCTCCGAGACGGACAATGAGGGTTTTGCTTGCGATTATGGATCGTTTGAAGGTTCACGTGGGAGACTTTTCGGCTCTCACTACTTCAAGTTGTCAAGCTGACGAGGCAGCCCGGCCTGTTGGACCCCCCTCAAGGCAACAGACCCTTCAGGCTTTTGACCCCTCAGAACAGCTACCAAACGACCATCAGGGCGACTTGGATCTTGTTTTGACGGATTTGGACATGGATGAGATTATGAAGACCTTCAATCTTGCTACGGAAGTCCAACCGGTGCCCGTCAATGAGCATCTCGCAACAGAAAGATTCCTTCCGAGCCAAGACACGCTACCCCTTTCCGATGTATTATTCGGCTTTGATTTCAGCACAATCTAGCCATCTCAACAAAAGAATACGAGTAAAAGCATGATGGTATTTTTGTCGCAGTTTCATTATCCCTTGAACCCTTCGTCAGCCTCGTACCCACGCGACCAGGATCTGGCTGATCCCGTCGACAGGGGTATGATTTCTTGGCATTTCTATTATCCTAATCGGGAATGGCCTCATCCTGTGTTAGTGACGCTGTCTCCTTTCAGGAGTCGCGAATGACGCGTTGTCATGGCTATTTCTGGTTGCGAGCTGTTGCATTTCTGTCTTTAAAATGAGGCCATGGGGACCTTCTCTTGGTTTCCTTTAACTCTTGTTTAAAGCAGACACTGCAGTAGAAAGACTTTGACTGTTTACCTTTGGACCCACCCGCTGCCATCCACCGTTCCCCGTGCCCATTCCTCACGAGACGTCTCCTTTGCCACTCCAATTCAAGATGGGTGGTGCTGGAGAGCCTAGTAAGGACTGCATTTTCCTTATCTAGGATTCTACTAATGACCATAGTCCCGTACAGTTTGTACGTGTACGCTCCAAACAAAGGAGCCCCCATCTTCTTCACCATTGCCTATGCCATCACGACCATCTTCCACGTCTGGCAATGCCAGTAAGTACCTCCTCCAACCATCGCAGATTCAACCCCCAACACCTCATCTTAGTCGCTACAAAGCCTGGAAGCTCGTCGGACTGCACTGCATCTGCGGTGTCATGTTCACGGCTGGCTATGCAATGCGCGAGTACGGGGCCTACAACTACTTGTACAAGACGACGACCAAGCTGCCTTTAGCCATTTTTATTACCAGTCAGGTTTGCATTTACGTGTGCCCGTGAGATAATCCACCTACCTAGCCTCAACGCCCTCAACTGACAACCCTCTAGTCCCCTTCTTGAACTCGCCAACTACCACGTCCTCGGCCGAATCTTTTACTACGTTCCATACTGTGCACCGATTGCCCCAGGAAAAGTCCTTGCCACCTTTGGAGGTCTCATGGGTCTTGTCGAACTTCTCAACTCCTTGGGAGTGTCTCTGTCTGCCAACACATCGTCAACGCCCGAGAAGCAGGCCCTGGGTAGCCACTTGACAATCGCCGCCATCTCGCTCCAGCTCATCATCATCATCATCTTTGTATACCTCGCCTGCTTATTCCAGCGCCGCTGCGCCAAGACCAATGTCCAATCTACGGCTGTCAAGACACTGCTGAATACCTTATATATGAGTATGGCGCTCATCCTTGTTCGTTGTATCTACAGACTGGTCGAGCACACTGGCAATACCAAGGTGGACATTGACGACGTCGACTCACTCATGACGCTCAGTCCCATCCTACGCTACGAGGTTTTCTTCTACATCTTCGAAGCCGTCCTCATGCTCATCAACTCAATCCTCTGGAACATTTGGCACCCCGGCCGCTTTCTTCCCAAGGACTACCACGTCTACCTTTCCCAAGATGGCACCGAGGTCGAAGGTGAAGAAGACTCAGATGACCGGCCTCTGATAGCCAAGGCAGGCAACGTCTTGACTTTTGGCATCTTTTGGCGCAAGAAGGAACAGGCTCAGCGGTTTCATCAACTCGACGAATATCCAGGTGCTCAACAACAGGAAGGTTCTAGACGATGCGTGTCCGAGGAGCCCAACTAACAGTGCTTCAGTCTCAGATCTGGCGAGATTAGTAGGCCGTTGGTAGGATTGCTGTCCAAATTATCGGCGGAGAGCAGGAGGAAGGCCATGTGTGTTGATCCTGGATAGCTGTTTAGGGACAAGCCATGCCATGTTCCACTTGCTATTAGTCGTCATATGGGAAGAGAATATTCTCGCTTTTGTCGAGGGGATGGTAATGGAAAGTAGCAAAACTGTGCGGGGGGGTTAGGATGGCAGTTATTAGGATTAATCGGATCATACGTTTCCTTTGTTTGGGTATTATTCTTAGTTTAGAGTATGTACAGACGCAGATGACCTGCGCCATAAAACTACATCATTCATCCAGGACCTGACTTGGACTTGCTCCATCCAACAAACCCACATCCTTCTTGAACTGCTCCAACCAGTTGGGGTTATCAGCTGGTGTCTGGTTCCACGGATCGCCACTAAATGTGTTAACAACTGTGTATTGGAGTCAGGATAGAAAGCACTTACTCGTCAAACATTATCCATCGCGCCTGGTGCTGAAGCTCCTCATCTGTGGGAACGTGGCTCTTGGGATTCCGCGTGGACATGGTGCTCATGACGAACCGCGTCAACTCGCGCCCAAGACGTCGGTAGCAGTTGGCATCGAAGAGGTGATATGACGCTGGTACCTCGATGCCGTTTGTCTTTAACCCTTCGGTTGGGCTATCCGTCGTGTCCCATAACTCTGTTGGACTCTGCTGTTCTATTTCGAGAGGTAGTGGTTCGACGTTTGGAGCTAGATCGGTAATAACCGGTGGCCCACCACCTGCATCTAGGATCGCAGCTGAGGTCGGGTCTTCGGTTGGTAAGCCAGCCCGTTGACGAAATGGAATAAGCCATTTAGTCGACCCAAAGATCAAACCAGTCAAAAAGTTGACAAACATGACCGAAGGGTGGGGCGACGACTCATTCATGGCCTGAACGACGGCACATGCCTCCCTCTGCAGCTCATCATCTTCAACCTTGAGGGCCAAGAGCTTGGGAATCTCAGTATACCTCTGCAACCTCTCCTCCATAGGACATGCTTGAAAGATGTCATCCTTTCCGTTAATTCTCAACGCCGTGATCCTAGACTTGGCGGCGCTCTTCATCGGGCGTATCCGTGCTTGCTTGACGACCTCTTCAGAGGACATGAGCAAGTCTCGCAGCCACGAGGGTTCCGGTATTTCTGACTCCTTGGATAGTATCTCGGCGCCAAAGATTATGCAGCAACTTTCGTACAGTAGTTCCTCGTCTGGGGGTGGAGAGTGTCTTGCGTTGGTGTAGTAGGCGTTGAAGTATTCGAGCTCCACCTTGATAAGCTCGAATGCGCTCGCTGGGGATCCGGTGAGACCTTGTTGAGTTGTAAACGGCCAAGGTGAATTTCTCTCGTAATGAATGAGATCTAAAATCGTCAGCCAAGATAGTGATGTGTTGTCCACGTCAATACTCACACGGCGGCATCGAGTTCTCAACCATGTCAAGCATTTGACTCTCAAACCCCCAATCCCCCTTCCAATTCACCATTGTCTGGCCTGCCTTGAAGTGTTCCGCCAGATGGTCAACACGATCAGACCAAAACTTCATAACCATTCCGCAAAAGCCGCAGCGTGACTTTATCTCCTCGCTCGCTTCCTTCCACGAGTCCATCGGCCACTTTTGGTACTGTGCGTTGTGAACCAGCTTGAGATGTTGCTGCAAGTGATCTTTTCGGTAAAAAGTTCGCTCTTCCAGCGCTCGTCCATGGCATGCTCCAAAGTTGTGGCTTTGTAGGTGGTTCATGTCAGGGCTGACAAGTCCACAGTAGACACACACAGTCTCGGACTTTTCGTTCAAGACGGTTGGACCCGACGGTGCGCATTCCCATCGCTCGAGTGACAGATGCAGCGACTTTTCATGACGCTTCCAACTCCACTTTGTCTTGAACGTCTCTGTGCAAAAGGTGCACTGGTAAGGATGGCAGCTATCGGCAACGACGGGTCTCTCGGCGGGCACGCGTCGTCTCTTGCGCTTGATGGCTTTTCTGATTCGGTCGAGGGATCTGAGAGAGGCTCCGGATGTGTGAGAGTATGCGGAGCTGGATTGGGAAGCATTCGTGCTGGCGGATGAGCTGCTCCGTAGAGATCTGCCGGGATCTGAATCTCCTGAGAATGCGCGGTCAGGACTATACGTCGTCGATGGATAGCCACGCATCGCCTGTGCAATGGCCGAAGCAGTCGCAGGTTCGTGTTCGGGGGGCGAGTTCTGCCATCTCTGTAGAGGATCCATGTTCTCGAAGGAAGCCAAGTTGTTGATGGACACCGGGGTTGATGATCGTACAAGAGGGGTAGGCGGTCGTTCAGGTTGGTTCTTTAATCGACGGCGGGCGTTGGCTAGCCAAGTAGTAATCTGCTGTCTGTTTAGACCGGTCTTTCTTTGCAAGGCTTCGACATCGGCCGGCCCGGGATACGGCTTCTGGATATTCGTAGCAAGCCATGCCTTCAAGACTCTGATGGACTCTGAAGAGAAGCGTTTCCCGATCTTTGGGGGTGGCCTCTTGTTAGTATTTGGTAGCAATGGTTCCTGAGTCGCTTCAGTACTGTCGAGGGACCAAGGGAGAGACTCTATTGGCTTTGTGTCTTGTAGCTGAAGGCCGGTTTGGAAGGCGTTCAGGGGATTGGCTTCTTGACTGAAGAAGCCGTTTCCGAGATTCTTCATCGGCTTGGGGTGATGTATCAGACCAGAGGCGAGGGGCTTCTGGGTATCCAAACCAGGCTGGACGGGTTCCTTCGAAGTTGGCATATGTTGTAGAGAGTCATGATGCATCAATGATCTCGTCGGAAAGGTTTCGCCAATGTCAATGTCGTCAAGGTCAATATCCAAGAATCGAGTCGCATCAGGATCATCAAGATATTCGGTAAAGGACTCATTCAGCCCAGCAAACACCTGCTCTCGTTCATCCTTAGACTCATCCATACCTTTACCAAAACCGAAGATGTAGAAGCAAAGTCTCTGCCGCCGAAGTTCGGAGCATTATCATGGTCAAAGAGTTGGAGTCATGGTCCAGAACTGTAGAGTGGAGGGCGTGGACGAGGGCCCCACAAAAATCTTGTCGATTTCACCTTGTCATTGATAGCGCGTCATTGGATGATCTAGATTTCTTACAAATGCTCTCCTTGCTTCATTCGGCATTTGTATGTAACTTATGCGAGTCATATGATCTTTTGCGGGGTTTCTTACCCCAATGGATGCATCAAGATAATCGGCGCGAGTTTCGAGATAGGCCATGATAGATAATCAGCCAAGCCAGCCATTCGTCCGAGTCAAGATTTTGGTATCAATTTTATCCTTATTGTATACGCTTCTATTGGGCAAGTCTAGAAGAATTATACAGACCCCGTAAAGGTAGAAGAAGTTGAAGGTTGGTAGAGGGTTAGATCCAATTCCACTCAAGGTTGCTGTATTCTCGCAATCGATTCAACCATGAACTTCGGCATGTCCGCTTCCCCTCGTAAATCTCCCAAGTGCCGTCAGAAAAAGATGCAGAAGTCCTGTAGAAGGAACCTGGCTCGCTTCCTTCGTCGACTTTGTCGTCAGAAGCCAGCATTGGTGCTATACCCCCCAGCCGTAAGGAAGTCGGACATATTAATTTCATGTCCCTCCCAGCAAAGACCACCGGACACAGCATTTGGATCAATGCTGCGACATGAGTCGAACACAATGTCGCGGCTACAAGCGCTCCAGTTCTTACCCGAGACATGTTCCGCAACGTCGACCACTCACGATACGCTGTCGAAGTTCGACCAACCTCAAGCGACCAGACGACACTTTTCTATATACCTCTGCGCATAGCCGTAATGAATCTCCGACTCGTATGATTCCCGTACCCTTTAATCTTGAAGAATTTGTGGCATCGATAACACCGGACCTAGTTCATTCGCTAATGCCTGCAGTTAAAGCATGATGCATGTCTCTACAAGTCAACCCTCAGCGGGCATGTAAGACTTGCATGTATTCAGCAGGAATACGAAGTCATTGTAGGAGACGTGTTTAGCATGCTTCTCCTTTCGGCAATTGAAGGCGGTTGACCATCTGCATTTGGACATAAGAATGCAGAGGCGTCTATCGCAAACAGCCGAGCAAGCCACACTCTCACCAACTGTCTCAGATAGACTCCAGTTCGTCAAAGTCAATTTCTCCTTCCGGAGGTGAACCATTTCACGGCTTTGTAGCACGAGAGCGACACAGGGGTGCTCATCTCACTTCATCGGCATCTCACTTGAGGTACACTTCAGACTGAAATTCACCAGTACGATTCATTGTTCTATCTGTTGAATCGTCTAGTTATCCCCAAGGTATACTAATGACCCTTAGAGGATATCGCCGTCAAAGACGACTGCGTTGCTCTATGGCGTGCAGATGTTGAAAAAGCATGCTATTATCCAGCAATTACGCCCGCAGAAACCAAAAACAAATGCAAAAATATGACCGTTAAATCATTAAGTCCCAGATGTTAAATCTCTTCACTCCAGCTCATAAGTCGTCAGCACAGCAGCGTGGTCAGAGAACCACTCGTTGTACTTGGTGTCGGGGATCGGCATGGGGTCTCCCACAACCACTGTGTGCGAGTCCGTCACCTTGAGGCTCTTGCCTTTGTGCAGGATAAAGTCGATTCGGTCCTGGGGCTCCCGGCGGTTGGCATTGTTCCAGATAGTGACGGGGGACCAGGTTGTGCCTTGGACCTTGACAGGGTCAGGGTTGGCGACTCGGAAGGAGTCGATGAGGCCTGCCTCCTCGGGGAGGACAGAGGTTGGCCAGCGGAAGTTGGAGTAGCCGCAGTTCTTCTCCTTGAGACCCTCAACCCAGTCGAGGTGAGAAGGAGCGTTAAAGTCGCCGACAAGAAACACGGGAGTCTCGTCAGCCTGGTCGAGGTGGTTCTTCATGCCGCGGAGGGTAGCCTCCATCTGAGGTGTGCGACCAGACTGAGCTTCTCGCTGGATAACCTTTTCGGGGCTCATGTGGCTAAAGCAGGTGTCATAAGGTCCATAAGGAGTGTAGCCCAGGTGAGCAACGTAAAAGTTGAGCTGCTGTTGGTCACCGTCGAGTTCGATCCTCACACCTCCAGAGCGGCTGGGTCCGCTGATGACGCCGTACTCCTCCACAATGGGGTACTTGCTAAGAATGCCGACATCACCGCCGCTGGACCATCCCCACCAGCCCAGAGCATTGGCGAGACGAGGGATGTGACGGCCCCACTGATCCTCCTGGATGCCGATGATGTCGGCGCCGGAAGACGCCATGAAGCGGACCTGCTTGTCGTGGTAGTTTGTGACTCCGGTGCCACCGTTCCACATGTTCAAGGACATGACCTTGAGCTCCTTGATCAGAGGCTCACCCTTGGGGACCACAGGAACAGTAAAGACACCAATGGCGGCAGAGTCAGTACCCGTCGCGCGAATAGTAATAGTGGTATCCTTGGCACCAGCAGGAGGAGTGCCGGCAAGCACGCCGCCTTCGGTGATCTTGAGCCAGCTGCCGTATCCTTGAGTGGAGAAAGTGACATGGTTGCCGCCCTTGACGAGGCCGCTAAGCCGATACGTGTACCTATCGCCGACACGCGCTTTGGGCAACGTGACGTCAGAGACGATAAACGCGACATCCCCACCAGTCTCGCGGGGCTTGACCACCTCGAGAGGCTCAGAAAGCGACTGGTAGCCGCCTTTGGCGAGGAAGAAGGCCGTGTAGTTGCCGGGTTCGAGGCTGGAGGCGGACAGCTGGACAGTTCCCTGGGACTTGGGCGTCCACTTCCACATTATGGAGTTGGACGAACCCTTCTCCCCATCGACGGGGCCTCCGCCGGCGCTGTAGTAGAGACCGACCCAGTTGGAGCCATCGGGTTGGGAGGTGGAGTAGCGGAAGGTGAAGAGATCCTCGCCCTCAATCAGCGAGAGGGATCCCGAGGCTTCCGCCGACTGTGCCTGCACGGAAGGGAAGAGGGTGAGCCATAGAGCGGAGGTGACCGCTATCAGCGGTGATGGGAATCTCATTGCGGTGTTTTTCCAGGCCGCGCGTCAGAGTTTGAGGTTTGGCGTAAGCGAAGCGGTCACAGAGCTCCTCGGAAGAGCAGGAAATGTTGACGAAGCCCGTGAGAGAAGAGACACCCTCAGTGGAAGCGAGGAGGAATGTCGTACGCTGATATAGAGAGAAAAAGAAAGAGAAAAACACAGAGTGAGATAGCGTTCGGTGGTGTCGCCCAAGTCCGGTTGCGGGTGACGGCAGCAAGGCCCCACTCTCCCGGAAGAACCAATACTCGGCGCCGCTCAAGCCACGCCGTGAAGCTCGCGTCGATAAGATCTGCAACACTAGTCACCAGCTACAGGCGGTAGATGAAACCTCGGAGCAGGGCACGTTCCCGAGGGCCCTGGTTAAGCGGTCAGAAGATGTATGTGACACAGTCTCAACGGTCGTTTGTGGGGGGTTCTTTTGCTAGTCACACGCTCGACTGATGCCTTGCAGCTCAAGGTCAAGCCACAGAGCTTCAAGCTTTTAAGCATGTGCGGGAGAAACACGTCTATCGAGCTGCTGCAGATCATGGCTTTTTGTTGATCGTGGGGGGAGAGTCCATCTGCCGGGTCTCCACACCCTCAATGGCAGCATCGGCCGCTATGAGCATCTTATCGGACTATGGGTGCCAGGGTGGTCATGGGTTCATGGCCTGCTGGGTGTCATAGGGCCGAGATGGACGAAAGAAGGGCTCTTCGATGTGTTTTTACGTGCAAAGTGAAGAGGTTTTGTCGCTCCGGTCGTCCGTGAACTCAGACCAGACCTATAGCACATCTCATATTTTGTCCATCTCCATCATGGCGACCTCAAGTCCAACAGCCTTGTATGCCTCCGATTCTCCGATTCTCGTGATGGTGTGATTCTATTCCCACTGCTGGTTGTCCACCCAGAAACCAATCACCCGAGCCACGGCCACATATCGCATCCCATGATTGGGTCATATTCCTTACCTCCGCTTGTTCAGATAAACAACTCGAATATCCACATCTCGAACCGTTGATCACATTAGCCCCATCTTATCAATCCAACGTCTGTGGGGAAGCCCACTGTCGAGGCCACCTAGGAAATCTTTCGACCTGCCTTTTTCGGCTGCCTCGCAGCGAAAACCTGTGTTGCACGAGGTTGGATACAACATTGCCAGCAACATGTCTCTCACTGTTGGTCGATAGCAGCTGTGGGAATACTACAATTGAAACAAGTTTTAGTCCCATGATCCCGGCATATAGTCTGTTGATGTTTCTATGGAATTCGCTCATGGTTCTCGGTGTCCTCGAAGGGAAAGGCTTCTTTTTCATAGAATCGGCATCTATATCTCTATGACTAGATACGAAGATGGTACACTGTTACACAAAGCGACAAGGAACATGTTATTTCTGCAGAGAGCCGATAACAACCTTGTTGGCCTCTGTGAAATGCCCGTCGTCCGAATCATCGAAGAAAATACGTTCAACTTTTAATGGAATTATTAGAAATGCACAAATGGCTCTCTAATTCTTGATAACGCGAATTTGTATCGTCAAAATGTATCACCAACAGCCTCAATGATGATGATCAGGATGCTCGGATTTAAGCCACGATCTGATATCTCCGGCTGCTGACGTACACTCTTGGCTATGCCGCACGGTCATGCTCCCCTGACCTGACTTCTCCATACCAGCCAGGGCATGTTGTACGCGTTTGCCTGCCCTCGTACTATCGCGGTAGGTCAACAGCTAGGGCATCGGCTTTGTGGCATCCGGAAGTATTTTTAGCGGATGACTGATGACGCGATTTTCAGAAATGGGGACACAGCAGCGTCACTGCTGGGAGTGTCGCCGACGCTGCTTAGTCTGCGATTTCACAGAACCAGCATGCAAGAGATGCTCAACATCTGGTGTCGAATGTCCTGGATATAGCCATGTCAAACCCCAAAGGCTAAAATGGCTCGCACCTGGGAGAGTTACATCTCGAAGTCGGAAACGAAAAGGGCCGGTGGAGAATGTCGGCAACAAAACCAACGACACCATGACTAAACAGCCGAAAATGACTATCGCTTTCAACATGGCCATTCCTCGATTCGAGCTAAAGACTGATGTTTGCTCTTTGCCTGAGGCTGCAGAGTACTGTAAGTTTTATAGTCAAGAATCCTATCTCGTACCATGATCTAACACGGAGCAGTCAACTCTTGTATATACAGAGACCTGGCACCTATCCAAGAGCTTGGCAAGAACCCTCACATATATCAACTATCAGTCATTCATATCCAAAGAGCAGCCAACAAGCCAGACTATCTCAACTTCGGTATGCTCTGTATGACTCTAAGTCACCGCATAAACCGCACAAGAAACGACCCTCAGTCTAAGCCTTTGGCTGAGAAATTCTACCAATACTGGGGTCTTGCCGTTAAATCTCTGAATGAGCAACTCGATGTCCAGAATAGGCAAACTAGTGACTTGGTCATGGCGGGAATTATGACTCTCCTCCTTGCTGATGTGGGTACTGGTTCTTTCAAGTAACGAGTCTTGCTCAAACGTTCTAGGTTCAACAAGGGACATCCCTCAACTGGAGATGTCACCTAGAGGGTATTCACAAACTTATTGCACTGCGAGGCGGTTTCCATGCGGTGGCTAACTCGCCAAGTTTGGAGCCACTGCTTCTTTCTTTTGGTTGTAAGTACTCCTTTCAAAATACCCAGCAAGCACAGGACTGATCTCACAAACAGCGTCGCCGTCATTGGGAACACGACATGCGCTGCGTCGGATCTCATCATGACTGGGTCATACCTCGATTCTCTTGGCTTACTACTTGAGAAGTATGGCGCGGCAGTGTCACCTATTCACATGTGTCCACTGCCGTTATTCGCCGAGATTATCAAGATCAACCACCTTCGCATGCGTGCAATATCTTGCGATTTCGCTTTAATACAAGATCTTTCGGGAGAAGGCTTTGAAATACTTGAGCGGATCCATGGCTTTTCACCAGGACAATGGGCCTCTTCAAAGCCGTTTCACCAGGAGGACTGGGTGCTGATAGGCAAGGTATACCAAGCTGCAGCAGCGCTGTACTGCATCTTGTCACTACAAAGCTTGTCTGTTCTCCCTGAGACTTCGGATCTCAGGGCTTGCTGCACGGCACACGGTCAAACTCTGTGGCGTCTACTAAAGTTAGGTCTGTCATGTCCAAGGACCAGACGATCACTCATTTGGCCACTGGTCCTTCTCGGCGTGGAAGCTGTCAATGGGGGTCCAGAAATGCGCGCTTTTGTTTCAGAAAAGCTGCCCGAGCTGAGCTATGATGCCGGTACTTACGTGCCCCTAATGGCCAAGAGCGTTCTTGAAGAATTCTGGAATTCAGGAGAAATGCGGTGGGATGCCTGTTTTGACAGGCCATATGTCTTTACGAGTCAGATAGCTGTCGACACAAGTCGATTATCACCAGGCTGAATCTGGTGGATTATGGAGCGGTGGGGGTTTGGATGAGGATATATGTGGCTTGAGCGAGCTGCTTAGAGAGACGTAATGAAAGATCAAGACATGATTAGTGAATTTTCAACCCATGGAAAGGAGTTTCTTCTTGTCCTTCAAACCAACTTGCTAAGTAGTAACATACATAAGCTTCGAGGCACTACCTCTGGTATCATTGCCCTTCAACTAAAGTTTATAGGGGTCTAAATTGGGAGTATTACATATTTTCGTAGCACCATCTAGTATTATCAAAACACAACCCCTATCACACAAGCTAGCATTGCTAGAACAAGAATCGCTCTGGGCCGAAATTCTCTCAATTCTTCCCTCTCCACGGGGGGCTCTCAGACTGCCCCAGAGGTCCACCAAGTCACAGGTTTCACAGGTTTGTCTTTGAACCATGTTTCTGCGCTCCAACGACGAGGCGGTGTCATCTGAATAACGCGTTGGAAGGGTGAATAAAGATCGCCAAAATCCACCAGTTTCCCCTGACGCCAATTATCCGGCTTGCAATAGGCAAACTCGAAGCCAGTTAAATAGAAGAAGTCAATGTTGGCCTGGGTGACATTGAGATCGTGTTCCTTGACTTTGGAGCTGACATAGTCGTATATAATCGCCCAGCGATAGTCTGTATCTTCAGGACAATAAGGGTGACCTCGCCATTCACATTGCTCATAGTTCTTAGGCCAGTTTTTCTTGTCAAGCTTGAGCCAGCCGTGGCAGCGGTTGACATAGTCAGCTGAACACATGGGCGTAGAGGAGTCGAATTCTGGGGGCCTCCGCTGCCCTTCTTCCGAGAAGCAGTAAAGGTTTTCGAGCTTTAGCTCGGATGATTTCGGAGACGGGTATACCATGATTGGGTTCTCTGAATGCTCAATTGCCCATCGGATCTTCTCGATGATGGCAACATGCCGGGCTTCATCCTGAAATGGGAATACAAAAGGTTTTTCCCTATTCAGCGGCTCTTGCGGACGAGTATTCCAGAACTATATCGGCCGTTAGCCTCAAACAGACCTGGTTTGAAGGAGAGATGGCAGACCAATTTAAGAGCATAGGGGCCATCCCCTCCAAAGGATACCTTGAAGACACCACCTTCCACACCACACCCGACACAGCCATGCCACTTTATTGGGACACGATGCTTTGGGAACCGGCGAAGGAGAGGCCTGCAAAAATCCTTCCATTTCATGGGCGGAGGTGTCTCGAGTAAATGCTCGGAGAGAAATCGTTGGCCTTTGTAATTATAAACATTGATGGCGCCGTCGGGGCGGGTTGGGGGGTCATAGACTTGTATCGAGTCGTCCAGTGGGGATGTTTCGTCTGCGAGGGAGACTGAAGGCTGCTCTAAGAGATGGGGGGAGGCCACCTTTGGCGCATCTTCTGTTCCCTCCGCAGTAATCATCTCCAGATGGTGTATACTTCTGTGACGCTTATTTAGGGACAACTGGAAACTTCCAGGGTGACAAATCGAAGGGCTGCGCTTTTCTTTGTCGTTTTCGCGGTGAGTGAGTTGATGTGACAAAGAAAGGAATGGTGACAACTGTCAGAGATGTGGGACATATCACGTGCGATCCTTCCAACCTCCTTGATTTTGTACGCCTCCTTTCCCATGCCGAACTTCAGCAGTGGGGATATGGGCACAATCAATGTTGTTTTCTATAAAGGGCATGCATGCGCCGCCTGTGGTTGGTGGTGGTGAGAGCTACGGGTGCGGCCTCCATAGATATCGGTAATCCAGAAACTGTTCCAAGGGTAATGACTCGGAGCCAAAAAGTGCCTTGTCGATGAGGTGACATAAGACCAAGGGACATCTATCTGGCAAGTATCATGACTTGAGAAGACTTTGGGGGGAATATAGTCTGGAAACACCATAGCGGCATCACATTTTCCTCTCTAAACACTATTCTAGCAATCCTCAGCATATTGCACAGCATCATCCTCGCGAAACTCGTCACTCCGCAACCTCGACAACCAATTTAGTACAGCTCACGCCCCGCATCAGCTCATCCAGCCCATCATTGATAGCCCCCAAGCCTTTTCCCACGACCTTGGGCTCCGGACTCGGTCTGACGTTCCCCTTGGCCAAGTTCTCCCTCAGCCAGGTCCCCAGCCAATATCGAAGCTGAGTCAATCTCTCCTTTTCATTATCCGCCGGCATCACAAAGATGGCTTCCATCCCATCTACTGTCTCCGCGTCGGAAGGAATAAGCGGTGCAGAACCAATCTTGGCCTTCTGGTTTCCGCTACTGTTCTCAACGAAGGCCTTGAGCACGTCTTGGCATGCCGCAAGCTGACCCATGGCAAGATAGCAGTGTCGAATCATCAGGCCGTCCTCCCTAGCTGCCGAAACAATCGCATCCACAACCTGCGGTTCTTTGTAATCAAAGACACGATCCGCACCTAGAGAGCGAACGTACTCATGATTAGTCGCGCTGGCCGTGGCGTACACAGCGGCGAAGGAAGACTCAGGGTCGTCCCGCAGCAGCCGAGCAGATTGGACGCCCATAGTTCCCACGCTCGAGGAAGCACCCCAGACAAGGAGGGCTTCTCTCTTGTCCTTGTTCTCTTTTTGCGTTGCTTCCCCAACTCTTGGAATCCCCATTGCATTCCACGCGCTGAGAGCCACCTCGGTGGATACGGGCAAGGTTGCGGCCTGATTCCAAGAGATGTCATCTGGGAGAGGCATGGCGTGCTGCCAGGGGACGATGCACTTCTCCTGAAAGAAGCCATAGTCAGGGTTGTAAGACCTCCAGAAAGAGGCAGCGTAGGCAGCAACGCGAGTGACTCCGGGTTGAAAGAAGAGGTCCTCGTTGGGGCTAACAGGGACGTTATCGCCAACCTCGAGGACCAACCCCGACATGTCAAAGCCGATGACAGTGGGGTATTCGGGTATGAAGAGGCCCGAGGCACGCATGATGTGGTCTGCCGGGTTTAAGGCTACAGACTTGACCTCTATGAGGATTTCGCCTGGGCCTGGTTTGGGTGTGGGACGAGTTTGGAGTTCAAAGGGTTCGCCTTTGGCGACGGCGAGGGCGGCGAGATGGGTGGCCATGGTGAAGGTGGACTAGGGGGGTAGGTGTAGAAGGGTTTAAGGTAGAGGATCAAGTGTGTTATTCAGGTTAAAGACTTGGTATCTTTCCTTACCTGGAGACCGAGGGAAATCCTCCTCTTATAGGGATCATTCATCACCAGCTTGTATTGAGCATAGTCTGCATAGATGACGGAGTTAGAGGATGAAGCTCCTAGCCAATCAGAGACTCGTGCTCCCGAGCAACAGCTAGCGTGGATCTAGATAGCCGAAAATGGGTTAGCCTCTGGGTCCCGATAACTGTGGAACCCGGGAGGATCCCTCCGTGATTGGCCAAAGCTCTTCTTTCTGGCACCCTGCTTCCGACTGCCATCGTCACCTCGTTTCAACCTTTCCAGACAATCCGACCTCATTCATTCTCCGTTAAGTCCGCTCACGCTCACTACATCTCCCACAGCCAGACTGGCACATGTGCTGAGCACCATTAATAACCATGGCTTCGACTTGTACAGCAGAGGTCCAAGAGCGCAGAATTCGGCGGCGGTCGAGATATGGCTGCCGAAATTGCAAGCTTCGAAAACTCAAGGTACCAAGAGCAACCCAATTTTATATACCCAGGAACCTGATCCAGCTAATTCTCTTGGCCTCCTAGTGCGATGAAAGCAAGCCAGAGTGCAAGAGATGTTGTTCATTCGGGGTATTATGCAACTTCACGCCCAACATCCCTGACCTCCACCCTGTCGCCGCCGACACAGCGAGGCCAATGGTTGTTCGAGGAAGAGCAAAACTTCAACCGCCTCCTACAAATGCTGTCTGGACGTCCGATTCTTCCTCTTGCTATGAGTTGAATGCAAGGTGTCAGGATTTCATTACTCGTTACCTTGGGCGGAGCCTCCTCACACCAGGTGACCCAAACATGTTGCAAGTGAACCGCAAGCTCCTGGAACTGGCCTTTACTGTAAGTATCGTTGCATCGATTCTACATACATTTTATCCAACAAATTGCAAGCCAGACTGCTCATTATAAACCTCACCTCGACTGACACGTGCTCATAGTACCCTTTCCTAATGCATGCCTCCCTCGCTGTGGCATTCACATATGACCGTCATCTCAACAGCCCCTCAGATTATCACCGGACTCGAGAAGAGTGCTATCACTGGTCTCAAAGTGCAGGTCTTTTTCACAAGCGACTTAGTGAACCAATCCAAGCCAAAGACAAGGATCCAATCTGGGGTACTGCAGCTGCTCTGGCTGTTCTGACCTTTTCATCCCCTGACGCAACCTCGCCTAAAGAGTCGTGGCCACTCAAGTCATCTGGTCCTTTAGATCTTAACTGGTTACGTTTGAGCGAAGGAAAGATGGCATTGTGGCACACGGTCAACCCGCTGCGGCCAGACAGTCTTTTCCATGTCATGGCGGCGACTTATGCTCAGATGTACGCGCCATTTCCAGAGAGAGGTACAGATGGCGTTCCAGAAGACTTGGCTGCCTTGGGTCGGCTTGATAGCTCATCTACGGCGGGAAACAATCCGTATTTCGATGCCGTCCACGGGGTGTCCAGGATACTGGATATCCCGGACGACGAACTCACGACCGGCCCAACTCAGCTCTTCTTCCGCAGTATTCGTGGTCAATTCAAGGAACTTCTCTGGAAAAGGGACCCTATAGCGTTATTGCTACTGTATCTCTGGTATCGCAAAGGAGGTCGTGGTATATGGTGGATTGATCTCAGAGCAAGGGTGGAGTGTCCTTCCATCTGCTCGTATCTGCGGGTGTACCATAAAGACAACTCGGCTATACAAGCGTTTCTACCGGGAGGAGCTTTAGCAGATAAATGGAACTAGTTGTTTTTTGCAATGTTGGAAATTGTACCCAGAAACTAATCCACGACGAGGATGGGTTGTGTTTTCTTACCGCGATGGGAGACCCGAGGTGTCTCCAGGGTAACTTGCAAGGGACCATTGAAGTGGCCAACAACTTGTAGCCAACCTGGAAGCACAGAGAGCCGACAGAGCCGGCCGAGGACAGAATCCTCGGATATAGAGCCTCTTAGCCTGAACAATGGATATCGGCAATGTGTCGGCTCTCATCGTACCGTATCGTATCGTATCGCAGCAAAGCACCATTTACGATAATGCACAAATCCCCACAGCATCGTCACCCGCAAACTCCGATTGGAAGTGCCTCATGTGCGTAAGCCCGCCTAAACTCCGCAAGGGGGCGGGCCTATGACATCGTTTCTCGGAGCCCCGGGGGTTGAAAGATGCATCTCCAATTTTCGGATACAAAGAGCGGTTTTTAATCCTTCTTCTTTCTTTTCCTCATTTCTGTATCATTTGCGACACTTGTTGAGTGGTCGCGTGAGTGAGACAGGAGGATCGCTCCCTGCTTCGTTCTCGGTTTCGCAATCGTGTCGAGGGGAAACCGCCACAAAGAGGGGTCTTTTTTTCACGGGCATCCATTCCATTCAGCCTAAGCAGAAGAGAGTAAGACGTCAGCATTTGGGGCTCAGCCTTGAGACTTCATCATCGGATACGAACTCTATGAGCATAAAGAGGTCATCTCACGCTCAAATCTCTCTTCTTACAGCTTCACACAACTTTCATCGCCAATATGAGTCGTTTAGCGGGCTGGTTCCGCGGAGGCGCTGCCGCCAAGGCTGACGATGCGAGCGATACCAGCTCCACCAGGGACAATGTCGCTAAAGAGATGGAGGATATCGACGATGCCATGAACTCGGCTGGACTCATCATGAACGACGACATTGATGGAGCTTGGGAGCGACTTCAGACGGGCGATTCATCTTTTCATCAGCTGGGTCTTGCTGTCACCATCTTTATGCGATCGGTTCTTGGCTTTGAGAAGGCTGTCATGACGGAGACGACGACTAAGCTGGATGAATGTGAGGCCAGGGCTTGGACTGACTATAAAAAGGCACAGAAGCATGGAAAGGCGAGGGCTGGAAGCAAGCTGTACCCCCCAGGAACCGAGTATGAACTGGTGCGCGCTGAGACGCAGCTTATGGGCGCCGTCGTTGGTGTTCTCCACGAGAGTCTTATCGACGCCATGAAGAGTTTCCTCAAACTCCGCAAAGCATTCATCACTCTCGATGCCATTATTGAAGCTGAGAACAAGACGCTGGGCAATAGACCCGAGGGACAATCGGAGGCGTCATTATCTGCCAAGGCAACCGATGACGGCTCTAGCAGCATGGAGAAGCTCGAGATTGAGTCCAAGAGCGGCGACGGATCTTCCGGAACGCAAACACCAGCAAACCTTGAATCCTCAAGTTCTTCGACAACAACTCCAGGGACCAGCACCGAGGACGAGAACCTCGACGAGGGAGCGCCGCTGAAGGAGGCTAGATCAAAGCCCGCCGAGTCCGACACTGTTCTTCTCGAGAACCCTCTCGACGTTTTTGTCCATTCGGGCGCAAACATGTGCTTTGGACTTATTCTTCTCATGTTGACGCTCGTCCCCCCAGCCTTTTCTCGAATTCTGTCGGTTGTTGGGTTTCGGGGAGATCGTGAGCGAGGCGTTCGCATGCTCTGGCGATCTACCGCTTACGCTAACGTGAACGGCGCTATTGCTGGCCTGGTTCTGCTGTCATACTACAACGCCCTTCTCGGAGCCGTGGATATCCTTCCTGACGAAAAGGACTTTGATGAAGGTGCTGAGATTGTTGGGCCTCCTCGAAAGAAATGCGACAAGCTTCTTGCATCTATGCGAGCACGGTACCCAGACTCGAGGCTGTGGAAGGTTGAAGAGGCTAGACAGCATGGTAACGAGCAGGAACTCCCTAAGGCCATTGAGGTTCTCACGACGGGCGGCGAGTCCAAGATGAAGCAGGTTGCGGCGCTTAACAACTTTGAGCTCTCCATCAACGCCATGGCTATCCAGAACTGGCCCCTCATGCGCGACTCGTTCCTCCACTGTCTCGAGGTTAACGATTGGAGTCCTGCCCTTTACTACTATATGGCCGGTATCGCGTCGCTTGAACTGTACCGCAACGCGATCGAGGCTGGTGACGAGGACGAGGCGAGGCGACAAAAGGTCAAGACGGAGGAGTTCTTCCGCAAAGCCCCCAGCGTGGCAGGAAAGAAGCGCTTCATGGCGCGACAGCTACCCTTCGAAGTCTTTATCCAACGCAAGATCCAAAAGTGGGAAGATCGCGTAAAGGAGCACAAAGTCGATCTCGCCGACGCGATTGGTGCAAGTCCGGCGCTCGAGATGTGCTACCTGTGGAACATGACCAAGCGCATGGGACCTGCTGAACTCGAGACTGCGAGACATGCTATGCGATGGGAGAGGTGTACGGCTAAGCCTGAGGTTGTGGAGAAGATGAAGGAGGAGCTTGATGAGATGGGATCGTGGGCGCTTATTTGTGCGGCGCTGTTTAGACAGGGTAAGAGGTTTGAAGAAGCGAGGGAGCTTCTTGAGACACATGTTCTCAAGCATGACCGGTATGTAACACATTTCTCATGCTTCAACACACCCGCTAACACAAGTACAGATCCGTATTCAAGGGCCCAACAAAGGACGACTACGTCCTCGCAGCAGCAACATACGAAAAGGGCGCCATCGCATGGGGAGAATGCTGCAACCCACCCGAGGGCACCGTCGAAGAGGTTGCCAAGTACAGGAGGGAAAAGTACGACGAGTGTCTGAGGCAGATGGACGTTGCCAAGGTTTGGGAGGCATTTGTGCTTGATGCGAGAATTGGCATGAGGGTACAGAGTGGGTTGGAGACGTTGAGCTGGTTTGGCAAGAAGATGGGATACTCATAGATATACTGTTTCGGGGATAGGCATACTGGGATATGTTGGAGTGGTTGTTAGACCTGATAGAGATATGGCGGGCATGGAGCGAGGCATTTTGGACACATAACTAGGTCTGGTCTCATAAAAAAGTCAACTTTTCAACTTAAAGGCTATAAACACTATCTCATAAAAGATCATGTACAAAGAGCACGTCACTCAGGAGGCTCGCTTCGACCTCAACCTCGAACTCCTCCTCCTTCCATCCCCATTCGTCAACTGGTCAATCCCATCCTGAATCGCCCCCATACCACGATCCACCTTCTTAGCCGACCTCTCCTTAACATGATGCTTCTCCGCTTCAGCTTTGACATCCTCCAGCACATCCCGACCCCGTCCAGTACCGTTAACCCAGTCGAGGAATCCCCAGGCACCATAATTGCAATCCCCACCACTGGCGTAGTGTACCGCTGTTCGTCGCGTCATGCCGCCCATTATGATACCCGGAACAATGCTGTAGCCGGACATGGATAGGGTTTCCTCGGCGGTGCAGAGCGAAAGGAACAGGAAGTAAGTCAAGAGGTGTGGTCGCAATGCCAAAGCAGGTAGGTAGATGGGGACGAAACGTTGGAGGAGAACGGGAATTGGGTGGTCGGCAAAGAGAAGAAGGCTATAAGGCGCCGCAGCACGAGCGTGAGCGAAGCGACGGTGGGATTTGCCAATGGTCGACGAGGAATGCAGCGTGTAACGGTGGATGTAATACGTGAGCACCTCTCTCGCCGTGAGGAGCAAGACAATATGCTTCGCTAGCTGCCACGGCAATGGAAGCGTCGACGTCGTCTTGAAGTCATTGTCTTTGAAGATGTAGGAAAAGCCTAGACTCGAAGCACCCTCGACGCCCGTCACGAGGGCGAGGTTGAACACGACGAGTGCAACCTGGCGGGCTAGTGTACGGGCATCTCGAGGCGGAAGTGATGCACGGCCGCCAAGCTTGATAGACTCGGCGAGGCTGGGAACCGCCGCGTCGAACAGAAGTGTGAGTAGTGACGGTATTAGATAGAAGACTATTCGTATTGCGAGAGAGCCTAAGAGGCGGATTCGTAGGGGAGTGTGGGAGAGGACGAGAGTCGTCCATGTCATGTAAAAGAAGAGGAGGTTGAGAGATGTTGACCATGACGCCGAAGCAGGCGACAGGAGGTAAGAGAGTATGGGTAGAGAGAGGAGGACGTCCATCTTGTGCTGGCGTTTGATGTGGTTGGTGATGATGTTGTGGTGTTGCTATTCTCGCATCGCCAGCTCAAGACAAAGTTGAGTTGTAAAGAGCAGAATTCACAGAAGCTCTACCACAGGATCTACGATTCTTCTACTCTTGAGGGGACATTCACCACCTTTTCACAACCATGACGTCGCAAACACAACCAGAAACCGGGAGCTGTTGATCAAACTGTGGCTAGACACACCCAATGACGTAGTTTGTGGCTGGTGTGGGCCAGTAGCGCTGGGGAAGATTGTCGTCGGCAGCCCTACGAGGGGGATTTGGGTTTAAAAGGTGCATGCAGCTAATGACGGGGAGAATCTTGGTAGATAGGTAGTTAAAACGGCTCAAAAATGGGAACAAAGTCTTGGCTGGAAAAGGGTCACTCAACTTGTTCTTACGAGACGAAGGCGTGTTTCGTCATGGCGTGAGAAAGTGTCCCAGACATTGGCGAATCTGCAGCTGTGAGACCAGACGCAGGAACAGGAGCTGCAGGGAGGTCCAAGCTGACCCTTCTCGAGAGGATTCCCACGCGAGAGAATCTCCTCTTCTCATGGCACGTTGAAAACGCGCTACGCGTAGATCGTGGGCCTGTCAAAGGGGAGTCAGGCAACAAGCACAGACAAAAAGAAGGACGGTCGACGGGAGAACCGGATAATGTTTCTTGAATGATGACTTTTGCAAGGCAAACAAGATGCCCAACAAATAAAATTGAAGCTGCTTCCGCTGTGGAGACACCGTAATCAATAGAACAAGCCGGTCCGCATGCAGGTTTAATCAGGTCCCTTGCTTTTCCGGGTCCTCTCACCTCCGCGAACCATGACCGTCTCGAGTCGCGTAGGAATAGACACGCCTTTTAAGTTTCGCCATGGTTAAACTCTGACCTGAATGTCCATTCCTCGCGTGGCCATTCAAATCGAATCATTCCTGGAATGTTCAAAAGATGGAGAAGTACTGTACCCCTGGGCGCGTGCCAAACGGGTAAGGATGCAAGCTCCAGGGGCAAAAAAAGCTCTCTTCCTTTTCAGGGGTCCCGCGCCCCGATTCTTCCTTCTTTTGGTCAGGGGTGTCCCTGGAGCCTATCAATTGTTCTAGTGTGCAATCCCGCTAGACTGGAGAGATTGAGAATGACGACTGACCCAGGCGGGAGATTGTTACTAGAAGCACATGGCCTGCCTGGGGGGGGTTACTGTACTCTCTCGGGGGTCAGGCTTCGTCTTGACTCAAGGGGGTTCTTGAATGAGGAGACGAGAGAGAGGATGCAGGATGCGCGTCGCGTGTGCATTGCATTGCATATCGTTGCATCGCCTTTCGAAACGGTTCTGCTAGCCCCTGTTTGCTGAGAAATACATGTGCATGCCTACTGCTGTGACTGCACCTCTAGGTACTCAAGCAGAAACACAAGAGGAAAGCCTGAAGCTCCTCTGGGCTCGTATCTTCAGGTAGAGGTCATGCGCTGCCTGCTTGTGGTCGGGGAGCACAAACTTTCCGTGGCACACACACGCACACAATACACCCCCTTACCATTCCTCTCCCCATACTCTCCCGGTCACATCTCTTGTCTCTTCACAACCTAACGGAAGAAAAAGAAAAGACGAGGGTTTATTCCAACAATTGCATTTGCTTCATTGCTTGTCTCGGGGCGAACAAGGACGTGCTTTTTGCTTGTTGAGTCGACGCCACTAACTGTCTTGGACCACCCCCGTCCCCGTCCCGCTCAGTTCAATCTCACAAATTGCTGGGTCTCGTCAATCAATCAATCAATCAATCACGTCCGCGCGCATCCGAACCTCACTCAATCCAGCGTTTGCTTTCTCTTTCTTCTTTTTTCTTCACTCTCTCTGTTTGTACCGTTTTTCTCCTGCAGCGCACGTCCTCGCGCAGACGACCTGCAAATCCCACCGCAGCACTCCACCATCACCACCAACAACCTAATATCCCCAATCCCCACGAAAAAAGCGACGGCGAGCGTTCCATCCCTTTAAGCCCAGAGCGAGCGCGCGCCAACGCCCGCGCCATCGCTGACGCTGCGAGACAAACCCTCGAGACAATTCCGGGCCCGAGCCCACACCTGACAGAGCTCAAGACATTTGCGACCTGACCTGTCGAAGCTTTTGCTGGTCGCCTATTGCAACCCTCGACCTGTGGCTCCCCCCCTTTGACGAGACACCGCGCCGCCGCCTATCCACTGTTCCCACGTTTACGCCCTTCCTTCCATCCTTCCGTTCATCCCTCCCTTGGGATCAACTAACCTGCCTACCGTGCAATTCACAGCCCGCGGCACGCGGCGCCTCTCCCAGCCATGGAGTACGAGTCGGCTGACATCCCCCCTATCCCGACCCGCGCCCATCATCACCACGCCCGACGTCGCTCTCTTCAAGGTCCCTCCTCAGCCGCAAACAAGCGTGCCAGTCTCCCTCCCGCCAGTCCCGAAGTCATCTCCAACCTCATCACCAGCCTCAGCGTCATCTCCAAGCCTGCCAACAACCACTTCGAGATCCCCACCACCAGTCTCTCCCTGCCCTCTAGCCCGGGTCCTGCTCACGGCAGCTTCGGCGTCGACTACGGAGCTTTTCACCAGCCGAGCCTCGACGAACTGAGACAAGACCCCGTATCCCTCGACGAGCTCGCCGCTTGCCCCCCGGTCATCCGCACTTCGAAGCCCCCAAGCGGCTTCTCCCCTTTAACCGCCGCAAAGTCCCCCAAGAGCCCGAGAAGCCCCAGCCGTGAGAACTCGGGTGGCCTGCGCTCCTTTATACGCAACAGCACCTCGCGGCCCTCGTCCAAGGGGTCATCGGCCTGCTCCAAGAATGACGACGCCCAGAGCATAGGCAACCTCTCCATCGAACGCCGAAACGCACCGACACCCGAGCTGAGCCACCAACGATCGCATGATAGCTGGGGTAAGAAGACATCGAGGAGCCAAAAGGGGCTCATGTACATGAGTTCAAAGGAGCAGCTCCGCGAGAGGGAGGTTGAGAGGAAGCGAGCGTCTGGAGGTGTTTCTGCGTCGTCTTCTGGAGCACTTGCCGTTGAGAGCAGTATTCACAGTGGAGGACGAAGTGATCCTTTCTTTGCGGAGACGGCTATTCACGAGGAGCCACCTGCACATCAGTTGCCTATTGAGCGCCCAAGCCCAATCCCAATGGAGGGTCCTTGTATCATTCCGGCGCGCGACTCAAGTCTGAGGAAGACAGGACAGGTTAGACGATCGAGCGCGAGGAGATCAAGACGAGAGGATGGACCGCTGAACGATGCTATACCTGAGGCCGAGGAACATCACAAGCCACGGGGGGAAACCGGGAGGAGAAAGCAAGGACATACTGCACATGACCAATTGCGGTCGTCTGCCAGGTCACCAGTCTATGGACTCCAAGAACCAGCTCCGTCCAAGACAACGAGTGTAGCTGGTAGGAGCTTTCTCGACGTCAGCCAAGATGACTATGGTTTTGGGGTTGACGACGATGATGATGATGGCGCACCGTTCCCTGCTGTCTCACAAAATCGGCGGCGGGAAGCAAGCAACGATCGTCACAGTCGTCGTCGTTCGGGTCATCAGAGCCCAATCCCTCCAGATGGTGTCAAGATGAAGCGGAGCAGTTCACGACTCAAGCGTCTATCTGGACCGTTGAGCCCTCGACCCGATGATCGAAGATCTCCAAGTCCTCAACCAGTCCAGAACCCAACTCCAGCAGGATATGAGCGTCCTCAATCAGCTGATTCCGTTGACGATGCTGTAGAGTCTTATCTCTGCTCTCCCCGTCTATCACAAAAGATTCGACATCCTCAGACAGGTCGCGTCATCTCATTTTCCGAAGTTGGCGACTCGGAAGGATCGGCTGTGTTTTGCTGTGTCGGAATGGGACTTACTAGATACATCACTGCTTTCTACGATGAGCTAGCGTTGACGTTGAAGCTGCGGCTGATCACCCCTGATCGTCCTGGTGTCGGAGACAGTGAGCCATATTCGGATGGGACTGCTACGCCGCTCGGCTGGCCAGGTGAGTTTGCCTTGTTAACACTTGAGGGGCTATCGCTGACTTGATTAGATGATGTCTATGCTATTTGCCAGGCTTTGAAGATCACAAAGTTCTCCATCTTGGCTCATTCAGCTGGCGCCATCTACGCCCTGGCCACTGCTCTCCGTATGCCTCAACACATCCGTGGTAGAATTCACCTTCTGGCACCATGGATTCCTCCATCCCAGATGAATGTCTTTGGAACATCGCAAACCCTTCCCCCGACCAACGCTATCCCCACTTCGCAGCGAATCCTACGAGCTCTTCCTACCCCCATCCTCAAGGCCGCCAACAGCAGTTTCATGACCGCGACGAGCAGCTCTATTACAAGCTCATTACCCAAGAACCCTAGACGGGGTAAGCGGAGGACAAACAACAACGGCGGAAGAGAGAGTACAACAAGCAATCGGAATGTTACGCCTAGCTTGGACAAGGAGAATATCGGTCACGACATGTATGGCAAGTCCAACGGCCATGGCGATCCTGATCTGGAGCCCCCGAATGCTTCGGAGAACATGGATAGGATGCAAGTGCCTCAGGGTACAAGGAGCCCAGACAACGCCATATTGGCAGCTGCAGCGGATGCCATGGCAGACAAGGAGCGTCAAATGACCTACGACCTGCGGTTAACACACGCTATCTGGGAACTGGCCACAACAGGAGCAAACCCAGCCGTGGATCTCCTAGTATGTCTCGAACGACGACACACAATCGGTTTCCGATACGTCGACATTACTCGACCAGTCGTCATCCACCACGGAAGCAGAGACACTCGTGTTCCTGTGGACAATGTCAAGTGGCTCGGCAAGACGATGCGGAGATGCGAGGTCAGAGTCCTCGAGGGAGAGGGACACGGCCTCATGGCTAGCGCGAGCGTAATGGGCTCGGTGCTCATGGAGATGAGCAAGGAGTGGGAAGACTGGATGAAGGTGACTGGCGCTGACGGACGGAAAGAACGCGGTAGAGACAGGAGGGGGAGAGTTTAAACATTTTTTCAGTTGGAGCATTCTATTCTTTTGTCATGGTAGGGATTTTCTTCCCTCTTTTTTCCTGCTCCCCCTGAAAAGACCTAAGAGGTCTGTCTTGATACCCAGAGAGCGCAGCATGATGTGGGAGTCGAAAGGGAAGCGTCATTCTCGTCTGGTTCTTAACTAGCCATTTGGATTGGGATTTGTATGGATAATCTTTACGGACAAAGCAAGCAGCATCCCCGTAACTAGTTAGTGTAATGTCTTGTATGTTTCTCTTTGTGAGATGAAATAATAATAAAAAATGTAATAAATCTCAACTTCTGGTCTCTCTATCCTTCTGCTAGCATCCTTGTCCAGTCAAACTTTCTCCATCCCTTCTTGAATCCTTCGACTCGAGAATCGCCTCTTGTCCATCTTCCTTGCTTCTTGATTATATGTGGTTCAGCGTCTACGATACCACCGAGGACCTCACGAGCGAACAGATCCCCCTTGGGCCAACGACCCGCATCTTCTACAACATGACCCAGTCCGCCATCAAGGGTGAACCATGCGTGGAAATATGGCATCTCCTTTGCAATACATCGTCGGAAGGCGGACCGACCCATGCCCTCGCGAGCCTTGGCACCCGTATCGATGATCTTGCGATGCTGACTCCACTCCTCGTCCGACGAGAGAAAGGCCTCGCGGAAGTAGGCCGGGGCTGTAGCACCCTCTTCGTACGGGATCGGCACGGCCACCATAGCAGCGTGCATACGTCGATGTGGTGCAGCCGCATTCTCGTAAAAGACCACCTCACGGCCTTGGTCGTGGTACATTCGTGTCAAGGACTTCATAAAGTTGCGAATCTCTTCCCACTCATCATCGTCGCACTCAAGGAGGTTGACACGGTGTGCTATCGGAGCGAGCACGGCGCCGCCCGGTGACACCTCGGGCTCAGTAGCAAGGGTGAGAAAGACGCGAGTACCAAGGGCGATGATAGGTGCTAAGGGTGGCTGGTTTGTATCTTCGTGGTGGCACAGGGGACACGAGTCGAGAGCGCGCGACATCTTTTGGAACTCGGATACGGCCATGTTTTTGAGGTTGAGGTCGGACTTGTGCATGCGACGGGCGAGCTTCTCGGCGTTTTCATCCATGTATTCAAGGTCATTGTCGAACTTGCCGTCCTTTGCGATGCGCTCTGCTAAGCGTAGACCTTCGCCGCCGGCTTGGTTCTTTGTGCGACGCTCCTCGCGGACCATGTCTTCGATTGTCATCTCGGTGTTTTCCTCGACGTTGCCACGTTCACGACCGCGTTTGGTGGTGATGGCTCTCGCTTCGGCGCGTGTACCAGCGAGTTGTCGGTTATCCATGACGCTAAGGACGACGGCTTCAGGATCCTGGCGGCCTGAGGCGAATGCGGCTGCGGCTTTGTTGTATTCTTCTTCTAGCTGGGCGGCATTCGGTGCGCGACGGAGCTTGGCCTTCATCATCTGGGCGCGTAGTCGGTTCAGAGCGGACTGGTCCATAGCTGGTGTAGAAGCAGGCTGCGGATCGGGAATGATGGTTCCCTGCTCTGGCTCGGGAGGAGGCTCGTCCTTGCGTTGGTTCTTGATCCTCTCGCGGTAGAGGTCGCCGGTAGGCTTGTCGTGACCCTTGTAGCCCTTTCCATAGAGTTTCCTTCGTTCCATCTCCTCCTTTTCCTCCCTTGCATCGTCAAAGTCTTGTAGATCTCCAAAGCGCTCCATGGCAACTTCTTCTACCGGACGACCACTCTCTTCGGCTACTGTGTAGACGGCCTTGAGCTTGGTCATGCGCCAGGAAGAACCAGCGTCACCAAAGGTGTACTCGACATCTCGTTCCTTGGGAATGTCGAGCTCGTCGAGGGTCTTGCCGTCGTTGATATCGTTGATGTGGAGGTTGATCTCTCTCTTGGATACGACTCGCTTCGGCTCGACTTTTGGAGGGGGTGACTTGGCCTTGTCTGGTCGGTGGATGTAGTCGACTTCGAGGGCGGAGGGTGCCGTCATCCAGGAATCTCGCGCCAGAGGCTTTGATGTATCGACTGTGTCTTCGCTGCGGGGTTTCTCCTCGTCGGGGATGGGAAGGTCTTCTTGAGGATCTGATGTCTTCTGATGTTGCTCGTCGCGATGTCGATGCCGTGATCGATGCTCCTCATCGTCGCGCGAGTGTCGGGAGCGCTTGTGTCTGTGTCCATCCTCCTCCTCATCGCGATGCCGACGATGCCGATGCCTGTCCCTATCCCTATCGCGATCTCGATCTCTGTCCGACTCGTGTCGATGGTGATGTCTGTGTTTGCGATGCTTCTTCTCGTCGCGGTCGCGTTCTGAACGTTCGCGCTCTGCCTTTTCCGCGGCAAGAGTCTTTTCGAATTCGTCAAGGCCGTCCATTGTGACTGGCACAAGAGGCGACGTGACAAAGAATGGATTAGGAGGATTGAATCGTGATGGTGAGGTTAAGTTGAAGCTCGACTGTTACGTCAGGTTACGAAAAGCTCCGTCCAATCATTGTGGGGTCATCACGCGGAGGCCCAGTGCTTCAACATGGGGCACAGAAAAGGCAAGCCACTTCCGCGCTGTCGATAGTTCGTACTCCCCGTGCTCCCCTAAGGAACGATCAATTTGTATATATAAAAAAGCCAGAAAATTGTATCAAAGTAAGCGAACTCCTCTATCGTCATTTCCGTCATGGTATACATATTTATCCAAAATATTTGAGAAGCATTAAACTGCTTCTCTTTACCATTCTCATGCCTATACTCAAGATGTTTACCCTACAACGAAGAGAGTAAAATCACTGAAACATCTTTCCTTTGTTTGTTTTTCGAAAATTAATACATTTCTATTCTGTGGATTTTATTCCTATCCTTGAGTTAGAGGTCAGACTCTCTGCATTCATAGATCCCGAAACAGTGAACCTACGTTCACACCAGCCTCATCCTCTTCCTCGTGTTTTCCCTTACCTCTCCCCGTTGCTGCTCAACAGCGGCTTTCTCAGCTTGGTCCAAAAGTACTACAAACTCATCGAAGCCATTTGCTTTCGCGTAGTCCTTTGCCGTCATTCCATGCTTATCCTTCAAATCAACCTCTGCCCCATACCGCAACAGTGTCTTGAGAGCAGAGAGGTTTCCTTCCTGAGCTGCGATATGAAGCGCCGACCAACCTGACTTGACCCACTGATGATTGATATTGGCCGAGGTTTTCAGGATTTTTTCGAGTGTTACTTTTCTCGATTGCTTCTCCTCTGCAGAACGACCTTCTAGCAGAATCAATAAGTGCAAAGGAAGCTCGTATCTTCCCGTGAATGTTTCTGCGGCCCCATCATCTAGAAGCAGCCACAGCCGTTTGACAAGATTTTGGCGATCGTCTGTAGGCAAGCCCAGTTGGAATGGCTGTGAGCTGTCTAACAGTTCTGCGGTGAGTAGGAATGATTGTAACAAATAGCTCCCACTCCAGCGGCCGAGCACCTGATGGACAGAACGCATTTCTTCAACCACAGCTCGTGGCAGTTCTGAGAAGCTTCCAGGGACTTTTCGTAGGTTCTCGTAGGCAGTTTCCATCGCTTCGAGGCTGGTTGGTCTTGAGTCTTCGTCGATTCCACGAGTCCTGTCTAGAAAGCTCTTGAATGCTCGACAGTCGAGCAGCCCATCCTTTACCTTGGCGGTTAACCTGATTGTCTCTATACAAGAGTTGGTGAGTGTGTTTCTTCAACGAAGGTTCCTGGTTAGGAGATACCCACCTCCAAGTGAGAAGATGTCACCCCTGGTTGTCCACAGCTCTCCCTGCCTAACTTCCTGTGTGCCATCAGTCGTCTGAACATCGTATGCCTTTAAAATTGCTTCATGCCCCACGGAGCACCAAGAGTCTACCTACTGGAGGTTGTAAGCCTGAGCTTCCGATCAGTTGGGTTTGGTTCTGATCTGGCCCTAGGCCAGCATGACTTGCGATTCCCAAATCACAGAGCTTGAAGAGGAACCTGTCCTTCTCAGTACCATGCATCACAACTATATTTATGATTAGCTCCACGGTACTCAGATGCCCAAAATACTCACTGTTGGCTGGCTTGACGTCGCGGTGGATGATGTAAGCCCATTGTCCCTCAACACTGGCGCCGTACCGTCCGTTCTCACGTTTAATAGAGAAGCCGTAATGAAGATAGGCCAAGGCTGAAGCCATTTGCCAGATCATTCCCCAGATTTCGATGCCGCTCAGCGGCCTCATGTTCGATCTTGTCTCGTCCTCGACGAACCCATATCGCTTGTTCTCTCTGGCTTTCAAATCCTTCAGTTGAATCCTGTGGCAAGACTCAACGTCTCCCCTGTCGCAGTATTCCATGTAGAGTAGAAATTCGTTGTGAATAGGATCTTCGTCAGAATCAATGTATCGGACAATGTGTGGATGCCGAAGCTTGAAAAGAATCTGCCATTCAGACAGCAAGTACTTCTGAACCTGCCCTTGTGCATCACTCGCCAGGTCAAACGTTTTCCGGAACACTCGCTAAAAGGGATTAGCTGGGGGTGCGCCCTAATAAAGAAACCCGAGCGAACTCACTGTTGGCGGTGCCGCATCGCCTTCAGAGTTGTGCTCGAGCGTCACTTGTCCTTCTGCGTTCCCGAGCTTTTGCTTCTGCGATTTGAGAACATGACAGGTGCATTGGTTGCCCTGTCTGATTTGGCACGAGAGTTCCGAATCGATTTCATAGGCCTGCCAGCTTTCCTTCGAAGAAAGGCCCCGATGACCGCCCAGAATGTATGCTTGGGTCAGGATCAAATCAAATGACGGCTTTGCTCCAGCCTCAAGGAGGATCGCCACCACGTCGTCGCGCCTCCTCGTCTGTGCTTCCTCGAGGGCCGTTCGCTCATGGACATCTTTTGCATCGAGATCAATGCGAGAGCCGCTGACTGATATCAGGGTTTGGACAAGACTTGACGCCCCTCGCTTCGTAGCACAATGCAGTGTTGTTCCGTAAATGCTTGGAATGTTGGGATCAGCGCCGCTGGATAACAACATCTTAACAACGTCCTCTTGAACGCTCCAAACAGCCAAGTAGAGAGGGGTTCTACCCCGACTATCTTGGGCGTTGACGTCGGCCTTGGCCTTGAGTATTGCCTCCACCATTGAAATCCGGAGGTGTTTGACCGCAATATGCAGTGCTGTACAGCCTTCCGAGTTTGTCTTGTAAGATATGAAAGACTCCTTGTCTGGTAAGGCTAGAAGGAAAGATGCAACTTCTTTATGAAACTTTTCGACGGCCCAGTGAAGTGCAGTCCAGCCATCATCAGTCCGAAGACAAGGACTAAACCTCCCAGATGCAATCATCCGCGAGACTAAATTCACCAACCCAAAGGCGGAGGCGAGATGCAGTCCTGTCATTTCCTTGTAGGCTCCTCTGTGGCGTCTGGCGGACTTTTCTGATTCCGCGAGCATTGACGCGCAAATCCCTTCTACTTGCCGAGACTCTAGCAAGGACTCAATGAGACCCGTGTGTTGGTCTGAAGGTGACACCACTTTCCGAGCGTGTTCTCCCCAGTTGGAGCCGGCATACCGGAGGAGAGGACGGGCGTTAATCCACTTGTCGAACTCCCCGTCGTCTCCTGGGAGGTCTGCTGAGTTGAACACTGAGCGGAGGTAGGATAGGCATCCCTCGGCGATCAAAGCATGTGGACCATCAGTATGTATTCCATCTTCGTCGCAAAGCCACCACCGCAAGTACTGGCCCATGTCGACTCGTTTTATGTGGAACGTATCGTTGCCCTGGGCCCCCTGTATTGACCGGAGAAAGTAATCCAGCCGTGTTAGAGGATTCGTGCCGTCGAGGACAGCGAGATGGTTGGGATTATCTGCAATGGCAGCTTGAAGCTCGCCGAGCGTGAGTCCAATTTGAGTAAACGCCAGCCATACTAACATCTTCAATGAAACCTTGGCCGCGGGCGATGCGTCACTAACCAGCTCCCTCAGCATGGTGTCTAATTGGGTTTGCTCGTTCGGGGATCCATTGGCTATTATGGAGGATATATCGTTCGGTTGTTTCAAATATTGCCTAAGGTCTTCCGAAAATGATGGAACTTCTTCTTGTGGTAGTAGACACGCCACATCGAAGCGATACCCCATTATCCTTGGCGAAGGCACCAGGCCCCTCCAGATAGATCTTTGGTGCCCTTCGGTTTGCCAGGCACCATCGTTATTGATGACTTTGCCTTGGAAATCCTCTTCTGTGACTCGGATCCAGCCCTCCGAATTCAGCTCAGCTGGCAAAGAAAACGGACATATCACGAAAAGTTTGCAACCAATCTGCAGAATGTCATGAAAGATAGGCAGAAAAGCCTCCAGCTCATCTCTGTTTGCAGCCGTGAGGGAAAAGATCAAGTAAGCCCCTTTCTTGTGCTGCAGTTCATTGAAGAGCATTCGCCGGGAGTCTCCTAGGGAAGGCCGAGTGTTCTTGTGACTGAGGAACCACCCTTTTAAGACGGTTGATAGCTGCATTCCTTCAGAGGCCACAATTTGTCCCAGCAGGTGGCAGAGAGCATGGGTGGGCTCTAGCTCTTTGGAGGTATGGGAGAAGTAGGTGTAGGCAACGAAACCCTTACGGGAGTTCAAAAGTTGGTGGGCAACCGCCAAGCTACAACGTTTTAGTTAGGCTTTATAATGTAATAGACGTATGCCCCTTACCCAAGGACTCCTCTATCCTCACTGTCTGAAATAGTGACTGTGAGCATGAGTGTTAGCAGTAACAGCGACCGACTAGAATTGGTTAATTACCTGTGCTTGTGCACCACAAGAGGTTCCTATCCAGGGTCGTCCATTTCCAAAAGATATTAGGGTCAAGAGTAAGCCCAAAGTCGAGTGATGGCCCAGCGTCCAGGCCATCTGGACCTAAAGAGTCATCTAGCCAACCTTGCACCTCTTTACTCGCCACATTGAGTCGGGTTGGCAGCGATGCGTCCCTATCAAAACGATATTGCAACTTTTCCGAGTGTCTCCGAGCTTCTCGCAATGCTTCCAGAAGATTGCGCTGCCGCGAGAGAAGGCGAGCATCCTTGAGAAATTTCGGGTCACTCTGTAGGCGAAGATGTTGGGCTGTGGCACTACACTTGCGGATTGCGTTGGTGTATAGAACCAGATATTCAAGTAGATCAGGCGAGCGGAGGGTATAATTATCGGAGTATTTCTCGAGAGAGTCTCGAATGAGAGAGTGGCCAAGGCGGAGGTTCTTCAACTCTGGTAGCAACTCTGGATCGGCAAGGACGGGCTTGTCAGTTTCTGGGTTGAATTGGAAAAGAAAGGTCCCGGCCTGCGCAAAGGCAAAGGATGAGAATGAGGATGCCGTTGGGCCGAAGGTATCCATGACTATCGGAGCGGCTCGATAGACATTTACTTTGTGTCAAGAGCCTCACACAGAGGGGAGGATGGTGGTTGCCTTGGCTGGTGGCATGAGTGTGCGGGGCTTACATGATATGATAATATGATATGCATAAGTTACTCAGAATGTAGCCAATACGCTGTCAGGAAGTGAAATCAGGCTCGGGCATCGGGAAGACAGCTGACTCGACCTGACGGTTGAAAACTATGCTTTTGTATTTCCTGCTCAAAACTATCAAATCAGTCGACCAGCGTTCATCCAAAACACCACGCATCTCTCAGCAGTCATTTAAAACATTTCCCGGTCGTTAGCATGGAGATCGCTGGCCTAGCCCTCTCTGCCGTATCTGCAGCCCCAGTCTTGGCAGAGTACGGCTACCGAGTTTACAGACGGGTTCAAGACAAAAGAAGACTCGCCCCCTTGGCGCAAGAGCTGAGAGTATTTGCTTTGGACGACCGAAAGAACCAGCTTGCTCTTCTTATCGAGTTGGCCCAACCAGTTCTCAGAAGCCGCACCATCGTTCCAGAGCACCAAGAGCGGCTTGTCAGGACCTGGGAGCGGCTCAAGGAACAGCTGAGTCGAGTTGATGAGCTCATGAACGTAATGACGACAAATTCTTCCATATGGGACTCATGGTCACGGCTAGAAGCTCGTAATGAGTTAATACGGATCGGCAGCAGTGGGATACTCACCCGCCTGAGAAACGAGTTCCGCGACGATGTGATGATGCTTCGCGAGCATCTCAAGGACTCATCTCTACTTTGTCTTTCTCCCAGAGACTTTGCAATCATTGAGATCATTTGCGAAGACCCGACATTTGTCAGAGGGAGGTCCACAGCTTCCCAAGACATTCAATGGTACCTTCTGGAAACCAAGCCGTATCTGTTGGAGAAGAAAGAGGAAGCTAAAGAGAGCATCGAAATACTCTCCTCGAAACTTTCCAAGCTTCAGCCCCACAGCGGGATTCTCCCTTTGCTTGGGTACCGAGACGAGCCGGGTCGTGACGGTGGCGCTTTCCAGCTCATCTTTCAAGGACCTTTCGTCGGGGGACTTGCAATGACGTTGTCAACATTCATGGATCATTACCCATATAAACTGTCCCTAAACTTTCGAGTCGATCTTTGCTACCAGCTTGCCACGGCTGTGCTTCAGACTCAACTCCTTGGCTTGGTGCACAAGAACATCCGACCTGAAAACATTCTCATTCACACGCTTGAGGCCGTTCAGTCACCGACTGCGAAACCCGGGGAAAACATACCTGCTCTGAGTCTATGTGGATGGCAATATGCTCGAGAGGTAGAGCAGTGTGTGACACGTCTAACAGGCGACGTCACTCTTCAGCGCAAGATTTACCAGCATCCAGAGCGCCAGCTCCCAACGGCAGATCGAGAGTACTCGATGGCACACGACGTCTACAGCTTGGGCGTTTGTATGTTGGAGATTCTCCGCTGGGAGAGCGTTTTGCAGCCTTCCTCCCCTTTCGTCTCTCCCGCGTTTGTCGAGACCTTCACACGGCTTGGCTTTCGACCAAACGAGGCCGACCCTGGGGACTACTACACCAAGTTCCCAAACAAGAACAAAGCCATACTTCTGTCGATGAGTGAAAGTCTGATCCCTGGTGAGGCGGGGACAAAGATGACTCGCATTGTGTGCGAATTCTTGACGTGTCTAGATCGCAAGGGCCAGGAGTTGGACGAGGAACTGAATGCATATGTGATCAATGATGAGGCTGATAGGATCAAGGTGGCTATGAACTTTGTCGACACGGCTTTGAAAGATCTACGTAGCATCCAAGCGTCGATTTGATCTAAACTGCTTTTCTGTACATGGATGATTTGCAATTTTGGCTACCTATTTAGATTGACAAACCAAGGAGTGCTTTGGACTCTCAACTCGATGCCGAGGGCCTGGGCGGTACGACCTCCAAGTTATGGTTTACTCAACTGGAAGCCATTGACACGCCAGCTCCTTCATCTCCTGAGGGAAGTGATCCTCCTTGATTTGAGCACTCTCCCTTTTTTCAAACGCTCCATAAAAACGTTGCAGATTGGGCAAATCGTCGACCAAATGAAGACCGTATAGATCCTTTGCAAAGTGCAACATGGAGTACAAGACGCAATCCGCAATGGTGACCTGTCGACCATCTTCCAGATTATCCCCCTCGTAGTACTCGCTCAGGTGTGTAAGAGTCTTCTTGCAGTACTCGAGGGACAACTTGGCGGCGTGGGCATTAGTAGCCTCGGACAGGGCGAAAAGCGCTGTGCCCTTGTGACAGGCGAATCCAAAGTAATTGCACGCTTCACCTGAAAGATAAAGCATATCGCGGATTCGCGCCTTTTGCTCAGGTGTTTCTCCACGCATGCTAGACTTGACGGCGCCCTTGGCTAGTTCTTTCTGCCAGTCGTTCTGGGGGTCGGCGCAGATATCCTCAAAATACTCGAGGATGGCGACGGACTCCTTGATGAATGTTCCGTCAGGGAGTTTAAGCATAGGGACGGTGCCTGGAGGCTTCCCGTCGGGAGTTGACATGCCTTGTCGGGTGATGGTGACGGGTGTGATTTTGATGAGGGGAGAAGAGAGGATGCCTTTCTCAGAGAGGTAGAGGAGAACTCGACGAGGATAAACTCCCCAGGGAAGAACAAAGAGTTCGAGAGGTGCGGTCATTTTAGTAGCGGTTTTATGCTTGTTGATGTGTGTGCTTTGTGTATGTTGATTCGGGTGCTGACTGCGTTGTCCCAAACATTCTCTTCCCCTTCATTCAATGTGTCCTTTATATCTCTTGAGTCTACGGAACCTTGTTGGTCATTGGAAATTAACGGATACTTCTTTCTATGGTCCCCGAAGCGCGGAGACAAGGTGAGTTTATCACGACCCCTGGATTCTCTCCGGGGTCCATATCGGTCGGATACATTGGTAAAGTTCGGACACTTTTCCCATGCGAGTCGCCGATGAACAAGCTGGTTACAAATCGAATTCTGGTCAAAACGGTATCTCCTTTCAGACCGTTCAATGTTAATAAAGAAACGGAAATGTCACCTTTCAGGTATTCTCCTCCGTTCTTTTACTGGCTTAGTGGTTATGCTTTCGATAGAGTGCCCTGGTGAGATCTACGACAGTACCATCGGCCAATAAGCTCCAGATCTTTGCGAAATTCCTCATGATTAACATTTATGGAAGGAGTCCCCCATGCCCAATCATCTTCTGGAAGATCCAAGTTTCTGGAACCAGCCCATCAGGGGTATACAATAGACGTTGAAATGTAGTGTCTTCTTGGGCCTGTCTTCTAGCTATTAATAGCAAGCCACCCCGTACTATGTGGTCTATCCAATGATCGGTCTTAAGAAGACGAGATTAGTAATTGACATCGGTGTTCTTTAGAATTACCGCACTAGGTTAGCGCCACACAACTTCCTCTGTGGAGAATCGAATGCCACTATTCCCATTACAGTATCTCATACCGACTCCTCCCAAGAGACTCAACTTCTCTTCTACCAACCTCGTAAAGCAGTAAATAATCCTCAATGAAACATGAGACCCATGAGTTCCTCTTACGTCACGGTCGGCTGGCCTTACGATATCGAAAGAGTTTTCACTTGGGCATGCAATGACCGACCTGGCTCTGCTTCACCTTTGTCCATCATCTGCCTGTCTCCCTTTTCGTTACTCTCACGCCCAGAGTAAGGGGCCTTTCTTCTTTATTTAACACCAAGCTAGGGGCTTATGCAGGTTCTTCAACTTCCTGTATTCGTTATTCAACCAAATTCTAGAGCCACCCGACAGACGCAGCCTGAAACAAAACACGACTTGCATCATGACTTCCGAAACGAGCGAGAAGGAACACAAGGCGGCATTTCCACCGGGCGTAGTGGAAGAAAATACAGCCGATGACCTTCTTGCCAACCTGGGCTACAAGCCAGAGTTGAACCGGAATCGATCCACTCTGCAGGTGGCGTTCATGTCGTTTGTGTTGGCTTCAATCCCATGGGGCTTGTCCACGACGGTGACCTATCCAATCATTGGTGGAGGACCTGTCAGCATTATCTGGGGGTGGCTTGCAGTGTCCCTGATTATTCTGTGTGTTGCTGCATCTCTTGGCGAGATCACTAGCGTCTATCCAACTGCAGGAGGTATGTGGCGATCGTTGTCCCTGGAGTCCTAATCTTACGCTCTGCTAGGCGTCTATTACCAAGCATTCATCATCGCTCCCGCAAGATAGCGCCGTGTCGCTAGCTAGATCTGTGGCTGGCTCTATGTCGTCGGCAATATCACCATCACGTTATCGGTCACCTTTGGCAGTACAACCTTTATCGTTTCCTGTATCAACGTCTTCGAAAACAAAGATGGTGGACCCGTATTTGGAGACGAGCCGTACAAGACGATCCTTCTCTTCATAGGAGTTACCCTTCTCTGTAACGCCGTCTCTGCCCTGGGTAACCGTTGGCTTCCCATCCTCGATGTATGTCTTGCCCCTGTGGATTTGTGTCGCTGTCATGGCTAATGGTGTCCAGACCGCAGCCATAATCTGGACTTTTGCAGGAGTCATTGCTATCGTCGTGACCATTCTCGTCCTAGCCAAGAATGGACGTCGTGATCCAAGCTGGGTCTTTACACACTTTGAGAACAACTCAGGTTGGCCAGACGGTTGGTCATTTTGCGTCGGTCTTCTGCATGCCGCCTATGCCACCTCGGCGACTGGCATGATCATTTCGTGGGTACGATCCTCATCGTATCTGATAGCCAACTAACCGTAAACTGCAGAATGTGCGAAGAAGTTCGAAAACCAGGAAACACAAGTCCCCAAGGCGATGGTCGCTACCATATGCATCAACCTCTGCGCTGGACTGCTCTTCTTGATCCCCATCGTCTTTGTTATGCCGGACATTAGCGAAGTACTTGCTCTTGCACAGCCTGTCCCTTACATCATCAAATCAGCTGTAGGATCTTCAAGTGGCGCTTTCGGCTTGCTAATTCCACTCATGGTCTTGTCCATCTTGTGTGGCATCAGTTGTACAACAGCGACGTCTCGCTGCGTCTGGTCATTCGCTCGCGATGGCGGCATTCCAGGGGCGGTTTGGTGGTCTAAGGTTCATGAAAGCCTTGGCCTTCCTCTCAACGCCATGATGCTAGCAATGGTCTGCGAAATTTTGCTTGGCTTTATCTACTTTGGATCCTCTGCCGCCTTCAACGCTTTTGGTGGTGTGGGCGTCATCTGTCTAACGGCAGCATATGCTACGCCTATAGGCATCAGCTTGTTTACAGGCCGAAAGCAGGTGAAGAAGGGCTTGTTTTACCTTGGCAAGTTTGGCATCTTTACCAACATCGTCGCCATCGGTATGTATCTCTCCGCTCTTGGTCTACCCAAGTTCCCGAACTAATCTTATCCTATAGCCTGGTCTATGCTTGCCCTTCCTCTTTTTTGCATGCCCTCGATGCTTCCTGTGGACCAAACTACTGTCAACTATGCCCCCGTTGTGTTCGTCGCGGCAACTGCAATCTCGGGTATCTGGTATTGGGTTTGGGGTTATGAGAACTACGTCGGGCCTCCTGATGCAGGTGATCACAACTAAACCTGTTAGATTCTACCTCGACACAACATAGAAATAGCCCTTATCCTACATCTTCTATGCATGCAATATTCTGTGGCTGGCGCTAGTTAACAGTTGTCAAAAGAGGCCAAACTTGTGACCCTGATCAAATCATGACTTCCCTGACTCCCTCTCAAAGAACGCCTCGCACTCAGCTACTAATGTCGACGACAACTCTTCATCCATGCCAGCACATTCATTTTGCCCCTCCCTCAAGCCTAGCTGGCTGAGAATCTCTCGTTCAACCGCACGCATCGAATCGTACTTTCCATGCCAACACTTGTGAATGATCTCTCCAAACATCTCGTCTCCTGAAGCGTCGGGAAACTCATTCCTGATGAGCTTGAGAATCTTCCGATGCTCGTCGATCTCGTGCCAGGGCTCATGGCCAAACTGGATAGTGAAGATGCAAGACCCGAGCGAGTACTGTTCGGTCATGGGACTGGCGTCAGGGAACTCGTAATTTTCGTGCAATTTGCCAAAAGAACCGCCTCCTGCCTTCAACTTGTCCCCGATCTTGACTGTACAGTCGAAATCACCCAGTCTGATGTCTTCTTCCTGGCTAAGAAATATGTTGGCAGGCCTGAGGTCGCCGTGGGCGAAACCGAGATGCTCGAGCCAGGACAGTGCACTGGAGATTTGCCCAATCCATTTGTTCTTCAAATACTGAGGGATATCGGGGTTCTGCAAGCGAGTGTCAAGGCTCGTGGCTTGGCGATGCATAAAGATGCCTTCAGGCGCGCACAAGACGGCATGGACAATATGGGGATGCCGGTTCTTCATCAAGACCTTGTAGACCGACTTCTCGCAGTCGATCTGAGCTTGACTCTCGTTCATCTTTACTACTTGTGTTGGGTGAGGGTTATCGAAAATCATTGGGCATTTCAGAACGAGATGCTGGCCGATGGCATAAACGTGGCCCGAACTCCCGCTGGAGATTGAGTCATCGGCGGAAAGCGAAGGGAATGGGGGCCTTAAGACTGCGTTCATTGTTGGACAGCTCGATACGACGGCGGGATTTTACGTATTGTTGATCAAGTAAAAAGATGGAGGTTTGTCTCTGGCGTTGGGGCTGTCCATGCAGTCGCCTGTAGGTAGGATGCGACTTCTAGGATGGGGAAATACATAAACAGGTATGATGTTTCAAGGCAGCTCCTTGGTGAATGCCTCACGTGAGCTACGGCGGAGAATTTTGCCATTTCTCGACTGACTATTGGCGCCCTGTGAAATTAGGCTGTGAACGTTGCTTTGTGCGACTGTGTGAGGCAGGCGAGGGGTTTCAGACCCTGGCCAACACTCGGTTCCAAAGTGAACAGCGACGGGGTGGATCAAAACTAGATAAAGCTGGACTGAGCAGAAAGTATAATGCTATTGCATAGAGCTCTAAACTTTGCTCAGGAACAATGTGAGCCTGGACTTGATTCCCAAATATAACAGCAAGGCTAACATTGAACTGCCTTACTCTGAACGTGCCCGACAATCCTTCTCGAAACAATCTGCTACAGGCGTAAAGTAGAGTAGGATTATAATCAACCTAGGGTTCAAAAGGCATCGGGTCGCCCATTGGCCACACCTTAGGCGGTCTCTCGTAGTCGCGTTCGGATAATTCCTCGACAGCAAGCCGATCATACACGCCGGAAAGAACACTGACGTCTGTGTACATCCATCCCGTGTCCATCTTGGTACAGCCCTCCACAGAAGGATACCCACGCCGCCCTCGTCCGCTCGGTTTGCTGGTCCTATCCAGAATGGCGCAAACAACTGTCTTGGGGATACCAATAGCCCCCTGCTCAACCCACGTTTGGTATTGATCAACGGTATCGAGGCATCGCTGGTCAACGTAGATGCAGTACTTGAATCTGGGCCTCTTTCGTAGCCAGGGATCATCGGCGCCTGGACCATCTCTCTCGACGGATCGGGCCGCGGCCCAGTCGGAAAATCGTTCTCGGACGTGTTGCTTGGAGGCTCCATCGAGGTCTTTGGAGTCCTCAATGATTGTCCACTTGAGGTGCTTCCAGAGGAGAGTATCAAGCTCAAAAAACTCTAGGTCTTCCCTAACTGCCTCTTTCAGGAACTCGAGATAACTCGCCCATTGCGTTTCGTTGGCATATGCGCAGCGGTAAACAACGAAGCCCCAGCTTTGAAAACCATCGTCTTGCAAGTGTTGGATGATGGAGGAAAGTGGCTCGTCCCCCAGCATGGCCCAATTAAGCTGCGGAATGCTCTGTAGTGTAGGTTCGACTCCAGCAGGGTGTTGTCGAATGCTGGAGATGACGCTGGGAATGGTGGTAAGGTAGTTGGCCATCCAGGCCGGACGAGGAATGGGCCGCATCTTGAATGACTGAGGTGTTTGGGGGGCGGATGGACAGCTGCCGGGGACACCACGTTTAAATAGATTCTCTGGAAGTAGATCAGGCAGCAGAATATAAGGTTTCTTGGGAGAGGCTGTGTTCTTTATTCCGGTGTCTAATACTCCGTCATGCCATCATCAGGAACAATGCCAACATCGGCATTTGTTGGGGGATTCGTGTCCTTAATGTGGTATCCAACTTTAATTGGCTACTGGAAGGCTTGATTGTGGGCTGCCCAATGAGAGAATTATCCGAGGTCTTCAATCTTCAGCATAGGTACCTAGACAAGCTAATTTAATAAATCATAAGCAGCAGTTCGGCATTACTATCTTGCATTGGGTGTGTTAAACTTTATGCCTCTCCATCACCTGTGCACCCATCTCCCACAATTTTCGGAGCTAGGGCTTCTTTGGGTTCTTCGGCGGTGGCTTTATGTGAGTGAGTTCCTTTCGAAATTGAGCCACTGCCGCCGTTACAGTCTGGTAATTTGCAAGCTGGGGGGAAGCTTGACTGTACGCTGCCGAGATCTGTGCCAGCCGTTCATCGACCCACTGTCTGGCTCGGTCTGTTCGTTGTTGATACCAATTGAAGTCAAATTCGCGATGTATATTGTGCAATCTTGCCAGTTGAGGCACTGCACGCGAAATCCGCCTTGTGGCATCCAGAAGCTGCACTCGGTTCTGTTGGATTTGTCGCCTCGCGGCGGGCATATTCATATACCGAAACACAATAATGACCTGTGTCCATTCTTGGTTAGTTTATCATATAATACCTTGGTCGAATATCATACCTGTCTGATTGGCTCCAAGAATGCATGTTCCCCAGTCCCCGTCAATATGGCATGTGACAAGGCCTGTTGAAACTTGCGGATATCTTGAGGTGTAGCTCCCCCGTTAAAAATCCGGCCTTTGACCTGGTTCATGGCACGATCCGCGAGTAGAAGTGGTTGCCGGTTACCGGTAGAGCCAAAGCGATCCATGAAATAATCATTCGGATTCCCGACATGTCTGCTTGCCCCTGCCCGAGGCAAATTACCTACAACATTAGCATGCCAGTAATTGGGCAAAACATTGGCGTTTATCGCTTGAGTTGTCGTCTGGGAACCGTCTGGCAAGATCCCAGTCATCGCAGTCTGCAATAGGTGCATAGCATATTGAAGCTATTCAAGTGGTCAGTGTATCTTATCTAGTAGTAGAGAAACCGGAAAATTCTTACATCTGAGTTATGCTCTGTGTCTACCGAGTCTCGAATTTCCTGTGGTGTTAACAAGGCTCGGTTGATGCCCTCGACCCGAGTCGAGTAACAGCTTCCCCCTTGGACAGGCCTATAATGGTTATTAGTTTTCTTAGCACTAGGCGAGTTAATGTCGACCGCCTTTTGCTTACCTAAACACAAGATTCGATGCGGCTGGTCCCCGGGATCTGTTGTGCAGTCTTCTTGGGCCAGGGTAGGTTCGAGCCGCTACCCTGACGTGGTATCTATTTCCTCGCACTCGAACTTCCCTCTTTAGCACACGCCTTCCTCCAGACTTGCCTCTCTTTTCAAGCTCGTCGAAGACGCTATCTTCGAGATCGGTATCCGACCTGGTGGTCAAGCTAGACGCGAGAGGATTGGGTATCTCGATACCCTCTTCGGATTCATCTGCATATGGGTCTGGACCACACCGGTAACTCTTGTCGATTCGGCACAGTGGCTTGCCACATCGAGTAATGGCGGGATTTGGGGTACAGTAAAGTGCTTTCCGCCGCCGCTCTGTTTGTGAGATTGAGCGATTAGCATAAATTGCATACTGTTGCTGGGGGATCTTGGGACTTACAGTTGCATGGTGACATGCTGTAACCATACCTATCTCTTTCCAGTTGGATATCTGAATTCGCACAAGTATTGTCCGCGCAATCGCCTTGTCCAACCCAGTGACAGTTGAGCAATGGAGCTGGCTTCGACTTTGGACAACAATATTTCCTACCAGACCACCAGAATCCACAGCTACCTTGGTTGGACATTCCTTTTGCAACTTCTCTCTCATTGTCGCTACAACTACCTCCGCTGTTCAATCCACCGTTAGAATGAAAGCCCAAAGAAAGGTGTTAGGGGCCGTGGTTGACTTACCAGTTGGTCCATCTGCAGCCAGCAGTTGCCTCATCGAAGTATTTTTCTTCACAGCAGAAGGCCTTTTCGCCCCGAATACACTTATTCAGGCCCTCTTGTCTCTCGAAACCCCCTCCAAATCTTGATTTGAAAAGAGTGGCTTCTTGGGCGTGGCATTGTCCGTTACAATCGGTAGCACTTCCACGCCACGTACACCTTTTAGGGGCTATGCTCGACTTGCAACAAATAGGCTTGATTCTGTTGCCCTTTCTCTGTACGTGATGGCTTAGTATGGAGCCCAGAATATGGGGAAGGAGAAAGTGGAAGTTTTGAGCGCATCACTTACATCGCAAGCCTCCCATCCAACCTGTTTGTAACCTATGCCACAAAAGGCATTCTTGTCATCTTTCGAGACACATGTCGCGAAACGGAAGTATTGTTCATCCATTTTTCCGAAAGACAACAAGTTTGAAGCTTTAAGTGGTGGAGTAACATCCATCCAGCTCCTGGCATGGAGACCTTCACTCGCATTGCCGGGAACATCTGAGGATAATCCTGGGTCCGAGTTCTTGTGGCAGACTCCATCGTTAACGGCAGCCACAGACTGAGAAAGGAGGATTATTAAGAGTAAAGCGAGATAAAATGTTGGACTGGAAGTCCGAAGTGTGAAACCTGTAGCACGAATACTCGTCATGATTGCTTCTGAAGAACGGATTTGGTTGATTCGAGTGTATGGATGTAAGATGAGATAGAGAAACTTGGGATTATGGGGGACAAGAGTTGTTTATATATTCCTAGAATTGCTCTTGATCGAATCGCTATCGCTAGTCCAGGATGCATCTAGCAACTATGTCTAATTGTCCCTTTCCCATTCTCGGGAAATTAGAAATACAAGTTTTAGACATGCAGTCGCTATGTTGATCGCCTATGGCTTTAATATCCCAATCACTAGTCAGCTTTAGAGTTATAATCAGCATGTGTTGTTTGAGGAGCAATTGCAGGTCCGCCCTTTTTTCTGTGATATCAAACTATACTGAATATCAAATACCCTACGCATCAAGACCCCAAGAGTTTTTCGTTGCTTTAGGATGAGTGTTGCAGATAACTGAATTTTGTCTTGCTTAGGCACTGCTGAGGAGTTTAAGGTAATTGTTGCTAATAGAGTAACCCACTGTATGTTTCTCTGAGAGCCCAACATCTATTGGCTACTGAAATAGTAAGTTTGGTCAAATCAATCATGATAATTGAGTTATTGCAGGCCTATGTTGAACTTTATGTGGTCACAGAGTTGACCCGTCCATTGTTGATTCTGTATTGTTCGATGGGCTGTAGCGAAAGAAAGGTCATGCAGCAGATACTTCGGCATGGATATCCTTACACTAATGAATACTACACTATGCGCACATAAGGTTCATAGGCTTGTTCGATAGATATTACTTCATGGATCATATCTCCTCTTGCTACCCCGCCACCAAACCGGACGTAGGATGACTGGCAGAAGCTTTCTGGATCCTTGTGACAAAATGGTCTTGTTCAGCCGCCTAGCTCGGGTGAGGAGGTGTTGGCTGCTGCTGGCCTATGAACATGATATGCCCTTAATAAGGCGTAAATACCTGGCCGTAGAAGTCTAGGTAAATCTTGAGAGGGACGTCGAGTTGCCGCGGAGGAGGATGCAATGACATTATTCGTCTAAGTTGAAGATTTAGGCGCTTTAATGAGCTACGATAAGTGATCGAAGTAAAAACTAGGAGTGGCTAGTTTCGTGTGGTGATTCGTGAAACAACGGGTAAGAAGCTAAAAAGAAGCACATGGCTAAACTTGGAGATCACTGCTTTATTTAAAGTTCTCATGTTTTGCCTTTTCAGCTGCGTAAGCGATTCTAGAAACCTGCATACTCTGGGTCTTTTTTGGTCCGTTGGCGCCACTCCAATCAGCCCTCTCGCACCCTCAAACAAAGTGTCTGGTTCCGTTGAGGTGCGGTTGAGGGAATCACAAGACTCAACGACTCCTTTACTTTACCCGAGCCGCCGACTGCAGCACAACACAACTTTATTCTTCACAGTAAAATTCGGTTCCGAATGACGCGACGATTTATAAATGTGTCCATCGTCTGCCAACAAGCAACACCTCCGGCCACTCTACCATTCCATTCCATCATGAAGTCCGCTCTCATCGCCAAGATCGGCACGGCCGTACTGGCATGCCCCTTACTCGTCTCTACTCAGCAGTTTGATCACAGGAAGTATCCTTTCGACACATTCGACCTCAGTGACGCTTGCTTCAAGATGCTCGACACGACGGTCCCCGAGTGCTCATATGTGCTACTGGATAGACTACCAGGCCCGTAAGTTTGTTCCGCGCCAACTTGTCGTAATGGCTTGGCCTAATCGATAATGATGCAGCGAGGAGGGCTTTGACATTTTGGACGACGAGCATTTGTGTCCCATCTGCGCCCCGGCGTGTCGCGACGCACTAGTCAACTTTCGAACCAAAGCCAAGACAGCATGCAACACAACAAAGGACGCAGTCGCCTTCAAATACAACAACATCATTTTTCCTCGTGGGTTTCTGTCCTATTTAGGCAGTCGACCAGATCTTGTTCTAACCAATTCGCCCTCCAGCTACCTATCAGGTCGACCTTTTGCTTCTCAGCTACGACGTCTACTGTTACAAAGACCGGTAGGATTCTTTGCAAGTCGCATCATGTCCAGATTGTCGAAACTAACTCTCAACAGCGACACGGGGAAGTTCTGCGACCTAGAGTTGACAAAATGGAGGAGGCGTCGGGACACGAATTTTCCCATGGAGTGCGAGGACTGCAGCCTCGGGCGATGGAGAAAACAACTCGAGGCTCCTATCCGATACAGTGATGAGGATGCCTCCTTATTCTCTAAGTCGACATCAGTCTGTGGTGCAACTGGGTACGAGTATGCGAAGCCGACAGCTCAATACGCAACTACTCTAAGCATGGACATGGAAACATCGTCGAGGAGCCACATCACACCTACACCTACACCTACATCTACACCTACACCTGAGCAAGGAGCACCGTAAATGCCAGCTGGGTGACCTTGGGATGTATCCTTGGGATGCTGTGGAACAGCAGACATTAGCAACACTGGAGTTCGGGGTTCATGGGCCCGCCACGTTAAGGAGCGCAGCTAGATGACCCTTGAGAGTTAGGCCTCAAGTCATTTAGGCATTATCTAACCATAAAAACCAGCCTTCTTCGCCAGGCGGATTTGATAATAAGCGTTTACGCTCAGAATGATATATCTTTCTCTACAGAGTTTCCCCATCTATCTTCTTTCAACTCATCTGGACTCTGTTTCACGCATGCTCAACTTCCTTGGTAAGGGGAACCGACTTTTCCTGCGCCTGAAGCTTTGCAATACCTGCGGCCGAATCGTCACCGTCGAACAGAACGGCAATCTCCTCCAGAGTAGGTCCCTTGGTCTCGACGAAGAAGAAGTAGATGGTCAGACACTCAATTACCAAGCTGTGATAGACGTTAGCAAATTTCTCTGAGCGGAGTCGTTGATACGTACACAGCGATGTAAACAAAATAGAAGCGCCACTCGAGCTGCTGAAGACCAAGAGGGTTCACCCATTGGTTAAACACACCGCTCAGAGCAGTGAAGCAGAAGCAAAGAGTCAATCCCTTGGCTCTGATGCTATACGGCAGAATCTCAACGGTATAAGAAACAGTCAAGCCGGGCCAAGCAGCTCCCGCAACACCGTAGAAGAGGAAGATCATGGCCACAACAGCAATACCTGCAGAAGCAGACTCGGTCTTTGCGTATACGGCGCTGCAAGCTGTCCAGACGCTGAAGGATATGAGCATGCCTACTCCTGCAAAGAGGAAGAGGAAGCGGCGTCCGATTCGGTCGACGAAGAAGGCGGCGAAGAGGGAGACGAGCCAGCACCAGATTGTGAGGCCGCCGTTGATCAAGGATTGAGTGGTTGAACTATTTCTGTTAGATAAGAAAATTTGGATGTTTTATCGCTTGACTTACTCGGTAATGCCAATGGTTTCAAGAATGGCAGCAAGCTAGAGAGTGGTTAGCCAGTCGCCTCAACAGCGTCGAGCAGTGACTTACATAGTATGACACCAGTCCATTTCCACTGCACTGAGAAAAGATGGCAGTAGCAATGATCAGGGCACACCTCTTTCGGTTACCCTTTGTTCGCCACAGCTCAGACCATCCGTTGCCAGATGCCTCGCGCTCAAGCCTGAGGGTGTTAAGAATCTCGGTATACTCCCACCGCACAAACTCATCGTCTGGGTCGTTGTTTCCGTGGTACTTGATAAGAACCTGACGAGCTTCTTCTTCTCTTCCCTTGCTGATAAGCCATCGGGGGCTCTCAGGGACGAACCAGATGGATAGGAGTTGGATCCCGGGCATCAGGCACTGGAGACCGGTAGGGAGAACCCATTGGAGGTTACCAGTCTGGTTTTTGAGAGTTCCGAAACAAGTCCATGCGGCTACAATGCTTCCAAGGTACCAGAGCGTGTTGTAAATAGTCGTGACGCGTCCGCGATGCCTGGGGTGTGCAACTTCGGTGATCAACAACGGGCAAGTTCCATTGGAAATGTTGGATCCAAAACCCATGACAAAGCGGCCAATCAGATATAAAACGTCTCGGGAGCTGTGGTTCTTCTGGGGAAAGCACTGCATCAGAGCACCAGCAACGACAAAGACGCAACCGATTGCTGTACCCTTCTTTCTGCCGAGTCCGTCTGCGATGTAAGGAGCGAATATGAGGACGAAGAGACCACCGAAGCCAGGCATGGCGCCAAAGATACCGAGTCGGCTACCGGTGGGATGATCAAAGACTATTTCAACGTCAGCCAAAGGTCGTTGTTGTAATCGAAACACGTACAATTCTGCCAAGTATCCATTGTCTGAAGTCCGTTAAGTAAACTTCCATCGTATCCCAGGGTTGTAGAACCCAAGAAGAGGAAGAACATCATGCCGTAGAGTTTCCGAAGCTCGGTTTGCTTCCAGAAGGGTAGGGTTGAACCTTGGGGGACATGATCCTCCGGGAGGTCATGGTCGACCACGTCGGACTGAGGCTCCTTCTGACCCATTGTTGCAGCTCAGATTCTCAGGATGGGAGAAGTAATGATGATGTTGTTGTGTTGCCTCGGTATGATGGCCAAGTTGACTGTTCGTGCCTCAACATCCAGGGGATCTCGATACCTTATATCCTCATGACCATGGCGTAACTCGGCCCGCACCAACCTGCAAAGACATCAGCCAACAGTTCACAACCGGTTCCCTTTACCCATGACGAGCCCTCTGCCCACGCAAGTCTCACCATCAAGCTTCCGAGGCTATCCTTTCATTGGTGCGCGTTTGGCAGACTGTCAAATCCCATCCCCATGGGGAAGACAGGAGAAATGGAGCCATGCAGGTCACGGGGAGGGTTACAACAGCAGACGAGCAGAGGCTAGAGTCTATCGGGATAGGCATGGCTCTGGGCTGAGGAGGTTGACCCACCGTGGTGATGGCTTCAATTGGATAGACTGACTCGTCTAGCGGGGAAGGATGCCACCTCCTGGTCAAAGCGGACGAGTAGAATATATCCGACATTTCTGCGAATCGGACCATATAGTCGGGACGGTGTCTCCGAGGATTCTCCTCGGATGTTTGAGTTCTGCATAGCTTCACTTTTCCATTAGAGCCTCCATACCGTCGGAACAGATCATGGAGCATCCGATGTCTCCCATGAATGAGCGAGAGCCTCATCCCCGCAGAACGACTCCATCAGCCGACAAGACTCGGAACCAGAAAGCTTGCGATGTCTGTCGATCTAGGAAAGTCAGGGTATGTAGTTTAACGCCCTTCTCCGGGTTCTCTGTAGCTAACAGCACTTCAGTGTGTTTATGATGTAGGACATCAACGATGTCAAGGCTGTGTCTTTCTTGATGTAGATTGCACACATCAAAGGCCAAGAAGAAAACGAGGGCCACCAAACAAGTCGGCCATCATACCCATGTCTAACTCAAAGTAACTAACATGATCAGACATGCCCAACGCCGCCAAATGCTACCTCCAACTGCCATGGGGTCCCCAGATCCTGGGGTTCAGCTGACGCCCCTAGCTCAAAATCATGAGCCCCAGTCACCGCTCCAGAGCCCCGGATTCTCAGACCATGCCTCCGGGACACCATCTGATACCCCATCGGTCCTCCGAAGCCATTGGCTTTCGGCCTTTGCCGCCGATGCGGTTATATCCCGCCTCCTCAACGACTTTTTCGACAAGATCCACCCCCTTGCTCCGATCCTTCTCCGTCGGCGGTTCCTACGTCGTCTCCGCAACCGAGAAGCTGACGGAGACGCCATGTTCTGCGGGCTAGTCATAAGCGTGTGCGCAGCGACCAAGGCGACGTTTCCGCGTGGGGATTACGGGTCTGTGACTGTGGATTACTGCGTCGAGTTTCTAGATACCCACGGGTTGCTGAGAAGTCAGTTTGCCCATGGGACTTTCTGCTTGGATTGGTGCATTGCCATGTACAATATGGGCGTGGCTATGAGTGCAGTGTCCGAGTTGGGGCTGAGCAATATGCGGGCCTATCACGTTTTGAACGAGGCAGCCACAGGGACTCGGTATCTAGCGTACTACTCCATGCATAAACTGGATGAGGCTGAACAGCAGCTTCTGAGACGGCTATTCTGGCTACTTTTTGCCGCTTCATGGTACGCACAAGGCTCTCATCTGGGCTTCCCTGTGTGTTCACTAACAACGATGTATAGCAGCGCCGACATACTGGGCAGGCTATCTGTGAGCTTGCTTCCTCAAGACAGGATCGAAAACTTTCCCCGGCCTCTCCCATTGTCTGATGACCAGATGGAGCCATCGCCACCCTCAGAGCGTCATGAGCCACGCTGGCACGGAGACTACACGAGCTATGTCCCAGGACTCAACTCCCTAACCGACTTATTTTTCATCTGGTCGGAGGTCCAACAGGTCCGAAATAACAATGACCCACCTGCTTTGATCTCAAAGTATCTAGGAAAAATCCAGTCCGTCATCAATGGCCTACCACCAGAGCTACGTTGGCGTGGTGGAATGTCTCGACCGCCCAACGTCACTCAGAGCCACGACGCCCAAACCGCAAATCTGTTTATAACAAGTTTCGAGATTCGATCAAACATTCTTCAAAAATTCGGTCCAACGGATACGAGTGGTCTAGAACACCAGAAAATTGTGGATGACCTCCTTGAGGTTCTGTACCATCTCCCGCAAGCCGTCTTTGATGCCAACGGCAGCAGCCTGGTCCCCAAGATCCGAGACATTGGCGCTGCATATCTTGAGCAAATTCAGCTGAGAAATGGTTCAAGCACCGATGCAAGTGACGATGCCAGGAACAAGCTCGAGCGACTATTGCGGAAGCTAGACGATCTGGACTGCTGGCAGGGGATTGGTGTGGTAGACAGTCCACCTGTAAGAAAGTAGAAGGTGTCATTAGTTTATACTCCTCCAAGGATATGTATAAAACTTGATCTATTTTATGAAAATGTATACAACTTTTACCCTAATTCAGGCTAAATAAACCTGGAGTATTTGAGAGGAGGTAGAGGTCCATTGTCATTCTGGCGTCGCTTCGCTCGCGTGCCCGACAAAAGAGGAGGTGCGTCAATAGAAGACAAGGATTCATTACCACACCAAGACTTGTTTCGTAAACGAGATCTCCAAAGTGCCGAAGAAAGAACAAAGAGGCACATGGCCCGGCATCCAACGAGTTGATCGGCAGATTCCCCGCATTCATGGAAAACAAGAGCCGAGAGAGCGGTTAATTGTGTAGATGCGACATTTCGCCGGATGGTATATGCGAAGAAAGTCCGATGATCCTTGCGACTGAGGATGGTGGAGTGACGTGGGGTTGCTCTCCTCCACATGAGCTTGGCCTGCATACGAAGAATCTCCGTCATGACATGTCTGAACCACTTCTTCGGCTCATGTGGTCTTGAGACCATATGATCGACGTGGTTTTGACCCATCGTGTCGCTTACTGAGCCACGCGCAGTAGCTATTTCAACTGTGAAGCTCTCCCTCCGACACAATGTCACAATCACCCCAATCCCCCCTCCTCCACGCACTCTCTGTCCGTCACAATCGTTCATCATGACAGCAATCGAGATTCCCGCGACCCAAGCCAAGCACGCGCTTCCTCACCTCCGTCGATCCGAGAATGGCCAGATCCAGCTCATCGTCAAGGGCAAGCCCTTCCTCATGCTCTCCGGCGAACTGCACAACTCGTCGCTAAGCTCGGCGAGGTTCATGAGCGAGGTCTGGCCTAATATGAAGGAGAATCACATCAATACTCTCCTTGGTTCGGTAACATGGGAGACCATTGAGCCTCGCGAAGGTCACTTTGACTTTAGCGAGCTCGACCGTGTGCTCGCGGGCGCCCGTGAACATGACATGCACCTGGTGTTGCTCTGGTTCGGCACATACAAGAATGGCATCTCTACTTATGCTCCTGGTTGGATCAAGAAGGACCACAAGAGGTTCCCTCGCGTCCAATGCCTTAAGGCTGGCGGCGTCAAGCGGACCATTGAGATGGTCACTCCGCTGAGCGAGGAGGCATGCCAAGCAGACTCGCGTGCTTTCGCAGCCCTCATGCGACATCTCGCCGATGTTGATTCAGAGTATAACACCGTACTCATGGTACAGGTTGAGAATGAGACCGGACTGCTCGGCGATTCTCGAGACCGGTCTCGCAGGGCTGAGAAGGCCTTCGCTGAACCCATTCCCAGCCAACTTCTAGAGCATCTCGGCAAGGTCGAGACGCACTCGCAATTCAAGAAGCGATTCCCCAATGCTCCCAAGTCTGGATCACACTCATGGGACTCAGTCTTTGGCGCTGGACCTTCTGCCAACGAGGCTTTCATGGCCTACCACATTTCGTCCTTCGTCGGTCGCGTCGCCGCCGCTGGAAAGAAGGAATACCCCATCCCACTATACACAAACACATGGCTCAACTTTGATGATCCCTCCCAACTAGACTTGCGAGGGGTTCCTATCGTTGTTGGAGGCGGTGCAGAGCCTGGTATCTATCCCTCAGGAGGGCCTTGTCCACATGTTCTCGATATTTGGCGATTCAATACCCCATCGCTCGACTTTTTGTCGCCTGACCTGTACTTCCACGACTACGAGACTGTGTGCAAAAACTACACCGAGCAGGGCAACCCTCTGTTCATTCCCGAGCAACGGCGAGACGAGAACGGCGCCCGACGAGTTTGGCTGTCGTATGCCACATACGGAGCTCTCGGAGCAAGCCCCTTCGGCATCGATACTGGCGCCGAAGTTGTCGGTCGCGAATTCAAGCTTCTCGCCCAGACGTCATCATACCTATTAAACGCTGCTCCCGAAGACCGCTTCGGCTTCTTCTTTGACGAGGAGCCTTGCGACAAGTTCCCTGAACAATGGACCCGTGTCTTTGGCGACATCAAGGTCATTGTCGAGCGTTGCTTCGTCTTTGGCAAGCCCGGCCCTGGTGGTGGTATGGTGATCCATCTCGGCGACTCCAAGTTCCTGCTCGTCGGACGAGGCTTCCATGTGCGATTCGAGGGTGTACGCAAGGAGACGACGTTTGCAGGTATTCTTTGGGCGGAGGAGAAGGAAGTCGACGCGGAGGGTAAGCTTCAGACGTTGAGAATCTTTAACGGAGATGAGACGAGGAGTGGCGAGTTCCTCATGATGCCCAACGACGACCCCGACTATGGTGGTTTCCCAATTGCAGTTACTGTTCCAGCAAGAACCTGTATCGCAGAAGTCGAGGCTTACTGGATCGCTGAAGATGAGGAAGACAGGTAAAGGGCAAATAGATAGAGGCATTTCATTAGACAAGTCCAGCAAAGGACGATTTTATCGCAGTATTTCACTAGAATAGAGCACTCTCAATCGACGAGTTCATGAAGCCATTCCCACCGACGACAGGTACATACGACCATAGCTCTTAGAAAATGCGGGATCCCGTCCGCTCTCCCATAGTCAAGCTGAGGAGCGGTGAATTAGTACTCGGGTCGGTGACGACCGGGGAATCCTCACTGTTGTATGTTTTTTGCTAATCCTTCCTTTTTGTCTGTCCGCGATACTTGTCCTCAATGATCACACATGTGACAATCGTGAAGGTCACCTTGCTGTACCTCATGTGGCTGTGGTGTGGCGAACATTGTCAATTTTAAGATCAGCTTGGAGGACCCCAAGACCGTAACAACTACTGATGCGTGACATTTTTCAGAGACTGGGCAATTTAATAGCTTTTTGCAGTAAATATTTCATCAACAGAAGCTCAAATTGAGACGCATCAAGCCCCCAAATCGCACAGGTTTTTCCCCAACTCTTCACTCATTCCGGTATAGGGTAGGTTCAGATCAAAGAACAGCTCAACTTCAACGCAATTCAACACGGAAAAAGCGGCTCGATTCGATAAGCAGCCCCATAGAATATGGATCTCCATCCCTTAATTCAATAGTTCGTTTCTTGCAATTGGTGCCTGGACCGGCGGCACCTGGACTGGTGCTGATTGCGGCTCTGCTTCCGATGGTCGGGTCAACAACCACGTTCACAAAATGAGCTATCATGATCAACTGGGTCGGTCATCCACAAAGCAACCAGCGGGAAGCCCAAAATGACACCGTTCAGGAATACTCGAACTCCATTGCTCTCCTAGTATGACCGCGGAGCCGCAATTGTCTACGTGTGCTGGATCATCGTGCCGCAGTTGCCGTTTACCAGAGGTGGAATGCCCCACGACACATTACTCTCTACAAACCCACGCGAAGGATTGGAGCCAAGACGAGATGAGAAGATCCCCTCCATAGCCGGCCGGCTCTTTACTGCTGACTTTGGAGGCTGTCCTGTTGGTTCATACCAGACAAACCAGGTCTAGCCCTTCCCGGCTGCGGGTGTGCCGAACATCGGCCCAAGCTTGACTCGCACGAGGCTTGCAGGATAATCTTCTAGAAGCCCAGCATCATGATCCGACATGCAGCTACGGCATCAATTGCAGCTGGAAAAGCAAACCTACCCCAAATTCCGACGCAGAGCGAACGGTTGGGGTTGCATCCCCTCATCAGAGTTGTGCATGGACGGATCAAACCACCCCGCGAAAACCTTCATGAGGATTGAGATCCTGCTTGACCACACGAGGAGAAGATCGCCGTGATCGTGCTGCAGGCCATCTAGGGAGCTAAGGATGCAACATGAGGTAGGGCTGAGGGATTGAAGTAATCTCGTCGGCGCGGTGCGATGTCCATGGGCTCATTCTCTTAGGGTTTCCCTCCGGCTCAAGACTAGACGCTGGTGATGAGTTAGTCTTGAGTCTGGGCCAAGACCTTGTCAACACCCATCGTGAACTGTGGCTGGAATGATTGAACTCTGGAGCAAACTCCGGGACGACACCTACCCAGTTGGATTAGCTTTCTGTTAGTTGGCTTTCCATTGACGACAAGCTTCTTGGATCAAGCGCGGTTCATAGGTAAGCGCGGCAGGCCCGTAATCAGGTGAATCAAGACAGTGACAGCATGGGAAGCTAGCAGCCCGCTATCCATCTCCCTAACGCGCCGCCTCTTGACATGGTTTCAACGGTCTGCTTTGGGAACGCCAGGGTTCCGGAGTATTTGTCCAAGACTGCCTACCTGAATGAAGCTTAGCGGGATGTAAGGACCGGCCCGGGATAGGAAGGTAGAGTGATGCCATATCTGATGGTGTCGTGATGGGCATTGGTGAAGAAGCCACAGAAGCATGAATGAGGCCGAGATGATGCAGAGTTTGTTATCAGCGCATTCTAGTCGGCAGTGGTGTAGATGAGATGCAGGAACAGCTGATTGGGGTGCATCAACCGCTTCTTCACACAATCAACAACACAGTCAAATCACATCACCGGAGCATTGTGACGATCTCATTGGCGGCTTCAAGTTCTTGGGGGTGTTCCGGGGCCGGGTTTAGTAGCGGTGGCACCATCGCATCTGGACCTTCTGGGCTGGAGATTTACGTTGCATTCCGGAAGAGGGCTATTAATGGTAGGCAAGTCGATAGCAGACGAGTCAATGGAAGAAAGTGGGTAGGTTGATTGAAGGGATCAAGGTCTGTGGTGAGATGAGATGAACAAGTTGATGATGGAAGAATGGTCCATGATCCAGCCAGATGGTGGAGGCGCGTTATTACCCCTGAGGCACAGGGGACGCGACGACATGGCTAGGGTGTGGACCCCCTGGACGACAGGCCTCCAGTCCCCTGAGAGACACTTGACCCGACGGAGCCGGGACCACTTTAACGGCCCACCGAAGCGGCGCCAATAGACGGGGTCCATGACCCATGTGAGAGTGGGAAAAAAGCTCGTGCTTCGGGTGGCGACGGTCAAAACAACACCACGCATTTGTATCGATTCTGGGGGAAGAATGTGTCAGAAGAAACCGTTACGTTGGATTTATGTAACAGCTTCACATTTCTATGGCTCGCCTCGTGTAGAATTCCACAATACCCCAGAGTTCACGACACATGAAAACCTTCCCCAGATTTGGTCTGTTAAACATGACAGCAGAGATCCATTTTCCCCAGATGGAGAAATAAGAAAGAAAAAAAAAACGTGGCATCTGAGATCGTGATGGATCAAGAAAAGCAACGACATGCGTAAAGCTTCGAGAACGCTAGAACGTTTGTCCAAAGGATGAGGGTCGCTTGCTAGGAAAACGTGGCATGGGCTACTTCGGGACTGGATCTTGAGCTCATGATTAGAGCCTGTCTCTCAAGAATCCATCCCACGTGCAAAACCAACAACACCAAGACTTTTCTCTAATGAGCCTTCTCTTCCTCCCGTAGACGAATTGCCAGGATCATGCGACGCCGACAGCACCCTCTCGAACCCTCATTGGCCTAATCAACCGACCTGTCAGCAATATTACCAGTCGACTCGTCGCTTCGGACACGGCTCCGATAAAAAACCTCGAGTTTCTACGAGTCAGTGCACGCATGCCACTAACCACCAGCTGAAATGTTCCTGAGGAGAAAGCCAAGACGGCCAAGATTCTCCAACGACTCCCCGTCCCATGTCTTGTCCATCTCCCATGGCACAGAGACCCCTGCCGCCACTCTTGCAATTGTAGTTCCTCAACCGGCAAGACTGGCCGCGTTCGGACTCTACCATACAAGACATGTTCTCCTGTAAGGTTCGGGGCACGCTACAGTGCCCATGAACCCGACCCATCATCACACTGGGGACCCGCGTGAGCTGTACGCTTTGACGGTCCCCAAGCGCGGACAATGGCATCAACTTCATGATACGATATCGCACACAATGCAGTCCGACTCAATCACCCCCAAAGCTAAGCTAAAGCTAGACCTTCGCGAAGCCTTCTGTACTCAACGCCACCGCGCCATTTTGGTTGAAGCCATCGCTGCTACGCGGTTGGCTTGAACCCCTGGCCGCGCTTCAAACCATGTCGTTTCTTGACGTGCAGCAATAGCTACAACCAGAAGGGAACGGCTCCGAGTAATAGGCCAAGCTGTGCCTCCCCCCCTCCATCTTTCATGTCTGGACCTGTCCATTGAACAGGGGCATTGCCCCTCCATCCATCATCAACCCCTTGTCGGTTATGATAAGCTCGCATCAACGACAGCTTGTGCCTTTGCCCCAGCTCTCGCCGATCCGGGTCCTATCCACCAAGGTCCCGCATGTTTTGTTCTTGAATGCAAAAACTTGGGTCTTGCATTCTTTTCCAAGTGTCAATCTTGTCATTCTTTTTGTCGATCCTCCCTTTGATCTCCTCTGTGGTTTAATCTCATACCGAATTGCCTCGACACCTCACTTAGACGGAAGGGCTCATCGCCCAAACGCTTCCCAGCCATGGGCTTTTACACAGAAGCACCCGACCCACGGCCGTTCAGCGAAGATAAGCCCACGCTGCTGGTCTCGTGGTGGGTTACGGCCTTTTGCTTCGCCGTTATTCTCATCCGCATGTCGGGTCGCTATGTTCGAGTTGAGAAGCTTCTCAAGGAGGACAAGATCGTTGCCGTTGCGCTGCTGCCGCTGGTTCTACGAGCTGTTTGCGTTCACTTTGCCCTCCGCTATGGAACCAACAATGTGAACCTTGAGGGCGTGAAGCTCACGCAGGATGAGATTGACAAGAGGATCATGGGAAGTCGTATGGTTCTTGCCAGCCGAATCTTTTACGCCGCTACGTATGTATTCACAGCAACACTCGACGGATTATAGCTAATATGACCAAGATTGTGGATCATCAAGTTTACAACACTCGAGTTCTTTGAGCGTCTCGCTGGCGCAACTAGACGCAGATCGCACGCTCTTATGATCATCGGCATGCGTGTCGTCTTGATCGCAACCTTTGTCGCTGTCCTCGTCAGCGACTTGGCTGAATGCCAACCCTTTCCTCACTATTGGCAGGTCACGCCTGATCCTGGAGGTAAATGCCGTCAGGGCTTTGCTCATATGATCACCATGGGCGCCTGCAACGTCATTACCGACCTCGTCCTGATTGCCTTCCCTATCCCTATTATTCTCTCGACTCAGATCGCTACCAAGCGCAAGGTGCTGCTCATCATGCTCTTCAGTCTGGGGCTTCTTACCGTCGGCATCACTCTTTATCGCATGCCTCGTATTATCCAGGCGCAGGGAAGCCAGGTGGTGCGCACCATGTGGGCATCTGTCGAGATCCTCGCTGCCACTGGTGTGGGCAACACCGTCGCCCTCGGATCATTCCTGCGTGACAGTGGTGTCAAGCGCAAGAAGTTCAAGGGCTCCAATAGCTACGAGTACTCCAACTCGCGATCGCAATCGCAACCTACCAAGCTCACTCGCACAGCGGGTCACAGCAATTGGGAAGAAGAGAGTGAAGATGGACAACCTGTCAAGACGACCGAGGGTATCTGGACAGGCAGCGCGGCGTCGCATACGACTACTGGTTCCATCTCTATCAGCAAAGACGACGACCTGCGCAAGTTTAGCGAGCGACCTGTCAGTCCTACACAGAGCCACGACTCGCTTATCACGCGGGATCAGCTGCAACACTCGGTCGAGATTGGTCGTAATGAGTTCCCCTACAGACCGCCGTCTGCCATCATCGCAGGTAACTCGAAAGAGGTGCAGCGCAGCCAACGAAGCAATTGATACGTCACGGGAAGGGATTTTTTTATTATTTAATTCAGGATACCATTTACTATATACCATAATTCTTGCTGTATTATTAGTTTGAGGGCTACATGACGGACGTCAAAGAGCATGACGAATTTCCTTAGATGTTGTATACACATACCACGTTTTACTTTGTCTCAACCATGATCTTTTCACGCCCTTTGCTTACATCTTGGCTTACACGTTGAACACTCGGACTGTCTGCCTTCCGCGGTCGGAGATGAGACAAGACGTCTCAGACACATGACGGATGGGACCCTCCCTCTCCGCGTTCCCACAATACGTCGAGTACGACATCATCTCCAAAATCACCTCCACAACTCGGACCACGTCCGCCGTCGCGATGGGGTGGCTCCCCTAAATCTGCCATTCCATTCAATCACAACGGTCGAGCCAATCTACAATCTCCAGCTCGCCTACAGTCACAAGTCTGAGCAATGGGGACAGTAAAGCGGACCGCCAACATGTTTGTACGTAATGGCAAAGCACGGCGGCTCCAGGGGAGCGTGCCCCGGACCCATTCCTTTCTCACATGTGGTGTTCCCCGCGGAATCCAAGCGCGAGTCTTGGGGAAGCCCCCTTTTTTGCTTCTGCGTTCAAAATGGGAAGCTGAGGTGCATCTCGCCGAGTCTATAGTTTCAAACAGTGTACCTAGGTTTGAGTGGCTGGGAGTAAGAAGAGACACATGTGAGGCTTGCACGAAACATTGCCAGTGCGACAAGGATGTTAATGGACCTACCTATTTGAGCCTCGTCGATGGCGTCTGCTTTGTCCCGCCGCGCGAGCAACGACCAGGTCTCCGGTTGTTTTCTGGCGCGAGGCTGGTCCCTGGAATGGACTGTGCGGGGACCTGAAAAAGGCATCATTCAAGCAGGGACCACACCCCCAATCATGCGTTGAGCGGATCCTCATCCTCCCCCTGGTCAGCCGCGTCTTGTCTATTCATCGCCACACCCTGGTTACTGTGAGAGCAGCTGCTTGATCCGCTGGTAGCCATGAAGGCACATGAGGTGAGGGTATGAGGTAATGGGTCAAACTATTACTGTTACTACTGAATCTCGAGTGGTTCTAGATGCTACGCATGTTCTGTTACCTACTCTCTTTCGCTTGGCCTTGTCAGATGGAAAAAGAGTCCGAGTGTCCAAGTGGAGAGCGTCTCGGTTGCTGATCACCCCGTTATTCGAGGTACATAGACGTACGGCTCCCTCTCTGCGCTGTTTTTCCTTGTACTGGGCATTTCCCATCATCACCAGTTGTTGTTATTGGGAAACAGAAGGAGTTTGCTGTTCTTCTTCTTCCCCTCTCTTTTATATACCCATCCCCTCATATACCTTCCCCAATCTTCTCCAACTGCCGATTAATCGCCCGCCGCAAGATTCCGCCGATTCGGCTGTGTGATGATCCCATCCCAATCCTACGGGACCAAAACGCCACTCGCCGGGTAAAAAAATAACGCCCTCGGCGCGACTCTTTCGCAGAGTTTTCTAGAAGGCTTTTCGAAACGACCCTTGTCTTGAATTGAACGGTTTTCATCGATCTGCATACATACGTACAATATCTCCGACGAGAGAAACAAATTGATGGTGTTTTCTGCACGTCATTTATCAATCCTGGGGGAATAACTCGTCATTCTTTTCTTTTCTTTTTTCTGCAGATCCCCATATTTTTCTTTGGTTGCTTCTTTCGTAAGCAAACCTCGGCCGATTCACCCGCCTTTTAAAAAAACTTAGCGACTCCCCCGCCACCATGAAGGGCGACATCGTCCTAACGCGCGACGTCGAAGTCGTAGAGATGAAGGATCTCGGCAGCGGCTCCGGCAGCGAAGAGCAAGGCACGACATGGAACATCTCAGCAAAGCAACCTCCTCCGTCAAAAGAGCCGGCAGACTGGATGGATGGGTTTCGCCGTGCCGAGCGCCGGTCTCTCAAGAGCCGAGACGGAGGTGGTTACCAGCCTACAGACGGACCGGTGTACCCCGGGGATAGACATTATGATTTGAAGGCTGCGAATGCAAAGACGGCGAATACGGCTTTGGCGAGGGAGCTGAAGGGGAGGCATTTGCAGATGATTGCCTTTGGCGGTGCTATTGGTGAGTGAGTCTCGGATGTCTCCCGGCGTTGGTCGGCATCGTCGGATGTGACCTGTTTTTGGTCGCGATGTCTTCAAATGTGTCGGAGAGATCGTAATGAAGTTGATGCTAATGATGGAATGTAGGAACTGGTCTGTTTGTCGCTTCGGGCGCTTCCCTGTATAGAGGCGGCCCAGCAAGTGTCCTCATTTCGTACCTCATCATCGGCGCGATGCAGTATTGCACCATGCAGTCTCTCGGCGAGCTTTGCGTCGTATTTCCCATCGCCGGCTCATTTTCTGCCTTTTCCACACGGTTTTTGGATCCCTCTTGGGGTTTCGCGATGGGTTGGAAGTAAGTGTCTTGGCGCGAATACGTGAGATGTCGGTCGCTGACTGCTTGTAGCTACTGTCTGCAATGGCTTTTCATTCTCCCTCTAGAAATCATCGCCGGCGCATTCACAATATCATACTGGAACGAAGCCCTCAGCAAATCCATCTTTGTCGCCATCTTTCTGCTCGCGATTGTCATCATCAACCTGTTTGGCGTCAAAGCCTATGGCGAGGCGGAGTTCGTCTTTTCCATCATCAAGGTCACGGCTGTCATTGGCTTTATGTATGTTCTACTCCAGACCCATGTCACATCTCAACTCGGTATCTAACTTTCGTAGTCTCCTCGCTATCGTAATTAACATCGGTGGTGAACCCGAAAGCGGCTATATCGGCGGCATGTATTGGCGTAACCCGGGGCCCTTCAACAACGGCTTCAAAGGTTTCTGTAGCGTCCTTGTCACCTCCGCGTTCTCATTTACCGGTACCGAGCTAATCGGTCTTGCTGCTGCCGAGACTGCCAACCCCCGCAAGTCGCTTCCCACCGCGATCAAGCAGGTCTTTTGGCGTATCACCATCTTCTACATCGTCGCTCTCATGCTCGTCGGTCTGCTAGTTCCCTCCAACGACAGTCGCCTCATGAGTGGTTCCAGCGTGGCCGACGCCAGTGCCAGCCCGTTCGTCATTGCCATCGAAAAGGCCGGCACCACAATCCTCCCGAGTGTCATGAACGCCATCATCCTCGTCGCCGTTATTAGCGTCGGCAACTCGGCCGTTTTTGGCTCCTCGCGAACCCTTGCAGCTTTGGCAGAGCAGTCTCACGCCCCTCAAATCTTTGCTTATGTTGATAAGCAGGGCCGTCCTCTTATGGCTATTATCCTTGCGTCTTGCATTGGTCTGCTCGCTTTCCTTGCTGACCTGAGCTTCCACGATGCCATCTTTAACTGGCTACTCTCCATCAGCGCTCTTAGTACCTTGTTCACCTGGGCCAGTATCTGTCTCTGCTACATCCGATTCCGCAAGGCCTGGGCCTACACATCGCATACACTGGAGCAGCTCCCCTTTAGGTCACACGTTGGTGTCATTGGCGCATGGTTCTCCTTTGTCGGTTACGTCCTCGTCCTCATCTCTCAGATCTGGATTGCAGTGTCACCCGTACACGAGCCCGACATGGACGAGAGTGCCCCCGCGCTGGTGCAAAACTTCTTCCTCAAGGTCATGGCTCTACCCATTATCCTCCTATTCTATGGCCTCCACAAGCTCTGGTACCGCACAAAGATTGTGCGCGTCGACGAGATGGACGTCGAGACTGGACGGCGGTACTTCCGTATCCACATCATGACGGAGCAGGAGCGCGAGGAGAGACTTGGATGGCCAATGTGGAAGAAGCTATATCGACTTCTCTGCTAAATATTTTCTTGCGTTTTTGACAGTTGAATATTGCATATTTGCCTAGACCATTGATGGGCATGTGGTCATGTATATAAGAGCTATGCAAAAAGCAATGGCGTTGCAGGAAGAGATATCAGGATTCATGTGCTAGATTAATACCATTGCCGTCTACCGGCTGTTAATGTTGACGATACAGCATTGTTATTGATCTCACTGTGTTAAAGTGTGGCTGCTAACAATTTAGGGCGTTGACGCCATCGCGACCCTTATCTCAGCGCGGGGAAGCACCCGGATTATTCGGTCCTCCACTGTCTCTGCTCATGCAACGAACAAGACCGAGGAAATGCTCATCCTCTGATTGGCGATTGCTAATAATGGTCACACAAGGTCTCATTCGTTCATCACCAATGTGATGGAGACTTCTTTGACTGGTCGCAAGCGGACGAGTGTTCGCCGCGCCAATGTTACGGCCTGCCAACGCTGCAAGTCGCGAAAACAGAGGTGCGACCAGAACATCCCGGCTTGCTCCTCCTGCGCTCGGGCTGGTGTCCCTTGTGTAAGTGTAGATGCAGATGGGCGATCTGTCCCTCGAAGGTCTGGCCCCCTGATGTTCGGTCCGATTGAATGGTATAGCTGACACACACGAGCAGCTACATCAAAAGCTTAGAGGACCGCGTCGCTCAGCTTGAGCTTGCATTACGGAGTCATGGTGTCGAGACTGAATCTGTTTCTGATGTTCAGACCCCTCAAGAGCCTAGCACAGTCGCTGAGGCAGCCTCGGAGCAACACCAGGTGACTGGAGGGTTGACGCTGTTGAACCTGCTGGTTCCCGACCCGAGCCATATCCAAGACGGAGCAGCGGCTGGGTATCACGGCTTGTTGGAAAACATTACTGTTCCGACCGTGGTCAAGTTTCCTCCAAAGCCGACAGCGTTACAGCTTGCCGCTACGTACTTTGAGCACTCCAACTTCTTCTCACCGATACTCGACGAGGGTCGGTTCCGGGCAACGGTTGAGAGCCTCTACGAAGTCGAACCTGGACCGAGCCAAGGTAACTTGAATGAAAGATTTCAGCTCCCTATGGTTCTCGCGATTGCTATCCGGCTACTCAACAGGACTGACGCCGCGGTTCCCACGACAGGGTCAGACTCTTTCTTTGCGTCTGCCATCCACGTCTTTACGGAACGCCCTCATGCTATCTGGAAAGGAGATCTTGAGCATTTGCAGAATCTTCTTCTGATTGTGCAATACACCATTTTCGCGTCAAATCTTTCAGCTGCCTGGCACTTTATCGGTCTGGCGACGCGACTCGCCATCGACCTCGACCTTCTCAACGAGACACAGCGGGGTCTACCACATGAAGATGAAACCCCCATCGCCCAGGCTCAGACGAACAAGAGGCGGCGTGTCTTTTGGTCGACGTACATACTTGAAACGAATCTCTGTGTTGTTCTCAATCGACCGAGGTCTATCCCCGATGAGGCCATCTTCACGCCTCTGCCATCGACGAGTGGTCCCGAGGCATCAACGCCGCTGGCCAATCACTGCATCATCTTTCGTCAGGCCGAGTATGAGATATTTCACACATTGAACTACAAACCTCGAATACATGGTCCTCTGTTTGACTTTCACCAATGGAAGATTGGCATGAGGGATCGTCTTGTTGAGTGGCATCAGACCGTCCCACCTCTCGATGCCACCTCCAAGCTGGCACCTCAAAACTTCTTTGACGGCGCGTTATACATGACGCTTGTCTACTTATTCTCACCTTCACCTCATTTCCCAAGCCCTCCGGAAGCAGAATTGAGGGACCTCGCCCAATATGCTTCCCGCAGCGTTGAACTATACAGGGCGGGCTTCAAGGAAGGTCAACTGCGATTCTACTGGCGAACTATACCCAATCTCTTTCGGTCGGGCGCAGCGCTCGTCCACTGCATCAAGACCTTGCGGCTACAAGGTGCGGTATTCGACTCGAACGACTTGGAGAAGCGAGTGACCATGTGTTCGACTGTTCTCTGGGGCATGGCTGAGCGATATCCTCCCGGGGCGTCGTATCGCGACCGGTTCGAGGAGCTAGCGGCTTCCATGTCTGAGGTATCTTCTCCGACGAATGGGATGCCCTCGATTATTTCGCACGAGTTTCTACTCGCTCACGACGTGATTGCGCCGTTGGACTTGGATGATACTGCGACGCTGTGGACTACGACTCCACCGAACCTTGATCCGTGGATATTTGATCAGTCCTAGAGGCGAGCGCTAGGATTCACTGGGCGCAGACATAGATAGTTGAGTACTGAATGAACTGGATATCATTGACGAGGTTGTGCGATCTTCTGGCTCAGTTAACCCATCTAGGGCCGGACTACAACTACAATAAAGAACACAGTATCAACACATCATAGCATCATGTTCCAATGCTAACACAGTGGACAAGGTTGTACACTAGACGAAGCGACATCAATTGGAAGTGACACCGGAAATACACGCTTTGCAACTACAACTCTATTTTACAGACCCTTCAGAGGATCCGGCGGCGCGGGATCACTCTTCAAACTCTTCTCAAACTCTGCCCTCAACTTCAAGACTGGCTGCATGACCCAAGTGTTGTACGCTAGGATATCCGTCTCTTCCTTGGGATCTCGCACAACGTTGAACAAATACGGCGACTCGAGCTTCCCGGAGGACTGGTTCACCTTTGGCTCCCAGATCAAGTGAAGTTTCCAGTCCTTCCACTTGACCGCACGCAGCTCCTCTTTGATGTAGAAGAGGAACCCTTCACGCTGTGATTTTACGGTTGATGGGTCTTTGAAGAAAGAGACTTGGCTTATACCGTCGATTGGACGATCGGATGGGACTTCTGAACCGGCGATTTCGAGGATCGTGGTGAAGATGTCGGTTACGTGGACTGTCTCGTTGGAGGTTACGCCGGTGGGAACATGGCCTGGCCATCGGATGATGAAGGGGACTCTGAGGCTGCCTTCCATAGCGGTGTGATATGTGCCTGACCATGGTCCGGCGGTGCCCTTGTACGGCGGTCGGAACTCGGGGCCATTGTCTGACGCAAAGATGAGGACAGTGTTGTCGCTGACTCCGAGACTGTCAAGGTGGTCGATGAGTTCGCCGACGCGATAATCCATCTCGGCCATTGAGTCGGCAAATTCACCCTGGCCTGTCTTTCCCTCAAAGTCGCGATGCGGGAGAGTTGGGAAGTGCAGATGGACGAGAGGATGGTAGAGGAAGAAGGGCTTTTCGGCCTTGACTTGACGCGACAGCCAGTCTTTGGACTGATCAACGAGCATCTCGTCAATTAGCCGCCTCTTTTCCAGGTCATAGATACAGATGTTCTCCGAGTCCTGGCCTGCAATGCCCTTCATGATGTATGGGAGCTCGGCGACTTCAGGTGCATAACCCAACGCGGAAGTAAACTGGCTCTCGTCGGTCGTTCGAGGGATTCCAAGCCATTCATCGAAGCCACGGTCTGAAGGATACCGACCAGGAATGTCACCAAGATGCCATTTGCCATGATGCGCAGTAGCATACCCTTGCGGCTTAAGACACTCCGGCAGTGTGCGCTCCCATCTCGTCAGTCCCTGGGGGAACCCAGCCGGCACAGACTGGCGGCATCCCGTGCGTATGGGATGTCGGCCTGTCATCAAGGCCGAGCGGGTAGGTACGCAATCGCTCTCGACATTGAAGTTGTGCAGGAGAAGACCTTCAGTCGCGAGCTTGTCGATGCGAGGTGTCGCGGCACCGCGGAGGATACCGCCACCGTAGCAGCCTAGCTCACCCCAGCCGAGATTGTCGGCGAGGATGAGCACGATGTTGGGCTTGGTAGGATCTTTGTACATTGTGTGATAGGAAGGGGATGAGATTGAGATTGAAGTTGCGCGCTCTGCCAACACAGCAAGAAGAGAAAGAAACAAAGGAGCAATAAAATACCAAGAATGACGTGCTTACCTCTATCATGACCTGGACCCTGCATCCTCTCTATCGCCCTCTCATGAAGCTATCGGCGACACCTCCGAAACCCCACATTTCGCTCATCGCCGACGCTCACCTCCGACTTTTTGACTTTGCTTCCCCATGATCTACTAGTCACGATCACCACACAACGACTCCTGACGGGTAAAGATACGCGATAACGGCACTAGATTGCGTGCGAGGGCTCTCATGGTTGTCGATTGATGGGCTTGGGAGTTATCTGTCGTGGTGATGGGGATATAAAGAGCTTGGAGGAACTCTGACTGGAGAGCAATTCTCAGCTAGATCCATCAACTTCAGTTTCAAGCATGTCTTTGGAAGAGAAGTCTACCATGGAGCCTGGCTATGATGCAAAGGCTGAGCAGGACTTTGGAGATGGTCAAATCTCTGAAGTCACCTGGACCGAGGCCGAGGAGAGCGCCGTTGTCTGGAAGTAAGTCAAGGAAAAGGAGTTAGAGAAATCATCACGCTGACCATCGCAGACTCGACCTGACGCTTATGCCCCTTCTCGTTCTCGGCTTCTTCGCCCTCCAGCTCGATCGCAGTAACATTGGCAACGCGCTGACCGACACCCTTACCACTGATCTTGGAATTACAAAGGACGATGTCAACCTCGGAGACCAGCTGATGAGCGCTGGTATCATCATTGCCGAGATTCCTTCCAACCTCGTTCTGCAGAAATTGGGAGCCCCAATCTGGCTGACCGGCCAAGTCCTCGTCTGGGGAACAATTGCCCTGGCGCAGGCTTGGATCACTGATATGCCTTCGTTCTTGGCAACGCGATTTCTGTTGGGTTTCTTCGAGGCTGGCTTCATCCCCGGTGGCCAGTACATGCTAGCCTTGTTCTACCGCGAGAAAGAGCTAGCTTTGAGGACTTCCATCTTTTACTTTGGAAACTACTTTGCCACTGCTACTGGCTCGTTGATCGCCGCGGGCGTTCTTCAGATGGGAGGCATTGCTGGCTACGCCGGTTGGCAATGGCTATTTATCAGTACGTGTTTGTTGTTCACCTGGCTTCTAACCGACTGACCAATTCCTAGTCGAGGGCGCTTTTACCCTTCTGGTCTTTCTCGTCTTTGTCCTACTCCTCCCTCGATCACCCTCTCATACGAAACCAATCCACGGTCGATTCGATATCTTCACGGAACGACAACGCGAAATCATGCACGGCCGAATCCTCAGAGAAGACGCATCCAAGACCGAAGCCAAAGCTCAAGTCACCTTCAACGGCGTCTTCCAAGCTCTTACCGACTACAGGCTGTGGCTTCATCTGGTTCTCAACCTCGCGGCTCTTGCTCCTAAGGGTGGTCTTCAGCTCTACGGACCGACTATCATTCGAAGCTTGGGATTTAGCAAGATTCATGCGAACTTGTTGAACTCTGTTAGCAGCTTCCTCGTTGTGTTCCTCAGCTTCGCTATCGCCTGGGCATCGGATAAGACCAAGCAGCGAGGACTCTGGTGCATGGTCGCTTTCGTCTGGAGTATCACCTTTGGAGGCGCCTTGTTCGGATCCGTGAGCAAAGGGAAATGGACCAAGTACTCTCTTTTCACCATGCTGAGCAGCGGAAATGCACTTTCTCAAGGTCTCAACGATGCTTGGCTGAGCATCAACGTTCGATCCGCCGAGAAGCGAAGCATTGGTCTCGCACTGGCGGTGATTGGAAGCAACGCTGGTGGCTTGGCAGGAAAGCAACTCTTTCGGGAGAGTGATGCGCCAAAGTATACGCGTGGATTCTTGGCAATTGTTCTTCTTTATGTGGCGTGTTTGCCTATCACTGGTGTTATCATGTGGGTGTATGGTCGGCAGAACAAGAAGCTTGATAGGCAGCAGACTACTGGGGAGGAGCACACTACTATCCAGCGATATCAGCTATAGAACCTACGAGTTATAGTCAATCTTGGAAGCCATAGTACTCAGTAGGAGACTGAACGCCTCATGTCAAGACCATTGCGGTCATGTCTCTTGATCCAGAAGGAATAAGAGTGCCGCCGACATTGTCTTGCCTTGAACGACTAGGCTGGCATGCTACACGCTGTAACGCCCTTTCCTGTGTTTCAGCTACTTCTCTTTCCTAAATCGATAGAGTGTTCAGTTACAAAGCATCTGAAGTTGTCTATGGGTTTCACCACAGGGTGACTCGCCCTGTGAGGATATCTTGCTTACACAGTCATTATCAAGGTGTGAGGAGTTCGGCTGAAAAGCAGGCTGTGAGATGATGAATTCTATTGGATGTCCTCGAACACATATTACAGCCACCACCTGCAACCTACCTAATCAGCCAAAAGACAGACCCGCTGACCTGCATGGTCGAGAAGTAATCCCTCAGCGAGATGAACTTGTTCTCTCACACTCGTTCTCTGGCTGCCAAAACTTTGTCAATCTACAATCTCAAAAAATCACTCGTCACGAAACTTCAGGCTAAGCTACTGCGTACTGTCTCCTTTCTTGCGCAGCCCGCTTTGTACCCAACTGAAAATGCCCTATCATTGGACATGGCTGGGTTTAATCGTTGCATGCATGGTGGAAGTCGCCCATGCGGATGCTTGGGATGACTTTTCTAATAACCTATTCACAGATCTAGCACCGTAAGTGCATACATAGTGATATTCAAGCCCTGGATATTTTGTAACATAATCTCAATAGACTCCTAGCTCTATTTGGAGAGCGCGCAACCATGCAATTCATGAGCCAGGCACTGGGCTGGGAAGATTGCATTATTCTCGCCATGGCTCCATTAGGAATCATTACTGTTCTCGTTAGCGCTGTCCGAGTAGGAGGACCAGCCTGGTTGAAAGCTGTTGTGGGAAGAGCAAGGGAGAATATGTCAGCCGCTGAGATGGAGCTAATGTCGTCGACGTCTAAAGAAGTCTGTGAACTATACAACGGCCAGACCATCGTGCGGTGCCAGGGCTCGACTCCGGTGTGGGAGTTCATATATCTCACCCCCGTTTCCGCTCGAACGCAGGATCCAAATGAACGGCCTGATATCAGATTGGTTACCCTTGAAGAAGCGTGCAAAAAGAAAAGGGATCTGCTACAGAAAATGGACGGTAGCTCATCTAAAGATGAGTCTCCAGCCTGTCAAGATTTGCCACCTCCGGCCAAAGGTAGGATGGCCAAGATCTTCCACAACGGTAGGCCCCAACCCTTAAGCATCGAATAAGAAAGGGTTAGGCTGGGCACTAATATCAAGCATGCAGTCTTTGAAGGCTTGTCACCCCCCCAAAACATTGACGTCACCGTTGAGCGGGATGTTGAGCCTGGGGCCTGCTCCGAGCCCCAGGCTGAGGCCAATGATGCTATCTATGTCATCCGAAACACGAGCTCCGATGCACCGAACATCATCTTGAACCTGCAGAACAGCAGCAACAGCCGCAAGGAACTAAAGGCATATGCCATGATCGGACTCATCTTGCAGTTGGGCGTCTTGATCTTCTTTGGGGTCATAACGTACCATCCCACTGTCAAGAACAGCTTCCTTAAAGATGACAAGCGTGTCGATGACTACGGATTGCCCTTGGCTGTTGGTGGCACCCTCGTTCTTGCGCTTGGGATGTTCCTCTGCGGCACTGTCGTTGAGAGCAGCACGCACGAAACACGTTACAAGACAAATGACAAGTATGAAATGTGGGTTGTTTGGATTCAACAGAAACAGACTGTTGGCGATCAAGTATTCGAGCCTTTTGCAACCTTTCCCGAATCGCCTCGGAAAGTTGTCACGATGTCTCGTCGTTGTAGCGCAAGCCAAGCCCAGTTTTTACAGCCCCGGGTGGTTATCGGAATCTCACTCGGCCTTTTCGGTTTCATCATCCAGTTCATTGGACTTAGGGGAATGAACTCAGCGGCAACTCTGGCACAGCTCGGTGCTGTAGGGATCATGACAGCCATCCGGGCCTGGGTTCGAAGAGGACTCGCAAGGCCTCCCCGACGAGCAAAGTTAACATCAGGGTTTGAGCTTGATGCGCTGGCGTGGGCATTGACTCTCCTGAACTCTTCAAGACACAAAGAATCAGAGTCGGCGGTTTTGACGGAAAACACACGGGAGGAAGAAAAGAAAATATCCAGAGATTTGGTCCAGGCAGGCCATATGGAACAGTTCATGAATCTCGCTTTGCAAAGTAAGTGCACATGGACCATTTCCACGGGAGGAAATGTCGAGCACCGGGCCTTCTTACGACACCGTCCGTCGTCCAACTCCAAGGCGCAGCAGGTGCTAGAGACACGACGGAATCTTAGCAAGCTTGCGCAGTTCAAGGGCACAAACGCTAGCGAGGCCATCAATCTTGCAAAGGCAATGGAGAATGTCGTCAACTCCCTCCTTCCTCTTGGTTCAGGGGACAACGATACAATATGGACGTGGCCGCTTGCTATTGTTTACGGAGACTCTGATTCGGCTGAGGGTCTACAATGCCACGTTCAGATCCGCCTGGTCGGGAAAAATGGATCCTGGAAGGTTTTGGCAGACGAGCTTGAATCTGTTCTGTCGCTGTGTTTATTTACTGCTTGCAAGCAAGAAGAGGATCAAGCGACCGACGGCGAATCCAAATCCAAATTGCACGATGAGACTTATGACTGGCTTCGCGAGGAAGCAATGATTTCGAGCTTTGCAGTCAGACTCTTTGGCTCAGTGGATGATGAGGAAACGGTTCAGTTGATCCAAGACCTACGTTGGTGGGCGCCAGAGACATTCGACATTCTCGCGGAAATCCAAGAGAGTGAGGGGACACTGGATATTGATTGCAACGAGGAAGTAGTGGAACCCCATGACTACCAACCTTTCGACATTCCAGCATGGGGTGATGGAAAGGAGTTTGATCGACTTTTTCGACCAGATCCTAGATTGGAGTCCGTTGTGGTTACCAACACCAGAGTGATCGGCCACAATCCTCGTCACCTCCAGTCCCAATGCGACACCACGCAACACCGCTTTCGCAACTTTTCAGCTTTGGCCGACCCTGAAAAAAGGCAAAGGCGAAGGGGAACACTAGCGATAGGATCTAATGACTCTCTGGGAAAACTTTATGCCAAGGATCTTCTCTTCTCCTTCCTCTTTTCCGTCGCTAAAACCCTCCCCGAACCTCTCCGAGGCCACATCACAACCAGGGGTCCGACCACCGGCATCAGGGTCAGTAATACTTTAGCGGCACTGAGCACAGACGGAATGAATTCTATGGTCACCGAACTGAGCCGCCTTGGCTACGGTTCTGAACAAGAGGTCTGGCTGAGTATTATAACACCGCTGAGCCTAGTCGAGAAACTCCCAATTCCCTGGCCATTGGCGGTTCTGAGAAGAAACAGGGCTCAGAAGATGCGCCAGCTACAAAATTGGTCAGGCGCCAACGTCGAATATCTGCAGCTATGGAAGCAGACGCAATGTTACGCTTCAAGCTCTCGAGGAATTTGTGAATGGGGCATATCGTCTCTGGTGGAACACCTCTGCGATGCAGACAACGAGAGGACGCGAGAGAGATTCGAGCATCAACCTTCAAACTTTCAGTTAGACATGGTTTTTCAAGGGCTCCTTCGGGCCTTGGAATGTTCCAAACACCAGCCGGGCTTTTTTGCCCACCTCCTCAGGCTTTATGAGAGACAAGGGCGTCTGGTCAAGTTGAAGGCTGTTCAGGACCTGGCTGGTCCGCCCCCGGAAGACGGATTTCCAGGGTATTTCAATGTCACATGGCTGCACTTGAAGGCCATGGAGTTTGTGAATCCGCATTCATTCCGGGATTTTGAAAGAGAAGTATGGGGCGCTGTCAATGAGAGAGACATTTGCGGCTGTACGCCCCTTCACTATGCCGCGCTTAAAGGAAGCAAGGACTTTGTCTCGGCTCTGCTAGAGAAGGGTGCCGACCCGAATCTCAAGAACCTTCACGGATTCACTCCATTACACTACGCTAGTCCGAGTGGATCAAGCTCGATCGTTCAGTTGCTTCGAGACAGAGGAGGAGACATTACGGCCTGTGATCTCGAGGGAGCGACTGCTGTGCATATTGCGGCCAAATATGGCAATGTTCAGCTCATCAAGTCGCTTGTGAAAGAAGGTTCCCTCGTGGAGCTGAGAGACTACAATGGACGCCTGCCCATCCACTGGGGAGTGGTCCATGGACAGATAATCGTGGTGCGTCACCTCAAGAGCACCATTGACGAGACAGACATGTATGGCTGGACTTCGCTTCATCTCGCGACTCTCTATCATGAAAAAGACATGGAATTGATAAAGACAGTATTCAAACTATCAGCTGACCCAGAGAAAGCTGATAAGGAGGGCCGCACAGCCCTCATATTGGCCTGCCAAAGTTCAAGACTGCACGCCGCCCATGAGTTGTTAGAAGCGGGTGCAAACGTCAACGCAATGACTCCTCGTTACACCACTGCTCTGCATTGCGCTATTGACCACGGACAAGATGCTAGCTTGATCCAGGCTCTTATCGATCGTGGGGCAAAAGTCGACATCCGCAGCATAGACAAAGGCAGACGTAGCCCTTTTCACTTGGCTGCTGAACGGGGAAGTCGCACAATCATGAAGATCCTCCTAAGCGCATTGGAGGGATTGGACATCAAGATTAGTTCCAAGGCCCTCAACTCCCGCTCCTCTGACGGCCAAACAGTCCTGCATGTTGCAGCCTTGGGGAAGAGGCCAGAAATCATGGAACTGCTTCTCGCGGCAGGTGCAGACCCAAAGTTCGAAGACAAGCGGCAGAGCACTCCATTGCACACAGTTTTGGAACAAGATAATGATAAAGAGGGTGCCTGCCTGAAGATGGCCAGGATGCTGGTTGAGAACGGTTGCAACCCTCATGCTAAGGACTACATTGGCAGAACACCTCTCTACTTGGCGTTGTCAAGGGGGCACGAAGAGGTTGCAGAATACCTCGAGGGGCTTCCGGAAGCCGAGGGGGATGTCAGTACCCGACAAGAAGATGTTACAGGAGGCGATAAAGGAGTGAGCGAAGGGGTTCAGAAGCCTAGCTGATGCACATCCCCGGACTATTAATGGGCATGGAAAAACACATGGGCCCAGCTCACATGTACTGAGGAGCGCAGTTTGTCATTTTTAAAGAGATTTCCACCGCCATCTGTTACATAATAAGAATTTCATCATTTGTTTTGTTTCCTACTACTCCAGTCAAGTTCAGGACCTTGATCCCATTATGCTCCATTATCGCCTCCATGGCTAACATTGTTTAATGATGACCTAGGATAAAAGTCCAGTTTCTTAACCCTGATTGTGTCCAAAGAAGAGAGACAAAAACGCAAATGGGAGGCCACTGTTTGAGGGGCAATCTCAGATGCAACATCCGTTGAACGTGGCTGTGGTTGGTTGACGTAAAATACCCCTGACTTTACTCGGCATCCTCTCACGTGTCCACGGCTTCCGTAGTTTCTCTCGTTAAGGTCTAGAACTATTTGAAGACCTGCATGTATTGGTCACAGTTGTAGCTACTGCTTCCTGGGCCATGGCATTGGAGTGTTACTGCCAGTGGCCTACCATAGGACGACAGCCGCGACTTCATCTTCACTACTTTAACCACATGCATTCAGTTGGGACGGGAAACCAGGGCACAAGGCATAATTATGTATTAGATATGCGAGGATAGTACCCACCATCAACTAAATTAACTTATCATATATATCTGACACATCAACTTAGAACAGCAGTCCCTTGGTCTGCTCCCTTTCGCTTAGACGATGGTTTTTCATCAAAGTAATCCATGCAATGGGACCAGCAAGAGCAACCACTGAAGCGATCAACATGACCTTTTGAGTCTCTCCATAAGCCTTGACAATGGCCTCTCGCTCAGGGCTTCCCCAAGGGAAGGCCAGCTGCTGGGTAATGTCACCGTAGATGGTGAGAGCATCAGCCTGTAGCTCCTCAGGAAGGTACTTGGCGAGCTTGCTGGGCATGAGGTTCGTCCAAATAGCTCCACTAATGGACTGTCCGATGGCACCGCCGACGCTAGTGACCAAGTTGAGAAGGGCAATACCGACAGCGACATCTCGGTGGGGAACAGACGCCATGACTGCGATTTGTTCGATCATGACAAAGGTACCTCCAGCAAGAGAACCGAGGACTTCGCACATGATGATATAGCCAACGTGGGTGTCTGGCATGCGGAACTTGATCATCAGACCTGTCATGAGGATCTGCAGGGGCAGCATGACCATGGCGAGCCACTTGTATCTATCGGTAAGTCGCATGAGGCTGTGCGTTGTTAGTATTTCTACAAAATAACTCTTGATCTGGTAAATAGTTACTCACATTCCGACTGGGACTCCCCAACCGCAAGAGACGATATTGAAGATGTTGGTGATATATCCGGCCTTTGAAACACTGAGGTTATAAACGACCTGAAGGTAGGAATTGAACTGCAGCTTATAGCAGCTGCAGTGAATTAGTAACCAGACAAGATAAATAAGAGTACGGTAACTTACTAGAAACTGATCCACATGTTGCCTCCCAGAAGACAAGCAGCAAGGACAGTCCTGTTCTTGAAGAATTCGAAAGGAATGAAGGACTTGGGCGCAATGTACTTCTCGAAGAAGGGGAAGGCAATGATGCAGAGGCAACCAATGACTAGCATCACAATGATGCTGGGTTCTTTCCACTTCGCTTCCTGTCGACATCTTAGCATGCTTGCTATATATTATTGATGGCCTGTTTCTCTCACCTGGTACCCGGCAAGACTGAAGGGTAGAAGAAGAAGCGAGAAGCCCGCGACAATGATGATCATTCCTGCGAGGTCGAGCTCAATAACCCAGTACTTGATGCTCTCCCACACAGTTCGGTTACTCTTTTCCTTGACGTAGTAGCCCTTCTCCTCTGCGCGTCGGAGCTGAATGGTGAAGATGGCGATGAGGGGAGTCAGGATGGCGGGGATAATGATGGTAAAGGCGCCATAACCCCATCGCCACGTGCTACCCTCAAGGAACGCTTCGGCTGCAGCAGGGCCAGCGAATGTGTTGGAGATGTAAGGCGTGTTCGCGAAGCCGAAGAGGATCATTCGGTTCTTGAGAGTCGTCGTGTCGGCCATGAAGATGTTGAGGACGTAGCCGATGCCATTCATGCCGGTCCAGAAGAATACCTGGGCTGCAGCGTAGGTCTGAACGTTGTTGCAGACTGCCATGAGAATAAGTGCTTGATAATGGTTAGTTCAGGTCACATAAGGTTGGTCCAAGACAACACTTACCCATCACAACACAGAACAGCATGATCAAGAGACCCTGCACTCGGCCGATGACATCAATGATTCGAGCCAGCGGCAGCTTGCTCACCCCAGAAACAAGGTTGGACACGATACCAGTGGCGCTCATGAGACCGTGCAGGCCAAAGCTACTAACGACATAGGGCAGCAGAGAGTTGGAGATTTGCTGCTGCAGAGAGTCGGTGAAGAAGACAAGCCAGATGCTATCACCATGTAAGAAGCCATCTTGACATCAGAATAAAGTATACATACAGGAGATACGCAGCGATGAGCCATGGCTTCGTCCACGCCTGAGTCAAAGCCTGCATCTTCTCAATACCCCTGTAACCACCCGTGTTGGAGTCAACCTCGGTGTCAGACTCCTTCTCGTCATATTGAGGACGCTTCTCATTGTCGGTCGCCTCAGGGACGACCCTGGGGCCAGATTCGACCTCGTCTTGATTCGCCATGGTGTTTTTGAGGCTGGCTTGAGCAGAAGCAAAGAGGAATGAAGAGCCCTAAAGAGATCGACATGTGAGAGAATTTTATACCTCTCGGCCAGTGTAACGTCTCACCGTCTTGGCCATGTTAATCATTGCCCTGTATATGGCATCTTAAGTGTACGGTAACATTGCGATAATTCGCAATGACAAGGGCCAAGACAAAAAGCTCTTTTCCTTCGCGAAGCCCGTTAGTGGTTCGACGACAGCGAGTGTGGACCATCGCTTGAACGTGTGGAGCGTCGCTAAGACTGATTGATAAGATGTGATTGGAATCGTCATACGTTGGAGGAGCCGCACCCTGGTCCATCTGGAGCTTCTTCGGTGCTTGGCGTGGGATGTCTCTGGTCGCGTGGGCTCGTTGGGAGTTGGTCGCACCAGCTGCGAAGGGGAGCGTACTCCGCTGGAGAAATGCGGGTGCTTAGTTATGGATACAGTTATACCATTCTAGACCAGTTTTCCGGATCCCCCCTGGTTCAAAACTCCCCGAGACCTGTCAATTCCGAAGGAGTTGCCCAAGTTGACCCTGTTACGAGAGCGGGGAGAACACCCCCTGTCCCAGCAAGTCTGTCGAATGGGGTTCAATTTTTGAGATTTTCTTACGGATGAATCATGAGCTTTCAGCCTTGTATGATCTCTTGACTCTTAACCTTAGGCTTAATAAGTCTAATACCCCTGAGCCAACCCCAGCATGGGTCGTGGTAAGCTTATTTGCGGACGGTTTCCTCCGTGACATGTGATGGTATGTGCGTGAGTATCTGATTGGGCGGGGTATTTAACTGATTAGCAGATTATCAAGGCCATTTACCCATGTACGAACTTGCTCAGTAGGATGAATCCCCTTGCGAGGATCAACAAGGATCATATAACCGAGAAAAAGACTGTCATTGTCGTCTAGCAAAAGACAGCCCAAGAACTAGGGGAATACTGACTAACGAAGGATCCTAAAGCTCTGAAAAAAGCTCTCCTCCCACCGTTCGGTCAAAAATAAACTTACCACGGCCATGGTCAGATCATCCAACACCTCACTCAGTCTTGGGCTTCACGTAGCCAAGGTCAATGTCGCTCAGCAAGTTGACATGCCTAATTGCATCCCTGGCGCCATCCCACGCCTTCCTCTTACCCGTCTCGAACACTCGGTAGAGATGCGGCGAGTTGACACCCCACGCCATGAGCGAGCACAGCGTAGGCTCACGCAGCCAGAACCAAATACCTCTTAGCGTCCAGCCAAGGTGCTCATACATGCCGGTCCCAGCCTTGTCGTCCACAAACTTGAGCCAGTCGTGGGCCTCTAGCTGACCCTCATACTGGGGGAGTGGATTCGTAAGGCATAGGTTTGCGAACCATGCTTGATGTTGACGAACCCAATCTTGCATGGTGGAGTCTGATGGGAGAGTGGATTTTCCTGCCCAGACTTGCGCGATGGCCATGCTAGCGAGCTCACGCGCCACAGAAGCGCTTTCCATGATGACGATATAATTGAGACAGGCTAGGGAGTCGCTGTAGCCCAGGGGGAACAGACCCTGGTAGAGGTCCGGGATGGGACGCACGTCGGGATGTGGGCGGGAGTAGCTGATGATGCCATCGAGGACTTGCAGTGAGTTGTTGTATCCTGTACAGGCAATTATGGTATCGACATCTTCGAGGATTGTATCGTCGTCGAGCTCGACAGATCGAGGACCCAAGATTCGCCGCACACCCGCCGTTGAAGTGACTTTTCCATCACGCAACGCAGGAACGAGATGGTCATTAATGACAAACCCAGAGATGGTTGTCGCGTAGAACGCGTTCCTCTCAAGACGCCACTGAGGATTGAGCTTTCCCCAGGACTCAGACACGACCCAGTTGAAGAAAGAGTCAAACATTCTGCGGTGAAGAGAGGGTAGATGCTTGGCGATCCAGAACCCCATGCGCGTCTTCTTCCATGAGGCAAAGGCGTCGAAGCGCTGGCCGTTCACAACGCGGGGAAACACGAGTGCGCCGCGGCGATGGGACCAGTAGACTTTCGATGAGGAGGATGAGAGTTCCTAGGTATGTGAGTTGCGGGACTTGAAACTCTTGTTCAAATTGCTTACGACTGCACAGTCTCCTGCTGTGTTTCCCTGTCCAATCACAATCACGTTCTTGTCTGCAAAGTCTTCAGGCCTAGCATTGCCGTCAGCAGTTGTGTACGAGCCGGGAAGATTGTCTCATACTTCTTGAAGGCTTGGCTGTGTAAGAACTTGCCCTGAAAGAGCTCCAAGCCCTCGATCACAGGAATAACAGGCGTGACCTCTGACCCAGAAGCTACGATGACCTTGTCAAAGAGGCGAGGTGTATCTCCACCCGATACATGCAAAGCCCATTGTGTGTCATCATCGGATCTCGTGATGGACGATACAGTCACATTAAAGGTGATCTTCTCGAGTAACCCGAAGTGAGCTGCGTAGGATTGGTAATATTTGCGCAAGTCCTCGCCCCCGGGATGCAAAGGGAAGTCTATGCCAAGGTCAACCAAGAACAAGCAAAGACTTCAAGGGAACGTTTACCATCAGGGACCGGATAATCAGAAAAGGGAATCTGGAGGGTCGTTAGTTACGCCTTGGATCACACACAGGCCGGCAACTCACAAGGAATTTGCTGAATTGCGCCCTTGTTCCTCTCGTCACAGACGTAAACTGTGGGTTTTCTGAGAACGCCCAGATCCCGCCGGCTTCCGATCGTCTCTCAAAGCACGTCACCTGCAATCCCTCTTCCAACAGAGATTTGATGGCCGCGGGCCCAGCCGGGCCTTGAAGATCGGTCAGTAGCAGATCTCGAGATGAGATCTAGACTCACCTGCGCCAATCACAGCGATGTGGATCTTTGAAGTATCCATCAAATGTTCTTACAGCAGTGGCCAAACTCAAAGCCGCAACAAGAAATGGATCAAGTTCCTACGTAAAGATAAGATCTCGTGAGAATAAGCCACGGAGAGGCACACGACGCGTCAGCCGCATGATTACGGGCTAATGTGCAATTAAGCCCAACATCGTGGAATGTTGGCGTCGATGCTGGGGGGGCTTGGACCCTTTAGTACAGTCCTCTATTGGCCACGCTCAGAGGAGGCTTATTTACTTATCGCATTGTGCGACCCTGGCTAGATTGCACTTGTGAAGCCTTTTTGATTGCTAGGCTCGAATACGGTCATCTTGAATATGTTGATCGGGGTTTGGCGTGGGTGATGGCGGCCTGGACCCTTGGCATCTCCGTCGATTGGCGGAGATGCGGTAAACTCGACGGGAGTGCCTCTTTTGTGGGAATGGCATTGAAGTTTAAAGACTTGGTTCCTGGTTGATCCATGCCATTAGCCATGATGCCCTGGATATTTAAGAAGTCTTTATCCGCCAAGTCTTGTTCTCCCAGTTTCGTCTCACCCAGGTGCGTCGGCCGTCTTCGCCTTGGTCATTCATTTAGCGACGTCCCTCTACAAAATGTCCAACTCCAAGATCAGCCCCCCTGCGCCTGTGTACGCCATCGTCTGGTCCATTCAAGGCGAATATGACGTTCCGCCACCTCAAGCCTTTTCTCCGCTAGGAAGTTGTCATACCCAAGGCTGTTACGTGGGTAGTCTCAGGAGAGGATCTGCACACTGCCTTCAGCGTTGGTACCCTTCTCCACGCCTCAAGCTCCATTTCAACTGACTGGGCATTGCAGATGAATGCCAAACCACAAAATGCACTGGCTGGAAGAGCCGAACAGACTCGTACTGCGATAATTGCGCCAGAAGCAGTGGGTAACAGCGTGAAAGAAAGGCTCAACATTGTTGCTAACGAAATGAAGGGTTTCCCAAGGCGACGCACATCCGACAGCTCCTGTCCAAGGCCAGAAGGAATACTCTGACTTGATTCATTGTACATATGGGCTATGCGATTGTGAGGATAAGGATAATTTAATTAGTGGTGATAGGGATTGCATTGGCCGGCGCTGGGGCTAGACGGCATGAGGTGAAGGGATTGCGAAGTCATAGAGGATGTACAATATCTCGCATATTTCTGGTCAACCTTGTTGAAACCGACCTTCTAGAACAGAATGGATGGTTTTTGTAACATGTAGCTTTTGCCTCTGGTTATTGATGGGGACTAACATCCTGCTCCTCATGTCCTATCTCGTCAAATGTGTACCCTCACTTTGAACTCGGCGATTCGGGAGGCTACTGTTGACCCGTTCCAAGTCTCAGAAGAAGGATCTGATGTAGCCACATGTTGTGGGAGACCTATTTGCTCTAGTGCGAAGCTGGCAGCTACAGTGCCAAGAACAGTTGCCTCTCTCAGGTCACCTATTGTTTGCAGCCCAATGGTCAACCCGCCTAGAAAAGCATTCCCGGCGCCAGTCGTATCCACTATTTTGCTAGAGGCGGCAGCATAGAAAGATGGAAGCCAGAGTGCATCATCTTTGGTCATTGTCAAGCAGCCATGCTCCCCGCAGCGCACAACAATAGCACCTCGACCTTCTCGTCCAATACCAGCATTCAAGAAGACCTGGGCGTACTCTTGTATGAGTTCTTTAGAGAATGACAATAGATTCTCGGACTTTCCATGTGCTAGGGCTTGCAGCTCGAGGTGGTTCGGTGAGAAGATGTCGACGAAGCAACACGCTTGAAGATGTGACTCGAGGTGTTCCTTTTTGCAAGATAGTGGAGCAGGTTCCCATACAATAAGATGCTGCCCCTGCAACTCACGATCCTTTCGAAGGGAAGATAGCGATGTAGCATGTTTCACCAGGTTTTCCGGGGCTGCTAGGAAATGGAAACTTTGGGCGTTGAGGAGTGTCGAGGTCTCAAGATCTGATGGCCACGGTTGCAGAGGTGGAGCAACGTACTGAAACTCTTTGACTGGAAGATGTGAGCATGTTCCTATTTTATGGCGGAAGCTCTTACGCCCAAAGTTTTCGTCCTTGTATTGTAACAGGCCTCTTGTCGATGGCTTGTCGGGCAGTCTTTTCACCTGTAGAGCGAGTTCCCAAGCTCTAAGCGTCTCGACCACGGATTCCGGAAAGTCGTATCCTGCGAGGATTATAAATCCAATTGATGCCAAGGTAAGCTGAGACTGGGCAATTCTAGCTCCAAGTGTTGCTTTGGTCGTATCAGCATGTGCTCTTGAGTATGGACTCAGTGCCGCGTACCATAGAGACCAGATCCCCCAGGCACATCATAGAGGGTTTCCATTGATGGCGATCTTATTTCGTCTAACACAACCATCCCCAGAGAGACAAAAGTAGGGCTGTTGCTCTGTGGCTGCACACTGCCAGACTCAGCCATGGTGTCTACGTCGCCTTACACAGATGCGGGATTTAAGAAAAAGGTTAGTTCTGAGTCGAGATAAATGACAGAGACACCCTTGAGAGGGTCCAATATAGCCCAAACTTCAGTATTTGGCCTAGATTCCGGGAGCGGGCATTTTGAACTCCGTCTCTCCCGGTTGACGGCACGGGGATGGAATGCAAGCTCAGTGGTGCTGGTCACCTGAGCTGAGCTGCACCTACCGCTGCACGAGCTGGGGTATTGCACCTGCCTCAGCCTGATTCTGTGAGATGCTTACAGATTGAAGCTGACACGTGCCCCGCGCTTCTCATTTTCAACCCTTCAATCTCTTCCATCTGAAAGAATTTCCCTCTTAATTTGACTTGTCCAGTCACTTCACCCCATGTCCAATCCCAGTGACTACACCGTGGGATGGGTATGCGCCCTTACATGCGAGTATGTCGCCGCTCAAGAGTTTCTCGACGAGGAGCATGATCCTCCAGAGTCGCTGCAGCCTAATGACAGCAACGACTACACGCTCGGGCGGATTGGGCGACACAACGTCGTGATAGCCGTCCTCCCAGATGGCGAATACGGAACAGCTACGGCGGCCAGTGTAGCCACGAGCATGCTAAACAGTTTCCCCAATGTCAGGATTGGTTTGATGGTTGGTATCGGCGGCGGCGCTCCCAGTCCCACGAACGATGTCCGTCTTGGGGATATCGTCGTCAGCGCACCCCGAGAGGCGAATGGTGTCACGTATGGCGGCGTATTTGAATACGACTTTGGAAAGACCATACAAGACCAGGCCTTTCAGGAAACACGATTCTTGAATCAGCCTCCCACTACCCTACGAGCCGCTGTTCGGGGTCTCCAGGCCCAGTACGCGAGGAAGGGTCATCAGCTCGGACAAGCTGTTAACAACGTCATCAGCAAGAATCTTATGCTACAAGACGAATACTCGCGGCCAAATTCGAGCACAGATGTTCTGTTCCGATCCGACTTTACGCACGGCTCGAGAGAGTGTGCAGAGTCGTGTGCCAAGGATCCATCTAATACGGTCACACGACGCCTAAGGACTGTCTATCACGATAAACCGGCCATCCATTACGGCATCATCGCGTCAGCCAACCAGCTAATGAAGGATGCTATCACTCGGGACAGGCTGGCAAAGGAGAGGAATGTCTTGTGTTTTGAGATGGAGGCTGCAGGCCTGATGAACGACTTTCCATGTCTCGTCATCCGAGGCATTTGCGACTACTCGGATTCGCACAAGAACAAACAATGGCAAGGTTATGCTGCCATGGCCGCGGCTGCATACGCCAAGGATCTTCTCAACCGCATCGTTCCAAGCAGAATCGAGAACGAGCAGAGAATGAGCGAGCTGTTCTCAACTGGTCAGTCAAGCCTCTCAACTGGTGCAGTATCTAACGGTTTCCAGCCATCCATGCGCTTGAAAATACTGGGGAAAGTGTTGAAGCCATGAAACTACGCTCAGACAGGGAAGTTGAGCTTCAGATGTTGAACTGGTTGACAGCTATCGACTACGGCCCACAACAGAGTGACATTTTCAGAGCACATCAGCCCGGAACCGGACAATGGGTATTGGATTCGGATGACTTTCAAACATGGATCGCCACCACAGGCAAAACACTGTTTTGCCCGGGAATTCCTGGAGCGGGCAAGACAATCGTGGCATCCGTTGTCATCAACCATCTCATGGAGAAGTTGCGAGAAGACTTAGCCAGTGGCCTTGCGTATATATACTGCGACTTCAGGAGAAGGAACGAGCAAACAGTCGAGCATTTTGCTTCGAGTTTGCTGAAACAACTGGCAGAGAAACAATCCACACTGCCAGATGCTGTGCGACAACTCTATGAACGCCACAAAACGTCAAGAACAGAACCCTCCCTGAGAGAGCTAGTTGAATCTCTTCGCTCCGTCACGCAACTATTCGATCATGTCTTCGTCGTCGTTGACGCTCTCGACGAATGCCAAGAATCCAACCACTGCCTACCGAGGTTCCTCTCGGAGCTCTTTGACCTTCAGAAGCAACTTGGAGTGAACCTTTTTGCAACAGCCAGACCTCTCGGGCACATCAATTCGAGTTTTGAAAAGGCCATATCAATCGAAATCCGCGCTCATAGCGAGGATGTGAGAAAGTATGTCAGTGGCAGGCTGGGAGAATTGCCCATGATTGTTCAGAGGAATTCAAAACTTCAAGAAGCCATCATGGATAACATTTCTCGGGTCGTGGATGGGATGTGCGTGAGAATTCGCATACGAACCATTATCCTTCTAAAGCTGACATTGGCAGGTTTCTCCTCGCGAAATTGCATTTCGAGTCTCTGATAGGAAAGATGACGGGCAAAGCCATCCGAAAAGCGTTAGAATCCCTACCAACCGGTTCCAGCGCTTATGACAGCGCATACGAGGAGGCCATGAATCGCATCGAGGATCAGAATAGAGACAAGAGAGATATGGCCAAAAAGACTCTGCTCTGGATCACTTGCGCCAAGGAACGTCTCACGAAACGAGAGCTCCAAGAAGCGCTAGCGGTGGAAATCGGCGAAACGAAGCTTGATCAAGACAACCTACCAAACATGGAAGATGTGGCGTCTGTTTGCGCCGGACTCGTTACCATTGATGAGGAGAGCAACGTTGTGCGGCTAGTTCACTATACGACACAGGACTTTTTCGACAGAACGCGCGACAAATGGTTCGAAGGCGCGGAATCTTATATCGCCGAGGTTTGCCTCACTTATCTTCTATTCGAACGGTTCCATGGGGAGATGAGGGATGCTTTTAACTCTAATTCGGTGCAACATATCCGTTCTATGGCAGCTAAAATGGGAGGAGAACAGGATCTTTTCAGAGAGGAAGTGGACCCCTTATATCTCTGGACTATCTGGAAGCATCGTCACCTCCCTTTCCACCATTATGCTGCGGGAAACTGGGCCATCCACGTGATTAATGCTTCAATGCAAACGCACCATCAAGTGATTGCATTGTTGGAAAGCCGCCGCCCTTTGCAAATGTCGGTAACGCATGCAAGGCAGATACCGGGCTCACCTTCAAATATGACTGGACTTTACCTTGCTGCGCACCTTGGACTAGACCAAACAGTGGGGGCCTTATTGCAAAGAGGGCATAACCCAAACATGGCATCGGATAGTCGGTGGCTCATCCGTGAGAAGGGAATTCCTTTAGTTTCCGCAAGTCAACTCGGCCACGGAAAGGTTGTGAAGGTCCTCCTCTCAGGTCAAGCCGACCCAAACCTTCCAGGTCACCAAGGAAGGACGGCCCTCTGGTGGGCTGCATCTAAAGGCTACGACGACATCGTTCAGCTACTGATAGATAAAGGCGCGAACCCAGACCACCAAGGGTTTGACGGAGCAACGGCTCTCGGAGCAGCTTGTGCACGTCGCGACTACAGAGTCGCCAAGGTCCTCCTTGATGGTCAAGCTAACCCAAACCTTCAGGATGGACAAAAAGGGACGGCCCTCTGGTGGGCTGCATTCAATGGCTACGGTGAGATTGTGAAGCTACTAATAGACAAGGGTGCGAATCCAGACCACCGAGATCTCCTCGGAAGAACAGCCCTCGGGGTAGCCTGTGAACATGGCCACACATCTGTGGTGAAAGCACTGCTTCCTGTTGCCCGGGTCGACCTTGAATCTCTAGTTTCGACCACGTTCACCATGCCGCTATTCATCGCTATCAGGGGAGGCAAAGTTAGACTGATTGAGGCTCTACTGAAAAGAGGCGACATTGCAAGCCTGGGAAAGGACTGGTCTGAGAGTGCACTGTCTCTTGCAGTGAGGACTGGCCGAACCAAAGTTGTCCAGCTGCTGCTGCGTATGGGTGCTAACCCACACTGTGGCTCGCCACCACTCGTCACGGTTGCAGCCAGGAAAGGTTACACTGACATTGTCGAGATATTGCTGGGCGCGGGCGTTGATCCGGATGATATAAAGGACTGGGGGTTTATTCTATGGCAAAGGGCTCTCAAGCGGCGCTGAGGCTCAGCTCCTGTGTATCAGCCTGTAGGAGTCTTCTACTGCAGGCAGTAGAGAGAACAAAAAAAAAAGGTCACCGTGTTGATTACGCTGTTATGCTATGATATTTTAAACATGTGTTCTTTAATGTACTTGAAGCCCGGTCCTTGATGGGAGAAGTGGGCCAGAAGACCGTATATGGCCAGTAGAATGCCAGGCTCTGGGTAGCCTCGCTGAAGGGGCGTTAAGCTTATGTGCCTACTGTAATTATTGGTGCGGTACCTGTTTTTAGTGCAGTGGTTATTATCTGATAGGGATGCCTTTATAACACGCTCTTCATGGCCTTCTATCCACAGAGGTGATCAAGCAGGCATTCTGAGCCCATGCTGTGACCTGGCAGGGGGGTTGGCACAACTCAAGGACCTGCGAGACTCGGCTATTCGCCAAGCCCTGCGACCCAGAGATAAAACCCGCAAAATAAACTCAAGTCATCCAGCAACCTTTCTTTACCTTACATCTAACACTAACACCTTGGTTTCTCCATCCAGCCAACTTCTCGATGAGTTCATTCGGCCTCAAAGGAATGAGCACTTGCCTTATTCACCTCCCGCCAGAACTCCTTGAGCAGATTCTGTCTGGATTACCAAACAGCGACATCAAGAGCCTGCGTTTAACATGTACTCGCCTCCACCGTTGCGCTCAATTACGCCTCAGCCGCATTTTCCTGTCCCCTAACCCACTGAATGTGAGCGTATTCAGGGCCGTCGCCGATCATGAAGAGTTCAGGAAGGGGATTGTCGAGATCATCTACGACGACGCGCGCCTGGATGACTCGCACGAGACCCCCAATAACGAGCCTTATGAAGACTATGACGAGTATTATGAAGACTATGACGAGGACGAGGAAGACATTGGCGATGTACACAGCGTTCCGATCTGGTTCCGGCGCATATACAGCGATAATTACGATGTTGTCAAGAACTATGGGTGTGAGGATGTGAAGAAGCCTCACCATCTTGAAGTCCTGGAGCGATTCAAGGAGCCTGTGAGTCCGGCAGAGTCTTACAAGCTATATCAGAAGCTGGTGCAAGAGCAAGAACATGTCATCGCCACAAACAGCGACGCCGAAGCCCTCAAATATGGGCTGCCCCGATTCCCCAACCTGCGAACAATCACCCTGACACCTGTGGCTCACGGGCAACCTCACAGACCATTTTACCCTACCCCTATGATTCGCTCTCTTCCACGTGGATTGATCTATCCCATTCCCCGCGGCTGGCCTGTCGCAGAGGAGCAATCTAATCGGCCTTATGCGAAGAGCTGGGATGGTGAGGAGAAAGCAAAGTGGCGCGGTTTCTGTCTTGTGACCCAGGCAGTTGCTCAACACCAACGCGAGAACCCAGGTGCTGGCATCTCTGAATTTATCGTCGATAGCAACCAGCTTCTCACGGGGATCAATTGTCGCGTTTTTGACGAGGCGGAAAATAGCGAGTACAGAGACCTCGTCACCATCTTGGCCCGACCCGGCTTCTCCCGAATCGACCTCTCTCTACATGTTGGTGGCCAAGATCATGAAGGCTGGCCCTCTTTTCGCAGTGGTCTCCTGCAGCATGCACTTGGTACAGCGCAGGGACTGCGGCACGTGAGCCTCACGACCAACCTCGCAATCCCCAACGAACTCTGGGATGCGTCTGAGGGCGGTCAAGAACATCATCTCCCACTGCGCACACTTTTCCCCATCGACACGTGGTCAAACCTCCAGCATTTTTGTCTTTCGCGATTCCTCGTCAATCAGGCAGATGTCATGGATTTTCTACTCGCAATGCCGTTAACACTCCGGTCAGTCGAGTTGAGCTTTCTCTGGTTCCTCCCGAAGAACGGCCATTACCAGAGTTTACTGGAGCAAATGCGAGACGAACTTGACTGGCGCGGGCGCGTGACCGCAGCCAGGCCAAAGATTGTCATTCGCATTGATAACGAACCTATAGTTCAAGGCCTAGCCATCTGCGTTGGACATGAGGTAGAGGACTTTATGTACAGCGACGGAGAGAATCCATTTCGGAAGGGCAGGATCTTTCAGGGCAGAGGGACCCACGTGAAGGCTTTTGATCCTGAATACACTCGACCCTTTGCAAAATATAGTCAGCTGGTAGAACTAGGGATTCTAGAAAAGCCTATCTGGTACCAGCAAAACTAGATGCAAAACCTTGGTATATCTTGGAGCTACAGTCAGATTGAGGAATTTGGGATAGTAGAGTTGAAATACATGAGTCTGCTAAGTCAACCTAACTGGGATCTAAGAGGTATAACAACGGTCCCAGCTACACCTGAAGCCGGCCAGTTCTCGCTCTTTATTAGCTATGAAGGATTTTTACTTCTTCTGCGGGAGAGGAAGTGAAATGGAGACTCGAATCTCATGTATGCAAGCTTGAATCATTTAGTTTCTTCCTAGCAGCTTCTTGACCCCTCCCCAGAGCCAGCGGCCCTACGTCCTCACTATATACCGACACATACATACACTTCAGCCTGTAGTCCAGAGCAGTCGTTCTTTACGGCAGGATTCCACTCGTAGAAGTCATTCAGCTCGATAGCGCGATCATTGGCAATGGCCCAGCATCCGTCGCCTGCCTGAACAAAGTAAAAGTCCTTGCAGCCCGCGACCATGCCGTCCTGGATGGGTGTGGGTGTAGAGCCGATGCCACCAAGTGTGGTGCTGGGAATGTTCTTTGACGTCGTTGTGGTGCTGTCCTCGACGCCCACACAGACATACACCTCAGCCTGGAGCCCGCCGCAGTCGTTCTTCACAGCAGGATTCCACCCGTAAAAGTCATTCAGCTCGATACCGTGATCGTTGGCAATGGCCCAGCATCCGTCACCTGCCTGCACAAGATAGAAGTCATTACAGTTGGAGGCTATGCCAGACTGCACAGGACTGGGAGTGCCAACATCCGTGGCCGTGGCCGTAGCCGAGGTGCTGGTGGTCGTGGTATCCTCGTCCTCGTATAACGGTGGGCTGCCGTCCGCATTGGTCGATATGCAGTAGTATGTGCCAACGGCCAATCCGGTGCAGTCGCTTTTGACTGACGGGTTCATGCGGTAGAAGTCGTCAAACTCGAGCCATGTGGTCAGGAGGACGGACTCGCAAGACTGATACAATTCGGGAGCAAACCAGGCAGTGCAATTCTCAATCTCGCCGGCCGCACGTGGGCTGGGCGGAGCTTCGACATCTTCTTCTCCAGGGGCTGTTATCTCGTCCCGTGGATTAGCACTTGCTGAGAGAGAAGAAATGAGATGCGCCTCGGGAAACTAACCTTGGGTAGCGGACTCGAGGGCAACGCAATAAGATACGCTCTCTGAGACGGTGCAAGGATAATTGTAAGAGTGAGAATCTGATGCGTTAGACGGAGACTTGGCCAGCGAAGGGTTCCAGAGAATAAATTCCTTTTTCGCTGGTCAGCACTGGTTTTGAACTTGACATGCTCTGTAGGCTGGGTGTGGGAGTTGGGCTGAGATGTGTGCAAGCCAACGTCCCAGGATGAACAAGCCATTGTTCTCAGAACTCACTTCTGGGGTGATGTCATGGACCATGGCCATGGACCAACAGTCTGCAAGATTCGGGGTTGCCGTGATGTTGGCAAGATACAAATATCTGATGGGCAAACAACCAATTCAGCAGCCACTAACACCACACAGTGAATGATCCAACTTACGAGCTGCAGTCCTCGCGCGTCTTATTGGCAAGTGGAATCACAGGGTTGGTGCTAACATAGTCGGCGAGGATATCATAGTCGAGCGGCAATGGCGTAAAAGGTGTCTGGACGAACTCTTTGGTAGAAGTAGTTGGCAAGTAGCCCGGGTATGTAGAGATATACCCTACAGGCCGAACGCAATAGTAGTAGTCCTTGTAGACATTTGTGCAGTTCTCCCAGACATGGGGATTGAGAAAGATGCTTTGGGGCCATGTGAGTTTACAGTTCTGAACACGTAAGCATGAGGGGGGACTCACAAATCTTTGAGCGTGATGCCATATTTGACAGCGAAGACGCCGCAGTCTTCCCCTACAGTGACAAGATGGTACTGAGCACATCTGTCTGATGTATCGTTTGGGGTCGGGTCCGGGATGGGACTACGACCAGAGTCAGTGGTTTTGAAGCGTTTTCAATGATGGAGAGTATAAAGACGCACGCAGTAGTAGTGACGATGGTTGGCGATCCTTGGGAGTTGCTTGGGATAGCGTAATTACCCTCTGGGTTGCTGACACAGATATCTTGACCTGCAAACGCAGTGATATTTCTACATGTCTGAATGTCAGTCGACCCTGATCGTGATGGATTTACCTCCAGCCAACTCACGCGCACTGCTTGTCTATATCAGGGTTCCAGGCGATGATCTGTGCGAACGTAACATTGGTCTGGCGGATGATGCTGAGGCAGGTATCACCGTCTTTGACAGAGTACAGCTCGCAGTTCTGGTCATTCGCTGCCCGAGGCGTCCAGGCATGGGTGCCCGATGCAACGGCGCGAGTGGCCAAGAGCGAGAGGCTCAGCAAACGAAGGGACCTCATACTAGAGGAGAGAAAGACTTGACAGAATGTATGGTCGAGGGTGTAAGTTGCGAGTATAACCATAAACGAATGAAAAATACCAAGCCAGGACTAGAAATAGAGGAAGTGAGAACAGCTGGGCTGGGTATTGAGGGCTGCGAGATGAAAGCGGCGGAGCGGCAAGACAAAACACCAGCTTCCGTCGGTTCGCGTATGTTTCTCTTCCGCGGAGCCGTTCATGTGTAGCGAGATAGTCCCAACCACACTGCAGGATCCACTCGAGCTTCCTTGTAAACCTATTCCGCGTGAAAGGACCACTTGAAGACTTCACTGATGAATGGGGGTGGATCTGGGCTGCAGACACGGAGATGAACGCGCCTCGGCCCGGCCACCGGCATTGATACTCGAGATATCTTTTTGTTCAAAGTAGAAAAGCGGTCGAGTCATGAAAGTATCACGGGCATGAGGCCTTGTAATCCCTCTTGCCAAGAGGCCGAGGTGCAGAATGGTCATTACCGATGTTCGACCAACAACACCGCAGGGGACCTCGACGGCGGTGAGCGGTAGGGGACTGTTACAAGACTCCCTGTCACTAAAACTTAACCTACCGAGCGTGGCGCTCCATGTCTTAGTAATGTGGGTACCTCGGGCCGCATCGAGCTTGTTTAAATGTGACTACGATGGTATGAAAGAGGTCAATGGTCTGTCTATGTACCATTGACTGAAAAATTGATTGACCACGGCCATTTACGTCATGAGTGGCACGAGGCTGAAAACCTCTCACCGAGAATTTTCTATTTTCCTGTCATCCGGTGGAGGGCAGGGCTTACAAGTTACCATACAGAGCCTTTGGAATGATGCTATGCTGGATAACGGAGGAGGCGGCATGTGTGCATACCCTCCAACACAGTTCAATTCTTGCGTGATAAATGAGCCCTGAGCAATTTCCCGGTGTCTGTTCTGGGGCGTCAGTGTATGCAGCCAAGGCAAAAATTCCAGGGGGGCAAAGTTACATAGCGACTCAGCAGGACAAGGGTAGAACCAACAGTGATCACAACCAACAGACGGGGCTCGACTTGGCCGAGTTAGGTCACAACAACCGTCATGGGGCCCTCAATTCCGTCGGAGACAGTGAGTCCCCCGGTGGCATTGTGAAGTTGCGAGGCATGGCTCTTCTTATTACTCTCGAAACCCCAAATCCTCAACTGACAGCTCATGGCATCCCTTGAACTATCTGCCGTTATCCATCTCGCTCGCTCTTTGCCTCTCAGGCCTGAGAACAATACACACCATGACCAATTCTCTGGGCCATCAGCGCCTATCACTCTTGAACCTATTTGTGCTTTTCTCTTTCCTTCTCCACTCCTCACTTGTCCTGAGTTATGCTCATAGTCATGCCAAACATGACCATCTTCATCACCTCCATGGGCAATCTCTCCGAGCAGCAACCTTAGCCACAACAAAGGCTACGTCCACGGGCCAGGACGACTTTACCTGTGGCCCGGATAAGCCATGCTCCAACGAAGCTTGCTGCGGCGAGGATGGCTGGTGCGGCTACGGTCCCAATTACTGCGGTGATGGCTGCCAATCCAACTGTGACGCCAAGGCTGAGTGCGGCCAGTTCGCTGCAACGGCTGGCAAGACGTGTCCTCTCAATGTCTGTTGCTCGCAGCACGGCTTCTGTGGCACGACGGCCGACTTTTGCAATGACGGCTGCCAGTCCAATTGCGATAGCCCCAAGCCTAACGCAGCCGCTTCAGACCCGCAGAAGGTCGTCATCGGATATTGGGAGACGTGGAATATGGACAAACCTTGCGGCACTATGGGCCCAGGAGAGATCCCTGTTGAGCTGCTCACTCATCTTTTTGTCTCCTTTGGCTATATCAACGCTGATTTTCAAGTAACTAATATGGATGGCATCGATCCAGCTATCTACAAGACTATCGGCAACGTCAAAGCTCGGAACCCTAACCTCAAGATTGTCATTGCCCTCGGTGGCTGGACCTTTAGTGACCCTGGCCCTTGGCAAGATAAGTTCCCTTCACTTGCGTCCACCAAGGAGAACAGAGCCACCTTTATCAACAACCTGTTGGGATTTCTCTCCGAATATGGCTACGATGGTGTCGGTATGTATTATCCTGGATCGTCGTGTCGTACAGGGGTGGAATTCCTTGCTAATGAGGATTTTTGGCAGATTTCGGTACGCTTTGTCTTGAGCACTTCACTTAGTGCCTTGAGATTGAAATAACTCGAGGTATCCTGCATTTCAAGATGACTAACGCTCTGATAGACTGGGAATACCCCGGCGCTGATGACCGCGGCGGTGCGGACGGGGATGGTGCGAACTACGTGGCTCTGATGAAAGAGCTGCGGGAGGCTATCAATTCCAGAGGCCGCGACTATATTGTCACTTTCACTGCACCTTCTTCGTACTGGTACCTTCGCCACTTTGATCTCAAAGGCATGGAGACCTATGTTGATTGGATCAATCTCATGTCCTATGACCTACATGGTGTCTGGGATAGCGATAATCCCATCGGAAATCAAGTTCTGTCGCATACGAACCTGACGGAAATCGATTATGCCTTGGACCTGGTAAGTCTCACTGGAGCGCCTTCTAGATTTTAACTAACAGATGAACCACGCTCAGTTCTGGCGCGTTGGTGTCGAGCCTTCTAGCATTGTGCTCGGCCTGGGCTTCTATGGCCGATCGTTTGAGCTCGAGTCTGCCTCATGCTGGAAGCCCGGCTGTGCCTTTAAGGGCCCTGGCTCGCCTGGCCGATGTTCTAACACGGCTGGAATTCTCTCATATGCTGGTAAGTAAACTCCTTGGGATTTTGGCTGCAGCCTCGTCTTATCATAATTCCTGGGGCATAGAGATTATGGAGATACTGGACAAAACCGGCGGAACTCCTTACTTTGATGAGACTGCGGCTTCCCGATACATGGTCTACGACGGCCACAGCTGGATCTCGTAAGTTTCGAACAGATGTACAGACATAGTATCTGCTAATTATATATTCCCAGCTTCGATGATGCCGAGACTTTCCAGATGAAGATTGATTACGCAAGCAAGATGGGTCTTCATGGTCTCATGATCTGGGCTATTGATCTCGACACGCCCAACCTCGAAGCCCTGCGATCCATATCCAATGGCGAACTCATCGGAGCCACCAAAACCCCCTTCTCGCTAGTCGACCTCGAGCGCATCTTCCCTGCTGAGATGCTCCCCCCTGACGATGCTGAAAAGGATTATGCTCTCATCAACTTTGGCAGCAACGCCAATGCTGGTGAGATTGATCCTAACCAGACTGGGTTCGGTTTCGTACTCATCACGGGCGACTCGGCGGCCGTGTCTTCTCTCAAGAAACGGGAGGACGAGCCGGAACCTCTAGTCTTCCTCGACTGCCCTGCAGACGTGCTCGAGCAACCCGAGAACGAGACCCGAGTAGCTAGGGTCGTGTGTCTCAGTGAAAACGTCGAGGGCTGCTTCCGAGTTATGGAGCGAGGTGTCGAAGGAACCATTGTCGAGATGCCCGACAATGTTAGTTGACCACTACGCCCCCGGCTGCCTACTTTATCTTGCTGACAGTTGCACGCACAGTGCGCCCCCAACTCGCTGGCGCGAGCCATCTCGCTAACAGAGTCCAAAGGTCGGAACCTATCCCTCAGTCTCTCCCAGTTCTATTTTCACTAAACTCCCTCACAGATCAAAGCCTACCATCCACCCAGTCACGCAGAGCTGTCACGTCAAAGGTCTTTGACTTCGCTTTTGATATGAACCTGAACAAGACGAGGCGAGACACTGGGGACCTCAAGGTCCGCGTCGACTACTCCAACGTGGGAGGCTACTGGAATGCCGCTGTCGACTCCCTAGGAATCCAAGCGGACGATTCTTTGCAACGTAGGATTGCAAAGCGCTTTTTTGCCGAAAGCCAGGCCGACTGGCGGACCATGTACCAGGATGCCGAAGTGCATAAAAGCGATGGCGAGAGATTTGTCAACGAAGAGATTGACACTCCTCTCTTCTGGGACACGACCCAGGATTGTGAGTTCGAAGGGGAGGACTACGAGCTTGGGTTTGGAGCCCATGTCGGAGGCAAGATCAAAGCCGATTTTACGTACGGCTTCTCAATGATAGTATGTCAGCCTTGAACAATCAAGTATGGAGAGGATCTAACCAAACATAGGCCGAACTAAGCAACATATTGAACGTGAGACAAGCCAATGGCTGGCTCAACGTCGATGGAGAGTCAGATCTCAACTTTTCTATCGGAGGCGTCGGCGAGGTTGACTTTGACTTGGCTAAAAAGGGCAATCCAACATCCACCGAAAACAAGCCCGTCAAGCTCAAGGGCCACACGCTGCACCCATCTGGAAATAGCCGGCTATCCTTCCAACCTTACTACAAGATCGACTACACGCTCGGATCCTTCAATAACACCGACGGGGAAGCCGGTAGCGATAGCGCCCCCTACTTTGACGGGAAGCTCAGCACTCGCATCAAGTCAGACTTTGGAGGCTTTAATATGAACTTCCCACCCAACCCGTCGGACAAGCTGGGCACCAGGAATGTCGACCGTGAGAGCAACAGGATCTCTATGGGTAACGACAATATCATCTACAACTCTGGAGGTGCTGGGGGGCGGTTTGCCCTTGGCGCTTTCTTAAGCTTCGGCGTAAAGATTGATCTAGGATTGTTTAAGGACCGGCGCCACCTCAACATTCCCATTATCGATGTATGTTCTGCCTCCATCTAGAGCCCAGGAGGAGTTTTTGAATATTCTTGGCTAATGGGAGTAGATGTCGATGGATTACAGAACGGTCACGGAGTGGAGCTTCTTCCCGTCTCCAGACTTTACCCCTGAGACGTGTCTGAATACTAGTGTTGTGTAAGTTCCCTACACTCGACCTCTTTCTGGCCGTATTGAAAAGGCTAGCCAACTAACACACATCATCGATATAGAACGATCGCGCTCCAGAACTACGAAATGGATGACGAGTAAGTCACCATCCTCTGTGGTAAGGATGGTCAACGTTAACCTATCTCTGCCCAACAGCAAAACCATTGGCTGGAGCGAATCTGAAGCTCTTCCATACATTGTCAGCGATAGCGTAAGTACTGCAGCCCTACCGCGGAGCACCTTCACTATGCCTTCAAACTCTCTGCAGTGGCGGTTCTAACATTCGACAGCAAAGAAAAGGAGGCGACAGTTCGTGCTACCAGGACCAGCCATCTTTGGGCGCGGATATGGCATGGGGCTACGGCTCCGACTCCAACATCAACCCACTGACGTACATGGACGAGGAAGCTGCCAAGGCAATCGAGGGCTCCGATGAAGAGCTGTCGTGCCCTACCTGCCTGGTTTGTGGCAAGAACCGCAAGACCGGGACCCCCTGCTGCGGCTGCGCCAATATGGACCTTGAGCTTGGTGACACCGATATTCCCGACTACAAGAGCTACAGGCCGGAAGTCGACACTGGGGGCCCCTGGCCCTGGCCAGGATATCAGTCAACGAGCTCGCTGTCCAGGAGGGGACAGCCAGATCCTATGGACGGTCAGCAGTGGTCTAGGCTGGAAAGCCGCATAGATGGCCAAGCGACAATGACAGGCAAGAAAGTCCTCATTTGTCCCAGGGGCAAAAATGACAACGGACGAAAGTTGGCGCTATACGGCAAGACGTATGGGTATCCATCGTTTCCGAAAAATGCGCTACACCAATGGGAGGGTATCGAAGGCAACAAATGGGATGACATTTCACGCTACTGGGGCAATACGTCCATGTCATGCTCCGACTGGGAGGTCGACGCCCTGCGGCCGCACGACACCGCGTGGATCAGGGGCGCAAACGGCAAGTTAGAGGAGGTCCGGGCCAAATATGAGAGTGAGTTTGTTGCAGGCAAGACATTGACCTAGGGGAAGTTCGCTGACAGATGGTCAACTCACAGCCGAGCACGTCTTCGAAGGCCAGCTCATCGGCGACTTCTTCACGGAGTGGCTAAACAAGGGCAAGATTGTAAATCAGAGGCCGACTCCACAAAACCCTACGCCCAAGGTACCCTGTGCCTGGACCGAACAATGGATTCTGAGAGAAGACGATTCATATCCTTGGCGGCTGGACGGCGACCAGAGGGCCTTCATCTACCTACTGCTTGCTGAGCTCGGCAACGCCTCTCACCTTGACCGCCTCACAATCTTCAAAGCCCGGCCAAACGGTATGAAGGGGTCCATGTTTGGGGGCAAACAGTCGTCAGCTCTCAGCGCATACACAAAAATGTCAGCTGAGCAGAAGCTCCTTGCCACCAAGGAGATGGGTACGTTCTCTTTCCACACTCGTCACCAGGTCTCCCCTCCGTTTCTGACTATTTCTCTTGAATTCCAGGCATGGTGTTTGAGTACATGAATAACCCGATAATTTGGAAAAAGTTCTGTGATACCTATGAGGCGCTGTACGAGTTGTTTGGGGAATTCGATACCTTTTATGCCCAGCACGGCACCGGTTCCACAATCCCCTCACTCCAGAAGGAGTGGAAAGAGTTTATGGAGGTAGTCTTGACCTCGCTGGTGGCCCGGTCCAAGGCTGCATTTGAGATTCATACCATTATAGCTTTTGGGTCAGTCCGCGTTCCTTTTGCCCATCTTCTAAGGATATGTTCACTAACCACCCAGCAGAGGAATATTCACCTTTGATCCCAGCATGTTGGTTCATGGAATCCACTGGGTGAAGAACATTGCAGTGAACCAGCCCAAGATTCGCATCGATGGGACGTGCCCGAACCTCGGACCGACTGACAACGGGGCTTAAGGAGAGACAACGGGTAGGGATTGGGCTCGTGGCGGTGTGGTTGAGCACCAGGGACACTGATTGTTTTTAAACCAGCACTTCTCATAGAACTCACATAGCTTGAGTATCCTACTGACATAAGGAATCGTTTCTAACCTTTGTGAACTTCTCTTTTTCTACCCTGGTCTAATTTTGAACAAATATTTGACCACGCATGTTGTGGTGGCTAAAACGCATGCGTGATACTTTGAGGGGTTTATCACATCAGTGCCTCCAAAGCTCGCAAGTTGTCGCAGCGTCTATTTCTGTCGTTATTTCTTGTGCTCAACCATAGTTTAGTTTCAAGGCAGTTAATGGCCGTATAGCCGGTTAACGTCGTCGATTAAAACCAAGGGTCTGGCTAGACGTCACTAAGCCTGGCCAACCTATGAAGCTATCATCAAGTTTCGAGTCCTAGTTATAATTTTATCTTGTGAAATCTTAAACATAGACGCCTCATCAATCTTGAGTCATGCAACTAAAGTCAAAGCAGTGTTTCTAACATCATGGCGATGCCCCATCCCCAACAAACTTTATCACCCAAGAAAAGAGATTTCACTCGAATCCAATACCTTCTACTCCCTACATTAAAGACACGCTCGAGCTTCAGGTCAGGAAAAAAATGCTAGCAACAGACGTCAGTGGCTGTGTCCTCCTCCGCTAGCCCACGGATCTCGTCGTCAAAGTAGCATCAGCGCCCACGACTCCTTTTGACTTTTCGCCATGTGCCGAGTTTAATACTGACACCTGTCAACAAAGGATGATCTACCTCGGAGATTTCGAATCTTCCACGACGAGCGCTAGGACAAAAGCCACTGAATCACGCACGTTGCACTAACGACCACGATCATCATGACGGAACCTAAGCTTATTCCGACCTCTGAGAAACTGATATTTATTGGGATGCTGGGAGGGCCTGGGTCGGGAAAGAGCTCGCAGTGTCGGTTGTTGGCGCAGACGTTCAAGGTTGAGCACGTTAGTGTTGGGGATCTGCTGTGGGCGGAGATGAATCGAGAAGGGAGCCCTCATGCTGCTACTATTAGAGGCAATATGATGGAGGGAACGATTGGATCGAAGGAACTTACCGTTGGGCTTCTGAAGTCGCACATTCGTCAACGCTTGGAGCACGGGATGCGGGCTTTTATCATCGACGGTAAGTACACTGTCCCAAAACTGATTCATTCTAACTCAACTTTGTGATCAGGATTCCCCAGAGACATTGTTCAACTACAGCACTTTGAAGTCGAGGTCGGAGCCTTGGAGTGCCTCATACACCTTGACTGCCCTAATGAGACGCTGATGCACCGGCTGTCGCCCAGGGGTCGGTTCGACGACCAAGTCGAGACGATTCGAGGGAGGTTGAGAACCTTCAATACGATCACATCAGAGGCTATCGAGTACTTTCGAGGAGAGGGGAAACTAAAGGTCTTGAATGGAGATCAAGCTATGGAAATGGTGCAGGAACAGTTGAGGGGGATAATCGAGGGGGTGGCAGAGCTGCGGCAAACGTCATAACTTGTTCAAAGACTCTGATTAAGTTTGATTAGATCTCTTAAGACAACAGATAATCTTGTTGTTTGGGAATTTGAAGTTGGTTTCTTCGATTGCCAGGAAGTTCAACAAGGAGGCCACCCGTCCTGTCACATGTCCTTTCCCACATGTTACTCTGGTAGTCGAGCAACTCCATTAACCCGCACCTTCTGTAGGAGTAGGATATCAACTCAGTCGCCTGTTGAACATTATAAATCAGTATCGTGCGGTCAATGACAAATGGATGTGAATACTAACCTCCTCCACCACCACCCCCATCACCACCGTCACCGCCGCCGCCACCACCCGAGTCGCCACAACTCTCGTCGGCAGTCAATGAATCGCCAAGATCTACCAAAGCCTGCCACATATCATCGGTTTCGATACTGCCCGGCTTGGAATGTTTCGAGTACAGCTCGGCGGACATGCAATCAGTCGAACGGTACGGCACACCACCTACCACGCATTAGTTCACGCTCAAGTGATGGTTAGAGAACATACTGTCATCCACATGCCCCCAATGATTGCGGGATGTTTTCCTAGGTGGCACCGGTCGACCATTCTTTTTAGCTCGTCGACAGAGCTTGTCGTAACCCTTATGGAGTCGATGAGTACGGTTATCACGGGCTCGTTCGTATTGTTGCCAGCGCCAGTCTTTTTCGGTTGGGGCTTGTATTTTGACCGAGTTGTGTGAGGAGAGGTGAGGCGACCTATCCGCTGGGCATGCTTCAAAAAGTCCTGACTGGTGGAACTTCTCGTCGACTTGTATCATGTTAGATTGCACGGTTTGTGAGGAGCAGTAGACCTACTTTCGCAGTGAATAGTTGGCAAGCCCATGACGCGATACAGTTTCTCAAGGCTTGGTGTCAACATCGTACGGAGAGCTACCCAGGTCAGATATGATCAAGAGATGGTCCCTCAATACTTACTCTCGCAGTACCAGCAGGAACATTCCGTGTAGACCTCGCCATATTTGCTCTGGTACATCTCATTTGTCCACTTGAACCCCTTGCAAATTCTGACCTCGTCAATTTTGTCGGCATGATCAATCAACTTCTCAGTCAACTGATTCGAGTATCGATAGTAGGCGAAAGGACTGAGAAGATGAGTATGCCATGCCAAGTCGATATCAAGAGTTGGTACTGCAAGAGACTCTGGGTTTTCTTTCATGATATCGAAAAAGCGATTGTACTTGATGAGAAGATTCTCCATGATACTGGTGTTGGATGCTTGATGAATCCAGTCCAGTCTCGTCATGTCGTCGATGAAGATACACTGCCGAAGGACGGCCCCCTCTAGCGCGAGGGCGAAGGGGCTGGCATTGCTGTGATACTTGAGAAGTATTATTCGACAGCCGATGGAAGACTTTTTATAGAGCTCCTCAAGCCTCGCTCGTTCCTTATAACGTAGCCTCTTCTTTCGCATGGCCTCCGTTCTGCGAGTCTCGTCATCTTCGATCAGGGTTTGGATTGTTTCCATGACCAGTGGAGATGAAGAGCTTCCGGATAGCTGGAGGAGTTGTTTCCCGAGGCCGTCTTTCAACGCGTCGTTCGCTAGCACGCGAGGATTTGGAGTGTCATCTTCTTCAGGTTGTGCTTTTTGAGGGCGTCCAGTCTCAATGTCGAGAATGGTTCCGCGCATTGGAGTGTCGGTCTCGAGAAGGTGGGCGCAATCCTTTAAGAACCGGTCGATGGACAGAACATCGTGGTTGATGTTGAGGCCGCAGGTTGTACAGTCAAAGGAAAAGTTTCCGTCGGCATAGCCCGTACCGACAAGCCCGTCTCGGCTACAAATTGTGAGCAAGTTTACATATTATGCTACTAGAAGAACTTACTCGTTATCAACTGGCCCCTCATTCATCCCACAAGTCGTCCATGGAACGGGAATAGAGGCTCGACAAGATGGGCAGTCCATCAGCTTGTGCATCGTGTCTTGGGTATTGTCCCAATTTCGAGCACACATGGCACTCCAGATGGATTTCCTCTCTTCGGACTGGATGTAGTTGAAGTTTTTATCGATTGCGGCGTTGATCTTTTCCCATGGCATGCCAGCTGCCCAGAACTCTCGGGCGCCGTAACGCATGCAGTCTTCTAGGAACAGCCGGGGGTTGAGCATATGTGTATGCAGAACCATGAGAACGTCTAACAAGCTAGTCAATACAGCATCAAGTGATATTAATGAGGTACTTACCAAGTGGCGGAAGAACCATGTTGTTCCAGTCGAGAACACCACCAGTAACAGGAAACGCTTCGTGTGCAGGAGAAAGTGCCTCAGACAATTGGCTCGTCTTCAACGACAGCTGAAACATGGATGACCACCAAGCTTCATACCTATCAACGGCACGAGCGACGTAGATGGCCCATCGCTTCTCACGAAGTTTGCTCAAGGCAAGGCTCTTACTGTGGTCTGAGATAATGTTGAAGCCCGGCCCTTGATGTGACAACTGAGCCAATAGAAGGGTTGAGCGAACGCCCCCAAACTCGGTCGAACCTTGTTTCAATGACCGTGGTGAGGCCTTGAAGCGATTGTACCGGGCTCGGCTGTCCCATAGTCCGAACAATCCATCCGTGTAACCGATGGACTCTTTGAGTTTTGCAAAGGCGTGGATGAGTTTGAGGTGGGCTAAACAAGTGATGGCATTGGGATCTTGGATGGCGATTTGAATCTGGAGGTTGCTGAGGGTTGATGATAATTCACCCTCGGTTTTATCACCAACCGGGGAGAAGGGAGAATATTGTGTATCACCTGACATGGTGAAGTTGGAGTTGAGAATGTGGTGTTGTGGCTGACACTGAAATTTGGGCTTGAGCCGATATATATTGTTTCTGATGTCGCTTCAAAACCATCGCTTCACTCTTCCCACACGTGCAACGATCATGCCCCTCACTGGCCAACATTGAAGGATCCGACACAAGCGAAATCGCTCAGCTTTGTCGGGCGTCTCAGTGTGGTCAGGCCACTTACCTTGGTGTGGCTGCGCACATGAGCACCGCCACTCGGTGAGAGAATGAGGCACCACGAGGTGACAGTAGGATGCTACTCTGCCAACAAGGCGCACACGAAAAGCGCACAGATGATGTCTGGTTAATTGAACACGATTGAGGCGTAATGGCTGAATGTATATCTTTGACAACATATCGTGGCTGCGGTTGTGGCGGCAGCATCGTTGATGCCAACAAGATGGAGATGCTATTGGCCTCGTCTAACATCCGCTGCCTGTGTTGTATTCTATTTTGGACATTCTTAACTGTGCATCCTCAATTTATAGACGAGAATCAACTGTAGTAGTCATATATAGCACCCTAGCATTAAAATTGCGCTTCCTCTATGCCCGTAGCGATGCGGCTCTGACAGTTGTCGTTGGGGTGCTGATAAGGCTGCTCGGCTATGCATGTTGTTCAGATACCATGTAACCTCATAGATAACATATATACAGGCTATATACCATGATAAGAAACGCACCCCAGGCCAAGCGGAAACCAGTATCGGTTGCCAAGCGTCTATGAAACTGGGCGTATGCATCCTTACCCAAACAGTCGGGACCACACCATCACACCATTCCAGTCATGAATCTCGCCACTCGGAGTTCGGTGAGACCAAGGTAAGCTCGGTGAACCAACAAGCACACTGCATCTACTCTCTGCATCTCTACCGACAGTTTGGTTAAGAACACACGGACAGTGGACTTCTTGGACGCGGGTCTGAAACTGGAGTATGCATCGTCGCCAAGTGGGAGCCGTGGTTGTCGTCAGCGCGGGTGGTTGATGACGCGGCCTGCGGCTCTACATTGGTTGGTATATTTCCCCTCTTGGAGGCCTCTGTCGACGACGAGTAAACTTGGAGGGAGTTGGAGAATAAACACCAAGAACAGTGAATATTCTTGGTGATGGTATCACCTAGTTGACAGATAGGGAAGCCCAAGTTGGTCAAGCATACCTCATGCGAATTATCAGGAATACGACGTAGCTGCACGTTGATAGCAGTTGATAACGACCGATAGCGGTTGAATTTCTTGATTTGCCAGTCTGGTTGCTGGTCGTTTCTCAGTGAGCACGACATCCAGCCTCATCACCTAAAGCTGCAAGTAAATGACACCATCGACACAAAACGGTAGCAGCGCAGCAAACGGCTTGCGCAAGATGTACCTGATGCTTTTCTGCAAGCCAAATCTGATCAAACTTGTCCCAGATCTACGGGTCGAGGGTGTAGGACAATGCAAAGGCACAAGAAGCTTTTCTGCAAACCACGCGTGCAGAGATTCTCGGGGCGTGGTGCTTTTCTACATACACCATCTACACCAACTTGTTTTTCAACACCCCCAGGGAATGTTGTATGCAAGGTACGCGCGGCAGTCGTGGGACTCAGCCCTGCTGTGGAGGAAGCATAGGTGCAGACGAGGTTAATAGTTTATTTCAACGTGAGAAGCTTATCTCGACTTGATGATGGTTTTAGAGGATGGGAATAGTGTGGCCAAGACTTGAACAGCAGAGCCTCAATCGGAAAATAGGAATAATAATTTGTTTTGGGTTACACTACTAAGATTAAGAAATACTAAGCGACTGGGCATTTTGATGTTAGTGGTGGTTTTGTGGTGGAAGACTCCGTAGTGATGCAGGCCTGAGGCGAGGCTCCAGTATTACAGCACGCAGCTCACAGCGCGCAACTCACATCAGCACTTTATCAGCAACAACAAGGTCATAAATTGGGTAAAATGCATTAATTGAATGTTCATTAATCTCATTGCAACTAGAATCAATTTCTCTTGGCTATGTGCTGCTTCCCCGGAGCTCACTGATGATTCAGGTGGCAAGCAGCCGATCTCAACATCACCGACAAACCGAACATCACGCCGCGACTGGCGCTCACCGACGTCACAATAATCACCGCCCCTATCCCCCGCAAACCACCCAGTCACTTGGTCAAGATCTACATCCGAAACATTGCGGACTCGGCACACACGGGAGGGAAATCACCCATTCCCTCCTGATCGACGCAGCCGCCGAAAAGACACGGCTCGGCAAGACGGAAGTGGGAACCGCGAACGTTGAGGATTCAACTAAACGAGCTGAAAAAGAACAAAGGGCGCCTACGTATTTACAGGCCCAGATTAGAAGTGATCTGAGCGCCCGTGGCTTGAGCGTTGGCGAAGCGCCCGAATATCGACGCTAATCAAGTTCTAGCCAGGGGAGGCACACTTTCTTTGTTGATCTCAAGAGTCTAGAATCACGGATTTACAAGCGCCCGTGAATTATTGAATTTAAGATCTTTGGGCGGTTAGATTTAGAGGAGCTGAATCAATTGAGAGACAATCATGTCAAAAGTGGCGGATGAGTTTTTTTACTGACCCAACCCACATGCAAGGGCGATGGCTTCGGGAGGAGAGTTTTTGAGGAGAGTCAACTAAGCTGAGTTTGAAACGTTTCCATGGCAAGACCTTTTCGGGACAGAGACGGTAAAGTCAAAAGCCGCAGCGTCATGGCATGTGTCCAAACGGTCATCTCCAACTGATTCCACCGATTCGATTACGTCCATCTTGCAGCCATCATTGACTCGAAGAAAATCAACCGTTGTAGGGTAGTATTTCAGGCATCTACATGAGTCCTCAACGGGAATACACTCCCGCTGGCAAACATCTCTCGGGACCTTGCTTTGGCTTGCTTTTGAGGCTTGCTAATGATACCCAAACAGCAAATGCCAACTCACAATGGCTTATCCTCATGACCTGCGCCTGACATGATGATATTACTCTCCTCAATGCATTTTGCTGTTCCAATGTATTGAGGGTGGCATGCTTACCCGACGTGACACTGCCTGTATGTACGGGTCGCAGTATTTTCCCCCTCTTGAATGGGCTTTTTCCCGGTGCCTCCGCGGTTGGTCGGTAACCTTGAACCCGGTCTTGTGGCTGTTCCTTATTTTTCAGCTGTCCTCTTTTTTGCGAGGCGACCGGGATTGCTTTCTCGGGCTGTCTAGGTAAAAAAAGCCATGCAAGCCTCATAATGCTGTCCCTTCCGTCGCGGACCGGAAGTCGGGAATGACGTCCATGAGGTGTTTGTCAACTGCTGTCACTGCCTGATCAATCCAATGCTAGCAAGACGCCTACAGCACGTGGGGCGAGTCAATGCAGAACAACAGAGTTGCGATCTCACTGCAGACAGACCGGTACCTCATGGAGCGTGTTGATCTTTATTCTGTACGAGTCTACAACAGGTTGGGAGAATCTCACTTGCGCTCTGCAAGAAACAGACCACACATTATTTCTCTCTCGTGAGGTGTACATCAAACATGGGCATTACATTACATTACATCCCATGTGGGCATTTTGTAGAGTTGCACAACGTCCGGCGAAGATGGTGAAAAAAATAAAAGCCAAGTGCCACCATGATCTGACCAGGGTCAGGAACTGGGGGAGGAAACAAGAGAAGAAAAGAGGGGGTGCGTGGTCGGTCCGTCGGATGAAGCAAGGAACTCGCTGACTGCCTCTCTGCAAGAACAGCAAAGACGGGCCATGGCTTTTTCCCCCTCCTCAGCTGAAATGCCCTGGTCCTGCAATATTTCCCACAGAGCCGACAGCTGCCAATCCCCAAACCCGTCCAATGCCGTCCAAAAGCCAAGAACCAATACAAGAGTGCACGTCTGGTGTGAGGAAATCAGCTGACCGCACACTCCTCACTCCTCACTCACCCCCTGTGCATCTCCCCAGTTGTGGCATCACAATCACCCCAACAAGCGTTGCCTTCTTCTCCAGCTCTTAATCGATCTGCCGATCGTGCCAAGCGCCCAGACACCAACCACCCCCCTGTTCAACCCAATCGAATACCTGCCCTGGCCGCGGGGATCATCCTTGGATTGGATCTTTCCCCTCTCTCTAGACCCGCAGGGCGTAAGAAAAAAACATGGTCGAAACGGTCAACCTTAAGCTGACCTGTTAACCCGCTCGCCTCTTCTTCTGCCGTGTCTCTGGGGATGCAAGGTAAGCAGCCCGGACCCAATGTAATAATGCGGCATGGGTTCTCTTTCAGGACTGGGAAGGATTTTGGACTCGATGAATCGGCTCTGGGGCCCTTCCCTTGACCAAGCATCGGCTCTCGCATCTGTCGTTTTACCAAGAAAGCGTCAGAACGTCACGATTATGAAATGGAATCGGCTGGTTCTGGCTTGGCAGGGTGAGACTACATAAACTCAATGGGTTATACGGGCAGAAAAGCATCAGCACACACAGGTTCCTTGCATCCTGCTGTAGACTCTACGTTGCCCAATGAGGCATGGCAAGACGCCTGTAATAGCATCATAACCACGTCTTTTCACCTTCAACTTTTGTTGTAGGACGTGCAGGACTTGTTGGATACCTACTCAAGTGTGTGTGGGACCAAGAGATCTGCCTTGTTCCCCTTTGCCGACCCTCCCACCCCTGAGGCTCCCCAATCATCTACCGAGTAGCCCGGAGCCCGTCCACTGGGCTAACGACACGACCGTGAACCTGGGACCCTCCCAAGTTCGGGCCCTCGGACACGGGTCAGCGAGAAGGAGGATCGCCGGGAGGGTCGGAGAATGGGACCTTGGCTTGTCAATTTGTGTGTGTGGCGTTGCTCTATATTTACCCGATTAGTGGCTCTGGCTGGTGCCAACCCCTCAAGCTGCTATATTTACCAATTAGTGTGTTTCACTCAACCAAGAAACGCTGTGCAGGCTCCATCGCTGGCGGTACCTTGGCGCGTGGATTGAGGGTGCCAATCACTTCCCTTCTCGTATCGCCCGACTTCCCCCATGCGTTCTCCCCGCTCCTCGTATTTTCTGTTTCTCCTTTTTTTTATTCCGTTTCTTTTTTACGGTACAGCACAGTAACTCATGCCCAGCTGAAACACTCGACCAATCACATATCAACCTCAACGTCACTGTATCTCGTGCAAGAAGCAATCCTCAGGTTCCGGTAGTGGCGGTGGCTCTGCACCTTTTTTGTTGGCCAAGAATACTGTCCCGTCATTGGCAATCATGCTGTCTCACTTGAGCACGACCTGTTGTTCCTGGCGGAGAGGCGCCTCCCCCTGAAAGGCCCAGAAGCTGGGGCGACCTCCCGAGACCAAAAGTAGAAGCCCGGGTCTCTAGGCCTTGCATTAGCCAGCCTTACCGAGCACCCACCTAGTTTTGTTTTGTTTCTCTCGAGAGGATGCGGGGATGCCCGACTTTGAGCCTCTTTTTTCCACCACGAGGGACCTCGTCCAACGAGATGTTGCATGTCCACCACCATCTCGACCACACCAAGCAAGTGCAGAGAGAAGAGTGAACTGCATCAAATCTCGTATTCCAGGCCCGGTGTGATGCCTCATGCTTTCCACTCCTGCAGCCAGAGTATCAATCGGCTTGAAGCCTTTGCGTCACCGACTGTCAGCTTGGCGAGGAATAGCAGACACCCACAACATCAGGCTTGTACTACTGTGGACGAGGCTTTCCCGTTGAATGACGGCTTTGAAGACTTCTGACCGCCCGTTGACGGAGCTTCCGGTACGCCATTCAAGCCATATCTCCCCAAAACGAGCTCTTTCACTGTAAATATAGCAGACCTAGACCGTAACCAGGCATCCTCGTGGCAATGGCATCCATCCTAAGACGGAACTCGCTCGCATCTCGCTCGTCAATGTAAGCTTGGATGCGAGCTGTCTGCCTTCTATGATGCCCACTTCTGTCCCGTGCTCCCTTGTGCCGTTTTGGTTTGTCCCGGTGAACCAACGACCAACCAACCTCCCCTTCCCTTGCCGTACCCATGTCTTCTTTCCCTTTGTCCACTTCTTTACTTTGACACCCCCTGTCTACGGTAAACCATGGTTGTCTGCACATCCCGGGGGCCCAGCTGGCATCCACAGTTGGCATCCACAGTTGAGGCTGCTATAGCGCATGCATGTCACACTGCCATGGACAAGCAAGAGGGTGACGCTCAATGGGCAATTAGCTTTCAGACTATTGCCCCGAGCATCATGCGGCCCAAAGCAGTATGAGCTGACTTCCTTTTCGGATGTCCGGTCGACTTTGACCTCAACTTGTTGTGTCTTACACCAACCTCAACATCAACAACTTTCCTTACTTAAAGCCCATCCCATCCCCCCCTTGAGTCAAACTTTCTCTCAGTCACTCCCAAGTCAAGAAAGGTCTTGGGCTCTCTCACCAACAACCTTCTTTCTTCATTCGCTTCCCCCCTCACCAATATCAAACAACCTCAAAAGCCCTTCGTTTTTCACAACTCCCCTCTTTGCTGAAGGGCACTCCCCAACAGCCCATCATGCAGATCAAGCATCTGCTCTTCAACTTCCTCGCCCTGGCCGTCACGGTCAAGGCTCTCCCTCACGCTGAGGCCGAAGACTTTGGTCTCGAGGCCCGGGAGAATACCCTCGTTGAGCGCGGTGGCTACGGATGTGGCCCCGATGCTACCGAGCAGTACGGCGCCTGCGTCTGCAAGGACTCCAAGGCCAAGTGGGATGATAGCAAGAAGAAGTGCATCTGTCCCTATGGCCTGACCCTCAAGAACAGCAAGTGTGTCTGCCCTGACGGCCAGACATACAAGGACGGAAAGTGTCAGCCCAACTGCCCCGAAGGCCAAGTCTACAAGGACGGCAAATGTCAATGTCCTCCTGGCAAGGTCTCTGGCCCCTACGGAAAGTGTGTCTGCCCCGACGGCAAGGTCGAGAAGAACGGAAAGTGTGTCTGCCCTGATGGTCAAGTCGAGAAGTACGGCAAGTGTGCTTGCCCCGACGGCCAAGTCTACAAGGATGGCAAATGCCAATGCCCTCCCGGCAAGGTCCCCGGCAAGTACGGAAAATGCGTCTGCCCTGAGGGTCAGGTCGAGAAGTACGGCAAGTGCACATGCCCCGACGGCCAGACTCTCAAGGATGGCAAATGTGTGTGCCCCCCTGGCCAGAGCCTGAAGTACGGAAAGTGTGTCTGCCCTGAGGGACAGGAGTACAAGGACGGGAAGTGCCAATGCCCGCACGGCAAGGTCCCCGGCAAGTACGGAAAGTGTGTCTGCCCCGAAGGCCAGGTTGAGAAGTACGGCAAGTGTGTCTGTCCCGATGGTCAGATCTTCAAGGATGGCAAATGCCAGTGCCCTCCCGGCCAGACCCTCAAGTACGGCAAGTGTGTCTGCCCCGAGGGTCAGGAGTACAAGCATGGTAAATGCCAGTGCCCCGAGGGTCAGGTCCTGAAGTACGGCAAGTGTGCTTGCCCCGACGGCCAGGTCTACAACAAGGAGTCCAAGAAGTGCGAGTGCCCCAGCGGTCAGGTCTGGAAGTACGGAAAGTGCGTCTGCCCTGATGGCCTCATCTTCAAGGACGGAAAGTGTCAGTGCCCCGAGGGTCAGACTCTGAAGTACGGCAAGTGTGTCTGCCCTGACGGCCAGAACTACAACAAGCACACCAAGAAGTGCGAGTGCCCCGAGGGTCAGCTCTTCAAGTACGGAAAGTGTGTCTGCCCCGACGGTCAGGTTTACAGCAAGCACTCCAAGAAGTGTGAATGCCCCTCTGGTCAGATCTTCCGCTACGGCAAGTGTGTCTGCCCCGACGGCCTCGAGTGGAACAAGCACAGCAACAAGTGCGAGTGCCCCGCCGGTCAGACCCTCAAGTACGGCAAGTGTGTCTGCCCTGATGGTCAGGTTTACAACAAGCACGCCAAGAAGTGCGAGTGTCCCGCTGGCCAGATCTTCAAGTATGGCAAGTGTGTGTGCCCCGACGGCCAGATCTACAACAAGGAGGCCAAGAAGTGCGAATGCCCCAAGGGACAGGTCTTCAAGTACGGAAAGTGCGTGTGCCCTGATGGTCAGATCTGGAACAAGCACAGCAACAAGTGCGAGTGTCCTCGCGGCCAGATCTTCCAGTACGGCAAGTGTGTCTGCCCCAACGACAAGGTGTGGAACAAGCACTCTTACAAGTGCGAATGTCCTGTCGGCCAGGTTGAGAAGTATGGCAAGTGTTCGTGCCCCGATGGCAAGGTCTGGAACAAGCACGAGAACAAGTGCAAGTGTCCCGACGGCCAAGTTGAGAAGTACGGAAAGTGCACTTGCCCCGATGGCCAGGTCTGGAACAAGCACTCCAACAAGTGCGAATGCCCCAGCGGTCAGGTCTTTGAGTATGGCAAGTGTGTCTGCCCCAAGGGCAAGGTCTGGAACAAGTGGCACAAGAAGTGCGAGTGCCCCGAGGGTCAGGTCGAGAAGTACGGCAAGTGTGTCTGCCCTGATGGTCAGGTCTGGAAGCACGGAAAGTGCCAGTGCCCTGATGGTCAGTACTACGACCGCTGGTCCAAGTCCTGCAAGTGCCCCAAGGGCCTGAGCTGGAACGGACACAAGTGCCAGAGCAACTGCGGTCCCGACGCCGAGTACAAGCACGGCGGCTGCGTCTGCAAGAAGAACGGCCAGGTCTTTGACAAGCACACCAAGAAGTGCAGCTGCAAGGGCGGCATGACCTGGGACGACTGGAAGAAGCAGTGCCGATGCCCCAAGGGCACCAGCTGGAACGCTTACGCCAACGAGTGCCGCAAGGGTGGCTACGGATACTAAAGGGTGAAGACTCGGTGAGGACGAGTAGTACATGGACTGAGAGAGCGGCCTGAGTTGGAAACTCGGGGGGAGCTATCATGAATATTGAGAATGGCTTGGACATGGATCTTGCGTCTCTTCTTCGCTCGGAACAAATTCTTGTCACTCCTTACATACCTTTTTACTGTTGATAATTTCTAAAACTGCGAATAAACTTGATGCTTGAGATGAGCTTTTGGTTGCACTTTGAATGGGCGATTGAAGTGAATCATCGTGAGGTGAACCATCAGTGAGCTGATCACTTGAAAGAACTAAACGCATATTGATTGTAAATATATTTGTACAGTAATGGCTGTAGCACTATGTACCGAGAATAAATGTACGTTGAAATTTGTACAGATCCATCATTCCACCACAAAAGAATTTTCCGTCTCCCTCTCTTTCACATAATCATTTAAGCAAATCGCTTGGCAGCAGCTCGCTTGGCAGCAGCACGGCGAGCACGGCGGCGGCGAGAGCAGCCGCTGCCGGGAGCCTTGGTGGCAACAGGGGCAGCAGTGTTGACAGTGCTGGGCTCCTCAGCGGCAGCGGTGGGAACAGGGGCAGTGCCATTGGAGGGGGCGGTAGCAGAGGGGACCAGAGTGGCAAAGGTAGGGGTTCCAGCAGCGGGAGCAGAGGTAGCAGCAGGGGCCTCGGAAGCAGGGCTGCCGCTGCTGGCAGCAGGAGCCTCACCAGAGTTGTCAGAGGCATCGCTGCCAGTGCAGTCACCGTCGGAAGCCTGGCCAGCAAAGTTGGCAGTGTGGTCCTCGCAGCCGCTGGGCCAGACCTTGGGGCCGGCAGCGGCGTAGCTGGTGGGAGCAGGGTAGTAGAGGTTGATGAGGAGACCGGGCTCAGATCCATCGTAAGCACCGGGGAACTGGACGGTGTCGGTGGGAGTGCCGGAGCCAGAGCCCTCAACGGTGAGCTGGGCGCAGCCGATGTAGAACTGAGCACCACCCTTGCTGCCGGCGGCGTGGAGAGCGACGTGCTCGGCTCGCATGAGGTAAGTACCGGAGGCAAGCTCGTCGGGGAGGGTGAAGGTGAAGTTGTGGATACCCTGGTTGTTGACGTAGGTAGCCCACTGGAGACCGGCCTCGGTGATGGAGCTGGTGGTCAGTTCATAGACCTTGAACCAGTCACCGTCACCAAGGTAGTCGGAAGCCTCAGTGCCAGTAGGGGCCTTGCTCATGTAGACGGCAAGAGGACCGGGGTGACCAATCTCGACGTTGACAGTGAAGCCAACCTCGTCACCGGGAGCGACGGCATGGGTCTTGGTCTTGGCCCGGATGTCGGCATCGAGACCACCGGCGTTGCAGACCATGTTCTTGGAGGTGACATCCTCAATGGGAGAGTTGGAGTTGGTCGTCTGACGGACGTACTCGTAGGGCTCGGTGGCCTTGCCGTTGACGATGAGGGCCTCGAAGTTGTAGTGGGCAAAGACGCTGGGGAGGGCGGCAGCGACGGCCAGGACGGAGGAGAGAGAGGCACGCATGTTGCTTGTTTATAAAAAGGAGTGTTTGGATAGTTTGTTGTTTGTTTTAAAGATTGGACAGGTATAGTGAATGAAGCTAACCACCAGGGTTTGCAATGAATGTAATGACTCTTAGAGACGAAGAAAAGAAGGACGCAAGCAACAGCTGCAGAAGACGTGAACCTGAAAGTGGAAGAATGGGATGAGGAGGAAAGGAAAAGAATCGAAGGAGGGAGAGAAGGCATCTATAAATCCATCTGGATGAGATTGCCACCGCTCTTGGCTCCATGGCATGCTGATGTTCATTGCTGGAATTTTCTGCCTAGACAAGGGGAGTTTGCCGCGATGAGCCTGAAACTGGGTCAACCTAAGCGCCCAGGGTTCAAAGATCGGGCCTCTCCTACCAAGGGTTCGCTGCAGGCGGTAAACAGTTGACAACTGCGGCTCTGGTTGATGCCCCTGTTCTGTCAGCTACGCGAGACGTCTCAAAGCTCGGGGGAACTAGACTCTTTCGGAACCTCGGCTGGGGTTTGCATGATGTGGTGGTTGGAGTTGTCGGCAATTGGGTTATTTGGAGGCATTGGCTCTTGTTCTTGTTTGTCCAAGGCATTGCGACAACTGTATATACAACTACGTCGATTTTTCCATCTTCAAGATGCCATTCAATTGACGATCTGACAGATTTTTCACCCATCAATGATTCCCAAATATCGTCTCGTCGACTCAAGCGATTGGTGGAATTAGACTTCACAGGGGTTGTCGGAGCAAGGGTTGTTTATTGTAACAGGTGAGTGGACCCCGAGATCTGGGCGGGCGCCAAAAACGCTTGGTCAGAACGGAACATTCGCCGAAAGGGAACAAGAAAAGGAGAATCGTTAGAGGGGTTGAGTCTTGAATTGGGTCTGATAGGTAATGTCGAGTACTGTAGGGTTGGGAGGAACAAGCGTGACTCTTCAATGGCCTTCTGTAGAGGAACTCAAAGACACGATGATAGAGTCAGACTGGCAGCAGAAACAGCTTGAGAGACACCAAAGTTGATGCATTCGTCATCATGAGGTGACTTTCAAACAAACATAAACGGCCCCTGGCGATCTGACCCTCGTGGTGGTGATAGATGTTTCGACACGTTCGAGATACCCGATGGCCTGACAGTGACAGCCAAAACACAACATCGGATGATTCTTGTGTGTCTCGTTTCATCGAGTGTAAAAAGCTTGGTATTATTGAAACGTTTATTGTACAGGTAACAAAATCCATGTTTGTATCCTTCTCGGCACATAAAAAAAAAACCAGAGGCAACAAGCTATTTCCCCTTTTCTTACAGGTTCTAATCAGTCTTGGGATTCTCAGCATTTGGGCCTTCAGTCTTTTCCTCCTTCTTCACCTGCTTGATCAAGCTGACACCTGCTGTCTCACTGGCGCCAGCTTCAACCTGCTTCGTCCAAAAAGCGTCGCGTCCGCTTGCGAGAATTGATCTTCTGCGCTCTCTCTGCGCCTCGCTAACGCCAAGACCGGCCCGCTTGTTGGATTCAATCTCTTCTAGGTGTTTCACACGGTTCGCGTATCGTTGGTTATAATCTTCTCGGATACGCTCTGATCCAATCTGCTGGAGAACGAAGCGCACGAGGGTTCGGAGGAGGAGGAGGACGTGTTCGCTAATAAAGACTGTGATTGGAAGTGTGACCCATTTGTTGGTTCCGTCTCCAAAGTTTTGGAAACTGAAGAGGTGAACAATGGAGGCCGTGCAGATGCTGCCAAGCCAAGTCAATGCTTCAAGAGAGTAGATCCAGGGCCCGATACCGTCTGATCGAACAGGGGCAGGTCGCTGATGCTCTAGAGAAATCTTGGCAAAATCTGATCGCAGTTCGATCCAGTTGTTGATGAGGAAACCCATGGGAATGATGGGCCAGACCGGGGAGAAGAGAGCCAAGTAGCCAAACTGCAGAACGATTTCGGAAATGTCGTCCTGGACATTGTAACCTGGGAGAGTTGCCTGATTACGGCATCGAGCGAGGAATTTGGCTTCTTGAGGGTCATCCTGGACCACGGAGAGAAGCATGTCGCCTTTTGAATAAGCTCGACGATAGTCTCGATACCAGCCTGAGAGCCTGTGCTTCAACATGGGCACAATGTTCTCTTCAAAGAAACTCGAAATCTGACCAGTGACAGTCAAAGCAATGACTTCGTTCCGTAGTCTATCTGCATCGAGAGTGAATGGCTGATGAACAAACTCTTTACCCAGACTGCCCAGTGCCTTTCGGAGAATGTTTTCAAGTCGTGGGACGACGTCGTCGCCAAATGGAATGTAAATGAATGCTGTTAGGAGTATTGGGAGGTAATTTGTGAATACGTTGAGAAGGAAAATCTTTTGAGTGAGTGACATTTCATGATGATCGGCTGTTCGATGGTTTTCGAATTCCGTCATCCAAGTTGCTGCGTCTTCGAGAGCAGAGGTGATGTAAGGGAGAGAGACGGCAAGAAGAATCGTAGGAAGGTATTCCTTATATTGTTAGCACAATTTGAGTGAAAAGTGGATGACACTAACCAGGTAGTACTTGTATGGCCCAGCATAGGTTTCTGAGATGAGAATCTCGATCCCAAAAACCGCAATGATAATAACCCCCAACGCGAAGAATGCAAAGAGCAAGAAGGGAATCTGCAAAAGCTGTCTGGTGACCTTCTTCCACCTCGGAAAGTAATAGTGCTTGCGTCCGCCGCCATCGACAAACACGCTGTCGTACTTGAACTGGGGCCGGTTGACCTTGACGCCTTGAATGCCCTTGACGTTCCAACGAAGAGAGAGATCGACCTCTTGGATCTTCCAGTACTCGAGAAAGACGGTGCACCAGATGCTAGTAAGGATGGCGTAGGCTAGGGAGTAGCGCGGGAGCCATAGCCAGGCGATCACCCCGGTTATGGCAGGGAAGGTGAGGAAGAGGAGATAGGTTTGGATAAAGGCAAAGTAGAAGGCGACCTAAACTATCAGTAGGTGTTGGTAGTATGTCATGGATGCACTCACCTTTGAACCAAGAATATCTCGAATAGAATCAATATCCTCCGGGGTAAGAAAGATTCTCTTGCTTAGATGTCGGAGAAGTGCTTGGTTAACACGTGGGTTGTGCAGAGGAAAGATGGCCTTGACATTCTCCCATTTTCCAAGACCTGGAGTGATGCCTGCACCACCGAGGCTCTTTGACCAATTGACGAGATGATAGAGAGAAAGAATGTCTTCAGCTTCGTAAGCTCCATCGACGACTGTGTTTTTGTCACCTCCGGGGTGGTTTGGTGTGATTCCATACAGCCAATCCTTGACCCTAGGATTTTTAGCGGTGATGTGAAGGGTGGTGTAAAGGGGGTTACCTTGACTTGTAGACCGTGTTTCCAAGTAGTTCCCGAGGGGCCTTGACGAAAATCAAGAGGGTCTGTTCATAGCCGGGTCGCACTTCGACATCTAGACCGGCTTCTTCCAGGTCAACGAGGAGTGTCTTGAACTCTTCGACGGCGGTATCGCGATCTAGAAGGGTCAATATCTAGCCATGGCCTTGGCCTTTTAATACTCACCTATATCGCCAAAGTCGTAGAGGACGACATACTTGTCATTGTATGTCGTCACATCATCCAGCAAATCCCGGTGAGGCATCCTGGCGGAGGACATCCCGTAGCCTGGGGGGTGCGGGGTGCGTGCCTGTGTTGGTCTAGCCCGGACGTCCCCCCTGTTTAGCGAATCACACCCACAGAGATGTCGCGATGGAGTGCGGCTGTGTGGTGAATGGATGCTTCAGGCAAAGAAAAAGATGTTGAAGAGAAGAATGTTTATCCTCGAAAACAAGAACAAGAGCTCGTGTCATCCACGTCAGCATTCTCCACTTGGCCAAGAGAGGCAGTGGCGGCTACGTCGGCACGCATTCGCCTTGGTGTCTCCATCTTGGCAGAGACAGCCGAGTTCCGAAGACGAGGATCAATTGTGGCTGTGAAGCATATGCCAAGATGAGTTCAATTTGTTTCTTGAGAGATAAGATAAGCATTTGCTTGTTTCTTGTGTACGTGAGAAAACATGTTTATTTCATGGATCTGTTATATCGGCTCTTGTTCTGCATGGTGGATGTGCTCTGCTTCCGGAGATATCCTTTGTCGCTTAGATTAACGTTTGAAATCACATTCCAACCATTGGAGTTGGACAAAGGGAAATTATCAGGCCATATGAGTAAGGATGGTCTCGTAAACTAAACATCTGTGCATTCATTTCTGTGGTGTTGGATCGTCAGGTATCCATTACCCGGAAGATTAAAAATGAAGATCGCCAGTTGCCCTAGCCTTCCATCTTGGCGGCATACATCCAAATGACGCCCAAGGAATAGAATAAATTGATCTCAATCCCTCAAGTCGAACTTGCTGCTTAAATATTTCCCCTCTGACATTGACTTTTTATCTTCTGAGAACTCAAGGCGTGTGAAAGTGGGTGTTGGTGTTTTTGTCGAGGGGAGTTGATGACATCCAGAATTGTGATTGTCTTTTCGACTCAGCCTAAACCTGTCATCGGTAGATGCTGCCAATATGCCTAGATTTTGCCCAATTACTTGATACTCTAAGTGCAGCACGGTTCTAGAGCTGAATCTCCAAGTTGGGATGAGCTTGAAGTACCTACGAACTGTTTAGTTCGAGGCCTTGCCATATTGGCAGCAAGATTCTTCACAACTGTGTCCCTCATTAGGTTTAATTGACAAACAATTCATAAAATGAAAGTTCAAGATCAAACCAACTGAACCATAGAATCGGATAGAAGCGGTATCATAAAGCTAGGAGGATTGGTTCTGGTGTTGAGCACCTTGGGGGAGTGAGCCTTGGACCTGCTTCTGAAGACGGAGAGGTCCGATTACAGCCTGGGTGTCCCTTAGTCAGAGCATTAGTTGGAAGTTATGATCGCTAGCTCTCAAGAGAAGCTTGGATTGAGTTTACAACCTGGCTTCCATGACGTTAGTATGAGTTGGGTAGGTTGATGCGGAAGGACCGCAGTTAACAGCCCATCAACAGGGCACAAGGGGATTGACCTTGCGCAGCAAATTGAACATGAACTTCAGAATTTATTCAAGTCGTCAAGCTCTTGATCATGACAAGGTTGTTTCTCCAGGCTTCTCAGCTAATTCAGGAACGCTGCTTCGGAATGTGCATCCCTGCTCTCGGGAGCTCGGTTCATCACACCACCAGTTGGCTCGCCTCGAATGAGCATGAGGTTGTGACTCGCGACCCGGAACGTACCTGACGGAGCTTAGCATTGACTTTGACCTCAGACAAGAGCTTGAATTTGTTTCAACTTGCGTCGGGGGGTATTAGCAGCCCAGGGGCTTTATATGTCTATAATGCTCATGATCTATCTGCTGCAGCATCTTCCTCCATCCGTTGCCTTCATACTGTCGACATCCGCATCAGCTGTCGACACCTCTCGAAAGCTCAATGTGCCGAGTTACTCCCAATGGAACGGACCGTGGTGAGACGGCAAGCATCCTTGATTGCGATTCCTGATGCAACACCAAGCTGAAATGTGATATCATGGTCGGCGGGTGCCAGCCAATCGCCAACACCAATGATCACCTCGTCATGTCATTTTCCTCAGCAGACAAACAATGACCTGTCGCATCACGAAAATCAAGCTCCAGTTAGCTCCCATCATCCCGCACTCTGACTTTTTGTGTGGTCGCAGCACGGTATGAGTATACAACCGAGACCATGGCGTGGTCAGGCTGTCAGGATGTTCTTTTGCGCCACTTGCACTGTGGTGATGAGGGGTCTCGAGATTGTCGTCGGACGTTACCTCTGGAACCCCGCGGATGCTCGGGACCATGACGTTGGAGTAGCATCATTCCATCACGGGGACTGAGAGGGGGTGACGACAGAGGGCACGCGAGCTCACAGATATATCAAGCTCGCCCCAGCTTCTTCAGCTCTCTCTTCCTTTTCGCCGCAGAAAACACCAAGACAAACAGCATACACCAGACAAGAATCAATTCACAAGACCATCCATTAGCAACCATGAAGGGCAAGAAGGAAGACCCCAACGTGCAGCCGAGACGTGGCTCTCAGCCCAAGGCGCCCACCGGGCTCGACGATGAGACGGCCGTCGAGACTCACGACCTCATCCACAGAGCCGAGGAGGAGGAGCAGAAGGTGAGCATGGACGCCTTCTCCTGTAGGCAAACAACTAACACGCAGCAGATGCATGGCTCTCATGCTCTGACGCAGCCCGACTCTGGACCTAGCGAGGGCAAGACCGCCGGCCAGCACAGCCATTCAACAATGGATAAGGTCAAGAAGGCATTGCACATGGAAAAATAAATGACAACGTAGCTGCCCGTGGTTTCTTTGTTAGGATAATCGGCAACCAAATTGTAAAATGAATGAACTGGTTCAATAATAATTACTTGACCAAGATACGTGACTCAGACAATGTCTCAGCCAAACATCTCGGTTTGTAGTTTATGTCGTTAAAATATGTAGCAGTGAAGGATAGTAGGGTATCATCAAGAACAGCAATTCCCGCCTCCCAAGTCATCAAGCGTCTACACAAGCAACCATAGAACTCCGGATATCACCACCGTCATCAAGACACCAATGCCAACGTGCTGTAGCTCCCTAGTAGAGAGCCAAGGTCTATCAACCGGGCTAGACTCCAAAGGCAAGGCAGGTTGTAAGCACAATGACCAACGCCAACGTCTTCCCGCTCGGTTGGGAGAGGCTTGTTCCGACATCCTCTTCGTCGTCTGTTGGTGCTGATTGCCCATCCGATGCGCTCACTTTTTCACCGCTCGGATATCTGATGTTGTATACGGGTAGGTTTTCGAGCTTGTCTGGGAGTCCGAGCTGGTGTGGGCAAGCAGCTTGATTCGCGTTGGGGTAGTCGAGGTCGCATGTTTCGTCGCGACCGAGAGTACACAGAGAATCGAGGATGTTGTACAGGACATAGTTCTCGCCGACCCATGTATTGTTCTGCTCGAGACAGCTGGTGAGAAAGTTCATGCTGTTCGCAGCGCTGAGCGGGAGGTGACCGTGTTTCGTGTCGATGAGGTCTTTGCAGTTGGAAGCGTCTACGTCCTTGTAGGTCATCTCGATGGGACCGCCGGCGGCGGGTTTGTCGGTGGCAGAGTAGCCAGTGTAGAGGTAGTTCCAGGCATCGTAACTGACGTCGTACGCGCCTTCGGATTGATCGATTCGGAGGAGGTGGACGGTGCGGTCTTGATAAGTGAGGGCGATGCAGATGTTTGTGCAGTCGACCGACTGGGGCCAGTAGGCGACGCGATTAGTGTTGACCTAGACAGTCAGTACAGAGTCAGGGACAGATGAAGTACATGTCTACCTTGCATCCCAAGACGCCTATCGAAGAAGAAAAGGCATCGTGGGGCGTGGCCCAGACGGTTCCGCTGTCGCGCCGCTGGCGATTGCGCCCGACAGGCGAAGCAGTGGAGACGAGCGAGATGAGCAGAGAGTGGATGAGCAGCGACAAAAGACTTGGCTGCAGCATGACTAATAGAGAGAGAATGACGACGCCTGATTCAAGCTCAGACGTGAAAAAAGGCGACTTAAAAACCAAGACAATGAGTGACGACGACCAACCGCATCCTCGCGGTGCCTGAATGAATGTGTTTGTTTGAGTGTTTGCAGGGTGAAGGAATGTGCGCAAAAAACCTGGGGAGAGAGAAATTGGATAGGGGCGTGTTGGCAGAGTTGCCTATTGGGGATTAGTGTCAACGGTCGCCATGCTGTTTATGGGATGATGCTGCGAGAATTACAGGGGTTGCATTAGTTTAGGCAGAGGTCACGAGGAGAGTTAGAGTGGTTTTTGCCAATTTTTGATGAGAATTTTCACAGGCATTGACAAGGCGTCTCTAGATTCTGTCGCGGGTTGTTGTGGTGGTGAGGCAACTACAATGAGGCATCGCCGTCCGCTATAACACGGAGTAATAGACATAAATTACAAAATCATCGGCCTACCAATTAACCAGGTACGCATGCATACACTGCCGACGTCAATTCCCCGTATCCCTCGCTTTCATCCACAGACGCGCAATTCTCCACTCTGTCTCCAAGATCGTGTCGATCCCTCGCAGGGCTGAGCCGTCTCCAAGCTGAAGTACGAAGAATACGGCCACTCTGCCGTGACATCAATGGCTGCCACCAAGCCACAGTCGCACCCACAAATTTCTTAGTCTCGGGACATGATACCTCCTCAAGTGATGTCGGTAGTAAGATGCCTTGCATCCCGAGATACGATACATTCGAATATGCTGTCCTTCAGTAGTATAAAATGGCGACTTGCACCGCGGTAGATGGTCTTGCTCTGCATTCAACGCGTTGCACAACACACTGGATTCGCAATGACTCGACTACACCAATTTATCCTCTCTGCACTCTCCCTGTTGCCTTCTTCGCAGGGCTCCTATCTCCCTGAGAAGTCTTGCAAGGCATACCCAGGATCTCAAGACTGGCCTTCCCACCAGACATGGTCCCATCTCAATGGATCCCTTGCTGGCAGGCTTCTTGCAGCCTCTCCTCCTGGAGCCGTCTGTCACCCAGGCTGGCCGACCTACTATCGCCAAACTTGTCCACAAGTCCAGAAAAACTGGAGTGTTTATGAGTTCCACGCTGATAATCCCATCTCGGTCATGTGGGATCACTATACCAACTGGACTTGCCTCCCTAATGAGACCTACCCGTGTAGCACCAGTGGCTATCCTGCATACGTCGTTAATGCCACCAAGCCTGAGCACGTAAAGCTGGGTCTTGACTTCGGTAAGGCAAATGTCTTCATTATTAAACATCACCTAATACTTCATAGCTAGAAAGCACGATATCAGGGTAGCCGTCAAGAATACAGGTCACGACTATCTCGGTCGTTCCATTGCTCCAGGCTCCCTCTCAATCTGGACCCATCACATGAACGAAATCGTCTACCACCAAGGCAAGTTCAAGCTCGATAACACAGACATCACCATCCCTGGAGATGCCGTCACTATCGGTGCTGGAGCCCAGATGTACGATGTCTACTCGGCTACAGACAAGTTCAACCATACCATTGTCGGTGGAGGAGCCAAGTCTGTAGGTGCTGGTGGCTATATCACTGGCGGTGGACACTCTTTGTTGTCTGCTAGGTTTGGCCTTGCGGCGGATCAGGTCCTGCAGATGACCATGGTCACTCCGGGGGGCAAGATTCTGACCGTCAATGAGCGGAATCATCCTGATCTCTTTTGGGCCATGCGAGGTGTAGGTGTCTTGACCCAATATCGGCGTGACTTGATCACTGACATGTCTATCTAAGGGCGGTGGCTCAACCTTCGGCGTGCTTACGTCTCTCACCCTCAAGACGCACAAGACACCCAAGATCATGACTTCATCGTTGATGCTCTTCACTGACGCCAAATCCAAGTTCGTCTACGATGTCATCGCATACGCCCTATCTCTATTCCCCTCCCTTGGAGACGCAGGCCTTTCAGGATACACCCTGATTTCCCCAGGCATCGAAAACCCAGTGCCCGTCCCTGGTGCACCAAAGGAAGTTGCCGGCATCTTGGGCCAGTTTATCGTCCAAGACGTTGAAGATCCCGAGTATACGGACAAGATCTGGAAGCCCATCAACGAAACCATTCAGAAGCGTTGGGGTGGTACTGTTCAGCTGCTAGTCGGGAAGGAGGAGTATCCCTCGTTCTTGAAGTGGTTTGACGTTCACTACGATCAGGACACAGCAGGAAACAGCTCCTATCTGGTTTCCAGACTGTTGAGTAAGGAGGCTCTAGATGGAGACCAAGATGCCCTGAAGGGGGCTCTCAAGTCGGCTATGGGCCCATCAGGGGGGATGGGCGCTTTTTTAGTCGCTGGAAAGGGTGTTCGTGACGCTAAACCAAGGGGAGGAAGCGATGCGGTGAATCCCGGCTGGAGAAAGTCTTACGTGCATGCTCGTAAGTTGATGCGTGTCTTGATCCTGAGCTAGGAATGCTAACGTCCGTCTTAGTCTCTGGAAAAGGATTCCCGGCCTTCAACTACACAGCCAAGGCTCAAGCAGTTGAAGAACTCATCGAGACGTGGGAGCCCATGCGAAAGTTGTCTCCTGACACAGGGGCGTACATTAACGAGGTGAGCCGTTACCTCTTGGTTTCTCGGCAATGCTGACTGGCTGTCCACAACAGGCGCTCAAGTATGAGCCGAATTGGCAAAAGACGTTTTGGGGAAGCAACTACAAGAAGCTGCTCTCCATCAAAAAGTCCGTAGATCCCAAGGACGTGCTCTGGTGTGTGCCGTGTGTGGGCAACGAAGGATGGGAGGAACATCAAGATGGTCGCCTCTGCAGAGTCTAAGGGCAAGGACTGGAAAGAACGGCTTCTGCTAACTCTTGTATGAGCAGTCCTGCTGTTTTATTGCCTCTCGATAGTCTTGGTAAAAAGTATTTGCGTGTTCTCAAAATTAAGGCCACGTCCCTGGGAAAGTCGAGCTGCTTAAAGCATAAATAACATTTGGCTTTTGCTGATTTCCTGAGCACACCCAACCGCACTTCGCAGGTTGTCTCCATATCGTGATCCCAACTAGAATTATAAAATCTAGCCGCCCACTTCAAATCAGGCTGCGCACTGCCTCTCTTCGGCCCCCTTGATACGCCTTGGGGGTTGCCTTTCTGCAACCTGGACCTCTCACAGCGCAGCTTTCAAGCCTCCACCCCCACCAACTCATGCAGCCTGACAACCAACGAGGATGGGAACAAGGGAACTGAACCTATGAATACCCTGTGAGCCGGCGGCAGAGACTGAACCCCCCCTTGGCCTTCTTCCTCATTTTTTCCGCCCTTCTGCAGCTGACACCAACGCAACGGTAGAAATACGACTCTTCAGCCGTCGGCTGAAGGACGCGTCGGGGCAGTTCATTCCCTTCTCATACGTCTGGGGCGACGCAACGGACACGAAAATAATCACAGTCAATGGAATATCGACGGAAGTCACTCGAAATCTCGCCGATTTCCTAAAGCAGACCCGCACTTTGCTCCCCAATATCCTCACCAAGGGCTCATGGGATAAGCCCGCTATCTTTTGGGCCGACGCCATCTGCATCAATCAGAAGGACACGGAGGAGCGGAACCATCAAGTCCAGCTCCTAAAGCCCATCTACTCATCCGCTCCTCTGGCTCTCGCTTGGCTGGGGCATTTGAGTGACGCACATCTCGCTGTCAGCCTTGCTGAGAGTCTCAGTCCACCACACAGCCTCTGTTTCTTCTCGAACTTGCAAAATCTGGATTACAGCTCCTGGATGCATGCGCATCCGCACCTGTGGACCGTTTCCGATGGTCGCAACGCACACTGGGAAGCGTTCGAAGCGTTGGCCAAGTCTCCATATTGGACTCGCACATGGACCTTTCAGGAGATGGTACTGCCGGATCAAGTCCTCTTAATGTGCGGCTCGTCACTTGTAGCGTGGCAGCACGTCATGGCCGTCCAGCAACTAACGTTAGCGCTCGTCTCCATGATCACCCACTCGATCCTCCCGGAAACAGGAGACCATCGAACCTTATATTCAGCCCTATCTCCATTTCGCAATCTGAGATGCCACTCAATTTATCAAATAAATGAAACGCGAAGGAATCTCGCTGCTACATCAAACTCTTCGAATCTAACTTTGGTGCTGGGCCTGGTCAACCATCAGACGACAGATCCTCGCGATAAGGTGTATGGCCTTCTTGGTGTTATTGAAACTCGCCTAGAGGCGGACTACACAAAAGATACTGCCCAAGTCTACATGGAGTTCGCAACGGCGTGGATTCATGAGATCAAGGACCTCAATCTTCTTCTCTATTCCCAAGAACACTGTCGCAACGCCCGGCATGGCCCAAACCCCCTCCCTTCTTGGGCACCAGATTGGGAAGCAATTTCACAGAAGGAAGTCGACACCCGAAACGACTTTCCCCGGGAGATTTTGTTTTATCGCTTTCTCAACGACTATCATGGGTCTGCGCATTTGCCTCCCAGCAATCCGTACCTATGTGACGACCTGAGCACTCTGGTTGCTTCTGGAGTGGTAGCTGGCAAGGTGGATGAGGCCTATCCTCGCTGGTCGTCTAGTGATACTGATTTAGCTGTTGCAGTGCTTCAGCTTGCAATCAGGTATACCAATTCTTCCAGTTCACCCCCAAGCCCAAGCCCAAGACTACACATATTACACACTCTCTTTCGAACCGTAATGCCTGATTTGCGTATAGATTGGGCAGCCCAAGATGTATATGTTGGCCTACGGCAGGGCTCAGCAATTTGCTTTCTCGTAGGCGTCCTTGCTTGGGCTGTTGAATCGGAGCGCCCAGATTGGCAAAGCGTTGCGGCACTTTACTTACCTCAGCTCGGCATTCCTCTTGGCAAAGAGTTTTCTAGAGTTTGGAAAGAAGAGATCTTCAAGGGCTACAGTCCCGAGATCAACATGCCAGACTGGGAGAACGCAGCGGCGGCCATGGAGTGGACTTGGAAAAATGCCAGAGAGGGCGTCAAGACCCTGAGAAAATTTACAAGATCGAGGCTCGGAAGCCCTATTAAGTTTGTCACCAACAATGGCTACCTCGGTCTTTCCGCCGCCGCTCAGGCGGGGGACATGGTGGTTGTTCTAGCTCGCTGCAAAGCCCCTGTGCTTCTCAGGAGGAAGGGGTCTCATTACGAGCATGTCGGCCCATGCTTGGTGACGGGGCTTATGGAAGGCGAGGCTAAGCAGATGGTGGACCGAGGAGAGGCGAAGATTGAGAGGTTTGAGATTCGTTAGCAGGACACATGTTTAGTATTGCGTCGAGTACTGCCATTGTCATAATCATGAGAATCCTCTTGTCTTTCATGTGCCTGATATTCTGTTGCTGAGAGGGGAGATGTATCTAACACCAGCTCCTACACCTTGATGTGCTCTGTTTCGCATTCTTCAGCTTTGTGGCCATTCGGCCTGTATTAGTTCTGGGCCTTTGGCTCGCAGACCGAGATGAAAGGCGAAATAACACCTATTCCTATTAGCCACAATTCATCAAGTCAACCGCAAGTAACTTACTACTGAAAAAGAGCCGGCCAGTCTTGGCATCGTGCACAACAGTCGTAGTAGCAGGAAGAAACTCGCCCTCAGCATCCTCAATCACCTTATCCACAACATACTTCCCATCGACCTTTCTAACCCTTAGGGCAGTAGCAGGAGGAACGTAATTGTACGGATCCTCATAAGCCTTGAAGATAGCAAATCCAATAGGAAAAGCAGCCACCCAGATATCCCCGTTGGCGTCGACAGAGAGGTTGTCCATGCTGTACCCGGTCTTTACCTCGTCGACCTTTTCGAGGGTGTTGTCGGGAAGGACGCGGTAGATGAAGATTGTTCCAGACAAGGAACATGGGATGTAGATTAGGTTGTTCTTGTCACGGGTTATACCGTTAGGCCATTTGAAACCTTGGGCGACGGTCTTGCAGCCAGTTTCGGCGTCACAGAAGATGGCGTCGCCGTTTTTGAAGACGGGGGAGAGATTGTATTTCTGGTCCTTGTCAGTATCATGTTGAAGCATGCTCTTATGTACCTAACTTACCAAGCCGACTTTGGTTTGACCATGATCATTGGTAACATAAAAAGCATTACGACTCAAAGCCGCAACACGGTTGGGAGTGGCAATCTTCTTGTCGACAAAAGTCCGAACGTACTTCAGCTCAGTAGCCTCAGGTCCCGTCTCAAAAAGATCAATAGTGGAATTAGGACCATTAGCATACTGATCCACAAGCTTTCCTTGGGCGTCCACGGAAGGTCCGTTGTTGACGACGAGCAGGTCGATGGAGCCGGATTCGGGATTATCGATGCCCGTAAAGCCGACCAGCTGGAGCTTTCCGTCCCCGGCTGTTCCGGGGAATCCCGGCGTTTTGAGAGTTCGGAACTTGAAACTGTTTTCGACGGGCTTGTCAATGTTGAGGGCTACGATTGAGTCTTTTTGGGAAATCGTCGAGACGTTGAGATGGCCGGCGCTGGTTGTGTGAGTTATCTAGTGAACGGTCAATGATTCTGGAAACGTACTTTGGCATCCAGTAAGGTCGTGCGAGAGGATCAGAACAAGCAAGAAACAACTGTCTCGTAGACTCTGACAACCACATATCCTCACAAGCCTCCATTCTCGGGTCGACAATCTTGCGGCAAGTGTAGGGAAAGTCGGATATCGGCTGAGTCACCCTCCCGATGCCCAGACCCAGCCATACGGACTCTTTGAGGGTGATCTGGAAGAAGACAGCAAGCACAACGGCCGCAAGGCCTGCTTTGAAAAGAATCCCAGCCATTTTGAAGATTCAATGGGTTGAGGGTGTTGAAAAGAGGAGAGCGGTAAGCTGACGGTTTTGAAGCGCGGTTTTGAAGGAATCGTTCCCCTGTTATAGAGAGTGGACATCTTACATAATCTCCGAGTCACATTGAGGTTCTTAGCCTGTTGTCACCATTCCAAACAGAGGCTTGATTGACAAGACGGAGAGTTACATGATACACACTTATCAGATTGTTGTAAGCGCTGCACGAGGCGATCTAGAGTGTTGCTTCCATGATTGGTTGACGCGCGACATACATCCCGATTCGGATACGAGATCCGATTGCACAATACAAGGGACCAAAGATCAAAAGAGGGACACATAAAAATGTAATCGTGCCTCATCATAAATTGTTTGAGTAGGTAAAGACATCCAAGAATCTAACAATGCAATGTGTGAATGTGTAGAAAAGACCTCTATGAAAAGAAAAAAAAAAAGATCATCATGCCCCGTTTCTACCCATGGTTGTGAAACCATTTCAAGTCCGCCGCCCTTGATTAAAAAGAATAATTATGTTTTGTCAAGCATGTACCCTTTAGAATTATTGCTCATTATTGTTTAGAGCATTGCGGCGAAGAGAGCGCCTGCGATAACTGCCAATAGGCCGGGGGCGTTCCATGCGGCGCCGCCTGTCACGAGGGCTGGGCTGGTGCCTGTGGGCTCGGAGGGCTCCTCGCCGCTGGGCTTGACGACCGTGGCGACGGTGCTGGCAGGAGGGTGAGGATAGCCATAGCCTGAGGCCTGAGTCTGGACGGGCTTGGTGTAGATCTGGGTACCGCTGGTAAGAGTGTACACCTGGGTAGGCTTGCTGGGGTGGGTGTAGACCTCGGTGATGGTACCGTTGGCGTTGCCGGGAGGACCGCAGGTGGTGCAGACACCAGGGACGGCTGTAGGCTTGGGAGCCTTGGTGGCGGGGGTGACGGTGACGACGCGGACAGTCTTGGTTGTGGCCTCCTTGCAGTGAGCGTTACCAGGACCACAGCGGATAGCCTCGGGAACGGTGTAGATGGCGGTAACCTGGGGGTGAACCAGCTGGGTGGTGGCAACGAACTCGGTAGTGACCTCGCCCTTGTTGCAGGGACCCTCGCCGGGGCAGTCGGTGATGGTGTAGACGTGAGTGTTGGTGATGACCGATGTGTCGCTCACAACAGGGGGGTTAGTGGGCTTGGGAGCCTTGGTCTCGCCGGGGCAGTAGGTCGTGTACGAGGTGATGATCTCGGTGGTGACAGAGCCAACAGGGCAGTTGGTCACGCTGGGGGGGCACGCGGTGATGGTGTAGACCTTGCTGGTGGTGATTGTCGACGTGATCGTGGTGGGAGCCGCGGTGGTAGGTCCCGAGTAGGTGGGGTCCAGGTAAGAGGGGTCCAAGTAGGTAGAGCCAGACAGAGTAGGAAGCGAGTCAGAGAGAGACTGAGTCTTGGAAGATCCGAGCTTGTTGGGGATGACAGAAGAGGTGTTGTGGAAGCGGGTGGTGGAGAAGGAGAAAGTAGACTCGGTGGTAGCAGTAGCAGTCGAATCGCTGGTGATGGTCTCGGAAGAGGTCTCGGACTCGGTCGAAGTAACAGACTCGGTAGAAGCGGTAGATTCGGTCGAGGCCTCGGTGGAAGTGGGCAACTCAGAAGTGTTGGTAGAGTCAGAAGAAGTACACTCGCCGACGATATCGGGAACAGAGTCAGCTCCGCTGCCGATGGCGACCAAGTTAGTACCGCAATCCTCATTGTTAGCAAGCCAGACGTTCTCGTTGTCCCAGTCGTAGACGACGTAAGCAGCTCGCAGGAAGGTGTCACCAAGAACGGGGAATTCTACAGCCTGTTAGCTCATTTTTGCACAAGACTTTAGGACAGATACTCACCATCATCCTGGAAAGCACCCAGGTAGCACGAGCCCTTGTTATGCCAGACAAAGTCGGCATAAGGCACCTTGATAGTGGTCTTGCCGAAAACAAAGTCAACGGTGCCCTTGAGCTTGGCAACGTCACAGTCGACAGGGTGGTAGGAGCCAACTCCGGGCTGGACAGTGGGGAAAGTGGCCAGGAGCTTCTCAAAGATGGGACCGGGAAGGGCGCTGATGGTATAGCCACTGTCAAGGACAACAGCATAGCCGTTGGTCTTTGAAAAGATGGCGTCCTTGGAGCCGTCGTCCTGAGTGAGGCTCATGCCATCGAGATGAACCCAGTATCTAGAATACAATTAGAGCAAATTCTGTACAGTAATGAATCTCAAACTTACCGAGTTTGGCTGTCAGGGGCAGACGCAGCTGGGATGATGGGACGCTTCTCAAGGTGACCAGAGTACTTGCGGGTGTCGATACCTCCAAAGATGACGGCACCTCGGTCGCTGTCCATGGTGCGGATATCAAGAGAGAAGGCTCGGCTCTGGATGAGCTTTTGTTGGGCCATGCTATCAATGACAAGAGGATAAGGGGCGTTCCAGCCGTGCAGGTCAGGAGCAACACCCATGATACCAACGCTCACGACGGAGGTGTCGTAGGCAACGCCAAAGAGCTGCTGCTTGATATGGGCAGCTGAGCGAGGTCAGTAGGGGGTCTCGATTCACAGGGTGGCATACTCACAGCCAATGGTAATAAAGTCGTAGCCATAGTTGTAGTAGGCATATCCAGTTCCATAAACAAGACCACCGGTAACATTAATCGAAGTAAAGGTGCTACTCTCTCCGAAATGACCAAAAGACTCGCAAAACGAGACATCATTCGACTTGTCGCAGACGGGGTTGACCCAAAGCTCCTGAGATCCAGTGTCGAGGTTGACGGTGATGGTCTGGCCGGGAGTACCCATAGTAACGTCGATGCTGTAGAAGAGACCCGTGTTCTGAGCCTGGAGAGCAACCTCATTCTGTCGTCGGGTGACGCCCTTGACGATGGGGGCGCCGGGAGATGCCCTGATGGGATAGCGGATGATGCCGTCGTCCAAGGCGTGAGCCAAGGCGGGCAAAGCCGCGAGGAAAAGAGTGGACAACATGATTCAATGTCAAATAATGTTTAAGTAAATAAAAAAAATTGAGAAGCTTGTAATTTGTTACCCCGGCATAAGGAATGACCGGGAAACGGACAGGAATAAAAACAAATGAAAATGCACGAGCACACACAAAAAAAAAATCGCCGAGGTTGGTTTCGACAGAGGTTGGATTGGGTGTGGTGAACAAGAGTGGAAAATGGAGATGGCCGGGTTTTTGTGTTTCTATTCTAAACCTGCAGTGCGCTGCGCACCTGCCGTGCACACCCCCTGGCCCACCGCACTTTTTAGCCCCTAAATCCAATCAAGGTCTTAGCGCAGGTCCCTGGCGCTAATACGAGAGGGGTCTCGTGTAGCGTCTTAGCGTCCCCTCCACCAGCCTCTGTCCGTGCGACCGGCGTCATTGTTTGGTGCCACTGGCGTCAATAGCCCATGCGGTGCGGGAAATGAGGTTGGCCATTTCCTGGTGAAGCGACGATTGCGATAATTAATTGTCATTCTTTATTGTACTCTTGAACATTGACGAGTTTTGAAGTCATGAACTACTGCTTCAACCTCCTGGTTTATTGTCTTGTTTCGAGATCACATTGAGCATCATCAACCTCTCCCTCAACATCCCTCATCATCCCTCAACAGGATCCCCCCTCCTGCATATTGCTCCGTACAGAATACGAAGTCCCTCCTCTTCCTCCCTCATGCACGCAGGGACAACAATCAATTGGCCCCTCTATCGCAAACAGATTGCCGATCTGTGTTTTAGCGCTCCTTACCGCACGATCCTCTCCCTGCGACCAGCTTCCCCTTTGAAGGATCATCTCACACATCACACATGTCAACGAGACAAGCATAATCCCACACAAGATTCAGTTCACCAGATTCCCGAGACGATTCTCCTCCCACCTGAAGCTTCATCCTCCGAGACCAACGCGTGTCATGGCTTGCGCCGTCGCCGGGCTAGGGTCCGGGGGTGGCTCAACACCAAGACGGGAGACGTCTGCCGTGGAACCGGGGGTGGTAACCATCCCTCCACGCGCATTTCGATCTTCAATGATTCAGACTCTCTCACTCTCTTCCGAAACCTGTGCTCACTACCCGGAATCCGAGTTTTTGCCTCGTCATCGCATTGTCTCATCTGATATCTGCACTTAACCGCTGGCCGTCACTGCTTCTCCCGCTCCATTCGCTCTCGCACACCTTTCTTTGATCCCCACAGCCCGTCAATTAACCCATGGATCCATCCTTGCCGACCCGACCTTGACGCCGTCAGGCACGCCAACGAATAGTGCCAGCGCCATCAATTGTGCATGACGGACAAGACGTGGCGACGCCAATTCAAGGCTCGCTTATAGAATCGACCCAGAAGTTCCATCCAAGAATAAAAGAATGCATCTTTCGTTCGGGGGTTCGCTTGTCCAGAGAATTCGGTGACCCGACGTTCCCGTGCCGCAGCCACCGTCAGCCAGCTCCAACGGCGTCGGCCAATGCAAATGCAGACCTCACAGAGGGAAGCCTTGACAGCTGCAGACGTGCCACCTCTCACTGGTTCTCGTACGCTGCAGCCCTCCGAGGCACACGTCCGATTCCACGCGACGCGACACCAGAGCCTGGGTTGATAAGATTGCGACGTAGCACCGACACACACCCTCAAACCCAACCAGCGGCCGTTTTCCGGCACGTCACGTGTTCAGGGAGCCTACCGTAGCATCAAAGAGTGACATCGCCGTCTCCCTTAATCACCGTCTTAATCTTCATATTTCGCCCTTGACATGCTTGGCGTCGGTCGATAAGGTATCAGAGGGATTATTCGCGTAGGTACGCGAGATTCAGTGGTTATGCTTTGTGTCTCCTGGAACGGTTAACGTTAGATGCGACGCTGAGTGTGCTTTGTCAAGGCTTAGGGTAGCTTTATGAGAAATCTTCAAAGCTTTATGAGCAACTTTGAAGATTGCTCCCATTGTGAACCATTCTCAAAAAACGGGAAATGCATGGGACGCCAGGATATAGTAGCCAAGAATTTTATTGAAGTGTTTCCCTAAGTTTTCTGCTTCTACCAGCGCTGGGCACTCCCATGAGCTGTTCTCGCAAAACCCGACCTTGCAACCCTAGGGCTTGAATTGTCACATCAGGTACTCAAATGAGACTCGACAGAGGAGCGAGAAGAAAAAGAATTATCTATATGCCTATTCAACCAGTTCTATTTTACCCAAGGATACTTGAACGAGTCTACCAAAATGAAAGAAAAATAATTGAGGGGAGATACCCAGCAGAGTAGTTGTCTGGCAGGCTGGCAGCTGGGTTCAACACAGAATAATTGACCGGACTAGAGACCCAAAGATGCTGGCTCGACACGATCTTCGGGCTCAGTTAGCCCATAGAGGACCGGGCTGCAACTATAGTTGGCTCGACACACATAAGCTTAACCCTCGGCTTAAGTGGCGAACGTGCTGAGAGCTCGGAGTTTGGCACCGTAAATGTACAACAGGATCATCCCTATGATACCAGTAGCGCTCAAACCACCGAGGACACTCGTGCCCCTAGCGACCCCAAGATTCGCATATAGCGGGTGCGCGAAGAGAATACTGCCGCTAGCAAAGGCACTGCGGAACAAGTCGTTGGCTGCGAATAAAGAGGCGGCATACTGAGGGTAGCTGAGCGGGATATACATGAACATACACTGCAGCACAGTGTAGATCGAGCCAGCGTAGATGGTGATGCCTATGGTTGGAAGGATCCAGTGGATAGAAGCCCGGGCTGTCCAAGCGAATATGAACAGGCCGATGGTAGTACCGAATGATGTAGGTAAGCCGGCCACGAGAACATTCTCCTGTGGACCCATGCCGAACTTCTTTATCCGCGGCGTGACCATAAAGTATAGGTATGCGCCATAACCAATGATGGCGATGATGCATCCAATGGCGATGCAGATGAAGACGAGACCAACTTCGCCCAGGTTCATTCCGTAGTAGACAGGATAAACGAGTGGAAACACCTCAAAGACTATACTGTCAGTAAAAGACTATAACGAGTCACAGGACACTTACAGGAATAGTATATGCCATAGACGATAGCCGAGTAGACCTGGACAAACAAAACGGCTGGGTCTTTGATGGTGATTTCCAACGGCTTGATCAAGGCATCTATAGCAATGCCCGATACTGTCAAGTGAGCTTGGTCAATCTCGCTCTGGGACATTAACTTTTGGTTGCCGGTGAGCTTGCGTAGGCGTTGGGCGCGGCGTAGGAGGATATTCGGGGTACTCGTTTCAGGCAGGAAGATGAAGAGAGCGATAAGCAACGGTGCAGATATCCAGATGGACTCGTATAGAGACCAACGCCAGTTTTTCGCTGTTACGGCGAATCCACTGAGGAGAGGACCGAGAGAGGCTGTTATGGAGTTAGCGGGAGAGTCTCCATAGTCAGGAGAAAAACTTACGTCCACAGGACATGGCGCCAACCCAGGCAATCATTGCAAAAGGCAAATTCACCAAGCTGTACAAGTCGCTCATCGAAGCACCACCGGCGGCTAAGCAAGGTGACCCAAAGAACCCCTGCAAGAAGCGCAAGACAATGAGGCCTGGAAAGTTACCCACGAGGGCTGTTGGAATAGAAAGGATAACAAACAGGGCATAAGTGGTGATGTAGATGGGGTTGCGACCGATGCGAGGGATCTCGCTGAGAGGTGAAAAGAGCAGTGGGCCGACGCCGTAGCCTAGCACGTACATGGCGAGGCCGAGAGTTGCTTCCAGATTGCTGACGCCAAACTTTTTCATGACGCCTTCGGTTGATGACGAGTAGATTGCTGAACTTAGGTAGACGACGGATGTGTAGAAGCAGATGAGAAAGGCGACGAATCCACGGCGTGAGTTGGACCAGTTGTGTGGGTTGGCGGTATCTTTTTCGCTGTACCATTCAACCAAGATGGTGCCGTCCGCGGTTGTCTTGGGTGCTAAACGGGTAGATTTTTCTTGAGAAAACTCCTTCTCGAGATCTCGGTCGGCCGCGTTGCTGACGTGCTCCTCTATCCTCTCTTGCTCGTTGGAGAGGGTCGAGGATGAGGCTGTATCAGGTATCCTGTCGGGCTGTGCATCTCCCATCATACGGACCCATGTCTCAGGAAGCTTGAAGTCTGGCTCTTCTTCTGGGTATTTGAAAAAGCGATTGTTGGTGAAGAAGCGTACAAGCTGTCCCAAGGGGGCGTCTCGAACGACGTCGTGGACCGACTCTCCAAACGCCATTTTGACTCGCTGACTGCTGGACAGAGTTCAACGAGAAGGTCTCTGCACCGGGATATGCAGAAGAGTAAAGAGTGTCTAGAATGTCTAGGAGTAGATGACATGGATGGAGGAGGCTCTCTACACTTATACAACATCGACGGCTACGAATGCCGCGAGGTTCCCTTAGTAACATTTCCGGTAGATGTCGTGCTCATTTCGATAGTCTAGTCGTTATCCGTAGAGATGAGGATAAAAAACTCTGAGCGAGATCCTCAGCTGCAACAACGTTGGGAGTTGTTCGGCTCTTGGACAAGAGACTGCCCGATTGGGTAATCCCCACAAGCTACATCCGCGTGGCTGTCGGATGTCGCTCACAAGCGCCGCTTGATCGACCGGCAAAGTTATCCCGGGCTCCGGACCCTTTATAAGCAAGGGAATGACAAATCAAATAACCACAGAGACAACGTTTGCCGCTTTGCCCGCTTTGCCCGCTGTTCCGACTGTGTTCCTTTTAACTACCTACCGCCGACTTCGGCACTTCATTGACGTTATCATCGGTAGAGCTCGAGCTCGTTTGGGCTGCCCAGTGACTCAATTAGATATGTCCGACGCTATGAAGATGAATTCAGAGACACGAAGCCGCAATTCGAAACGAAACCCGACGGCATGTGAGCATTGTCGGGCGGCTAGAATTAGATGTCAAGCCAGTGAGCAGCCAGGAGTGTGTGAAAGGTAACGCATTAAACAACTTAATTTCTTCCCTTCATGCTCATTATCTCTGTTAGATGTCTCGCTTTGAAGAGAGAGTGCATCGCCCGTACTAAGCCACGGCCGCGCCGGTGGGAGCGCAAATGGGGGTAAGAACCATGCCCTTTTGACCACTAGATGATTTCTAACATGATTTCGATATCTAGAACTGGAGACACTGGACCTTCGACGCAGCCAACCGCCACCTTTAGCATCAACTACACTGTGCCGGGTAAACCGGACCTCAATGATAACTTACAAACCCTACGGGAGATGCATGAACAGGCCATTGACGGCGTACTTGATGATGAAGATGCTGTTGATAGCTGGAAAAGCACAAGTCAATCACTCAGCCCTCAAGGCCCCTCAAGTTTGGCAACCCAACCTCATCCAATATCCGACATCTGGCGCCAACCTTTATTCGACATGGCATCTGCGGAATCTTTACTCAATACTTTCAAGTCCATGGTTAATTACCTACCGTTTATGGTCTTTCCTGAAGATTGCAACGTCTCGCATCTGGCTGCTACAAACCCTTTTACTCTGTTGTCCATCTTAACCGTAGCTTCGGGATCCCAGATGGTGCAGAAACACGCATTATATGATGACGAGTTTCGAAAAGCTCTGGGTCTGAAGTATGTCTCTGGTGGGGAAAAGAGCCTTGAGTTACTTCAGGGCGTATTGATATACTGCGCATGGTATGTCTGATTGTTGAAGGAGCTCTATGCATCTCTGACTGACGTTGGCAAGGTATCCCTTCCACCTGCGGCCCAAGAATGGACAACTGGTTCAGTGTTTGCGAATGGCCGCTGATCTCGTTCGCGACCTTGATTTGGACCAAGACTTTCTCATGATGGCTGATCCGTTGGATCGGAAAGTCACAGACGATGAACTCGACAAGATCCGAGCATATCTTGCTTATATATATCTTGTTTCTACGTAAGGTGCAACGTCCTCTATTTCAATCTGCAATGATTCTTACTCTGGGATAGGTACATCGTTGTATGGAGAGGGGAGAGAGATTTACCGATTAATCGTCCACCTTGGGCCAGCACAGCCATCGACATCCTCCAAAACAACGCTCAGGTCGACAGTGACTACACACTCGTGGCTCTAATACGCCAATCTAGCCTCATTTCTGATGCATCAAAGGTCATAAATGAGGAGGGGCAGACGATGGAAAATAGTGAACTAATTTTGACTGATCTTCGACAACAACATCATGAATTACAGCACAGCATGGATCACCTTTCCACGCAATCTGGTACGTCGAATTGAGTGAATTTAAAGATGGGGGAAAATGACTGACGCAGTAAAAAGAATCGACGAGAATGCAGACTATGTTTATCGATGTATTCCTCGACTGCGGGAGTTTGCTCGTCTTCCCCGTAGCCAAGACCTTCTTGTCTGCCAAAAGAAGTTGCTTCCCTCCGCCATTATCCAACCTTTGCAGCGCCGCGAAGAAGCTAAGAGCTTTCCTGGACTACGTGAGCGACCTGGAAGATTCATCGCTCCTTTCATTTACGGTCAACGACTGGACTCGGTTCATCGTCATCCTTACGCTATCATTCCGCTTGTCGTTCCCGATTTCTCTATGCCCTGATTTTGACTCGACTTCTGCTCGCTCTGAAATTCAACTGGATCAATTCCTATCCAAAATGTCACATGATGCAGATATCACGACTTCAAACGATCTTTTGTCGGCCAGTCGTGCCATGCTAGGTCTTGCCAAGACTAAATACGACCGTCGGCTGGATCTACTTGAAAAATCAGCACCAGTAACTCCGGTGAGCAGGGTTTTTGGGTGTCCAATGATGGACGGGAGCTTGAGAAGATCCGTGGAACAATGGGACCATAACTTTACGAATTTGTCAGGCTGGGCTGAGCCGAAGAATCCTCCTTTGTTTCACGATGTATGGGCAACGATGACTATGGGATGGGGAAATGTTGGTGACATATCTTGGGATGCAGTTGATGAGGGTTTATATACATCTTGAAAGCGGGCTTGGCCCTGGAAATTAACGCGAGATAAGCTCATTCTGTATCTCACTTGCCGGAAAGCCCGGAAACGATTTTGGGTATAAAAAAGACTACTTGGCTTCTGATAACATTTTTGAATTCTAAGCATCTGTTTTAATGGTCCCAGGGTACTAATGCGTTCTTTGTTATAGTTGAAGCCCGGCCCTCGATGGGATAACTGAGCGAGACTAGTTCACCTCGATTGCTTTTTGAATTCTAGGCGTCTATTTAAGAGTCCCAAAGTAACTCTTGATTACACTAGTATTGGGCTTCAGTGCCGTGGTGTGTCTATTATTGTGTTCTATGTTACTATGGCCGACGGAGATGTCCTTGATACTAACAACAGTCTCGACTACACTCTTGGGTCACTTATGGAATCAATGACCAAACGCGCTTGTTCCTGAAACTTCCTTATCCCCGAACCAAGACCAGATATCGTTGAGCAGCAGCTCAGGCACCTCATAGGCAGCAAAGTGACCGCCGTGATTCTGCACAGTTCTCTTGACAACATTTCCTCCTCGCTTCGCCCAGTCCAATGGCATGCGGTAACAGAGGTCGTAAGGAAACTGGCTGATGGCGATTGGAATCTCTACCAGCGGCAGAGTGCCAAAATCAAGAAGGGAGGAGCCGGCGAAACCCCCGTCGTTGAGGACCTCCTTGTAAAAGCGCATACCGCCATATGGGCCTTGGATGTAATACATCAGTGACCAAGTAATGATCTGCTCCGGAGTCCAGGTTGTAACGGCTGGATCAATGACCTTTGCCATCAAATCATACATCCACATGGCGTTTCCCAATGGGGAGTCTGTCATGCCAATTGCCAAGGTGAGCGGTTCAGTTGATTGCATCAGGCGGTATCCAGAGTCGTGGTTGATGTAGTTCTCGAGAATATTAATGTAGGTAACTTCGTCAGGGGTTGCTTTCCCCTCTGCGAGTCTGCGCATATCATCGTCGCTTGGTTGGATGACCCAGAAGTTGCTGAGTGCTGAGACGACATGATCCGGAAATAGATGAGACTGGTAGCGAAGGGTAACACCGCCGAAATCCCCTCCTTGAATGACATATTTGGAATAGCCGAGCTGGCCCATCAATGCATCGAAAGCGTGAGCCGTTTCGACGGGACCGAAGCCGGGACGCTGAGGTGCAGGGGAGAATCCGAAGCCTGGGATTGACGGAGCAACAACGTGAAAGGCCGGGACGGATGCGTTGGGAGGGTTTGTCAGGTTGCCGATGATGTGGCTGACTTCTAGGAATGAGCCTGGCCATCCGTGGATGAAGAGCAGAGGAATGGCATCCTTCCGGGGCGAACGATGATGAACAAAGTGGAGGGGCACTGGGTAAGTGGCATTATCGATCACGGGCTCGACAATGGTTGTGAACTGTTCCAGCCTTAAAAACTGTTAGTATAACTACAAAAACCGGTATTGTATCACTTACTTTTGGTTGATGGAGGCTTCAGTTGCATTCCAATTGTATTCATTGACCCAGCAGTCCTGAACAGCGGTGAAGTTTTCAGCACTCGGACCGTCGCCTTTGATGCCGATAAACGCAGGAGCCCTTGCGTGCGCGACTCGCTGACGAGTTTCCTCGATAAACTTCCGATCAACATTGATTTCAAATGGCTTAGGCGACTTGTCAAAGGTGGCATCAGTGTTTGGCAGAGAAAACTTGTCTGCAGCAGCAGCGCAAAGGAGAGGGCCAAAGCCCAATGCAAACAAGTGTAGAAGCATTCTAGCGTTTGGAAACGAGTTCAGGTTAGAATGAGCGGGACTTTTGCTTCAAAGGTGGCTCTTGTTATCGTATTTATATCATTTATTGCCGTTCTTATATCGTTAATATCCTGTGTGGGTCATGTCATTTGGTTGCATGATTTAGACTGTTGCATTTTTCGCTCATCATGCTTCTAGAAACACCTCACGAAGCTTCTTAGACATCCGAACGATGCCGGTAGATGCATGCTCATTGCATTGATCCACATGCATATCCGAACGGGGACTGGAATGCAAAGCATCCTGTAACCCACTTCTATATCCAGGTGGAAACTCGCAATCAACGTTGTTGATTATCAAGATCCAATTAAAAATCGCCGGAAATGTTCATATGCGCTTACCAAGTTGGAGAATGGGGCTTACGAAGTCGGGGAGACTCAAGTTCGGGTCGTCGGGGGCCCCGAAGCTACATCCGGGTGGGCTACGGATATTGATCGTCATGACCTCCGACTTGCAAAATCTTTCACTGTCATCCCTAAGAAACTCTGTAATTATTTAGTGAGGTTTCTAGAATAAATAATCCGGCCTGAAACTTCTCTGTCGCTTCCATTTATAGCCACCATCTGCCGGCATTGTTTCGCATGACAACCTCGAGCCACTCTTCCTCTTCCACATTGGCCTACAACTCCTCCCCATCTTACTCTCATCGCCATTTGTCAAATATGGCTCCGATTCAATTTGGCATCCTCAGCTTTGCCTACCAAGTAGTCGACTCAGCCGGACCCGCGGATCTTCTCTGTTCCGCCAGCAAAGGCGCCCTCCAAACTATTCGAGAATACGTCCCCATCGATGACGAGGTCATTGCCCGAGCACCAGAATTCGTCTTCCATCATATTAGCCCAACGCTAGATCCCGTCGACCTGGGTACTCTTGGGATGAAGATTGTCCCTACAACGACTGTTGATGAGTGTCCCGAGCTAGATATCTTGCTCGTTGCAGGGCCGCACCTGGGTAGCTTTAATCTAAGCCCTAAGCACGCTGATCTCATCCGGAGACACGTCGCTGCTGGAAAGCTTGTATTTACGACATGCACTGGTGCGAGCGTCGTTGCATCCACAGGGGTTCTAGACGGGCGGAGGGCCACGGTCAACAATATCGAATACGAGTATTCGAGGAAGCTCTGGCCAAAGGTCAACTGGACAAATGAGAAGAAGTGGATTATCGACGGCAATATCTGGACCGGATCTGGGGCCGTCGCTGCGATGGACATGGTGGCACACTGGCTCAAGGAAAACCATGGCATGGATGTGCTTATCCAGGCTGCTGCCACCTTGGACTATGAGCCACGGGATGACGATGGTTTGTTCACTGTGTTTCCACAGAGATTTAATTCGAGGGGAGACAAGATTTCTACTCATGTATTTAGATATCACTAAGAATAGTAAACAGCCCATAGGTGGACCACGTCAGCAGAAGGAATAAAAAGGAGACTAGGGGGCCAAGATGAAAACATGTGTGTTTAATGAACTGTACTGTTTATTTCAATTCTAGAATATGCTTGGAATTTACTACCCTCGCAGTCTATCAGGACAAAGTGTCAGTATCTTGAAAAAGAACCACACGTCTTCGAGTCAAGTATTGTCATGAAGGCAAAGGTGGCATTGGACCATATTGCGCGTCAAGCGATCAGGCCATTCAGGTTACCAGCTCTACCTCAAGACATACTGTTAATGGAAAATATTCGTTGCTAGGCGCTGAAGAAACTGCAGAAACTGCCAAAACGGTTCGCCGTTGATGAGTATAGTATACAGAAATGCCCATAAGATCGGATAGAACAAGAAGAGAAAGACCGTCCTAGCAATTTTCAATAGCTGCCAACAACAGTAGAAGGCAGAAATGGACAGCAAAGCTCCGCTGAGTACAAAGTCGAGGACAATGAGAAAAAGCATCTCTGCGGTCTCTCTTCTGTAGAGTTTTTGGGTCTTGTTCGCGATTGTGGTGGTTAAAACTTGGGCCAGACTGTTAACGAATGATTTGTCGTTGTTGAATAAGTGTTGATGTGTGGATGGAGATTCCTAACAACTTGGTGCCGACGGGCCTTTTTATAGCCCTTGAAACTTGACGGGTAATGAAGCGAATGCTCGATCTTCTGGCTTAGTTACTCCACAGAGGGCCAGGCATCAGCTACGACAAAGAAAGCATCCTAGCCAATGCTTATGTATTCTATTAAAGCAGCCGTTGTTCGCCCCTCTTTGTCTTTGTTGCGACTGATGGACTTGCAGGCTTAATTAGGAACAAAGAAAGGTGATAAAGGCCCTTTCTACTTTTGTCTATACCAAAATAGCATAAAGGAATGAAATAAACGATCTGAATACCGGGAAATTGGATACAGCCTCGCTCAAGTAACCCCCCCGTACAGTCCAACTTGGTCTGTTCACGCACAGGCAAGTCATATTATTAGACCCTCAAAGAATTTATTTTGAGAGAATGGTGATATCGTGGCTTTGCACGAGGATCTATACCCTGTTCCTACGAATGGCCTATGATACCGATGCTGCTTCCCTTATAAAGGAGTCATCTTTGGCCCGTGAGGCTGGACCGAGTGGGTGTTTAGCCACTCCTTGATACGTAGCCCCGTATGTTTCGTGCAACTAAGTACATTTAGCCACCAGATAAATAGACCTACGGACAAGTAGATAGAGTAACTTCCTCTCATTACACGGGAGGAGATTTGCGGGTTTGAGCAAGATTACGTCGCGGGGTTGGACTTATGTCATTTCCGACGCCACGCGAAATCAAAGCGTTGACACAATGCCATATCTTGAAGCAAACAGAGGGGTGGTGTATTTGGAGGGGCTGGGTGAGGTTGGGTTTTGATTAGGCTTAAAACTTTAATTGAGAAGGAGGTCTTGGTTGAGTGGTTGGGTGATAGCGTGGCAACAGTGACATCCCGACCCCTTATTTTTCCCTTTTCACACAATGTTAGAAATTGCAATGAACGGTGACATGCTGTAAGACAATGTATGATTTTGTGTAATTAAAAGGATATCTGTTTGGACCCGAAACTCAAGGCTTGCATCATATTACACAACGCTCTGACTCTGACTGTCGATGTAAAGTCGACCATGTTTCAAACCATGCGACTATCCAGAACCCAAAAGACATGCCCGCTCATCCGTACCACAGATAGAAGACGCTGAAGTCTCATTGTCTTGTCCCACTATCGGCCCCCAACCCACCATTGCCTGGGAAACTCCATGCCCCATTTCGTGGTCAGACTCCGGAGCTCCTCTTCCGTTCCTGGCACGACATTTATGAAAATTCTTCCGTGTTCTCCCTCGCTCATACTAGGCTCTGAATGCACGGCGCCAAAATCTCTTCCAACTCGAAATACTGAACACTCTCCTGGCATGGCTGCCTCAACACCCAACGGTTTCATGGTCTGAGTGAGCTCCTCCCGGACGACATCAGCAGCGGATGCACAGCCAACACAGCGGATACTTAGGCACTCATGTTCTGTACTGGCTGATACACGGGCATTTTCTTGTCTTTTTCGTGCTGATGCTTGGTGCTCTAGAGGGATGAAGAGTGTTGATGGGCCGAGAAGTGTTGTGCATATCTTCCAGTTGGTTCCAGAGTTTCGTTCACCATTCTTGTACTGTGATTTGAGTCCTAACCGTGTCCCAGGTAGGTTTCCTTTTGAAAGGTCGGAAAAGAAGAGCTCATCGGTGTGCCATCTCGGACGATCGTACTCAGGAGTCGGCGTCGTAGCCCGAATAGTGAGCATATAATGCTTCAAACCCTTGCTAACGAGCAGAGAGTTGATATACCTCAAGAACGGAAGAAACCTCGAGTGAACAGGCCCCGTAAAAGTCGCCGCTGCAAATTCGTAAAAGTTGGCAGGGAGCGCCGAGTCCGGATCAAGCGATGAGAATGGGTCAAGCAGGGGACCGCAGTAGCACCAATACGCGGTGCGCTTAACCGTGACCGCTTCTTGTTCGTCGTCGACGGCGCGGTACTTGAGGAAGCTAAAGTCTTTGTTGAACGCTTCTGTTACAGCTGCTGCCATGATGGTTTCTGTTTCTGGACGAGTGTGAATGTAAACAAACATCGGTGACGACCATGTCAGGCCACTTTTATCGGTTAAATAGCAAGGCTGAATCCTTCCGCACGTCCGTCGCGTGACTAAGCAGATCTGTTGGTTGTGAGGCTTTGAGGGTAGGTTTGAGATAAGAAGTGCAAAAAATCTAGAGTTCTATTGTCTATGAAAGGTTGCTGCCCTTTACTTGGTGAGAGATGGGCCAAAAGCTTGTTTATGGTGTAGGTGTATGGGTCGGCCTCGATAATTCCGATCGTCTCCGCTTTTACCCTTCTTTCTAGGCAAAAGCTGCTCTTGACCATGATCATCCCATCTGCCACGGCCGGGTGGTCATGGATCTGCGTTTGTAGATAAGCTCAAGTGTCCCGCGATCTATCAGATCTGACCAGCTAGAGGACGAATATAGCTAAGATCTCACTGAACATGAGCGAACTTGCAGCCCACAATCCCTCTTGGATGGTATACACACTAACATGACTATTTGGCGCATTGCTATCTAGAAGGGCTGCGCAGATATTATTTTTACATGCTTTTAATGAAAAGGAGCTAAAATATTAGAAAATCAGCGTCGCTAGGTGAGCAATGTGTTACTATGAGAGTTTCTCTCCCCCTCAAGAATTGGAGGCTTTACTAGTTGTAGTGCAATAAAGGGACCGGCTAGATCTTATACACCGTAGCTTCAGCATTCGGTTTTCCAAGAGTGGCCTCTGCCTCAATATTGGTTGCGCTTCCAATGCTGCATTGAACCTCGAACATCGACCTCCTGGGGCCTCGTCTGAGGGTATGGAACCTGCGAACTCGGCCTTGGCTACTCTGCATCCGTCCTAATAAGCCTTGTCCCTATCAATACATCCTAGAAACCGATGAGTCATTTGCTTCTTGAGGCTGACAGTTCAACGCCGGTCAAGCTCTGTAGACGCGGATGGTTCCACTTGCTAGCATGAACGACATCTGCCTCCTCGTTGGGCTGGCTTGATAGCCATATATGACTCGCCAAGATATATTCGTGGCATGAGGTTGGAATTTATGAGCCTTCGGTTCTTGGCTAAGCTAACTAGTCGCAGTGAAGGCGGGCCGGCGCCTGATGATCCCACGCTTAAACCAGGAATAGCCATGTTCAATCTACCTGATTAAAGATAAAACCTCAGCTGTGTACTCTTTCGTCCCGCTTACATTGCCTTGCCAAGCCGTCGGTGCCTGCCAAACGCCTTGTGTGCTTGCACCCTGGTATTGGCGTCATCGTCTCCACGTGGCAGCCATCTCGTCCTACGGGCCGTCTCGGACGCCAGAACGGAAGATTGGCGTCTCCCACTCGGGTTGTGGGGCCGTATTCGGCCATCGGTCGGTGAGGGATGGTATGGGTGGGATAATGGGTGGGATCTGGATCTATGAGCGTCAGGGGAGTTGTGTTCTGTCTTGCGGAGGAAGTCCAAGATGGTTCAGTGGGATACCAACAGGGTTCTTAACGCTTTAGATCCGAACTATGCTCTTCATTCACGTATAGAACTGGCTAATGACTGTATACTAATGTATATGATAAGAAACGAACCATTCCAGCATGAATGCAGGTGTCATGATAGTGGCTCATTGATGTCGTGCATCTTTCCGGACTCGGACTGTTAAATCCGAACAAACGTTATCTTGTCAAATCTCCTAGTGCTGATACTGATTCCCGAGTTGCAGAAAAACGTTTATCCCACAATCTGTACCCCATACTCTCATCTTTGATGGGTTGCCGGTGACGTGATGCGGTGGGATAATTATGCATCCCTATTCGACCCCGGCTTCTGCCCCACGGACTCATAGGACACAAGTCTTGACTATAATTGCGTGATGACACCAAACACCGTCGGGGCCGCTCCGATCAAGGCCGTTTCAAGGATACGGTTAACCTCTGTTGGGTATTGAACAGGCCATGGGAGTGCATCTGCTCCGATGGAGTGGGCACATGTGTGGGACACCTCCAAAGACCTTGTTGCTCCATAGTTGTATCTCTACTTTCGTGCCTTTGATCTGGTAGCCGAAAGGTCGGAGGATCCAGAAAATTAAGCATATTTTTTCTCTGATCCTTCCGTCACGTCATCAAGGTGACACAGCTTTGGCCACTTGTACAGTATCAGGAACTACTTATAAGTTCATGAACTGCAGGCTTTTGCAGAGACAAGAAACACCCAAGATCGCCACTTCTTCTAGCCAAGACTTGTTCAACGGTTGCCCAGCTTTGCCCAGCCTTAGCCCAGCATGTCTACGCCCTACGACGACAAAGACGCCGGGCGTGACAATGCCTCGTCCAAGTCAGAGCCCTCTGCGACTGTTGTCGTCAGAGGGAATGAATCTGACAGTGATGATGGTTTGCCACCCAAGACATGGCGATCTTACATCTGGGATACTCTTGACAAGTCTCCTGAGGAGCGCAAGTTCTTGTTTAAGCTTGATGCTGTCATTCTCACCTTTGCTTCTCTTGGGTACTTTATCAAGAACTTGAACCAGATCAACATCAACAATGCTTTTGTATCTGGCATGAAGGAGGATCTCAACATGCATGGCAATGAGCTTAATTACATGCAAACGCTGTGGACTGTGGGCTACGTCATTGGAGAGATTCCCAGGTATGCTAGCATGATGGGAAAGGGAACCGAGCTTTATACTGACCTTATCTAGTAATCTACTGCTCACAAGAGTTCGACCGTCCATCTGGATCCCCGCTTGCGAGGTGACCTGGTCCGTCTTGACGATCATCATGGCCAAATGCACCAACGTCCAACAGCTGTACGCACTCCGCTTCTTCATTGGCTTGGCAGAAAGCACATTCTATCCAGGTAAGCAGTACTCTCTATCTTTCTATGGGCGCAGTTATCCCATCAAGGGCCGGCCTCCCTTCCTTATTTCCCAATGTCTCCGTCGTACACAAGCGCCAGGCTTCAACCACAACAACACACACAACATCAAGACATGATAGCATCATGTCCAGTGCTAACCAGTGGCTCTCAGGTATGCAATATATCATTGGATCGTGGTTCAGAAAAGATGAGCTTGCGAAGCGTTCATGCATCTTTCATGCCACTGGCAATATCGGCAGCATGTTCTCGGGATACCTCATGGCGTCTGTGTACCGGCTCGATGGCGTTCACGGCTTTAAAGGCTGGCAGTGGCTTTTCATCATTGACACTGTCATCTCACTTCCTATCGCTATAGCCGGCTTCTTCTTCTTCCCCGACGTCCCTGAAATCACTAAATCGTGGTATTTCACCAAGGACGATATCGCCCTTGCGAAGCGACGTATGGAGTTGGAAGGAAGAGCGAACCGCGCCCCGTTCACTTGGGGCAAGGTCAAGAAGATTTTTACCAGCTGGCATATTTACCTGCTTACCCTCTTGTACATCCTTTTCAACAATGGTTGTGGTGGCATGGCCCAGCCTGCTTTCCAGCTCTGGTTGAAGGGTGAGGGATACAGCATTTCTCAAGTCAACACTTACCCCACGATTCAGTCTGCCGTGGCGGTCGTTACAACTCTAATGTATGCCTGGTTTTCTGATTCCGTCTTCCAAGGCAGCAGATGGCAGCCGATTCTATTCTCGGGCACTTTACTCACGGTCTTTTACGCGAGTCTGGCGGCGTGGAATATTCCTGACGGATGGAAGTGGGCTTGTTTTATCCTTATCGGTATCGGTGGAGGCATCAGTGGATTGACATTTGCATGGGCCCATGAGATCTGCAATGATGATAACGAAGAAAGGGCGTTGGTGGTTGGAAGCATGAACGAGATGGCCTACGTCTTCCAGGCTTGGCTACCTCTTCTTATCTGGAAGACGACTGAGGCACCGCAGTATCCCAAGGGCTATGCTACCATGGTTGCTTTGGCCATTGCGATGGCTGCTACTGCGATTGCTATTCGATACTTGCATAGAAGGGAGTTGGTGGCAAAGAGGTTGGCGGCTGCTGTAGGTGAGAGCTGAGTTGGCTTGGTACATAAGCGGTAGGGAAAGAGGCCGAGGATAGATGGCATGTTTCAATACTTGAGGGAATCGAAACTTGTTTAGCTGAGGCAGGCTTGAACTGCCTCAAATAAATTGTCAATTGGACCACATGCTCGAATTTGGCCAATACGAACGAGTCTTCTATAATTGCGTGCTCTTACTTCAAGACAGACACCTAGTCTGACTATAACGTTAAACTAACTACACAACTACGTAAACATCATCCCTCAACTTCCTTTATCAGTATTCATCATACCCTAGAGCAAAGGCGTCAGTCGGCGTCGAGTTGGGATAGCCCGTTTTGTGACATAATCCTCAAGATGACGTGCTCAACCCGGTCCCATCTTTCGCCCTCTTGGATGCGCGAGAGCGCACACAATAGACGGCTCGAATGACCCATCGGGAACAAACGCGGATGAAAGAGGCGAGTCATTTTCGACGTCGTAAGAGGATGGGGCACGTCTGCTTACAATTAGTATTCCGAGTGGGTTGTTTATATTGATTCTGTGCCCTCGGGGTGGTGTTGAGTCGACTTGCAACTGTTCACAACTGTAGCTTGAGCCAATTCTAGCTTTATCGTTAGCAATGAGTCCTTATCTTACGAATGGGCGCTCGCCGTCACCCGATGAGCCTGTCAAGTTTGGTCCTGGCACCAAGGTTGCCGTCGTCGGCGCTGGAGTGAGCGGCATCTGCACAGCCGCCTATCTCCTCAAGAACGGAGCCGATGTAACCGTCTTTGAGCGATCCGGGGTCACGTCTGGGGTATGGCACTACGATGACAGGGCACCGACGACTACGAAATACCCCAGCGAGAAGCCCTCGGCCGGCGACTATGTGACCTCCCTGCCTGGACAATTCCTACCAAAGACCGACTTGAAGGCCAAGAACGGAGACAGTGCTCACCCTCTTGAAAGTGAGGACCCCGAGACTCGTGAAGTCTCCTTTTCTCCACCGGGTCCAGCTTACTTTGGTCTACGAAACAACGTCCCTACAAGTCTCCTCTACAGCAACCTCGGACCCTGGCCAAAAGATACCGAAGATATCACCAGCCATGTCAACATCCAAGATTATCTTCAAGGACTCAGCAAGGAACACGGTGTTGATGATGTGACCATCTTCAACACTCGAGTCGAGGGCGCCAAAAAGAGCGAGGATGGATCCCACTGGGCGATAAGAACGATAACCCACCTCAAGGGCGACGGCCAACCTCGATTCCTCGAGCGAAACTGGAAGTTCGACGCTTTGGTCGTGGCATCTGGTCACTACAACCTCCCTCGTATCCCAGATACTCCTGGCCTTGCTGAGTGGAAGGCTCACTTTGGTGAAGACATCATTCACACCAAGCAGTATCGCCGCCCGGAGAAGTACGCCGGCAAAACGGTGCTTGTCATCGGTGGTGGGGCTTCGGCTTATGATGTTTGTCGGGAAACGAGCGAAACCGCCAAGCGCGTGATTCAATCAACAAGGGGTGGTGATTTTGATTTGCCGCCTGCCATGTTCCCAGAATCTGTTGAACATGTTGGCGGGATTGAAAAGTTTGTCCTGGAAAAGGATGAGTCTGATCCTTCAGCACCGGTGAAGAGTCACATCTTGCTTAAGAACGGGGAGAAACTCGAGGGTGTCGATGGTATTGTTTTGGCGACTGGATACCTCACTTCTTATCCTTTCCTCTCGCAATACCATGGAGATGATGTGCCTTTGGATGAAGCAACAGATGATATTCTCATCACTTCAGAAGGAAACATGGTGCACAACCTTCACAAGGACATCTTTTACATCGAAGACCCTTCACTCTCCTTCATCGGCGTGCCTTATTACACCGCAACATTCTCCCTCTTCGACTTCCAAGCCCAGGTCCTCGCAAGAGTTCTCACAGGAAAGTCAAAACTACCCAGTCGCGCCTCAATGAGGAAGGAATACGAGAACCGCGTTGCTGCCAAGGGACGTGGACGAAAGTTCCACAGCTTGGCCGACGACGGTCTCGAGGTGGACTATGTGAACGATCTGTTGGAGTGGGCCAACTCAAGCCTTGTAGATGACAAGACTGAACCTTTGCTGGGGCATTCTAAGGAGTGGCTTGATACTTATAAGACAGCGAGAGAACAGAGAAAGTTGCTGCGTGTGGCCAAGGGTGTCGAACCAGAGGGACTTTGGGCGAGACCAAGTGATCTAGCACAGGCTTAAGTAGATAAGAAAACATGGATAGTGAAATAGATATGGTTTTAAGCGCTGCAGCACGCAATTGGGCCTAGCTTCAAGGTGGTGTCAACCTGCTACGCCCGCCAAGGTCTAGATCTAATGTTACCGTTTCATGCAGGGGACGGGATCTATGTTGGGCTTTTTAATGACTTGCATGCTCAGTTGTGGGTGCACTCCTGCAGAGGAAATGGGGAACAGAGCGGTTATGCAAGAAGAGAGATCTTTGGTTCTGTGTGTTTGGTATCAGCTTGGCGTATCTCATGCACAGGTAATTCCAGAGGCCTGGTTGAGGGGAGATGAACTGGTGGAGATGAGTAGAGGAGGTTGACCGGAAGGTCGGGTCCGCCGTGGCTCTTGATGTAGGGTAGCTTTGAGTTTGCGTCGATAATGATGCTTGTGGATGTTTGTTGCTATGATATTGTTTGCTCTCTAGGTAGTGAAGCCATATTCCTGCTCGGCTAGTCGTTTGCACGAGGGGCCGGGCCAGTACATCTCAGATTGAAGGTGCTTTCACCTTCATGGTCGAATAAACATTAGACTCATAAGGTGACGCTACATGCCTTTTTCCATCACCAGGCAGTCGTTGTTGGGCGTCTTGGTCAGCTCACGACGTCCCCAAGTCTTGACAGAACAATTCCTTCACAAGCGACGTCATGTTATCAAAGATCCGCCTTCACCATCCCTAACCTTGATGAATTTACCCTGATGTCTCTCGTGAACTCGCCACGCCAAGCCCGCGAGAGCCGTACCGAGAGCATGGATACGACTTGGACGTGGGATGAAAAAAGGCGTGGCTTGCGTGGGACAACGGGATTAACGAGGAACCGGTGACGATCTTTGAAGAATCAAGGCCAACCATCGGAGAAAGACTCGATCTGGTTAGTGGATGCATCCTGCACTATCGAGTCCTTCAAGGTGTTGTCCCCTCAGTAGAGTGCATATGCCAAGAGGCCGAGGTAGGTCGAGTCAGCCGTGAGGACGAGGGCGAGGGCGAGGATCTTGACTAACGAGAAAAACTAGACATTCTATTTGGTAAATGCCTCACTTGGGATCCATACATGGTCCAGCTCGTGGATGGGCTCGTGGGGGAAAACAGTTGCCCAAACAAGCATAAGTTAGAGTCCAACGAGCCAGGGCGATGGATTTGCTAATGGCTCGCTTTAGGATTGGTACGACGCTCACGCCACTAGAGGCATCTAACTCACGAATTAAGCATATTATTTAACTTGAAGTGGCCTGCGTTGTGGGGTTGCACTCGACCGCGGATAGTCCAGGTACCTTGATGGTTTGGATGTTGTGGGTTCCTTGAGAACCCGGATAGTCATGGTGTGACGTGGAGAACAACACTCTCTAGACCACTTTCTTTTCTCTTCTCTTGCTTTACTCTGTTTTCATTTGTCCAGCCTCCGGAGATGCCGCGGTCAGAGTCAACCAACATGCATCTCCCCGCTTTACAAACGAGGCTCTTTTGCCATGCGTGATGGGGTCAACCCCCACGAACGGATTCAACGCCGAGAATCCATGAATGATGCTAGCTAGTCAGTAGAGACGGCGTAAGCAATGTTGGTCCATATCCTTGCCTCTTGAGCATTGGCAAGGTTATCATCGACAGTAAGGTTACTCTATAAATACCCCGAAACACCTCCTGCATGAACTCTTGTTTCCTCAGCCACTCAGCCCTCATCATCAAGCCAAACAAACAGCCGACAATTCACTGAACCAATCAAGTTCACGCCGACAAGTTTCACTCAAAATGATGTTCAAGTCCACCACCGTCGCGGCCCTCCTCTTCGGAGCCGCCATCGCCTCCCCCATCGTCCCTCGTGAGGAGGCCGCCACCCAGACCGCCGAGGCCCCCAAGGCCACCGAGTCTGCCGGAGCCTACGACTGGGCTGAGGGCTGGAAGAAGGCGTACCCCATTCACCAGTCTTGCAACTCTACTCTGCACCGTCAGCTTGCCAACGGTCTCGATGAGGCTGTTCAGCTGGCCACACACGCCAAGGAGCATATCCTGCGCTTCGGTCACAAGTCCGAGTTTGTCCAGAAGTACTTTGGCAACGCTTCGACTTCTCAGCCTATTGGCTGGTATGAGCGTATCATCAACGCCGACAAGACTGGCATGCTCTTCCGCTGCGACGACCCTGACCGCAACTGCGCTACCCAGGACGGTAAGTCACTATAACCTCACATGAGAACATAGCTAACAAAGTACAGAGTGGGCTGGCCACTGGCGAGGTGACAACGCCACTACTGAGACCGTCATCTGCCCTCTCTCTTTCGAGATCCGCCGCAACCTTGACCAGGTTTGCAACCGTGGCTACACCGTTGCTGCCTCCAAGCTCAACACCTTCTGGGCCACTGATCTGATGCACCGCATCCTCCACGTCCCCACCGTCAGCGAGGAGGTCGTCGACCACTTCGCCTCTGCCTACACCGAGGTCACTGCCCTCGCCAAGAAGAACCCCGAGGAGAGCGTCATCGACAGCAACACCCTCCAGTTCTTCGCCATCGACGTCTACGCCTACGACATTGCCGCCCCTGGTGTTGGCTGCACCGGTGAGCCCGTGGAGGAGGAGAAGAAGGAGGCTACTAAGACTACTGGCACTGCTGCCCCCTCTGCTACCAAGGAGGCTCCCAAGGAGTGCCACACTCACGACGACGGTGTTGTCCACTGCTCTTAGGTTTTGACCTAGTCTGGAACTCTGTTCCACTCTTCAACAGTTGACTTCATCTCGCAACCTTTATATAATAGACATTTAGATGATAAATGAGCGATGCCCGCATGAGCATGGCGCACATTGTTTCACTTATGCTTCTCTGATGCAATACGTGATCGTGGAGATTTTGTGCAATATGCGATTTTATGTATGACCAAGGTGAAATAACCAATCTGCCACCCTCTTGGATTCTATGAGAAGAAAATTGGATCATCATCATCAAGCCGTAGCCCCCAATATCAGTTCTCGGTGAACACTCTAAGCCTCAGGCTTCCTAGCATAGACAGCGCAACTACAAACAAGTTAGCACAAACAACATACCACAGACGAGGCCACATACATTGGCCAATAAGCGTGAATCTTGGGGTCGTTCCAATCGCGTCTCAAGTCAGTCAAGAAAACCTCAACCTCCTCACGGCTCCAGCCCAGACCTCTCGTGAAAGGGGCCATGGTCAAAGCTTCGAGGGCAGAGCTGGCATTCTCATTATTCCAAGCACCGAGCTCCTTGAACTTCTTGTCCTTGGGCCAGCGGTTAGACGGCCACTTGAATCGAGTCTCGATAATGTCGACGAAGCCGGCTTCCTTGAGCAGATCCTTGAACTTGGTGGTCCTTTCGAAAGAGCGGTTGAACTTTCCGGCTGCCTCGTCTAGGAGTCTACACCACTTGTACATGGTAGTATCCTCAGTCAGGGTTCCGTCATCGCTGCCCATGATAACGTCTACATCCTGCAGCTCGACATAACCGCCGGGGGCGAGGTTCCTAGTTACGTTAAAACCCAATGGGGAGGTGAGCAGATGGGAGACCTACTTAAAGATCTTTTCCAGATAAGATTGCCAGTTCTGAACGCTAAAGTTCATGAATCTACTGTGGATGTAATCAAAAGGCTCACTGTAGGTCCACTCCTCGTCGATATCGTCAATCTCGAACTGAACGTTGGGGGGGACGCTGGCACTCAGTCAGCAGGGTTCCAGGTTGGACCTAGGTAAGCTCATACAAGCTCGGCTGGATCGGCGAAAGGTCGACGCCAATGACGGTCGCATCGGGGTGCTCGTCACCAAAGTCAATGGCCCAGATACCGGTGCCAGTGCCTACATCAAGGACACGCTTGACCTTTGAGCCAGGGAGGTTAGGCGGGCTCAGACCGAGTTTGTTGTCAAAGGTCAGGAGGCAAAGGTTATGCTGAAGATCTAGTCCGTGTCAGTGAGGAACAGTACTCGTCTAGTTTACGAGGCGCTCTACCCAGTCTTTCGCTTTCCTCGTCATCGTTGGGGAGGTTGTATTCTATAATTCACATGTGAGCAAACATTGTCTCAACCAACAAGCCATGGCGTCGTGGCTATATGCGGGTGTGGGTGTACAACGTACTGCCATCCTTGTACTTATGGTATGTTCTGCCGTTCTCCTGCCTATAGTCGAGAATGGAGCTTCTCAAGCTCTCAGTGGATGACGAGGCATCCTGCTAATCATAAATAACGCATCCTCATAGACAGGGAGGTCTTCGTACCAAGCCAAGAGAAGAGTCAGTATCACTGGCCTTCACGCACTGTTAGCAAGGGTCCATGCAAGGGGGTAACTAGACCAACATCGTCTGCGGGAGCGATAACGGGAGCCCCAACGGTAGTCATGTTGCCAAATCGGGAATACACCTAGGATGGGATATAGTTGGTTCGCCGAATCGTGACAAAGAGTTCGAGAAGGATTGAGGTTCACAAATTAGCTTCCCCTCATTTTACGAAGCAAAAAACGTGTTAATAAATACCGCAAGAGATGTCCCCTCTCTTGTGCAGGTGATCTCCTGATGGCAGGGGTCTTTATCACCAGCTCTCGGGGCCTCGGGGTTTTGGTAGGAGCTCTGATTGGTGGTTCAACTGGCAACGCCCACCTCGCGTAATGCACCCTGGGCCGTTTGCACCTCATGCCGAGGCAAAGAGTAATCATGATTACTCTTTGCTCTTCCATCTTTGATGCTGTATTCTATTACCTTGGTCTGTTCATAATATGGGGATTTCTCCTTTACAGGGACATTAAGGTAGCTGCTCAGCTACTAGCCCTATCCTTAGCAAATCCTCATCAGCGCCTCTCCAATCTATTTAATCATTGTATTCTTGGCATTAGAGAAGGCTTCCTAAGATGATGGTCTAAGGCTTGCTAGAGTTCTCATAAAGTTCCCTCTTACAATATTTATAAGCCTTATGCTAAGGCATCAAGTTTCACATAGGCGCTAGACAGGCTAGTTGGCGAAAAAACGCCTAAGCCTTCATATAAACATTAGTTACGGCAATGTTAGCGAAAATGTATACCTTGAACCAAGCGGCCCTTTGTCAAGCCTGCGCTCAAAGTCACCACATCTCTGGAAAAGCTGGGCCACTGGCGGAGCCAAGCAGAGCTGGAACAGCTTCGAATAACAACACACAGAGTACCTACGATGAAGACGACGAGCCAGTCAAGCGGGAGCGGGTCTATGGTAGAGGTAGGTAATTATTTAGCTAGAGTAGAGAATCAAGGTGAATGATTATTTGGTTGGCCTGAGGATGAACGACATGAAAAATGAAGTTGAGAGCTGGTTCCTAAACATCTAGTTTCATAACCGCAGACATCACTGAATGCCTAACCTATCCCACTCGTCTGTCACCATTACAGACATCACCGAGAAGCCTATCACTCCATCGCCCTCAAGAATTCCTTCGCTCCCAGACTCGGTATGAATACACCTTATTCAAAGCCGTCTAGAGGGAGATGTTGATCTCGTCCGCGTCTCGCTCTGGGCAGGACGTGACTAGACCGTGTACCTCCCAAATTGCCTGCATTCGGTGGTTCAACGCATCACAAACCTTACACCGGTCTGACTCATTTTCTATGATTAAGCGCGTCCTGAAAAAGAAGAGCAAGCCCGGGCATGAAACTCTAACCGCTGCTCTTGGTACTTAAAATCTCCAAGCGCCTGCTCTGTCCCTTCTTTTCTTTTCCTTCACACACAGACCTCAACTTTAAACCCGTCCCGGACCTTCTCAAACATCATCACGATGGAGCGCCCTGCACAGCAAACGACGACGGCTCCCACGGCCGACACTACCTCCGAAATGCCCACCCACACCGTGCCGCAAATGCACGGTATCCTTCCATCTGACTCTACTGGGTCCCGTGAAAGAGATGCCGGGGATAAGAAGAACAAGGTAGAAGAGGCCAGGGCGGACGAAGCTAAGATGGACGAAGCCAAAGCGGACGAAACCAAAGCGGCTGAGGATGCTCGGATGAAGGGATGCTTGGCGGATTCCTGGGAGAGAGTCGAACGAGCTCTTGCCCAAGGTGATGAAAACTTCTTCAGGAAGTATCCCCAGCTCGGTAAATCTTTCTTTCTCCCTTCTTTGCTTTTTCAATGCTGATCTCACTCTAGAAGGTCTTCCTACGGAGGGTTCGTGATACGCTTCCGCGATGTTGAAGATATACGAACAGGATGGCTCCAACTAAGGAGATGTAGAAGAAATTAGGATTTTTTCTTAGACTTAGGCATTAGTCAAAGTAACATCTTCAAAGACTTAGGGATTAATCAATTGGCCGTTGCTTTGTTTCTAAGGCGGACTCGTTACATGCTCGATACTAAACTCCAAAACTCCATTCGCAATACAAACAAACAATCATCTCTAAATCACACCTTCTTGCCCCCTCTAGTTTTGTTGATCTGCGAAATCCTCCTCTACCAGGCGAATACCCTCCAAAATCTTGCCCATGTGTGTCTTCTCAATCAGCTCGCAGTCCTGTCGGATCTTTGACATGAGGACCTTGAGGAATCTAACCGGACTCTTTGTAAATCCCGATGTGTTGACTAACTTTCCCACGCTGGTGCCCGGTGGGATGAAACCATCTGGTCCAAGGGTCACAGAGTCATCTGAAGGGCCCCAAGCCAAACCCAGTGCCTCACACACGTTAACGTACTCGTCAAACGAGGTCAGGTAAAGCTGTCCTGCAAAGAGGTTGAGCTGGACGATGATATCCTCCGGCATGGGTGCATTCTGGACCTTCTTAGAGATCGTATACAACCTCAGGTGATCCAGCGGCTGGAATCCAAGGTTGGTTCGTGGAGCATACAGCCGTAGTGTGACATGTCGAGACGCTTCAATGACCGACAGAAGCTCCTGGGCCTCGAATGGACTGATGATGACGAGGCGCATGTCATCGACCATGCTGTTGCTCGTGAGGATCCACTGGACAGGACGCTGGAAAGAGTCGGAATAGTTCTTCTTCCCGAAGCGAGCCTTGACCGTCGTGGCGAAATCGTGTGTCACCCAGATGTTGCTTGGGAACTCGTTCACATCGAAGCATGCAGCAGCAGAAGTCTGACTGAGAGCCTTGAAGGCGGGCTTGAAGGCAGCACACTCGCCTGGGAACTGGCCGTCGACAATGAACTCACGCAGACCAGAGTGAACACGATGAGTTTCTGGCTCGACGCGGGCCGGCTTCTCGACCTGTCGTTCCTGTTGGGCCTCAGGCGAAAGCTCTCTCTCTTGCTCCTCATTGAGCGAGCTTGTTTGAAGTTCAATGAGACCAAACTCCTCGCAGCGAGAGCGGAACTGTTCGCTCGCACGAGGGCCGACGTGACCGAGGATGGTATCCAGGCTGGCGTCAGATCTTCGTGGGCGATATCGTTGATCAAGACTCTGAGCTTCAGCCTCCATGAACTGCTGGGCCCACGAGAATCTAGTCTTAGCACTTGACACTCCGTCCCAGAAGCCTTGTTGCTCAAAGAATCGGAGGCCTTGGGTGAGCCATAGCGGCATCGCTCGTCGCAGGTCTAGGCAGGTCTCGGTGATGACCCATGAGATAACATCGGATATTGTGATCTGTCCAGACGACGGCTTCTGGCCTCGCTGGAGGAGGATCTTCTGTTCGATCTCGCGTGGAATGCAAAACACCACGGTCTGGCCTTTTCCGAGTTTTCGCATACGCATGCATGCTATAGAAGTGTTAGCAACAGTCAAAAGTAAAGGATTGTTGAGGGCGAATGCATACCTTGAACCAAGCGGTCCTTCGTCAAACCTGCACCCAAAGTCACGACAGCTTGGTAGTTCACGGGGAGCTTCAGATCAGTGCCTCTTGTATGCGCCTCGTCAAGAAAGACTAGGCATTGATCCATCTGATTAGCAAATGGCGAAGTCTGAAGTTCCTCAACCTTTCCGGATCGATCAACGACGATAATATCGTCAAGCTCACTGAAGCAAATGACGGCCTGGGTGTTTTCGTCGTCGTAGCGGCTCAACCATGCTTTGGCAAACTCGATGTTGGTGAGGTCGATGACCTGGGCGCCAACGTCGAGGATAACGCGGGTGTTGGGGCTCATCTTGGACACCATCTCCAGAAGGGTTTGGCTGTCGAAAGTTGCCCCCTTCATCTCTGGGGGCATCAGGGCAATGCCGTTCTCCGGGCGCAGAAGATACTCGAGCACCAGAGCGTTGGTGTGCTTCTGCTCGACGAGGTCCAGTTGCTTGATGGCCATAGGTAGGAGATACCGAGAGTCGTTGGTACCACTGAATCCTGTCGTCGGGTTGGTCTTGATCTTGGCCAGGTCCCATCCAGAAGCTGAAAGCTTATGGGGGAATTCCTTGCACTCTTTCGCAAAGACCAGGCGACAGAGGTAGTAGTCGATAGCAGCCTTGGAATACCGAAGATGGGGGAACACCTCCGTTGTGCTTTGGAGGCGATCCCGAAGATTGATGCCTTCTAGGTGTCTAAAGTGCTCTGGCAGAGTCGGTGCATTCTTGACCCAGACCTGATACTCGAGATCAGCATTGTCAGAGTTGGTCAGCAGATCAAAGGCGGAGTAGAGAGCCTCGTCATCAAGGCCACTGTAGTAGTAGCTCAGGCAGGTTAGCACAATGACTACATCGGGATGACTAAACTCAGATCGAGGCGTCGGGTTATCCTTGGCTCGGTAAGGGACAGCGAGCAGGGTTTTGGTCTCCCTGTGGGGATCGGTGCCGTAATTGACTCTCCATCGCTTTTGCCCAAGAGCAAACGAAAGGATTCCGCCAGACAAGAGTCCACGTAGAAGCAGAATGTGATTCATTGTCGTCTCGCCCCAGAACAGGCTCTGTTCAACCGACTCGACCTCCTCGGGGGAGAGTTCCCACTGGGTGATGTACCGTCGAACCGCTTCCCGGATCTTCGGAGGCTGGTGGGCGATGGGGAATCCGCTCATACCAGTCTCGCAGATGTACTCAGCCACACGGTTGAGAACAGCCTGTTGGGCATCGGGTCTAAGAAGTCGGATCCTTGGAAACCTCTCGACATGTCGATCGTCAAAGTCAATCGACTGAGGAAACTCGAACCTCGACTCGCCACAGAACTTGGCAATCAGCCCCAAGACTTCCTGGACGACGATCCATCGGTCAGGGCTGTGCTCGATCGATCGCTGCTGTCCAAGGGTGTAGATGAGTTCAAACTTGACGCTGAAATTCTCGTCACTCTCGTCGACGATGTCCCTGGAGAACTTGTCAAAGAAGATTCGGGTCTTCATCATCTGCTCTGAAGCTGTGCCGTTCGCGTTAAGCTGACATTCGGGTTCCATCAGCTGGAATGATAAAAGATGCTCAGGCTGGACCATCAAGACTCCGCCTTCCTCCATGCACTTAACCATCAGTCCATGGATCACCCCTGCTCGTAGCGTATCCATGCGAATCTCTCTCGAGAATGGTAGCTGATAAACCGGGCGGTCGAGAAGGCCGGAGAGTTTCGAGACCAGCATCTGATTCATTTGCTTGGCTTGCGGCTTGGCCACGATGACTCGAACGAGCTTCGAACCATCGCCAAGAGCTGAAGAGACGATGGGAACAATGACGGTCGACTTTCCTTCACCCATGTTCAACTGCATCACGGCATTCTGCTTGTCGGGAGGTGCCATCATTTGTTGCGCAATCTGCTCCTGAACCTCTCGGATCATGATCTCACTCTCGCACTCCAGCAGCAGCCATTCAGGATGTTCGTGGGCGTTCCACCCCTTTTGACCGGTGTTTTCGAGTTCCCGGAGCAGATCGACAGGCGAGTCTTGGAATTTGAGGAAGCGTTTCGCCTGCTGAAGAGCGGTGACGGCAAGTGCATACTCGATGATCACGTTCCTCCACTGATCACTTAGTCTCCACCATCGAAGCATTCTGAGCTGCTGCAGGAAGAGTATCGGCGAGACTCTGGGGAGGAAATTTGCCTTCCTGAGGGTAGACAGCACAGTCTTAGGAGCGTTGGTCAAAGCTTGAGATAGTGACGACATGACCGCGCTCAACAAAGAGTCGTAGATAGACTTGACTCGGCTGCCACATTGTTCGAGGTGCTGCTGGAAAAGCGAAGCATGCTTTGAGAGTCTGTCGGCATCCAGCTCATTTTCGACATGATCTCTTAGACTCTCCAAGCTCTGCCTCAACTCCCGCACATAATGATGCTCGTAGACCAGCGTTGTCTTGTTGTCAAGGCTGTCGAGCACCTCGGTCAGCTTCTGACTAGTCTCGGCACTAGTTGTCGTTGTCCGGAGGAGGCCATCCAGCGTAGGATCTTGAATATGGACTAGAATCTGGGCCTCGATAGAGCCTTGAGAAAACAGGTCATCGATGGAGACAAATCCCCGGGTGCTTGTCTTGGGGGTGAATCTCAAGGGTATGGGCCCTGGAACGGGTCTGGCTTCCTTGAAGGGCAGATCATCCAAGCCCGAGACAAAGTTCATCAGATACACCTTGAACATGAGATTCCGGTACCACAGCTTCCACTTGTCCATAAGTGTGTCCATCGCATGCGGGATGTTGATGTATGTTTCAACTTCATCCCCCTTAGGGGCAGTCGGGGTCTCGCAAGGCCACTGTTGTCCAACATGGCGCCTAAACTGTTCAATGGCCCGAGTCTTCGCGTCAGCAAAAGATCTTTGACGTCGCTTAACCGTCGCTTTGAGTGATTCACGCTGCTTCTGCGGGAGGTTGGCGTCGGGGGACTGCTTAAAGGAGATGGATGCATCGGTCGCGATTCTTGTTAGCTCGTTTACCACCGCTTTGTGACCCTTGGACAGATCGTAGGTGGTATCATCAGGCAAAGAAACAGCTGACAAAGTAGGAGATGTAGCAAGCATCAGGAAGGACTGAACGATCTGAGCGTCGTAGTCAGTGGCAAATGACATGGTCGCAATCCAGACCATCAACTCAAACTTGTTGAGCAGGGTGTTGTTGTTCTGAAAGGCATAATGAATCCCACACCAGTCGGAAGAGAGAAATGTCTTGGGGTTTTCAAGCCACCTAGAGTCGTAGTTCAGCTTGGATGTTGGTGCCTCTTGAGTGAACAGACCGATCTGCTCAGTCTCGAGGAGGCCGTACAGGTGAGTCTCCAGGTGGTGTGAGACAGGCTGGAAGCGAGCAGTTTCGTTGTGGTAGATCCGGAATGCCATCTCGCCAGCACGAGTTGCGGGGCGCGACTCCTGTCCCTTGTCTCTTGCCTGGTACTCAACATCGTGTTGGGTGCTGTAAGTCTCGGCACCAAAGCCTGATACCTTGTGTCGCGATGATTGCAGAATCGCCCGGTTGACAAGCTCCATCTCAGCGTGGTTCGGTTCAATAGGCTCAAAATCACCCTTCGGAAAGAGGAAGTCGACGTCTTTAGTCCTCTTCAGAATCTCGTGAACGGCCGTGTAGAAGCGATCGTCCTGAGTGAGACAACTCAACTCAGGATACCAGTCCACAATTTGCATACTCTTCTCACCATAAAATGAGCGAGATGGAGAAATGTCGGCAATGAGACCCAGTCTTTCGTGTGCGATCTTGGTCAATTGAGATGGTGCTCGGACCGATGCGGATGTGAGAATGTCAAGAGCCTGCTCAGTTCCTGTCCGGCCGAGGAAGGGGTCCGGAAGACAGAATGAAGTGAGTGCGTGGATGTAGGCGAGAAAGAGCTTGCTGTCGACCTTGTTGTTGGCGACGAGGCGACCAAGGAGGTTGTCGATTCGATAGGCCTGTACACGCTGTGCAGTTCCGTGAACGACAAATGCATCCACATGTTCGTCGAAGCCATTGGCAACTGACTTCTCAAATCTAACTTCGCCTTCAGGGAGGATCATCAACCTGCTTGGTGGACTATGGTTGCTCCGGAGGATGAGTTTGCTGTTAAATCCAACTAGAGTACCGAGAGATTGGTCTGTATCAATCTGCATTCCACGGTATTGTCGAGAGCTGATGGATGACTCTCCACACTTCAAGACGAAGTCAAGCTGAAGCCGAGGAGCATGCACATCGAGGAGATTAGCTTGCACATCATACAGCATGTGAAGATCCAAGGAAGCCTCCAAGGGACGCAAAATTGTCGCAATGCGTTCACCCAGCTTGCTTGAAGGGGCTAGCAAATACGTCTTGTCATGTCGGCTAAGCCTCCAGCTCGCGCCGTGTCGAGCCAATTTCCAGTTGTCGTCGCTTGCCTCCCAGAAGTTGGCACGTTGTCGAAGCTCGATAACACCGGTGTCGCCATGGTGCCAGTGTGCATAATCCTCGACAAACATGTGAGGGAGTACTCCCTTGAAGGTTCTCGATGGTACCAGATCTAGAGTTGAGCCATCCTTCTCCATGCGCACGACGAGATCCTGTTTCCATCTACCCCCAGGAATATCCTGCATCCCAAAGTGTACTGAGTGGCCCTGAATGGGTCTGGTTGCGCAGAACTGCATGCCTGGGAGTGTACTAGGCATGACATCCAGGGACAGAGATCCAAAGAGTCTGTTGTAGTCGGTGTGCAGCTCAAACTCTCGGGGTAGACGCGATAAAGGAAGACCGTTGACCAACAACTCTCCTGTGAGGATACTAAAGTGTACCCCGATGCGGGAAGAGGTTGTCTCGAGCCAGTAGCAGGTGGATGGGGTCATAGTCCATTCACTGTCGGCGACAAAGGCGGGCCACGATCGATGGATAGCGATGTCGAGACATGAGTTTCCGTTCTTAACGATGTCGCGGATCAGGACTGGACGAGCGCGATGTAGAGTATACATCCATCTGTTATACAGGATGTCGAGGACAACGTCTTCTGTCGTATCCTTGATCTTCGAATTGTTGCAGATGCCGATAGAGGCCTCGAGCAGGATGGATGCTTCTTGCGAATCAGCCAGAATCTTGGGCAGGTATCTATCATCCACGTCGAACGTGTCAGCGCAGATCAAGGCAATCTTGAAGGCAGTCTCCAGAAACTCCTGTCGCTGGGCGTCGTCGGTGGTCTCTTGCACTCTCGACATCAGTCGGCACAGCCACTTGTACGATATCTTTCGACACTGGGCGAGCAAACCAAGGAGCGGCTTCGACAAATGTTCAGCCCCGATCGACAGAAGTCGAGATGTCAGGAACGTAAAGCACCACAGTGACGTATGCGACTCCCAGTTCTCATGAACCCGGGACACGCACTGGGTCAGGCTTGCCAACATCTGCGAGCCGAACTGCGGGTCCGACAGTCTCGTGTGGGTGCACCGGGTGACGGTCGACAGGGCGTTCGGTCCAGCTTGTAGACTCATCTGAAGCAGGAAAGTAGCAGTCTCGCCTTTGTTGAAGTCTATCGAGGGCATGGCAAGCTGTGTGAGAACATTCATCCACTGAATACGGTACCCGATTGGCAGGGCAGCCAAAGCCTTGTATTCGCCCAACGACATGTAGCTTGGGCAGTCCGACAGACTCGAGATGACTGTGTTGGGTGTCTGACCGTTCGGCTGGTCCCAGGGGCGCTTGAGAAAGGTTTGCAAGACCTGCGCACGGGGAGGAACCTTGAACGTGCACAGGTCCACGAGGTCGTAGGATGGACTGAAGGTGGACAAAAAGGCATGTCGCTCTTCATCGAAATACTGGAAGATGAGGCCGTTCTTAACACACACCTCGGATTCCGTGGTATGGGCAATGCGCTTGGATCGTCGATGGGTAACAGCATGTGGCTTGGCTTCCGACAAGAGATGGATTCGACCTTGCAAGCCAGATTGTCGAAATCCAGCCAGTGCTCGATATGTCCTCAGCGGGTGAGCAGATCGGGGTCGAACGGTCTGTGAAGGCTTGCATCCCAGGACATCGTCGACAAGATAGATTGTCGCATCCCGCCACTCGGCGAATTCCTGGGGAACAGCCAGCTCAAATACGACAGCCTGCGCCTGGAGGTGTCTGTTCGGCAAGGGCCACTCGTATACCTCGATTTCCAGGTTCTTAGCATCTCTCAAGGCACTGCACTTGCGACAGTGGGCTGCGACATGTTCCATGTGGTAGTCGACCTCGACCTTTTCGCAGGATCGCTGCTCATGCTGTCGCATCAATCTGTCGTGTTCCTCTCGTAGTTTGGCAAACTCTACCAGCTTGGCGCGCTTCTGTGCCTCGGCTTGGTTTTCGATCTGAGACTTGAGGTGCTTAAGCTTGGCAGACTGCTCAAAGTACTGCACCGGGAACGATAGTCTCTCGCCATAAGAGCGAAAGACAGAAGGCCTGTCCTTTAAGGAGAGTTCTTGTCGCTTCTTGACGTAGGTCTCGACGCGATGGAGTCTGGCCATGTCCTCCATAGACGCCACCAAGAGCACTTGCCACACCTGTGCCGGCACCTCCGGGTCGTATTCTCGCAACATGGGGATGGCGTGAAGGGCTGCCTTGTCTATTGCAACCCATAGTTCGCTGATAGCAAGGAGCATTCGTGATATACCTTCGGGGCGTGTCTTGTACCAGCGTACAGCTGCTGAATGGTACCGCTGGAGCAACAACTTCAGGTCTCGACATGCAGTATCATCTCCGATGTGTTTCTCTAACCAGGGGCCGAGATGTGTTGCCACCCATAATTCGACCATGGCAAGGTTGTAGAGCAAGTGCTCATTGCTGCTGAGTACATGGGCTGGTGGCAGGTGATCCGGGTCGGGGGCTGGAACGTAAGACGTCGGAATAAAGCCAGAGGAGCCGCTCTCTCTACGTCTTTGAGGGAGTGTGGCAAGGAAGTCGTCCATCGGCGGAAGAGACAGGTCGATGTTGTCTTTCATGTCGACTCTGGACACTGATTCTAGGTTAAGGGGGGTCTCGGACCGGTCACGGATTCGGTGCCACCTCTGTGCAAGGCATTCGGACGTGTCCGACACGACCTTCTCGATGGTTTCCAGCCAGGGTCCTTGTCCTGGGTTCTCGAGCTTGCAAAGCCGGCCCGATACCTTGGTTATCATGGTGTGAAGGGCATAGGTTGGTGTGGATGGATGGTCCGCCGCGTCGAGGACTTGAGCCATCAGGTACACCATGAAATCCTTGTAGGTGCGATCGGAGTCATCGGATTGTCGGCTCATAGTCAGCTGCAGGGCAACACGGATGAGAAGCCATACAGCAGATCGTCTCCATGGGAGTCTACTCTGTCGCCAAGAGATCTCTTGTCGGGTATTCTTGCAAATGCCCTGAACGCTGACGTGCTTGCCGACTGCTGCAAGGATGCTCGTCAGAAGTTCCGTGACGATTCGAGGATTTGTCGAATCACGCTCCTCGGTGTGATCCTGTCCAGCTTTTCGGGCTGTTGGCCTTGTGTCGGGTGCTGTCTGGAAGCTCATCTTGACCAACGTCTTTATCAAGGCAGACTGGAAACCTTCGTCCTGGAAGTCGTTGAGGGACATTTCGGTAGCCGTTGCTGGGAAGCGACGGACAAGACGTCCTCGTGTTGATGTGACGGCTTCATTTGTCGGGGACAGCTCAAAAGTTTCAAAGCAAACTGTCGGGCCTGTCCGTCGGATGAGGATACCTGCATTCTGCGCGGCGACGTGAAACGCAGCAACAGAGTCTGAAATTGTTGTGAGCGAATCTCGTGGGAGGGGGCTCAGATGACACGTACCGCTAACGGAGAGATCTTGAAGAACTTTTCGAAGTCCATCTTCGTCCAGGGATCCGTAGTTGTCGGACGACATCTGCATCATCTCCAGCATAGAGATGCAACTGCGAGTGGCGACCTGATCGGCTGGACGTGACTCGTCGAGGAAGCGCTGGAGCGAACGCAGCACAAAGGAAATGAGGGCGGCGGCATTTGAAGCAGAGTCATCTTCGTGACCTGGTAGCTTTTGGGGTAGGAAGATGTGGTGAAAGAGATAATCGAACGCTTCGCTCTGGATGGGTGCCATGGTGGCGACGAGGCTGCGGGAACGCAGATGTGGGCAATGGGTCGATGCGGTAAGAGGGCGAGAATGAAGAATGAAGAAATGGCGGTAGGGAGGAAGAGGAAGATGGAGGAGACGGAAGAGAAGAAGAATTCGTTGTTTTCATTCGGGCGAGAGGTCAAAGTTCCGGCGTGCAAAGTGAGTGACCGTTTGACTCTGCCGTCAGTCACTGCGAGGTTGAACTTTGGCTGGCAATCAACTGGACCGGTGAGATCAGTTGCCCCCACGCAGCAACCACGTTGACTTCAGCCTTGCAGCAGGTTATGGAGTGAACGTCTTCGGCCAATCAGGCTCTAAACCAGGCTGCATAATGCCTCACAGGTTCCCATTTCTCGCCTATCTTTCATCGAGGTCGCGAGGTGACAATTAATCCGGCCTCCAGTATGACTTGCAGGAATTGAACGGTGAATGCCGGAGCAAGGACGGATACCGATGACGTCATATCGGCATCTAGCGCTGTGCACCTGTTGTGGCGGTGCAGAACAAGCAACAGGGACGTTTGTGGCGCACGCCGGTCAAGAAAACGAGACACCAGAACGGCAGGGAGCATTGACTAACTCATCTAAGATTTAGTAAATAATTTTTTATAAATATGATAGAATTCTTAAAAATATATTATAATAATAGTAATATTTTAGAGTTTTCTTCCCTTTCTTGATTATGTTTAGAGAAGGATAAGCAAATATGTCTGTATTAGTGTCTCGTTTTTTCCTTGACCTAGGTGTGGCGCCAGGCAGCCCAGATTCAAGTTGGGAGATGTGCCGAAAACTTAGGGCATGTAACCTCAGGAGTACAGCTGGAAGTATCTCCAGTCACATTTGACGTGCTTTGTATTTGATGGGGACTTACATTGAAGACAGTCTTCGGCAGCATTCTGAAAAAGCAGTTAGAATGAGCGCCTGTGGCTCTTGACTCTTGATAAGATAAGAGCCACAGCTGAGGACATGGCGCCATCGGGACCAGCCCTTGCCAGCGTGGGAATTGCATTTCTTGCATGCAAACAACCCGCTTCTTTTTGTGTTTCTATGCTGAATATAACAGATGCATAACATGTCTTCTCAAACATGGAGAGCTTGAGCAAATCTATGCATTTAATAGGCATCCATCCAATGTCCATTGTCATCAAAGATAAGGGTTTCCGAGATTCGCAATTTGACTACCCTGCAGCTTGACCCGATCCACAGTAAACGTGGCTGCAGCCAACAGGCATCAGAGCACACGACACTCGGATTATCCATCGTCTCCGTCTTCCTTGTTTTTCACGTGAAGACAATTTCACCGCCGATCAAAATGCTCGCCTCGAGCTAGGACCCTTGTCCTTTGACATGGCCCAATTCCCCACACAGGGCAAGGCCCCCTGCAGAGGCATCCAAAAACGCCGGAGCAAAACAAGCGGCCATTTTGACCATGTCTTTAGGCGTCTTTTTTGGCACCTGACCCCCCCTTGAGTGAAACGGCCGTACATAGCATGTCGGGTGCTCCCGCGGGCTCTAGCTCAGGTCGTAGCGCTGCTCTTGGGCACCAGAGCGTGGCATCATTATGGGCCGGCAGCAGGCTCCAACATACGGCCTGGGAAATCAATCAACATGGCCCCGGCCAATTGCGCGGCGACCCATCACGAGAAGCAATTTACAGCTGGCAATCCATGACAGCTGTTGAGCTGTTCCCGCAGGCTACGTACGCCCTGGCCTTGGCCGCATTACGCCATGCCACGGCAGCGGCTGTCACTGGCCGCCCCAGGGCTTTGCCCCGCCCGTGCCTCGCTGTACATGCCCGTACCAGTAGGCCTGTGCCTGCTGGAGCTCCCACTGGAGCTCGCTCAGGTGGTTGAGCCCGGGGACGGGAGGTGACGGGCAGAAGCAAGAAAGCACAGCACACAGCACAGCAAAGCAAGTACCCTTGCCTGACCGCTTGTCCCGTCCCGGCTCGGACTGGAACTCAGCATCTTCATCCTCTCTCCACGTCGTGTCGAGTCCTGCTCTCGCTCTCCCAGTAGCAGCAGCAGCATCTCAAGCTTCGTTGCCCAAGATGGCGTTGAAACAGAACGGAGGGGCTCACCTCGTCGCTGACATCGACTTTATCGAGACCCCCGAACCTCCCGCCGAGACGATCACTACTGCCAAGGACTGCGGCGTCCGCTTGACCAAGGTGAGAAGCCATTCCCCAGCTGCACCACATATCGTCTACATGTCGTCAACGACTACACGTCTATACATCTACGGCATCCACTGCTCTCCAACACCCGCTGACCCTTCTCGTAGTCTCCCGCCATCAAGAACGCCCCGCTGCCCGCCGACGGTCCCGGATATGAACAATGGTCCAACGTCCTCCTCTTCGGCGCCCTCGTGGGCATCCCGACCTGGCTGTCGTGGAAGGTTGGAGGCGGCCTGAAGACGAGCCTCTTCTTCGCCCTGTTCACCTCCCTCCCCATCCTGATCGTCATCTGGACTGTCATGTCCAAGCTGAGCCCTCGCATCAACGATAAGGTGGAGCTTCCCGGCCGCCCCGTCGAGTTCTACCTCAACTTCAAGAGCGACCTGCACCGTGCCCGCTGGAACGGACGACACAAGATCCCTATGAACACCTTCTTCGAGCTATACTTTTCGGGCCAGGTCGACCTCAACGCCGATGCTCTCGAGGTCTTCGAGTACCGTCACGAGTGGGCCACCTTCAACTTCACGTCCGAGACCTTCCGCTACCTCTTGTTCGGCTTCTTCCCCGATGTCATTCTCCACCTCCGCTCGCAGGATGAGGCCCAGGTCGGCACCAATTACAACCACGGCAATGACCACTACGCCTGGTTCTTGGGTCCCCGCATGATCTACACATCGGGCATCATTTCCGACCCCACCCGAGAGGAGACTCTCGAGGAGATGCAGGACAACAAGCTGGCAATTGTTTGCGAAAAGATTGATCTTAAGCAGGGCGAGACCGTCTTGGATATCGGCTGCGGTTGGGGAACCCTGGCCAAGTTCGCCAGTGTCAACTACGGCGCCAAGGTCACTGGTGTTACTCTTGCCAGCAACCAGGCACAATGGGGTAACGACGGCCTTCGCCAGGCTGGCATCCCCGAGGAACAGAGCAAGCTCCTCGTCTGCGACTACCGCGACATCCCTGATGACGCCAAGTTCAACAAGATCACGCAGCTGGAGATGGCCGAGCACGTCGGTGTCCGAAGACTCACCACCTTTTTCCGACAGTGCTACGAGATGCTCGAGGATGATGGCTCCATGTATGTCCAACTGTCTGGCCTGAGAAAGGCATGGCAGTACGAGGACTTTATCTGGGGACTGTTCCTGAACAAGTACATCTTCCCCGGTGCCGATGCCTCCACGCCGCTCTCTTTCTACGTTGGCTGCCTCGAGGCTGCCGGATTCGAGGTCAAGAGGTAAGTTATTCCACCACCAACTCAAGGAGCCTTGTCTAACAATTGCGCTAGTGTTGACACTGTGGGCGTCCACTACTCTGGCACTCTCTGGCGATGGTACAGGAACTGGCTTGGAAATGCTGAAAGGGTCAAGGCCAAGTATGGTGTGCGCTGGTTCAGGGTATGATTCCACACTGCATTTGAAGAACAACCGACACTGACATGCTTAGATCTGGGAAATCTTCCTGGCCTACTCAACCATCGCGTCTCGACAGGGCTCCGCCACCTGCTTCCAGATCGTCGTCGTCAAGAACCTCAACTCCACACACCGCGTCGATGGCATCTCCTCTCAGTACGGCCTCCAGGGCGCCCTGGCCGCCGCCAAGGCTGCTGGCAAGGCTTTCCTGCCCAAGTAATGTACAAACGATGTCATGATATAATGCGCATGACTTATGTCTTGACAACCGGCGCTGGTTCAAGGTGGTGCCTTATGCTTTCTTTGTCAATTGCCGACTCTTTGAGGCGTGGTCTGTAGCCGACCACGCCGCGGATCGTGTCATTATCAAAATCTTTCTGGAGCTATTTGTGGTGTAGGCCGTCGAGCAACGGATCGAGGTCCTGCTTGATAATGTATGGATTAAGGGACAGTGGATTTGTATATGATAATAGTATATGAAGCACATGACGAGGATTGAGGAGATAATGGGGGAGGCTCTGACTCGTGCGAGATGTGTGTGATTCTAGGTAGCTAGTTGATAGATGGGAGACGTTCAAATTGAGATGCTGGGGTAGCATTCCCGACTTGTTTCACCATGTCAAAGCAGCCTAGCTCAACCTCGAGATCCACCACACGCACGATCCGGTCTTCTGGGACGGATAGTGTCGATCTCACTGTGGGGAGGTTGTAACTTTCGGCCGAGAGATCCAAGACTGGATGTGACGCCGAGGCGTGCCGTTGTTGGGAGTTCTCTCAAGCACAAGAATTAAATGTTTATAAAATAGTTACAGACAAAGGTAGTACTTTAGAGCTCCTTTGCCTATCCTTATTATACTTTATTTGTTATCCTTACCTAAGGGAGGATAAGCCGAAGGGTTTATTGTATTGGTGTCTCTTTTTCTCCTCGACCTAGGTGCCCGTCCATCACTGTCACTGCTTGGGCCCAGTAACTACCCGACGGTTTTGCAACAAATGGGTGGCAATGTTTTCGTTCTCCTGTTGCTTGCCGATGACTTGGCAAACATTGAATGTTGTCAAATGGTCTAACGGTAAGGCACATTCACCATGTTGTGCAACACAGCAATAGTAACTTAGCTTGCCCCCATCCATGCCTACCTACGTGGCCTACCTAATTCCCACATGTCTATCTCTCCAGTGCCGTAGCAAAACATCTACATGGCACAGGTCAGAGCCAAGATGTTGGGCCAGATATTTTTAGCCTGGCGTCCAGCCGCAAGAGCACGGCTCAAGGAATACACTGCCGAGGTGTTGGTAAGTAACGACGATGTCGGATCACCAAGTGCAACGCCGAACTAATCACACGCTCCGTATTCTCAGGCCCCTGGTATCCGCGGCCAGTTTCGCTCTTTTGCGTACACTTCTATCTTGCTTCGACAGCACCGAAAGAACCTCCCCTTTGCCCCATCTGAGAAGCAGCACAGGATCGCTAAGCTCTGCCGCACAAAGAATGTGGTCGTGTCGGCTAGACCTGGCTCAGGCAAAACCGCTACGGTTGAAGCAATTATCGCTGCCAATCCGGACAAGCGAATCTGCGCCCTCGCCTTCTCAAGAAGCCTTCAGCAGGAGACCTCTCAACGTCTCGGACCCTACCCCAACTGTCGCGTCATCACTTTTCACGCGGCGGCAGGTGAACTCTTTGGGATTGTTGTCAGCGATGACGCTATCCTATCGAAACAGATAGAAAGGGCCGTTGTTTGCAATAAGCTCCCCGAGTGGAATCCCGAACCCTTTGATATCATCGTTTTAGACGAGTTCCAGGATTGCGACGAGTCCCTCTTCTGGCTGGTCAACTCATTCATCCTGGCCAACGAGAAGAAACTGGGGGACCAAGCTCCCTGTTTGGTCATTCTAGGTGACGAGAGACAGTCCATCTTCGGATTCCGCGGCGCCGACGAGCGCTACCTCACCTTAGCTCCCAAACTTCTAGGTCCTATCAGCCCTCGACCATTTATCGAAGCTCCATTGGATCAAAGCTTTCGGTTGTCCAAGCAGACCGTTCACTTTATCAACAAAACCTTTCTCGGTGGCGAGCAATACATAACTAGCGACAAATTCGGCCCCAACCCCATTGTCCTGAAGTGCGATCCATCTGACAGCAATTCTTTGGCCGAGAAGTTGTTCAAACTGATTGAACACTACGGCGCCGAAAACACCGCAATTCTAGCACCAAGCGTACGTAAGCGTGGGCCATTCCAGAAGACCGCCAACGTGTTGTGCGAGGACTACAAGGTTCCCATCGCGGAGCCAAACGACCACGAGTGCAAGAAACGGGACAAGGTTATGAAAGGCAAGTTGTGCATTTCCAACATCCACCAATTCAAAGGGAGTGAGCGAGACTTGGTCATTCTTTTCGGTGCCGACTCCTCATACTTCGAATACTTCGGCCGCCACCAACCTCAGGACAAATGCCCCAACGAGATTTTTGTGGCCCTGACACGTGCCAAGAAACAACTTGTTTTGGTCTACGATGTGAAACAAAAGCCTATGCCTTTTGTATCCGTGAAATCTCTTTACGAAACCGCGAATGTCATCAACATGTCAGGAAACCAGGATGCGATCCCACCCCCGGACGCCCCTGGCCAGCCTCTGCAGCCTGGGCTTTGTCTGCCGACTTCAGTCGCCGTTCGCGACATGGTTCGGCATATGGAGGGCGAGTCTCTCGAAGAAATCATTAAGAGAAACCTGTGCATCCAGAAGCTACCCGCCCTGCCCGAGTACAAACATATCAACCTTTCGGATATCGTACTTACAGACAAGAAGAGGGGATTCTACGAAGCTGTGAGTGATTTGAATGGCCTCGCCCTTGTGGCAGCTTTTGAGCACCATGTATGTGGGACGCTGAATACACTTGCCGTCGACCGAAACGAGATGGAAAGGATGCCTCCGGTCTGTTCGAAAAAGGGGGTTTCTTGGCTTTGTCGACAAGCCTGTTATTACCGAGCCAAGGTCTCAGGCTATCGGGCTCGTAAAATCCAGATGAAAACCCATAAGTTCAATTGGATCAAGCCTGAAGACATTGCTCGAGCCCGCAGCCGACTTGAGAGAGAGCTGAAAGGCTCAGCCACGAGTCTCAGGTTCGAGGTAGATGCAGAGAAACATATCAGCATTGGAGAACAAAAGTGTCGAATCTCAGGCCGTGCAGATATGGTGGTGACTTTCTCTGGTTCAGAGAGTAACAAGAAGGATGTCGTCTGGGAAATGAAGTTTGTCTCCCAGCTTTCTAACCAGGATGTCATACAGGCATGGATGTATGCCTATCTGTTGAGGCTTTCGCGTGCTACACTCTACAACGTGCGGACTGGAGAGAAGTAGGAAATCACTCCACGAAACGGGCAGGAAGGGCAAGACCAGATGATTGAGGAACTCCTGAGGCTCAAGTACACGACCGTTGAAAGGATGAGTGACGAGGAGTTTATCGAGAAATGTGCAGAGAAGACACTGGAGGTGTTGAAACTTGCATAAGAAACGGCCGCCCATACGAGGCTACAAGGTGTTACTATTACCCAGTAAGAAGGCATGTAGATATGTCTATGATGAGATAGATGATATAAATTTTGTCTTCGGGAATAGACGGGGCCGATCTCGTTGTGAAGGGTTATTACTTTTTGTCCTCAGATGCAAGATTAGAAACGACGCCACCACATTGGTCCACAGCTAGTCTAAGGGAGGATACCAGCCCAAGATAAACACGTAACTAAACTCTGAAATTTCTCCCTCTCTGCCATAAGAGAAGGGAGCTGCGTGGAGGAGGAGATCGTGATTTGGTGATAGAGTGAGGATTCCCGCGACTAAGAAAAAGAGGAGCACTCCCACGAGGCATATGGACATAGACCCACTTTCCCTAAGGCTTATGATGATGACATGGATGGATAGCAAATACACATCACAGTCAACCATTTTATCCACCATCTTCCTTTCATTATCACCTCTTCATTACCTCCTCACCAAATCATTCCCGCCTCAAATCAGAACGCACGAAGCGCACGCAATCATGCTTGGCAAGGGCAGATTGAAGGATGAGATCCAGCGCCTGAAGGATCTCTACGGAGCCGACGCAGACGAGATTGACAGAGCCATTATCGACAACTGCAAGGAGATCGGACACACATTCCTCGATGTCAAGATGCTCTACGATGAGGAAAGCCGCCTCCAGATGATGAAGATCGCGACCCAAGACAAGAAGGACGAAGCAGTCAGCAACCCCGACATCCTCTAGATGGCCAGCCGATGGATCGCCCGTCAAGATGCCATCCGGCAAAAGCAAAAGCTGGAGGAAGCACTGGGACCGCTCCCAACGATGGTTGACTTCGCTTGCATGGATCCAGAGAAGGGCCGTTACCCCAAGCAGCCATACGTCGAGACGGCAGACGGCGAGTTTAGAATGGATTCCGAGTACACCCGCTTTGAGCCACCGAGCAAGATCAAGATGGGCAGTTCAAGCATGACGGACAACTGGGATCGATACGTCCGAGCAGGCCGTGAGTGGGCCAAGTGGGAACATACGCTTGACGACAAGGAGAAGAAGATTTGGACGAAGTATGCTGGCGACCTATCCACCACCCCCAGCACAAAAGTTCCCGGCAACAACAAACTCGCCAAACAAATGGGCCATACGAGAGCGCCTGGGCCCTCTGGACGCTGCTCAAGGTTGTCTGCCGACAGAAAGAGATGATGGGCAAATCTGTGGCTATTACTGTCCAGAAGCGATACCGCAAAGCCGACCTGACGAAGTGGCCTCTCAACGAGGATGGACCAACAACCGACCCAGACTTTCGCCAGATTTGGGAGGCAGAAGGCGAAACACACGGTGCCTCTCACACACCTACCAAAGATTCGGACAAGAGTAAGAAGTCAACCCAGACGAAGAAGTCCGAGAAGAAGAAGAAGACGGGCAAGACGGATGCCAACGCCCACCGATCCACGGACGATCACACGCAGTTTCTGAATGATTTGCGCAACACCGTCGCAGGAGCCACAGCCGAAAAGTGGCTCTTTCAGAAACTGGTCGAGGACAATGTGCACTTGACGGACGTGAACCGCATCCTGGCGTCAAACGTCTCTAGCATCGAATAGCAACCATGAGTCGGTGACTGGCTTGGGACAAGTTTGACAGTGTGTAGACTGGGTCGTCGGTCATGTTAATGGTCTAAAGATGGTCATAAGAAGCAATGAAATATACAAATAATAATAAAAATCTATTTAAATATTACCTTCTTTTAAGATGGTATTTTACTAATTTTATACAAGATTTCTTATTATAATTGTATTAATTTTAAGAGGAGTTAGATAGGTATTTAGGGCCTGAACGCGTTTGATATGCTACCACACTTGACCAGGAATTCACCAGGCTGTCTTGACAGCCTGTTTCCTCGTTCTTAGAAGTACCCTTAGCCTTAATTATATCCTTGGTCCAGAAGAAATCGATTTAGAAAGTGACCTGGCCCTGCTTTGTCCTTGTCCTCGGCCGTCTTGGGGAGCGGACGAAGACACTTGTTTGTGGACTTCGCAATGTCCCACTCTTGGCCGTCAGGCGGGGAGACGCGGTTGTCAATGAAGCTGCATGCAAGTCCCTCATTAGAGAATCTGTAATATTACTTGGGCAAGGCAACTTACTGGAAGAGTGTGGCGACAGCTGTCTTCTTGGCAACATCAAGGCACGTTGCCACTACCTCTGTGGGAATAACGCCAATAGTTGTGGGTTGTTTCTAGTCGACCTGCTAATCGTTCTTCCATTGTTACATCACTGGGACCCTTGTATTGTTGACAGGAACGCTGCCCGGGCAGATCGTTGGAGTTATCGTTCTTGCAGTAGTTGTAAGCCCCCTGGTAGTACTACCACTCAGTCCTGCCCAACTCTATGGCGACCCAAACTCCAGTATTAGGCAACTTCATGGGTCCTTTTCTGGACCCAGAATCGTCCAACAGAGATGTCTCCTTGCATCGCGACAGATGGCGGTACGAAGGTCTTGAAGCTGAAAATGTTGGGGAGCTGCTCTTCACCATCCTTGAACTTGTCTCTAGACCTACACGGAAAACCCAGCATCAAGCACAACATTAGTGCCTATCGCAGATGTACACTTAACCAGTAACACTACTTGCTCCGCAATATCCTAGAGTGTGTTAGCAAGCTGAAATTTGCAGGCCCGCAACTTGCCTTTGCAAGCTAGATAAAAACATCAGGCATTAATATTAGCCTCGCTGGCCTTTGACAATGGGCTGCCTAGCAACTAGTATTATTTATTATTAAAGGATTAGGGCTTTAAAAGTAAATAGATCGCTTACATATACTAATCTACCGGGGTTATCTGCAAGCCTCCCTATTGGCCATTGATTTTATATGGCTGATCATATTTAAAACCCTCACCTTTTCAAATCAATTAATCAGGCTTCAGAGCGTTACCATCTGTCCACTTTAGATAATAGCGGTTTAGAACTGCTAGTGAATCAGCACCATGAACCACGATAAAGAGGATGGTAAGATTCTATCTAGAGGGCTAGTGGGCAGAGCCAGCTGACGCCGTGTACCTGTCAAAGGCCACCATGAGCCATTCCCCTCAGATGTAGCCGGACCGGACGACTCGAATACCCATCCCAGCCCCTCTGAGGCTATCACATATGGCGCTCGCGAGATACCCTCCCCTTCCGTTTCCTCTCCCGCTGCTAAATCCGATCTCCCTAATACCGTCACCATTCCCTGCCAATACATCGCCATAGGCGATGTCCTTATACTGAATGGCCGCCCTTGCCAAGTCATCCGCATCTCGACGAGCGCTGCTACAGGCCAACACCGCTACGTTGGTGTCGACCTTTTTACTAAGCAGCTTCACGAGGAACCCTCCTTCATCTCTAACCCTGCCCCTAGTATCATCGTCCAAACTATGCTCGGCCCTATATTCAAGCAATACCGCGTCCTCGATATAAAGGAGGGCAAGATCGTTGCCCTGACTGAGACCGGTGATGTCAAGCAAGGCCTCACCGTCATTGACCAGTCCAACCTCTACGCCCGTCTCAGCCAGGCTTTCGAGGCCGGCCGCGGCTCCGTCCGTGTCCTCGTCCTTAACGACGGTGGCCGCGAGCTCGCTGTCGACATGAAGGTCATCCATGGATCAAGGCTGGCAGGTAATGAAACAGAGCAGACATTCCGAGATGCTGTTCGCACGAATGATATATTGGCGGTGGAAAAGGCCCTACAGGAACGTGTAAATATCAACACGCCGGATGACGACGGAAGAACAGCCCTTGTTGATGCCATCGAAAACCACCACCAGGATATGGTTGATCTCCTCCTGCAGCAGGAAATCGACCTCAAGGCATTGGATAAAAATGGCAAAACTGTGCTGGATGTTGCCGTCTCCGACCCAGAACACTACCTGACAACCTTTAAACTCTTGAAAAAAGGTGCAGCACCTACGGATAATCTTGATGAGGGCATCGCACAACTCCTCTCAGCTGCTGCAAAGGGACAAGATGAGGAAATCAAAGCTCTGTTGGGCGGCTGTGTGAATCATAACAGTTGTGATCGGCTCGGGTACACTGCCCTACACGAGGCTGTTTGCTTTGGTCATTACGAGACGGCGAAAATGCTCATCCGAGATGGGGCTGAGATTAATAAACCGATCGCACATGGAGGAGCCACAGCGCTGCATGCAGCTGTTCAGAGGGGTCGTGAGCATCGCGAATTCCTTCCAGGGGCTCGAAGGACTACTCCGGCCCTCAGCGAGAACCACGTTAAAGTTGTGGCATTGTTGTTACAACACAACGCCAACACTGAGCACAGAAGGTCATATGATAACCTGACTGTACGAGAGCTCGTGTCTGAGGAGCTTGGGTTGGCCGAGAGCTTTCACGCAGCTGAGAGAAGCTGCCTTCAGAAGATATTGATTCTTCTGAATAACTCTCCTTCGCAGCAAGTGACAGGCATAAGAGCAACCTGGCCAACAGAGCCGAATGTGAGTGATCGATTGAAAGCTTCTCGGCTGCAGATTCAATGGCATACCTCGAGCCGAGTTTTCGAAACACTTTCGCCTTTTGTTTGGGACTTGATACAATCACCCGAGCCTAGCCATACAAGAAGCGAAGTCAGAAGACTTGAAGAATGGGTGCGGGGTGGCGTGAACAACTCCAAGCCAAGAGAGTATTGGAGATGGGCACATCTACCGGCAAATAACGTATGCCACTAAACCCCTCACACGAGCTTTGGGGACTTCAATATGCTGACATGATATAGAAAGCTTGGGTTGAGGCTCGTAGTCACATTCTTCTAGGTTATAAGGATACTAACACGAGTGTTAGGACTTGATCCGCCCACTGAGTGGTATGGATAATGAAACAGTCAAGACATATTGGGACGGAATTAGAGCGTTCACTACCGAGCTCTACCTCGAAATCAGAGGCCCGGCGCTCCATGCCCGCTTTCGACAGCCTTCGTTCAAGTCTTTACCAGGGTCTCGCGGAGGGATTTTCTCGCTGGTTGTGAGTTGGTTTGTTATATTGTGAAATGGTACTAATATACGGTTGGCTCTTCAGGTCCCATACTTTGATGCAGAGAACCTCGACTGCTTCCTCAACAACGAAAGAAAAGAAAAGAAGAGGTGTTCTTCCAAGGACTGTGACAACAACTTTGCCAATGAGGAAACCTTGAGGAGGTTTTATCATGAATCCGACGACAGTCCAGCTAGCTTCCACGCACCATGCGCACTGGATCAGTCCTACTACCTATCCCTTGACAATTCGAGTGATCGAGATAAGGGTCAGGTCGTGATCAAATATGTCCAGCGTCAAGAAAATCTGGACCAGTCAGCCACGGCCAATGCAAAGCCCAAGAGGCTTCTCATGGTGAATCAGATGTGGGTCTGGAAATTTGATGCCAGTGAGTATCTATGAGGATGTTACTTGCGCTTCTCTAACCGATGGATCATCAGTGACACTTGTCACTGCGTTTCCCGACCGCCACCACCAAGACCCACGGCAACCGATCCTCTCGGCCAACATCTCCAAAGATCTCAAAGACAATCCACCCTCAACTATGGGTTCGATGATATGCCGTATCCTGGAACATGTCACTGGGTTCGTGGAGGCACCGAATAATGCCGGCCTGAGCGAGAACTTGTTTCACATATTTGAGCAGAGTATAGCTTATCGGGTAGGAGATCCATGGTTGAGCGTTGGGTCAATGAGCATCTTACTGACCATTTCTGACATCTAGGCCCAAGAGGATGCGAATTGCTATGCCAAGTTCTACAAATTGCAAAGAAAGCTGAGCAATCTAGGCAAGGAGAAGGAGGGTACGAAAGCTCAGCACCAAGAAATGATGCAAACCGAAACTGAAATATGCAACATCACAAGTGAAGTTGAGCACCTTTGTGAGATCAAAGACATCAAGGATGAGTTGAGAATGATTCAGAGAGTTTTAGAGGACCAGAGGGCCGTTATCGACCAATACCACGCAGGCCAGGTAGAAGAGAACTCCATCGTCAACGATGGACGGTTCGACAAAGAAGAAGAAGTGCGGCTATTAGGGGGTGAGGAGGATGAGCTGAAACATACGAAGAAAAAGATTGAGCTTCGAATCTCCAAGGTCAAGTCCCTTATCGCGGACGCATCTGCGGTAGAAGACTCAGTAAGACACGATCCCCCAACAAAGCCTGTCGGCCTGTACACGAAATATTTCCAACATGGAACTAATTCTTACAGCTCAATCATCTGCTCGATCTCAAGCAGAAACAAGGAAACCTGATCGTTGTGAGAGATACGCGCAGTCTTACAAACGAAGCGGAGGAGAGAGCAAGAGACAGTGCCTGGCAGAGCAAGCTCCTGTTCATCTTTACAATCGTTACAGTCGTCTTTGTAAGACTACCGCTCTTTCTTGAACTCCTCAGAATAGTTTTTACTCAACAGTACTCCAGACCCCTATATCGTTTATATCCTCGTTTCTAGCAGTCCCAACACAAGATTTTCCTCATTCGAATGATGGGGAAGTAGCCTGGGCATGGTGGCAAGTCTTTGTCGGCTGTAGTGAGTGAATCGGGGCAGAGGGGCAATACGCTCACTTGACTAACATTTTCCCCCATAGTGATCGTCGAGCTCCTCACGTTTCTTGCTGTTGCGCCTTGGATTGAGTGGAATCGCTTCGGCTTTAGTGACCCTTGGAAAAGACGCGATAAGAAAAGACAGCATGATGATGAATCTAAAGGGAACTAGATAGGGATGTGACAGGTAGTTAGAGCCAAGGAGTAACCCCAATTAGTAAAGTAGGGTACCTGGTTGAAAGAAAAGAAGCCTAAGCTTGAGCAATTCGCCCAGGCAGGAGACAACGACTTTGTCGAGCTCTTGGGCGAGATGCAGAACAGAAAAGACTTGTTGAAAGCCCTTTCTAGCAGTGGGTGACGGTCTCAGCGATAATCAGCCAGACTAGAGAGGATGAAATGATTGCTAATTCGGATGACGCTATTCGGGGCGAAAGCCGAGGCTGATCGGCGTATTTCCCCGCGTGTGTTTGTGTAATATCTCGCTATATGGGGCCACTCTTCTCTCCTCTACAACTACAGATCACCTTTTATAATTCAAGCAGACACTTTTTTATCAACTAAGTAACATTAAAAAGTCATTAGTAAAACCAAGATATGCCTCTGTACACAGTCTCACACGCCGCGCCTCTGAGCCTGGGCCAGAAAGAAGCACTCGCAGAAGCCATCACCCATCTTCATGCAGACAGATTCAAGACTCCTCGATGGTACATAAACGTCACCTTTACAGATTATTCCGCTCAGACAGTCTTTGTCGGCGGTCGCCAGGTAAGCTTGGCCCTCATCGGCTCTCTACCCTGGTAACAGCATCCTGATCATCCATGAGTAAAGCGCCTCGTCAATCACATAACCGCCCGTGTCCGGAGCGGTCCTGCAAGAAGTCGAGAGTCATTCAATGAGCTCTGCGGGGAGATCAACTCTGCTTGGCGTCGAATTGTTCACCCCGAGCTCTCTGCCTCAGAACTACCGCCGAGGGAGCTCGAACTGGCTGCCATCTTCATCACGAGCGAGCTTGTCGCGGGCATGAAGGTCGGGTTCCCGGTTCCAGCTGCAGGAACTGAAATTGCGTGGGCCAAGGAGCATTTCGAGTCATTCAAGGAGAGAGCAGCGTTGGGCGATCAAGATTTTGTTGATTATGTGCAGGAGTTGGAAAAGAAGCCCGAGTTTAATAAGGCACTGAGAAGTGACTGATCAATGACATGTAGCCCATACCTAGTAAGGACAAACAATAAGGCATCTACACGGCGTCGTAAATGACGTTTCGCAAGGTGCCAGGTAGACAACTGTGGTTCTAACGGCTGTGTCGCCGTTGACGGATATTCCGCGCTTCGTAATCAACGGCTGACGGGTATTCCGTCTTGGCGGCGACTGGAGTGCTCCGACCTCCACAGGAACGGCTTATGTCCGTCCCAGGCCCGGCCCCGCATTCAACACCAATTTCCACATCACAGCGTGCTTCGACGAGAGTCAATCAAAACAAGGTGGGCCAGAATAGAGGGTTGCAAAGGGCGTAGCTGTAGTACCAGTAATGAGGCTGCCAGTGGATAGCAGCAACGAGCTCGCTCAGCTACATCCACTAGAAAGGGCAGCATTCTAATTTACATGGCTATTTTGAGCGTTAACCGCATCATCTACGAGGAAGGATGCTACTATCTCTACGGCTGAGACGACTTCCATTTTTAGGGAGCTGACGGCTAAAAGAGGACGTATGTGCCAGATGGGAGACTGGAGCGAGAAGCATTATGACGATGTTAGTTAAGCATAACTCACTGCTCCTATGCAGACAGCGATATCACAAACCATGAGCCAATTACTCTGAATCTGACAATGACATGTACTACCAAGACCTACCAGACCTTCTAAAGTAGCTGATTAATTAAAAATGTTTGATTTATCAGACGGGATAAACTGGTAAAAGAAAGTGTTGGGAAAGATGGGTCAACGGGACGACTCCGAACAGCCCCCAAGATACGCGGGATGGCCCGCATGCTTGGCAAACCGCCAGAGTGACGTACCTATGTTCCCTCAAATTCACTGTTATAAAAGACGAGCTCGACCAGAGAGTAAATCAGTATCATCTCAATCAACATCTTCAATCATTTCTCACTCAAACCAATTATCAACTCTTCCATCTCAACTCTTCCAACAAAAAAAATGTCTGGTCTTCCGAGCACATTCAAAGCCTGGGTCATCCCATCCGCAGGCGTACCCATTGAGCTTCGAGACGTTGAACTAAAGCAACCCGGCGCCGGAGAAATCCTTGTCAAGGTCCGCGCCTGTGGTGTGTGCTTCACCGACGTGGCTGTCCAACAAGGTAATATGGGCGACGTCTTCCCCAGGATCCCCGGTCACGAGATTGTTGGTGATGTCGTTGCCATTGGTGATGGAGTCAATGGCTTCTCTCTTGGCCAGCGAGTCGGCGGTGCATGGCTTGGAGGTGAGCATAAATCTATCCCCTTTCAGATCAAGGTGTACTGACTAACGAAACACAGGCCATGATAATGTCTGCAGGTCTTGCCGCCGCGGTCTCTTCCAGTCCTGCAGCAACGTCGTCTACAATGGAGCCAGTCGAGATGGTGGCTACGCTGAATATGTCCTGCTTCGCTCTGAGGCGGCTGTTTCCGTGCCCGAAGATATCGACCCTGCCGAGGTAGCACCCCTGCTCTGCGCAGGCCTGACCGTCTTCAACGCCATCCGCAAGGCGCACATCGAGCAAGGCAACCTCATGGTCGTTCAGGGCATTGGTGGCCTTGGTCACATGGCTATCCAGTATGCTCGCAAGATGGGCTACAAGGTTGCCGTCGTTAGCTCCAGCGCCTCCAAGAAGGACCTGGCACTGCAACTCGGTGCCCACGTCTACATCGACACCAGCTCCGAAGACGCAGTGAAGAAGCTCCAAGAGCTCGGCGGCGCATCTCTCATCCTCGCCACTGCATCCAACGGCAAGTCCGTGTCTGCTCTCACAGGAGCCATGCAGGCCGGTGGAAAGATGGTCCTCGTCGCCGCTGCGGGGCCCGTCGAGTTCAACACCACCGACCTCATCGTTGGGACTTCGGCGATTCAAGGCTGGCTCACTGGAAACGCTCAGGACGCCGAGGATAGCATTGACTTTGCCAAGCACTTTGGTGTCAAGTGCATGATTGAGCGCTTCCCCTTTGAAAAGGCTCCAGAGGCATTGGAACGCATGACATCGGGCGCTGTTCGATTCCGCGGTGTTCTGACTTTCGACTAGTCATTATAGCCTTCTTCAATTCCCTTTTCCTAAAGATAGACTAAATTGATTTCTTTCTTCACTCCGCGGTTTGCTATCAAGAACGATGCCTTGTGGTCTACCTTGTCCCGAAGTCGATTCCACCATGTCTTTTCAAGTCAACCCTCTTCAGTGCGAAGAAGGACAAGCTCCCGGTAGATCCTCTCGCATATCATAAGCTACTCCAGCCACTGCTTTCCCGAACAGAACGTCGCACATCTTTTTCGTTGAAGGCTGTGTTGGTGCTGATGAGTGAAATATTCTCATGTGTCAGTACGTTAATCAAGTTACTGTTGTTGCCCCAAGCCCCATAATCGTGTGCTAGTAAGGGTGTCCAAAATCCTGCAGATGCTCGCCAAATGACTCGTCCGACTCTCTGTCCCTGGCCTGTTCAAAGTCAAAAGCTCCTCCCATCATCACATCCGTGCCGGAGCCGAAGAAATGAGACAGTATATCTGCAGACGTGAAAGACTGTTCCAGGGCCTCGTAGCCAAGACCGAAAGGAACATCGACCACGTTGGTGTCCTCAAACTGAAGAGACGGAACACTGTTTGAAGACAAGTCGATACTGGTCCAATCAGCGGCGTTGGAGCCGAGAAGTGACGACATGTTCACGGATGCCTGTGAACCTGGGGTTGGGTTGTTTCGTGTCGCGTTCAAGTTCTGCGTGAAACGTCGTATTGTTGCCGTTGAAACACGGTCGAGCACATCACGGCTCTTCTTTGCCTCTGGCCAGTACTCTCCCATGGCGCTGAGAATGTCTGACGACACCTTCAAGGCTCGCATCAGGGCGTCAAAATCTGCTTCGTCGGCGATCCCTCGAGGTGTGCAGACGCAGTAAAACATGACCATGACGCATAAGAAGAGCGAATGGACACTCATCCAGCCGTAGTGGAGCATGTTGGTCATGTATAGTCGATGGTAGAGCTCGCTGCAGGCCATGGCGCTGGAAAAACACTCGCGAAGGGTCGCCTTGTCAGGATTGTGGAGCTGAGGGTTTGGTCGGAGAATAAGCATGAGGAGTTCGTGATACTTGATTTCGCACCAGAGGTTGAGATGGTGTCGTGGACTCGCTTCCCCGTGCCGCGGTATGTCTTGTCTCCATTGTCGCAGTCGGTTCAGTATATCGACTCTCCAGCTCTCGGTATCAGTGATTACTGGCGCTGTGTATGGGGGGTATTGCCGGTCGGCGCAGTATAGGACGCATTTGATCTCGCTGTTGAACCTCGCAAGTTTGAAGAGATGGATTGCACTGCTCATATTGGTGGGCTGTTCATCGCCTTGGCGGGGTTTGGGGTGCTCTGTCTTAAGCTGGTTATCGTCGACGTCTAACGGGTACTGGATCTCGTCAGCTAGGTTGAAAGGGGGGTTTGTTTGGTATATGTATGTTGCTTACATTGAGATCACACTGCTCATCAACCACACCCATTGGTCGTCCCATAAGAGTACTCAACAGCCTGTCAATCGTGTATATGGACCAAAAGATCCGACGGCGAATCTCACTTTCAAAGGGGGTAAAGGTACCCTCTGGGACATTCCGGTGAAGACCAAGCTCGATCCCCATCGCAAGTCCATGGTGATGAAGCGTCCAAAGACTCAGGCCAGATGTCGGGTTGTTGAAGGCGTACATTTGTAGAAGCAGGGTACACTGCACGCAGCTCACCGACGGCATCTTCATGGCACAAGCCACTATGTTCATGGCCGAGGCATAGTAACCCTCTGGCGATAAAGCAACTCTTGTCCGGCGCGAGAGAATGGTTGCTCCTATTGCTAGAACCATGAAGACCTGGAACTCGGCTACCACGCCCACCTCGACATCGTCGTAGATCTTGTCAATGGTTTCCCAATATGTGGGCTCGTGTAGAAACGGAAAGTGAAGATGGACCACATTGAAGTAGGTCTGAGATAACCATCTTGCATGTTTGATATCGGAGGGTAGTTCTTTCGGCTGTGGAACTAGGAGGTCAGAAGGGATGGCTAGATTGTCGGTTGTCGTGTCTGTAGCCGACTCTTTGTCGACATGAAGTCGTTTTCCAAGCCCGGCCAGGACAAACTTGGTGAAGAACAACCCGCTCGACGGGCCAAGGAAACGAAGATCTGTGCCGCTGGTGAGGGAGATGAGGCTAATTTGATCTGTTATCTTGCCAGGAGAGTGGTTGTCTCCAGCTTGCTGACTCTGCTGCGCGGTCTGCCGATCTCTGGGTGGATTACCTCCATCGGTGCCAGATGAACGGCCGGGCCCGGCGCTTAAGTCAACATCTGGGGCGTGCTGCTGAACGATTGATTCTAACCATCTGATTCGAGCTTCCAGTTCGTTGACATAGCTGTGAGTGTGATTAGCGAACTGTTGACCTTGCGTGTGGATATTACTTACCTCCGCGGGAACTCTCTCGATGTCCCTCCACCTACGCATGGCACACCTGCTCGCTGGCAGGCGCCACATGCGGGGGACAGAGCGTCACACTATTGATGGAGGTTAGCATGGACCCCATGACTTTGGGAGATGGGTCCGCTTGATGGAGCCTCCGCTGCCCAACCTCCGATCAAGGCAGGGTAGGGCAACCAAAGGACACAACTGGCGGGAAAGGCCTACACGGATTTTCCGCTTTTGACACCTGGTGCAAGCTGTCGTGATTCGTGTTCGGGTCCTTGGTGCTCTCTGGCCACCTTGAGGCGCGACTGAAGATGCAGGTCTCCCCTCCATGTCCGTTTTCATCGACCGCAGGGCAGATCACCGCTGGTAGATAAAGAGAGAGGGGCAAGTCCGATTAATCACGGAGCATGACCGTGGTGGTTGTTTGTTCATGGCTGAGAGAGAGTCTTCCCTTGTCAAGTCGTCAGCAACCTCATCATGAGTGATTGGTGCGATTGGTTGTACATGACTAATCCGCGGATATGCCGTTATCATTGCAAATTTGCCTCAACGGAATTTGCCGTCTCAATAATCTGGGCTAAATTACCTGAGTGAGCATGGTCTCGGCTACTGTAACCGTTGCTAGTAGCGGTAAGTCTCCCTTATTGGGCTAACAGTGGAGTTTGAAACAAGGATAAAACCATGGAAAGATAGACGAACCAGTAATAAGCTCAGGTTTCCGAATTGTCTATTCAGATACCTAACCAATGCTGACAGCCAAGGCTGAAGTGCTGACCACGAATCATAACCGAGATATCGATGCGGAAATTCCTTCCGGTTAAGCGATGCATTATCCCGCCGTATGGAGTAACGCAAAAACAAGTGCCGGGAAACAGCGTCGCCTCTAATGAGGACCCTGGCTCTATATAATGGCCAATGTGAGCTCACCACGATGTCCCTGCTTAAAGTGCTGTCTACGAAGCCTGCTTAGGTTTGTAAAATTGCCACAGCGTGCTCGAAAACCACATTTCGAGAGGTGTCTCCCATCCCAGAACCCTATACTATGGACAATCATACCTAAACAATATGTTGACGAGTATATCCTGTGCCACCATACCACATGCACTTAATAAAAGCTCTTAAAAGCCAAGACGGTAGTAAGCGCCCTCATCTTGAGCTCGCCTCTCTCCCCTGACACTGTGACGGTGATGTGACCGACCAGAGTAGCCCTATAGATGGTCCACCTTAAGCGAACATCCCAGATAGGCTATATTTCTCACTGGCCCCTGTCAACGGTTCCGTCATGTAGCTTGTCCCAAGCTGACAGTTGACAGGGGGCTACGCGTTGCCGAGTCGAAAAGGGGGCCAAATGGATCTTTTGTATCTCCACTTCATCGGCTGGTTTATAATCGGTCCGACGCGATCATTTCATGTCGTCTTTTAATTCTCGTCCGTCATTTTTCTTACTGACCCGTTCTGCCATGACGAAGTTCACGAACAAGGCCCAGTCCAAGCTTTGATTATGGCCTGGAACGGTGAGAGACCCGTGTGCATTGAATGAATACTTGCTCACTCCAACAGCAAACTCTTATGATCACTCTGCTGAGAAGCAACCGACCGCTGGGCCAGCCGATATCAACTCACCAGAAGTGATCCATCCCGACCACATACATCGAGCAAGCAACTACTTGGAGGAACGAGATCCGAAGTATTATTACGAACCCGAAAAGACTCAACAAGTAGCTGTCCCGATGCCTCTTTCAGTCGACAGCCAAACCGAGAAGGGGGGAGGCAATGCAGATGGTGTCCCGAAGAAGAAGATATGGGGGATCCGACGTGGTCTGTTTATTTCTGCGGTTGTCATCACCCTGATCATAATTGGGGCGGCTGTGGGTGGCGGTGTTGGAGGGTCGCTGGCTTCGAAGAAGAGTACACCCAAGGAGGCTGCTGTGACGAGTTCCGCCGGCCAAGAAGATGCTACTACACAATCTTTGGAAATAACTTCCACCCCGACGACACCCGCCCCAACTACCAAGTCCCGAACGACTACTACTACCAAGCCGACATCGACTCCAAGAGTTGATGCCTCTGCCGGAGCCGATAGGTGAGATGCGCAACTGATTGTCACAAGTCCAGATAACTAACCACTTCACGAAAAGGAAATCGATGATGACGACCTTGGAAACAGTAGTAGAGACCACGACAAGTGCAGCCCCAAGTTCAACCGCTGTTTGCGCAGAAGGAACAGTGGCAGAAGGCGAAACGCAGAATTACCTCGGACTTTGCAAGTTCTCCTGCGGCTATGGATACTGCCCTCCAGGTCCTTGCACATGCACAGCTTATGGCAAGGCGAAGCAGGCTCCTGATGTGATTAATGTTCGTGGATGTCCATTGCCGGAGTTGAGTGATGGTTATCTGGGGTTGTGTTCTTTTGCTTGTAACCATGGTTATTGTCCTGAAACTGCATGTACAACAAATTGCGAGGATTAAGTCCTATTACTGGTTTCTAGCTAGGATACGTTATAATGGTTGTTATTATCAATGAACTCTCCGTCAGCCACAAAATCAAAGAACAATGTGATAAACGTACAACAGCTTTGAACCCAATCCTGTAAGACATTGTAGCTATACTATAGTTCCCCTCTATAAAGACTTGATATTTCACTTCATTACCCAACTCTTTCTCTATATTTCGTTACGGCTATTTATTCTCTTGTAGGGTAGTGACTTTTATAGGAATATAGCAAAATGCATGTCCGTAAAGGTATAATTAGCAGCGCTTCACATATGTGACAAGTTACAAGTAGAGAGCCCATAAAACATATGTCTGGAGCGAAATACCCGGCTTAATTGCGATGGTTGCTGGTTGGTGCATTTTCAAGGATTCAAAGCTGTCCATTTCATCTATAGTACCTATTCCCCCGAACAACATAAGCAATGCCCCCCATTGCGACTCAAACCTGATAAATTCCATATCTGACACGAACACCCTGACCAACGCTCTTTCGTCTTTCAGCACTAGGCCACAGCCTAGAAAATCTCCACAGGTAGTTGCAGCTTGCTTCGCCGCATTGCACATCTTCACCTCTATTTCTGATCGGGCCGCCTTATGGAGGATTCCGATTTCGATGATCGGCTAACATGGACCACTAACACCTAATATATCTCTATAGGTACCTACCCTAAGACGTCTATACAAAACACTACTGGTAGACTAGCCAAAGCGATCTGGGGTTGATTAGCTCTACGGCTTCCCCTCTTACACGGCCTTTTCGTCCCTGCCGCTTGTACTCCCGGCGGCTATTGGCTTACAAACGCCATTTTCAGGGATGCTTCCGGACATCATTTTTGCAATTTTGACTGTCTTTAATGCCCTAGGGAGCTTGCAATGTCATGAATGTTCCAACCACCGAGTGCCGCGGTCTGTGGCTGCAGGCGATGAGGCGATGTCTCTGAAACACTGCTTTCCCTTCTGTCAAACTAGGCTATGTCGATACAATGCACATGGCCTCAAGGAAAAATTGCCCCTTGGACTCCAATTCACGGCTGAGATGATTCTCGAAGTGGATACTAAAGGATCTACACCTCCTGGCTGAGCAGAGATTATGGTCATGGCTGTCTCTAATCAGCATCGAGTAGCAGAACCTAAGTATAGAAGCAAGATTTTCATCTCCTGCAGTCTCTTTGTTGCTAAAATTCAACCTTCAGGTCTTCTGCCGATTCTATCAGTTCTTGGAAGCCAGCTGGCACCATTCCTGACTGGCGTCCTCCACCGACGTCATTGAGCTTATCACGGTGGTTACTTGTGCCCACTAGTCTTTCTCAGCACTGCCACCAACACACCTGTGTAACTCTAGTGCAGCAATAAGCAGCGATCTTCGACAATGTGAACACAGATTTTGGTTTCATTGGAGCTATTATATGCGCCATTGAAGCCTGAATGTAATTCACAGTCATCGCAGATCCCGGATTTGCTAGTTTGGCGGGTTTGTTTTCGGCGCGTCTTCCCCGGACTCGTCAGCAGCGGGAGAGGTGAGACAAGAGAATACTTTGCTGTGACTGATTGTCTGGTAGAAGGTGGCTTGATATACAGGTCTGAGAGTCTGACCAACGGCTCAACAGTCATGGCCGATCTAACACGGCTAGACGTCACTCCAAGTCACCATCAATGCCACATCCTTGAGTGCTGACCATCAGGCACTGCCGGGCCACACATTTTGGGAGGGTATTATAAGCTTAGTACCACCGCATTACTCAAATTCTCTTACCATATGGCCTGAACGGCAGTTACTAGGCCGTTGATCAGCGTCCGAGGGCTGGGCTGCAACACTAGCAGCAATCAAGTGTTGCAAGGGAGCCTAGTGCAAGCATAAGTACGTCAGTGTGTAATAGTTCTGACAGATCATCACCGAGGGTCGGAATGTTCCATGTGACGTGGTATAACTATCCGCGTCCCCCCCAGTCCATATGAATCCTGAAAAGAAGTCAGCATGCGAGTTCAACCGTTTCGTCTTTACAAATCTGTCCATCAACCATTGCATACGAGATCAAAGAGTATCAGCGCTGTCAACGCCCACCATGGCCCAAGAGAAGAGAGCATCAGACTCTCCCGAGAGAGCTGAAGAGTACGTTGCTGCCCAGTAGCTGGCATCTTTTTGCTTCACCTATTCCCAGATTCCCAAGAATAGTTCTAAGAGCCCAGTAGGAGCACTCAAGCCTTCCACGACGAGATCGCCAAACTCACCGAGAATGTCGCCGGCGAAATCCGCAACCCCCTCAAAGGCATTCCCCGCGACCAGCTCCTTAAGGATGTTGCCGAATTCCAACGGGAAAAAGGCTTACCCGATAATACATTGCCTCTTCTTAGGAAGGGTGCGCTCGTAGCTCAGAGTCCGGCCGACTTTGAGGTTCTTGAGGAACTTGATGAGGAGGAGAAGGAAGCGTTGCGACAAGAGGTTACTCACAAGTGGAGACATCCTCGGTCGCTGTATTACACCATCTTTCTGAATTCGATTGCTGCTGCTATCCAGGGATGGGATCAAGTAAATCTTTCCCTTTCGGCTTGTGTTTTCCCGACTGACAGGTATAGACTGGTTCGAATGGTGCGAATTTGACCTTTCACGAGGCACTCGGCATCCCCGACGCTGCTGGTTCATCCTGTGGACCTGTTGCAAATGAGGGAGAATGCGCAAAAAATAGCTGGATCATCGGTTTTGTCAATGCCATGCCTTACATCACCATCTGTCTCTTGTAAGGACTTCTTCCTGCTGTCAGACACGAAGCTGACACTTGCCAGTGCTGGATGGATCTCAGACCCTCTCAACGACTGGATGGGTCGGCGAGGCGTCATTTTTGTTGCCGCCATCTTTTCTCTTCTTGCGCCTTTCGGCATGGCCGTCTCGCAAACTTGGGGACAGCTAGCTGCGTGTCGGTAAGTCGGAGCCTCCCCGGGGCCCTCGACAAGATCCCTCACTGACCAGATAGAATGTTACTTGGTATTGGAATGGGTCTTAAGGAAGTAACCGTACCGGTATTTTCTGCCGAAAACTCTCCCGCTATTATCCGTGGGGGTTTGGTCATGTCCTGGCAGATTTGGACAGCCTTTGGTGCGTCTCTCACTGGCAATGAACCAAAGTCCTAGCTAACACGTCTCGAAGGAATCTTCCTTGGTACCTGCTCCAACTTAGCAGTTGGGAAAACGGGCGACATCTCGTGGAGGCTGCAGTTTGGCTCTGCCTTTATCCCAGCTGTCCCCCTTGTCATCGGCACGTGGTTCTGCCCAGAGAGCCCGCGATGGTATCTCAAGAAGGGCAAGTATTTCAAGGCCTGGCAGTCACTGCTGAAGCTGCGAAACACACCTGTGCAGGCTTCCCGGGATCTCTACTATATCCACTGCCTCTTGGAGCAGGAAAGGGCACTCGTCTATGAGTCGGGCTTGAAGGTGACGAGCAATGTCTTTACTCGGTTTGTCGAGCTCTTCACCATTCCGAGGATTCGACGAGCAACATGGGCGTCTGGAACTGTCATGATTGCCCAGCAGATGTGTGGTAGGCTTTTTGAGTAAACCTTATTGGCAAGGCTAACTCTTGTAGGCATCAATATCATCGCCTTTTACAGCGCAACAATCTTCAAGGAGAGCGGCATCAGCGACTACACCGCTCTATGGGCCAGCTTTGGGTTCGGGGTCATCAATTTTATCTTTGCATGGCCTGCTGTTTGGACCATTGATACGTTTGGGCGAAGGACTCTTCTGCTGTTTACCTTTCCAAACATGTTTTGGACTCTCCTCGGTGAGTTTGCCTAGCGTGTGGTCAACTCCTAATGACTAACGTGGAAACAGCTGCTGGGCTTTGTTACTTGATCGAGCCGAGCGTGGAAAACAGTAGTGCTCGAATTGCTGCTGTGGCCACATTTGTCTATCTCTTCTGTGCCTTTTACTCGCCAGGTAGGTTACTATCACGCCCATGATAGTACTTCGACCACTGACTTGACGAAATCCAGGAGAGGGACCTGTCCCGTTCATGTACTCGGCAGAAGTCTTTCCTTTGTCTCACCGAGAAGTCGGAATGTCCTGGGCCGTGGCGACAAACAACTTCTGGGCTGCGGTTTTGTCGCTCACCTTTCCGCGAATGCTCATCGCCATGACGGCCACGGGAGCCTTTGGGTTCTATGCAGGTCTCAACCTAGTCGCACTGGTACTAATCTTCCTCTTTGTGCCCGAGACGAAGCAGAAAACTCTTGAGGAGCTTGACTATGTGTTTGGGGTGCCTGATCGGACTCATGCAAAGTATCAACTCAAGACGGTGTTGCCGTGGTGGTTCAGGAGGTGGATTCTGCAGCACAAGGGTGAGGTTTGCCCTGATTTGTATCATGATGAGACGTCGCATCAGACTCGGCCTGGACAGGCGTAATATCTCCATGCATGGCGAGAAACAAGGCGTCAACAAGCAGGATCAGGGTGCGTGGTATGGGGTAGACAAGGTGGATATGTGGGTGGAGGCAGCGTGTCGGGGATGAGTTATCAGTGTCAGGATATGACACCAACTGTTGGCGAGTTTGGGCAAACGTCTGTCGCTGGTGACGGCCAGTTGCTAAAGGTCTATCGTCTTCTGGTTCAATTGGCCCATCGAGGTCCGGGCTTCAACCATAACAAAGAACACATTATCAACACACGATAGCATATCCCAATGCTAACATAGTGGCCTTTTTTTTTTTTTTAATATTTCTGCTGCCTGCGATACCTAAGTATATCTACTAACCTAATCCTGTAACACACTATCAATTTTCCATTATTGTTAAAGAATCAGACAATCCTAATAGTCTGTATCTTTCCTAGGCATCGACGTTGCCTATACACTGCATTTCCTACATATATTACCTCCCAACATCTATCATCATTGCAAACATCTCGGTCCTCCATGCAGAACGACTTGTAAGCTGAGTCTAGAATTAGGAGTCCAAGCCGTCGGCACGTAGTCATCAACATCAAACTTGTGCATCGATTCTCATATGTAGTCCTCGGTGTTAGAATTCCGCATTGATTCTCGCGTTCGATGTGGTACTCGGCGGTTGATCGAGGGTCAAGGATAAGGCAATACCGAGCTTGCAGAGTCTTTGAGTAGCCGCCCTTTAGCACAGGCAGGACATGGATCTCATCCCTTTCCCAGGCCAGGAGAGTGCGCCAAGCAGGGGGATCTTTCTTTCTTTTATGTTTGGAGTTGGCCTTGGCATCGAGTTCGTCTTGTTTGTATTTGGAATAGCCAGGGAAGTCCTGAGGCGGACGCGGATCCAGCATCACTTTGCAGCCTGGTCCGGTCAGTAAATGCGCTGGTACCCTTGCAAGAGTTCCATGGAGGGTTACGACCCCAACATAATTGGCAAAGGATCTTATGTCGATTGGTTGGGCGGATATATGCAGCAGAGTTGCACAGGGTGACGTCAACTCCACGTTGTGGTCGGCAGACGTCTCAAAGGGGTGCCAGAGCCGATACTGGATTGGAAATGAGACTGAAGCCCAGGACCACGAAGGCACAGATACTTGGTAGTCCTTCCTGGCTGGTAGGACGTCCAATGCGTTGCTGGCTGGTTTGGCGCTCAATACCACTGTGTCGCAGAACCAGATAAGTGATCGTAAGGAGTCGCCCTTCCAGACTCCCAGAAACCATGGCTCGTTCAAGACAGCTCCTATCCGCTGAACCACGCCCTCAATAGCAACAATACGATCTTTAGAATATGAGAATTTTCTTTGGGTATAGTCTTGCAGAATCCGTCTCCAAAGGAGGTACAAGTCGCGGCGAGCAACTGTAATGGGGTCCCGGCTCATACCCAGCAGTTGTGTCTTGATCTTTCTCTCGTCTGAATCTCGGAATTTGGGCGAAAAGTCGCCTCTAAATCCTAGGGGGCGTGCGTCTGATGCGCTTGATCGACAACAATCCCAGAAGAGGCCGTCCGTGGTAATGGTCAGAACTCGCTTTGATAGAAGTCTTTCTTGGAATGTCCACCCGCGTTCATCGAGCTCACTGGTCGGTCTGGTTGGAAAGTTACCGTTGGATTCAAGCCAGTAGTAGATCGACTCTGGGCTTCTCTTGTCGAAAATCGGGATTTTACCCCCCTTGACAAAGGGCTGGGCTGCTGCTTGGGCGGCGGCATCGCGAAGTGAACAGCTGCGCCAAATCTCGGCCTCCTCGGAGTGTTTCGACTCAGGACCATCCCCGAAGGCGACGGTGAAGATAGCGTTACCATAAACTGATGCCATCTTGGGAGCCTCCGCATGCCAGTCGCCTCCATTATCCTGCATGATGCACTTGGAAACGTTAGATTGCCTCTGAATCACATCATTCATTGTGTGGGAGGGCAGAACAAACTCACCAATGCATCAATCCAAACATACCTGAAACCCAACATCCTAGCCACTGTGAAAGCATCGCAGTAGAGCTGTGGAAGAGCTTCAGTTGAGTAGCCCCTGAAAAAAAGGTCACGCGTGGCTGAAGTTAATTGCTGGTCTTGGTTAGGCTTCTTCGGCCACCGGTAGCTGACAGCAATGTACTGAGGCTTTTGTTCGCGCCCAACTTCTACCACCTTTATCTCTCGTGGCAAAGCTGGTCCATTGAATAATTCATTTGGATGAGAGGGTTCCCCAAGATCAATGAGGCGGCGTGGAAATATGGATTCCAGATCCTTTGCAGAGGCGTGGTGTTCAATATGATTATTCCAGCAATCCTCCAACCAGTACCTGGCGATAAACATGCAAGCATCAATTTCGTGGCCTTGGTCGTTCAACATTGTTTGCATGTCGTATATCTTGCAGAAGTCGTCTTGTAAGTGTATTTTGTTAGTCCATCAAGGTCACATATTTCTTCTTGACGTTCCTAATCATACCTTCTTGTCCTTCCTTGATGAGATACGGAAGGTGCCGGTCTTTTCGAAGACTATCTATCAGTTCTGATGCCTTGATTCTGCGTTCTTCCGGAGGTCTTGCGTCACAGGCATCGGCATTTCCATACGCTCCGAGCCCGGGAATGGGGAATACAACTGGCGGCGGGAGGTCCAAACGGTCCGCGAACTCTTCAGTATCCTCAGACGTCTCTCGTAAGTCTGGCCTGGGCATGTTGATACCCGTCGGAACCGCAGTATCCATCATGGCTGCGACATCTAAGAGCGGCGTTGGAGTTGAAGACTCGGGCTGAGATACTTCTTCCGCCTTGCTCTCCTGACTAGAGAAGCTCTATAGTATTCAACCTTTGAGTTATCAAGTCTGCCCCACCTAGCCTCGTGGTTAGAGTCTCGGCTTACTCACTTGTGAGCCCAACGATGACAGGATGGATGACCAAGGCGTCAACTCCTGGGTGAGCGAGCCGTCACTGGTGTCGTCGGGGTAGATAGACATGTCTGGCCGAATCACAAGTGAAGTTGATGAAAGCATGCTCAGCAAGGTCTAACAGAGAGAAAACGTAGCCGACTTGAATGAAAAGCCATGAGGCAGAACCCGAGGCTGACATGCATTCTTACATAGCCCACGAGTGGTCTTATTCAGACTCCAAGCGGGTCACAATGAGGGGCTAGCGCCAATTAAAAGGCACATAACAAGGACATGGGAGAGAAACAAGCCAGCATCTAACTGGACGTGACCCTTGTGCCATAGCCACGTTCTTTGCAGGTGATTACAGGACGCTGCAAATGCAGATCCATGGCGCCCCATTCTGTGTGTATAATTCGGCTTACGGGCTTCATACGGAGAGATAATGGGGTCTTTAAACGGGAGACGATTCGGCTTGTAGCCAGCCAAGAAGATGATGGACAATCTGTGCCCGCCCCTTGCAGAGTTGACGGATGAATGAATGGAGGAGGCATGGTAACTTGAACCGTATCGTCCGTGCCAAGACTGTGGATTCTTTCTTAACATCTTTGACCCCTTATCTTGTCATATTTTGGGTCAAGGCCATATTAGTTCGGGGAGAGATACGGAAGCCAACGGTTACATCGAGTGATCAAGAAAGCGGGCGGATGCGGATAGGGAAGCCAAAAAGGAGAAGTAGAAATAACAATAGGCAAGACTAGCAAGAGATAGAAGAGGAGACGCAGGAAGAAGAATGCGGCCAGGGCCAGGTAAAAACCCACCCATAGACTATAACTGCAGCATGGGTTTCACGCTGACACAAAACGGACAAGGCTGCCGAGAACGTCACTCTCAAACCAGCCTCTCCCCCATAGTCTTATAATAGCAGTCAAACCTGCATGAACCCAACAAATTCTTCACCGTTAAACTTTGTGGGGTGAAATCTTTTTTTGCCCGTCTCTGCCCGTGAGTAAGCGACGCAACGGCGTCATTCAGAAATTGATAAGCGCAGTGGATTCGTCGCTTTCTTCGTCACTCTCTCCACCGACAAGTCCCTGTTACATTGGGAGTTTGGGGTATGACAATACTGACGACATGGCAGCTCCCAAGTCCAGTCAACGGGCCAGGAAAAATGACCCTGTGATGACTGAGGAGGAAAGAGAACGAGAGAAGGAGGAGAAGTAAGTTATCTATTTCTACATTGAGGAAGAGAATACTGACTTGAATTGATAGAAAAACGCGCAATCGCCTTTCACAACAGGCGTTTCGTCGCAGGACTAAGGAGCAAATCAGAGAACTAGCAAGCCTTCGTAATGAACTGCAGAAAGAAGAAAGCGAGCGCGTCAAGGCCTACCAGCGAGAAAATCGTCTTCTGCGGCAAAAGCTTGTACAGGTCCAGGCTGACCTGTCGAGGCATCTTGCATCGATAAAGGCCATGTGTAATTCGGTTTCGGCGACGCTTGATGGTACTGGCGATCAAGTTGGCGAGGCTGTGGAACATGTCGAGGGTGAGGAGGAGGACGATGGGGAGGAATATGAAGAGGCAGATGAGGAAGTTGTCTCTATGACAGGACCCTTCTCCAGCACACCGACTCAGGGACTCTCTGTTTCTGGGCCATCCTCTTTTACGCCTACGGTGTTTGGCCCTGCCCCTCCTCTCGAACCTAACTCTTTCGCCATGCAGAACGCTGTCCCAGGTCAGTATCACCAACACCGTTATCAGGTCATGTCTACTTCTTACTGACTTTCATCTTAGACGCACAATGCCCAACGTCTGCCGAACTCGTCAACGGCGCCGGAACTAGTCCTTTCTACGCTCAACTGCCGGGAATCTGGAGTCACAGGTACCAAATGGGACCAGAGCCTTATTTTGACGCCATGAGTGCGACTCAAGAAGCGAGCATGATCTTGGGCAAGGACTTTCATTGGACCAACTCGCCCTTTTCGGACCATATTCAACTTCTTCAGCGGCTTTTATTAACAAAACTAAACGGTCTTGGCTTTGCGGCAGGCGGTCATTATCCGGTCCAGGGGTAAATACACCACCTTAAGCTTCCACCGAATGTCAATGGCTAACAATGATAGTATCTATCAACCCGTCCTCATGGCTTTGTCTCTATTCAATAGCATGACACGACCTGACGTCATGGCCTGGTACGCCAAAACTCGCTTCTATCACATCATCGAACTCACAGCTTGGCAATTATTCCCTTCCATCGCGACATACAACAAGCTGCACCCGAGATATCAACCGACCCCGATCCAGCTGGAGCATCAACACCCATTAGTCATCGACTGGATACCCTTCCCAGCGCTCCGAGACCAGCTCGTGAAGCATCATTCGGCCAATCCCGATATCGACCAGATCTTTTGCGATGCAGTGACGGGATACGTGGTTGAGACGCCTATGGCTACTCTTGTACAAGGAGCTCCCCTGGCCACGGCGTACATCCGCGTTACGGACCTAATCACGGCCATGGATGCTGACATGCCTGGAAATGATGCGGCAATGGCGACACTGCCTGCCCCTAACGTTGCGACGCTGTTCTCTTCTCCGGCATATGCCCGCGCCGCCTTTCGGAAACTCAACATGGACAAAGGTGCTGGATACTACAAGATCGATCCTGCGTTCTTTCATAAATACCCAGAACTACGTCCTGGGTCGGGCGACCTTGTAGCAATGGGCATACCTCTCAAACCCAAGCAGCAAAACATCTTGACGTATCCAAAACCTCTGGACCCGACGACCGTCCAGACATACCGCAGCTTCATCGACTTTTCCATCGACGCCGCCAACACAATCTCATCAACAAGCATCCCGGCTGTTTAGCTTATCTAAATCTCGATGCACTCAACCGGCCCGGTCCCACGGGTAGATAGAGAATGAAAGCTCCGCTTCAAACCCCGAGTCTCCGCCGCGTTGACCGTGAAAGCTACCCAATCGCAATCACACGAGGCGCACACATGGCACGATTATCTCGGAGTTCCATACTTCTTCGCATGGCTTTAGTCATCTTCGGCCGCATTAGCTCAACATGCTTTGGACGAGGTGTCATCGATTGTTGAGTAACGACCCACAGGGGTCCATTGACTAAGAGCCCTCTTAGTAACGACGCTTGTGTTGCAATCAAGTGATGCGTCGGTGGGCCATTGTGTGGAGATGGTTGTTGGTATATAGAAATGGTGATGGGAAAGGTTGAGAGAGGCAAACAACTGGGACAATCAGTTATCATTCAGCAAGATGCCGTCCGAAGTCGCTACAACAGCTTTTCGCTATAGCTTCACCGATGACTACAGCGAGGGAGCTCATCCAGCTTTGCTCAAGGCATTGATAGCCAGCAACGAATCTCAAGAGACGGGATACGGCCACGACACCTACTCCGACCTCGCCCGACAAAGGATCCGCTTTCATCTTGGCCGTGACGATGTCGGCATCTTTTTTGTGCCAAGCGGAACGTCAGCCAATGCCATCTCCATCGCCGCGTGCTTGCGACCGCACGAGGCTGTCATAGCTGCCAGTTCAGGACACATCGTCACCAGAGAGACTGGTGCAGTCGAGGCCAGCGGACACAAGATCATCAACGTCGAGCCACGCAACGGAAAGTTGACACCCGAGTCGATCGAACGAGCCCTTGAAGATAACTGGCACTTTCCTCACATGGCCAAGCCCCGGCTGGTATACATCTCTAATGCTACCGAGTTTGGGACGATATATACCAGGAGGGAGCTTGCTGCCATCAAGCTGGTCTGCGAGGAGCGTGGGCTCATCTTGTTCCTCGATGGTGCACGCATCGGGGCTGCACTTACGTCTAAAAGCAACGATATGACACTACAGGATGTCATGGAGTTGACCGACATCTTTTGGATCGGAGGTACCAAGAATGGTGCACTCCTCGGTGAAGCTGTGGTGGTTAAGGATGCCCAACTGGCAACCGACTTTGAGTTCTACGTGAAACAGCACGGTTCCCTACTCGCCAAGGGTCGCATCATCGGTGCACAGTTTGCAGAACTCTTCAAGGAGAACCTCTACTTTGACCTCGCACGGGGAGCTAACCTAGCAGCCGAGAGGCTCTCCAGGGGCATCTCCAAGGCGGGATACTCAGTGCACGCCGTGACGGAGACCAACCAGGTGTTTGCAGTCCTTCCTCTCGGCTTGATAAAGATGCTGCAGAAGCACTTTACGTTTTACGTGTGGGAGAAATGGGGAGACGATGAGGCGATCATTCGGCTGTTGACGACGTGGGCGACGGACTCGACGCAGGTAGAGATATTCGTTGGGCTGGTGAATGACTGGGCAAAATGAGTGAAGTTTATAACTTGGGAACCTAATATGCAATTAAAATGATGGTTAAAAGTTATTTGATAGATAATGACTAATGATATTGTTTGTGTGCAGCCATTATCCAGATCCAATCCTGGTATTCTCCTATCCATATTCTTCTCCTACTTCGTTATGATGCATGAACTTTTACTTCTGCTCAATCTTTCCAATCTCCTCATGTCCCTCAAGTCCCTTGACTGCCTCATCCCACGCCTTGTCACCAGGATACAACTGGCTCCTGAGATACGCCAAAGTCACCCTCTGTACAGCCGCCAGTCTCTCTGGGCTCTCATCCTGGCACTCAAGTGCATCCCAGCCACTAATTCCACCGAATCCATGACGTCCCTCCTTGATACAGAAGGAGGCCTTGGGCCCCGGAGCGAGAGTGTATGGATCAGCGTGCCAGTCGGCACCTCGAACAGTCAGATGAGGACCGACATCCGAGTCTCCCCAAACAATGAGAGAGGGAGTGCTCATGGTGCTAAAATCGGGGTTATGGAAGGGGATCAACTTGGTTCTTCCGTTTTCAGAGAGGTCTGATCCACCAGTTCCAGTACCGCCGATGACCACACCAGCCTTGATGCGCTTATCAGCAAGCTCGGTCTTGGCTCCATCACGGGGGTCTGTGTTGACTGCTCCCAGAAGAATGGTAGCAGTCATCCCACCCAGTGAATGACCCGCAACGGCGACCTTGGACTTGTCGAGTCGGCCCTTGAGAAGGGGAACAGTCTCCTCGATGGTGTCGAGATTGTCAAGGACCCGAGTCATGTCCTTGACTCGTGAATCCAAGAAGAGCTCACGGATGCTCTCAGCGTTGAGCTCGAAACCAAGCTGTCTAGAGCTCAAGTGGGTAGGTTGAATGACGATGAAGCCATGTGAAGCCCAGAAATCGACAATGGGCCCGTAGCCCTTGAATGAGGAGAGGTAGTTGCTAGGACCATGGCCATGGGAGAGGAGAATGATGGGGAGAGAATCTCCAGTAGATGGAGCCGTGACCTTGAGCTCCAAGTCAACTCGGCGGTCTGGGCTTTGAATGACGACAGGACTGAAAGTCAGGATGGGAGTGGGAGAGTTGACGGGGATGTCGGCAGTGCCACCGATGAGAGAGGTGTTGGGGAACTCCATTTTGATGAGTGGTGAATGTTGTAAGAATGGGTCTTGGGGTGGATAGTGTAAGATGCTTGAGATGATTGAATAGTCTGAAGCGTCGTTTCTATGAAGAACTGTTGGAAAGTTATATACATGTTGAACTTGTCAGAGGAGAGATGGACCAATAAGAGATCAGATACTAGAAACGGCATAGTGTCTGAATCTTCGAGGTGTGATTGGCCCCATCTTAACTCCGAAGCAGTTCTCACTGACGGACATCTCAAATTGTCCGGCACAGCCTGACCATCAAGCAAGCATGTGTGTAAAACTCGGAAGTAGTGGCTTAGGACCGCAATTATTACTGAAGCTGACAAATGGTTACCATATCCTTTTCCTATGGTTCCAATTTTATACCCAATTCGGGGAGGGAATCACGCCATTCGTTGCCAGGAACGAGGTTTGTTAAACTCCGGCTTAGTCAATTCAGATATTTGCATCCGAGGGGAATCACAATCGCCTAGCTCAGTTGAAACACTGGTGCTTGAACTGCTAGATAAATAGCAAGAAGAGATGCTCTAGCGGAAATCACTGCATTCAACAACGACCACCAGTCTTTTATTTTACAGCTAGACCAACAAGCCACATAGCTGACATCAAGAAATTTGCTTATGTGTTTGTAAGGGCTGCCTAGCCGATTTTTGGTAGTACGAAAAATCTACGACTTCCAACCCAATACCAGCTCGATAATTTGGGGGTAGGGAAACTTGTGACAGTATACATCACAAACAAGAGCACAACAAGCCCTCGTAGGCAGCGTTTAAAGCATGAGAATGCGAGTGGAATGAAAGTTTAATGACAAATATGAGAGGGGTGAAAGAATGGTGGTTGGTTATAATGATGAAGAAGATGAGAGGTTTGTACAGTGCCAAAGCCGCCTGAAATACCCGGTGCACTATGGGGCACTCCTGCCCTCAACAGGGGGCAGACAAGCCACGGATGTGCCGTTGAAGCCCCCTCGCAATAGATATAGCATCAAGTCAGCGCTCTTGGGTTGCGGGCGGGATAGGCAGACGTGACTCCTAGACGACAAAAATTGAATGCCATGAAAACAAACTACGGAGTTCCTTTGATGGTGCAAAGGAGGCTGTAGCTTCTCGAGTTGTATTCCTTTAGGATGGCTGATCATGTCGCGTGACCTCAGGACACCACCCAGAGACTTTCGGCAAAGGGCAAAGGGCAAAGGGCAAAGGGCAAAGAAAAAAGATGGACATAATGGCCCACGACTATACGATCAAGCCCTCAAGTTCGTGCATAGCATCGAGATCGTGGTCCCCGCAACCGGTTCAGGCACGGATAGATCCGCGGATGCCTCCTCCGGGTTGGTATGGATACGCGTATAGAGACGAAGGCCCTTGTTAGAGTGACTTGAGGGCGGAAGAAGCGGAATAGTGCGATACGTCATCAGGCGAGATTGAGAGAGGAGAATTCATCTGTGGAATAATAAAAACAGGCATCGTGTGTTGTGCCTCTTGCAGTATCTCTATGGCCTCCCGTGCTCGACACTTCATGCATTCAACCCAACGATGAGAGTACTTTCGCTTTTTCTGGGTCTTTCCATGTGTCCCTCTGGTGCCTCTCCATCTCCAGTCAATGTCAATCATGTGTCTGCAAGACAAATCGACCCAGGCAGCTTTCTGAAACCCTCGTCGCGGTTCAAGCCAACTTTCCGATATTGGCTTCCAGATGCCAGTGTTGACGCCAAGATACTGGCAAATGACATCAAGCAATCAGCGGCGATTGGGTCTGGCGGAATAGAGCTTGTTGGCTTCTACGAATACGGTGGCGAGTTGGGAGTGATGCCCTCAGGAGCAAATTGGTCCACATATGGGTTCGGCACACCGGCATATCGACACCTTTTCAAGACGGCGTTGCAAACTCATTTACAGGAAGGGACTTTGATGGATTTCATCATAGGACCTAATCAAGGTCAGGGCGTGCCAGCTAACGCAACAAACCCTGGACTGCAGTGGGACATGGTGGGTTAGGTGAATTACTACCCTATCTTTCAAGACAACTAATAGCATCCTCCCAGATCCCATACACTACCGAGGTGCCGCAGAACGGCTTATTCGAAGGGACTCTTCCTGGCTGGACTGACGGAACACTCGTTTCACTGGTAACTGCGCTGGTGTCATCCACTCGCAATGTCTCTGCTCAAGTTGTTGGCACTGCAGGGACGTCAAACATCACCTACCAGGAGTACACCCTCAAAGCCGACAGTCTGAAGCGGCATCTGCAAGGTTTTGACGAGAGCACGGGCCATTTCAAGATTTCTCTGCCTCAGCTGCCAACTGGGACACACTACCGCATCTTTGCCTTTTACGAGAGGCTATCCGGCCACAGAAACTTGCATTTCGAGTCGACTCGGCACGAGACCATCTTTGACGATGGATCATATGCCGTCGACCACTTTGACAGCGCGGGAGCTCAAGTGGTGATAGATTTCTGGGAGAAGCATATGCTCGTGGATGGGATTCCAGAACTCCTGCACAAGGCTGGTCGATATGGTGAGTGACCTCGGAAGCTATTTCGATTTGTCAACTAACCAAGCCTTTAGCGTGGGAAGACAGCCTCGAACTTCCATCCAACGTAACCTGGTCTCGAACCCTGGCGTCCCGTTTTAAGAAGCTGTTCGGATATCAGCTAGAGGTCTACATGCCGCTTCTTACCTTCAAGCAAAATAATCTGGCGGTTCAAGGGGATTCTCCCGGGTCTTTCCATTGCCTCTTGGACACACCGGACCAAGGCCAAAGATATGTCAACGATTATCGAGCAGCACTGGTAGACGGGTATAGGGAGTATCTCGACACTTTGGGTCGCTGGGTTCGACAGACCCTCAAGCTGCAGCTCTCAGTCCAGCCTGCCTACGGGATGCCCATGGATATGCAAGCCGTTATTCCTTACGTGGATGTACCCGAATGCGAGAGTTTGAGCTTTCTTGACTCAATTGACTCTTATCGTCAGTTTACAGGCCCCGCGCACCTATCCGGAAAACGCATCATCTCGAATGAGATGGGCGCCGTTAGAGGCTCGGCGTTCAGTCTCCATATCCCAGACCTTCTTTTCTCGGTGAACCGCGCTCTTGTCGGAGGCATCAACCGTGTTGTGATTCATGGCTTGACTTACTCGGGCAGCTACTTTGGCACGACGTGGCCAGGCTACACTCCCTTTAGGTACTTGTTCTCAGATCCCTGGTCTGCAAAACTCCCTTCATGGGAGCACGCGCTGCCGTCTGTTTTGGGGTACATTGGAAGAGCACAGTACATTCAGCAGCAAGGGGTTGCCAAGACGGATGTCGCTATTTACAACAAACAGTCGGCAACAGCTTTTACCACAGTTTATGACCAAACAGACCTGCTCAAGAACGGTAAGTTGGTCGAACAAACTTGGTTCCTCAAGTCGTAGAAGCTCACTTTGAATAGGCTGGTCATATAGCTATCTTAGCGCAGACAACCTTTTTGACCACCATGCCAAAGTCCATGATGGAGTTCTTGCCCCGGACGGTCCAGCATGGAAGGCCTTAGTAGTCCACAGCAGCCAGAACATTACCTGTGCCGCCTTGAAGACGCTCGCACTTTTTGCCCACGAAGGCCTTCCAATCTTGCTGGCCGGTGGCCTCCCCGGCGAATACGCTACCGGATCCCAGGGCCATCATGCCAACTTTACCAGTCAACTACAGAGCCTTGTCAGGACTGAGAACGTCTATCAGGTTGAGGCTGGGCAAGTTGCCAACAAGCTATCATCGCTCAATCTACACCCCGATGTCAGAGCAGATGTTAATGGCACTCTTTACGCCACCTGGAGAGAAGACAAGACCGTGAGCTATGCCATGTTGTTCGCAGATTTGGATTCTTTATGTGGATCCGTCACCGCCCAAAGTTCAGCAAAGCCTTACTTCCTCGACCCCTGGACTGGCCAAACATTCCCAGTGGCAGTTTACCAACGCGACAAGAACTTCACCACCATTCCAATTAGTCTATCTGGGAATCAAACGCTATTTTTGGCATTTGGTGATGCCTCCGAACCGCGCGGATCAATTTCTCCCGTCTACATCAACACGACGAGCGTCAATCTCGTAGCGGCCAAACTTAATGAAGACGCTGATGTTGATCTTGTTGTTGTTTCTTTTAAGCAGTCCCAGGATGTTTCCAAGGTTGCTTTGTCAAATGGAACAAATTACAGCGTCAACACGGCAAACATACCTAAGCCTTTCCACTTGGAAGATTGGAACTTGACGGTCGAGCACTGGGAAGCGCCTGATAATTTCTCCGATTCGGCTGGGACTTTCAAGTACAACACTTCTCATCAACTCGACACTCCTACGTCATGGACAAACATCCCTGAGCTAGTCAACGCGTCCGGCATCGGTTTCTACAGCACCTCTTTTGAGTGGCCACCCCTTACGAGACTCGATTATAGTCTTGGGGCCTATCTGCATATCCCAAATGTTGAAGACGCTGTTATAGTTTCTATCAACGAGGTTTCCCTGCGTCCACTAGACCCTACTCACGCCAGTGTCGACATTACTGAACATCTGGTAGATGGTCACAATCTTGTTCAAGTCCTTGTCCCAACAACCATGTGGAATTATGTTAGGTCTGTCATCGACAATTTGTCAACTGCAGGAAGTCTACCCCTCCCCGTTACATTGCAGCAACACATGGGAGCGCCGATCAGAGAGCGCGTGGCGACGGGTTTGCTTGATCCTGTCACTATTATCCCAACCATTTCCATGAAGCTTCGCCTCTGAATCAACACTCCCTGGGCATGCATTTTTTAGCCAAGATTGGGAAGATATTTAACATGCTCAACTTCTCCACACCGTAACATCCATGTTACGACTATAGGAGTTCGAGACCCGCATTCCTCACGAGAACATCCCGTAGTTATAAAGAACCAGCCACGCCTTCAATCCTAGCTTGAGAAACCGATGTAGATTAAGTATCATGCCTCGTGGTCCAACGAGACCCCTACTTTGCAAACTTCCCATACCAGCCCCAAGTGCTTGTTCCAAGTCGATCATCACTTCGATGACGCCGCTTCAGCATCCCTAACCAGCCAGTCAGTACACGTAACTGATCATAGCCAGCGCTGAACCCCGCAAGCATGACAATCCCTGCTGGTCGCGTGCTATTATACGCGTATCTCTCTTGTCATCAATGACGTCTCCAAAAGAGCCAGTGAGCCACGACAAGAGAAAACGTCATTACTATACGCGTATAGAAGGACGAGGCTATGGCACATTAGCCCCTACTTATACAATGTATTGTAATCTGGACATTGGCCTAGGAACGATGACCAATGATGCGGCCTTCGCAGACCTCGTTCTACTTGCCTATAATTACGCATATAGGAGTTACTGTCAGCAGCAAGCCAATTTGGGTAAACTACTGAACACAGCGTAGAGTCTATCACTACGCACCTTGACACCCTTGCAGCGCGAAAACATCATCCCAAGGCAAAGCCTGTCTAGGGAAATGGCAGGAATAATTTCAGCTGAGACTTAAATGGCAACGCTAAACAGTATGCATTTTATTATTTGCTCATTGTGGTATTTGACATGTTTTCCAGACCCCGACCCAGTGAATCAACCAACTCTATAGGTTACGCTTTTCACATTTAGTTCTTTCCAAGCTCCTCGGCACGAGAGGTAGCAGCCTTGACAGCTCCGTCGACGATGGCCTTGAGGCCGGAGTTTTCAAAGCTCACTAGGGCGGCATGGGTGGTGCCGTTGGGGCTGGTGACGTTCTTTCGGAGCTGGGCGGGCTCCTCTGACGACTCAACAAGCATCTTGCCGGCTCCGAAGCATGTCTGCTTGGCAAGGCGGGTAGCCTGTTCCTCAGAGAGACCGAGGCTGGTAGCACTGGCGATCAAGTGCTCGACAAAGGCGAAGAAGTAGGCAGGGCCGGAGCCTGCTCGAGTTAGTTACAGCATTGATAGAGGTGATGTCAAGACTCACCAGAAAGACCAGTAACAACGTCCAGAAGCTCCTCCTTCTCAACCCACTCGGTAGCCTTGCTGACAGTGCCCAGGAGAGCAGAGGTCAAATCCCTCTCGGCCTCTGTCACGTCCTCGCCGGCGTACAGACCGGAAGCTCCCTCTCCAACCAGGGCGGGGGTGTTGGGCATGACGCGCACGATGTGAGGGGCACGACCGCTGGACTGCTTGAACCAGTCGGCGATGCTGGTCAATGTGATACCAGCAGCGATAGAAATGACAACTGGCAGGCTCTCGCGGTCAGACCAGGCGGCACCGAGCTCCTCACAGACCGTCTTGGCGACTTGGGGCTTGACAGCGAGGATGACGATGTCGGCGTCGGCAGAGGCTTCCTTGGTGTCGGCAGTGGTCTTGACGCCAGTCTCGGCCATCTTGTTTCGGTTCACCTCCCAGGGCTCCGAGACGTAGATGTTTTGCTTGGAGATGTTCTTGGCGAGGAGACCTCCGATAATGGCGGCGGCCATGTTACCACCGCCGACGAAGCAGACCTTGGCATCTTGTAGTGAGGGAGTCATTTTGGCTGTGTTGATCTGGGGATGAATATCGAAATTGAGGAGACTATGAGATTCACGAGGTGAGAAAGGGTCTTTAAAGGCAAAACACCCAAGAATGACTCTGGCGATGCGAACCGAGATACGTGGGGTTGCTTGTGTTGGCGCCTTACGTAAAACAGCTTGGGGTGCGTAGACCCCGCATCGGATTAACTCGAGCGATGGATTCTTTCAAGAGACGGAATGAACATCCGTCCTTCTAGACGAATCAACGTTGATGGATATCTCATTTGATTCCTTTAGTGGCACCGAGGCGGCTTCGGCATCCGCCGAGCGGAAGTGGCGGAGACGGCGGGACAAGATCCGATATCGCAGCGGTGAGGGACCTGGTCACGTGCCTATCTCCAGACAGTTGTCTTCTAGAATCAGCCCATCTGCGCATCCAATTGCTCGACAAATCCCCAGATTTACATGGTATGAGACAATCCAATTGTTTATCTTAAGGAAATGGCGGCATTACACGTCCCATTTTCCACCTTGACGTCTCGGAGTGGCTGGAGATGTCCAGGCACACCGGCCGGCGGCCAACTCCACCAACCGCTTACCTTCGGCACTCACAAATTACACCAAGATAAGAAACCAACAAATACTGAGCTGAGTTAGGTACACCGTGGATCATCCCCGGTTATTACGTACATGGTCAATGAGTATAATCGGGGTAGAGTCGTTGGTCTGTTTATCGACTTGACGAGTGGCCTTATAGCGGCTCGCGATCTTGTCAGTGTTGGTGTTCATACGAGATTTGGATTTGGCTTCGTCCCGGTGTCGCTGAGGCGCTTACCCTGTAGGGGGAAAAAACATGAGCTGGCTTTAACATTGCAACCAGCCCGCCTGAACACCAAGCTCGATTAAGATGCCTTTCATAGTTCCTGTCCGTCAAATAGTGTTTGAACCGAGATCTAGATGTCGGCCAGTGCTATGTTTAATCCATGTTATGCGAGCCATGTCGAGAAACGGATTGTCTTTGTGCAGCATTCGGGTGACGACTGTTTTGGAAACATTCTAGAGGTCAGAAAGTTTCAAGAGAAATTCATTAGAAAATAGCCAGGGAATTGCAGAGGCATCGAAGCTTGCTCATTATAGACAGGTAGTCGACACGTGTATGGTAGGTTGGCAATTATGAGTGGGCTCCTCGGCTCTACTGATAAGATACTGAAGCATTTCCCTAAAGTATTTCCTATCATGTAGCTCCTCAAGCAGTTTTTTCAAGTCTATCAGTATCCTTCCACTCCTCTCCCTGATATAAGAAAGTTGTTGCTTCAGCGATCCACCCTCTTGGCCAGCTTCTGGGATTGCCATGCCTCCTTGGCGAATCGTCACCATTCGCGGAAACGTAACTATGAGCAATCTTTCTGCTTCGGTAGCGTGACTCGGCCCGGCAGGATTCAGCGGTTTGTACTAGGCATCTCCAATGTAGTGTTGGCAGCGAGGGTATCAAAGTCAGAGTTGGTACGGGAAGGAGACGTGCGGACGGCTTCAATGGTGCGACTCGAATTGACGGTTCTTGGCTTGCGGACCATGTAAGAGGGTCGATCGTTTATGTGGTGTGCAAGAAATTGGACATGCACGAAAAAGGACGACGTGGAAAATGGGTTGTAGTGGAGGTCGGTGATGGAACGGGTGATGGTCTGCCGCTCATCATCACTCAGAGGGTATGAATGGTGTACATCGTAGAAGGGCTTGGTGGATAGGTGAGAGATATGGGAGTAATCACTAAGCAAATGCGGAGGAGATCTGTAGGGGCTGGAAGGTATGGGTTGCAGGCCTGCGGTTCCGCCAGGCGGATGTATCATGTGTTGAGCAAAATATATGGCCTTATTACCTCGACACCTGTGAAAGGTACTTTGTCTTTGAATTTTGCTGTTGATATACTTACGTGTTGCGTCAATGTGATGTCCATGTCTTACAAAGCATCAAGACGGAATATCCGGGGGCGGGGATGGAGCGGACACCGGAGTCCTCCGAGTGGCTCGGTTCAGGGGAGGAGATCGTCCCCGGACTGCGGAGCCGCGAACTGCGGGGGTCCCGGGTTTTAAACTTGACGGGGGTTGTGTAAGCTAGATTGCGGAGGTGACCTTTTCTTGATTACTAGATCCGATATTGTGTCGGATGTAATGCCTTCCTACGGGAGCATTACGTGAAGCCACCGAGGTTGTTCTCCGTATGCATCATGTTGGACAATCGCGAGCCCGGGTATAAAGGCGGCTGTTCCTGCTCGCCTTGATAACAACGAGAATCACACCGACCAGACAATTGGATCTAATCAAGAAGCACTTCTGTCTAAATCTGTTCCTTCTATCTACTTCTTCTCTCATCTTACAACGTTTCCTGCTCCTGTAATCATGGGTTTGACCGTCAAGCTCGAGACGCCCATCGCTGGCGCTTACGAGCAGCCCATTGGCCTGTAAGTTATACTGAACACATGATCTCCCTGCAAAGAGCGATGCTCGCTTTCTGGAACCAGAGGTTAACCAAGATCAGGTTCATCAACGGACAATGGGTGGAGAGCGTCGACAAGAAGAAACTCGAAGTTGTGAACCCTTCCACTGAGGAAGTCATTACTTCTGTCTTCGAGGGAACTGAAAAGGACGTTGACCTTGCTGTTTCTGCAGCCAGGGCTGCCTTTGAAACCACTTGGAAACGCTCCACGCCTGAGCACCGCGGCCGTCTACTTTACAAGCTTGCAGATCTTGCTGAAGAGAACAAGGAGCTGTTGGCGGCCGTTGAGTCTCTGGATAACGGCAAATCTATCAACAATGCACGAGGCGACGTCGCTGCAGTTATTGGATGCCTCCGGTATTATGCTGGATGGGCCGATAAGATTGAGGGAAAGACGATTGATATCGCCCCGGACATGTTCCATTACACTAGATCTGAGCCGGTACGCTGTCTCCCCTTACTAAAACCCTGGCTAGTGACTGACCCATGGTGGAATAGCTCGGAGTGTGCGGCCAGATCATTCCCTGGAACTTTCCGCTGTTGATGTTCGCGTGGAAGATTGGGCCCGCTCTTGCTACTGGAAATACGGTAGTGATGAAAACAGCGGAACAGACCCCCCTATCTGGTTTGGTGTTCACTCAGTTCATCCAACAAGCCGGGTTTCCTCCCGGTGTGTTCAACCTCGTTACCGGAACCGGCAAGATTGCTGGCGCAGCTATCACCTCCCACATGGATGTGGACAAGGTCGCCTTTACCGGTTCGACAGTTGTTGGACGACAAGTCATGAAGGCCGCGGCCGCGTCCAACCTGAAGAAGGTTACGCTCGAGCTCGGTGGAAAGTCTCCAAACATCGTTTTCAACGACGCCAACCTCGAAGAAGCCGTCGATTGGGTCAACTTTGGCATCTACTACAACCATGGTCAGATTTGCTGTGCAGGCAGTCGCATCTTTGTTCAAGAGGGCATCTATGATAAGTTCCTTGAGGCTTTCAAGAAGCGCGCCCAGCAGAACAAGGTCGGCGATCCCTTTCAAGAAGACACCTTCCAGGGACCTCAAGTCAGCAAGCTTCAGTATGATCGCATTATGAGTTATATCGACTCCGGCAAGTCTGAAGGAGCAACCGTGGTTACTGGTGGTTCTCGCCACGGCCAGAAGGGCTATTTCATCCAGCCTACGATCTTTTCAGACGTGCGACCTGATATGAAGATCATGCAAGAGGAGATTTTCGGACCAGTCTGCTCCATCGCCAAGTTCAAGGATGAGGCAGAGGCTCTTGAGATGGCGCACGATACCACCTACGGCCTGGCTGCTGCCGTCCACACACAGGACTTGAATACAGCTATCAGGATGTCCAATGCCCTACAGGCTGGTACGGTTTGGGTCAACTGTTTTAACCTTCTTCATCATGCTCTGCCATTCGGAGGATACAAGGAATCTGGCATTGGTCGAGAGCTTGGGGAGGCTGCTCTAGCCAACTATACCCAGAATAAGTCGGTTGCTATCCGTCTGGGTCAGTAGGATAGGGCAGGTCGCATCCGTGAAATATTCCCTTTCCTTTCACTTGGAAGGAGACGATGGTAGTAGATAGTTCAATGGAGAATCGCAGATCAACTGAGAAATGTCTCTTGTGCAGTGTTCAATGGCTTTGGAGCAAACGAAGTCCCGAAGGCTTTGATCCCAAGTTACTTGGATAACACCCCATCACCATTCATCTGCTACATCACGATTAAAAATCTTGAACTTTCGAGTTTCGACTAGGTGGTCAACCAAACGTGGAGTTCAGCTACTGATTCGAGCGTCTCGTCAAGACAAGGCAGCATGGTGCAAGCTATGTGCGATCTTGAGCGAGTTGAAATAGAAAAGAGTAACAACTGACTCCATGCATACATGTAGCACCGAAATACAATATCCAAATTACCTGACGAGGGTCCGCCACAGTATCCAGATCCATCACCCACTAGGAGGTGAGTCTGGCCGTGGAAGCAACGGTACTTGATCCAAAGCCCAGTCAATGTCACAGCCCCGATCCATCTCCATTCGGCCAGAGCATATACGGCTCTGCCCATTGATCAACGTCAAAGGCCATATTCAGAATGGCCTGCAGAGACGTCGAACTCATATATCCAAGATCAATCCCATTCTCTCCCAGCGATAGTCCCTCAGCGGCCCCACCCAGAACGTTTCCATATGCTGTCGATGACACGTCATCGGGGGCGCCTCGAGCCATTTGAACTGCTCCAGTCTGTCTCGTCAAGCCTGAGTTTTGACGTGAGGCGACACGATCAACCTCGGCACGAAGCCGGCGCACGACGTCAGCAGCTTTGGCTGCCACCGCAAAGCTGGCGCCGTAGAGATCAAGAACGTCCAACGACACGTCGATAGCCTTCCTGGCCTCTGCTGTGGACGCAGCCTGTGGATAAGCAAGGACAAAGCCTACAAGCGTCATGGCTGCATTCCACTGCCACTGGAATGCTTCGTGCCATCCATTCAAGATATCTGTAGAGGAAAGGACTTGATGCATAATTTTGGTAAGAGTTGCCGCATGTCGGGCACATCTCATCCCCAACTGCTCTACGCCACCAGATGTTGACGCTGAACAAGCAAAGATGAATGGACGACAGAGGTTGATGCAAAGGTTGTGATACATGAGTTCTAGCAGGAGGCGTTGCCGTTGCAGCCAGAGGGGCGCAAAAAGTTCCAAGTCGAGAGAACAAGAGTCTGTCGAAAGAGGGCGACCATTGTTGAGTCGTGTGGTCTTGAGAGCATCAGGCACGGACTGGGCCCAAACATCAACCTCTTCAAGGTTCTCATGAAAAGCTTCCGCATGGGCTTCGAAAGCCTCTATGTTGTCTGAGGCAGAGTTGCCCGTAAAAGCCCCCAATGAGTCGTCGAAGAAGGATGTGTAGACTGTTCTTACAGCCATGAACAACTCTGTTTGCAGACGATGAAAGCTCAGCCAACTAAGGTTGGAGCCAAGGGGACTAAATCTTGATCCTGCCTCCATAGCCGCGTCAAGACTATGCTCTGGAAGTTGAGGTAGGAACCTGGTCCGGTTCAAGAGGAAAGGTCGGCCATATTTCATGCCAATCTTGCTATCCAGAATATATATGGCCCACCATAGTCGCCTCCGCATCTCCCTCTCTTTCGACGGCAGACTCTCCGGTGGATCTAGATGAAGGCCAAGCATGTAGGCAGTTCTGATGACCGGGCTGCAAGCACTATCAGACATGTTCTGAAAGTTGGCGCAGCAGAGATACACAGAACATAGTATCTGGCTCTGCAAGGTCGAGATCACAGGGCTTTCCAACTCGTACGCTAGAAGCTTCTGGCAGCGAAGATAGTATCTCCGGCCAACAACTGTCGCATCGCCTTCTTGTCTGGCAAAATTCCGCCGAGCCGCTGGAGTTGCCGAGATGCCAAGCTGCATTGATACTGCAATCACGATATCAATAAGGGGCGAGGGTTTCCTAACGTCGCCCTCAGCGGTCCATGAGGATCTGTAGTGCTCCCGAAACTCGGTCTCGTCGATGATGGGAAACACAGCTGCATGGTGAGATTGCCAGTATAGCTCAATAAAATATTCTTCCTGCATCAGAGACAAATATTCCTCTGTTGGAGTCGAGGTAGGGCCGGCTTGGCCAGGTGGGCGAGCATCATCCATGGGCGAAACCGTGTTTCCTGGTTCGTCTAACAAGGAGCTTGCTGATACAGAACCCGGAAGTTGGTCCTGGTTCGCTGATTGTTGTCCAGGCGAGCCAAGCAGGTCCAGCACTCGAGTAATGAAGTAGAAAAGCGACGACGGTCCATACCACGTCTTGCTCGTCGACTGCCCAGCACAGATGTGGACCCCTTTCTGTAGCCATGTCGGGCTTCCATAACTGTAACGAGCAGGTCTTTGAGAAAGACGCGAAAGATTCGGGTCGATGTTTGCCTCTTGTGACGCAGAGACTATCAGATCGACATGGCTATCGGTCTTTTGTTGCTGAAGCTCTGATTCAAGGTCATGGATCTTTCGCCTCAAGCGTTCAATCTCCCGGTATGCCTGGGGTAGCGTGGTTGACTTGATGACAGCATTGCTGCATTGGCTGCCTCTAGCTTGACAAGGCGTACAAGGAATTCGGTTGTCGCATTTGATACGTTGACGGCGACAATAATCACAGGCTCTCACCACCTGTGCTCGCTTTCTGCGATCGTGGGAGGTCTGCAACGCAGGTAGCGCGTGACTATCCTGCGAGTCACCCTCGGGGAATGGATAATTAGACATTTCTGCGTTTGTGCACTGAAAATGATCCAGAGCTAGGACAAGGATTGAATCGCAACGGGCGGAGTGAGATAGGGAGAGGCAGGACACCAAAGGGCGTAAGAGACAAGACTGGCCCATGTGGATTGGTAATCTCATAGCCCCCGGAGTACTCCTGATTGGTTAAGACAACTACAGTACAGTGCCGACGCCAAGAGATACAGTATGAGCTAATTCAACTCCCCGACTACTACCCTCCAAGCTGGTAGTTAGCTGAGGCTACTTCCATAATTCGAAAACAGATAAAACCATTGCAGGTTCATCCAAGAACAGCCCTGTTAAAACAGCCACTCAAGGGAACTGAGCCTGGCATCCCAACCACAAGACGAGCTTCCCAATCCGGTCCGGATAAGCGCGAAGCATGCTGTCATACAGCTGCTTGGCTGACTCGGACTCTTTCACAAGTCTGCTAAACGTTCTGATGTACTCCCTCGAAGCCGCAATGTTGAAGGCCCCATCAACACCACCAGGTCGGTGATGAGAGCCAATGACGATGGCGGGGTTGTAAGATTCCAGCTTATTGAGACACTCGATCCAGGCATCTCGATCTTTCTCAGAGGGAGACTCGGCCATCCACATGTGAACGTCATTGTAGACAATGTCGCCAGCAACCGCCAAATTGAGCGAAGGAACGTAGAGAAACGTCGTTGCGTCCATGTCAGAATGTCCAGCATTGACCGCCTCAAAGGTGTGGCCCTCGAGAGTAAATTTGTTATCCTTCAAAGGCTTCGCTACAATCCCAAAAGACTCTTCTTCGATTTGGTCTGGAAAGAGGTCGTGCCACAAAGCGCGGTATTCGGGCGTTAGCTGAGTAGACATGTGGTCGATCGAATCCTGAGTTGAAACGACCTCAACTCCAGGAAACCGCTTGATCAGGTAATGGAGATTGAACCAATGGTCGCCATGGCCGTGAGTGATGTAGATGGTTGACAGTTTCTTGCCGTTCAGCGTCTCCTGGATCCAGTCGCCAAGGGAGATGCCTTGCTCGGAGGTGAAGAGAGTATCGACGAGGACAGCTTCGGATTTGCCCGAGATGAGAGTCACTACCGTGGGCTGCCAGAGACCGATCGAGCCATCTGGCAAGTGTTTGCTGGTTGGAATGGCAGGAGCATTGTAAAGATCAGCCCTTAGGGAAGATGTAGCGCTCATGGCTAAGAAAGCGTGGAGAATAAAATATGCGAATGGATTCTGATGCTCTGGTAGATGGTTTGAAGAGCGAGCGGAGGATGAGTTACAAGTTAAACACGTAGAACTGTCTTCTGATACCTACGAGTCCTTCTTATAGACAGTGAACTCGAGAATCTATTACGACGGCGATATTGGTAATCTAAAAACCGTTTCGCTGCATCGCTCGAAAACGGCATCAGAGGCTGCAGTGCTGGTTTGGGTGTGGGTACTTCAAGGGCGAGGAGGTCTCCGGATTGATCAGTAAACTCAATGAGCTGATGATGTCGGTCCAATGAAGAGGTTTAAGGTCAATGCATTGTATGGCATTACGATAAACACCAGGAGGAATCATGTAAATTGACCGACTGCTTGTGCATAAGAATCTCTAGTCAACTTCCCGTTTTGTCGATGGCCGCGCTACGGAGTACTCCGTGACCCACCTTGACACGATTGGCCTTTCGGAACGCCCCTAGATCAGTCTTGAGCCTTGAACGTACACCTCCTTCATACTATAATTCTAATCCGTCCAGTTCAAAGAGTACCTTCCAACTCTCTGTCTCAACAACTTGACCTTTTTCTCACCCTTAGCCTCTGACGCTGAAGATATGTTGGTTAACTCATTCTCGGCTCCATCAAGCAACGGGGAACAGTCGGTAACGAGCGCAGCCACTGGCCCGTCCTCGACGATTTTCCGAGACGAATATTTCTGGCCCAGCACAAGTAATACCCATGACAAGGTCAGGGCCAAGGAAACTCCAAGCCATCCAAAAACCCGAGGATGGGACACTTGAGCGACCTGCCTCTGCTCGTATCGCCGAACAGATAGAAGGTTCTCGTCCGGCTCAAACGAACGTGAAAGCATGTCCCACGATCCTTGATATGAATATCGTATGAGTCTTGTGACGTACTCCTCCAAGTTCTCCCAGGTTGGGAGGCCGGAAGAGTTCATCATACTATACACACTCATGACATCCGGCATGAGGTACATGGCTTCTTGAACCCAGGGAGCAGGCTCTATCGGTAATTCTGAGTCAGTTGCATCACTTTGAATCATGCGGCTCGAGAGATAGGTGCTAGTTGGGCTTCTGACGACGCCGGCAGTGAGATTAACGACTGCGTAAGTGAAACACCGGTAGTAGTTGCCCCTTTCGTTCGGTGTAAAGATACTGTTGAACTTCTTCATACCAAAAATGCTCTCTTTCAAGTCGGTGCAGTTGTTTCCATCGAGCGAGACGGTTCCGTTGATCAGAACCACGGCGTGAAAGATCCCGGTCTGCAAGTAAGCAGATGGAACATCCATCAAGAACGCATTGTCACTCTTATTTGGGAAATTGCCGAGCATCCCGGGTCTATCGTCCTTATCGAAGAGGACTGCGTTTCCATCTATGCCATAGGATAATGGAGGGTCTTTGACGCGAGTCAGGTCGTCCTCATAAGTCCTAGCATGCACTGAGTGATTGACGATCTGGAAAACATCATCCGGAGGGTATTCGGTTGGGAATGTGATTGAATTAATCCGAAGACAGGGGATCGTAGCGTTCAGGATACTGGAGTTGACGGGGAATCCATCGTCATTCATGATGTGACGACAGTGGCCCCTGTCAATCGTCGTGCCGTCCCATGCAATAGAGGCGTAAGCGGCAGCTCTGCGGACATAGGAACGACGATCCTCGCTAGAGTAGTAATACCAGAACCAGAGCAAGGGACTCGCTCCAGGATATCCAGCTTGCGCCTGCGCTAGGTCCGAACTATATTCGAAGCCGACATCCCAGTCCACGGCACCTGATATGAGGGGTCCAATAAGCGGTTGTGGAACGACCAAGAGCAAAAGTGCCACAACGAAGAGGCCGGACTTATTCCCACGGATAGCATGCCATGGTAGTACTTTATAGGTGAAAGTTTGAGTGACTTCGGAGAGGCGCAGCCCAGACGTCTCCAACAGAATGAAAACGATGTTCCAGAGGACCACGCCCATCCATGCTCCAACAAGAAGCCTTGCAACCACCAGGGCGACCGAAATAATGGTGGTGACATCGCTAACGCGAAGCCTAAGCTGTTCGTCGACGTAGCGGGGAGCGTCAGGGAGGATGGCGTGGTATCCATCGAGGAGGAAGACCATGCATAGAACGAGTAGGATGCACCAGAGGATATGCAGTATAGGGAAGAGGTATGTGGTCCGCAGACGGCTCGAGATGTTTGTGGGCTCTTTCGGGTTGGGCTCGGTCGTCTGGTCTGCACCTGTCTTTTCAGAAGGAGAAACAGGAGCATAAGAATGAGCAGGATAATCTTTGGAGGTAGCCATGCTAACTTTAAATGGCAAAGAAGTTGGTTTGCTTGCGGTCAAGCCAGCACACTCAGCTTGAATTTATCTTGAACGGAGTGAAACATGCGGTTCTGCATCCGACCCTCGCGGGAGAACGAGGAATGACATCTGATAAAGGATGAGGGGGAATCCCCTAGGCGACCTTGGCGAGGACCCTGTTGACAACGAGGCCAGAAGCTGCATATCAGCAGCCAATGGCCAATGCAGTCCCCGTCTGACAACTGACAAGCTGAAAGTTGCGTCTGCACCATGGCCAGCCCATAGCCGAGTGTTTTGCTAACCCCTGCCCAAAGCTGAAGTGACATGCAGATGAGTGGTCATTTTCAACCCCCTTGTCTGTAAAGCCAGTCCCGTCTCAGCCAACAACTGTTGGTCTTTTCACTTGGCATGTAACTCGAGGCTGTCGGAAACCCTGCACTACGGCGGTCCTAGCTACTGCAATATTCAGCCGCAGACATAACGAGAAACGATTGGTGGTTGGAGCTTGTCAACCTTGTGCATCAGGAGCCCATAGCATTCATTTCATGAACGCCACTATCCCTTTCAAAAGTTGAGAATGTTGTCATGAATACTACATAGTTGGTCCAGGATCTCAGCCTGGCACTTGGCATAGCTCCCGGAGGCTTGGCTTTTGTCCGACATTACGAGATACCCACGAATGTGTCGCAACTGCCGATGTGCGGGACCGTCGGTGGCTACTTAGCTGAGCTGCTGAGGCAGGGGTATCTTGCGGCCTGGGGCATGTTGACACAGTTGCGGCCAGAAGGCGGAGACAGCCAGCGCTGTGTTTGCTGATGACGGTCTGGGTGGCTTTGACACTCAGGTCGACGCTGTTGAGGCGAAATCTGCAGGAAATTCAGAAGCCGGGGAAATTCTAGAAGCTGGAAGACTGAAGAGGCGGTGGCGAATACAATGTGACCCTTAGAGTAGAGCTTCCTAGATCAGTCTATTGGACAATCAATAACCGTTACAAAAAGAGACCATGTTTAGATGCTTTTATTCTACTATAGATCAAGTATAATTTACCAACGTCAAGCTTTTTCCAGAAGAACAGCCATTCCCACATCGATCCCTCGCCATGTCTGTAGTCATCGCTCTCAAGTCAGAGACCCTGTTCGCCGCGCTCATCTCAAAGATACCCTATGTCATTGTCCAAGCCTACGCCACGTGGTGTTCCATGGTGAGCCACCTCTCCCATCCACGGGTTTACTACTGCGTATTCTATATGCTAATCACAATTCAGAAGACGCTCCGGTGCTTCCACACCGTGCTAGATGAGAAGGTCGCCATGCCTGACTATTAACCGTATCTCTGGTCAAGTCGACTACTAATTCCCTAGTTGTAGACTAAGGTAGGAGTTGTCCTAGTTTGACATCCTATGGAACGGCTGACGGTTAAGTTTGAAGATGGTTTTATTACCTCGTTATTCGAGCCAATACCCTATATTGGCAACTACCCATTGGTGAATGAATGGAACTGATATTTCAAACTAATTACACCCATTGTCCCTCCGAATGTCTTTCCGTTAGCCTCTTCAAATCTTGCTTTGGTCTGGGAACTTCCGGAACATGTCAGCAAGCCGGTCCATGGGTGCCGCCATGAGACCCATCACAGTCTCGAATGGCGGCTTCTCTCCAGCGCTTGGATGACTGCGCGTCGGCACAAACATCTTTGTGCGGCTGAAGCTGTTCGAGAGGGACTCAGACTGCCCATCCTCGGCCTTGAGCGCTTGTTCCAGCGCTGGCAGATCTTCACCTTCCTCCGCCTCGATATGCTTGGAGAGAAGAGTCCAGATCTCTTTGAGCTTCGGAACGTAGTCTGGGTCCTGAGAACTCAGTCCCTGAAACGTCTTTAAATGCTCCTTGACCTGTCTCATGGTCATTGTCTGTTTAATCGGTCGAGGTGCTCAACTCTTACCTCGTGATGCTCCTGGCGATCATGGTCGGCCATCGCCTTTCCCCTGTCGCCCATGTACTTTTCCATGGCGGGGTAGACGACAAGCTCTTCACCGATAGAGTGGCGGGCAAGCTCCCAGACAAACTGATTGCCATACCGCTGCTGATGGTCGTGATCGGCGGAGTTGATCACCTCATTATAATACTGCTCGAGCTCGCGATGATCCTTGGTGACGGCGTCTGAAACCGAGGACATGGCTGCAACATGGATCCAAACAGGCAATTGTGAGATGCGGAAATGCTGAGGCCGGATAGCGGCTCGAAGTTGAGGCGATAGGAGAGTACGGGTCAACGACATGTTTAATAAATGGAGAGTCGGAGATGCAGTGCTGCATTCCACCTTGAGCCTGCGAGGCGCAGCTGTCCATATAGTCATGAAATACGGGCCGCATGACGCAGAAATGATGGTTTTAGTTCAACTAACATCACGAAAGCTTGGCCCTCATGCGGTCACAGATTGCGATGAACAACCAGTGAGAGGACCCGCCATTTGAATTCCCTACATGTGATTTGCCACGGGCGCAGAATGCCACGACCTCACGAGAGGCAAGGGCAATATTCTATATGTGACCCTTGCGTAACGAGTGTTGTAATCAACTTGTTCTCATAGGCTGGCAAGCTAACCATGTCAGACTTGGGCAATGTCGACGAGACGCAAATACTCACATCGGGGAATGTAAAGCGCATCGAAAGAAGGTAGGCTTCGATGACCATCTATGATTCGTAGCAAACAGCAGCAGAACTGTTTCCTGGAAATCACAAGGAAGTGGGTGTCGGTGCGTTGTGATTGTTAAGAATTACGCCATTGTCAAGTCATCACATCAACCCGTCATGTATGAGACTAGCGGCGTTTTAAATTCCACTGCCTGTTGATGCTGTATTTGTTAGAGCCCAATCCCTTCATGAATCTTGTCAAGCTGTCATCGACCGTGCATTCCAAAGCATTGCCGAAAGCACGTACAGTAACGTCCTCGGCTCTCGGAAACGCGGCTGGAGCTTTTCGCAACTCGGGTGACTGGACCCTGACGGCACGATTACGAGTCAATTTTGGGTCATGGGCACATCCTTTGGACTTTTCAATGGCGGAATCACTTCTAGTCAGTCAGAGGTTGAGTTGTGAGCATCATGGATATGGTGGAGCTTGTTTGTGAGAAGATAGGAGATCGGAATTAACTTGGATCGTATAAGATACCTTGTCGAACCGTTCAAACATGGCTGAATTGGGTATTGTCCAGTATAGTTACAAATTGATTCTCTGAAGGAATCATGGGACTGAACACTTTACTTCGAGGCGTGGCTTTGCTCGCTCTCGCCAGCCGCATCGATGCTGTGCCTGTGGTATCTGAAGCCCAGACCACTTTTTCATCAAAGGCATCTTTTGTTCCACCGGCGATTCCTGTCACAGATGTCTCTTCCCACGGCACATATACCGGTCCAAAACCAACCACCACTGGGGCCCTGTCAAACACTGTACTTGCGCCCTCGGTCCCTGCTCGGCCTCCTCCTCCAGACTCTTTCAAGTACCCGGCAGATGGGAAACTACACGGTCCTCAGCCGGCTCCATACACACCCAGCGGAGGCATCGGCACCAACGGGTCTGCTCCAGTGTACCGCGTCCAGAGTGACTTCGACTACCAGTCTCTTGCACTGGCACTCTACCAGGAGTGGATTGAGCTGGATCTATTCCACTGGGGGCTAGCAACCTTTTCCAATGAAGATTTTGAGGCCTATGGAATTAATGCTGAGGACCGCTTTCTCATCGAGTACATGGCTGACCAGGAAGTTGGCCACGCCACCGTCATCAGTCATATGCTTGGCCCCGAAGCACCGAAGCAGTGCACCTACAACTACCCAGTCTCCAATGTTCCAGAATTCATCGACTTTAACCAGAAACTTACCCGATGGGGAGAGTCTGGTGTCTATGGCTTCCTGCCCCATCTCAACTCGGGACCTGCGGCACAACTGTTGCTTCAGAGCATTACAATTGAGGCTCGGCAGCAGATGATCTTTCGCCAATTTGGAGGGCAGTTTGCCATGCCCGAGTGGCATACGCCTGGTATCCCCCAGAGCTGGGCCTGGACTCTGCTCGCCCCTTACATCTCGAGTTGCCCCTACAATCAAACCCGACTAGTCTGGCAGAACTTTCCCGCACTTCACATCCTGAACCAGCCGAATCCAGCGCGGATTAACGGGTCTGATGTGTGGAATGAAACGACTGGCGGATACGCCAACACTCTATCCACTGCCGATATTCCCAAGGATGAGCTTTGTGTCAATGCAACGGACAAGACACTGGACTGTGGTGCAGCAATCACTCAGAACCGCAGCATTCCTCTCTCATACCCTGATCGCCAAGTATTCCTGCAATGGGATGAGCCAGGCAAAGCCATTGGACCCAACAATAGCTACATCACATCAACCAATGTCAAGGAGCCCAAATACGCGGCCTGGGTCTCGCAGCTCAACGTCACGTACTCGCGGTTGCAGAATATCAGCAGCGATGATAGAACAGCTTACACTATTCAGCCCAACGTCTCGACCTGGGCTGGCGACCCTGCGATTAACGGGACTATGTTCCTGGCGTTGACGGATACGGATCTTTATGTTACTCCCTACAACCTCACCCAGATTAACCCACACGTGGCGGCGCTGGCGGTCTACCAGGCTGGCTAAGTTTAGCGATAGATGAGTGCAGGGATGGGGCCTTGTGTGTTTGGGCTTATGAGACGGGATTGGAATACTTGACCAGATCTAGAGCGGTTTTAATCACCTAGTACATGGTGCCTGGGAGCTGTGGTGAACTCTCATTCGTATCTATTCTATCAGCTACTGCGGTTTCATAAATGCGAGCTTTTCTGTATAAATTGCCAACACTCTCGCAGTGATTGTTTAGTGATCAAGAGATGCTGGACAGCACTCGGCCTCATGTGACTCGTGTCTAGACTCTAGAGAATCCTCTTCGTCTCTCCGGGCTTCAACCAGCAGACTCGATCTATAATACCTCCATCCTCAAAAGCCTTATTCAAGTCCTCCCCTTGCTAAGTAAAGTGGCTTCAAGACTCGAAATGAATAAGTAGGAACGAGGTAGTCGGCCTCAAGATAGCGGACGAGGGTAAAAGCTTGCTTACCGCCCGTAACAATTCAAAGAGGTTCCTTGCACCTGACAGTGTTGATTGTCGCAGCACCAAGGATCATAAGGGCGACTACAATGTGAAAGTGCTTCTCAATGTCGAAGTGGTCGGGAAGAAGGACTGTATTGCTAGTAAAATAGATGGCATGTTGGGCAAGCCTTCCTCGCTATAGCCAAACTTGCCGCATCGGATGATGAAGCCAGTGACCTCTCCTCCAGTCATTATCCAGTCGATTATGCCTAATGGTGTGTAAGCCCTGTTTATCTTTTAGCTCATACTTGTTCTTCCAACGGCGCTTGCTATGCCGATTACGCTATCCTTGAAAGGCAAGGGAGAGTATCCTTACCTCAGAGTCCAGTTGCTTACGGGGTTTTCCTACATGGCGGCTTTGCTATCAGGTATTCGGCGTTACCGCATATCCTCCCTCGCTAGGATCAACTATTGTTCAGTATGGTTTCTTCGAGCTCTGAAACTGCATCGCGTTGACTCGCCTCATTCATACCCAGAGTGGATAGACGGACGGAGCACCGTGCGTATGGCAGGTTCAAGGAACAAGTTGGCAGACCTTTGCGAGGGGCTCGTGTCAAGGCGCAAGGTATAGAAATAAGCCGCTGTGCGTACTTGCAGATAAACAGTCTTTCCCAATTTCAACTCTGGCTATTATTTGGAGCATTGCAAGAATAGGCCGTGGCATAAAGGCATAAGGCAATTTCGTCTTAATAGATAATCTCAATTCATACTTATTCCGAATACTAAAAACACCAAAAGACAAAAACATTCGCTTCTTTCATCAAACAGTTTACAAATCATTGTACTCGTAAAGACCCTCCTCAAGACCCTTGATCTGGAGTGCCAGCAGCTTCGAGTAGTACCGGCAGATGGCCAGGTTACCACCGTGGAACCAGAAGCCTGGGTGGCCGCTCTTCTGCCACATGACTCTCATCTCTCCCTCTTTGTTGAAGCCCCAGACGTCACCGACCTGGTCGGCAATCTCGTCGCCAAACATGACACGGGTTTGGGTTCGCATGTTCTGGTAGCCTGTGGCAAAGATGATCTCGTCGGCCTCAAGCTCGCTGCCGTCGGCGAAACGGAGGCCGTGGGGAAGGACGGTGTCGATCTCCTGGCCGTGCTTGACCTTGATCTTACCCTCGGCGATCAGCTTGGAGGCGCCGACGTCGATGTAGTAGCCTCCTCCGCGCTGGAAGTACTTGAAGAAGAGTCCGGCGCCGTCAGGGCCGCGGTCGACCTTGAAGCCGGCCTTGTCGAGACCGTCGAGAATCTCCTTGTCGTGCTCGGCCTGCTTCTGGCAGACGGTGACTTGGATGGCCTTGAGGACGGGGGTGGGCAGGCCATGGATGAGAAGGTCGGCGTCGTCAACCTCGGGTCCGTCTTCAGAGTAGATACCCCCCAGAGCGATGTCGGTGATAGCCTTGGAAGAAACAACGTGAGTGCTGGATCGCTGGACAATGGTGACATCGTAGCCCTTCTCGAGGTAGTCCTGGGCGATGTCATGTCCCGAGTTGCAAGATCCAACAACGATGGCCTTCTTGCCCTTGCTGTTCTCCTGAGCGCCGGGGAACTCGGAAGAGTGGCACAGGCGATCACCCTTAAAGTTCTCAATGCCCTTCATGGTAGGCATGTTCTTCTTTCCGGAGTGGCCGGTCGCCTGGATGACGTGGCGAGGGTGGAAGGTTCGCTTCTCGACAGAGCCGTCCTCCTTCTTGCGCTCGACAGAAACAGACCAGGACTTGGTAGTGTCATCCCACTTGGTGTCGACGATGGAGGTTCTCGTCCAGACGTTGAGCTCGAGGAGCGTGGCGTAGGCCTCAAAGAACTGAGCAAGCTTGTCCTTGGGGGTGAAGATGGGCCACTGGGGCGGGAATTTGAGGTAAGGCATGTGATCATACCAGACAGGATCGTGGAGAACCAGCTGATGGTATCGCTTCCTCCAGTTGTCGCCGACACGGTCGTTCTGGTCGATGGCGATGGCCTCGATGCCCAGCATCTTAAGTCGGGCAGCGGCGGTCAGACCGGCTTGACCAGCACCTAGAGGACTGTTAGTATAGAATCTTGAGATAGGAACGTGTAATTGAACTCACCAATGATCAACACAGCAGGCTCGCTTCCATCTTCAAAGTTGGCGGCGGCAGCCCTTCGCTGGGCCCAGTTCTTGCGGCCAGGCTTTCCACCGTGCTCGACACCCTTGGGTCTGTGCTCGTTGATGGACTCCTCATATCCCTTGAACTCTTGGAGACGGGTGTAGAGGGTAAAGATCTTCCACTCTCCATTGTGCTCAACAGCGCGCAAAAGGCCCTGACCAGTGCCCAAAGCGGTCTCAATCGTGAAGAAAAACTGAACACCAAAAACTGTGGCGGGTCCATCGATGGGGATGGTCTTGGGGGATCGGACGGCAGCGCTGTTGTCGATGGCGATGCTCTTCAATCGGAAACCATCCTTAGAGCCAGCAGCGCTCTTCAAGAAGTCAAGAATGGCGCTGGGACCTTGGACTGTTCGAAACACCCAAGACAGAGCAAGGTGATCTCTCCAGTAGCCATCATCTGTGAATAGTCTCGCCAAAGCGGGGTAGTCGTGCTTCTGGACAGCCTGGTTGATGTTCTCAACCAGGGCCGAGGCAACTTCTTGGGGATCGGAGCTGGCGGGAGTCTTGGATGGGGCGGGGAACTTGGCGACGGGAATGTTGATGGAACCAGGAACGGTCCGCATGTACGAGGGGACGTCAATCGCAGCTGCAGCCATTGTGAAGTGTGTGTGTAGATGTGAAATGTGGTAGAAAAGGTTGGGTATCTGAGAGGAGAAGAGGAGAAGGTTGATGCTAGTGACAAACTCAAGGCCACGACCACGACCTTAAGTAACCATTTTTTTTTTTTTTCTGTTGTGAAACATACAGAATCAAGCCGTCAATCGGCTCGGCATTCGTTGGCTGTTCCCTCCCCAATGATCGGCAGAGAGAAACATTAACACTGATACCATTGGACGCATCAACTCAGCCATTGTCTCCCCGCGTTTGACAAGCCCAACCAGACACAAAGCGGATCCTCTCGAGGTGCTCCCCCGCCTCTAGCCTCAATATCCCCCCGCCTCTTTTCACAATCCCCCGCATCTGCGGTTCCGACCGCGGCGGAGCCGATTCGGGAGCTGGGCCAAATGATGACGGAGGATTCAAGGGTTTACGAGTCTCATGATGGAGTTTGCATGCGGATTGACATTTAATCCACGTGGAGAAGACAAGTCTGGGGGTTTAGATTGCGGAGCGGTGCCGAAAATGTAGCGCCTCTCCGCAAATCCGGCTCCTTTGATGCGAATCATTGAGAGTGACAGGCCACTATCGCCGATTGAGTTTACTTGGCCATGTGATTTTCTTGAATGTCTTCTTTTCTAATCCTAGTCAATCGGCTCATGGTCTGTCACTTGCCGCTGAGCCTCAAGACGCGTGAAGACACGACGCGTTGTGGGGCTTGAGTCTCTTGACGCGATATGAGCACCACGATGCATGGAGGCAAATCAGATTATTGTGGCTTCTTGCTCCTATTTCTGCTCATTGATTGTGCCTATGGTCTCCTCTGTTATACGACTTGCGAGAAGGGGCCGCGTGCGTGGCTCTTCTGCTGGACTAAGTCCCTCTAACAGATCGTGATGAGTGAAGTACATCAGTTGCTGCAGTTGGAAGTGTAAAGTTGTACGTTCTGAGGAGTATTAAAGCCAAGTGAGTGGTACCTTGCATACAGGGTAAAAGATTATATGTGAATGGACGAATGTTGATGCAGAAGTCTTGGCTGAGCTCACCGAGTGAGCGTATCTTACTAGGTATGTAACCAGTCATCTTTCACGAGCTACCAGAATAGGAAATCGGCGCAAATCATTAACTATAATTGATTTCCTGCCTGAATAAGCTCACTTTTATATGAGATTGTGAGTCCCAGGTCATGAAATCGTACCGGGTGCTTTGAAGTCTATCGCCGAGTCATGTGAGCCCTCGGTCTCATCACACCATAATAAAAACGACGTCAAAATAAACGATTTGCACTCATCGGTGAGACTTTTGAGAACTAATTTCACGTGAAAGCTCATACTCTTACCGCCTCTAGATTGATAAGACCGAAACGGCCCTTCCCAGGTCTTCTCGTGTTTCAGCCGCACGTAACAGTCGATGAGAGCCTTGGCATCAGGCCAACACACATCAGCTATTCTGAGAGCGCAGGGTATCTCGGTATTTCCATCAACTTAGATTGACCATCTGAATCTCTAATCGGCACCCAGATCGCCAGCTGTGGCATGTCGGCCAAACTCGGAGTGAGCTCACCATGGCTTTGGAATCATCAAGTCTCGAGTCATCTCTGAGCAAAAACATCGTAAAATCAATGATTTGTAAGTTTTGTGGAGATTTCAACTCGCCGAGTGCAGTTTCGAGTCTCCGTTTTGGTTGAAAAATATGTGTAATCATTCATGCGGCGTCGTGAAGCAAACATGGTGTTTCCGCGGAGATCTCGACTCGTCACGAGAAAATGGTCAGCATTCCGCCTTTTATAGAACCACTTGTGAATCTCGCCCCCTTGTACCGTGCACACGATGCTTTTGATTGGTTTATTACCTGGTCATGTCTTCCAACGTCTCACATCATCCCATTCTTGTCGGACACTTCGGCCTCCGATGGGCGTGCATGGTGAACGTGTGATGGGCCGATTTCGCACAAGTCGGAATACCGAGGATGAGATTCACGATGAAGAGTAAGAGAAAAGACGTATAAAAGTTGACGTTTGCCTATTGTAGATATCATCTTTATCAGCAACAGCATCAGATTGAGACGCATCACGATACACAACATGCACGCTACCGAAGACGAGACCATCATCATCCCCCGATTCCCCTTTCAGCGGGCCTCGGCATTTGAACCCCCTGCAGAGTTTGCTCGCCTCCGAGCCAATGAACCAATCTCCCAAGTGGAACTCTTTGATGGGAGCTTGGCATGGCTTGTGGTCAAACATGAGGATGTATGCAGGGTAGCTACGGACGAGAGACTCTCCAAGGTACGACAGGAAATCTCACGCTTATATCATCAATCTGATAAGCGTAGGAGAGAACTAGACTTGGCTTCCCTGAGCTGAGTGCCGGTGGTAAGGCTGCAGCCAAGAATAAGCCCACGTTTGTCGACATGGATGCTCCCGCACACATGAACCAGAGGTAAGACGGCCCCCAACAATGACACCAAACATCTCTGATCTGCATATAGAAGCATGGTGGAACCCTTCTTTACAGAGGATCACGTGGAGAGTTTAAGACCTTATATCAAAGAGACCGTTCAAGGTCTTTTGAATGATATGGTGGCCAAAGGATGCGAGGACCCCGTCGACCTGGTCGAGAAGTTTGCTCTTCCCGTTCCATCTTACGTGAGTGAATCCTCGAGCCGTTACCCAAGCAGAGAATCGCTGATAATTGTTCGAAGATCATCTACACTATCTTGGGTGTTCCGTTTGAGGATCTTGAATACCTCACTGAGCAGAATGCCATCCGCAGCAACGGCAGTGGCACGGCCCAAGAGGCGGCGGCCGCCAACCAGTACGACACTAAACAAGACTTTGCCTCCTCACTTAAAGCTAACACTTATTAGGCAGCTGCTCAAGTATCTCGCAAAGCTTGTGGATCAACGCCTCCAAGAGCCCAAGGACGACCTCATCGGCCGCCTAGTTGCTCAGCAACTCGTACCCGGACACATTGAAAAGTCCGACGCCGTGCAGATCGCCTTCCTGCTGCTTGTGGCGGGAAATGCGACCATGGTCAACATGATTGCTCTGGTAAGGCATTTTTAGACCGGTTTCAGATATTTCATTAAGGCGTGCTTTGAGCTGATGACGAATTTACGAATTCCCGCAGGGCGTGGTTACACTGATGCAGAACCCCAGCCAACTCGATGAGCTGAAGGCAGACTCGACCCTTGTCCCTGGCTTTGTGGAGGAACTATGCCGCTACCACACCGGTTCCTCCATGGCGATGAAGAGAGTGGCCAAGGAAGATATGGAGCTCGGTGGACAAGTAAGTATTATGCGAGGATGCGTCAGGAATTGCATAGGCGAAGGGGGGGCGAATGTTGACGAGATAATAGCTCATACGTGCTGGAGAGGGTATCATTGCCTCTAATCAGTCCGCCAATCGGGACGAAGACGTGTTCCCCAACCCCGACGTATTCGACATGCACCGTGATTTCGACTCTCGCGACGGGCTTGGGTTTGGATTCGGCCCACATCGTTGCATCGCAGAGTTACTAGCAAAGGCTGAGCTAGAGACCGTTTTCGGTATGCATAAACGTTGAGACTAGCATCAACGGCTCAAAGTTGCTAACTTGCGCCTCTAGAAACCTTGTTCACTACCCTGCCAGACCTGAGAGTGTCGATCCCTCTTGATGAGATTGAGTGCACGCCGAGACACAAGGATGTTGGTATCGTGAGACTGCCTGTTGTTTGGTAGATGGATGGCAGATAACGGCCGTTGCACACCCACAAGGCTAATCTCCCCCTACCGGCAAAAAACGACCCTTGCAGTAGTACCGAGACCAGGGTAGCTCAACGGACATAAAGTGCTGAGCAAGCTGGTGACAATGGCTGACTGAAGGTGAGGGGCGAGGGTCCAAGTGGGGATATTTTTCGCTGAGTCGAGAGGGTTGCATGATGACAAACCCACGGATAGGCTTACATAGACATTACCCATTCACCCAACTCATCCATGTTCATGCAGACTGTGCCCTACCCGCAAATGCACAATGAGATCTAGCCAAGGCGGTATTTGCCGGAGTGAATTGTCATGTTTACGTGCCGCTTGCCGATTAACCTTCAAGCCTCGAGAGTAAACTACTTGTGCATGGCATGTGAAGGCTTCGTCCGGCCTCAATATGCGGCCGACCCTGTCCCACTTGGTCAGTCGGGCTAGATTCCCGCTCGTGCAGCTGCTGTGGATGTCTACTATTCAGGCCTTGAATGTCGGTTGTTGCATTGACGAGGTTGGGCAAATGTCCTGAACCTTGAACATCGCGGCCGACGGTTGTCAAGAATCGAGTATATAAACCTCGACGACTTCCCCGAGTTCAGTCTTCTTTCTCCAGGCTCAGACAACCATCAAGGAGTTTCAGCATCAAAGAGAGTTCCCGAATACTTTCAAGTCTTTTCAAGGATCTTTATTCTTCAACTTCCAAGATGAAGGTTCCCTCTTTCCTCAGCGTTGGCCTGATGGCTACTGCTGTCCTCGCCAACAAGGTCTCCCAGAACACCTTCAAGTACGAGCGCCTTGACAAGAACAATGCTGTAAGTGCCTCCTCTTATGTCTACAGCATATTCTTACTCACGCATCACAGCTTCTCCTCGTTGTCGACATCCAGGAAGGTCTCTACCAGATCGCTCGGGATTTTGACCCTACCCTCTACCGCGACCAGGCTCTCGCCCACGCGGCTCTTGGTGAGGTCTTTGACCTTCCCGTCATCCTGACCACCTCTGCCGACCAGGGTAAGTTGCCGCCTCTGAATCATATAGTTCAAACCTTGTACTGACCAATCACCAGGCCCCAACGGTCCTCTCATGCGTGAGATCATTGAGAAGTACCCCAAGGCTCCCTTCATCCAGCGCCAGGGTGAGGTCAACGCCTGGGACAACTCTGCCTTCCGCGACGCCGTCCGCGCCACCAACAAGACCCAGATCATCATGGCTGGTATCACCACCGACGTCTGCACCACCTTCCTGGCTCTCTCTCTCCGCGAGGAGGGATACTCCGTCTGGGCCAACGTCGAGGCCTCTGGTACCAACTCTGCTCTCGTCCGTGACATCTCCAACGACCGCATGGCCCGCGCCGGTGTCCAGACCGTCAGCCTGTTCTCCATCGTCTGCGATCTCATGCGCGACTGGCGAAACACCCCTGGCTCCAAGGAGCTCATCCCCTGGCTCGACAAGTACTACCCCGTCTGGGGCTGGCTCGCTCGCACCCACGCTGCTGCTGTCACCAACGGCACCATCGTTCCCGGTGAGGATGCCCTCATTGCCTGAGTCGACGGAGCTATATAAAAGAGGAGGAACCCGCCTGGTCAAGTTTAAACGGGTCTCCTCACCCGCTCACGCGTACACGTACAAAATATGATTCAGATACTAGTCAATTTACATCAATCATTTTCTATAATCGGTCCCAATATTTTCTAAATTCAATTTTGTCGTGGATAAAACGACTATTTATATGCTCCTTCTGCTCATGGTGGTGCATAGTCTCGTGATGATGAGTGTGCCTATTGCCGCAGCGACGGTTAAATAGTGACTGAGATACATAGATTTAGGCAAATCTCATTGACCTCAACTCTTTACTCCTGAGATGCGAACAAGCGAAATTCTAAAAACTCGCAAGACCTGGTCGAATATAACTGATTGCGACGGTTTTAAGCTCAACGATCACCTGTTTCCTGAATCAAGCCAGTTTTGACCAACCTTCTTCTCTCTAAGCCATGAAAATGCATCAACTCAATGCGCCTACTTTTTATGAAGAAATAGCCATCGATAAATGTGATTGATAGGTATCACTGTATAAGACGCATGATAGCATAGAGACTCACTAATCTTATGCCCGATAGGCCATTGCTTGTCAGCAGTGACCTCGGAGACTGACGAGTATGGCGCATCTGGTGGGATATCACTCGAATAAGCCCCAGGGTCAAATACCTCACGAATTGCGAAGTCCTTTCCAGTATTATGGGCAATAGGGAGGAATAAAACATCTTAACCAACTCCTGTCGATCAAGACCTCTGGACCCCTATCGCCCGGCTGTCTATCCGGTCCGGGAGGCTCACCTAGCAACACCACCATGCATGTTCCCGGGCCGGCCATACACAACAAAAAGCAATAATCGTCAAAGGGCCATTAAGATCGCGACTTCTACCTGCATCATGCAGCTCTCATCACGTGGCTTAACAACATCGAAACACCACATATTCTCCGTTTTCCTTCCATCCGGTGTCTCCTTCGACAATCATTTTTCTCATGGCAGATGAGCAGTAAAGTCATGGCTACTGACCAAATCTCGAATCTCCCAAACGAGATCTTGTTGCAAATTTTTGGATATTTTTGTCTCCATTGCCAGGATGAGTACAATCAGTCCTGGGACAGCCGACCTCTTCGCCACAAGCCTCATCGTACGAGACAAAGAGGGGACATCAAATCATGGTATTCCCTTGACCGTCATACCCTCTACTCGGCTTCATTGGTATCAAGGCGTCTTCGGGACATTGCCCAGTCCGTCTTGTATCACGAGTTTGCACTTGGCCACGGTGACTCTTGGGTTTCCAAGTTGTATACTTGGCAGGGCCGACTTGCGTCTTTTATGAGATGTTTGGCACAGAGACCTGACCTTGCCCACTCAGTCAAGGTCTGCTATGTTTCTACAGCTCTATTTGAGACAAGTTGTCAGGAAGAAAATCGAGAGGTCATGCTGGAGGCGGCTCGTGCTCTTGATATCGATTTACCGGCTGCGTGGAGACAGCGGGTCTCGAAAGCATCCACCCATGAGAAGTGTGACTGGCCGAACACTTATGATGCGTTCCTGGCCTCTCATTTGGATGGGAATGGTAGCATGAATGAAACCCAAGTCCGGAACCTGCACAATGCCTTCCGCAAGGGCTCCGAGCCTGGCCGACGCTGGATGAACGCCGAGCTGGTGGCCATGCTGATCGCCCTCATGCCGAATCTCGACTACATCAGCCTTCAAGGAAACTACCGATGGCCAACTCATGGACTTCCACACTCTGCACTTCCAGCTCTTGGGATCTCGAGTCTACCTTTGAAGACGCTGGACCTTGCAATCGGCGGAAATCCAATCATCCAACTGGCATCCGGTTTGGAGACACTGAACCTACACCATCACTCTTTCAATGGGTCTCCAATTCCAGAGATGCCCAAGCTAAAGACTCTTCGAGTAACAGATTGCCTGGTATCGGCCAAGAGTCTGCAGGAGCTCTTGGATGCCTGTACGGGGAGCCTGACAACCTTTGAGTTTGAAGCCAAAATCGACCCTGGGTCTTTCAACCCGTTCGCATCAGGCCCTTCTTCGGATCATTTTCAGTTTTCAGAGGCCATTGAGTGTCTCGAAGAGCACAAAGACACACTCAAGGTGTTGCATCTCGACCTCTCGAATCGAGGCTTTGAGATGAGCAAGATCCCCGATGACCTTGATCTGAAACATTTCTCGGTCTTGGAACACATGTTTCTCAACTCTACGGTACTATTCGGCCATGTTCCTATCGCCAAGGAGCACGAAGCCGACCACCAGATACTGATGCGTCTTCTTCCTGATTCGATTGTTTCGCTCTCAGCAAGGAATGACTCACGGTGGACAAGCTGTCTTGAGGAAGCACTTCTGACCTTGGCAGGCTGGAAGGGTCGGACGCCCGAACTGTTTCCAAACCTGAGGTCTATCCAGAGTGATATTATATCCATGGGGACCAAAAGTCTTGTCTCTTTGTTTGAGGCGGTTGTGGTAGACTTTGATATCAAGGTCTGCTTGTTAAGTGAGGTGAAGCCTTATCTGAATGGCATGAATGGGAAGTCTGAACTTCTTGTACCTATTGTCGAGTCTCATGCTGATGGTCAATGATGGATAATGAGGAAAGTAAAAACGGGAAATTGTCGTTGAGTTGTTTGGTTGGGACGAGTCTTCAAAGGGAACACAGAACAGTTCGAAAAGTTGCGAAGCGTGGATTCAGGACTATCATTTCGTGAGGGACACAATAGGGTACACAGAGTGTTCATCTACCATGGAATTCAATCACAAACAGGTCACTCTTGAGAGTATGACGTGAAGTTCAAGATGCACATATTCACAACAGGAATAGAGTAGCATTCACTTGTTATCGCCATTCAACTTCGCCTCTGATCAAGGTGTCCGGCCAAGGTGAATTATAATCCATCAATCATTCGCAAATCTATCTAATCGTGATACAGTCTGATCATGTCCGTCTATCTATACTTTTCAACTTTTTCATGACCGCATTCTATCAGATCCATACTCATTATAACATCAAAAGCTGTAATACAATCTATCCATGCCGTCTAATCAACATACTTGGGCATAGTAGCCATGACTCCATCCTTGGCAATGAGCCGCATGACAGTCGTGAGCTCGTCGACGAAGCGCTTGTCGTCTCGCAAGTTGTCGCCGAAAAGCATCTTGATGCTGAGAAGCTCACAGGGATCGTCTCCACCGGCCGTGGCAAGGGCCTCCAGCTGCTCGAGCATAGGATCCTCAACTTCAAACTTCTCGCCCTTGTCAGTCACGCCGTGGATGTAGCGGAACCAGCCGCCAACGACAAAGGTCAGGCGACGGAGGGGGCTCTTCGCCCAGATGGCCTCGGCAATGGAAGGCATAATGAACTGGGGAATCTTGCCCGAGGCATTAAGAGCAAGACGGGGAATTCGATCCATAATAGTGGGGTTGGAGAAGCGCTCCATAAGAGTGTTGCAGTACTGGTCAATGTCGACGCCGGGAATCTCGGGAAGCAGGGGCTTGACCTCCTCCTGCATCATCTGCCAAATGAACTTGCGGTAAAGAGGGTGCTCCATGACCTCATGGACGTACTGGAATCCAGCAAGTTGACCGGGGTAGGCCATGGCGGAATGGCTGGCGTTGAGAAGACGAAGCTTGTGCTTCTCGAACTGCTCGACATCGTGCGTGTCGTGAACGACCTGGACACCGACCTTCTCAAAGGGAGGGCGGCCATCGCAGAAGTGGTTCTCAACAACCCACTGCATAAAAGGCTCAGTAACAACGGGCCAGGCGTCCTCGAAGCCGAAAGTCTCTGCAAGCGAGTCGATATCGCTCTGGTGGGTGACGGGGGTGATGCGGTCAACCATGGAGTTGGGGAAAGCTCCCTCCTCGTCAATCCACTTGGCGAGCTCTGGGTTGCGCAGACCAGCAAAGGTCTTGAGCATGTTGCGGGTGATGGTACCGTTGTGCTGCATGTTGTCGCAGGACAGGACGGTGAAGGGCTTCAGACCCTGCTCGTGGCGCTTGGCCAGAGCGGCGTAGAGGAAGCCAAAGGTGCTGATGGGGGCGTTTGCGTTCTCCTCCTTCAGATCATGCTGAATATCGGGATGGTCGGCTTGCAGCTGATGGGTGTTTTCGTTGTAGTAGTAGCCACTCTCGGTAATGGTCAGGGACACAATGTGGGTGTCTGGGTGAGCCATCTTGTCGATAACGGCCTGACGGTTATCGGGCGCAAAAATGAAATTGTTGATGCTGCCCACGACCTTGGCCTCACTGCCCTTGGCGGACCGCTCAATGACGGTGTACAAATGGTCTTGAGACTCCAAGACATCGCGCATGGCAGAGTCATTGGGTCGAAGACCGACACCACAGATGCCCCATTCGTTCTGGTTGTGCTTCTGAATCAAATGGTTGATATAGACGGCAAGGTGAGCTCTGTGGAAGCCACCAACGCCGACGTGGACAATTCCATCCTTGACGGCATCTCTGTCGTAGGTAGGAATTTCCACAGTGTGGTTCTCCTGCTGTGAAGAGATTGTAGAGAGGTTCGCTGAGTTGAGCTTGAGAGGCATTGTGATGTGTGACGTAGGTAGGTTGGGTTGTGAAAGAAAGGTGAAGAATAGGAACTCACCGCTCACCGCTGACCGTTGACGACAGGTGTTTTGTTCTCTGTTGGGGCTTTTTCTAGGCAGCACCGTAATCACGGAATAAGTTCGGCCACAGGCGGTCAGAGATTTTTTTCCCTGGCACTGGCACGTTCCGGGTTGTTTGGTGGCTAGGGAGGCAAGCTTGGGATCCAAATAATATGGGGCCCGGTGACGTTTGTTTGTTTGTTGTCTAGTAGAAAAGCTTGGAAAAAAAAGTAAAAAAATTTCTTTGATGACGTGTGACCAGAGATAACAGGAGATTAATGATTACCGAGCGGAAGCCGAGGAAAATGATGTCCATGATATGATGTTGTGCCGAGACAGTTGACAACCTATTTCCGTGCTGCAGTTGTTACTCCAGTACAGCCCTGTCCGCCTGCAGCGCTAAGTAACTGGCTGTACCTGATGACATCAAGCGACTCAAGCAATTGAAGCTCTCGTGAAGGTTACTACTCAGGTACAAAGTCAAACACAAACACTGTTTCTGATTGAGCCGCAAAATGAGGCTATTGTCAATGACGGCAACAAACTCAAATGGTCAACTGACTGAAATCAATATAGAATTGTCTGGAGATATATAAATTCAGCCACGTAGCCCCTGGCCCGCACAGGGGACCCTTTCCCTACAGGACTTCACGATCCCTCCAAAAGGGTCCCGTGGCTAAGGCGCCTCACCCCCAACTGGCACCTGACTCGACTCAACATCTAGGTTTGCACGATCCCATCATCCCATTGGGCTGCAGCCATCATATTTAAGCTCTAAAAGTGTAGCCGGATCAGAGGCTGGCTGTTCCGGTGCCGGGCGGGCGCCATCAAGAGCCGCAGCAGGGGCCCTGGTACCTGGACTCTGACTCGCGTGATGGTTCAGCCCAGTTCGTATGCGCACTGTCTCCTGCTCCCCAAATATCCATAGAGGGTATATCATCTGACTGTCGGAACTGGTCAGCAGCGTTCAGTTGTCGCACCACATTTTAGCTACGCCCGCTCGGCCTCCGCGGAGTATTAGGATTCCAGTCAAGTCCGCGTATACAGATGCGTGCCGAGGCTTCACATGAAGTTATGCAGGTAATAAGAAGGCGCGAAAGCCGCATTCACGAACTATCTATCCAAGTGTTGCGAATAAACACCAGCCGAGTCTTGACAAGCTCTAATGCACAAAGGTCATGCTGCGACCATCAAAAGCCAAAATCCGCCCGAGAAATGATTCATCCAAGATCGATTCTATCAAACGAAAAAGCACTGCCATCTTGAAACATGAAATTCGGCATCGAGTTGGGTAGAGGCGCCCCTTGGGCTCCAGGTTCAACCATCCATCCTTCCAAGTCACCAATCGGACTCAGTCTTCCTCCAAACACGCCATCAAACGAGCCCAAGGACGACGAAATGATTGATTCTGACACTGTGGGAAGCGAGATCGGCTCTGCATCCGAAGTTGGATGCATCGGTTGAGCAAACCCCGAGATAGGTGTGGAAGTGCTACGGGAGGAAGAAGCGACCGAGTCTCCTCCGTATGGGTGAACTATCGGGGCCATGTTTCCGGGTATTGGTTCCAAGGTATGTATGTAAGCCTGACCGACTGATGCAGGCCGACTTTCTGGTCGTCTTGATGACTTCTCTTCGCGATCTGCGTCGATCAAATGCAGCATGATGTCGCAGAACTTTAGCAGTCTCTTCATAAGAGAGGTTTCTTCAGCCCACTCTGCAAACATTCGAATCATGCTTGAGAACGAGTGCAGGAGTTCCCAGTCCTCGTCAGAGGCCTGGTGGTTCGTCAAGGCATGCCTAGAGAGCTCGAAGAAGGGCACAGGAGGATACGAAGCGACGAGTCTACTGCATGGTCAGCATTCGTGAGTAACGACAAGAGAACATTCCAGGGTATTCTCCAATCCACGGAAATACTCACAGAGCCAAGTCTAGATGGTGTCCTCTTTCCGAGGTCGCCGTCCACAGTCTCTGGAAGAATCGGAGAGAACGCCGAGCAGCGTCGAGTATCGACGGCGACATTGATGCATCCTCCGGAATAGGCCATAAGGCCAATGCCTGGATGGAGTAAAACCTTACAGAGAGGTCGTGGCAGAGTTCACTGCTGAGAGTGCCAGAATACTGGCCTTCGTCGAGTTCCTCCGCGTGGCTCGCTGCCCAATCTTCCAGTTTGCGACACTGATCGAGAGCCACCTTTCCAGTGGCATTTGGCCCTTGATCAGTAGCATCATCAGAGTATAGGCTACTGTATATCTGCTCTTCGAGGCGCAAAAGGGCGACCCGAGTGGCAAGATGGCTTGTGGTTGACGAGATGGAGAGGCTGCGCTCAAGGAGATCAACACCAGGCAGGTTGAAGGACAAACCAGAAGCCCAGGCCAAAGCCCTGCTCAGGCATACCATGCAGTACATGACTTGTTGTTTTTCCTGGCACTCTTCGGCATTGGCTCTTTCGGTAGAGCTCGCCGAGCTCCCGTGGCGAAGTCCAATCGACTTGGCTACGTGGACGGCGAAACTGAACACCAAGGCAGCAACATCCTCGGAGAGGGAAGTTTGCGCTATTACGCACTGTCTATTGTCAGAATCAACATATCAAAGTGTACGAGAGGAAGTGGGGGACGCACGAGAGACAACAAAGCCTGTAAGCTTAAAAGGCTGGGATTGAGGAGCAGCAACTCGACATTCTCCAAAGCCCGTTTTGCATTGGCGATGAACGATTTTATGAGGTCCATATCGATGGAAGACGCTCCAGAAGCTTCTGTGCTGGTTCGACTTGAAACGGCTCTGGAATGGAGGGATTTGGCCTGGAGTGTCAAAAGCACCAGGTTATTTGCGCACACATCATAAGCGCGCTTATCCGATGCATTGGAAGACTCTCCTGCAGAGTCCATAAGGTGTCGAAAGCTCTCCTTTGTCCATAGAGGCATATGGGGATTTACCATCTCAAAGTATGGCTCGATCATGGCCTCGACGATAACCAAAGGAGGACCAGTCAAAACAGAACCGTCAGAGACATGTGCGTACATATGATGCGGCTCTGCCAGTTTCAGAATCTCTTCTCGTGCAATTGTAACACGCCTCGAGCTATTCTGGGTATTCTCCATCTCGCATAGGTTGGTTTGCAAGATAGCCGCCATATCTTGCATCAGCGAGACCAAGGACGTGGATCCGTAATATCGTTCGCGGCCGCCGATGTTTCGAACAACGCAGCTTCGGCCCCAAGAGGGGCTTGTTATGGTACTCGGTGAGCCAGGCATCGGGGGAGGTGTCGTCTCAGAGTCTTGGGTATCCTTGGAACTTTGCAGACCGGAGACAGCATCTTCTAGCTTCTGGAGTCGATCGCCGAGACGGTTTACTGCGTGGCTCCTAAATCGGAAACAGTCAGTTCAGAAGCTCAGATATAGTAAATACTTATGGACCTATCAGATGCTTACAGCCAAGTTGTCTGGTTAGGCTTCTTTCCCTGTCCCAGCCATTCACAATCAAGGCCGAGACGGACGCAGTTGGAGCAATGAGGCCGCTCTCTCCCGCATCGAATCTTTCGTGACCGGCACTGATCGCATACTAGCCAAAGACGCCCAAGTTAGCTACTATATCTCACATAGAGCACTAAAAAGACGTCACACAACACACCTGGGTAGTCTTTCGAAGGTCCCTTCTACATCACTGGTCAGCAACCCAATCAACACAGGACCCGGGACCAAAACCTAAACGCAAATACGAGAGGGTGAATGCGTGCCTCGGTATCCTCTGATGCATCCCAACTTCTCTTGCCGTGCGACGGCATTATGACTCTGTTTGGAAATGCTCCGAAGTAGTATCTGAGTGCATATCGATCGGCTCTGACGGCGAGAACCAACACGAACTGCCAGCGACTAGGGCTGATATTTTCCCCATCTTATTTAAGGCTGAGGTACATCAGGACCACCTCCCACACAGATACCCAGGGCCCGAGACCTTCTCTTACTGGTCTAGGCACGCGGTTCGGCCCGAGCTAACGGCTCCCCCGTGGCTGTTGGTCGTGTCCAGAGAGGTTGATCAACGTCTCATTGCCGCGTTGGCTAAAATACATCGGCACATTTGCATCCTTCCTGTGCTGATGTTGGCCCACCAGATCCTACAGTCCGTGCAGACCTCACTCCAGACTGCGCATGTTGCACTCCGCGTCCTGAGTGGCGCGGGGAGATAATGCCGTCGCCTGGATCAGGAGATCTAGGACAGGAGCCGGAGTTGGACAGCGGTCGTTCATGTAAGACCGCTTGGAAACGACCCTCGGTGAATGTAACTTGGATCATGGCGCAGACGCCAGCTACAAGGGTGTCGGTGCAACATTACTTGGATCCCCCTAGCAGATCTTTGTTGGTTGCCTATTTTCCCCCACGGTTCGTCAAGACATCATCTGGTTGGCCCCTGAGCAGTGCCGGAAGAGATTCGTGAATGCACGGTTAGCATGAATTCAGCCGATTAGTGAGATGAGGCTTGTTGATTCACGCTAAGCAACACGTCAGACGGGATGGCGCCACCTGACAGGGGCCGGTTGGTCGGTTTGATACGGTCGAGGGCCGATCTTGGTCAAAGTGACATGACACTGTACTACCTGCTTGTTTGGGTTTGTCCTTCTTTCATTGGAAATTAGTCATGAGGACTATTGCTCTTTGAGGCCTCGTACATGAAGGAATGTCCTTGGCAGGGATAAGGTCAAGATAAGGACAGCAAGCAATCGCCAGGATATTACTGATCCAAGAGCACAGTCCCTTCAACTGGAATAGGAATCTCATTACATTCATTGAATTAGAGCTCGATCCTTCCTCACCCCACGTCTTCTAGCAGCAAATCTACCAAAGTACCCCATCATGGTGCATCCGTCTACTCCTCAACTGGACACCGAGGCTTAGTGCCAAGGCGGCTCGGCCGATCACCCGTTAACCCGTTGAATCTGACAGGGTTACGTAGCACCACTCTCGATGGGGAAGGTATCTCAGTCGGACCCGACGGTTGTCCGTAGGGCTAAGAAATTGTCTCCACGTGAAGGAGGTTATCGCAGACAACTGGCTATAAAGGTTAATTTACTATCCCCCTGTGTCCACGTTTCAACAGGGTTTCCTCGCTTCTACCGAAGTTACCTTTTCCTTGGTGTTAAGCATAGGGATGACCCTTGTTCCTCACGTTGTTCCTTGTCACTTAGGCTATATCATCTTTGTGCTTTAAGAAAATCCACGCGTCTATTTGTTAATTTACGGGTTCAGTACCCAGGCCGTTAAGCGAAGGACCAAGTCTGGGTACAAATGAATGGCAAGTAAAAAGAGCGGCCCGGCACTCCCTCCCCTGATCCCCGTACAACATAACCAATCAGGCCTCCTATCCTTCTCTAGAATATCACAGCATCTACCTATGCCTTCACGCCATTCCCATTGGTCTCCCCTTCCGCAGTCCAGGTAAACGCCTGGCGAGCTGCTACAGGGATCTTGGAGGAAACCTTTCCGTCCTCAATGTCAAGCATCTCCTGAGCCCACTCATACAAGGTGTGGGCCAGACCCTCGACCTCAGCGTCGGTGTTGTGGTTGTGGAACACACAACGGACGCGTGGCGCACCCTTGGGCACGACAGGGAAGTCAATGGGGTAAGCACAGTACTTGGCCATCTGGAGATGGAAGACCAGGAAGAGGTTCTGGTGAGGACGCGTCCAAACAGGTACAACCTGGGTCACGAAAGGCCTGGTCTCATACCCATCGGCAAGTGGGACACGGAGAATTCCAGTCTCCGCGGCCCTCTCATAAGCAGGGTGTGCCTGAATGGTCTTGAAGAAGAGCTTAACAAGGTACTGGACCCGTTCTTGAGCCTGGTACGTGCATATAAGCGTCAGCCCTCCACGTCAAGGATGTTGCTGGGGTCCACTCCTTACCTTGACAGTCTTGTCCGCCTTGAGCAGGTTGTAACCAGCACGAATGCCAGCCAGCACAAGGAAGCTAGGCGCAGTGGTGTAGATGATTCCACGCGCGAAGTTGATGAGCATGGTCTTGACAGTCGAGTTTGACAGAATGCAAGCTAAACGATATTAGCAAGGCCAACAATCTGATTGTTCGGCAACAACTCACCTCCATTGGAAGCCAGGGCCTTTCCAAAGGTGTGCATTCGAATTGCAATCTCTTTTTCGAGGCCGAGCTCTTGAACAAGGCCTCCTCCCTGTCGTCCAACAACGCCAGTGCCGTGGGCCTCGTCGACGACAAACTGGGCGTTGCCGAGGGGGAAGACTTCCTTGGCAATGTCCACAAACTCTTTGAGAGGACAGGCATCTCCGTCCATGCTGTAGATTGACTCTACAGAGATGATGACAGATCTTTCGCCCTTTTGAATGAGGGGCTGGGTGTCGCGGATATAGGCCAGGGTCTCCTCCAGGGAGTCAACATCATTGTGGCGGAAAGACACCCTGGTCAGAGCCACAGAGTTCTTCATTCCATCGTGCGTACTGGCGTGGACAAGCTCGTCATAGACAATTGCGTCGCCTGGACGAGGAATGGCAGTGTAAATGGCGCCGTTCGCTTCATAGCCAGAGTTGACGATGATGGCATCTTCGGCGTTGTGGAACTCGGCGATCTCCTTCTCGATGGTCTCCATGTAACTGCTGTTTCCATCGAGTAGTCTAGAGCTTGTAGCTCCAAGACGGAAGTTGGGGTGACGGTTGAGTTCCTCGAAAAACTCGTCTCTGAGTTGGCCAGTGGTTGCCAGAGACAGGAAGTCGTTGGATGAAAAGTCAACACCCTCTTTGAAGTCACGGAAGACAATGAGGTTCTGGTCCACTCTGCGAGTGTCGAGAGCCTCTTCAAGGTTGCGGTAAAAGACGGGTGCGTCCTTCATGCGAGGAGCTTGCGGCTCCTGGGCCTGCAAGTATTCCTTGATGTGAGGGACAACCTTGGGCATGTTGGCTGAGTAGTTGATGGAGTAGGATAAAGTGGGGTTTTAAGATTTAAACTTCCAAAAGACTTGGCTTTGCAAAAGTCTAAATGTACAAAGGGGTTGGCTTTGCAAGAGATTGATGGAGACTGGGTAGAGTAGAACTGTGAGGTGAGGTTCGAGTTGTGATAGAAACATGCAGCGAAAGAGCCAGTATTTGAATTTAGATCGAGAAGATACTAGCATATGTCGTCCTGTTGCCCATCAGATGTTGTCAAATTGGCCTGTCGACTATGGTTTGACCCCAGAGTGAGTTGTTGCACAGCTACTCTACGCTACTGCTCAACTCCAGTCTCAGATCTTTTCCGGGATCCGATAGTCAACAAAGCTCAATTCACTTTCTCCTGCCACTTCTCTGCTGTTTCGTTTCATATCCATGTCAGTGCGGTGCCAGCTCATTCGATCTTGCAAGGTGCGGGTTCCGGACATATCGGCCGACAACGGGTTCCGATAAGAGTTGCATCGAGGGGCAGAAACCCAGGCGAATGGTAGCTTGCAGAGAACAGGTGGTGGCCGGGTGGTCAGAGAAATGCAGGGGAGATGCCAAAGTGCCTCCTTAAGTGGGCTAGGTCACATCGCAGGGGGCCTCGCCGTGGGGTGTGGCGACACGCCATGTCCAATCGCCATCCCACGTTTGTTCACCATCGATAATTCCAACATACAAGTTTACCTTCCTGTTTCAGCTGTCGAGATAGTATCAAATGTCATGTTTCCAAATGTCCCTTGGCGCATCGAAGCGAGGGCGGAACCCGACCTTGAGGTTGGCCAGGCCACGGAAACTCCGTTCTGTCGAACCATGCATGATTATTCTGGAACGACGAGAAAGGTCTGGACAAACAAACGATTTACGGATTCCGTTTTTTGGTAGTTGCTACATTGAACCAACAAGGGAGATAGGCTCATGAGATAGATCTGAGCATATACTTTATTCGTTCGACGATTCAGATACATTCCAACGAAAGCTATAAGCTTGTGGTATCCTCGAGACTTCAGAGCGAATTTCACTCAGTTAGCTCCAAGCAGCTTCTCTAAGACTTCTTCATCACACATCTTTCAAATTTAGAATTCATTCTTCCTTCGCAGGACTGGGGAATTGACATTATACATTACACTCCACAACCCAACAACTACATCATGACGACCGACGCCCAGAACATCACTGCCACCAATGGCACACACACCAATGGCACCAACGGTGCTAACGGTACTAACGGTGTCAATGGTTCCAATGGTACCAACGGTACCAATGGCACGAATGGCTTCAACGGCCACACCAATGGCAATGGAGTTAACGGCAATGGCGTCAACAGCAACGGTGTCAATCGCACAAACGGCACCAACGGTGTGCATACCAATGGTGCCTCTACAAATGGAACTCATGTCAACGGGTCAAACACATCCAAGGGCTCTGGTGCAGTCGAAATCGCCATCTGTGGAATGGCGTGCCGTCTTCCTGGCGGCCTTCACACTCCTGAACAGCTATGGGAGTTTCTTGTGGCAAAGGGAGACGCTCGAACACGCGTTCCTGAGTCTCGATACAACGTCGATGCCTATCACTCTCCCCACGTCAAGCCTGGATCAGTCAAGTCCGAGTACGGCTATTTCCTCGACGAGAGCATCAACCTGGGCAGTTTGGACGGATCATTCTTCAACTTGGGCCGGACTGAGGCAGAGCGTGCCGATCCTCACCAGAGGCAGATGCTAGAGGTTGTTCGGGAGGCTATCGACGATGCAGGTGAGACAAAGCTCAGAGGAGGCTTGGTAGGTTGCTACATGGGTAGCTTCGGTGAGGATTGGATCGAGATGTGGGCAAAGGAGCCTCAGCAGTGGGGAATGCATCGTGTTGGAGGTTATGGAGACTTTCTCTTGTCGAATCGTATCTCGTATGAGATGGATCTTCATGGACCCAGGTATGTCTCCTTTACTATGGCCATCTGTTCTACGCTAACTGAGGACTAGTATGACGGTCCGCACTGGATGCTCGGCCGCTCTTGTCTGCCTCCATGAAGCATGTGTCGCTATTCAGCGAGGCGACTGTACTTCCGCCATTGTCGGAGGTGCCAACCTCATCCTGGCCCCCAACATGACCACTGCCATGACTGAGCAGGGCGTCCTTTCTCCCGATGGCTCTTGCAAGAGTTTCTCGGCTGATGCCGATGGTTACGGTCGTGGTGAGGCCATTACTGCCATCTACATCAAGCCTTTGGAGGCAGCTTTGAGAGACAACAACCCCATCCGAGCTGTCATTCGGGCGACTGCCACAAACCACGATGGCAAGACTCCAGGTTTGACTCATCCCAACACGTTGGCTCATGAGTCAATGATGAGAAAGGCATACAAGGATGCTGGCTTCGATGTCTCGCAAACCGGATTCGTCGAGTGTCACGGCACAGGCACTCCTGTCGGTGATCCCATCGAGGCCAACGCCGTCGCACGAGTCTTTGGCGACAAGGGTGTTCACATCGGTTCAGTCAAACCAAACCTCGGCCACTCAGAGGGAGCATCTGGTCTCACCTCGCTTCTCAAGGTTGTCATGGCTCTTCAGCACCGCACGATCCCACCGAACATCAAGTTCAACACCCCGAACCCAAACATTCCCTTTGAGTCGAGGAAGTTGACTGTTCCTGTTGAGCCTACTCCTTGGCCTGAGGATCGATACGAGAGAGCCAGTGTCAACTCTTTCGGCATTGGTGGTGCCAATGCACACGTTATCATTGACTCTGCCCGGAGCTTCAATGTTGAGACAAAGACCAAGAATACTTCTCGTACACCTCAACTGCTTGTCTACTCGGCAAACTCGGCTGATTCTCTCAAGAGAATGGCTGAAGGTTACCAGGAGTTCCTTGGCCGTCACCCTGAGAGTTTTGGGGATCTGGCATACACCCTTGCCAACCGTCGTCAGCATCTTACCCACCGAGCCTTTGTGGTAGCTTCACGAGAGAGAGCTGGTCTCATCTCTCCCACTTCTCGAGTTGGCCAGGCACCTAGTGTCGTCATGGTCTTTACTGGTCAGGGCGCCCAATGGCCTCTGATGGCCAAGGAGATGCTATACTCCAACGAGACCTTTAGGACTACCATCCGATCTCTTGATGAGCACCTTCGATCTATCCCCGGTGGTCCTGACTGGGGCCTTGAGGAGGAATTGTTGAAGCCTCCCAGGTCTAGCAGGGTGGAAACGGCACAGCTTTCTCAACCCGCCTGCACTGCCATCCAGCTGGCCATGATCGATGCCCTCGCCGCCATTGGCATCAATCCCATGGCTGTCGTCGGTCACTCTAGTGGTGAGATTGCTGCAGCTTATGCCGCCGGTGCTCTTACCGCCCAGGAGGCGATCACCGCAGCATGGCTCAGAGGCGACGTCACTCTTCAGCAGAAGAGAAAGGGTGCAATGGCAGCCATTGGACTGGGTTGGGACGAGGTTGAGTCCTTCCTTGTTCCCGGAGTTGTCAGGGCATGTGAGAACTCTCCCAAGAGTGTCACCTTGTCTGGAGACACCGACAAGCTCCAGGCAGTTGTCGCCGAAATCCACAAGGCCTATCCTGATGCCCTCGCCAGGATGCTCAAGGTCGATAAGGCCTACCACTCTTATCACATGGCAGAGATTGGCGGGGAGTACAACTCACGAATGAAGGAACACAAGGTTGTCGGCCGCGCTCCTACCAACTGCGCTTTCTTCAGCAGTGTCACCGGCAAGCTCCTTGATACCAAGGCCACTCTCGGACCCAAGTACTGGCAGACCAATCTCGAGTCTCCAGTCATGTTCTCTACTGCAGTCACCGGCATTCTTGACGATCCTATCGGCAAGAACATCTGCTTCCTCGAGATCGGTCCTCACTCTGCTCTGTCGGGCCCTCTCCGACAGATTGCAGCTGAAAAGTCGATGACGGTGCCTTATGCTGCCGCCATGATTCGCAAACAGAACTGCATCGAGTCGTTCCTGACAGCTATCGGAAAGCTCTTCTGTCAGAACGTTTCCGTCGACTTTGCTGCTCTTGTGCCAGATGGTGCCTGCCTGCCTGACCTCCCAAGATACCCTTGGAACCATGAGGAGAGCTACTGGTACGAGTCAAGGATCTCCAAGGAATGGCGTCACCGTGGATTTCCATACCACGATCTTCTTGGCTTCCGTGTGGCAGAGAGCACTGATATGGAGCCCACCTGGCGTAACCTCCTCCACCTGGACAATGTCCCCTGGGTTCGAGACCACATCATCGGGGAGAACGCAGTCTTCCCCTTTGCTGGTTACGTTGCTATGATTGGCGAAGCAATCCGACAGACTACGGGCGTCCAGGAAGCCTATGCCCTCCGCCACGTTCTTGTCAACGCAGCGCTGCTCCTCACTGAGGGTCATCCTGTCGAGGTTATGACAACGTTCCGCCCTTATCGTCTGACGGACTCGCTCGACAGCTCCTGGTGGGAGTTTACCATTGCTTCACACAATGGCCATGCCTGGACGAAGCACTGTACCGGTCAAGTCAAGGCCGTATCAGAGGGTCCGGAGGAGAGTCAGGCTCAAGAGCCCCTACCCCGAAGGTTGGGCTCACGCAAGTGCTATGAGACGATGCACAAGGCTGGCCTCTGCTACGGTCGCCAATTCCAGCGTCTCGAAGACATTTCGTCAGGAACATTGCAACAAGTCGCAGCAGCCAAGGTACTCAACAACAAGGTCGGCGATGAGGCCAATTATCACCTTCACCCCGTCATCGTCGATGCCTGCCTGCAGTTGCTCAGTGTCGCCGCCACAAAGGGCTTCACTACCAAGCCTGTCATGTCTGTCCCCACCACCATTGAGAAGCTTGTCATCTACCGTTCTGTCGGGGACGTTACCCTTGACGTTTCGGCCACCATGAGCCGCTTTGGATCTATCGCGGGTGAAGGCAAGGGAGTCGCCGATGGACAGACAGTCCTCAAAATGGCAGGAGTACGACTCGCTGCTCTGGAGGACGGCAGTGCTGGAGAAGGGCGAACCGACCAAGCCACCACTCGATACGAATGGGGTCCTCACTTGGACTTTATGGACGCCGCGGCTCTTCTAAAGCCCGATGCCCACCGAGCCAGATACACGCCAGAGCTTGAGGAGATGACTCGCCTCTGCCTGCTGTACTCGCACCGGCAGCTGGCCGGAGCCGAGACGACAGTGCCACACATGCAAAGGTACCAAGAGTGGATTCACGATCAGCTTCGTTGCACGGAGAGCTCGACTTTTGGAGATGGAACAGACGAAGACATCATGGAGAGAATCACCGACCTTACCGAAGAACTGTCCAACACTGCTGCTGCCGACGTCGCCAATGCCATGTTCAAGATCTGCTCCGACATCAACGGCATCTTTGATGGACAGACCGACGCCATGGAAGTGATCCTCGCTGGAGATACTCTTTCCAAGGTCTTTGCCTTCCGAGACTACTTTGACCGCTCTACGTTCCTCCATCACCTCGCGCACAGCAAGCCCAGTCTCAAGGTCCTTGAGGTTGGTGCTGGCACTGGCGCTCCGACAGTCGACGCCTGGACGGATCTCAGCTTCCCAGACGGTCGCATCTACTATTCGGAGTACACCATCACAGATGTCAGCTCGAGTCTGCTACTTGACAACAAGGAGCGAACCAAAGGTCTCGCCAACATCCGCCATGCTGTTCTGAATCTTGGTCAGGACCCCGTCGAGCAGGACTTCAAGGAAGGAGACTACGATCTCGTCATCGCAACCAATGCCGTCCATGCTACAAAGTCCATCTCTGAGACCCTGAAGAATATCAGGAAGCTTCTTCGACCCAACGGTAGACTCTTGTTGCAGGAACTGAATCCCTCATGCAAGTGGCCCAACTACATCTTTGGTGTCTTGAAGTGGTGGTGGTGTGGTGCCGCCGATGGTCGTATCCAGGAGCCTTACGTGTCTACTGAGGCATGGAAGGCTGCACTTGTTGCCGCAGGGTTCGATGAGACTGCCGTTACTCCAGGCTCAGACACATCTCTCCAAGAGAATACCATCATCATTGCCAAGCCTCTCGTTGAAGAGAAGACTGTCGGTCAGGAAGTGACACTTCTCTGTCCTTCTGGTGACAGCTCTGCGCAACAACTCACTGAGCTTCTGACCAAGCAAGGTCTTGTTGTCAACCAGTGCAGCCCTGACGAGATTCCCCCTCCGGATCAAGAGGTGCTCGTTCTCCTGGAAAAGGACGAGCCATTCTTCGAAAACATCACCGAGACCCAGTTCGAGAACTTCAAGAAGCTCGTTGATGGAGCTGGTGATGCTGGTATCTTCTGGGTCACCCGCCCCAGCCAGACGCAGTGTGTCAGCCCTGCCTACGCCCAGGTTGTCGGTGCTGCCCGTACCATCCGCAGCGAGATGGCTGTCAACTTTGCGACATGCGAGGTCGACGATATCGACTCCTCCCTCGAGCAGATTGCAAGCGTCTTTACCAGATTCTTGGCTCGCGACAACGAACGATGCGAGTGGCTGCATCCCGACTACGAGTACGCGATTAAGGACGGAATGGTCCAGATTGGACGATATTATCCTTTCTCGCTAAGCCAAGAGTTATTGACTGCCAACGCAACTGAGCCCATTGTTCTCGATACCAAGAAGCCCGGTCTTCTCAACGCCCTTACTTGGTCCCGCCGAGTGGCGAAGCCTCTTCTTGGTGATGATGTGGAGGTTGATGTGTATGCTGGCGGCCTCAACTTCAGAGTAAGTCTATCCTTCCTAACTAGTATTTGATGATCTTCAGAGGACCGAGGTCACTAATTATTCTTCTCTATAGGATGTTCTCAGTGCCAATGGCATCATCGATATCCCTGAGGAGGGATTCGGTCTGGAAGCAACCGGAGTGGTCACTCGTCTCGGCCCCGACGTCAAAGACCTGCGCGTGGGCGATCGCGTGATCCTCTTCAGCAGGGGTTCCTTCTCCACTTCCATCATTACTTCGGAGAAGCTCTGCGAGGTTATCCCCGACGAGCTGAGCTTCGAGGAGGGTGCAACAATGCCGTGTGTTTACGCCACAGCCATCTACTCTCTGATTGACATTGGCGGCCTCAAGCGCGGACAGGTATGTGATTAATCTTACCTAAGACTCCCAGTTCATTGCTACGATCTTTTACTAACCTTTACCTAAGTCTGTTCTTATTCACAGCGCCTGCGGCGGCGTAGGCATCGCGGCCATCCAAGTCGCGCGCATGCTCGGAGCCGAGATCTACGTGACGGTCGGCAGCGAGGTCAAGGTCAACTACCTCATGGACACCTTTGGCATCCCTCGAAACAGGATCTTCAACTCTCGCAACGACACCTTTGTCGAAGGAGTCTTCCGAGAGACTAACGGTGTTGGAGTTGATCTCGTCCTCAACTCGCTTTCGGGCGAGCTGCTTCACGCCACTTGGCGATGTGTTGCCGAGTTTGGCAAGATGGTCGAGATCGGCAAGCGAGATCTCTTGGGCTCTGGAAAGCTTGACATGGACGTCTTCATGGCCAACCGAAGCTACTGCTGTGTTGACATGGACCAGATGTGCTCCAAGAGGCGATCCATCTGCAAAGAGTAAGTGTATTGTTTTCATAACCACTGATAGCTATGACTAACGGTTGTCCAGACTTCTCAAGGCTGTTGTCCGCTATTACAAGGAAGGCCACATTGCTCCTGTCAGCCCGAACAAGGTCTTTGATGCCGACGTCGTGCAAGATGCTTTCCGCTACATGCAACGGGGTCTGCATATCGGCAAGATCGTCATCTCGATCCGCGGCTCAGACGGTGCGCTCAAGTTTGACAGCGACAGCGCGACCCGGCCTAAGGTGGTTGAACTTGACAAGTCAGCCTCTTACCTTCTAATCGGAGGCTTGGGTGGCATTGGACGCTCTGTGTCGCGATGGATGGTTGAGCATGGCGCTCGCCACCTTGTCTACCTCTCACGAAGCGCTGGCTCACGTCCAGGAGAGCAAGCCATTGTTCATGAGCTTGAGAGCATGGGTTGCCAAGTTCAACTAATCCAAGGAAGTGTCTCTGTCTTGGAGGACGTCAACAGAGCCATCGAGGCCGCTCCCAAGTTGAAGGGTGTTTTGCAAATGTCCATGGTTCTTCGAGACAATGCCGTGTCTCGCATGTCTTATGAAGACTGGACAACTGCTGTCGAACCCAAGATCAAGGGAACTTGGAACCTTCACCAGGCCACTGTGTCCGCTGGCTGCGAGTTGGACTTTTTCCTCCTCTTTTCTTCCATCTCCGGCATCATTGGACAACCAGGCCAGGCCAACTACTCCAGTGCCAGCGCTTTCTTGGATAGCTTCGTTCAGTGCCGCGCCGACCTAGGCCTTCCAGCGTCTACCGTTGACATTGGCGATGTTACTGATATTGGTGTCATCTCTGGCGATGATGGCCTCAAGCGTGTCATGAAGCTGACGGGAGCCTACGGAATCAACGAGCAGGAACTTTTGGACGCCATCGCCATGTCAATGACCTTCCCTGCTGTTTCTCCTCCTCCCAGCATGCGTGGCCCAGCCTCGACTTTTGTGACTCACAACAACTTCGTTGTTGGTCTTGCTTCAGCTACTCCTCTCGAGAGTGCTGACAATCGGTCAATCTGGCGAAAGGACATGCGAATGGCCATGTACCACAACACCAGTCTTGGAGCCAGCGCGCGTTCCGGCTCGTCCAACGATAGTCTGAATGCCTTCCTCGGTAGTGTTCGTCGTGATGCGGGAAGACTAAGAGAGGGCGCCACGGCTGCCACTCTTGCAAAGGAGATTGGAAAGAAGTTGCTCAGTCTGATCATGAAGCCCGAGGAGGACTTGGTCACTTCAACGCCCTTGGCGAATCTGGGCATGGACTCGCTGGTTGCTATCGAGATGAGGACTTGGTGGAGGCAGACTTTTGGCTTTGACATTAGTGTCCTGGAGATTATGGGCATGGCCAGCTTGGACGCCCTTGGCAGCCACGCTGCGGCGGGCATGTTGAAGGCTTTGGAGGATGGGCAGTGAGAGATGATTTTTGGTCAAATGGGTTCACGGAGTTTGGTTTTGCTTGTTCTGCTCGAATCTGGTATCTCCATGGTGTTATTTCTCATGTTTCATTGTATTTACAAAGACCCTCAACTCCTGTCTCGCGATAGCTTCTTGGTCCCGTACCTCTCTCTTCGTAATACTCGCCTCAATGCGTGCATCATAATTGCCTGGCCGTACTTTAAGCTGCTATTCTTGTTCACTGATACTACTTCCGCTAAGAGTTTCGCAACACTCCAGGCAACCTCCAGCTGTACAGTAACAAGCTCTGGCTGACAGTGGACCGACTACGACTTGGCAAGACATCAGTCACTGGAAATAATCACTTGATGGCCGAATGTTACCCAACGACACGTCAAAGATGAGCCTTCCACTGACGAGCAGTAACAAAGAATGGCACACGTCGCACCACAGCGCCTCCATCGCTTAAAGAAAAACATTCAGGGAACCAACAAAGGGCGACGTATGTGACGCGTTGTGCTCACAAGCTCAACAGGCCACCCCCAACCACGGGATCCGGAACCCGGTCCGGGATTGGTCGATCCATCACACGGTCGATCGAGATTTTGGCGAATCCGAGTCGCTGTACGAATTTAATGAGCAAGCTTGCGTTTTGAGTTGGCTTGGATGGCACCACTTTATTTCACGCCACCTTGTCCGTCATTTGTTTAGTGGAAGATAAAACCACGGTGAAGCATCAACAGTTAGCGACTTGTTTCTGTAAAGCCATCTCGTTGAGATCATTACATCATTGTAAACAACTCTACAGATTTTCTCATCATGACTACACCCACTGAGCTTCCGCCAACCATGCGAGCCGCCCAATGGCACTCCACCGCTGGTGGCATCGAGAAGAACCTCACGCTCAATGCTGAGGCCCAACTACCAAAGAGCGCCCATTCACTGCCAAAAGACCATACTCTTGTCAAGGTCGCCTATGCATCCCTCAACCATCTCGACTACAAACCAGCCGAGATGCCATTTGGCAGCACCTTCATCAAGAAGCCCGCCACTCCTGGGCTGGACTTTTCCGGTACTGTTGTTTCGAGCTCGCTGCCTGATCTCAAGCCTGGCCAACGTGTTTTTGGAAGAACTGAGCCCCCAGTTGGTGGCACTTTGGCAGAGTACGTCCAAGTCAGAAAGGCGGGTGTTGCACCTGTTCCTGACGGCGTATCTTTGAGAGATGCCGCCTGTGTGGGCATCTGCGGCACGGCACCTCTTCAATCCTTCGCTCCCTATCTGGAACCCGGGCAGAAGGTCCTCATCAATGGTGGCAGCGGTGGCGTCGGTGTCTTTGCCATCCAGATTGCCAAAGCTTTGGGGTACTCTCAGGTCACCGCCGTCTGCTCAGCTGCCAACGCGGACCTATGCCGGAACCTGGGTGCCGACGAAGTGATTGACTACAAAGCCGAAGATGTTGTCACAGCACTCAAGCGCACCGGCCAACAGTACGACCATATCCTAGACACCATCTTTGCCAAACCCGAGCTGTATTGGCAATGTCACCACTACCTCAAACCACACGGAACATATGTGGCTGTTGGTTTACCGCCGCAGTTCAAGACCTTCAAGACACTGTTCGCCATTCACGTACTCCCCAAGTGGCTCGGAGGCGGGCAGAGAAAGTTTGTTTTCCACTCAGTCAGTGCCAACACGAAGGATTTCGGGCAAGTTGCACAGTGGATCGAGGAGGGCAAGGTCAAGCCAGTCATTGAGGAGGAGTACGGTTTGGAGGACGCTGCCAAAGCATATGCAAAGCTGAAGTCGGGGACCGCCAAGGGAAAGTTGGTTATCCGTGTGTGTGGTGAGCCTACGTCGAATTCGGAATGAGTGTTTGTGTGCTTGGAAAGGCACAACGGAGCGGGTTAAGGAGCGCTAGGCATGCAGCAAATGATGGTTTAATAGGTAATACCCAATTTTCTTCTCTTATTTAAAGCAATGAATCTTTCCGCACACCCCTACATGGTCTATTGTCCTCCCCATGCAGCCTCTGCCACACGCTCTGCCATATGCTCGTGAATCCGCTTTCCCGGGTGCAAGATATCATACCATAACTAGAACGAGTCAGTGGTTAAATAATATTCCATTTTCCGAATGACGACTTACACATTGGTCTGCCCATCGGTCAGTACAAAGGGTATCACGGGCTCCGAAAGACTTGGGATCAAGCATGGCGTTCATATAGATGTCCGATATTTTCACAACAGAGGCCCTGGAGTCAGGATGGTCATGCCTGAAATCCTCTATATGCTTGACAAGAAACTCATTCCACATCCTGACAGCGTAAGTAAGCGTCAGATATATCTTTTCTGACTTTCTCGGCTGAAACATGGGCAAGAATTCAAGCGCTAGGTGTCTGTTTAGCATGCCCGTCCATAAGACGTATGGGGTATAACTCACGAGGCACTTCCAGGAAGACAAATTGCCGAAGCCCCAGCTTGTGTAATTCATGAGTAAACTCGAATAGTTGCTTCACAGTTGCTTTCATGAGTTTTTTTATGTTCTTCCTTTCGAAAGACAGTCGAACATCGTTGACACCGAACCAAATGGCGGCGACGGCGTTGTCAGCATTCCACGGGGCATAGTCAGGTCTGTTGCCGATGCTCGTGTTGAAATGTCTGATCTGATGCTGGAAACAATAAGCGTGTCTAGGATATGGCTTAACCAGGCGAGGGTCCACCACAGCGCCAGAGCTTGCGAAGCCATAGGCAAGAGTGAGCGTGTGGTTGAAGTCGGATACCATGTAGCCTATCCAGTTCTTGCCTCCTGTCGATGTCCTGCCCGGGAATGCGGGATTTCCAATCGGGTTTGCTGCACGAGGGCCAGGCTTGCGCCGTCTACCTGTTATGTTATGTCTAGTTCCGATTCTCGAAAACGAATCACCACTGGTTTCCGTCAGCAGGTGAGCACTTGTATGGGTGTCGGGGGGCGAACAAGATCATGACAAATTGCGGGCTGTCTTTATTCTGAGAGCCATCGTGAACTGCTCCTCCAGTAGCCCCCAAATCTGTTGTCGTTCCGAGTCCATATGCCCCAATCGAAAGCGGAGTGGTTAGAACGAGAGAGATTGCCAAGATGATGGAGGCAACTGTGGGGGACCGGAATCTCATGGTTGCGAGATTGTGCGGAAACTTGTCAAAGTCCTCTTCAGCTGAGGTTGCAAAAACCTCGAAACCCTAAACTGTGTCCATCCCAGCGTTCGGGTGCGGTGAACTTCACGGCGAGACTCTGAATAAACTCTGCGAGTCTGGAAGCAACTTCAGCTTGGCCACTCGTCACTTGTACCCTTTACATGGTTGGCGGGCAGTTAACTCCTTCAAGCACGCAACGAGATCAAAGAGTTCTACGAAGAGTATCTAATCAACAAGAATGAGACAGTCAATCTACCTCGCCACGGAAGCAAACATTGACCTCGCCATCAGTATGTCATTAGCCTGCCGAGGGCGGGGTTGGGACACAGCTGTACAGTCTTCAACACCACCCTGTCCCCACGATCGCTTGTTTGGCACCACTGGCGCAGGTGGTCGCCGTGTTTTCTCAAGGATGGATGCTCTCTCAAAATCTATAATCATCACCCGGCCAGTCTCGTGGTTAATCAGAGCGTTTGCCTCCCTCACGTCAAGATGCACCACGCCTTCCATATGCAGTTCCCGGAGGGATCGTAATACCTCTCTCTCGAGGGACTTGTCCATCTTGCACAAGTTCTCGGCACAGTCTAGACTCTCTCCTCCCCACGAGAGAAATGACAGGTGCACGATGTAAACCCGCAGATCATAATAATAAGTCCTCCCGAGGTCACGAAGGTCGATAGCGCCCATGAAGACGGGCACACTGATGCCTTGCAGTCTATGTAGATGCTGATACACTGCCGCCTCATGCTCAAGATCCTCGATGAACGCTGCCACGGTGCCCTTGCTGACAAAGGTGTAGCCGTACTTAAGCAGCGTGAGCTGAAATAGCACTCCCCGCGACCCTTCTTTGCCTAGGGGGACCACTCCCTCGTCCAGTGATCGCTTGAGTTGCTTGCGAAGAAGCCGGAGCCACTCACTATGGTCGACAGGGTGGTGAGTCTGTCGACCATCATCGTGCTCTCGATGAAGCATCACGTTGGGGCACCCCTTGTCCAGGGGGCTTTGTGCCATCAATCCGCGAAGGCACTTTTGGGAACAATATTGACGAACTGAACCGCCCGGACGGCCCGAGCTGCCCTCGCCGGCGCCGGCGCCACCGGTGCCGCTGTTGCTGTTGTTGTTGCTGTTGTTGTTGTTATTGCCGCCCCCGCGTGGCCGACGAGCCAAAATTCGCTGGCTACGTCGGGTGCCTTGCCCTTCGGCACGTGGAGCTGGTGTGGGGGTGCTCGGCAACGGTCGTTCGGGCTCGTCATCGGAGGATTCTGGAGATCTCTCCTTCCGAGGCTGGTCTTTAGGTGGCACATCGGCGATGCGTCTTCTTCTCCGTAGGAGGTAGGGCGACCGGTCAACATTGCGGTACGTCCGAGGCTCGTATGCCGGTGAGTCGGCCGGGGCTGTTCTCTCGCTAACCGGGATAGATCGTAGCATGATCTCATAGTCCTCAGACCATGTTTTAAGGCGTTCCATAGCTTGCTGACGCTCATCCTGCCCGTGTTGGCGCCTTCTTCCTGGCGGGCCAACAGCCATTAAGCTGAAGGTCAATGTCTGGCTCACAGCCGTGCATGAACGGAGGTTATCGGGGTGTGCCAAGACCTCAGGCCCGGGTTCGGCCAGGTGGAAGTAGAGCGTTCCGGGGTCCTTCTGCCAATCAATCTTGAGAAAAACAATCGTTTCGCCTGTCGTCAACAATCCGTACTCGAGCCCGCTCTCCATCATGTAGTGATAGGTCTGGGTGATGGCAGCTGTGGCCAGTCTTTCGGCGTGATACTGGAACAATGCCTCCTGATCGTCCGCCGTGGGCACTGTGGCTCGATTGACGACTTGTTTGTGGATGTCCATTGAGTGCAGACCAGCTCGCATGTGCACAGGCGTGAGTTTGTGGGGTGCTTTATACTCCATAACATACGCCATGTTCCGTAGAGACGACTGCTCGTCGGCCGTATAAACGCAGATCTGGTCTGGACGAAGCTGACCGCGGTCGAATCCGTCCGGTCCTGGTGTTCTCGGTGGTGTCACCGGCGGCCCTTGTCGCTCAACGACCTCTTCGGCGACGTCGCTGATGGCGCTCGGATGGTTCTCGAAGATGATGCCGTCTCCGACGTTGAACTCGTCGTGGAATGCCGCCTCCTCCGTCAGACGTTGCACGATCGAGCGCACCGGATCTTCCACACTATTATGCTGGAAATGCTCCAAGTCTTTCTCGTTCGAAATCGCTCTGCGGGATACTCTGGCGCCGAGGCCACGTAGGAAGGCCTGGCTCTCGAAGGATCGGTCATCGTTGGCGTTGGCGTTAGTGAGCGTAGAATAGACTGCGCCGAATGTTATCCTCTGCTCTTCCAAAAAGTCCACCCAGGGCTCGAGGCGCGTCGGGCAGAACTTGTTTCGCGGGTTTGTTATCGATCCCTTGGATGTTAAGCTTTTGTTCGTTTGTACAGAAAACTTGGTGAAAACGAGGTCATGACAGGCGTTGATGTATTCGTCTAACGTCGTCGGTCTGGTCTCTTTCTCAGCATTGTCGGCACGTTGGCGTTCCCCCTCGGCGCGTCGCTCGGCTTCCTGCAGGAGCCTTTGCAGTCTCTGCACTTCTGACTCCATCTATGTGGTCCATTCGTGGAGGAACCGACCGAAAGATTCGTTATGTGGTTGAGTTGTTGTCGTCATGACCATTCCATTGATTGTTGATGGCACGAACGCGTTGGTGGATCCTGGTGGCGCGCGTCTGAAATCACACGGACGACCCTAAAATGTAACTAAAGTATCCATAACTAGGTACACATAATAAGGTAATCACAGCCTAGAAATTAATTAGTATTAATAAAATTAATATAATGTAATTTTAAATAGCTAGGTAGTTTCTTTTAATATTAGTAATATTTTCTTTTTCCTTTTAATAATATTTTATAGGTTTTTATAAAAACTGTTTTTCTCTTCTACAGGGTAGCTTAGTCTACCTCGGATAAGTTCCCTCCCATCCGGTATGGAGCCCACCACGCGTGCGAGGAGCCCGGCACGTGACACTCTTTGGACCTGTTGCAGGAGATTCTAGGTACCTACGTACCCGGTCCCGCCAACAGAACAGCGTAGAAAAACAAAAGAAGCCTTAAAACTCACTTTGGCTGGAGTTTTAATGGAAATTAAGGAGTCTGGAAGTCAAGGGGTATTCTAATTACTATATACACGTCCATCAGAGAATGATGGCCTCTGGGTTTAAGTAGGAAAACATTTCTGTCCATGTTAAGCCCTCTTCTGGCGACTTCTTCCAGATGGCTTCCAAAGCTGCAACGACCGAGTTCACGGAAGCAAACCGAATCTCATCGTAAATAAATGTCGCCATACTGCGGACCGCCCGCTGCTGCTTTGGGCATTGGGCATGAGCACCTGCAATGCAAAGAGGGAGGACTGAACAGTTGAGGATTTTGGAGGGTCGTTTGATGCTGGAGATACAGTCCAGACATGATTGAGTATGTTGTTGCACCAATGCGTGGTTGGAGGGCAGGCCGCATATCGCCCGGTAGAGATAGATGAGTGCTGAGTGTTGGAAGATGCGGACGAGACTGTATGCTTGCGCCGATTCTTTGTCGGACTCTGTTGGCTCTTTTGAACTCGAACCAGGCGAAGGCAGGTCTTCTAGAGCCAGGGGTGCGTATGTTGGCCTAAGAGATACCTCAAAGGTTCGGATTCTTTCGATGGAGAACTCCTGGCGCATCTGTGCCACATCTTCGAGATAGAAGGCCATGCTTGATATCTCCTGAAAGACAGAAGAGAGCGAACAGTATCCCATTGTGTCTCTCCCCCACCAGACAGGACCCCTGTCGACAACATCCCACAAGGCAGGTGAAAAGGAAGGAGCCTGACCTGTGAGCATGGCTCTGGTGAGATCTGTTGTTGCAAACTCTGATAAGAGCATGTGAAGGGGGTCTTGGCCACTACCTAGGACAGTTTCTATGCCCCCGAGGCGTTGGAGGATGGCCAGCACTCCATCCCGATGGCTTGTAGTGGACATCGAGGACTGCGCGCACTCGAGGAACCCGTCATGGAAGTAGAGTAGTAGAACGGCAAACAGGAGTGTCTGCAATGGGCCATCATCCTTTGCGCAATAGTCGTCGACCTTTTCACGTAGGGCGGCGAGACATTCCGCTCGCTTGACGTTCATGATGCTGCGACTGTTGCGTCCATCTTGTAGCCATCGATGTGAGTCGGCTAGGACACAGGTGGCAAGCAATACGACGCGATGCTCCAAAGCGATGAGGGTCGGAGGTGCGCATGGTTCTGAAGCGGTTGTGAGTAACGGCCAGAAACGACCGTGAAAGTAGTCGAGAGAGCGCTTCTCATAGACGGCAAGAGAGGAAGCCAGCTGTTCATCACGACTGGTTACTTGATAGATGGCGGGTACTGTAACAGCTGGTCGCGTGCTCCATCTGATCAACCGGGTATTGTAATCGCAAGAGGCGCCTACTTTGGCGCATCTTGAGCAGATGGGTTTAGCGAGGTCGCACTTGATTCGACGTTTCTTGCAGGGCCAGCAAGAGCCTTCGACGACGCGAACTCTTGTCTTCCCCATGGTGTTCTTGGTTTGGGAGGGTGTCGATGCTAAGCCGCTCTGGGATATTGCTTGCAAGGGTGTGTGATGGGAGACAGAATGCGGAGTCCAATGCTCGACAATCGGGAACCCCTGGATTTGGATCTTGGTCCGATCGTCTCGTCTGCAGTTTGCCACGGATGAGCTGATCCGAGTTTGCAAGTTTGTGCCCGTTTATGGATGAGTGAGGTGCGTAAACGTGGAGGTGGAGATTCAAGAAGGAGAGCGATCCACCTGGCCCGGCAGATATAAGATGTCTAGTTCCTGCACAAGCAATCGACGTTGATGGTTGGCACCAGCCAAGAGATGTCCCCTGCGAGATATCGCGTCCTCAGGTTGCAAACACCGATAAGCGTTGGCGCGGCATGGTCGGGTCTCCGAGTCCGCGCGGGGAACCTGGGTTGAAAGACGAGATCTTACAGGCTGAGGCCTCTAGACCGAGGGATCCACTTGGGAATGGGCAATCGAGTTTCCCCTTTGAGCTTAGCTGACGGCCTCGGGCTTGAGTCTGGGCGCCGTGACTCGGGATAACGATGCGGGGGTGGCGGTGGCCAAGATCTTGGACAAGATTGTGAGGACGGGAGTTGGTTTTGTCCGGATAGCTGACGACTCGGGTTTCTTGATAGAGATCGCCGTTTCATTGGGTCCATCGGTATCTGAGTTGATGCAGTTGGTTCAACTCTATTCTGACCACTTGTCTGCTTGATACATTAGACATCGAAGACCGCAATACCACCATGTTGGATAGAGCACATGTTAGCAGCCTCTGGGACCAATTGTCAACGGAAGTAGCTTGGATAATAGACTGAAATAGCAATCTCATATCAGCTTCGGAGAGCAACTTCGATAAGAACTTACCATACTCAGCGGTTATTGGCCGGGATGCCTCGTTATCGATATCTATCTATCTAGAGATCACATTTCAGTCATCGGGGATTTCTCAGTGCTAACATTGGTCAACTTGAAGCGCAAGATGGAACCATCAGATGTGTCTATATACGAGTGCTCATCCTGAGTGGCAGTCACTATAAAACCCACTGTTCTCCCTAGTTAGGTTGGAAATCAACCCTGTACCAACAGAACTCATACGGGTTTTGTGCTTCGAGGCTTGCTCATGAGATATAGGGGGCGTTGGTCGAAGGTATGGCCGGATAGAGTTCTCTTATGGAAACTAGTTACTCGAGGTCTGTTGTCATCATTACCTCTACTAGGCATGTGAAAGCAGCCATGAGTAGAAGAGCGCACATGCGGCGACCTGAAGTGAAGACAGAGCGTACTCCCACTCTGGCCAACTAGAGCAACCCTACTTTGCCATGTCCTGTAAGCCCAGGGACGAGAGGGACTAGTGGTCTTTCTGCTGGACATGGTCAGGGCTGGTGCCACTCAGCGGTTGAGACTTGGTCCAGTTGGATCAACGAGCTCCAGCACAACAGGACGGAGATAGACGAGTATTGACCCGGGTAATATAGTCGGTTGCAAAGCCCCAATAATATTGCATAAGCACAAGCACATGAATAGTACCCCAGTATTGAAGGTTAACCTGTAAATAGTCCAGCCATAATTGTAGCTGAGCTTACGCCGGCACGCCAACAAAAGTAATGCAAACTGGCTTGCAAAGATAACGAATCAACTGCAGTCTAGACCACAAGAGAAAATTTTGTCAATCATTCATTAATCATGTCAGAGTAAATATGCTACTGATGAAGTTTAAAGGCCCAGAGCACGATGCTAGACTTTTGTCAACTAGTCCAGTCGAGGGAGGTCTCCCTTCTCCTGAGCTTCCTCAACAAGCTTGTTATAAATAGCCACCTTCTCCTCATACTCCTTCACCAACTCGCTGTCACTCCTCTTGCCGGGAGTGGCATCATCACCGCCAAAGGCACGGACGGCCGCATAGTAGACGTCGGCCAAAGCCCTGCATACACCCGACACGCTGGAAGACTCGCACTGATAGTACAGGCTTGAGATGGCATGTCAGTAATTATTTAAATGATTCAAGTAATGTACGAGCAACTTACTCGGTCTTGAAGTTGCTATCAATGCGAACCTTTCCGCTCACAGTGAATCGGCTCTGAGCACGATAGTTGTGGTAGCCAAAGTCGTGACGGTTGCAGGCTGGGACAAAGGGGAAGCCAAACGGATTGTCGGGAGATGAGGTGCAACCATCAGAGTCCCAGATGAGGGTTGGGGGGTCTCGCGCGTTACGTCGCGCAGTAAAGGTGGGCAACGAGACACTGAAGAGCAGCTGATCCGTCACCGTGTTGGCACTTTGACGCTTAGAGACGGATTCGTCCTTGGTACCAGCTGGCAGGGCAAATGCCACTGGCAGGAGAGAGACGAGGCAAAGGCTGAACTTCATATTGTCGACGTTGCTCTTGGTGATTGGCTTGCGATGGATGCTGAGTATCACAGACTTTGCGGTGCAGACTCAACGGCCTATTTATTCTTTTCTGAAGGTATTCACAGGGATACGCGGAATAATACCGCAATGGCCGATGCGGCCATTCATGCTGGTATATGTCGAGTTGTTGATCGTCCCGGCTGATACCTGCCTTTTTAAGCAATGATCACTGCCTTCAAGGTGGTCACGCTCTCTAACTCTGTCTACTGATTTGCCATGTCTCGCCAAGCTTTCAAAAAGGCCGACAATGTCGCAGGTCGGGGGTGCGGGTTTTGAGTAACTTTCCTGTTTTCCACTATGAGAATGAGACATGGGTTAACGACTTTGACATAGGCCGCATGGCCTGGTTGCGAACTTGGATTGGAAGCTTGGTCTGAAATGGGTCGATCGCCGTGCGGGGACGGAGACCATCGCGGTCAACTAAACGAGTTAGGCGGCCGGGTCCCCTTGGCGAGAATGGCTGGGGTTGCAGTTAATATGTTTTGGGAAATCTATGGCCGTTGAATGGTGACATGCATAGCAAGGGGTAGTCGACGCGTACAAGGCTCCGAGTTACAAACGGGGCAGCTGTTTAGCACGTGGTGGTACGAAAGGAAAGGAAGGTCGTAAGACGACAGTATCTTTAGATTGATGAATAATAGTAGCAGTGAGAGATTAGATATGGTACAAGATACTCACGATGCTGTGCACAGTGGTTGACAAGGAGTGAGGGAAGCCCCAGACAAGGTGGGGAGCAAAAGAGGACACGGTGACATCCATGTCCTTAAACATTAATCAAGTTGGGTTGGATGGCAGGACTAACGACAAGTAATCTAGTCCGAATTTCGGTATTCTGAGCTTTACTTACTGCTTCTTGTTCTCCGCATAGATAAAATTGGCAGCTGTGACATGTGAGCATATGAATTTGACATCCGACACTAGGCTACTCACCAAAGGGAACAAGTCCGTTCAAATTTGCCCAATCACGGACACCAGTTCTCTCGGTGTCCGAACCCCAGCGAACTCTAGCGCTGGGCGTGGTAAGATGCAGTCTTTTCCTTGTTCCGTTGGCCGGGACAAAGGCCAGAAATACGTAGCGATGCGGTCCGGTTCCTGCAGGGGGTGCTGGTGGTTTGTATTCCACCAGATCTCTTCTCCGGCGCCCAGTGACTGAATCCAAAGCCGGGTATGAGGCCCTGATCCAGTGACAGAACTCGGACCACTTGGGATCCTGTCGCGATGGAGCATCTGGGTCGGTCATGACGATGACGTAGGTCATGCTAGAGTCCGCCATGATGTCGGAAGCGACTTTGGCTCCGGCATGGTCAAGATGAACTGATGGCGCATTTTGAAGATGTGGAGGATGGACCATGTTTCCAAGGTTTGCACGGATGTGCTTCCAACTGACTATCAACTCAAGGATGGGTGTGAAGTCGTCGATAACGGTAGGAATGATTTTGGCCCGTACAAGCCTTGAGAAGTTAGTTGAGACTCTCAATATTAGGGAGTACTTACGCTTCATGAACACGATTCATTTCCTCGCTCGGGGGGTTCATCATGCGCTGTTTCGCAGCTACACTAAGGTAACCTTCTTCAGCAGCGAGGTCTGCGCTGACCAGCCCTGCTGTGGGTAGCAACGCCAGGGCTTTCCATAGTGTGGAGAAGAGCATCTTAATAACGGTAGATGATGGCCTCAGGGGCTTGAGAGACTCTGAAAATCAAGAATTGAATAATGAACGATAGAAAGAAGAATCAGGTGTTGTTGCCGGATGGTTCTATCACTCGTCAATCTCCCCGCAATTGGAGAGAGGGTTCCTGAGAATGCGCCATGATGTCACAAAAGAGTCTATCTGACGTCTTGTTGAACCTATCGATGTTTTGCATCTTATCTTGGTCTACCATGGGAGTTTCAAGCACCTTATATAGGCCGGCTCAATTTATCAGGTCATTCATCAGCTTCTCGTTCTACCTATTGTGGAGAAAGACGCAATGAGTGCCCACGATTGGAGCGCTTCTACAACCAAACTAGATCCTGCTGCTTTCTTTATCGTATGGAGCATGTCGTCACATGTCCTCCACAAGAGGCTTTTAGGCTTTTTTCGAGGGCTGACAACGAGGCCGTGAGGGGGCGTCTTCTAGAGATTGAACTCAACGGTTCTGAATCTCAGATGTAGGAGGCTGTGGTAACAAACATACAGGATATAGCCTGAATGAATACCTTGGCCCACATACAGATAGAAGCGAAACCCACCTTGAGTGTAGCTGAAACTGGCAAGGTCCAGGTCCAACGACGTTGGTGAGAAAGTGTCTCACTACTGGTTGGGGTGGAGGGGATCCAAAGCGGGACCCCGCTGGTCATGCAGCTCGTCATCAAATATCAAGTGTCAATTCCCCATCAACAACCTCGTTCTTCTTTCAATCTATTCATTGATACTGTAAAAAATCGTCACAATGTCCATGTCCGAGCAAGACGCTGCCACCCTGAGGGACGGCTTCCCTCGCCCATTTCCCAACACCCCGAATAATGTCCTGGAGCAACTTCGTCTTGATGGCAAGGTCGTTGTCGTGACCGGCGCAGCGGGTGGAATTGGCTTCGCGGTGGCTGAGGCCATGGCTGAAGCAGGCGCAAACGTCGCTTTCTGGTATAACTCGTACGTGGCATTGCCTGGTCGTATTCCTTTACCGCCGACGTCTGACATTGGGTAGCAACGATACGGCCATTCAGAAGGCCGAGACTTTGGCAAAGGAACACAACATCACGACTCGTCCGTACAAGGTTGATGGTGGGTGATGAATAGATACTCCAAGGTCAAGACAAGTAGCTAATCCTCTCAATAGTGTCCAACTCTGATCAAGTCCAGAGCACGATTACCAAAGTGGTAGAGGACTTTGGCAAGATTGATGTCTTTGTTGCCAACGCTGGTAAGTGGACTCATCCTCGTGATTTGTACCTGTGCTAACAACACATGGTAGGAATGGCCATCTCAAAGCCTATCCTTGAGCAAACCCTGGACGAGTATAAGAAGCAGATGTCGGTAAATGGTACGAAACACAAATCCTAACTACACGACTAGTACTAAAAATGAGGTGCAGTTGACGGTGTAGTATTCTCCGCCAAATATGTCGGCGAGGTTTTCCGCCGCCAGGGCTTTGGAAATCTGATTATCACCTCGAGCATGAGCGGCCATATTGTCAATGTTCCTACCGACCAGCCCGTCTATAACGGCAGCAAAGCCTTTGTCACCCACTTTGGAAAATCCATTGCTAGAGAGTGGCGTGAATTCGCCCGCGTCAATATCGTGTCGCCGGGATTCTTCGATACCAACATGGGTGCGAGTCCCGAATGTCTCAGCGAGGCCTACCGTATGTCAGTTTTGGGTAGGCAGGGTCATGTTAAGGAGATCAAGGGCCTCTATCTCTATCTGGCCAGTGATGCTTCGACCTATATGACTGGAAGCGATCTTCTTATTGACGGAGGATACGTGCTGCCCTAAGTGCACTAAAGTCACGGGACAGAAAGACCAAGAGTAGATACGGCGTATATTTAGAGCATAGTAGAAGACATACCAAGTTGAGTCGTCATGGCTCTTGAGGCACATTAAAGCAATAGACTCTGCAATGACAAGAATTCAAAATTGTGAAGAAAATGCTGTATCCTCTCGTGTAATGTATACCCTTGCTCAACCAAAAACAAACTCCCGATAATTCGAGGCAATCCTGCCAACGCCTTCATCTAGAGTCCACCCCTTTATCTCGCAAATAGCTCTGTACATGTCTTCAAGTTCGTCATCCATTCTATCACCCGCTGTATGAAGGTCACTCTCAACGAGTACCCGATTGTCTGGCACTGTTCTGACGGCATCCTCCGTCTTCGCTCTTGCTGCCTCCGAGGCGAGGTTGTTAGTCTTTGAGAAGGAAAAGAAAATTTTGGCAGGGATCGATGGCTTGAGATACTGCCTCACTGCATCCGACTTTCCGCTGAATGAGTGAAGGCATATGCGTGGAGGATATGGTTTGCCGTCGTTATTCTCAGTCACAGATCTTGTGTCCGTCTGATGGCCGTTTTCTTTTGCTTCTTTTTGTTGGGCACGCCGTCCCTTTAGTTCGTGGCCTTTCCAGCATGAAGTCAGGACGTCGTAGAGGAGCCCGTGAACTTGAACTCCATGAACACTGACTGCTCTGCCGAGTTCTCCGGCAAGACTCAGATGGGCCAGTAAAACGGTTTTCTGGTGCGAAATCTGGATGCGAAACGGACTGAGTGGCCTCCTCTGCCTCCCGCCACTCGTACGGGCCGGATCTTGTGAAGGACTTGCCCCATTTTGCCATTGCATCGGTAACCGAAAGGCCTTGTCTAGACCAATTTCTCCAACCATTGCATGAGGATTGGCCAATAACCTCGCCCTTGTCTCGGAAATAAAGCTTGATAATGGGACTGGTGTCGGCAGGTCTCTCCAGAAGGCCGGATCTTCTGGGCTGGGTGACAGGATGGCCTTGTAATGCCTCTCCTTTGCACTTTCAACATCTTCATGGGGTATAAAGGTAGGACAATCCTTGGAATCATCGTAAAGCTCATGGGAGAACCAAGGATGTCTCCCATAGCCCGCGATAACTGCAGTTGTGTCTCGTGAGAAACAGTCCGGGCCTTTCACGCCGTGTGCTTTTGCAATTGCCGTCACGAGTGGTTGGTCTTGTGTTCGGGTTGCCATGATTGCTATCGCTTGAGCCTTCATGGTTGGTAAATCGGCAACAGACAACATTCTCTCGGCGACATGGTTGTGGGCGTCAAAGACGCCAAGATGCCATGGAAACGTATCTTGATAAGGGCGTGGCGGCTCCAGGGCCACGCCCGACTCTTCATCTGGCGCACACATGGTGAATATTGTTCGTCTTGAGTTAAAGATAAATGTTCTAAGATCATGTGTTCAATTCAAGGAACAGGCGGTCACCATAAAAGAGATGGCTCTGCAGCTGAGTCAGGGCATACTATGAGTCATCTTCCACCAGTCAGAGCTAGAAGATTTGCTGAGAATGCCCTTTTCCGATGGACTTATTAGCCCGTCGGACTTTAGGCATCAGCCTATGCTGCCTTTTTTCTCTATTCTAGATTTACTCACATTAGAGGGCGCTTGCAAGCGTCGGATTGCTCGATGGCGAAGAAAATGAAGTTGACTAATAAAGTCTTATAATGATCTGCGATAGAAACGAAGAGAAGAGTAGAGTGGAAGCTATTTAGATCCCATTGGCTTCAAGAAATTGTAATTATTGCTAGCTACTGATCCAAGCTGGTGAGACTGCCTGGATCAAACCGAGCACCCGTCAAGGCCCGCTTCTCCGTCATACGTGGGACATCACTTAGCGAACAGTGCACAACACCTCACCGACCTGTCCTCAGCTTAAACAAGCCTATTTCATCATAGTGCTGAGACATGCGAATTAAATCGCTGGTCGAGTCTCACCTTGGTGTTGCTAACTGCACAATGACATGCCAAGCCCCTAAAGCGATCCTCTCCGCCTCTGATCTGCAACTATGATGACGCCCAGAAGAGACCATGCTGAAAAAGGCTCGATGAGGCGCTTTCTTGTTGAATTCGCTGGTGCACCTGGATAATGTAGCATTCATAAAGCGAGAAGACACCCATCCTTAGATCGACGAATTGGTCGAGTCTTATCTCACTGCTCTCAGTCTTTAACTCACTGTGAACTCATTGTCATCTTGGAGATATCCAGTCAAGTGGAACCTCGCTGGCAACCATAATGGCTTCAAACGTAACAACCGCCATTGACTCCTTCAAGAGCAAGTTTCCTGGAAAGGTCACCACTCCGGACAACGCAGAGTATGAAGCTGCGAAAACCCACCCATGGTCTCAGATATGCTGGACACCAGCAGCTGCATACATCCAACCAGGCTCGGCGGAAGAAGTAGCACAGTCTCTTCAGACAATCCAGCAACACAAATGCAGATTCGCCGTCAGAACTACTGGCCACAACCCCAATCTCAGGTTCAGCAGCACTGATGAGACTGGAATTCTTCTTGACCTTTGCCGGCTCAAGTATAAAGAATTGATCCAAGGCAATATCGCGCGTGTTGGAGCAGGTAATACCTGGGGTGAAGTTTACTCTTGGCTTGAGGATCATCAACTTTCAGCAGTTGGTGGCAGAGATCAACAAGTCGGACTACCTGGTTTCCTACTTGGAGGTCTTTCATCACTCGAGGTTTCTACCCTAAGACTGGAGGAGCTAACATTGCAAAGGCGGCCTGGGAGCCTTCCCAAACCTTCATGGAGTTGGAGCGGATAACGTCAAGAACTTCGAGGTGAGATCCCACTCGTTGGTCAGATTTTTCACTACTAATAAGCTGGATTTTTCTTCCAGATTGCCCTGGCGGATGGCACAGTGGTGAACGCCAACTCTGCTGAGAACGCCGACTTGTACAGAGCCCTGAAGGGAGGTGGTTCAAACTTTGGTGCGCAAAACCCCGTGACTTTACTAATGTTTGAAGGAAATAACTAATCATGGGTCACGACTTTATTTGGCAATAGGTATCATCACAAGCGTCGACCTCGAGACGCAGCCATTGCTGAAGGTCCAATACACCATCAACATTTACAACCCGGAAGACCACACAGGCATCATCAACGCAACAGTTAAAGTCCAAAATTCTATGGAATCAGACCCCAAGATTGGACTGTTCACAAACTTCAATCCTGGATTCGTGGCAGTCGGACTTCTCTATGCCGATCGCCCAACCGAGCAGGTCAAAGCCTTTGAGCCCTTTTACAAGCTTGGTAGTCTTTTGTTAACTGCCATTACCCAAACCAACGGTACCTTGCTATCTCTAGCTCAGGCTATGGGTCATGAACAAGAGCCCAAAAAGTGAGCCCTCCTGCCCTGACTCTCCTCCCCATCAAAGAGGACTCACTAACATCTTTACAGTCGAGCTATTGGCACAGTCACTACTACAGTATCGGAGAGTCTCTATGTTGAAGTGTACAATGGATGGAATGAGACTATTAAAGACCTACCAGCCGGTGCTGTTCTGCACTATACTATCCAGCCAGTGGGCAAGGCATGCATTCAAGTTGGCAAGGCTAAAGGAGGAAACTTGATGGGACTGCAAGAGACCCCGCAGTGCTGTAAGTGATCACATCAAACTCGAGATCATAGTCCTTCTCCCAGCCGATAATCTGACAAGGTACCTACTTGACAGGGTGGGTGTTTACCTGCGAGTGGCCCAAGGGCGAATGCGACGATGCTGCGGCACAAAAGGCTGTTGACTCGATTGTTCGCAAGGTGCAGTACATGGCACAGGAGAAAGGTCTATTGCTCGACTTCTTGCTTCCAAACTTTGCGGGTGCCTCCCAGAAGGTATTGCGCAGCTATGGTGACGGATCAGTGCAGTTGATGAAGGAGATGGCCGCAAAGTACGACCCTGAGCGTGTCTTCCAAAAGTTGCAACATGGAGGTTTCTTGCTACGTAACAGTGTATAATGGTTTTGATGTTGAGTGGGTCAGAGTGGCATCTTGAAACCTGAAGGGATGTATCGTTCATTTGGGCGATAGGAGCTATTCGACACGTCCTCTAACCCTAGCTTCCACACAGATATCCCCAATGGATTACTTAGCAATTCATGTACACCGCTGGAAAGTTTTAGTAAAGGACTATCGTGCAGATTAGAGGACTTACCATTGGCATACAGCGAGTAGCTGTCCGCGTTATACATGGCCTCCTCCGATGTCAAAGCAGTACTGTTCTCATAGCCATATGCCCGGTCAGCCGTAGCGGGGGCCTTGTCTTCATACACAGCCCTGGCATGCGTCATCTCGTGGATCGTCGTAGTAGCATGGTCCTGCTTGTGGCATAGCTGGGGCAGCGGGGGCAAGGTGTCGTAGAACAGGGGGCACATGACAATGTAGCCATTGACCCAAGTCGTGTAAGCGATCAGAGGACCTTCAGTCTCGCAGACGTTGAGGTCATCTTGGCATAGGACTCTCGTGTCGCCGCTATCAGTTGTGGAGCACTCCTTGGCAACAGCCAACAGACGGCCCGAAACATGGTCCCGGGCTTCAGTCTCATTCGACTTGAAGTATTCGACAAATCTTGCCGAGTGAACATCGGCGGCGTCGGCAGCAGCAGCTCGGGCCAGGGTCTCACAGTTTCGCACTCCGTCGAGGTTTGCTTTGAGCTTATCGGCTGGGCAGTCCTCCGTTATCACAATCGACCGTCGGGACAGGATTTGCTTCACCTCGGCCGCGGAACTTTCCTTGACTGTAATTGATAGTGCCTTGGACTTGAAAGAAACTGAAGCCGGTTCATTGGATGCGCCAGAAACAGAGGGGAATGTTCCCTCAGCGACAATGGAGTAGGTTCCAGGTTTGAAGTCGTAAACAGAGGCTAGGTCCACTAGTCGACTGACGGATGAGCCGGCAGCCAACTTCTCATAGTGCTTAGATTCCAAGCCCTCATAGTAGACACTCAATTCGATGCCCTGAAAGGGAAGCTGCTCTCCTACGGCTATGGGTCAGATCTCCTCGTCTCATGTTCGAAGAACCATGCTTACCAGCATCGTCCACCACGACCATTTTCTGGACAGGCCTTTCATCCAGAATGGTGCCTACTCTTAGAAGACTCAAGTCATTAGATCCATCATTCTTGATAGTAACCTCAACTTCGGTTGCTTTTCCCGACGAAGGAGACAAGGTGACAGCCAAGCCGGCAGCCTCCGCTGATCGTGCATTGATGGGCGAGTGCGACTCGGCACCAATTGCGAGGAAGACGGCCGAAGCCAAGGCTTGAGAAAACAACATGATGACAATGGTGAGTTTGTCCACTCTGGAAACTAGGGCGGTAAAGTCTCATGTTGGCAAGACTGCTCAGGTCCTTATATGATATGGGAACAGGAGGGTCCGGAAATTAGACGACGAACATGCATTATCGGCCAAGCGGCTATAGTACCTATCCAAGGAATTAACCCCCCTTGTCGAACCAATACGAGGTGGGGACGGGCGTGATCATTACTTTTTCCAGCGTAGCAATGGCTCAACACACCCCGGACTTCTACGAGATACCGGATGCCAAGATCTATTTCGAGTTTGGAGGGCCGGTTCGATTGCGACCTTCCCGGAATAAACGAAGAAATACGAGGCGGTCAACCCACGTTTCTAGCATCCCCCTGTTTGGTGCCGGGCAAGATATCACACCGCACAGGAAGTGCCGGAGGAACTATCGAAGCATAGGTCTGTTGTGCTGAGAATAGTAGTATGACAAACAACCTTTAGGCTTTTAGACAGTAACAACTTAGTCATGATACTGGGGGTTATCGTTGTTTTAAACTGCGATCGCTGTGATTAAGGAGTTGTGATGAATTCTTTCTCGGTATGTCCTACTTTTTTCCACTGGGAGAATATGACTGGAATGAACATGCCGGTGACACGCAACACCCTATCATCTTCCCAACCATATCGCATCCCGATTCACAATCAAGTTCAGCAAGTTCAGCTCGCATCCGCCTCATCCACATCTTCTTGGCTTCTAAACTGCTGAAGCCCTTCGTATCTCCAGTTGGTGATGTAAGTCTCAAATGCCTGCTCGCCATGCTTTCCGTTTGTTGTTGCGTAGACACCCACGATTGCGCCTATGAAGTGTCAACAGATTAGCAGAAGCAGATGCCCTCTGATAGTAAGAAGGCACGAAGTAGGGACGCAACTTACCGGAATAGTATGGGACCACGTCAGTTCCACGACAATGGCCAAGCACTCTGACGTCCTCCTGGCTTGTTGAGCCAGCCAGACCGGCCCTGAACTCGAAATGGGTACTGTTTTTTGTTTCGATTTCCAACCGAAGCGGCTTTCCAACCCACTCGGCCGGGATAAGTACTGAGTTCTCTGGAATGACACTCCTACCACGGTAGGGTGTCTCAGAATGCCCGCGGAGGCGTAGATGAGGCTGCAACGAATCACCCTCCTTTAGCTTGAGCATCACAATTCCCAGGTCGATATGTTGAGATTGATCTTGGAACAATGAAATGCCAACTTCCATTTCCTCTTTCTTCAAGGATCGAGCCCAGTCGACTTCCACGCTGTACTTGAACATGGAGTGTGCCATTCGTCGACCAATGAATGTCTGACCTCTTCCTAGTGCGAAGTCGCCATCGAAGGCAGTGAGGTTGAGGACAGAAGATTTCAGAGCAAGGCTGTTCGCATGGCCAGGGGGTGAGACTTTGTAATTTCTGCTCTTTGGTAGTCGCAAGTGGACGAAGTGAATCGGTATGTTGCTTCCAGGAGGAAACGTTGCCAGGTCGTCAGCGCCATTGAGTTGGCCCTCCCCTTCATCCACATATGACTCGGGAGGTAGCTTCCATCCAGACATGGTTCCAGTAACATTGGAAAAGACGGGAAACTCGCCAGCTTCCCAAGTGACGGGAGTAAGCACTGTTTCTCTCCCCATTGGCAGATTTCCAAAGTATGGGCCGGGCTCTTCGCCATAGGAACCTCCAGCTCGAACAGCCAAGGCAGATGCCCACCACTGACCGTCAGCATCCTGGAAGAGATCTGCGTGTCCAACAGCCTGGAAGTAGGAACTCGTATCATTGGCTGCTGTGAGAAGAGGGTTTTGAGGTGCCGGCTCATAAGGCCCCTTGATGCTGCGTGACCGTGCCATAGTGACCATGTGATTTTCTCGAGTTCCTCCCTCAGCCAGGAGTAGGTAATACCAGCCATCGCGTTTCCAAATATGAGGTGCTTCAGGAGACGCTCCCCCAGTTCCATTCCATGGCATTATGATGTCGCCAATTTCCCCCGTCTCAAAGTCCAGTGGCGCATGCATCACTCCAGGATAGTACGCTGCTGTGTGTGCGCCAGCAACCCATGTAGACCCATCATCGTCCCAGAATGGTGAGGGGTCAAAGCCAGGAAAGCTGAAGTGGATGGGGTCAGACCACGCATCTGAGCTATAAGGGTCCGTGGTGGTGATGATGAAGTTGTCCCATCGAGAGTCATTGACACGTGGAAGTTGTTGGTTAACCAGTGTCGACATCAAGTAGAAGGTGCCGTCATGAAACCGCAGTGTCGGTGCATATATGCCGCTGGTGGCTTTTGGGAGAAACGCCATGCCAGGCAGCTGGTCTGGGCGACTAAAAGCATTCGACACATGCTTCCAGTTCACCAAGTCCTGACTTGCATGAATTGGGAGGCCAGGAAAGGCGAGAAAGCTTGATGTAACACAGAAGAATGTGTCATTAAACTCGGGTACAAAGATGCAGCTGGGATCTGGATTGAAGCCACTCAGGATCGGGTTTTGAAAGCTTGAGTTTGTGGCAGCACCAAGTGCCAAGAAGCCCATGGCGGGTACAAGTAGGTGAGTCTTCATAACTGCTATAGAATAGAGATAAGGTGCCACATCCTCTTGCATAACATTCACACGGCATACGCCGTTCTATATATGTTGACAACTGGATGATGGATCTGCCGTCCATGGTCACCGACTTTAGTAAACTACAGTGAGTTTTCCGATGTCGGTACTTGGATCATATCTGCCTAAAGAATATCCGATTTAGCCTGAATCCTTTGTCTGTCACGATGGACAGTTGAAGCTCAAAAATGCGGGGGATCGTCGTTCTTGATGGTTATTTCACGGAAATGGAGATTGCCATTTGCCGACATGCGGATTTGAACAGGCCATTGAGCCGGCTTTGCAATAAGAACCATGATTAGCCAGGAACTAAAGGCCCTTGAGTGTAAACAACGGATGAGAGCCACGGGTTACCCAGCTTGCCTTACAGTATGCGTATTTTGGGAACTTGCGGGCATTGGCAGGGAGTGCGTGACCAGACACGAGCTTTAGCGGTGCGCATGGAATCATCGGTGCACAGTAGTCATACTCGCATAGTAACTGAAGCCTATCATCCATATTTTGAATAGGGGCATTATATTAATAGACTCAATGGTCTTGGGCATGAGGCGTTGTTGCCTTGTTCCGAGTTTGTCCCAGCCGGCCATGCTTATGATGAGTGTAGCGGGTGGACAAGCCGAATACTAGAATGCATGACTCCAGCAGCATTTCAATTCACTCAGGGCAGTTAAATCATAATTGGTGTTACATTGAACCTCGACATATATGTTCTAATCTCGACATCAAGCCATTATTGGTGCCTCGCAACTCCGTACCGAGGTTAATGAGTCTGGTTAACAGCGATGCTAAGCCACGCGACTTCCGGTTCGGTTAATGATCCGACGGCCCATGAAACGGTGATCTCGCATGAATTAAAAGGCTGTCATATATGTTTGCAAACCAGTGCCAAACGCGAGGCGTTTCAGGTTTGTCCAGGGGCTCTTGTTTCATCTTCAGATTGATGGCGCGGTGATTTACCCACCAATGCCCTCATTGACAGGAAACGAATGGCTCCACCAGTTCTTGGGCCTACGGAAAATAGTTAAATAAACGAGGTGTGTCTGCTCATTTGTTTGCTAAGTTCTATGCGTCATCCCAGTCACGGACGATTAGGTTCCGAAATAACCGTTCGGGTCTCAGATCCAGACCCTGCAATTTGCCGTTCTAGAACTTGATGCCAGACTTTAAATACTTGGAGAACTGGAGAAAGGATTTAGAGTTGAAAACAAACACTCTTAGACATAAGTGCATTTCACCATTCATCAACATGCGAGCCTCTCTAGATCAGACTCTTCTCCTTGTCTTGGCGCAAGCCCTTGTCGCAAAGGCGCAGTCATGCCCCGACATTCAAATCTTTGGCGCCCGTGAGACCACTGTGTCTCCGGGCTTTGGTTCCGCTGGCGCACTGATCGACATGATCAAGGCTGATCATTCGGGTGTTACCGCGGAGGCTATCGAATACCCGGCCTGTGGAGGCCAGTCCTCCTGCGGTGGTGTTCAGTACGGCGATTCTGCGAAACAAGGCACCGAGGCCGTGACCACCGCTGTCAATGACTTCCACTCTCGCTGTCCCGATTCGCAGATTGTTTTGGTTGGATATTCACAGGTTTGTTGCCAAGTCCCTCGTTGACACTTCGAAGTGCTCACCATGCCATTCTTAGGGCGGTCACATCATGCACAACGCCATCTGCGGAGGAGGAGACTCCGGAGCCGGTATCACTGACACCGCTGTTCCTATCACAGCCAGCGCAGTAGCCCAGGTCAAGGCAGCCATCCTGCTTGGCGACCCTCGTTATGTCAGTGGGCTCGCATATGGAGTTGGAACCTGCACTTCTGGCGGCGTAAGTGAACCCAGGGAACAACTAATGAGGATCATCCCGTTCTAACACCATTGTGATAGTTTGATGCTCGACCAGCTGGTTTTGTATGTCCAAACGCCGCCAAGGTTCAGTTGTACTGTGATGCTGAGGATCCATACTGCTGCGACGGAAACGATGCCAACCACCATCAGCAATACGTTACTCTCTACGGAACGGAGGCTTTGGCTTTTGTCAACGGCAAGCTTGGCGCTTCTGGCGAGGCCGGTGGATCCACTGACGACACTCCCGCTGCGCCATCGACCGGCAACTCTAATGAGGGAATAGCTCCTGTTCAACCCTCTACTGGCTCCGACGACAGCGCTGGTGGTAGCCCGAGTGCTACCGTTCTTCCCCAGGAGACAACCACGGCGGGTAGCAGTGAGGGAGGAAACGGACAGGAGCAGGGCACCAACTGTGCCGCTCTCTGGGGTCAATGCGGCGGCCAGGCATTCACCGGAGCCACCTGTTGCTCAGAGGGAACTTGCAAGCAGTTCAACCAGTATTACTCGCAGTGCTTGAATTAGGTTTGTAGATATCAATAAATGGCGTTGGGGGGTGCAAAAGGGTTTTCTTCTATTTCTCTTGGCCCAAAATAACGCTCTTTGACAGGGTAATCATCAATACGCCCCGGTAATAATGAAGAGCTGGACTGCCATTGATGAAAGGCTCAAGGCATAAACCGCCACGCCTATTCATGTTGTAGCAGCGTCTGTGATTCTCTTTGCAAAATACATCGCTCCATTCAGTGGGTTGTATGCGTATGCTGCAACCTCGACAAATCCCTCCGACTTGTAAAGGCTGATGGCCGATGTCATCTTGGATAGCGTATCCAGAAGTGCCACATCGTAGCCCTCGGATTCCGCCCGTTTCAACACCTCCCTGACAAGTTTCCGTCCGACTTGGCGACCTCGAGCGCTTGGGTACAGAAAGAGCCGCTTGATTTCGCAGTACCGTTGGTCGGTAGGGTGATGTTGACGATATTCGGCTTGCACTATGAGTGGACGCAAAGCTATACACCCGAGGACTTGACCTTGTGAGTCATCCACAGCAAGTAGAAGGGCGCCAAACGGAGGTGCGTATTTCCCTGGGAGTCCTTCTAACTCTGTGCTGTAGTTTTGAAAAGAGATATCTTCGTCAAGCCATTGCGTGTAAGCTTGGAAACACTCGGTCACAGATGCCAAGTCCTCGGGGTTTGTTGCTTGACGAATCGAGACAGATGCGGATGGTGATTGCATTTTCGGAATTGCTAAAGAGAATTCTAAATTCACATAAGGAGTAGCTACTATCTTACCTCTCTGACAGTTCTGACAGTTGAAATATCTGTCATCAGAGCCTCCGTTATCGGTAGGTTCGTTGATAAGTTGATAAGGGTGTAATCGCGGCATTGGAAGGCTAAAATCGGACCAAGGAGCTAATTCCGCTCTGTTTCCGCTCACAGCGGTACAGGGTATGTACCTATTCAACATCATGGCGCCCAAGTTTGAACACAGAGGCAATGAAGCAAATGGGGAAACAACTCTATTTAATAATAATGTGCTAGCAAAGTGGCTAGCTTTGTCCCGTACTTAACCTAGAATGTTGCTTTTAAGACTTTTATATATTCTCCTACGAATTTGTGTATTTCGTGACAGCTCAAGCCCAAGCGCAGACATAATTGCTAATAGATGCATAGATGATGGTGCTTAGTATGAATGAAGCAATACATCCCTTGCGAGTGAATGAATAAATAGAGTCTTTCAGGTGTTTAATTTCCTCCCTCCAGTAGCTTAACGGGAGATAATTTCTATTTAAATCTGAGTGGTTATTTCTTGGGAGTTGGGATATTAAACCACGCTTTTCTTAGACTGTTAACGCTCAGCCTGTGCAACATAAAATCGTGGCCTGTCTCTTATTTCTGTAGTGCATTGTCTAAACTCGTCATATGTTGCCGGCCCTATCTACACCGTACCAACAAACGACCAGTATCATACCATACCTGACCGTACTCACGACTCTTGTGTTTGTGCTGAGCTGAAATTTACATGAATGTAAAATGAGTTCCCTGGATAGCTCTTACGGATAGTCTTAAACGCGGGTTAAAAGACACCCGTTATGTGTCGTAAAATATGGCCGAGTACGGCAACGGGTGATTATTCAAAGCCGCCTGCTACGTTGAATGTCTCTCATCACCTCGGTCCACCAAAAGATCCGCTGTAAGCGCTACCTTTTATAGGAAGCTCCATGGGTCAGTGCTGCTGTTTCTCGTATACTGATCAGCAGAGGGGCCCTTTAAACCATGTCCTTAATCTATCATGTTACATTCACTGTCAGCAGGCCGGATGAAAACGTGTGGCGGCCGACCGTGTTTGAGACACCAGACAAAGAGGAATCGAATGAACATTAGAATGGAACGTCACAACACAAAGCTATGACCTGTATAATCCACTGTCTCCGGTGATCCCGCCTCACATAGGAAGGCCTCGAAGGTATAAAGACCGTCTCATCTTCATCTTGACTTTATCCAAACAACTCTTCATCCATCGACTTTCAGACAATCACAACTTCAACATGACTCCCAGTTTTGTTCAAATTCTCTCGGCTGGCCTTCTGGCCTCTTCTTTCAACATAATCAACCTCTCCCAGGTTGCCGCACTCGACCCCAAATGCGCCCCCGGTGGAAACTTTGACCTCTCCAAATGGAAGCTGCAGCTGCCCATCGGAAGCCCTGGCAAGCCCAAGACCATCTCCAGCGCCGATCTTCAGGGATGCAACGGCTTTGAGAACTTTGACTATTTCTTCACCAATAGCAAGGATGGAGCTCTTGCCATGAAGGTCCCGGCCAAGTCCCAGTGTGTTACCACTCCCAACAGCAAGCACTGCCGCACCGAGCTGCGGGAGGCCAACCCCAGCAAATGGAGCCCCTTCAATTCTCGCAACCGCCTCTACGCTGATCTCGTCGTCAACCAGAATGACGATGAGATCGTCGTGGGTCAGATCCACATCGATGACTCCATCTCCACCAAGCCTGTCATGGAGCTTTACTATAACTCCAAGGGCGAGTTTACTGTCGGTGTTCAGAAGTGCCGCACTTGCAGCCAAGCCAGAACCGGTGTTCTCGCCAAGGTCCCCAAGGGTCAGAGGTTCCATTACGAAATTCGTTACGAGAAGAACAAGCTTTCCGTCAGCATCAATGATAGCCCCTACAAGGAGCTGGACACTTTCGACCTCAACGGACCGGACAGCTACTTCAAGGCTGGCAACTACAACCAGGGCGAAGGACCTACCAACACCCACTTTTTCAGCATTATCGTGACTCACTAGATGCTGTTTTTGAGCGGCTCTTCGTGAGGGGTTCGGGGTGTGAATGCATTGGAGTCTTTGACGGCGGGGATTAGTTGGTTTGCATGGGATCGTTGGCAACCCTTACCCACCGGTGGTAGACTAGTAGTTAGGTAGCAGAGAGTTTAATTATATACTTGCCTATTCTACAAACCCCAAAACAAAGGTCGGTTTGGTGTCCTTCAGGATCGCCGGTGAAAGCGTTGACTAGTAATAAGTAACATTGAGGATTCGCAAACGTCGGCAAGAGGCTAGAGTATAGGCCGTTGAATTAACAAGATCGAGAAGCAAAATCTGGCCGGGATTAGAGCCCACTATCGCCGAGATACGACATCCGCCTTCAATGAGACTGCAGACACGGGACTTTCCTGCCGCAGCAGGCTGCAGATCGCGGGGCCATCTCTTGCGGGGAAGTGGGTTCTCTTGATCGGCTCCGATCCCCTCAATCGGGTCCGCATCATCAACCTGGGGAAGAAGATGCGGGGAGCATGTTCAAGAACCCGTTTGTACTTCGCGACACAGAGAAAAGGCGGGGTTATCATGCAATATGAACCGGATCAAGGTCACAAGATGAAGTCGGCATGAAACCGTCTTTACTTCCACCAAGAACGAAGCTTCCCGCTTCCGTTGACCCGCCCTGATGCATCCCCTTTATGAGGCCCCTAGAATCATGTTGTAGCTGCCGAAATCAAGGCTGCTGCATGCTACTGGCATTGATCTGCTGCAGGCAGAAGGTATAAATACTGCTAGATCCTTTCCCGCCCGCCACATTCCTTCATCCCCTCTAGTTTTTGCTCGACAATTCATCTTCAAAATACTCCAACCACGTTTCCCTGCCTTTTGTAAATCACCAAGACAATGACTTCACAGCAACGAACAGTGATTGTTACTGGCTCAGCGCGGGGCATGTGTGTTTATGCCCTCTGATGCTTCCCAATGGGTCAACTGACGTGTATTTACTAGAGGAAAGGCGATTGCTCTTCGTCTTGCCGAGGATGGATATGACGTCTGCATCAACGGTAAGACACCCAGGCATCACCTAGCCACCGCCCCGTTCTTAACGCCATCTTGCAGATATCCAGGCGAACAAGGCCGGCATCGATGAGGTAGTCTCGGAGATCCAAAAGCTCGGCCGTCGAGCATACGGACATGCAGCGGATGTATCTGACCTTGCTCAAGTCGAAGAGATGGTTGCAGCCTCAGTGCGAGAGCTCGGCCCACTAAACACCATGGTGGCCAACGCTGGAATTGCCCAAGTCAAGCCCATTCTAGATGTAACGACAGATGATCTTCGTCGCATGTTTGATATCAACGTCTTTGGCACATTCAACTGTTATTCAGTTGCCGCCAAGCAAATGATCAAGCAGGGCTCACCCGGTAAGCTCATCGGGGCCGCATCTATCGCCGCTATGAAGTCATTTCCCATGCTGTCTCACTACTCGGCAAGCAAGTTTGCAGTCCGCGGTTTCACACAGGCATTTGCCATGGAAATGGCGCCCCACAAGATCACCGTAAACGCCTATGCACCCGGAATCGTGGGTACGGCCATGTGGGATCTCATTGATGAGGAGTTGGCAAAGGTGCATGGAGCCAAGAAGGGAGACATGATCAAGAAGCACAGTGACGACTTGATTGCGTTGGGGCGTACGAGTGTCCCGGAGGACGTTTCGAAGATGGTTAGTTTCTTGAGTGGACCAGACTCCGACTATGTGACAGGGCAAACTCTTGTCGTTGACGGTGGTATCATCTTTACTTGATTTATCTAGTACAAAAGTCTTCTCGATCACTCATGCGAGCCCTATCTAAATACAGATAGCTGTCACAACTAAAACTTCACTGCTTGCCCCATCCTGCTTCTAGTATCTCCTTGACGGTTCGGGCGTGAATTTCGGGGAACACATCGTTCAGCGTCTTGGTCGTTGGCTTCAGGTTGAACAAGCCCTTCTCGAACCAGACCCCGAACGTGGAAAAGAGAGCTTGGATCTGTTCCTTGGGCATCTGGGAATACAGCGATGGATGAGATGGTAACTCGGTGATTTGTCCAGAGAGGAGTAAATCCAGGCTGTCGTGGGTGACTTCGAATTTCTCGCCTATGAGGGTGGGTTAGCGGAGTCAATTACAGGGCCCCATGATGGTATACCTTTGACCTCTTCTGCAAGGCGAAGAAACTCGTTCCATGTAACTGAGTCCCCGATAACATAGCTCTCTTTCTCCCAACTGGGTAGCTCAAGGCTGGCGGCAACAAACTCGGCAACGTCAAAAGTATGCGTGAAGGTGACAGGTGTGTTGCCATCACCGGGGATTGCAGCTTTGTTATACTCGATATCGACGACGATGAGGTTTTGGCGCTGGTACGACTTGACGCGAGGGTAGCCCCAGAAGTCAAGGAAGTATCCCACGTAGAACAGGGTATACTCTAGAGTGCTCTTCTCCAAAGCTTCGACCGCATCGAGCTTAGACTGACCGATCGTCATCTGCCTCTCGCCCACTTGTCTGTTTGTAAAACCATTGGTGAGCTCATGCCTGTTTTCGGAGAAGTGCTCAAGGAATTTGTTGAAGGCTGGAAAGTGGCATAAGCTTATCTTACTCTCTCGAATACGGGATGCCCCAGATGCTGGGAATGAAGCGTCTGGTATGTTTAGAAGCCTCAGCAGCATGTATCAAGTTCACTTGCGGCTTGCCATCGAAGGTGACAAACAAAGTCGAGATGACAGTGTCGATCTTATTGTCTTCTAGAACCTTGGTCATGGAGTCGATATCGGTGTAGTCTATGGCGATGATGGGGATGCCATTCTCGGCCTCGAGGGCGGGATTGGGCTATGAAGGTTAACAAAGACTCTCAGCAAACTGAGGACATAGCTCATGCAGGATGGCTTACCGATCGGCTGAATATCTTGACGTCGTAGTTCTCCTTGTGGTTGATGGCTTCGGCGATGGCGCGGCCAATGCCTCGGGTGCCTCCTGCGACTGCGATAGTGGTTACCATTGTGGCGTGATGGTGATTGATGTTCAGCGGCGTGGACTGATGCGTAGTTTCCCGTCTTACTCTGCCCAAATCTTGGCCTGGGTTAACATTGGAGCGGAGATATCCCTGCTTTTTAAAAACAATGCTCGCTTATACGTTTAAACTGTTGGGGCCCTTGCCTATCATAGCAGTCTTGAATTTGGGCAGCTCGTCCGCCGACGGCATAACATCGACCCGATTCGTCACCCCACAACCGCCCCTGAATGTGGACCACGGCCGAAACCTCGGACAAAGATGTTCTGATTGTTCCTTGATACGGAGTACACGGTTGAAAATTCGGTTCGATCATTAATCTCATAATATGAGTGTAAAATATGTGTACTTCCTGTCGCCAGTCAGTCTCATCATATTTGTATTTAAGGGGCCTACACGCATTCCAGTCATTCATTCTGTGTTGTGTTGGCTTCACACCTTCCCGGGACACTTGAAGTACTGTTCCCCCTTTATCGCTTCTACAACGCTGTCGAGACAACTTCCTTCTCCAATATGGTCAACGTAGCAGTTGCTGGAGGCACCGGAGGTGTTGGTCGCACCATCATCGACGCCTTAAAAAACGACCCGAAACACAAGGCCATCATTCTGTCGCGCACTGCAAGTCTCCCCGATCCGAGCCAAGAACCAGCCTTCAGACAAGCTAACCCCCTGCGTGCAGGTCCCCGATGTGGACCTTGGCGCGCCCGTCATCGCTGTCGATTATGACGATGTGGACGCTCTTCAAGCTGTCCTAGAGAAGCACGAAATCAACACGGTTATCTCGGCACTCGCTCTCCACATAATTGGCGTGGGCGAGGCCCAGATTAATCTAATCAAGGCCGCCGACAAGAGCGAGCCCACCAAGCGATTCGTCACTAGCACCTGGGCAGTTCGTCCTGAGTTGAAGTAAGTCACCTTGCAGCACCTGAGACCCATGATCCGGTATGACTAACAGCGTTGGACAGGTGGTTTGATCTTCTTCCCCACGGCTTCCAGCACGTGGCGTCGTACACAGAACTGGATAAGACGCAGCTGGAATGGACAGCCTTCAACGTTGGGTGGTTCCTCGAGTACTATGCCATGCCGCATGTCGAAACATACATCCCACAGACCACGTTCGTGGTCGACATGGCCAATAGGCATGCCTCGATCCCTGGTGATGGCAAGCAGAAAATGTCATTCACTTACACTAAAGACGTGGCCAAGTTTGTGGTTGCGGCGCTCGACCTCCCCAAGTGGGAACACGACACCTATGCAATTGGTGAAAAGCTCACGTGGGAGGAATTTGTCAAGATTGCTGAGGAAGCTCGAGGAGGTAAGATCAATCGTCTGGTTGTGAACTACAGAGATCTAACCGCACATGGGATTAGGGGAGAAGTTCACTGTCACCTATGACAGCGTGGAGAAGCTCAAGGCCGGCAGCGTCACTGAACTTCCAGGCCAGGTTGCCGCATACTCGTATTTCCGCAAAGAATGGGCGCAGCGACTCTTCTCAGCCTTTGGTATCTGGGTGACTGAGAACATCTTTGACTTTCCCGATGAAAAGCTGCTGAACAAGAAGTTCCCTGACATCAAGGTCACCACGGTCAAGGAAATGCTGGAGAACGCATGGAAGGGTAAATAGAGTAGTTGAAGGGATAGCGGATGTTTGAGCTGAAGTGGGGGAGAGGACCGAAGCCAGCTGGCATCCTCCGTCATGGTGTTATACGGAAGTCAGTATTGCTGTAGGCATGTGTCAAAGACTACGTTTGTTGCTGTGTCTCATATCTACCTTCTATGAGAGTCTAGTATTAGAAGTCCCATCGTGTTAAGTAGAAAGGATTGCCCTACCTCATGCCTGGGTATCTGCTGAAAGGTATCTTTCGTGTCCCACGGGCCACACATGTGAATCGATACTCGCAGGGAAAAGATAAGCTCAAACAATTTAGCGAACCCCTGTGATCGCTGCCCTCTGCCAAGGCCAGCACATCCAATGACCGAGGACGCCAAGGAGAGCTAAAGCCGCTTGGGGTTGGCGGAACAAGGGTCGAGAAATAAGCGCCTCAACAATACGCGTATAGAATGGGTCTCGTCGTCGCTGCGGCTGAGCCACCTAACTATTCCGCTCTGGCGAGTTGGTGGTTTTTCGGGAGTAAAAGTAGCTTCACTTTTAGCCTACTGCAGCCAACAAGGAGGCTGAGGGCGCTCAGTTTGTATCATCAAACAATTTATTAGGAGTCAAAGTATATATTCAACCTAATGATACATCTTTTTACTTCTTTCCAAACTTTTCCAAATTCTCAGGGCCTGTTTCCCTGGCCACCTTTTTCACTTCCTCCTCTCCTAGCTCTTGGAAGATATCGTAACCCCACCTCGTCTGCCAGTTGTATCGCTTGTTCCTCTCAAGATCATTCAGTTGCTTGAAGGCATCTTGAGGCAGCTCGGAAACTTGGAGGTTGGACTCGATGCGGCTAGGAGTGACACTCTTTGGCAATACAACAGACCCTCGCTGGACACCCCACGAGTACAAGACTTGTCCGATATCCAATCCCAGCTTCTTACCGAGCTCAGCGACGAGAGGGTCATCAACCGTTCGGGGCTCACCGGTTTGGTTGTTTCCGAGGGGGGAGTAAGCAGCGAGCTGGATACCCTTGGACTTGCAGTAGTCAAAGAGCTCAGGTTGCTGAAGGTAAGGGTGGGCCTCGATTTGATTGACCGCAGGCACCATTGTCGTCTTGGACAGAAGTTTGTCTAGGCGATCCTTTGTGAAGTTTGACACGCCAATGGCGCGGACCTTGCCAGTTTCGAGGAGTTTCTCCATGGCTGCATACGTAACAGCGGGATCAATATCGGCCAGCTGAAAGACACCATCTGAGTCGATGGGGAACCAGTCATCACCAGATTTAAACGCACTACAAATTATCAGCATCCGGACAAGAGATGAATACATATTGGGGGACTTACACAGGCCAGTGCATGAGGAATAGATCTAGGTAGTCGGTACCAAGATCCTTCAGTGTCTTGTCAAGACCCTTTTCCACATCCTCAGGAGCATGCTTAGTGTTCCATAGCTTTCCAGTGATGAAGATTTCTGAACGGGGGATACCGCTTTTCTGGATACCATCACCGACTTCGACTTCGTTTCGATAAATCGAAGCGCAATCAATATGGCGATAGCCGCTACGGAGAGCAATCTCAACTGCTTTCTCAACCTGGCCAGGAGGAGCCTGCCATGTTCCGAAACCGACAGCTGGGATCTTTGCCCCAGTGTTGAGGGTAAAGTGAGTTTGAAGAGGCATTGTGTTGAGGGATGATGTGAGGATGGTGAGATGGTGAGATGAGTGAGGATCGGGATATTTGCCCTTTTAGAGACATCATGGTGCTCTTTAAACCTAGGTTTATAGGATTTCCTTGCGTAAAATCCGTAGATCAATAATGACTCGGTCCTAACTCAACTGCGGCATGAATCGGGTTTGCGGATTATTAGTGACATTGGCGGATATTAATCCGCAGACGCTGTGGGCCGGGCCCCATGAAACAGCATTTGCACACCGTCACTCATAATATCCGTCATCTACATGCACGACTCGGAATGCCGACAGTGATTCCGGGTAGCCATTCACTATATCGTGTACGGATTTACTTTGGGGCATAGGGAGAGTATCCACGAAGTCGGAAATCCAAGTATATGCGTTCTTTTTCTCCTAGTCTATTCCGGTAGGAACTATACTCATTCTCAATGACACCATTAGTGGGGTAGCCCGGCAAGACATGACGGTTAATGTAGGATGTGGAGTGTAGATTTGATGGCTTGCAATGTCTAAACACTGAACCATCTACACAATCTCCGAGTCCTGGTCTCACAAAAATGAATATCTTTAACATAGGATACTTCGTACAGCAGTGGTGAATGTAAGACTTCCCGTGACGTCGCAAATACTGCTGTGTTATTATTATACTGTGGTGTTGTGATTGTCGCCTCTTACATCTTGTCGCTTCATTGAGGCTTTCTATGTCCATCTTTACTCTTCTGGCTCAGTTATCACGTCGAAAGCCGGGCTTCAACCATAGCAAAGAACACACTATGTCCATCTCTGGAGAAGCCCTGTCGAAACTATCACTGTTTTATTTCCAGTCCTTGTAAACGTCACCAATCTGTTATTATGCTGTTGCAGCTTGAGTATAGGCTCTGGTTGTGTTACTACTGCTATGTCCGAGTTGCTCTCAAGACCCTTTCTAGGCCCCCATCAAGTCTTGCTGCCTAAGTGAATGTGCAATATGAGATCCTCCCCGGTATGGAACAGCTAGAAATGCGACAGTGAGAGACATAGAAAAGGTCAAGTTTGATAGAGAACAGTGAAAGCTCAAGTCACTCTCTTATTATTATGCTGCTGCAATTTGACCCTGACCCAGCCTGAAGCCACTAGCCTAATTGCTTCTAGTCGCCATTTGAGAGATGAACAAGATATTGCGACAGCTTTGGAATTACTCATGAGACCAGTAACTATATACGTGCTGAGATAGAAGCGCTACTCAAGCACTTCGTCACAGTTCTTTACAGCGTGTACTTGAAGAGAGGACTCTTGTCGCCCAGCTTCAGAAGCTCCTCCTCAGTGTATCGAGATCGAATATCCTCCTCAGACAACTTGGCCTTTGTCTTGTTTCCCCACTTGTAGCTCAGCTCGAGGAGCAGCGCAACAAGCATTCCAGAGGCGCCAAAAGCAAGCGACAGGCCGAAACCAGTCTGGTAGCGGGGAGCTTCCTTGTCGAGGTACATGTAGGAGCCGATAATGCCACCAATGTTACCGACGCAGATGTTGAAAGCGACACCAATGGCTCTTCGGCTCGAAGGTGCAAGGTTGTTGGCGGCCCAACTGCTGCCGGCAGGCTGGACAGGGTAAATACCGATGCAAGTGAGCACAAGGGCAAAGTATCCTGGTCCGGTGTGGCTGCCAGTCATGTCACCCTGAAAGCCCATAACAACGGAGTATCCGATAGCAATGAGGGCTAGAGGAATAGCAACGAAGGGCATTCTCCAATGGAAGTGATCAGAAATCTTGGCGAAGCAGACGGAAGAGATACCGCCAGCGACGTACGCGGGAACTGTCATAAGCTGGGCGTTGGTGTTGGTGAAGCCCATGGCCTTGACAATGGAAGGAAGAGTAAACTTGGTTCCATAAGAGCAAGCTGAAATGCAGAGGAGAATGTAGGCCTGCATGTAGAGTCGCCAGTTGCAGAGAATCATCTTCATGTCGTGCCAGTCAAACTTCTTGTCGTCAGACTCCTGAGAAAATCGGCCGCCTTGCTTGATGAAGCTCTGGAGTTCGAGGAAGCGGATCTCATTGGGAGTCAACCACTTGCCAGATAGGGCCGGGGAGTCGATGAGGAGGAAATAGCACATGACTCCGAGGACAATGGTTGCAAGGCCTTCCAAGATAAAGATCCATCGCCAGCCTTCATAACCACCGACTCCATCCATCTGAGCAATACCAGCAGCAAGAAGGCCAGAGAAAGCACCAGACAGAGCACTTGTGCAGTAAAAGTAGGCAATGCGAGTAGCCAGATCCTTGGGCATGTACCAAAATGTGCACAGGTACACGGCACCCGGATAAAAGCCAGCCTCAAAGACACCGAGAAGTATGCGGACAGCGAGAAGACTGCCAAAGCCCTTGACGACCCCGTGGAGAGTCATGATGATACCCCAGATCGTAACCAGACTACCAAGATACACGGATGGTCGCGAGAACTTCTTCAGGAGGATGTTGCTGGGGATCTCAAGGAGAATGTAGGGGATGAAGAAGAGACTCAGAACAATGTTGTACTGGTTTCCAACAAGGTTCAAGTCCTCGACAAGTCCTTCAATCTTGGCATTGCCGATGTTTGCTCGGTCGAGATGTGAGATCAGGTACAGAACGGCGAGAAGAGGAACCAATCGTCGGTCAACCTATGGTAGGACAAGTCAGAAGTTTGCCATTGAATCGTGTTGATGCTCTAACGTACCTTCTTGATGATCGTCTTGCGCTGTTCAGGGGTAGTGTTATTGTAAAAGTCGGCATCCTCGTCGGTCAGACCCAGGACACGAATGTTGTCAATTGTCCTGGCCTGGGGAGCCTTCTCATGGTCAGGAACCGTGCGGTCCATGTCCATGTCGTCAACCATGACAACGTCAGGTTTCTCAAGAGCAATGCTGTTCGTGGTCATGTTGTGATAGAAGACAAGGATGATGTTTGTCAAATCTGAGCTCTGAGCAGAGAAGTCTTGAAGGGATGGTGAGGATGGAGAGACAAGAAGTGAATGATGAGGGTAGATGCCAGCTCATATTATAATAAATCGGAGGTTGCATCAAGATCGGGTCAAGACCGCTCTTTACCGTGTGCCATGTGTCGTGCAACTGGACCTATGTCAAAGACTTTTCGTGTCGGGCGCGCACGGGGAAACCGAGGACTGGCTCCTTTACCCCGTACCCCGCATGGTCTCATCCCCATCATGACTCCATAGTTGAGATGAGTTAGATCCGGGGGATGGTCACAGGAGCTTCGCGGACTATTATCCGCTTAATCCGTCCCCCATATTCGTCAGAGTCATCCCATGGGAAAGACATGCCGCTGAATATTTATTGGCTCGGCATCAGGGCGCGGTTGGGGAAACATCCACTTGGGGGAGTCTCGACCAGGTTTTGGCTTGAAAACCCCAGAAATTTCTGGGGAACTTTTGAGTTCTCTTGACGGACACTTGTCCGCCTGGCTTGCGCAATGTCGTTTACCGGAAAAAGCCAACAAAGGAATTGACATTTAGCGAAGAGAGAAATTGCTACGTTAACGGATTGACATGATCATGAATCCGAACCTATTGATTTAAGACTAGAAGTATCTTCCCATTTCCTCAGTTAGCATCATCGCCAACATTCACCTTCAACGATCAAGATGCCCGCCACAATCTACGTTCCGAGTCCGCTCGAGAATCTGCCCAACGACACAGACGTGGTCGGCCATGACAAGCCTGTTGTGCGACCCCATATCAGAGAGCATGATGACTCTCAGCTCCGCACTATAGACGGCCTCATTCGTCACCGCGCCTCACTGTACCCTCATGATCATGTCGTTTCATACCCCTCCTCAGGCATCAACTATGTCGACTACACGCTTCAGCAACTGGACGTTTTTGCTTGGAGAGTAGCCAAGTACTATGAGCCTGAGCTACCAATTCGGACATCGTCAAGCCAGAAGCCTACAGTTGTTGCTATGCTGGGCCCCTCAAATCTTGAGTACCTCATCACTATGCTAGCGCTCAACAAACTGGGCCACACAGCGCTGCTTCTATCAACAAGGATTCCCCAAATTTCCGTTGAGTCATTGGTCAACGCGACAGGAGCTACAGCCATCATTGCCGATGGGCGATTTGTTGACCTTGCGGATAATGTCAGCAAGACTATCCCAACTCTACAGTCTCTTCGGATTGCTGGCAGAGAGACGTTCGAATACCCCATCGAAGCTCATGGAGACACGCAATTGGACGGACACTTGGATCCAGAGGTTGAAACCGAGAATATTGCTTGGATTATTCACTCGAGTGGTATGTTTGTTGGCCTGCTCTCTCTATCGTCACGTACTAATTGTGCTCTCAGGTTCAACCGGCCTCCCCAAGCCAATCTACCAGACGCAAAAGTCATGTTTGCCAAATTATGCCATTCACATGGACATGAAGTCCTTCATCACCTTGCCTTTATTCCACAACCACGGCATCTGCAACATGTTCCGTGCCATCCACTCGCGCAAAGCTATACACCTCTACAACGCCGACCTGCCACTTACCCAAGACCACCTTGTCAACATTATGCGGGAACACAAATTTGAGATATTTTATGGTGTGCCATATGCCCTCAAACTTCTTTGTGAGACAGAAGAAGGAATCAAGCTTTTGCAAGACCTCAAGGTTGTCATGTACGGAGGCTCGGCGTGCCCCGATGATCTTGGCAACCTGCTGGTTGACAATGGGGTGAATCTCGTTGGACATTACGGAGCGTGAGTAAAATAGGCCCGACTGACGATCTCGACTAACATATTCATAGAACCGAAGTCGGACAGCTCATGACCTCCTTCCGACCTGAGGGAGACAAGGCTTGGAACTATGTCAGAGAAAGTGACAAGATCTCTCCTTTCCTCAAGTGGGTGCCACGAGGGACCAACCTGTACGAGTGCTGCGTCACGGATGGTTGGCCAGCCAAGGTGCAATCCAACCAGCCCGACAATTCGTACGCAACCAAGGATCTCTTCGAACCGCACCCTACGATTCCTCGAGCTTGGAAGTACATCGCCAGAATGGACGACACCATCGTCTTGGTCAATGGCGAGAAGTTCAATCCTGTTGCGATGGAGGGTTCTATCCGATCCAACAAGAACGTGAAGGAAGCCGTCGTTTTTGGAGCTGGCCGACCTTACCTCGGAGTTCTCATCGTCCCCTCAGAGATCTGGGCTGGTAAGCCAGAGGCCGACATTCTTGAAGCTGTCTGGCCTATTGTTGAGCTCTGTAATCAGTCTGCAGATTCTTTCGCTCGCATCTCCAAGTCCATGGTCAAATTGTTGCCCTGGGACTGCGAGTATCCCCGGACGGATAAAGGCAGCGTTATTCGTCAGGCTTGCTACAAGAACTTCAAGGAGACAATTGACGAAGCGTATGACTCTGCGGATGTGCAAGGAGGCGATTTGAAAGAGTTGGATCTTCCCGACTTGCAGAGCTTCCTTCGAGAACTTCTTGTTCAGACTCTCTCCCTCGAGGATGCGCCCGCGGATGATGTAGACTTCTTTACACTGGGCTTGGACTCTCTTCAGGCAATCCAGATGAGAAGCGAGGTTCTGAAGACAGTGAAGCTGGGAAACAACAAGTTGGGCCAGAACGTCGTCTTTGAGCACCCTTCCATCGAGCAATTGAGTCAGTTCTTGCTGGGACTTCGCCTTGGCCAGGACTCGGTCAAGGCTGGCCCAATTGAGCAGGAGATGGGACAGCTGCTTGAGAAGTACGGAAAGTTTACTGAACAGGAGCCTTCGTCAGTGGTATGTTTAAAACTCCCTTCCCTCTAGAACAACTTCTAACATTTTACAGGTCATCACAGGTGCTACTGGCTCACTCGGCGCTCACGTCGTTGCAAAGCTCGCCACAGATCCCTCGATTGGCAAGATTTACTGTCTCGTCCGAGCTTCTGATGATGATCAGGCGCTCTACCGAGTCAAGGAGTCTATGCTCCAGCGCAAGGTTTACCACAACCTCCCTCTCGAAGCTCGTCGCAAGATTGTCGCCCTGCCCTCGGATCTTTCGGATCCTCATCTCGGCCTCCTGAGCGAGACTTATACATCCGTCACGACAAACCTTCGGTCTGTCATTCACTGCGCGTGGTCGGTCAACTTCAACATGCAACTCTCAAGTTTTGAGAAGGGCAATATAGCGGGTGTCAAGCATCTTATCGACCTGTGCCAAGCCGCCGGACCTACAGCCTCGATGAACTTTTGCTCTTCAGTCAGCACATGCTCCCGAGCCACCGTTGTTCCAGTGCCTGAGGCAGCTCCGCCATTTGAGTGGGCACAGGGAATGGGATATGCTCAGTCCAAGTCGGTCTCTGAAAACCTCTGCGCCAAAGCGGCTGAGGCGGGTGTCACCACTCGTGTTCTCAGAGTCGGTCAGATTGTCGCTGATACTCGCCACGGAATCTGGAACGCCCAGGAAGGCGTCCCCATGATGATGCAGACAGCTGTGACCATCGGTGCTCTCCCTAAGCTGAAGGAGACGCCATCATGGCTACCGGTTGATGTCGTGGCCGAAGCTGTTGTTGACATTTCCCTCTCCGACTCGGGCAGCGTGTTCACCAACATCGCCAACCCCAAGACGTTTGACTGGACTCAACACCTTCTTCCTGCCCTACGAAACGCTGGTCTGACATTTGATGAGCTGGAGCCAAAGGAATGGGTGCAGCGTCTTAGGGCGTCAAACCCTGACCCTACGGCCAATCCTCCCATCAAGCTGGTTGACTTCTTCGCATCCAAGTACGACAAGGACGAGTTTACACCTTCAAAGGCTTTTGCTACCAAGAAAGCTTGCGAATTGTCACCCGCCTTAGCCAACGCTGGTGTATTGGATCAAGATTTCGTCAACAAGTTCGTTTCGTATTTCCTCAGCACGTCTTGGAAGACAAAAGCCAAGAACAGCACCACCAAGACTGCCATCGTCATCGCCGGTCCATGTGGCTCTGGCAAGTCAACTCTTAGCTTGGCCGTATCATCTACGCTCAAAGTTCCTTTCGTCGAAGGTGATTCACTCCATACCCGATCAGCGGTAGAGAAGATGGAGTCGGGCACGGCGCTTGTTGATGAGGATAGATCATCATGGTTGAAGAGGCTGTGTGTCCGCGCTCAAGAGACCCTCTTTGATCTCGGCTATGACTCAGTTGTCATGAGTTGCTCTGCTTTGACAACTGCTTACAGAGGTACAATGCGCCAGCAGTTGCAGAAGCAACGCGTCAGGGTGCTGTTCGTAGACCTGCAGGCTGGTGCAGATGCCTTGGCTCAACGCTTGGAAACGCGTGCAGGACACTACATGAGTGCAACTATGGTCAACGGGCAAATTGATCTCCATGAGGATGCGGCTGTGGAGGAAGTGGACGTGTTCCCCATAGATACAGAGGCCGGGAAAGCAAAGGTTGCAGAAGAGGCATTTTGGTTTTTGGCAAAGATTGTGAATTAGGGTTGGCGTTTATCACTGTAGGCCTTAGACAACAGCAACAAAGCAATACGAGAAGTAGCTATTTTACAGCTCTCTTTTCATTGGCTTTATGTGCGCTGAAGACGCTCTTTCTCATGGCACAGGTTAGACCTCATTTGTGCCACCATTTGCGTTGGAATTAATGCCGCAATTGGTGCCTAAATTGGGGCGTTGCTGAGGCTATCGCGAGATGGTTTTTGGCTGTGTGGGCTGAAAAATGCGGAGGTTGAATTGCTTATGTAATTACGATCCATGAGCTTATCTAATCGCACGTGATTGTGCACGTGAAAGAGCTGTGTAAAACGCTGCCAGAACAAGCGGCATAAACATCATCATTTCAGAGAATACTAGTAACAAACTCAACAAAGCTTCACATCACACTCGTATTAGAGTACAGGCGATTCAGGATTATGGAACCAAGGTTATAAATAACTACTGAAGCAGGGTTTACTTACTCTGTATTTTTATGTATTTAATTTTTGTCTAAATCATGTCTTTACAGCTCGACCACATTCTCATACCCTGTACTCCGTAAGGTTTTTTCTTCATCCATCCGATAACCTACTCCTCTTTCGAGTTAGTGGCTTGTTGGCTCGTGCATAATCGACGAAACGTGATGCATAAAAGAAAGTCTAACCTTTCGCGGTCTAATGCATTTCTCAAGGCTGTTTCAGTGACACGAAGATGTGCATCGTGGCGCGTGTCAGACGCGTGCCAGCCGAGCAATGTCTGTCCTGGCTCAACTTGTCTCGCATGCGTGAACAGCATTCGCTGGTGGACACCCCATCATCTCCGACATCGGCCTTCGGTAAGGGATCTCGGACCTGTTCAGCCTTGCTGTGAGGAACTCAGAGACTGATAGCATAAATGCTATAGATAGATGATGAATATTTGTCTGCTTCCCCAAACCTATATTGATATGCTACTATTAATACTAAGGGCTTGATTATTCCTAGAATCCTGGACCCTCCCCAGTTCCTGTTGTATTCTCTGTACCTCACCATAGCCCAACCTTTCTCGCATCTGGCTCAAGACGCCCTGGATTAATGCCATGTCTTCATCTGAACTCACAGCATATCCAAGAATCAGCAATGGCCAAAGCCCGAGAAACATCCCTGTCCATTTTTCAACCTCCTGAGGCTGCCGTAAAATTTCTAAACAACTCTCCACCTGCCAACGGGGAGAATCGTTGGTATTCAAGAGACTTAGAAGGTCGATTGGTAGTTGGTAGGTAAAGCATTCTGTGACTAGGTCGAGCAGTAGTGATGTTGCAAGAATCACGAGATCGAATTTGTGCGCAGCGGAGGCGGATGTGAGGCTAGGAGCAGCTCTGGGTACTACCAATGCTACCCAGTAATCCATCTCAGATCGTAGTCGAGCAAGGTTCTCGGGGATTTGCTGTGCGGGCGCGTTGTGGAAATTGATGACTTTGAGTTTTAATCGATATAGAGTCGTAGGAATACCCAAGACGGGACTGCAGGCCGCATATGAGGAGTCTTGTGAGTCTAGCGGCGCGAGCAATCTCTCCACATTTGTGACAAACTCCGGATCGATGTGGAAGTAAGGCGCGAAGGGCCTTCGTGTGGACAGGAGAAAAGCTTGGTAGAGAATGCTCTCTGCAATGATGCGGTCGAAGCCTTGGGTCATGGACCCGGGCGAGGCCCCGTGCTTGGATACAAGGTCAAGCAGTGTCACCGCGCCGGCGACATGGTGTCTAGGATCGACCGAGTCGTCGAGGGACCATAGCTATGAGAAATTTTAGCCCTAGTGAAAACCACATAAGAGCGAGGAGCACATACGTCATGAACGTACAAGAAGACTACTGTTGTTAGCAATGAAGAATCAGGCTGTTTATCCGTTGACTGAAACTTGGCGAGCGTCTGATTAAGCTCATGGACTGCTTTGGAGTAGAAGTGAAGAGCAATTTTCTTATGCCGATTGTCATTTAGCAGGACGTGTTTGTTGCAGGCGCAACAAGCAAAAACAGCATCTTTGACGCTTGGGGAATGAAACATCATGTCAATGAGCTCCGATCGGCTTTGCCTGACGTGCTCCTGGCTGCTTGTGGGGAGTACGATAACAGAGAAGTAGTAGTTGAGGAGGTGATGAATCAGTTCACTCTCGATGCCAGGTTTAAAGAGAGAGCGTCCCGGAGAAGGCGATCTGCCAAGATAGGGGACGATGGCTGTGCGGTTCAAGTCAGGGGATTTTGACTCTTCTGAGGTAGAACTGGAGCTTGAGCGCGATGGTTCGGCAGGGGATAGATCGGGACTCGCCCGAGAGCGGTGCCGCCGATCGCAAAGGTCCGTTGAAGATGGCCACACACATTGACGGCCAAATGCAGAGCAATTCCGACAAGATGGCTTCTCCTCGCCGCACTTCACCTTCCGTTTCCTGCCTCCAGGGTTGTCAGCATTCAGGGGCAGCCTATGCAAAAGAACTCACAAGTAAAGCATCCGGTTTTGGCGCGCAGAGTTGCCTTGGTCATTGTCAGTTATGGCTCAATGCTGGAAGCATTGATATGATGAAGCTGAGTTCCTCTGGGTTATCAGTGGCTGTTCGGGAGACAGGGCGGCATTCAAAAGCGGGGTTCCATCAGTCGAGATGCTTTGCGGGCTACAAGGGCAAGAGGCTAAGACGCATTTGGTTGCAATCTTATCACGTTAGCTGCTGACACGGGAACTGAACGGGGGAAGTAATGGATTGTTGGTTTACTCTTATCAGCTACAATCCAGCGGAACATTGGACCTGAACAGCCCTCAGGCGATCTGGTTGGAGAAGCTTATTTGACGCTTCGAGACCCATGCCGCTCAAGGCGATAATTGCCCCTTTACGGTAGATCTGGTGTAAAAGATCTGGAGATTATTGGAGAGCTTTTAAGGCACAACGCAAGATTTGTTGATAGCTACGAATAGTATAGTACAGTCATATCATATCTTATCAAGTGTTGGACCCCAGTCTTGCTTCCTCCGACGCACGAGAAGTCGCAAGAGGGCCTCCTTGAATGACTACTCGGACCTAACCGGTACAAAAATGGCTGCTCTTCCCAGAATCTGGCCAGCTCAAACGAATTTATTAAAGCCCGGGATCTTACGATTGAACAATCTTGGATACCAATTCGGTTGCTGCCACCGTCTCTTCGTCTCGGAAGTGCTTGCCCACAAGCTGCAATGCAATGGGAGCATCCGCAAACGTTTCCGGCACGTCTAGAAAAGTGTCAGGATGGGATCGAGGAATGAAAGGGGAAATCTGACTGACACTTTTTGCATTCTCTGGCGTCTTCTTTAGAACGAGGCTTGTAGTCTTCAATGACGTCAATTGCTGGATCGACTTTAAGGCCAGTAGGGAATGCCACGCAAGGCTGGTCGAGGATGTTCCAAATGGCCGTATACAGCCAATATTGTCCAGAACCCAACGTCGCAGCGGCCCCGACATATGCAGGGCAGAGGATGACGTCGACGCCTCTTTCCTTCATGACGCGATGATACCTGGAGATTTCGGTTAGCAACGCGAGGGAGTAGTTGGTTCACATGTACGTACTCTTCCCGATAAGCATCTCTCCGGACGTTCAATGCCCAGTTCTCGGGTAATGAGAGGGGCTCTGGCCGGGAGCTGCTGAAAGCCCATTCTGTCAAAGCTGCGACCGGCTCCCCACCTTGTGCCAATATATCTTTCTGTGTGCGCGCGGCATCTGGGAAATAGAGAGACAGGATAATGTCGGATCCTTCTTGATGCTTATACGGCTCGAAGTCGACCACCTCAACACCAGCTTCTTTGAGCTTGGTAACAGCATGGTGCAAGGCGCGTTTAACGGGAGGATGTGGACGCACCAGACTGGTGAGAATGTTAGTTGCATCCTGGCATGTATTACCGGCTTTTTCTGGTGACACTCACCCGTCATCCCATATGACCCCAACAGTAATTTGGTCAGGACGGAAGGGTTCAACCTTTTTCCAAGGCAGAGGCACTAAAGATGTCTCGACCTCCCAAGGCTCTTGATCAAGAACTGCCCTTTGGAAGAGGTTCAGATCCTCGGTGGTATTGGCCAGCGGTCCGATGACGCAGCGAACACTCTCTTGCCCAGATCCGGCCAAACACACTCCATTGTATGGGTTTCGCAATGCCGTCGGTCGAAGGCCGTATGCGCCGCAGAATGCTGCCGGGACTCTGATTGAGCCGCCAATATCGGTGCCGATGCCGAGTGCGGCGCAGCGAAGGCCGAGAGAGGCTCCTTCACCACCGCTGGAGCCGCCGCAGGTGAGTGCACGATTGTGAGGGTTGACAGTAGTGCCATAGATAGGGTTACTGCAGTCGATGTGCTGACGAGTTAGCTTAAGCATCAACAAAGCAATAGTGGGCTTACCATGACACTTTGAGGCTCGTTTGTTCGCACGTGAAAGACTGCGCCAGCTTTCTTGAGCAGCTGAACAAGGAGTGCATCTTCTTCTGCTATGTTGTCAATCCATGCAACATATGCCGAGTGAACAATGCGGCCCTTGAACCCGATGTGTTCTTTGGCAGAGATGGGAAGGCCGTGCAAAGGCCCCTTGAGTTTTCCGGTTCTCTTGAAGTAGGCATCGAGTTCAGTCGCAGCACCCAGAGCTTCCTCAGCCATGAACTCGGTTGCGAAGTTGGTCAACTGGTGCGCAATGTGTGCTCTCTTAAGAAAGGCGGTGGTGGTCTCAACAGCCGTAAGCGAGCCGGAAGCCATTTGCTGAACCAGATCTGTAGCGCTGGTTGCTGTGATCTTCAGCTCTCGTGCCGTGAGCAAGCTGCATGTTTCTATGAAGGTAGAAACGTTCAGCTGACTGGCGGGTGCTAGCTCCTTGGGTGACAGGAGCCAGGCCGGGTTCATCGAGTCTCTGAGAATTTTGCGACACTTCTCTGCCTGGGTCTCCCAGGAGACTGCGGTTAAAGAACCCATTGATGGAGGATCCCAAAGAAAATTCTGATTTGAGTTGAAGAGGTAGAAGGTGGGTGTCTAGGCAGATTCGCGTTGCGCTTGTGGGAGATAACGAACTGGAGATGCCATCTTTATACCGCTATCTCGGTGTCCTGATATCCCCGGGGGATCGAATCTTATCTGGCGGACCGAGGGCGGACCGCCAAGGGTAGCTGTTGACTCTCAATATCGTGCTGCGTGCCAATTCGCTGCCGTATCCGAGAGCTGGAATCGATATAGAGCATCGCCATGAAGCCCTGGAGGATCACCCCCGCTAAGCACCGATTGCAGATAACGCCACCTGTTTCCCTAGTTTGGACTGCCTCGCAATTCAAGGCCATTGGTCAGGACCTCGCAATTCTTACGGATTGGTCATGATAGCCGCGTCAGGGTCATACCCCGGATTTCCCTATCTGCCTCCGAGTTTAGCCCCTGTCCGAGCTAAATCTCGCAAACGCGATCCATTGGCTGTTCCCCCGCAAAATGACCCTCCACCAAGCTGCCGGTAATCTCCAACCCAGACTTTGGTCCAAGATAACGAGTGTGACAGCAGAGCATGATGAGGCGTCTGGAAGGAATAGTCTCCTGATAGTGCCATGCTCGGCAAAGTCCTCCTGTCGCGTAGCAGCGATACGCCGTCATCTAGTGGAAAAGTCTAACTACCATGAATCTCGGTCCGCCTGGCACCATCGAATCATTATATATACTCGTTGAGTTCGGATGGAAATCTCAAGACCTCACCTGTGCCTCCATCTGCGGAACAGTACAGCTACAGCCAACCTCCATTGTTTCTTGGAGTATCCTGACGTATCTCTTCCTCTGTGTTACATCCTATATTGGATCATCGTCATGGCTTCACCAGTCGCTTCGGCAACTCCCTCGCCGGACTTCATACCCGGCACTATCCACCTTGTTGATCTTGATGGTACCATGCACTCCCGTCATGCTGAGGGTGCGACTCGCGACGTTGTCCTTGTTCCAGCACCTTCAGATGATCCAGACGATCCATTGAACTGGAGCCACCGAAGGAAGACCCTCCTTCTAAGCTGTATCTGCGTGTAAGTTGCACCGTAATTGCCCTCTTTCTAAGTGGAACCAATGCTAATTCCGTAGGTACTGTCTTGCGGTTGGTATCGCGTCAGCTGCCATCTACTCGGTCCTTGTTCCCATCTCCGCTGCTACCAACCTCACTGTCGGCGACTTGAATACCGGAACTGGCTACATGTTCTTGGCACTCGGCTGGGGATGTCTGATCTGGCAGCCGCTGGCTCAGAAGATTGGCAAGCGGCCAGTATATCTTTTGTCACTGCTGGGCACTCTGGTAAGTTAACTAGTCTGGCTTTCTAGACTTGAACGTCAGCTAAGGTGTTGATAGGGAATGATGCTATGGGCCCCTCATGCCAAAACTAATGGCCAATGGATCGCCAACAAGGTCATCCAAGGGATGTTTGGCGCGCCCATTGAGTCTCTGTGCGAAATCTCTGTTGCCGACGTCGTAAGTGATGAGAACTTGAAGAGCCAGTCCACTTATACTGTCTAATACGTCACATAGTACTTTACTCACGAGCGTGGAACCTACATGGGACTCTATGCTCTGTTCCTTGTCGGGTCTAATTTCTTAGCACCTCTCATGTCGGGATTCATCAATGACGGACAAGGCTGGCAATGGGTTTTGGTATGTTCAACTACTTATTCGATGCTTTAATCTAACATCGAGGACAGCACTGGTGTTCCATCTTCAACGGCATCGCATTCGTCATCATCTTTTTCTGCATGGAAGAAACCAACTACCATCGTTCTGCTACTACGCCGATGGCCGACTCAGACCAGGACCGCCCTCAGAAGAACAATTTGACCGACAACTGCTCCGATGAAGAGAAGGCCACCAGAGTACAGAGTACTGCCAACACTGACGTTGATCATGGTACCGTTATATCTTCTACCAAGAAGACATACCTTGAGAAACTCAAGATCATCCGTCGAGAAGACCTTCGGAGTAAGGTTCCATTGACTAACATGGTCATGCGAACATTTGTGTACTTCTCATTCCCTGTTGTTGTGTTCTCTGGATTTATGTATGGAGCAGTCGTGTGCTACTTCAATGTGCTGAATGCCACAGCGTCGCTCATCCTTTCCGGAGATCCTTACAACTTCTCTTCGAGCATTGTCGGGCTTTCATATGTGTCAACCCTCATTGGAGTGTGCTTGGGGTGGGTAGATCCGCTCATTCTTCTGAATCTTTGCTGACGAAGACTTGCAGGACATATTACTGTGGACCATTGGGCGACAAGTTTGTCCTTTGGAAGGCCCGCCGAAACAATGGCATTATGGAACCTGAGCACCGTCTCTGGCTATATACTGCCCTGGTAGTCATGGTACCCGGCGGTATGATTCTCTGGGGCGTTGGTGCCGCCCATCAGATTCACTGGGTTGGGATGATGTTTGCCATGGGTGCGCTCGGAGCAGCTATTACAATTGGCTGTCAACTGCCCATCAGCTACTGTATTGATTGCTACAGAGATCTTGGATCCGATGCCATTGTCACTGTGATTCTGATCAGAAACACTATGAGCTTTGCCATCGGTTACGGGTACGTTGTTCTGTCTCAACTTGACGAGCCGTTGCTGATCCAGCCCATTAGAGTCACGCCTTGGGTTACGAACATGGGCTATCAGAATGCTTTCCTTGTTGCAGCCTTCACTGCTTTAGCTCAGCTGTCTTTGTTTCTCGTATTCATCAAATGGGGCCGCCATTTTCGCAGGGCCGGTGTCGCTCGTTATTGGAAGTATGTCCAGCAGGTCAAAGACGATGGCTTGCTGCATTAGGAGAATGTGAAACAAGCTATATTTACTTAGCAGGCATCGCATGGGGGCTTAGCAGTTATGAACATGCCCAGCCATTGAGCAGAAAGTGTTCAGGTGCGCTGATTAGATAGATTCCAAGCCCCCAATGCACTTTGTGCACTTCAATCACCAGCACAGCCAATACAATTTTCGCCACAGTCTCGCCAAGTAGTGGGCTTGCATATACAGCTGTGCACTTTCTCCTTCATGACCCAGAGCCTGATTTCACTCTTTTCTACTTAAGGTCCTCGTCTCCTCCGATTTGAGTAGATATTGTGGACCTGTCTCACCCCTCACTACCGAGAAACGTCAAATCTTTGCCCTCACCATTAGAGGCAGGCAACTCGAGCACCAAAATGAATCAGCAAAGCCCTCCTCACCATAAACATCCCCAGTTTCTCAGCGGTTCCCCCGGTGATCCGGGGATACGACGCCGCCCTCATCATCATCATGTTCTGTCGGCTATGGAGTTGAGAGACCTAGGTGTCGGTTTTAATAGTGGTGCGCATCTGAGCAGCGGAGAAGATATCCACGACTAAGCCGCATGGCCATCGCGATACTCTCCATCTCACTAGAGTCATCTGAGCCAGAGAGAGCCTTCTCTGGGCCCGCAGGACATGCTCATGGGATAGGCTGCGAACTAAATATGCAAACATTGAGAGGGTAGAGTGTATAGGCAGCTGGCTGCGCGAAGGTCAGTTATATCATACCTATATCCCACGGTGGATTTAGGTTACTAATAACAGTTTCTAAATTAAAAGATAGTCTTACTGATTTATATTATAATCTAAAAGACAGAAGGGATACTAATTAATATAAAATCAAGCTACTAAGTTAATTATTTAATTTTATTATCTTATTAGCTTATTATTATATTTTATTATATATTACTACTAGTAGGTAATAAAACAATACGTGACGGGGGTTATATCAGGCCCTAATACTTTATCTCCTAAGTTACTATAATGCTATTAATCACAAGGACTTCCATAGCTGAACAAGTCTTCTTATATATATAAACTACAAATAGTATAACCTGCAAGCCGGATATAATAGATGCCTCAATCAGTAGGGCTGTGTATTTCTAATAATGTGAGATAACACGTATATTAAAAGGCGGTATATTAATGGCATTCTAGTTAATACTATTAGGAGTTTTTAGTATTCCTAGATTCTCCTCTTTATTCTCTTTATCCGAGTCGTCTTTAGCGCCGTTTTCGATGTCATCCTGGCCATCAGTGTCACTTTACAATGTCTCACCAAGTATTGTATAACTAGGGAGATCTTGCTCGGCGCTCTCTTGACTCCGGGATGATAGGGGGTCGACCACCTGATCTAACACAACTATCGGGCTGAAGGGATAGAGACCACACTTTACCCAATCAGAGAGGCTTGTAGGCTTCTTAAAAGTATGGTTCCTTATCTCTTAGACTCTCTAACCTCCTCATCTCGTGGCTGGGTGGCCTCGGGGAAGCGCCGAGACTGTTGTTAGGCGCGTTAGCTGTCTAGACCTTCCAGCGTTCGGCGGATCTCTTCAAGCGGAACCTTGACCGGTTCTGCTCGTCGCATGGTATAAGTGGGGACAGCGGGAACTAGCGTTTCTAAAGGGAATAACAGTAGCGAAACGAAAAACCACCTTCCTTAACCAATATAGGGGTTAAAGGAAAGAATTAACATGTTTATTATCGAAGGGGCCGGCCACGAGAGAGTAATAAAGGCATAGGGGAAGAGTTAAGTTAATATATAGTTATAGCTCGGGTTAGCAAAGTAAATATATTTTAGAGCTAGTAATTTATAAGATATTAAATAATTAGCTCTATAGGGGTTATTAATAATATTAATTAATTAATAAGAATATAAAAATTATAAAAAAAATAAGAGAAATTAAATAATTATAAATTTAAGTAAAGGTATTTAAGCTTATATTATTAAGATTAGAATCCTTAATATAATAAGCTAGATATAAAACTAGATATATAACTTTAAGCTAGAAGCCGCGTTTTATATTCCGTTGCCCGATGGGGGTGATATGCGAGACAAATTATAGCTAGGAACTCTTTCAAGGTCGAGACCTCTCCACCTGTGGCATGGAGACACTCACCAGGAACATATCCAGATCGGTGACACCGGCCTGAAGAATGGCATACCAGGGCGCGGCGTTCGGCCTGGCATCTTACGAAAGGAGGGCGCGGAAGAAAGAACCTTTTCGTTCCTCAAAGGCATTCAGCATCGGCGTAACCCCATCGTTAGCCGGAAGGTAGCCTAAGACGATAGTTTCTCTTGGTGGAAACCTAATTCACTGTGCCGCGCGTCCCGTGATTCTAGGAAAGTCTCGTAAATCCGGAATAACAGATCAATCTTAAAAAGCCAGCAAGTCGTACTCTCTGATACCTGCTTTCTCTTTCTTCCCACAACCTTCCAACATTAGACATTAACGTGCTTTATCTTTCCCACAGTTCCCCCTGATTATGCCTGGTTTAATGACAACCGCCGTGCCTGTGGCCGTGTACGGCCGCGAGCCCAGTATTCACATCGCTGTCAACAGAGGCCTGCTCCCGGATTATGATGGTTCGTCAGCCATGCCCATTTCTTGACTGTCTGACTCAATAAGGCCTACAGTCGTTAACTCCTGCACCGACCTGTCTTCTGCCAAGGCCGAGCTTCCGGGTCTTTGCGCCGGTGACGTTGGCATCGCCCCGTCCTCGGGAATCGGGAGTAACGGGAACCTCGCTGCATCTGAGAGGAAGATTCCCAGGTTCGTGTTGATCGGCTCCGGCATTCCGGATCCCGACGTTGAGCAGGTGACGCCGGCCATCATGGAGGCTGCTCCGGCTGTGCGCATCATCAGGGTTTCTAAGGAGGACATGCGCTTGGCAGGCGCGGTTGGGCCCGACGTGGAGAAAATAGTGAAAGTTTTCAGGGAGAAGCTCGATAAAGAGCGCTGAGATTGCTGTTGTTGTTCTGTCTGGTGTTTTTCATCATGAAGACATGGACGGGTTAGCCTAGCGGTAGTTGATCCTGTTGCCGTCGTCGGTCGAGTATTAAGCAGCTGTCTGTTTTTAAACATCTTGAAAAGACTCCTTCTGAGGGTGGTGACCAAGTTTTGCAACTCTTGTTTCTGGTCTACTTGCTTCCTACAGCCAGAGTCCCTGGCTGTGTTGTTCTCGGTTGTTCATTTCCAGCTCAGTATTCGGGCACGGCCAGACCGACCACCGTGGAGCCAGTTCGGGGCTCACTACTAATTGCGGCAGCACCAGAATTCAATCAGCGATCCGGCTGGCCAGCCAACCCATTACTTCCACTCAGTGACCAATCGACAAATGTCGGTGATGGCGGAGATCCATGATTTGACACAGCCGTTATACGGCATCCCAGCTAACCTGATGAGGCTAGCCATCCGGACTGGCATGATTCCACAACCAACAGTCGTCTCATGTAACTTGGCCTTGTTTTCTGACTGCTGCGGCTAGGCGACAGCCGGGAACACGGGTCCTGAATCCCAGCCAATGGGTCCGACGATTTGTCAGTGTCGGTCCTGCACTGACTACTCCGCCTTGTGCTTCGTATGGCAGAGCGAGCCGGGCCGAAGGCAAGTCGGGAGCCCTCTACCGCTCTGGAGGTCAGCTCCGTCAAAAGCTACTTTACACAGCTGGCGCATATCCCTTCTTCCGAACCGTATACGTTGAAAGCTTTAGTTGGAGGATAGGCTGTCTCTCTCGATCCTCAGTGCGTTTTGAGATATACGCTACATGATCTCAGCTGTCGCTTGCCCAATGAATGGCCCATGAACCCAGACTGTAATCGGGACGAATCTTGGACCAGCAAAAAACCGCATTCCATAGCTTTGAAACTTAACATATGCATATGACGGGCTGCCAATATAAATGCTGCTAACAATGGGTAGAAAACCTGCGGTGGCCCTGGTAGTAGGGTCGATATGGGGAGCCTAACTGTGAAGCTCAAGTCCTCAACGTGCCAGCAAATCACGCTAGGCATCGGACTTAAAAAAGTAAGAGCCGGCTTACAAAGCGTAGCTAATTCTCCAAACATTGAATGAATTCCAGAAACCAGCCGTATTGACCGCTGTTTCGTACTACGTCGTCTCTGCGACCGACCCTGTCTTCCGTGCCCATGTCGTGATGTTGTGAATGGGGCAGTAAGGGTTGTCAACGCCACTTGAGAATGATACGTCCGGTACTTTCATGAGTTAGGCCAAGCGGTACTTGGAGATGCCTAAAAGTTATCCATGTCGCGGAGCTGGACTAACTTTATAAATATGGTGCACATGATCTTGTCGTTCCTTGAATTTCAACTTCTCAAAATCTCCTGGCAACCATCACCGTTGCATAATACGAATGGCATCACCAAAAGTCGTCGTTCTCGTCACTGGCGCCAACCAGGGCATCGGCTACTGCATCGCCCAGCAGCTCGCGAGCTCGGGCAAATACAATGTCCTCGTCGGAGCACGCTCCTCCTCCAAAGCCGAGGCCGCGGTCCAGGCGCTGCAGGCAGAGGGAATTAACAAAACGACCTTAACGCCAGTTGCAATTGATGTGACCGATGACAGATCCATCGCAGCGGCCGTCCAGACTGTGTCGGACCAGGCTGGGCATCTGGACATCCTAATCAACAACGCGGGACTTGGAACGTCAACCGCGGCCACCATTCGAGAGCAATACCGCGAGATCTTCGAGGCCAACGTCTTCGGCGTAGCTGCGGTGATAGATGCGTTTTTACCACTGATAAGGGCATCGTCTTTTTCAGATCGCCGCGTCGTGAACGTCACGTCAGCCGTCGGGCTGACCACCATGGCAAGTGAGGAGGGCTTCGAGTACAACGCCAAATCTTATTACGTTCCTGATTACCGCAGCAGCAAGGCCGCAGTCAACATGATAACGGTGGCTCAGTCTGTCAAGTTAGCCGAGTACGACATCGCCGTGGTCGCGGCTGCCCCTGGCATGTGCCGCACTCGGTTCACCGGTGGTTACGGCATGAAGGATGCGAGCGAGGGTGCCAGGGCTATTGTGCGGGCCGCTACGGAGGGAGATCCCAAGAAACTCACTGGCACGTTCGTTGCTGATGAGCCCCATACGGGCTGGTAAAGCAATCATGGAAGCGATGGAGGGAGTGGCGTTAGAAAGTGCCCACAACCTGTAATGGATACTCTTTGGAAGTCTCTGTAGATGATGCTTGGAAATGGGAAAGCTTGAGGGGCGCTCCTTCTTACAATACTGGACTAGCCGAGCAGCTAGAAAGATTGGCGCCGCGTAAGTAATCGCTCATTGTTACCCTGCCGAGCGACACATACCTTGGGAGAAGGGAGCCGCGGGGGCTGGTAGCGGAATGGCAGCAACGTAGGTAGAAAAGCTAACCGTCTTCTAGAGGAAAAGGGGCACCATTTAACTCCGAGCGAGCCAGAGTTATATCACCATGTTAGGGAAGATTTTTCAACTACCCGTTGTCTCATGCGGGTCCTTCGTGCAGATACGAGGAGGGTTTTAGTTCGTTTAATAATATTCTACTTACTTAAGGGGGGCTAGAGACCGGCCCGGTCCCCTATGTTTAGTTTTAGTTATACTTAGAAGACTAAGCACGGGGGGTATATTAACTTAGGAAATAACGTACTTGATAAGCGAGTGAGCCAGACAAGCGAGTGAGCCAAAAATCCCTCAACCTACATCATCTCTATTTGATCAATTGATTCTCAACCACCCAGCATGTCACAGTCTAATTATGAAGCTAGAATGCTCCTTGCCCTTCAGGCCCTTCAAAATAACCCAAACCTACGTATACGACGCGCTGCAGAGATCTATACAGTCAACCGTTGTACTTTAGGTCGCCGGCAAAAGGGCATCCAGTCTCGACGCGATACTACCCCGAATTCACGCAGGCTCTCTGATCTAGAAGAAGAGATCCTTATTCACTTTATTCTAGACCTAGATTCGCGAGGATTTCCCCCACGGCTACGTGGTGTGAAAGATATGGCTGATCAATTGCTTGCCGACCGCGACGCGCCACCAGTTGGCACGCGTTGGGCTCATAACTTCGTCAAGCGGCACCCAGACCTTAAGACGCGTTTCTTTCGTAAATACGACTACCAGAGAGCCAAGTGCGAAGATCCAACCATTATCCGCGATTGGTTTCGGCTTGTGGCGAACATAATCGCGAAGTACGGCATCCGATCAGATGATATCTATAACTTTGACGAGACTGGCTTCCTTATGGGTATGATTGCAAGCGGAATGGTTGTCACAGGTGCAGAAAGGCGTTCAAAGCCGAAATCAGTGCAGCCTGGAAACCGGGAATGGATTACAGTCATTCAAGCGATCAATGCGGAAGGCTGGGCGATCCAGCCGTTTATCATCGGTGCGGGCCAATATCACCTCGCCAATTGGTACCGAGAAAGCAACCTCCCGGGCGATTGGGCTATTGCGACGACCCAAAATGGCTGGACCGATAATGAGACTAGTCTCGAGTGGCTCAAGCACTTTGACCGATGCACAACCAATCGATCAATTGGTTCTTATCGTCTCTTGATCCTTGATGGCCACGAAAGTCACCACTCCATCGAATTTGAGAGATATTGTGAGGAAAAGAAGATCATCCGGCTTTGTATGCCACCTCATTCGTCTCATCTTCTCCAGCCCCTTGACGTCGGGTGCTTTAGTGTGCTAAAGAAGGCTTATGGTCGAGAAATAGAGCGTTTGATCAGATGCTCTATTACCCACGTTTCAAAGACGGAGTTCTTTCCGGCCTTCCACGCCGCACACGAGGCTACTATGACGGAAACAAATATCAGGGGTGCATTCAAAGGAGCCGGCCTTATCCCTCTGGACCCGGAAAATGTGATCTCGAAGCTTGATGTGCAGCTACGGACGCCAACGCCGGTTGAGGAGACAGCTCAACCGTCGACCCCTTGGGCTTCAAAGACCCCAAAGACCGTGCTTGAGGCTGGATCTCAGTCTGAATACCTCGAAAGACGAATCAGAAGGCACCAGAGTAGCTCCCCAGAGTCAATTTTAGAGGCTCTTCAGAGTCTTGCGAAGGGGACAAAGGCTGTTATGCATCGGGTTGCCTTATTGACTGCTGAGAATAAAGACCTTCGAGAGGCGAATGAGATATTAAGCCGGCGCCGGAGGGCAAAAAGGACTAGACTACAGAAAAGAGGAGTAATAACGGTAGAGGAAGGAAGGCAAGCAATTGATCAAATGGATGTGGATGCGCAGGTAGTGGCCGAATCGTCGAGGAGTGGTGGTCGAGGAAGGTCGGTTGGACCGGGTGTTCGGCGCTGTGGTGTCTGCGGCAAGCCCGGGCATAATGCAAGGACCTGTCAGGTAGTGATTGAGACATCTGGGGAAGAGTATAGTGAGTAGTTTTAATTGATTAGATGGTTTGTGGTGTTTTTATTGCGATTTCTAGTAGAAATGTTAGGATTTCTGGCTCACTCGCTTGTCTGGCTCACTCGCTTATCAAGTACGTTAGCTAAATAATTAAGGAAATTTTTTTTAATTTTAAAAATATATAGAGAAAGAAGTTATTTTTAATTATATAAAATATCTTATAAAATATATTATTTTATACAACTTAAGACTTTACCCTTTATTATAGCTTAAATTATCTATTATTATATATTAAAACACTCCTTAGATTTTCCCTTTATAACTAACCTATTATAAAAGATCTTATTTCTTTAAAGACGAGGCCTTTACTTAGACCTTATTTCTCTAGGTATAAGGCCCCTTATATATATAATAGACCGTATTAAACACCAGAGCCCTGCTAGAAAAGCTATCAAGTCCACCTGATGTGTTTATTTTGCTCTAGTCTTTGCCTCTCTCAAGGTCCAAAGATGGCCTACAAATTCTAATTGTATCGACCTGGGGTTAGAGGGGACTCTCGGGTGAATCGTTTCAATTGTTGTTGGTCTTGAGATACAAATTCGCAAGATCTTACTAGTTTACCAGGCCATTTTCCGTGTCGCAGAAACGATCAATACTATCCAGAACCAAATCCTCTTGGACAGCGCCATGCCGGAAGCAGCGAGACGAGCGGTCGTGACCGAATGGGTCTGACTCGTCCTGGAGCCGTTGTTCAGAGTTGGCCGAAGAACGAGGCGAGCTTCTCGATGGCCTGTCCCACATATTCAGGCTTGTCGTAGAGCGCGATGTGCGTCGCGCCTTCAACGATGAACAATTCCTTCGGTCCCTTAGACAGAGCATAGGCTTCGTCGCTGTAGATCTTCGTATCCGCCTCGCTGCCAGCAATCAGAAGCAGGCGTTGTGTCAAAAGGGTCGGAATCAGGGGAAAGGTCGAAAAGGCCAGCATCTTGTCCATACTGGTCATCAGGAAGCGACCCTTGGAATTGGGGTGCTGGCCGCGCGGCGCCCTGTAATAGTCATAGCCCTCTCGAAGCATGGTGGGCGTCTTGTCGTCGATGTCCTCCAGCCTTTCGGGAACGAAAGGAATGTAGATCGGGGCCGCGCCATTTGCCTCCGCCGTTCTCTGCGCCGCAGCTGCCTCGAGCGACTTGATCTGCTCGGCAGGAGGGATAGGGTTTCCAAAGAACCCTCTGGCCGCTTCGCCCATCGGTGTCGCGCTGACGCCGGCGACGGCCTTGAACCGGCGTTCGGTCTGGGCCACGGCGAGTGCATACCCGCCACCGGCACACACACCGAAGACACCCATGCGTTCGGTATCAACGAAGGACTGGGTGGTCAGAAAATCCGCCGCGCAACGGGCGTCTTCCACCCTCGTCGTCGGATCCTCCAGGAGACGTGGCTCTCCTCCGCTCGCGCCTTGATAGGAGGAGTCATAGACGAGGACCACAAAACCATGCGTGGCGAGCTGCTGCGCATAAAGGCCGATGGTCTGCTCTTTGACGCCGCCCGCGGGATGAACACCCACGAGTGCAGGGTATTTCCGATCTTCCTGGAAGTCATCCGGGAGATGAAGAAGCGCGGCGATTCGCACACCTCGGTTCTGAAAGGTGACGTTGTTGGCCATAATATCAGGACTTCCGATGCGCATCAAAATGAACCAAGTCAGAGCGTGTGAGCTTTGGGTGAAGATTGCAGATGGAGATTGGTGGGGAGCGACTGTGGACGTAGGAAGCGGTGGGTTTAAATAAAATTTACGGCCGGCCTCTCGAAGGAAGGAGAAGGAGGGAAGGAAACGACACAAACAGGTGGGCGGCCGGTTTGCCTGAAAATTCAGTAGGCACGTATCTTCGCCCTTTCAGCCCCTGCAATATGACGCCGACGGTTGGAACATAGCCCTGGTATACTGGGACTATTAGGTTATAAAGATTTTTTATAGCTCTATAATTATGTAAAAGGACCTATAAACTATTATATTAGGAATATTATAAATATTATTACATGTATTTTCGTTGTACATATATATATATAAAATACGGTTAAATATCCTATATACTATTACTAAACGCTGTCGTAAGATAGACTTAGCATAACCCTTAATAGGCAATAATGCAGTGTGCTAACCAATCTGGCCGTTACTATTGTATGTCCGGGTCCTTTATGTTTGAGAGGCATTTAAAATAGTAGGGGCCTTGTATCGAAAAAGGAAACCGATCCGGTGACAGGAAAGCTTAGACTAGATTGGGTTTCTGGTGGCATCAACTATCCCCAGCGGGGTTAGCACGCTAAGTCCGCCAGTCTTCACTCAATCTCGTTATGTCCGGATGGCGCGCGAGTCATCAGGCTGGAAATGATAATCTAGACTTCGCGGCGGCTCCCCGACGTTACTTCGTCGAGTTTTTCAGAGCATTTAAGTTTGCGCCTCGTCTGTGAATGGGCCAAAGTCGGTGGGGCTGGGATGGTAGTTTAGAGGGACTCTGTGTGGAGTCAGGAGCCATATGTATCATGCGTCTCTCCAATCCTACAAGGACATCGTTTGTGACATCACCAAGTTTCACCTCGCTCCCCATAGTCTCAGCCAGAGTCGCCCGCTACTGATTGTTTTCTTTGAATTTCTTTGACCTCACCACTTTCAACCATGAAAAACCAATACGCCAAGGATCAGCCCAGCGGGTTCGTCAACTAAATCCGGAAGGTAGCCGTTGTTGGTGTCGGTGCCCCTATTTCCCGGCGAGCAGTACGTGCACAGCCGGCTGTGCAAATAAGACCACGTGATCGGCGCACAGCCGGCTGTGCAAATAAGATCTGATATGTAAGAAGCAACGTGGCCTTATTGCAAGACCATCACACACCGCCAATTGAAGCCTCCAAATGACTGATTGATATATTCTCTGGTCCCAATTCGACTTCTCGTGCCTTTATTACTATACAATGGACCCAATTGAAGCTTCTCGGCTCTGGCCTGACGATGTGCTCCCCCCGGAAAATGAGTATACCTCGCGGGAGCAACTGGTCACCGCCATCAACGCCTGGGCAGCACTACGAGGCTATGCATTCGGCGTAAAGAGCTCCTGGAAGACTCCTAGTGGGAGGATTGGAGTCATCTATAGCTGTGACCGTGGCACAGGGCGTGCCCCTTCTGATTCCTCGAAGGTACGGCAGCGGAAGTCCTCGAGTCGCCGGACAGGATGCCTCTTCTCTATCACAGCGAAGGAAAGCCTATGTGGGACTATATGGACATTGAAGCATCGTCCTGACGCCAAATTCGCCGAGCACAACCACGAGCCAAGCTCCAATGCAGTGGCACATCCCGTACATCGTCAGTTATCACGCCAAGACGAATCCACAGTCCAGCGGCTCGCCAGAGCCAATGTTGCCCCGAGGGAGATTAGATCCTATCTAAGCGTGGCATCAGATACAGCTGCCACACAGCAGGATATCTATAACTGCATTGCACGGGGCAAGCGAGACCTCGCTAGAGGACAAAGCAATATACATGCTCTCGCTGAACAGCTGGAAAGCGAGGGCTTCTGGAGCAAGATTCGCCTTGACGATGACGGCCGAGTTACGGCAGTCTTCTTTGCGCACCCAAAGTCACTGGGGTACCTCAAATCATATCCTGAAGTGCTTATCTTGGACTGTACGTACAAGACCAATAAGTATAAGATGCCCCTACTTGACATTGTTGGCGTTGATGCCTGTCAACGGTCCTTCTGCATTGCCTTTGTCTTCCTCAGCGGCGAGGAAGAAGATGACTTCATCTGGGCTCTTACTCATCTGCGGTATCTGTATGATCTTCACGGTATATCCCTTCCAACCGTGATACTCACAGATCGCTGTCTGGCATGTATGAATGCTCTTTCCTCGCCATCTTGCTTCCCGCTGTCACCCTCGCTGCTATGCCTATGGCATATCAATAAGGCCGTCTTGACTTATTGTATGCCTGCCTTTACTCGAGATAAAGATAAGCCCGAGGGTGATAAAGAGTGGAAGGAGTTTTATGACTCATGGCATAATATCGTCGCCTCAACGAGTGAGGATATCTTTAACGAGAGGCTAGAGAAGTTCAAGAAGAAATACCTTCCTGAGTATCTCAGAGAGGTGGGCTATATCCAGCAGACCTGGCTGGACCTCTATAAGGAGAGGTTTATCAAGGCCTGGGTTCATCAACACCTCCACTTCGACCAATCTGTCACATCCCGGGCTGAGGGTATCCATCAACTCGTTAAGGGCCACCTGAAGAACTCTCGAGCTGATCTATTCGAGGCCTGGAGGATCATCAAGCTCGTCATAGTCAACCAGGTTGCCGAGCTCGAGGCATGCCAGGCCATACAGCAGACCAACATACCCGTTGCTTTATCCAAGGCATTATATGGCAATATTCGTGGGTGGATCTCACGTGAAGCCCTATGGAAGGTTGAATATCAGCGGCAACGACTACTGAAGGAGCTTCCTGTATGCACACATGTATTCAGCACAAGTCTTGGTCTTCCATGTGCTCATGCACTTCAACGTCTATTGGCATCAGAGCAGCCCCTTCAGCTACAGCATTTCCACTCACACTGGCGCCTCCAACGCTCAGGGACCCCCCTGCTGCTTATTGAACCTCATAAGCAGTTTGATCATCTAGCAGCTAAATCTACACTGCCACCGTCAAGCACACAGCGTGAGCCTTCCGCCTTTGAAGCTATCGAGAATGCAGTACGTCAAAAGGCACCGCCAACGTGCTCGAAGTGCCATATCAAGGGTCATAGGATGGGCTCCAAAGCATGCCTCTTGCGCTACGACGACCTATTGCCAGCCCCAACTCAACCTTCCACGACAATGCATACAGTGACACATATATCCTCTCGCTCTGTCACCCGCTCATTATCGCCTGGGTCCCCATCAGGAGCCTCTGTTGTCTCTGAGACTATTACAACCACACATACAACCACACATACAACGATCCGGGTTATATCCCCCCCGGCAGTGGTGCCACCAGCTGTTGCGGAAGCCCCGGTGCTACGAGCTGGTGATCCCCGTGCTATTTATCAACGATATACGGACTCACGGGCGGCCTGGTATGATATGTTGCCCCGGGGAGTCCCAAGGACCAACCAATCATATAGGAAGGCTATGGGGCTGCCAATGCGCTACAGCAAAGCGGAATATGAGTGGTGCCTTGACTATAAGCAGATGGGGAGACACTGCAAGGCGGGAAGAAGTATTAGAGATTGGACTAAGGAGGAGCAGATGAGTTATCTTGACTGGGATAAGGCTGAGAGTGAGCGTGTTGAGCGTAACGTAGCGAAAGAGATGGCACAACAGCCTTTCTCAGGGCGGCGAGGTATGCAGGGAATATGGAATGCCGCTGAGGAAGATCTTGAAGTACAGGAGGGATTCTATCAGACTAGGAACCCCCCCCATTAACATTTGAAGGAGCAATGTAGTATATGATTTATATATATCAATAGAAGGACAAAGAAATTACCAATCTCCGAGTATACTTACAGTGGCTCAATGGCTCAATTTAACAGAGTAATCATTAAGTGTATACGTAGCATAAAGTAGACTTGGTTATCACGCATATTCAATATAGTAACAATGCCATAAGGCAGGCTTTTGAACTATCTACTGTGTGCCCTGCCAAGCCCACGTCACATAGCCACTCTGGTCAATACTCCGGATATAGAGCCCTGTCCGCTCTGCCTCCCGGATAGTGGGCACATACCTTGTCATCCCCGTGGCAGGCGTTGGCCATAGGGTCCCGTTGACTGTGTACCGAGGGGGGCCGCGAAGCTCTAGATCCAAGCCCTCAAGCGTGCCGCGAGTCCACCGTGGGGTTATATCAGGGTGAGGGCGGTGATACTGTGTATTAAGGGCATGGTCGAGCCATGCAACGTGCCAATTTCCCGTAACCAACCATCCCCACGGCATCGTATGAACAGCAACCGGCTCACCTCGAGGAGGGTAGCCAGTGAGATGGGCTCTATCCCTGGCCCCGGGATTCATATCGAAATAGACTGTGGCCGATCTCTCATCTGTGGGCAAGGTATGCTGCGCATACCACTGCTGGACCGCGAAGGGGGGCAAATCATCAGGGCCAAAACGCTGTGGTGCCTGGATTTGCTGGTTGTTCGGAATGGGGGCCAGTACCCATTGATTGCTAGGTGCCCTCGTCGCTGGGGTTACAGTGCTGTCAACGAAGATCGGGATATCAGGGGGGTTCTGACGCTGGCTCTGACGACGATTGAACATCTTGAATATGGTGTTGTATATGAGAATAGAGAGCATCTTTCAACAAAGAAGTCCTGGCCTTATATATCTCATACGTTGAGTCGATTCACTTACATCGTCGTTGTCACTTTGGTATGCTTCACGGCCTCGGGGGGCCTTATCCGCTACGCATGACCAACGACAATGGATGACATATGATTCATTGAATAGCTATACTCCTACTGAATCACTCACGATGTTCAATTGCATGCATCACGGCTGCTTCATTGTATGAAGAAGATATCTCTCACTTACACACTTTGGCGGGCTTACATATCAGATCTTATTTGCACAGCCGGCTGTGCGCCGATCACGTGGTCTTATTTGCACAGCCGGCTGTGCACGTACTGCTCGCCCTATTTCCCATTCATATTATTCAGCGTTGACTTTTTCGAAGGCAAGTGGGCGAATCGGCAAAGTCCTGACTGAACACATCCTCATGACAGGGCAACACGAGGTCACGGCCATAACTCTTAGGAACTTCCCGATTGTTCTATAAATAGTAAAGCTATTATATTTAAACTCTCCCTAAGGTCCCTAGTAAATGCCTGGGATCAGACGATAAGGGACACGAGCCTTAATTGCTTTCCACTCTTCTTTATACTAAGACTATATCAGCGTGGCTAAGAAGAGCAAGACTCGCACAACTTACCCTGTCAGAAAGATACGCGTCAAGCACCGGGACGCCCCGTGCAGCAAAATCGTAGAAGAAAAAGGCAAAAACTGCAATGCCCCACGCCCATCCCCCAGAAGCCAACGCGTACGCTGATCTCCAGATGGTGTAGCCCCCGTAGTTGACATGTCTCGCAAGCGAGAACAGACCACCGGCGTATGGCTTCCCCTTGTTAGCAGGGTCCCTCTTAAAGGCCGTCCGCTGGATCTCCGAGACGGCCTCCATTAGGATGCCAATTAGGTAGAATCCAACGGCAGATAGCAGCAGCGGCGAGGCCAGGTTCCCCGAGTCTGGGGTCTGGGACGTGACGGCCCAGACGGAAAAGACGGTGTTGAGAGAGTTGAGGACCGTGTTGAATAGGGCCACTGTGACTGCTGACGAGGGGGACATTTCTTGCTCGAGGACAAGAAAGATGTGGGTGATCTGCTTCAGGCTGCTGCCGAATGCCATAGCTGCGATGAGGTTGTAGTAAGGTCGTAGATGCATCGATCCATCGACGATGAGATTGGCGGCAAGGGAGGTGCCGCCGACTACACGAACTAGGTCCGAGGCCCACCCACGACGGAGGAGTGCGTACTGGAGAAAGGCGTCTGCGGCACGGAGTCCGACAAAGACGGTTGTGCCAAACCAGTTGATGCGTTTGACGCGGGATACATTGTCGCGGAGCTCTTTTGCCATCACGCAGGGTGTTGGGGAACTTTACTATGTTATGGGCAAAAGTGGGAAGGGGCCAAGGGACAATAGCAAGGGTGTTCAGACAATTGAGGTGAATGCAGTGAATGCAAATAACAACAGCCGCGACCTCCAAATTATAGGAAAATTCAACCCGGCCATTGACCTGCAGGTAGTCGCTCACATTGAAGCAACGCGAGCTGACAAATCCTCACATTGTCGATTGACGATGGGATGTAAATCACAACTCCAGAGTTTGTTGCTCCGGAAGGCTAACCTGATTAGACTTGATTGGCATTGACAGCATATATCGGACCGCGCGCCCCGAGCATCGACATTCTCCCTGTGCTCGGAAACGTCAGTTCTCCGAATACCGAGTTATCGCAAGATCCACGTTCCCTTAGCCATCCTGCTCACTGAGACCAACGGTTCGTGCGTTCAACCATTTACGCCCGAGATGCAATCAACCATGAATGTCCTCATCACAAGGTCAAGCCGAGGTATTCCCACGTTCTTCCAGCCAATCTACCGCTCATATCTCCAAGGCATTGGAAAGGCCCTTTTAACATCATACATCTCCAGACCTAATCATACCATCATCGCCGCCGTGCGAGACCCCTAGCTCCAAAGTCCTGCATGTCATTCCCCCCCACCCCTCGGCCAAGACAGCAAGGCCATCCTGACCAAGTTCGATAGTCCCTCCGAGGCCGACTACAACGTAGCAATAGATATCTTGAGATCCTAGCATGGCACAATGAAACTTGACCTCGTCATCGCCAACGCCGGCATCTCAAATCACTTTGGCAACCCGGCCATTACGCCTGTCCATGAAATGACGCACCATTGCACGATCAACGCTTTCGGTCCCCTGCTCCTCTTTCAGGCGACTTCGTCTCTGCTCTCGGCCTCGCCCGCGCCAAGTTTGTGGCCGTGTCGTCTGGCGCGGGGGAGCATCGTCGGGATGGACACGCTACAGGTTGAGAACACGGCTTATGGGTCGTCCAAGGCGGCGTTGAATTTCATCACGAGGAGGATACATTTTGAAAATCGGTGGTTGATTTCTTTTTCTGTTAATCCTGGTTTTACCCTAACCCTAAGTTGTAGACGGATGCATGCATACTCCTAGTTTTCATCGACCTGTGCTTGTGCTAACTTTCTAGCTTGGAAACCATGCGGCAAGGAGCTTGGGGCTGGCAAAGGCCCCTGTTTCGGCGTAGGATGGTGTGAATGTCTTGATTGGGATTATTGACAAGGCGACAAGCCAGGAGGCATCGGGGAGGTTCTGGTCTTGGGTTGGGCGAGAATTTGCGTGATAGACTTGATTTGAGGGAGTCCTCTTTTAGGCTAGTGGTCCTTGGTTCGAAGATATCCCGACGTTAATCGTGCTTCGGGGTCCCCTGCGTCGTTGGCAACCGTATACCCTCACATCCAGGCTGTATCCTATCCCCTCAGCGCAGAACCTCCCCGATCAAGAAGATGGCATCCTTGTTGCTAAAGTCTGAAACATCTGCCATAATCTCCCCCACCTCCGGTCCAGCAAATGCCGTCTTAACCTGCTCTACATTGTCCCAGGTGACGACAGATCCAAAGGCGTAGAGAGAAGGCGACCCGTCTAATCCGTCGATAAACTTTGTGGCTGACCAGCTTATGATGCCGTATTTAGCCCAGCGCTCTTTGATTAAGGGCATATGCTTGGTTAGGTAGTAGTCGATATTGTATTTGGCGTCGGGGACGTTGGGGAAGACGACTGTAACGGTGGCGGCCATAGTGGATAGAGGGACGTGGTAGTTTTCTTAAAATGTTTGAATGAGCGTTGTGAGACAGATGCCTGCGGTGACTATCCCAGTGGTAATATATAATAGCTGAAGCGACATCAGTTTATAATCAAGTCTCGCGCACGCCGCCTGCCCCAGACCGGTATTAACGGACTTTATGTCCTTTCTCCAGTCGGCCCGAACTCACGACTGATATCATGCATGCCGTAAGTAAGTTTAGCTAGTGGAAGCAAGGCAGCTTAAAATAAACCAAGGGATTAAGCGCCAAAACCAACGGTCGAGAGTCTATTTAAGCAGGCCGTCACCAGAATGTCTCAAAAGCAACCATTGAAGATCCTACACGTTTAATCCAGTTACCATTCCCATCATGTCTCCTAAGCCGAAGCTTCTCATTATCCTTACGTCCCAGGATATCCTTCCCACACGGGATAACATGAAGACGGGCTGGTACCTCCCTGAGCTCGTCCACCCGTACAACATGCTCGTACCCCACGTCGACGTCGTTATAGCCTCTCCAAAGGGTGGTGAAGCTCCAATTGATCCGTACTCGGTTGAAGAAACCAAAGATGACGCCGCTTGCCAGGCATTCTTGAGAGATAATGAACCGCTCTGGAAGAACACCACGAAGCTAGAGAGCTTCCTAGGCAGGAGCTCCGAATTTGCAGGCATCTTCTTTGTCGGCGGTCACGGCCGTCAGTATCCTCTTCTTGTTGCCAGACACATCTCTAACACCACAACAGCCATGTTCGACCTCGCTGTGGATAGCATATCCCAGGAGCTTATCCGGGAATTCTACGAGGCCGGAAAGATCGTCTCGGCTGTATGCCACGGCCCCGCCGCGCTGGTCAACGTCAAGCTCTCAGACGGGACGTATATGGTGCAGGGACACGCTATCACGGGCTTCTCCAACGCCGAGGAGGATGCCTACCAGTTTACTGATGCGATGCCGTTCTTACTTGAGGACGAGTTGAAGAAGCACGGGGGGAACTACGAGAAGGCGGACCAGCCGTTTGGCATCAGGGTGGTTGTTAGTGGAAATCTGGTCACGGGGCAGAATCCTCCGAGCGCGGGCGTGATTGGGGGGAGTTTGGTGGAAGAGATCCAGAGGAGAGAGGCGTGAGCATGGATGCTATGAAATAGATTAGGGTAGTACACGCTCATTTTGGTTTTCTACCGAACCTTGTAAATGCATCCCTGCATTAGTGCCTCCTCTGCACTAGACAAAACGGGCTAGCCATCCGGAGTCTGCTGGAAGCGGTCAACCTTGAGTTACTGGAGTGACGTAGGTTCTCTTGGTTCGTGCCCAGAATGCCCAAGCCTCAAAGGCATGGTGCTTTCCTCTGATAGGAATGGCTTGACCCAAACTCCGGATGGCTTACCCCTTCTGATAAAAGGTGGTCTCCCCCCAACCGGCCGGTTTTAGTTATCCCGATACAACTCATTCGCTCTCAAGGAGAGGCCAAGCAGGAGCCCAGATCAAGCGTCATGGTCAACAGAGGCCGGCCATCAAAGGATTGTCTTCCCTGTCGGAAGAGGAAGCTCCGGGTATGACACCATCCCTGTCCCACATTCCAAACAGCTAGTAGTGGGCGAATCGTCCATCATCTTAAGTTGCTGATGGAGAGATAGTGTGACTTGAAGGCTGGGACCTGTGGTCAGTGCCAGAGAGCCGGGCTAGAGTGCCATGGATACCGCAACCCTCAGGACCTAGTCTTTCGCGACCAGACCGACGTAGCCAGGCACAAGGTGCTAGCCCGTGTAGGCGTGCCCGTACTGAACCTGGACATGGATACACGATGTCGAGACACCTTCTTTGCCCTGTACGTCACCGGCATCTCACGTAGCTGCACATCTCTTGTGCCTCTCTACATAAACGCCCCAGCCACAGGACACCTAGCATGCAGCGTCGACGCAGTCAGTCTAGCGTTTGCGGGAGTCCAGTTCGAGAGTCAGGAAGCGATGAGTTTGGCAAGCAAGAGGTACGTGACAGCCTTACAGAACCTGGGTCAAGCTCTGCGCCACCCGAGGGCCCTGAGAAGCGACCAGACGCTACAGTCGGTGCTGCTGCTGGACCTATACGAGAAGATCTGCGGGCAGGACACGCAGCAACCTCGTTCTTGGATAAGCCATATCCAGGGGGCAATGTCCCTCATCGAGGCGCGGGGGAATTTCGATCTCTCCAGCCCGATTGCCTGCGAGCTGGCGAGGAATGTGGTGACGACGTTGACCATTAGCTGCGGCGCTGTCAAGGCCCCCGTCCCTGATAGTGTGCTGCTGTTGCGAAGAAGGCTCGATGGCCATGTCCTCGATACGAAGTGGGAATTTATGAATATTCTGCTAGACATTGTGAATCTGAGGGCCGACATACACAACGGCAGGTGGTTGAATCACACAGCCGAGGCAGCTGAAAGGGCAAAGGGGCTCGACCGCAGGCTCGTTAGCCTAGAGCAGAAACTACCAGAGGATTGGAAACCCGTCCCTTGCTTTACCACCATCAGGCACAAGCCACTCCTCCTAGATGGCTATCACGACGCCTACCCAAATCACTTTGTGACGCAGCTATGGAATACTCTCAGGGCAATGCGTCTAGAAATGACCAAGATAATCAAGGACCACGACCCAAGTTCCGAAGCCGCCGCCTCCAAGACGATCAATAGCACCGCGCGGAAAATATGCCACGCGGTGCCCCAGTTCATGCTCCCTGGGTCGAGGCCCGAGAACGCAGGGCCATTCTCCCCGATGGAGAAGCTTCAGTGCAGGTCACTGCTGTCGTGTCTGTACCTCGCGGCCCAGCTGTTGGCGGATGAGCATCTGCGGGAGTGGACATGCGCGTGCATGGAGTACATAGCTGAGAGGGGGGGAATGAGGGTGGCGAGGGATATTGCGGGTATAATACGGGGGAGGATGGATGTTGACTACTGGACTGTGTGGGCGATGACGGGGTGTTATGCGATGGCTGCATAGATGTCCATAATTATCATCCCCTGCCCGTTTCCTGAGACTAGGTTCAGCACATAGCTGGCATGGGCAGTTTCGGCACTCGGGGGGTTTCTCAAGTCCGTTGTGGTGTTCTCGGCTTCAAGCGCTTCATCGGCTTCAAACGCATCGCCTTCTACCGTCGCTCGCAGCATCGAGTCGGAAGGCTAGCCCATCAAGGACAGAGCTTAACCATACTCGGAATTCTATAAAATCACCAACTCCATCGTCTACTCATTATGATCAAGAATAACCCGGTCAGTAAACTTGCCTCAGAATATCCTCCCCATATAAGCACGCCCTCCTCCTCGGCGCCACCTACGGCATAGGCGCCGCCCTCGCAGACAAGTTCATCCTTGAGGGCAGCAAAGTCATCGCCATCGGCCCTCGTTAGGATCGACTTGACGCGTTTATGCAGAAGCACGGGGCTATTTCTGCAGAGCGCCACGGCATACCGAAATTCGCCGTTGTGGAAGTGTCTATTGCACGCTTCACAAATGACGGACCGAAGTCTTTCTGGAAACACATTTTGTCTGGTACAATATTCAAAACCTGGATACGAGCTACAATAGCTGTCCTACTTCTCTTTGTGGTGGCGGCTAAGTTCACCTCTACCCTTGTTGTCACAGATCTCCGAGAGTCACGGGCCGGCTCGTTCGACCAAAGTGTGAGCTTTAGGTTTACCTACGAGTCCCTTAAAACATCAGTTTCTACACCCTTGCCTCTCATAGGGTCTGCTTACGACTACTGGGTCAACAAACCTTCATCGTCCGAGATATTTGCGGAGTATTGGAAACCTGGCAAGTCCGGGGAGGACATCGACGATACGGGACCGACCGTCATAGCCCTCCTCCCAATACCCCTTCAATCTGAGAGGGAAATCCTCAAGTCCTTCAAAGGTATGGCTCGAGTTATCGACACCCGTGTCGTATGCATCAAACCCGAGTTCAGTTCGCGATTCTGCTATGAACCCGACGCTTCATAAAACTATCATATCTGCGGAAATATCACGGCCGACCTGTCGAGCATGCCACAACACGACCGGTCTGGGAAGTTGGAAGGTGAAAGATGGCAGTATTCCACCGGCTTCAGATGCCCAATCCTCGATGCCCCGGATTACTTCCCTGGGCAGCAGAAATGGATCCTCAGCAGCGTCACAGGCGGTGTTGCCCTCACTCCGCGATTGACCAATGCTCCCTTTTTTGAAGACTCGGATTTGATCCGTGGAAATGCCTGGCTGTTGATCGATACCGGGTCAATGCACGAGTCGGAATCTGTCTCTCCGGAACGGTGGACATCTAATTCTACGTGGGATCGCCTGAATTCAGCTGGGTCTGGTCCCTGGCTGCGGCAATGGAGTCGGGCTACAGCCGCGGACGGGAAGACAGAAACAGACTACCAGTTGCAGATGACACTGTGTTATAGCAACCGTGGAGCTTCCGAGTGAGTTTATCGTTGAGGTTCTCATCGTGAAAATAGACTCTTGACTTGGTTCTTGAAAGCATCGAGCACCTCAATATCACGGCATCCACTACTTCCGACCATACTGAACCGGTCTTTCGATACGATGCGAACACCAATCAATACGACACATCTGAGGTTCGGAACCAGCTTGGTGCTGCCGGTCGCAAAGGAGAGCGAAACAATACCGAGCGAGCGATACTCACCATTTCGGAACACGACATGAACGCATCTCTTGCAGCGATACAGGGGAAGGCTCTCATACCCCCCTACATCAACAATTTAACGGGAGACTGGCTACAGAAGTTCTTGACCCTTCCAGGAGGCAAGGATCTAGAACTTTGCCCGTTGTGCAGTCCAGATCTCATCCTATTTCAGATTGCCGATTCTCTTGTCTCTCAGCTCTTTACTGACGTCTTTAACATTATCGACTCTCCGGCGCTTGCAATACAAGCATTCAACACGCCCCTCTATAGACTCACATACTATGGTCACATTTCTGCGTTTGCACTGGCGACTGATAACACAACCATTACCCGAATTCGACCGTGTTCGGGCACCAGAGAAACGATGGGGGCTGATAGCAGTGCTGATCATCATCGGTGGCAACTTGCTTCTCTTTCTCATTATTACCGTAATATTCCTGGAAGCAACTAGCTAGAGCTTCATCCAAACCGCATGGCATGCCGTGGCGCAAGTGTCCCAGAGCGAAGAGGCTCAGCCACTCTTAAAGGAGGCGACTCTGGCTGCGGATAAGGATATGGATTGCTTGATTCATGGTCGTGAGCCCCCCAAAGGGATCGTCGCCAATGTGAAAGACTTCTTCCTCGATATAAGACGACTCTTTAAGATGAGAGATACTAAAGATTCGGAAAAGCTTTCTGTTAAGAATGGGGTCTTCACTACGTTTAGCTCCCGGTAGTGTGTTTGAAATGGAGCGACAGCCAAGACCATGATGAACAATGTCCTCAGGGATGCTTCCTATGAAAGAGGGCGACAGCTATACTAGACTTACTTCAACTTCTCTGATATTGTCAAACCACGTCTTGTTATCCAAAATAAACCATCCCAAACGTGCAAACTTGCCGTCCTTTGTTTCGCGGAGCATCAACCCTTCTTCAGCCGTGAGCTGTAAGCACCACATTTCTTGAACCTTCTCAGCAGGAAAGTCAAAGGCTCCTAAAGCAACAAAGAGCGATAAGTCCGTGTTAATAGTGTCTTGCTCTGCATCCTTACGCCCAAGCAGCGACCCGTGCCAAGTCATTGTGGGCACGTACCAGTACCGCTTGCTGAGGCTCTTGAGGTATTCAGAGTCAGATGTTTCTAGAACAATGGCTTTTGCCATGCGCCCCCAAAATTGGAGCTCGCAGTGTGGCATATGAAGTGTGTTAGGGCTGCAACGGATGTCTGGTGACCATCGATCAGGGTCTCGCAACTTCGGTCTGACTTTGATGAAGCCTTGGCTCTTATACTTGACCAACTTGCGTTTGAATGCATCACGGCTCGCGTACAAGACGGAGCCTTGGATAGCAGCCCAGGACCACGAAGGTGCCCGGACCACCGGTGCAGGGGCGAATCTTGTTGGTAGGGGTCTTGTCCCTGGACCAAAACGCGATCCCATCAGATGACCGGGCCTCCATAATAAACCACGGACAAGATCACACTCCCACAGGCCAGCCAAATATCGAGACCCCAAGACCTCCGAAATAGGCAAAGCGATCGAGGCAATAGCGGCAAAGATGTCGTGGGGATTTGATAGGTGCCGCTTAGTGTAAGTGAAAATGACCCAGTCCCACTGCTTGAGAAGCTTCTCCCTCCTTACTGAGAGATCCGCATCTACCCCGTAGAGAACAGCTTGGAGAGATGTGGTGCTGCTATCGTCCCCAACATGACCGTCCTCATAGTAACTGCGACTGCGGCACGAGAAAACGAGTTGCTCTGGTGCAAAGATGATGGTACGACGACCAAGTAGCTTTTCCTGAAAGCACCAACCCCGGGTCTCAGTTGGACCAAGGTCACGCGACCTTTTCACACCTATAAAGACGCTTTCCGAACTAGAATCATCTATTGGTATTTGGCAAGGAGGTGCCCGCTGTTGAAGATGGGTGATAAGGAAAGGGTTGCGGGCATCTGAAGACCTCGCGGCGATAACCGTGAGGAATGCGTTGCCATATACTTTTGCCATGAGCTTAGACTCGTGTTCCCAGTCTTGGATATTGCCCTGAATTATGCACAGTGCATCGATCCACACAAACTGGATCCCGAGTGTACGAGCCAGAGCAAATGTGTCGCGATGTGCTGCCACGACGCGAGATTCGTCGATACCCATGAGCATTTCTTCCATGGTTGAGCCGTTTAGTGTGAAAGTATCCGTTGCAGGTCCCCAGCAGTATGAGAGAGCAAGGTATTTCTCTTGTGCCGTCGGTGCCGTAATCACAAGTCGCGGAGCCTGGCCCTTTTCGGGATTGCCGACATTGATGAGTCTGGTAGGCATCTCTAGTGTGCCATCTAAGTGGCACGATTTGTGTAGCCTCTCGCATCGACTGAGCCATGTGTGGATCATATCAACGTAAAGATGAGGGTCATGATCTGCTGTACAGAGCCGGCCCAAGACACGAGGGTTCCCCTTTTCGCTTTAGTTGGTCAGCTTGAAACACAGAAGAACAGCGAACAGAACATGTATACTGACGCATAAACGGCAAGTGTCACCCAGTTCAGAACATCGTTCCTCTCTTGACCTCCAGTGATGGCAGATATCTCTCCACATGCCACCTTTATCTGTGGCTGGGAGAGATTTGCAGAAAAGTCTTGAAAATGACCGTATATCCAGATGCTTGGGTCAAAGTCTTTAACTCCTTCTGGGGCTTCATCTTTGAGTGCAGAGTCAATTTCCGACGCACTCCATTCGAATTTGAAGCCTTCCCAGCAAAGGAAACAGAAGTCGCAACCATTGTCGGCACTCTTCTGGAGAGATGCGAGGTTGGGATGAAAGGCTAGGCGCCCTCGTAGCTTTTCGAGAGTGAGCAGGCGGCAAAAACCACACCGAGCCATGATTCATATCGTCAATGTTTGTTGAAACAAATGACTCAACTCTTGGAGTCGTAAGAGGGGTCATTCTTGTGTCCAATTAGAACCCACCCTGACCGTCTAAGCTGACGTGGCCGAGGCCTGCAGCCCTGTGGCCATCTACCTAACACAACCCAAACACTACTTCCAACTGCAAAGAACTCGGGTGCAATAGCCAACTTAAGGGTTTTACATCAGTCTTTGATTGTCCTCTAGGCCGAGGCCGTTTCTCTCAACTCAATCAGCTTGACGGCGGAATCGACGACGCACTCCTCGAATGGGCGGTACTCGATACCCAAGATGTGCTTTGACTTGGAGTTGTCGACCTCATAAATATTCGGACCAGGGTAGTTTTGTCCTGGCTGCCCAATGGGAGCCTTTCTCTTGTCGGTCTCGGGAATACGGGGAGAAGAACGCAGCACATCAGCCGTTTGCTGATAGCTGTACCGCCCACCAACAATGAAGAATCTCTCATTACCCGCCTCGGGGATCTCCAATGCCCGAACATGCGCCTGAGCAAGGTCACGGACATCAACAAAGCCCCAGAAGGTCGTGTCAGGAACATCTTCAAGTTCGCCAGAGATGAAGCGGTTCATATCCCAGGCAGTGACGTTCAGTGCAGAGAAGGACACGGCATGTGTGGGAGGGCCAAAGACCATCGGGGGGCACAAAACGGTGAGGTCAAAGCCTGGATTTCGCTCCTTCATGAAGTTCCAAGCGGCCTTCTCTGCCAGGGCCTTGGATGCGACGTAAGCAGTAGCACCGTCGGCAGCTTTGGCATAGTCATAGGTGACGTCGTTCCAGTCATGCTCGTTGTACACATGGCCAGGCCAGGACCCTTTGGTCAAGTCGACCATGGCGGCAAAGGAAGATGTAAGGACAACTCGTTTGACGTTCACACCATGCGTGGCAACAGATTCCAAGAGGCCCTCAGTTCCCTTGATAGCTGGAACGAGCATCTCGGTTTCATTGTCTTTGATGTTTAGCGAGAAAGGACTAGCCATGTGCAGAACCTGGGGTTATAGAACTTGTTAGTGGCTTCCACATCTCAAGAAACGAGTTGAGACATCGATGAATGTTGGGTATTGGATCTCACGTACACCATCGACACCCTGAACGGCCTCGCCAAAAGCACCCGAGATAGTCATATCAGGAACCACAACAACGGAGAGCTTGTTCGAGTACTCAGAAAAGGTCTTGAGCACCGCGTCGGCTGAGGTTTGAGAGCGGACAACTCCTCGTACGGCGTAGCCCTGTCGCAGTAGGGTCGTGATGGTATGGGTAGCAATGAAGCCGTTAGCACCGGTAACGAGGATGAGTTTTCCAGAGGAAGCCATCTTGTCTAAATTAGTGGCACTAATGATGAAGAAAAGTGTTGTGGTATGCGGGTGTTTCTGGTGAGATCTGAAGGTACGATGCGAAGTGTAGTTGAGTTGAGAGTCAAAATGTGAGCGAAGCCTAGGGCTCTTTATATCCTTCAAGGAGGAGCCGGCTAGGCACTGAGGCATAACCCTATTCAACGATTCGTCCTCTTTCATCCCCGGTGCCACTTCATTATTGTCTCTTGTGGTTGTAAATACTCCGCCTCCCGTCATGCACCCTCGGCCGCATGAATCGCAATGCGGCCGCGTTGTGCTGCTTCGGCCGCACGTGCAGCTGACCTGATATAGAGGAAACGAGTTTGGCCAGCTCACGTCTCTGGGTTTCGCTGACTTTCGACTAGGATCAAGTAATCATCTAGAAGCAAGGTTAGATATCAAGAAATGATCACCGCTACCGCCATTACTCACGGGCAACTCGCCACCTGCTCTGGATTGTACGGAGGCATCCGTTCAGGATATCTAGCGACCGAGCCATTTGGTCGCTGCCACTTTCATTCAGGTACCACGCTGCTGTAGATGCTCCTTGATAAAGGCAATCACATATGAGCGGGCTTAGCGTGGCAAGTCTGGTCGGCTGTGACAGTTGCAACCCTTGTGCGAATTGAACTACTTCGTCCACCATGGCATGAAACTCGCCAAGGGCCAGTGCCTGCATCTCGGTTTCTTCGGCGCTGTTCAAGCGCCTGTTCGTCTCCGTACACGCATACATGTTGAGAAGAACTGTCTTGGCACTGAAAGCCATAGCATAAGCAACATTGAGGGAGCCAGCCTGTTCGGCTTCTCGCTCCTCTTTGAGAAGTTCCAGTAAGCTATTCAGGGTTCGTAGCAGTTGCATCGCGGTTGTGAACCGAAGCGGCCCCATCAAGGTGCAGTCATCTCTGTGATCGATAATACGTCCCAACAGATGAGCGACCTGGCAGGTTCGTGCGAAGTGGTCCGTTGCTAGTTTGGTCACAGATTCAACGAAAAGGGGCAAACTGGGCGCCGGGTCTCCCTTGTTCCAGCTTTCGGTGTCACAGGGTAAAATCTCGTCCTCGGAGAATCCACCAGCAGAGAGCGGTCGGCACTCGAACCCGATATTGATATGCCTTGAAGGGTTCAGTGAGAGTTTTCAAGAGAAGGTAACGTCATATGAGAATTCATTCACCTTTCGAGTACCAAGACTGCACACCACGTTCGTCTCACCTCTTCCATTTCTCCCCACGTTGTTGGTGGACGGCTCGATGGCGAAGCATGCGTCTTGTCATGTAAGCCCATGACTTGGCCCAGTCTCCCGCACCGCCCAATTGACATGTAAGCAGCTGGGTACATGCCGTGACCCATCTCATATACAGCGATGAGAATAGATGTCTGCAGCACACTAATGGATAAGAAACCACGGCTTTCCAAAGTCATGCAATAATCCTTGACATATCTGTACAAAGGAGTACCAGCAGGGTCATGTTCAGGTCCGGGAACTTGTGAGAGCAACTTCATGGCTGCAAGGAGTATGCTGATCCCTGGCTCTGGCTGCATTCCAGGCGCCCTAGTCTCACGCCCAAGCCTGCGCTTTGACACAATGGGCAACCAAAGGTGGATGCTGTCGAAGTATACATGAGCAATTTCCTCAATTTCTGCGGCTGAACCCAGTTCATCGAGAAGTTTCTGCGGTATGGACACGAATGGAGGAGTCAGAAAATTGCCTCTCTGCCGAAACACGGGATTGTCGAGAAAGAAAGCTGAGCACGGCAGAGAAGCTCCAAGGTGGTGGGTCATGGGCGGTGCGCGGGGAGACCAAGTGGCGATCCCCATGTCCAGATCTTCTTCCTCCACAGGTGACGAGACTGGCCGCAAGTTGCCTAAACTCGTCGCGGATAGGCTACTGGCCGAGTTGCGTGTGGTCGTAACAGAAGAGCCGTTCCGAAGGGCCGATTCAAGGGAAGCGACGCGTGTCCGTAGCCAGTTGAGCTCGTCGTTCTTCTCAGTAACAGACGAGTAGTCGCACTCCCTGCCGCTTCGGCGACATGTACCGCATTGCGGAAACCTCTTGTCACATCTCCGCTTCTGTTTACGGCAAAACTGACAAGCTTGTTGTGGCTGCTCTAGACCGGACATGGCATGCGCGGGGTGAGACAATGTGCAAGGAGACAATATCGATAGTCGAAAGGTCAATGACCATGGGCGGGCGGAGGTGCGGGTGGGCACTTAAAAGGTGCGGCCGAGTATGTCGAAGTGCGGCCGCATGTCGGCCGCATCGACCACATTGTTCGCATGCTTACCATCCGGATAAACGCCAAGGATAAGCAATGAGGGGTGGCTCCAAGATCCTCTCCCACACTTGAGATTGTGTGCTAGAGCCTTGGGGTGTACATAGCACAACCATGTTGGATGCATAAGCTCTTTATGCATTTCTATGATGTATCCTCTCACAAGATGAGTCTGGTAGAGGATGGCTAGCAGGCTAGCGAGCTGAAAAGCTGTGGCTGGCTGATGGTCTGTGGCTTGGTATGGACACGGGTGAATGTGAATGGTAGGGCTGGTCTGGGCCGTTCCTAGACTCAGCCATGTCTAGGACGGAATACACTCGAGGAGGCCAGATGGCCATCCGAAAGCCTATCAAGTAAAGGGCAATACTATACTAATCTTCAGCATATGGCTCGGATGCATGTGCAAATGGCTTTTTAACTGAAGCCTTGTGTGCTAAGTGATAAGAAGCATGGCCTCAAAAATGTATAAAAGGACTCGCATGGCCCTCGCTCAGCTACTTCTCTGACAGGCATTGACAGCCTTGCCAAATCTTTTACATAAAGACGATGACTTCTAAAATTATCGAAGGGGGCCTTGCCGCCTCGAAGTCTTTTTTTGCCATATTGAGTGCCTTCTTCCTCGGAATGCTGTCTTTTCTTGGGCCCGTCTTTAAATCTCTTTTTATTGGTTTCTGGAAGATCGTCAACAATTTCGTCCACTGGCATAAACTCCCTGCCTGGATCGGCATCTTCAACCTCCTCGCTTTGCGCTATGAGCTTCGCAAGAAGAACTTGTACGACACTTATACTGACGCTGGGTCTCAGGGTACGGTCGCATCATGCCCAATGAAGGACTCCAAGTTCATCTCTTCGCGAAATTCGAATGGCTATTTCAATGATCTTGGTGCACCCAAGATGGGATGCGTTGGAATGAGGTTCGGTCGCAATGTGCCGAGAGATCAAACCAAACCACCCAGCGAGGAGGAGCTTCTCACACCGAATCCGAGAGTCATCTCTAAGAGAATCCTTGCGCGGCCCGATGGCGAGTTCAAGCCTGCGGTCATTGTGAACTTGCTCGCTGCTGCTTGGATCCAGTTTCAGGTGCATGATTGGGCGCAGCACAAGTTTGACACGAGCAAAGAGACTCACATTGACATTCCCTTGAACCCAGATGATGGATGGTCTGACAAGAAGATGGACGTTCCACGCACTAAAAAAGCCGAGGATGATCTCTCTGAGCAGGATGTTGAAACACCAGCATACGACAACGAGAACACACACTGGTGGGATGCCTCCCAGATCTATGGATCTACCGAGGACAAAACGAAAGAACTGCGGGCCAAGTGTCATAAGACTCATCCCGGCCAGCTCGCAGTTACGGTTGGCGACGGAGAGCAGTTCTTGCCCCGTGGGGATGACGGGATCCCCCTCACAGGGTTTCGTCAGAATTGGTGGCTTGGGCTTGAACTCTTGCACACCCTCTTCGCCCTCGAACATAACGCCATCGCTAAGCAACTTCACCTTTCAAATCCTACATGGTCGAGCGATCGGATCTTCGACACTGCCAGACTAGTCAACTGTGCGCTTATGGCCAAGATCCATACTGTCGAGTGGACGCCTGGTATCCTGCAACATCCCACCTTACAGATCGCCATGGATGCAAACTGGTGGGGGCTTCTTGGCGAAAAGGTGAGTCTGATAACTCTTTGTTGTTTAAATACGTCGTATTCAGTATATGAGAAACTAACTGGGTTATACTAGCTCTGGCACGTCTTTGGAAGGCCTTTTGGAAACAAGTCCGAGGTTCTTTCTGGCATTCCAGGCTCGGATGTGAACCACGATAATGTCCCATATTCTCTTACCGAGGAGTTTGTGTCTGTCTACCGTCTCCACCCTCTCATTCCTGACAACATCGCCTTCTTCAACGTCAAGGACGGCCAGCACGAGGGTACTCTCTCAATCAAGGAAGTTGCTTTCGAGTCCGCCCGCAAACCTCTAGAGGAAAAGGCTCAAGACGAGGAGGGAGATAACGGACGCTTAGGACTGGACTTTGCGGACGTTTTTTACTCCTTCGGCGTTAACTACCCAGGTGCGATACGTGCCCACAACATGCCCAACTTCCTCCGGGATTTGAAGATCCCGAAGGACGATGACTTTCCCGAGGGCCGTCACTTAGATCTGGGGGCTATCGACATCCTTCGAGACCGTGAACGCGGTGTCCCTCGGTACAATGCCTTCCGTCGTTTGTTTCACATGCCCCCCGCCCGCACCTTTATCGAGCTCACTGGTGACGATGAGAAGCTGGCTGCTGAACTGGACGAGGTCTACAACGGTGACATTGAGGCCGTGGACCTCCTTGTTGGCACTCTCAGCGAGCCTCTGCCCGAAGGTTTTGGTTTCAGTGACACCGCCTTCCGTGTGTTCATTCTGATGGCCAGTCGCCGTATCAAGTCTGACCGGTTCCTTGCTGGCGATGGTTGGTGCCCAGAGATTTACACCCATGAAGGTATCAGCTGGGTGCAGAACAACACCATGAAAGATGTGCTTTGCAGGCATTTCCCTGAGCTTGCTGGGCCACTGCATAGTGTTAAGAATGTGAGATTCGTTTTAAGTCTAATAAGAAGTGTACTATTGCTAACTTATATGATAGGCTTTTGCTCCCTGGGAGAAAATTGGTCAGACCGACAAATATATGGGCGTGGAGACAAACAAACCAGAGGATCTGGCTGCCGCGAGGGCCTCAGCTAGGGTTTATTAAGCAGATGTAAACCCAACGCGGGCTCATTTCGAGGCACTGGGTGGCCATGCGGAAAGGTATGATACAAGAATGACGACAACTGACCCCGACTCGTTGGCATCTCTTGATGCATTTCCGATGGTTTAGGCGTATTGCAATCAGAACAGTCACAACAATACATAATGAGCCTCCTACCCTAGTTTTCCATTTGTAGTCCTTTCTCCATAGGAAAGCTGCATAGAACTTGTTACTCTCACTTTGTTTTAGGCCGAGAGTTTTGTTGACCTCTGCCTGTTACTAAGCACCGAACCCAGCCTTTGATCCTGTCCTTACAACGTTCTGCATCCAATCAACACCGATGTTCATATTTTCCACTGCCTAGGCCAATCGGATAATGACTGACTCATTTTGATCATGATAGGTTGGATGACAGTGTCTTGAACTATAGAAAGAGCCCCCTAAAGCCTCGTCAGGTTGTGGGCAGCCGTAAGTGACGTTGTCGTTACAGAAGAGCGCGATTGAGGGGTCCCACAAGATGGACATCAGAGAACTTGACAGTTTTCCTGTCTCTGTGGATTGAAGAGTACTGTCAATCAGTAAGTTAATCACGGAGCCCGCGGACGCCCGCGCGGGTGTCCGTGGAGGGCCGAGCACACGATGACGCGCCAGTGTTAAGGTCATCCCTGGCCGTAATTGGGTGAAACCATGCCACTAGTGAGATCTCAAGGCAACAACCATCTCTTTAGAGGGTTGGTGTCTTTGTGTTGGATTAGAGTTTGGATTCTCGTATTGCCAGGGTCAAAGAACGACGCAGCCACGCGGTTCATGCGCGTACAAGCAAACCCAGGGACCGGACTTGAGCCTCAAAACCCTCTTCCAGAGACGGGGATTAGCCAAAAACTCCGCAGCCATATCATAATAATCAGGGGCAAAGAACCGTATATAAGTCACTGTCATAAGTCACTGTCTTAGTTGTTTTATCGCATACCTTACCAGTAAACATAAACAACCTCACTACATCTATTTCATTATGACTGGATCAGATTCCAATGCTGAATTGCCCGTAGCAAAGACTCGCCTACGCCGGCTTGGCTGCCTGTAATATCTTACTCCCCTGCGTATTTGTATGAGATGTGTTAACAAGTCTTAGTGAACTGTATCAATCCGCCCTTCACAATGTCCGACACTACTGCGGTACTACTGTCACTTGCCGCTATCTCCTCCCTCCACCATTGGCGAGTTTCGACATGCAAAAAGAAGTAGTGCGGAAGTTTGAAAATGCCGTGGCACAGACTATACTCCAGTTTCCTATGCTGCAAGTTGGACTTGTTGGCGAGAGCACGAGAAGGCCATATTGGGTCTCGCTTCCGACAATCGATCTGGCCGATCACATCCATTGGCATATTCTCGCTGACTCAAAGCGCTACGACGAGCAGTACAACGCGAATCTTCTCTATCAGCTTGATGCCAAATTCGAACACTTGGAGACTAAACCCGGTTGGAGGCTTCTTCTCATGCGCACTGAAACAGACGGCTTCGTTGACGCCATGTTCGTCTGGAACCACGCAAACTGCGATGGAATGAGCGGCAAGATTTTCCATCTCTCACTCTTGGAAAGTCTTGATCGACCCACCAACTGGGGTTCCTTTCTTCCGGACTCGAGCGCAATCCCGGCTGCCTTGACCGCGCAAGATCTCCCTCTTCCTCAGGAGAAGTTGGCCAAACACCCCATAACTCTCGGGTTTGCTTTTTCACAAGTATGGCATACCTTCGGTCCATCGTTACTCTCCTCCAAGTCGGCAAAGGCCACGTGGGCTCCTCTTCAACTCGGGTCATATGCTTCCCAGACAACTTCTTTTAGCATCCAAAATGCAGCTCTTTGTCGCATTCTTGGTGCCTGTCGTCAGCATGGTACCACTCTAACTGGTCTTCTTCACGGCATCATTCTAGCATGTTTAGCTTGCTACGTCCCTGAAAAGAAGGCCCGCGCTTTCACCGCCTCTACTGCAATGGACCAGCGGAGATTCATGTACCCCGAAAAAGGCAATGCAGCTGATACCCAACGGAAGGTGCAGAACTGCGTGTCGACTATCCACCATACGTTTGACTCCGACCTAGTTGCGGATATTCGAGCCACAGCCCGGGCCAACAACTGGGAAAACCAACCTGTGCGTGATCTTGAGAGGGAGATATGGTCCGCATCAAGGATCTCCCGTGGGGATATCGAGGAAAGGTTGAACGCCGGCCTGAAAAACAACATTGTTGGCTTGATGAAGCTAGTGCATGATTGGCAGGAGTATCACGGAGATCAAGCAAAGAGGGATCGCGAGCTATCCTGGATTGTAACCAATCTCGGTGTTATTGATGGAGAAGGCGAGTCAGGGACAGATGTGCATGATGGGAATGAGAGGTGGTCTATAAATCAGGCGAACTTCGCCTTGAGCGCACACCTGGCGGGACCATTCGTGCAGGTAAGCGCCCTGTCTGTCAAAGGCCAGGATTTATGTATCAGCCTTTCCTGGCAAGACTCAGACGAGGGCAACGAAATTTGTGCTCAACTGGCTCAGGGTATGGAAGCCTGGTTGGGATTTCTTGGGCAAAGCGATATGTAGATCACCATTCATTGCTTCTTTAATTTGAAACATGGGCATTGTAGTAGATTGAGTGTTGAACCAATCTATCATGGCTATTCCACAAAAGAAAAACTTGAAACCTCGCAATAATTAACAGGCCCGCCTGCTAAAATTCTCATCCTCCTCGAGCAGAACCACGGACAGCCCGAACCTTCTCGATGAGGAACTCAGGGGCAGGGCCACGAGCATCAGGACCATAAGCCAAGTGAGGTGCAGCAACGATCAAGCTACCAGTACAAACGAGATCCCCTGTATTGCAGAAGACCTTGGTCCTGTCGGCAGGGTAGTTGGGGATTCGGCCACGGTTCTGTAGGTTCTTGGTGTAGCCGAACAGAACAGTTCCGGCGATCTTGTCACGAATGGCCGAGTCGAGGTCCTCGATGGAGGCGGCTGCAAGTGCAGCACCCTGGCTGTAGCCACCGGCGATCAAAGTCGCGTCAGGGCACTTGGTGTTGGCCTGCTGGAAGAGACCAAGCATCTCCCTGATTGCGGCGCTAGAGGTTCCGCGAGGGAGAGCATTGTCTCCAAGAGTGGCTCGGTAGGCACCGCCAACGCCCTGAATCCAGACACCGTCCTTGCCGAAGGCGGACTCAAGGTTGGAGGCAATGCTAGGACCGAGAGTTCCCTAATGGATGTGTAAGAAAAGTGATGTTGTCATGAGAACAAATTCTACGAACCAAGTTGCCCGTCTCTGTTGAACCTCGGGCATAAATGAAGATGACATCGGCGCAGGAAGCGCTATTGCCGTTGATCAGATCGTCGCGAGTTGTTCTACCAAGCTGGCGCGCCTCAAGCTCCTGAGCAGGGTTAGAAGTAGGCAGAGCCGAAGCCGTGGCGGCGAGAAGTGTGGTGAGAGCGAAGAATTTCATGGTGAAGATGATAAAGAGTGAAAAGGAAGAGGCGAAGAGTTGAAGTGAATGTTGATGAAGTGAAGGTATGTGTGGTTGTCTGGTTCCGTTCCCAGTGGTCTGGAACAACGATATTTAAGCTTGAACAGATGAAACTATCATCGTCCAAGCTCTGAAATCGAGCCTCGGCTCGCGATCCATTTCCTCGGTTTCTAGCGTCAAGAGAGGGGCAGTTTTCATCAAAGGACGTCAAAACTCTTGATACTGGACCATGCGCTCGCAGCTATGAGTCGTGATAGTTTCAGGCAACCTAGTCGCTTCAGGAAACCACCCCGTGCCCCTCCCCGCAAGCTCTTCCGCTTCTAGTTGCAACCCGTGCCGATCGCTAAACCGGTAGGATGAAACGTTCCCCGCAAACATGAAAGAGCCCAATCAGCGAATATCGGCTGTTCAGCTGTCACTTTGACAAGCGTGAGTTTGGTTTTAGAGATGAAACCTCGGGAAGGCCGCTTTGCCTATTCTGTTACACCTTGCGAAGAGTGTCAGAGCGCGCATAGACACCACCTACCTGATGGTGGAGAGGCATCAGGAGCTTTTACGAGTGCCTCTTTACGGTGATTGGAGGGTTTTGAGATCAACAGATCATGCCAAGCTTGGACTCGTTCATCCGCAAATCAGCGGCTCGGATATTTACCGACCTACCTGACCCTGCCGCTCATCATGGGTGGGTCAACCTGCCTACCTAACCTAGAGAAACACGGAGCATCGTTGGATCTACTCAAATGGGAATTTCATTCGAGCTGTGCTTTTAGGGGGTAGAACCCTCTCTTTTGATGCAAGGCGTACCAGGAAGGAGGCGATGGTGTCAGAATAAGGCCCAAGATTTCATACCGTTCCCATCTCATCTCAGTGACAAAAACTATTCAGACGGGTCATTTTGACCTCGGTTTCAGCTTCTTGTGCCTCCACACAGCTCCCCTTCCACTTAAGCGAACACCTGACACTACCATGACTTTAATAACTATCAGTTGGAGTGTCTCCCCCTTTCCCTTTGTATCCCGTAACTATTTGTCGAGATGAAAAAAAAAAGCTCTGAAAGAAGTACACATACCTTTGAATGGAAAGGTTTACGCTTATCAAGAGAAGACCCAAACAAGGTGAGCAATATGATACAGGAAGCAACAAGAAAGAATAAAGGAAGAGGCATTGCATTGTCTAACACCCCGATGGGAGAGACGGACAGAAGGGGTATAGATTTCGTGCTCGTGACATGTTGTTTGATATAGACGGACTGGCTTTTCGCTTGGCCATCAGCCATCAAGCTCATTGGAGAACGCCCTCTCACTGCTCCAAACTCTCAAGGCGTGACTGGGATCTCCTTGGAAATGCTAAGGCGAGGCAAACTACTTATCGCACCACACGACTTTGCCGAGGCCCAATTCAGCATTGTACCGATGACATGGCCCCTCTCCAATCCAGTTTGCCTCGGATGGTGGCCGTGGTAGTGATGACCAAATTGTACATTAGAGGAGGCCGTGTGAATGTCTACATCTATACGTACTCGTGACTTCTCATCCGAAACGGGTAAGGACAGCAGGCCCCCATCGAGATACAGGATAACATGATCAAGCTGGAAGATGCTCTAATCTCCATCACCAACTTGCAGTCCAGCTATGTGCGGCCGCCTTACCTATGGTACGATACCGAGACGATAAGAGTCCTTGAAGATCTTGATTATTTTACTATCTTTCTCTCCATCATTGTAGACGACGAGAACCTACAGCAAAATCTTCACCATGCAATTAACAACTTTGTAACCGGCCTAGACGCGAGAGGGACGGTTGCATTGCTGCATGACACGCACCCCAGATTGGTGGACAATATGCTTCCCGGAATTACTTCTGGGATACAGAAAAGGGGCATGAGAGGTATGAGTGTGGGAGAGTGCTTTGGTATACGTCTAGCTGGCATCCCAGACCCTTGAAGAATGCATTACTCAGTTGAGCACGTTACATCACGACAGCAATACAAGATGGTGAGCATAGCCTTTTATTCGGTGAATTTAAACATAAACCAACTTCTTTGTTCATAATAAGTAATGATTAGTTGCCAGCTTTCGAACCACGAAGTTCACAATGCCGATTGTTGCAAGAACCGTTAATGTTCAGTGGCTGGTTCGCTGATTTCACTTGGTTTAATCATACTATGCCCTAACCTTGTTATTAGGTGTTGGCCTGTAGCCTGCTTGGAGGCCAAGTTTGAGGCCAGGTCTGAGAAAGCTCGGACTGTGCAGTCATTGGGTGCGGATGCGGTATGATGAAACATGGTGCTGATTGGAAGACGCCATGCTTGGATGGTTGGGGCAGCTGTGAGGCTGAAATGTGCAGCTTTTGGCGCCCAATTGCTCGGCGTTAAGCATGAACAGAAGGCAGCAGACGCATCTGCTACCTACTTAAGTCCGCCACTCTTCCCTTGAGTTTGAACTGTTACTTATCGACGACCAATCTCTCCGGTAGAGGAAATGACAGAACCAACCCACGAAAATCCGTCGTGCGATGTTTGCTTCGACTTCAAGTTCTCCCCGCAGCGTAGCCGTCAAAAGTTCGGCCGGCGGTGGAGAGATACGCCAGGCTTGAACTTTTCGTGGAGGCAGATTCAACAGCTTGAGCGGTCGGGTGCTGAGGTATGTCAGTTATGTGGGTTTATCGTTGATGCAGTATCATACTTTGAGATGCTCCCTGCCGACGATTCGACAATTCATCTCTCCATCACCGAAGCGGGCGCAGTTGCGGTATTTTCTCCATCCTTGTCCATCACAATGCAGATTTATTACACGCCAATCGGTCAGTTCCATTAGTACAATAATTCCCAGTAGCCTTCTAACATGTGTCCCAAAGACCAACCGGCCATTTTGGAAGGGCTCGTCAACAACCATGAAATGAGTTCATGTGCGGGCTCTCAGGAGGCGTATATATTCATCGAGTCCCGCCTTGCAAAATGTTCTCGGCATGCATTCATCGTGCCATCCTCCAATACGCGACGTTCCAACCAGACTTATTGATGTCGGCTCACTCGGCGATAGTGAGGTACGACTTGTGGAAACCACGTCCACGGCGGAATATCGTTATGTTGCCCTCCGCTATTGTTGGGGACAGTCCGAAGTAGTCAAGACTATATCAACAAACTACAGAATTATGCAACAGGGAATAAAGGTTTCTCAGCTTCCGAGAACGATCCAGGATGCGATCGAGGTAACTAGGTTACTCAGGCAACGGCATCTGTGGGTCGATGCTATCTGCATCATCCAAGACTCACTATCAGACTGGGAGTATGAGTCAGCTAGGATGGCTTCTGTGTACCAAGATGCTTACTTGACCATTGCCATCGGGACCGCAAGTTCAGCAACAGAAGGGTTTCTACACCACCGGCATCTCGCTGCAAGCCAGAAGCCTTCCTTCAGGGCTGAGTGCCAATACGGACAAGGCAAAAAGTTCATTCTGGGTGCAAGGATCATTCCCGACAAAGCGGCACATACCCAGCAGAGAGACGGCGGAGAGGAGTTACCTCTATATCTCCGAGGATGGACCCTTCAGGAGAGCCAGCTCTCGAGGCGACAGTTAACATACACCGAAGAAGAACTCTGGTGGATGTGCTTGGAGGAGTCAAGTTGCGAGTGCGATACTCTTAGCAAGGCAGAAGAACGATCTTGGGGAGTGGATAGTGGATTCAAGTCACTGCTGTCCATCGACAATTCGGATCAAGCTTTCGAGCACTGGCGTCTTACGATGTTCGGGCTCAGTTAACCCATCAAGGGCCGGGCTGCAACTATAATAAAGAACAGATCTTTGGCGTCTTACAGTCGACAGGTACCTGAGTCGCCACCTGACTAACACGATGGACAAGTTACCTGCAATCTCAGGAATCGCACGAGTTGTTCAAGACATCACTAAATCTTGATATCTGGCGGGGATATGGTCAAAAAATCTCAGCTATGACTTGGCTTGGTATGCCGCATCTGGAGAAATGCTCTCGTGGAGCTCTGAAAGGCTTGTCCTTTCCCAGTATCGCAGGCCAACCTTCTCTTGGGTTTCGATCGACGAAAAGGTACTGTGGGAGAAAAGATTATGGGGTTGAGTGCCTGCGAGCCCCTTTGCCCTTATCCAGGCTGAATCGACGGTCATGGGCAAGAACCCCCTTGGCGTTGTCAAGAGCGCCTACATCACTCTACATGGTCTTACGTTGGCCACGACGCTGCGACTCGGCCCGATGCGAAGCATGAGCCAATCACTCACCTACTATGTACGGAGGGGTACTCAGGATCTCCACGTACAGGCAGACACCGCTTTAGAGATATTCGAGCTGGTAAGCCAAGGTGTTGTTGAAAGAACTGTTCGGCGGTCACCCCTTGGCTCGACCAAACATCCAGCTGTGTCTGAGAGTCCCGTCCTTCTTCTGCTTCTAGGGCATGGCCAGGGCGTATGGGCAGATCATCAAGGAGACGACATCGAGAAGAAAAAAGCACTGAGGATGTATTTGGTTCTAGGGAGGTCGCCGGTGGATGTAACAAAATATGAAAGACTGGGCAGAGCGACGGAGACCTACAGAGATCTGGAGGGGTTAAAGTCTCTTGAGGGCTTGGAGGATTTGGGGCAATTCGTGGAAAGGACTCTTACCATAATATAGGTACCAGTTGGAGGCGTGTCGACTGTATTGGATGCGGCCCCTGCTGCGGTTGGTCGAGGACCCTTAAAGAGTACATTACGAGATCGTGGGTGAGTTCAGGGAGTTAACGTCGGGATAGGATGCTATGATGTATTTCTAATGTGCCTTTTGTTATAGTTGAAGCCCGGTCCTTGATGGGTTAACTGAGCCTGAAGATCATCATGGATGGGATAACCGAGCCAAAAGTTCGCTGCCTTCATACGTCCATCAAAGAAACGGACAGAAGGGTGCATGAGCGGGCCTATCGGAATGAAGCTACGGCATGGACTGTCTGAGGCCAAGTGCAGAAGAGATTTGGGGATTTTTGGCTTGTGTAGACCGGAAGCTGAGGTAGCCCAGCGCCAGCCTGTCGTGTCCGCGGAGATGCTGTATCGGGGGTACACGTGACAAAAAGAGATAATCAACAAGATCCTTCAGCCTGACCCTACCTTCCGACAAGCCTCGGGTGTGCTTCTTTCGTACCCTATCTCAATTGGTTTACTACCCGATATCAAAGATACGGCCCAAGATAGTGCTGAATTTTTAAATCATAATTGGCGTGGTTTCCGACGTTGAAAGATAGCTATCTGATCATCTCCCATTGCCGGATATCAAATATCCAACCCCGCAGCCAACGTTGATAACCTCAACATATAAGAATAGAAACATGACGAACCTCGTCTATTGGACTTTACTCTGCAGACATCGATTAATATTTTGAACATCATCATGATTGACTTTACTCTTACCCCATCTCAGGCGGAAGCCCGACAGAATGCTCGGGAGTTTGCCTCAACTATCCTCACGAAGGCTGCTGCTGAATACAGCTCTCATCAGGACCAGAAGTCCCGCTTCCAGGCGACTCGCCCATTTTATAGCCAAGCAGTGAAGCATGGTCTGGTCAAAGACCAAGTTCCTATCCCATTGGGGGGCACCTCGGAGAGTCTAACTCACTCCGCCATCGTCCTCGAAGAGTTGTTCGCGGTTGAACCCGCTGCCTCCATTACAATCGTCGCAACGGCCTTGGGACTGATGCCACTCATCCTGGGCGGCACACCTGCTCTTCAGGAAAAGTTCTTGAAGCCTTTCCTGTCTATGCAGGGTGAGCCCGTTGCCAGTCTGATGCATTCGGAGCCGAATGGAACTGCCAATTGGCTCGAGAAGGGAGGACGAGGCCTCCAGACAACAGCTAGAAAGGTTGGAAATGAATGGATTATCAATGGCGAGAAGGTATGTGGCCTTTGACTCCGCCCGGATAGCTACTAATCCGTATCCAGCTTTGGACGTCGAACAGTGCCGGTTGGGATGAAGAGGGAGCTGCTCTTGCGTGCGTCGTGTGCAGGCTTTCCGATGATGCCTCCAAGCCCCAAGACCCTAACGTTGACCCCGCTTCACTCATTATGATTCTTCTTGTTACACCGGAGGTCATCGCAAACAACCAGAAAGGAGCATACCAGGTTCTAGGGGAGCCGGAGCTTGCGGGCCACCTCACCACCTCTGGCCCACACACTCGCTTCACCGAGTTCCATGTTCCTCACGAAAATCTGCTCTGCCCTCCCGGAGCGGGTGTACCTATCGTCGAGACAGCTTTCACCATGTCCGCGGCCCTTGTCGGTGCGATGGCTGTTGGTACAATGCGCGCAGCTTTTGATGAAGCCCTTGCCTTCGCCAAGTCTGACACACGCGGTGGCTCCAAGCCCATCATTCATCATCAGAGCGTGGCCGACAAGCTCATCGACTGCAAGATGCGAATCGAAACCAGCCGTCTTCTGGTGTGGAAAGCGGTTCACACGCTTGATGACCCTGCGGTTGATTGGAAGGTGAAGCTCGAGTTCTCGATGCAGGCCAAGATTTATGCGACAGATTGCGCTGTCGACTGTGTCGTGGATGCGATGAAGGCGGTTGGCATGAAGTCGTATGCAAAGGACATGTCGTTCCCCAGATTGCTAAACGAGGCTATGTGCTACCCCTTGTTTGATGGGGGTAATATTGGACTTCGTCGACGGCAAATTCAGAAGCTCATGATTGAAGACGAATACAAGCCATGGGAGGCAGCCTACAGCTCTCGGGTAGTAGAGAAAGGGCGATTGTAGGATCGGACAGTTATGCTTATGATATCTCTCTTGATGGAACAGGCTCACCAAAGTCTGAGATTGCTATGTACTGTTGTAAAGCAATCCGGTATTTACATTTGTCAAGTTAAAGTCTTGCTATTTCCCGGAAACTTTCCAAGAATCTTTTAAACAGCCATGATGTTTTTTTTTAAAGTGAAGAAACTCTCATTTATACCTAGCATCGGCCGCGCCCAAACATCTAAATACAAAGGCAGCAGTACTGAGGCTGCCTTGTTACTCGCTATGACCAGCCGCAGCAGATGCGCTTTCCACACCTCAAGAGATGCTGCAATTTTAACTGCCAGCAATGAACCCAACCGAGCAGCTCTTCAAACATACCGCCCTGGACACGACTAAGAATGGAATTCGCCTAGTCCGTGTCTCTCCGCCAATCTCCCAGACCATATGTTGCACCATAGAGCAATTCAACGTTAATAGCTACCCACCATATCGAGCACTGTCGTACACATGGGGTCCCCCAAGCCCAACACGAACTATTGCTCTCAACGGCAAGCAGTTCCAAGTCCGCCACAACCTTTGGAAGTTTTCTGTGCATTTTGCAATCGAGGCCAGAAGGCGAGGGTTTTCTTTGGGTCGACCAGCTGTGCATCGACCAAGCGAATATCCATGAGCGAAACCATCAGGTCAGGTTGATGGAGGAGATCTACAGGGGTGCGAGAGAAGTTGTGGTTTGGCTCGGCATTTCAGATGCGTATACCAAAGAAGCCATCAGGTTCATTAACCGTTACGTCCAAGACTCGCCGCCATCACCTACCATTGTACACTCTCTACGATCACTCTTCACAAGGTCGTATTGGAACCGTCTCTGGATTGTCCAAGAGATCCTGCTCGCACCGGCCATTGTTGTACTTTGTGGAGGGGACAAAATAGACTGGATGAGGCTGGAAGAATTTGTCAGGGGCGGAAGAAATCGGAGCGGATGGTGGATGAAGTGCAGGGGAATCGAGGACGGGAACACAATTCCCTCTCACATTTCATCCTTCATGCATTCCTCTACTTTTACTTCTGCTTTCAGTAAAGTCAAGGACAACTATACCCTTGCGACGGCCATTTTTCTCTTCAGTAACAACATTTGCGCAGACGGGCGCGACAAGGTTTACGGCCTAATGGGCATTGTACATCGGGGAGAGCGGTTAGTCATCGACTATAATAAATCCCCGCAAGACGTCTTTCTAGAGGCGTGCAAAGTGATAATAACATCGGGCAGTAGCATACCGGCCTTTGTCGAGCTGAAGAGTGTGGGGTTGAAAGAGTTTAGAGATAGATTTCAGCAGCTTGGGAGGGGAATGAATGTAAAGGAAAGTACTTTGGAGAGGAGACTAAGGCGACTTGAGAGGTGGTTCAGAAGACATAAAAGATTTTATTAGCAATTCACACTGGTGGTGCATTCGGGTCAGTGTTGGCACGTATTTGTAGGTGCGGCCTCGGGTCTTTGTGAAATTATCCTCGATTTGAAAAACCTGCATGAATTTTCTTATTAGCAAATTCAGCTTTACGATGTACGGGAGTGGACCAGTTCAGCCATCGATTTATAGCCCATGGAGCCAGCTATTGGGGATTTTTTCGATGGGCATGGCAATAATCTTGAGTTTTCGCCGTCTTGAAAACCTGTAACTCACCGGAATGCGGTTTCGCTCTTCTGGTTTCAAATAGCCCAAGACTCCGTAGATCTTATCTTAAGGATCTAGGCATCCGTGTCGTCAAGTTAATCGGATAGCATGCTCTAGGCTAATGCCCAGCTTGATGTGGCCAGGTCAGAATAATCGCGGACCATGGGAGCCCAATGCAACTGACATGACGATTCCCTCCTCGTGGTATGAGTGCGCGAAGGGAATTCGGAATCCACATTATGTTGGTGGTGCCGGAGAGCCGAAGATATGACTGTGAGCGCAGAGATAACTGGACAGATCCACCATACACATCAACGGTTCGACTGTAGCACACCGCTTGGATAGTCCATGAGCAGAGTCTTGTAAATCTCGCATCGTCGGCTGGCTCGGATCTCGGGGTCGTGGGGCAGTATAGGCAACATGGCCGAGTAAGTTATAAGCCTCAATGATGCAAGACATGCACCTATGGCGAGTATGACCAGGGCCAATTTCTCTAGCCAACCCTGATCCCAGTATGGATGACGCGACCGCCTGGGTCGGAGATTCGACCGCTCCAGAGAAAAGTCCATCTCCATTTATGGCAGTACACCCGAGAATTGAACCATGGCAATTGGAGCGCAAAATATTTACAAAAGAACATCATCCATTCAATTATTCCAGCTATCATACTCTAGGTATCGTCAATCCCGTCATCGTTGACCCATCTGCCTCATGGCTGTCACAATCGTGTTTCGGCCCGGTTGATGGGGCATGGTTCTACCCTAGCCTTGCCTCCATTAGTATATAAAAGCTTGGGACTTGCATCGCAATAGGCATTACAGACATTCGGTACCCTGGATATCTCTCATTATGCGGCTCTATCCAATCTCCCTCTTGACGTTTCTCAGCCCTCTTGTGGGCGCGAGTAGAGGCCCGTTCTTGGAAGAGACAGGCGACGGCTCTTGGGTCATTGGCAATGATCTATGGAATGTCACCCAAGGACCTGTGTATGCCAAGAACCTCTTTTGGCAAGGCATCCCTGGAGCAGATCTGGTCGGGTCTGCCTCTGGCCACTATGTCGGATATGGTACGTCGTCTTGTCTTGAGGGAGTCTAAAGCTAATCTTGGTTCTGTAGATGGAGAAAGCAACCTTGTCTTCACTGACGCCAAAGTGGCAGCAAAAGGGACGCACTTTATTGACGTCAGCTTTGAAGCTACGGCTGGAGACCTCCACTGGGTCATCTTTGACGACCTCTCCGGAGCATACCAATACTTTGTCAACCGCGCCCTGCCAGATATCAGTATCTTCCGTACTCTTTGGAGGCTAAACCCAGACTACTTCACTCACGGGCGAACCCATCTTAAGGACGAGCCACTACCTGACTTCTCGCTCTACTCTACGGGCACCAACGTGCAAGATGAGACCTGGCAACTCGCCGATGGATCATTCATCACGAAGTATGACTGGTCCAACGCTGTCAGGGACCGCGACTTTTATGGTGTTTACGGCTCAAAAGTCGGATCCTGGTGGATTCATCCTTCAACCGAGTACTACAACAGCGATCACCTCAGCCAAACTTTGACTGTTCACCGGGAGAGCAAGACTGGCGATGCTGTACAGCTCAACGTCGTGCAAGACACTTCTCACTTCCGTGTTGGCCAAAAGACTGCCCAACCAGCCGGGAAGATCTGGGGTCCTTGGCTGTGGTACCTGGTAAGTCTTCATTCCGCTGGCTCTGATGGACCAGTAAGATAACCCTTAGCAGAACAATGGTAGTCGAGTCGACGTTGCACACAGACGGCAGGAGGAGCTTCGACACTTCCCATACAACTGGCTTAACAACAAGGCCTATAGTGCGAGAGGCGGCGTGCAAGGAACTCTTCGCCTTTCTGACGGCCGCCCAGCTTCCAATGCAGCCGTCTTCCTCGGTGACGCCGACACTTCTATTCGGCCATCTGTTCAGGGAAGCAACTACTACTATACTACTTACACCAACGATAAAGGTCGGTTCTCGTTCGATGACGTCCGAACTGGGTCTTACGGTCTCTATGCCTCGTCAAACGGAGGAAAGCTCGCGGATGTCTACACCAACTTCACCAAGTCAGATATCACCATCACCAAGGACAAGACCCTGAACTTGGGTCAGCTGAACTGGAAGGTGAAAGATAGAGCCAAGCGGATCTGGCAAGTCGGGGCCTTTGACAAAACGGCGCGAGGATTCAAGAACGGAGGGGTTCCATACCAACATGGCGTGACCGAGGATAGCCCTGCTAACTTGACATTTACCGTCGGCAAATCTCAAGACTCAGACTGGTACTACGCGTCCTCCGCGATCGGAACGTGGACCATCGAGTTCGAGATCTCAAAGGAGGACATTGCCGCCAACAAGGGAGCGCTGCTGAGTGTTTCACTAGCTGGATACTCACAGAGTGCAGCACTCAACATAGACGTCAACGGAAAGGTGTACGGCTCGTTGAGCAAGGACGTCTTGACGAGTGACCCTGCCCTCTACAGGTCCGGCAAGACTAATGGCGAATGGCGCTTCTTTCAGTACGAGATTGAGCCAGAGGTGTTGAAGGAGGGCGTCAATACGGTTGGGTTTACTGTCACACGGTATACCAAGTGGAGAGGCTTTCTGTGGGATAGCATTATCTTGGAGTGGGCGTGAGAAGACGACGTTGGAAGAGCTGTCTAGGGAGAATTGGGAGTAGTCGTTACATAACAAAGAAAGCCCCTTCTACGCTAATATACATAGAAAAAGTCCGGGTTATTCCTATCAGTGAGAAACTCCGGAGCCTGTTCCCGGTCAACCTCACCACTGTCTCGAGCCACCATGACCTTTCTGTTTCGTACGCCGTAGAGAATCCTGGTCAAAATACTGACAACGACGGATCCACCACAAACACAGAACACGGTGACTTTGGCTGGAATATAGCCTGGTGCGTCCCTGGCCTGAAATGTTTGAGGGCCAATAATATTAGCAATGGAGAACCCGATTGCAATAATGGCATTCGTAGTGACCTTCTTCGTGTATCCCTGAATATTGGCTCCCACCAAGGCATAGATCAATGCCAGAGGTGCCACGTCAAAGTTGATCAAATAGATACCAGCGAGGGAGCCAGCTTGGCTGTCCGGATAGAATGACATCAGTCCTGCTCCAATAAGAGTGGGAACCATAAGGAGACAAATGGCAAGCCAACGTGGGAATCGGTACAGGATGGCGAATGCGCTGAGCAAAGTGGCAGCTACCGATACCAGGCCAGAGGGCATGTTCAGCAAAGCTGCTTGTTTCGGGTTGTATCCAAAACCGCGGATGAGTGTGGCGGAAAATGTTGTGATAATGCCAGATGGGATGACAATGAGGATCGTGTTGAGGAAGAGAAGCCAGACCTGTAGATCCTTGATGGAATCCCAGATACCAGAAGCGTGAAAGACCTTGGCGCCGTTTCCTCCCTGATCAGCACTCAGTGCCTCTCGAAGCACGAGCCGCTCGTGTTCGGAGAGGAACTTGGCTTCTTTTATACCCGAGGGCATCCAGAAGACGACGAGAAGGCCAACCAGCACGTTGAAGGCCCCAACCGATACAAACATGATACGCCAGCCCTCAAAGCTGCCGACTCGGCTACCATGTTGAGCCGCAAAGGAAATGAGACCTCCGACGGTTTGCCCAATGCCAAGACCACAGTACCAGATGCCAGTTCTTGGGGTGGCTTGGCTTCTGGTATACCATTGCGATGTTATCATGATAAGTGCAGGAGAGATGACTGCCTCAAACATGCCGAGCAGCGTCCTTGCAGCTGTCATCCCAGGGAAGTTTTGAGCCGCGGCAGAGCAACAGATGACTGCGCCCCAGAGAATCACATTGACGCCGAGGACTTTGCTGACGGGAAACTTTTGAATGAGGAAGCCTTGGGGAAACTCGGCCACTGCGAAACCGATGAAGAAAGCCGTGGCCATCCACGAAAAGTCATTTCCCGTGAAATTGAGCGTTGTTGAAAGGCCCATGATGTTGGCATAGTTGATGAGAACTTTGTCGAGGAACTGGAGGAAGTAACAGACGAGCATCAAAGGTACAAGATGGTAGTCAACTTTGCGAGTGATGGTTTTCAAGGATTCGTTGGTCGTCATGTCCCGCACCGACCCCATGACGATGGATGGGGGGTCCTTGTTCGTTGGAGTCTTTTCCATGTCGTTGAGAGTCATGCTGACGCTCCTCGGATGCCGGTGATCTCGAATGTTAGACTATTGTTGAGGTGTCAGTAGTGTCCGATGAGGATGGTCGAGGGACTATGTTTGCTTACCTGTGAGTGCTCACTGGAGTTTCGGAGTTGATAATAGGTCTCGACGAATGGGGCTGGCAAGTGGTGGCAAGATAAATGTCTGGCAATGAGAAGTGATTGTGGCGTGATGTGACCAGATGATGCCGCAAAGAAGGAGTCGTTCGTCAACTTAAGTACTTGAGAATCGCGATGCGACTCTCAGATCGCGGATGTCAGGATATCTTCCAGTGATAACACGGCGCATTGGGTTTGCCGAGCTCAACCAGGCCTGGCCAGGCCAATTCCCAGGCAAAAGAGAAGATGACAAGCTCTCCCCAAACGGGCTAGACCGCGATAAGCTCTTGTCTCGTGCTTGTGCGTCCAAGCCAACGCCCAGACCCGAACCTCCCTTCACCTGTTTGCGGGGTAAAGACCGAGTGGCTCACCGTCGTTCCGCTAATGCAGCCGTCGGATCGGGGTGGAGCCAATATTCAGACTAGTCCGTCGCTTCAAGCGTTGCCGATAGGGGTTTTGAGTTTATCATGACGATAACGATCCGCGCGGTTGGCGGATGCGGTGTGGCCAATCGACGTTCACGCGGAATTAACGAGAGTCACGCCATGAAGGAATGTCGGGCGTCAAGGAGGCCATTGTCTTCAGCTGATGGAATCGAGTGTGGATGAATAATTGCTCGGACATGGTCGCCAAGTCCCTTCCGGTGAATCACCTTTCGACGTCAAGTTGAGTATTTTACTCTTGGACTTCTCTATAGACCTTCATTTCACTATAAGGGTTCATATCACTACCAGAATTATTTAACTTCCGTGTTACGATACGCTCTTCGAAAACCTCCGCATCAACCCGAAATATTCTTTCGATTCATCGACGCAATACTCACTTTCGGACCAATATGCCTTCACGCACTCAAACATCTCTCTCAATCGGCATCATTGGGTCTGGCCTCGGCGGCCTCTCTGCCGCCATTTCTCTCCGTCGGGCCGGTCACCAGGTTACCCTATACGAACGCTACGACTTCGGCGGTGAAGTCGGGGCGTCTCTGTCTGTCGCTTCGAATGGCTCTCGCTTCTTAGAAGAATGGGATATCGACATTCCTGCGGCCAAGCCCGTCATTCTGAAAAACCTCATCCGTCACGATTACTCGACTGGACAAGTCGAAGGCACATATCCCCTAGGGGACTATCGCGAACGCTTTGGAACCGACTACAACAACTTTCACCGCATCGATTTACACAACCATCTTAAAGAAGTGGCACTGTCCAACAGTGGGAAAGGGTGCCCTGCTGTTCTGAAGACATGGCACAAGGCGTCCAAGCTTGAACCTGAAACGGGGCGAATCACGTTCAAGAATGGCACAGAGGCAACACACGACGCGATAATCTGCGCTGACGGTATTCGAAGCATGATGCGACCAGAACTTGGCATCATTCCACAATTTGTACCAAGCACGTCTTGCTGTTATCGCTGCATCATTTACGCTGACAAGCTCCGCGAGCTGGGCCTTGAAGAATTCATAAACAACAATGCCATTGAGTTCTGGGGTGGTGACACAAAGACCAAGATCGTCCTCTCAGCATGTAGCGACAACAATGTTGTCTCATGCTACTGCTTTTACCCTGCGGAGAAGAACGACCTTACAGAAGACGGATGGAACATCTCGACTACGGGGGAAAACCTTGCGGCTACATTCCCAGGATTGGATCCCAAGCTCATCACGCTGTTCCTCAATGCTGAGGATATCAAGATGTGGCGACTGTACAACCATGATCCTTACCCTTACTGGACCAAGGGTCGATGCACCCTGCTAGGAGACGCTGCCCATCCCATGATGCCTGACCAAAGTCAAGGTGCATGCATGGCCATCGAGGATGCCGGTGCGCTGGGCATTCTCTTTTCGGAAAAGTACTCTGATTTGACAGTTGAGGAGCGTTTGAAGCTTTACGAAGCAGAAAGAAAACCACGGGCAACAAGAGTTCAAGAGGCTAGCAAGCGTGCCAGAGAAAACCTCAATGAGAGAATTGGATGGTCGAGTAAGAATACCAAGCCTGGCATGTTGACGATTGATGAGGTATGCGGTTATGACATGCATTCTCACATTGCTGGATTGGTCGCCGATCTGAATGCTTCGTCAACCAAGGTGGAAGCCAGCTCCTGATATGAGATTCACAATGAAAGTTTATTAGGTACATCTTTCTCTGAGATTCTATAAATTGACCGAGTTGCCATCAGCACAGTCTCTGGCCAATGCTCTCTCCTCTGCCGTAGCCTCATTTGCATCTCCGCCAGCTCACTATTATGGGACTCAACTTGATACAATGAGCGCCTTCAGCTTATGCTAGCATTCATACGAACCTAGACTTTGGAAGTGACCCCCAACTATTGATTATGCGATGAAAACCTATTCTTACTTGCCAGGTTTGATTGCAAGGCAACGCGTAGTGCAACCAAGCAAAGGTTAGTAAAGAGCCAAGCCACCCATCTCCTCGTATCGGATCCTCGCCCAATTAACTATAGGCTCAGTTTCTCTTCTCTTCCATACCTTTTCCACTAGTTCCCTACTCTGATGAATATACCCAAAGCCACAAGTCCGCTCCATAACCATCAGCCTATCCTGCACGACCAATCTCTGCCCAAGAGAGTCACAAGAACCACCAGCCATAACAAGTGGAAACAACAGACAACTCTCCACAGAACTGCCATAACGGACCTTTTGGGTTGCCTCGATAATGCGTTCTACACATTCGGAAACCTTGTCGCCAAGCGAGTAACCCTCTGTGATCTGGTGTAGTCGGAGCCGAAGTGCCCATTCGTATGCAATTGTTGTCTGAAGAACGTCATCGTTGCTTGGGGAAAGGGAGGCAACGGCGCCAGCAAGTCCACCGTAGTCATAGGCCCAGTTATCTAGTTGCTCTTGAATCTTTCCCGCTTCGTGACGGAACAAAGCCTCTGAAGGTTCATCAACCCTCGTTCCTCGCTTGCTAGCGAGATTGTTGATTCGATCGACTAAATGGAACAACTCCTTTGGTATCCCGTACACTGCTGTGTCTTCACCATTGACATCCTCAGCCAGCTCAAGTGAGGTTGTCACCGTTTCATTGTCAATCAGGGGAGGTTTACATGTGCTTGTCGTAGCTGCACTGTCCAAAAATCGAGCCAACTTGACAGAAAACTTGAAATGCCCGGTCAACATATCGCCATGCTGGAACTTGAGGGTTGATAAGAGACGCTTCGCTCCTTGGAGATGAAGTTTCCACCCTTGTGAAGTGCCATCAAAAAGCTCTGTCATGCAGAGCAATAGACATGATGCCAGAGCAATGTCGACTGATCTGGCATCAACATGCGGAAGCAGACGAGCCAGAGATTGTGTTGCTTGACCTTGGTGAAACAATGCCCGATCCCGCATGCATGGTTGAAGCCTCTGCCAGTGTGTGGCACTCAAGGCCAATACGCAATGAAGAATAAGTTGGTTCGACATGGCCATTGGTATAATGTAACCAACGTAGGGATTGGATGCTGTATTGGTACGCCTCGACAATACGGAGGCGACAATGGTCGAATAGTGATTGAGTAAGGCCTTGTCATGGGGAGACGTCATGTCTGGAACTAAGCTTGGTGTGTACAAGCTGAGTGATGTATCTTTCATGCTTACCGGGGAGCTCGAGTTGGCAGGGGGTGTTTTCGGAAGCATGTCAAGCCAGGCTGTATCGGGTGATAGGCTCCAGTATGGCTCCTGAGTTGGAGCGGCTTCGTCGATGACCGGTGCATCAAAGGCAGAGGCAGATGACATTTGACAGAGCAAGTCGGCGATGCTTACGTCAAGATTCGATTCTAGATTCAACTCGAGATTCGCTTCGAGATTCGACTCGGCCGAGCCAGTTGAGTGACTTAAACTTCGCGATCTTTCCGTCGACAGGCCAAAGATTTGATCTGCATCTGACCATATTTCATTATCCCGGTCTTCAATCCTCCTCCGTCTCGGCCTTTCAGTAGGCCACGAGCACTGCAGGCAAAGCCTTCTGCAGTCGCCACAATGAGGCTTCCTACAATCCTGATCAATATGATGAGCCGGAGGAAGACGGCGTGCCAACAAACCTTTCATCGCATTTTTTCTTGCGTGTTTTGCATGTCAAGCAGCCAGTCTGCACTCTTCGTATCTTTGCCTTTGGCTTCTCAAGCAAAATGTTGTCGAAATCGTCCAAGACATGCACACGTGGTTGAGAGGCCACCGGGTTCTTGGGACGGCAGGGAAGACTCAATCGGGTGCATCGGTCGCATGGGATGCCACCTTTGCATCCTTGTTTGATCTCAGCGCATCGCAGACACGTGCTACTTGGTCGAGCGCAAAACGCCATGCTCATCACGCATCAACCGTGGGGAAGGGCGTTCAGCTTGATTGACTTGGCTTGGGCAGTTGGAAGCAGACGACGCGTGAGGAGGTTGGGGATTAGCTATCTGAAGTGGGAATGGACCGATCAAGTACTGTACCCTCGCTAGCTTACCAAAGCTTAGGGGCGGCTTGCTTCTTATCATCGGCTATGGGTGAGGGGAAAGGACGCGGTCCGTTATCAGTGACCAACTAGGCTAGATAGGGTGTAGAATGCGCGATCTGGTTACTGACGGGGCTTTCAAAGTGGCAAACTTGGTTGATATTCATTGACTCGTGCTCTGGTACGTGATGATTTGACGTTCAAGGGCACTTGCGATATCCAACTTTGAGTGGGAATTTTTCAGCTTCATGAACATGAACCCAGAGCACTGTAGCTGGTATGCCTCCTACCCTACTCCGCCCACAAAGACCCAGGTTCTCAGCATTCCGCCCTCCCTCCCTCCCAGGATCAAGTTATAGCCCATGCAGTGCAACCCGGATAGCAGCAGCCGTTTGAATTCTAAAATCCTTTGCCTGCCGAAGATCCTTGTCCATGTGCATGAATGGATGCGGCACTCCAGGAAACCGCTTGATCGTCACCTCATTCCCGTGCTCTATTAGCTTCATTCCATATGCTTCACCTTCATCTCTCAATGGGTCAGCTCCGGCCGTGTAGATGACTGTTTTCGGAAGATTGGTGAAATCTTTGGCCTTGAAGAGGTTGGCAAAGATTTCAGGAACTTGTTGCCGCTTCTCTGCGATTTGTTCTGGGGTCGAGCCGAGGGAGCTCCATTTTAGCTTGTCAAACCAGGCCAGGCGGCCCCAGTTGAGCGTTGGCGCATGTTCGTTCTCTTGCATGGATGGAAAAGGTGACTCGGACGCAGATGAGTACTGGGACAAATCGTCGATCACCGGGGTTCCGACAGCGATGAGTTTGAGAGGAATCCCTGCGTCGCGCGCCATATGTCCCAGTGCCAGACTAATGAACCCCCCAGCTGATACGCCCCCAACAGAAATGCTCGTGGGGTCGATATTGAACCTCTCAGCACCTTTCTCGTAGATGTACTTGAGGGCAGCGAAGCTGTCTGTGACGCCACACGGAAACGCATTTTCCGGCACGAGACGGTATGCGACGTCTATCACAGCAACTCCAGCCAGGTTGCAAATGTGCTTGCAGATATGACTCTCCGTGTCGAGATCACCAAGACCCCAACCTCCACCATGGTAGTCGATATGGACAGGCCATGGCCCAGTGGTGCTAGGCTCATAAACCCTCACGTTCAAATCGATACCCTCGTGAGTGGTGATATGGGTGTCATATTGACGGGCAACATCTGGCGCAGGACCAGTGCCATAAGAATAGAGGACTGAGTATTTTGATCGCAGGACAGAGAGGTCAATGGGCTTGAGCGGAGTGTTGGCAACGTTGTCGTTGTAGAGCTTCTCAAAAACTGGGTCGAGCTTGCCCTTCATGGAGGGGTGGATGGGCTGAAGAGCCTCGTGTTTCTGGTCTTGGGTCATGATGGTTGTGTTGGTAGCAACGGGGTGCGTGATGCGTTTGTGTCGGGAAGATGCGATCAGAAAATGGCGGTTATGAGGACTTGGATGCCAGCGAAACGGAGAATGAAGAAAGAAATAGATTGTATATTCAATGGGCTGCCGCGATGTTGAAGACTTTGCTTGCAGTGTCTCCGCAATTACGGTCTCTCAAACGAGTCCCATCCACGAGTGCTCAGGTCTTGAGACCGATTGCGGCGGATCGTATTCCCCGCCACAGCTGGCGGTCCGGCGGTACCTGTACCCCTTCACGTGGAGCGATTGTCATTTTCCGACGGCTGCATAACGCCGAGGACCCGACGGAAGCGAATGCAGGACCCCTCCACGCTTCGCAATCGGGTCACGTCGGGATGAACCATTGTGCTGGGTTGCTTAGCCCAATCAAGGAAGCGTTTTTGTCAGTCGGATCAGTAGATGCTGTACAAGTCTCTGTGCTGATCATAGTGATACAACATTCCTCGATTCATTCAAGAGCTATATGACGCAGTCACGGCGTCCTCCAGGTACTCTCAACCCATGCGGGGTTCGTTCCGTTCAGCTATCATTACTCTTCCGTTATCGTAAACAAATTAGCTTCCCAAAAACCTCGCCCGAGCACTTCAGCAACCCAGTCGGTCGACATTATAACCACCACCTCTTACTTGCACTGGCTCTCGAGGATCTGTCGCAGTTCCCAAGAAACAAACCTCAGTTCGAAGCCCAACAGAATCAGCACAATGTCTCACGACCGCAAGCCAATTCTCATCATCGGCGCCGGAGTTGTTGGTCTTGCACTTGCCAATGGCCTGAAAATGGTGAGAGCTCTTCCTCAATCTGGGGGTTATGTCACTCCACACGACATCCCTTCACTGTCACGCATATCGACCAAATTTGCTGACATTTTGCAAGCTCGGCATACCATACCAAATCTACGAGCGTGATGCTCATATCAGCTCTCGTGGTCAGGGCTGGGCCATAACACTTCATTGGGTCCTCCCATTCCTGAAGGAGCTTTTATCCGACGACACTTTCAAGGACGTCGAATCCGTCCAAGTCGACCCAGAGGCGGACCGTCAAGGACTCGGAAAATTCGTCTTCATCAATCTTGAAACCCTAGAGCCAAAGTTCCTCATCCCACCGGGCGATCGACGACGAGTCAACAGGGAGAAGCTACGGAATGTTCTTCTCAAGAGTGTGAGCGACCAAGTCATGTGGAGCAAGCGGCTCACCTCGATCCGTGACCAAGACGATGGGGTGGTGGCCATGTTCGACGACGGAACCCAAGCCGAAGGATCTCTGATAGTAGGCGTCGAGGGCAGCAACTCAAGCACACGGAAATTCTTGGCGCCGGAATCCTACCGAAACATTCGACTGCCCATACGATTCACGGGTGCTGCTCTTGATCTCACGCCAGAGCAAGTGAAGCCGTTGAAAGACATCGACCCTTTACTCTTCCAGGGCTGCCATCCTGTCACAGGGACCTTTTTCTGGTTCAGCATGCTCGAAACACTAAAAGTCAACGGTACCGCAGGAACAGATGGTGGGCGCTACCGCGTCCAAATTATGATATCATGGCCCGTGAGGACACCAGACGACGAGGTAGGCGTTACGGACACGGAACGCTTAGCAAACATGAAGCGACGAGCAACAGAATTCAATCCCGTGTTACGGGACGTTGTGCATAGGATCCCTGAGGGATCCGAGGTGATTGAGATCGTCCTCCAAGATTGGCCATGTCCCCAATGGGATAGCCACCGTGGCAAAATTACTCTTGCTGGTGACGCCGCTCACGCAATGACCATGTATCGAGGCGAGGCTGCGAACCATGGCATTCTCGATGCGTATCGCTTATGCAAAGCATTAGAAGCGGTGTATGGCCAAGGAAAGGATCTTGAGGAAGCTATCGGAGAGTACGAGACGGAGCTTAGAGAGAGAACGAGTGTTGCCGTCTTGTTGAGTAGACAAGCTTGCTTGGATGCACATGACTGGGCGGGGTTGAATGAAAATTCAGCTGTGCTGAAGAAAAGGGCAGTTACTGGTGTTTAGTTTTACTCCGTTGAAACCCTCTCGATCGCTAGTTGTTCACCCTCTGATGGCTTTTTAAACTAACCAGTGTGTGAATCTCATCCGATAGAGTCAATGCCTAGAGCAGATTGCTGTGTGTCTCTTCGTGTGTTCTTTGATCACATCTATGACGAGTACGTCATTGAAGAAGTAGAAAGGCCCATGGTCGCAATTTCTGTCAAAATTAAAGACGATATCTGTTTCTGGACAGATGCTTCTCAGGTCGCGCTGTTGTCAGTTTGGCACTTGTCAAAATGACGTTGACCCTGATGTGCCGCGCCCATACCAGCTTCGATCCCGCTCAATGAGACCTACAAGGCACATTCAATTCCACACGCTTGCCGACAATTACAAAAGTTTCGTAAAGGAGCTTGACCAGCTGACATGCTGAGAGACGTGACACCCTGACGCGCCACCCTGTGACTGCGCGCCGGACCGCGCTCTGCTCCACTTTGAGATAGAGCTACTGCACCCGTCGCAACGTCGTCTTTCCGACGGACTGTCCACTTTTACCAGACTGGGGCGACAAAATGATAGACCTAGGAGGGCCGTGCTTGGACAGGGCCGGAGCTGCCATAATCAGATGGGTTGTATCTTTTAACTCATCATTGTGGCCATCGAGCTCTGTTATCCTGGCATCTCAGACCCGTTCGTCACCCCTACAATCAATCATTTGTCGGTATTCTTGTCACTTACTCTGAAAATGCCGTCGGCGCTTCCGAAACCCATACTGCCTCCCTCTGTGGTCGTGGTCACAGGAGCCAATGGCTTCATAGCCCAGCATTGCATCGCCTTGCTTCTCTCCATGGGATACAAAGCTGTTGGCACTGTTCGGTCTCCGTCCAAGATTGAGCAAGTCCACGATACTCATGAAGGACATCCTAACCTTTGCGTTGTGGTGGTTGAGGACATTACGTCTGTCGAATCCTATGTTTCTGCCCTGGAGCCTGTTCGGCCGAGCGCAATCTTGCATCTCGCCGCCCCTTTTCATTACGACACGAACGATCTGGAAAATGATCTTATGATACCTACCATCAAGGGTGCAACAGCCGTTCTTTGTGCGGCCGAACAACTCGGAGGTGTAAAGCGCATTGTTCATACCAACTCATTCGCTGGCATCTACGACGCCTCAAAAGGGCCACAACCGGGCAAGATTTACACGGCGAAAGATTGGTCACCGCTGACCTATGAGGATGGCGTAAACGCTCCTGCTGCAGCCATAGCATATCGAGCCAGCAAGACTGTTGCCGAAAGGGCTGCATGGAAGTGGATGGACGATAACCCATCGGCAGAGTTCGACCTTGTGAGCCTCAACCCAGCCATGGTGTTTGGACCATTTCTGCCCGGCGCAATCCCAAACAGTCCAGAGAAGCTCAACACCTCCAATCGAATCGTCTACGATGTTGTATCTGCCGGAGAGCATGGCGCGATACCCGATACACGAGGCCCAGTCTGGGTCAGCGTCAAGGACGTCGCGCTCGCGCATCTCAAAGCTCTTCAAGTTCCCGAAGCCGGCGGGGAGCGATATCTTTTGGCTGCAGGAGTATACTGCAATCAAGAGATCGCCGATGTTGCACGAAAGACAGCGGGGGAGCACAAGGCCAAAATTCCTCAAGGGTCTCCCGGGTTGAGACAGGCTGACACGCATTTCGGTATTGATGCTAGTGAGACCGAGAGGGTCTTGGGAATTGAGTGGCAGGGTTTGCCAGATGTGCTGCCTAAGTTAGTATCACAGTTATTGAGTATTTAAGGGCGAGTATTATATGCATAGGGCACGCAGGAGCTCAGTACGCCTTGCGGCTGTCCCGCAAGGAGATGGGCCCGTGACAGATCAATTTAGCCTCATTAGCCTTCGCATCGGCTAGGACATTACTAATTATCACGCCATGCGTATTACATGGCAGAGGCTGTGTTAGCTTTGAAGGTGTGTAAATATGCAAATGCAGGGTTCTTAGGTGGTGCCAGGTGGCCAGTTATTGAGGTGCCTCAAAAATTAGCGACGCCCGACGCGAGGGATGATTGAGGGCTTCTGATGATAATCAGGCTCTTCGCCAGAAGGATATATAGTGTACCTATATCCAAGGCCAACTGCCTGTCAAGCTTTAACCTTTTCATCACCTCAACACGCAACAGACCTGTCGCATTGGGCCTCTACAAGCCCGTTGCTCTACCCTTAATCCTATCCGAACCTTTTGAGCATACGGAAAATGGCTCTATGTACCACATGCTGTGATGTATTTACTCGTGTTGACGAGAATTCGTCAGCTTTCTGGGTTGGAGCAGAACCGCCCTTTCAACCGGACCAAGTACCAACGACACGCCACCCTAAATTGATGCACTTGTCGTGGGATTCATTTTGCGACTCTGTTGATCAAAACTGTCCGATTTGCTGGGCTGTCTGGTGTGAATTAAGATCCTCGCCTATCGTCTCCTGCCGCGAAGAAACGTACCAACACTTTTTCACATGACTTAGAAACGCTCAAGGCCGGATGTTGCATATTACGGCTTTTCTGCCGACAAAAGATGAGGGAGATGAGAAGACAATTCATTTGGAGGTGTTTAGAACGACCAAAAAGCGGTTTGGTAATAATTCCGATGAGAAGTCTAACGACCATGGCTAACAATCTAATCGCGTAGAGGCTGAAGCTCGGTTTCTAGAGGGTGACCTATTCTCCGAGGCGACCTTCACGACTGTGAAGGAATGGCTGGATCAATGTCCGGAAACTCACTGGAAGTGCAGCTCACGGAAGCGATCAAATCCCAACCCAGGTACCGTGCCGACACGGCTGCTCGACACTCATGGCAGCAAGGCCAAAACGTGGTCCCTGATCGAAACGAGCCTCACAAATCCGGCTTCTTCAGACTATGTTGCACTATCCCATCGATGGTCACCGGACCCAAAGGACACACCCAGGCTGAAAATCGAAAATCGATCCCAGTACTGGGACCCACAGCCGGATGATGTTCTACCCCGTACCTATCAGGATGTCTTTGCCCTCTGCCGTGCATTAGATATCCGATACATATGGATCGACTCCCTTTGTATTATTCAAGACTCACACGAAGACTTCGAACACGAGGTGGCGACAATGATGAGCGTCTACATGAATGCTGTTTGCACTTTTAGCATATGCTGGGAATATCCGAACGCCGGTTTGTCCTTCTATCGGAAGCCTAACACCTATCTCTGCTGGTCGAAAGCATACACAACCAACACGACGACAACTGGTCCGAAGACGCATGCATTCGTCCACAACATTATGGACGGGCAAAAAGCCGTTGAGTCTGCTCCAGTTAACACCAGAGGCTGGGTTTTTCAGGAACGATTGCTGTCGCCCAGAATTCTGTACTTGGGCAATGACGTGCTGTTCTGGGAGTGCGATCAAATCTTTGCCTCAGAAATCGCCCCTGTGAGGTCTCTTTTCTCTCGCAAGAATATCGCTGCCAAACCTGGCGATCTGGCTCGCGAATGGCCAGATCTTGTTTTCGAGTTCATGCAAAAAGGCTTGTCATATGAAAGGGACAGGCTGTTTGCCATTTCGGGGATTGCTCAGTTATTCGCCCAGCGAACTTCTGAAACATTCCTGGCAGGATTACGGAAGACATCTTGGGCGCGCGACCTCCTTTGGTATCCCCGGCCCTTCTTACCTTCACACAATCGATCTCCCATTGGCGATTTTCCTTCATGGTCGTGGGCGGCTTGTCCTACACCTTTGGGTTGGCCTACTTCCTATGAAATGTCTTACGCGGCCTCCAGAGGTGACTTCGACCCAGAGGTCAACACATTGGCGTATCTAAGCGCAGGAAGTCTTGAAGCGTTCAGGTGAGACATATATGGAAAACCAGGGTCAAAATCACTGGATATATCCTGTTTCCTCACCCCAGCGCAGTATGAAGAGTTTGACGACGAGATTGATGAAGCGTCCAGTGCTCACGTTGAAAGGCTTCAGCATCCGCAATACACCCGCGTTAAATCCGACGGCTTCCTGTTCCAACCTCACAACATCGGCGTGGTCCATCGCTGATCACTCTACCCATTGGCGAGCGGAATACAGATTTCTCTCCATCATGCTTCGTACTACCGCTTCTTGACGAGTCCGAGTTGAATCTCTTCGAAGATCCAGAAATGACTAATTATCAACGGGGCGACTATGAGTTCTTCGACCTACACGCCTTGATAGTACAAGAGCGACCACGAAACTCAGCTGATATTGAAAAGACAGAACAGGTTGGAGTTGAAGAGTATGTTCGAATAGGGACGTTCACCATCACACTGAAGGGATATTACAAGGATTCCCCAGTCTGGCTGAATCAATGGAAGGCATATAGGGGCATACTTAACGGGATCTGGGAGCAGATGCGTATGCATGACAGCGATGCAAGCGGGGCTGTTGGGGCAGATGAAGACATGGCGTTCAAAAAAGGGCTGCGCCAGTTCGTGAGAGCTCGTAATGACGAGCTTTCACATATAGTTAAAGGGAAGATGAGTGAGCATCAGGCTGACGTGACAGTCCAGGGAAATTGGGCAACTATCCGTCTTATCTAATTAGGTTCTATTTGGTCACTTTCTGTCTGGTTATAGTATTAAACTGTCCCGATATGCCAACAAGACATACTACTTTGGTCCCCCTTTTGAGGCTTGCGTGACCCTATGACTTCTCGTCAGCACCCATGGCCTTTACCTCCTCTAAAGACGCGTTCTGTCCATCGATTTCAAAAGGAGCAGCTCCTTGCAGAGTCCTCAGACTTCTTTTCCAGGCCACAGATCGCCACGCAGGAACGCGCCGTTCAAACAGAAGATCAACCTAGAGAGTCAGAACCTGATATTTTAAACACCCTAAGGTTACATGACATACCTCTGCCCGAGAAAGGCCAGCAAGCTCTGGAACGAAAAAGAAGGCCCATATTATCGATAAGAGACCGATGCCAAACCAGATGTACGCAACATTGACGCCGAGATCGGCCGCCGTCTCGTCGACCATGTACGGCGTCACAAAGCCAACCAACCATGTGATGACCCAGTAGAAACCGAGAACCAGAGACGTTTGGGTAATGCGAAGCCGGTTCGAGAATGGCTCAGTCATGACAATCCAGCCTAGGCAAAGAGTCAGCACAGTCCAACGAACAGAACCCATTCATGACAACTGTGCTCTTACCTCCAATTCCCCAGGTCGGGGCGTAAGCTGCGATGAAAATGATGGCACCCGCTACGAGCATGTTCTTGCTTGCAGTGCTATCAGGACTTGCGCTGTGCATCACGCCCGTGAGGATTTGTGTTAATGCCATGATGACGCCGCCGACCAGGAGGGACCATCTCCGCCCGAAACGCTCGATGAGATAGATTGAAGGGGCAGTAAAAAGGCAGTTCGTTATGGCAAGGACGAGTGAGATGAGGTATGAATTGTCAACCCCGGAGGCCATGAAGAAAGTCGTGCCATACCCGAACCAGAAGGTGATGCCAGTTGCGATGGTGAAGAAAGACATGGCCATGCCGAGAAAGGTTCGCGTCCGGTTCGTTCCTTGGAAGCACTCTAAAATTTTCACATCGCCATGGGATACGATATCTGCCAGGTGACCTTCTATCTCATTCATGGCCTCGTCGACTTGGTTCGAGTCAACATCTGCATTCAAAAGTGTCGCGATAGAACGGCGGGCATCATGGGGACGATCTCGCTGCAGCAGATAGAAAGGGGATTCGGGAATCAGAAGAGAGCCAAAAAGGATGACGATTGCGAAGAACAGCTGGAAAGCAATCGTAACCCCTATAGATCTTGTTAGATCATGACACATCACGAGTTGGAAGGATCCTTACTCCACGATCGCGAATCCGTGTACTCGGAAGTGCCGAAATTGATACCACAGGCCAGCACATTGCCGGCGGTTAGGAATTGAAGATACCAAGCCATGAGAGGTCCGCGATTTGTCGGCGTGGAGCATTCCATGAGGTATGCTGGGACCTAGTCGACAGATATCAGCAATGGCCGTGGACTCAAGTGGTGGAATGGTGTGGCTGGGTCATTACGCAAGACATACCACGTTGGAAATGAAGCCAATGGCGCCACCAAGCAGAACGCGGCCGATGACGAAGGCTGCAGGGGGCAATCCAGCTGTTTGGAGAATGACTCCAGCGGCATATACACACGACGCAACAATCAAGACACCCTTCCGGCCAACTGGGAGATTTCAGTATGAGTTCTGGTACCAAAGGAACAGAAGGAGAATATCCTACTCTTGTTCGTAATCATTGGCGTGATAAGGCAGCCAAGCGTAGTTCCGACAATAAGCAGAGACGAGAAGAGACTTTTGGTATAAGGAGTCAAGTACTTGGGGCCTCCATCATCGGAACTAGTTCCATATCTCTGGACAAAGTCCTCGGCGCCCAACACGCCATTGAGGTAGCCCGAATCATAGCCAATAGTGATTGCTGGTAGCCAACGTCAGTCTCGCAAGCAATATTGTCTGAGAGGTGGTTTAGCACCTACCGGAGAAGAGGATGAGCCCATAGGCAATGAGTTGCTTGAAAGATGGCATGCCGAAAGCTGGCGAAGGACCGTTTAGTGAGCTAGCAAGAGAGAGAGTAATTCAGTTCGATAGCTCTGTTGTTGCTTTCGATTGCAGGTCCAGAGGCTTGCTTTTACCTGCCCTGACGGAGACGACGGTGGCATTTTCAATTGAGCCAGAAGCTATACATCGTCAAGGGAATGATGGCGGCGATATCTCAAGAAACTCTATTACAATGCCTGCGCCCAATTGCAGAGCCTAGAGTTATCGGGCGTGGGCGATAAGTGGCCGGAATTTATATTCCACCCTGCGGAAGAGATCTCTAAGATCCGGCACCACAACTAAAGGAGGAAAAGCCGTCTAAGTTTGACCTCAGGATAGTCATGCCACTGCGGAAGGCGATTTCCTATCTACTGGTTTCTCAGCAACCCTCATTCTAAACTCGGGCACCCTGGATACTCACGGCCATTCGGCCAGGGGCTCACTTTAGTTATCAGATTATCTTGCGGCCCAGGCCCTTATCGGCTTGCGCGGTGAATCTAGAGTGGAGAATAGGGCCCCTTCTATACCTATCTCGGCCTTGATCGTGCCAAGGACTCGGGCCGTATGCACACCTCGCCATGCACCTTTTTTCCCTTCTCCTGTCTGACTCTCTTCACATCTACTGCTTTGTAGATCAACCTGCAGGTTAATATCATTATCATTCGTAGATTAGAACAAGTTCAGGCATAGCAATGTCCAAAAGGCAAGACGGTAAATGTACACGGGTTCTCTATAACACAAAGCCATTATGAAGGCCCAGTCACTGTGGGTCGCCGCGATTACCGAGACAAGGGACGCAAATATAATAATAATTGTGATTACGCTCAGTGTGTGTGAACCTATCAGTGTCTCACTCTGATAAGATGGTTATCTAGGTAGTGATAGCATCATGATTGCCTAGCTAGTGCCATTGTCCCTGGTCGCAGATGTCGGCGAAGTAACCAATCCAGACCGAATTCTGGGCCTACCTGTACTACCACTATTCTCTAAGAGTAGAGACAGATGCGGACTTGAGGTTCTCCCTGTCGGTCAAGTCTGCAAAAGCGAGGTCCGCCACCTGTCTATCGTCACTACCCAGCCGATCCCTTCTCCGATTCTCCCATAAATAGTAAAATTTCAGGACCGATGCGCAGGCCACGGCGAGAGCGTACATGACGATGATGGTGACCTTGGCGGGGATAAAATCCGGCTCGTCTGCAGTCCTGAATGTGAGGGGGCCGATGATGTTACCGATAGAGAGGCAGATGAGGAGAATGGCACTCATGGTGACCTTCTTGGTATGGCCGGCATAGTTGGCCGAGATCCAAGAGTATGCCACAGGGGTGGAGGCTCCGTTACAGTTGCAGAGATACATTCCAATGTTGTTGGCGACGATGAGGACGATGAAGATCTAGGTCTGGGGGTCGCAGAGGCATTCGCGGAACTGGTACCACTTCCAGGTCTTGTTTTTGATGCCGGCCAGGCTGGCGATCAATTCAATTCAATCATACATCTGGTGGACAAAAGACCAGCTAATGAACCGTGCGAGCGTGCACGTCCCATAAAACACACCGTGCCACCCCTGCTTCAACTCAATCGGCACCCCAGATTGAATTGATCGCCAGCCTGATGCCGGCAGCTTTGGTGAAGATTAAACCTTATGAGGTTGGAGATAGTACGTAAGGAGCTATGCTAGTGTCCTTTTGAGCTCCCTTCAACACATTGACTTAAATTCCAGCAGCTTCTGAGTTTAAGAATTCCATCCACCCAGCCTGGTCGCCCATCACTACGTCCGCGGCCTCTATGGGGTGTACATTCGGCCACATCATGTTGATAATACTATTAATCTGCGTCTGAGGACTTTCTCCAACTGGCTGTGTCTCAAGCAAGGGCTCAGTCTGTATATCAAGGGTATTGCTGATGGCGCCTGGAGGTTCATGCTGAGCGCTGACTGCATCCGAGGCATCCTGGTGGTGTTCAACGCGGCGGTAGTCCAGATATTTGCCGCACAAATCTAAAATGATTTGATGGCAACGCTCAGAGCTGGTGTTGAATGAAGATAGAGCTGTGATGACATGGAGAGTGGATACAATCTGAGCTCGCCAGTCTTTTGCTTCTGGGGCGCTGGGATTGTTCCGCAGACATATGCAAGGAACAAGAGCTGCCTGAAACAGGAAATAACTGCAGGATATAAGTTAGTGTGAGCCACTGGATGGACTCATGGGGAATAGGGGAATGAATGTGCTTACAGACTATACCAAGCCGCCAGTCTGTTGTGTTCCTGCCCACGCCAATACTCGGCAATCATCTCGATCGAAGACTTGGCGTCACTCAGACACCGGCAGTACGCCTTGTTGCTTGCCTCATCGGATCCGGCGCGCCCTTTTAAGGCGCGCCGGATCACAAAAGGCCGGTACATGACAATACGCAAATTGCGTAACCTCCAAGACATGACAGCCTGGCTAAGAGCATAGCGAGGGGGCACCTCAACTTGCTCGGAAAAGTAGGCTGGTATAGATGCCCGCCATGGTTCGATATGCTCAGAATCCAGGCGAAGAAGCTCTTCTGCAGTGGGGAACGGTCCAGAGATGATCTTTTCATAGCACAAATGCGCAGCTACGTGAAAGCGTGCTTGTGTTGAAACAGCTGTATAAGGAGTGATGGCGTTGCTCTCTGGGGGGTAGGATTGAGAGGCGGCAGTGAGGTCCTTGTCAAGTTAGCACGTGGAACTTGCTATACTCCGATTTCGGCTTACCTTGTCATCCACATTGAGAGGAAACGATACATCGACTCCCTTGTAGGGCCAGACGTCGGGTCGACTAAAAGTGATGGTGGCACCAACATCAAACACGCAAAGAGACCACCAGACTCTTCGACGGATTTCCATGTTGAGAGGAGAAATCTTCCAACCTTCAAATTCTTTATGTAAGCCTAAACCCATCGCCATTCTTACGGCCAACCCAAGATAATTGTATCCCGAGTTGGGCTTGTCACGTTTCTGTTGGTAGTTGGAGATCAGTGTCAGGGCTTGAACCAAGGGCAGGTTTCCGACTTCTAGATAGTCGAAATTCAACATTGACCGGGCTCGGTAGAAAAGGTCCATGTCGAGTGCTGGGTCCGAGGCGGCCGAGGATGTCCAAACACCGATTGCAGCAACAACATAGGCAAGGATTGTCCAGCATGATCCGTTCGGCCGTGGTATCAGCTCGCTGTATTGCGCCCTGAATGTTGGTTCATGAACGATCGGATAGCTGACATGGTAAAGTCGAAAGTAAGCATCGATCATGGCCTCTGTGATGTGGCGATTGGGACTTGGTTGTTGAGGCATGGGATAGGTCAGTGAGTCGGGTGGTTGTGGTCGCGAGGATGATCGACGTCGGGATACAGGCTCGATTAGACGTAGCATGGCGGCTCCGGATGCCACGCCGAGATAGCCACCTCCGCGCTCGTTAACTGTTAAAGAGGCCATCCCGTCTGACATGGGGCTTTCTTCCTCGTTTCCCTCAGCGTTAGTTTTCGGCGAGAGGCCCCGAATCGGTCCCGCCTCCTTTTCGCACCATTCAAAGTCATACAGAGGTGGACTTTCTAACATTCTCTGGCGCACAGGTTCTTGACTTTGATTGCCATTCTCATTCTCATTCTCAACACCCTCGCCGGAGGCTTCTGGGTCGACAGGGCGATCCGTGATAGCAGTTCCCGAATCCACATCCACTTCTGTCAGGTTTGCATCACCTCCACTCATCTCTGCCTCAACAACAACGGGCGTCGAAAAATTGAAAGGTTCTGCACTGGGCCATGCTTCAACTGGAGAGCGAGGTTCTTGGCGTTCCCAAGTTCTCAAGTTGGGTGGTATCAATGTGCGCATCTGCTGGATCACTGCCTCAGCCCGCTCAAGACGCTCCTCCACCTCGGTCAGATATCTGCACAAGATTAGGACTATGAATCACGAAATGAGTCAACCAGAGAAGTATAACTGACTTGCGGGTCAAGGGTGTTCGGGAATGTTTCTCGTATAAGCAGTGGCGGCGATATCGGATGCATAAGCCGCAGGTCGGAAGGCCTTTATCACAGCGTGCCTTGCGGCGCCGACACTCTTTGCAAGCTTGCTCCGAAGACCCAACTAGGGCGGTGTTGAAGTTTGACATTGTATTGGCAGCCTGAGGTATAATTGTTTGGTGGTTGGGCGGGCGGGTTGAGGCCGAATTAGGGGTTCATGGTGAGTATGACGATGATGGAAATGGATGGACGGGTCGGGGTATTATAACTTGAAGGCGGGGAAGTGGGACGATGCCCTCTACCCTGGCCGCCAAGCCTGCCCAGCAGTTAGCCAATAGGAGCAGCACATCACCCGCAAGTTTATTCCGGAGTGGTACCGAGGGGTTGGTTGGTTGCAAGAGGAGCATCACTTTCAGTTCAGGGTAGGTATTATTGCGATCATCATTCCGATTGAAGTTTGCCATTTGTACACATTTCACTTCATATTAAAGAACAACTACAGCAAAGAACCCACTTCCAACAATCACACCATATCCCAATGTGTCTGGAAGTATCGTATGCCTCATGGGAGTGTGTAACCGCCATCAATTACCAGATTGGCGCCTATTGTATGTTAGCTGGAGTCACTCCACCTAATGTCCACAGCAATTACTAACCCGTCATGTAGCTACTAGCATCACTCGCGAGGTAGACATACGACCCTTTTAGTTCCTGTGGATCGCAAAGTCTCGCCCCTGGGATCATGGTAAACCACTTGTCTCTCCACTCCTTGGGGTGAACGTCCAGCATATCAGTAGCAATAAAGCCCTTGCCAATCAATCAGTATCCATCGCGAGATTAAGCTGGGGCTTGTGACTAACTGGAGACACGCAGTTGACCCGTGCAAAGTCAGTCCACTCCACCGCGAGACTCTTTGCCAGGTGGACAACTGCTGCTTTGCTTGCATTGTACGCAGCCTGTTTTTGAGGAACGTTGACGAGAATTGCGCTGACACTGGCTGTGAAAATGATACTGCCCCTTGTCTTGGACCCTTTCATAACGTTTGCAGCTGCTTGTGCTGTCCAGAAAGCTCCATTGAAGTTGACATCCAGAATATTCCGGAACTTGTCTTCGGGGTAATCTTCAGCAGGGATGTGGTCCGCGATGCCTGCGTTGGCTACCACAATATCTAGACCACCAAGTTCTTGAGAAGCTGCCTGAATGACTTGATTGACTTGAGCTCGATCAGTCACGTTGCACTTGTACGTCTTGACCGTCCTGTTGCCATTGGCTGAGGCCAGACTTTGAGCAAGCTTAGCCACTTCATCTTCTGGGGTGCTTGAGTAGGTGATCGCGACAGATGCACCAGCTTCAAGCAGCCCCCTGGCTACTTCTAAACCAATTCCTCGTGAAGCGCCAGTCACGAGCGCCGTCTTGCCCTCTAGGGAAAAGTGCGAGAGGACGGGGGCCGAGGGATTGGGATGAGATGCAAGGACCATGTTGGCGGTACTGGTGGTAGTGAGTATGTGTAAGGATAGTTGAGGAGAATGGGTGAATGCTGGCCTTGTGTCGAACAAGGAATCTGTCAGCCCAGGGCTATTAATGATACAACTGTGACCAAGGATCATGTATTGAGCTCTGGGCGGGGCGAGGCATAGGATGGAGAACAGGGTGACTGTCACCCTGGCTCAGGTGACCGACCAAGCATTCTCACCGATCCCGGCCTCCCCACAAACCGGAGGTAATTAGATCCATTGCTTCTTTTACGTCAACGTGCATCATGATGGAAGCACAAGGACAGGCAGCATTTCGGTTGATTCCGGTGACCATAAACCCTCACTACCTATGCGTAGAAACGGATAGCTCTCGGCCGAAAGAAATGATTAGCTGCAGCATTGCCACCATGACTCAGACCCGGGATATGTAACGACTTCATCCTCAACTGAATGTTATTCCACCTTCAATGCTTAAGTGTGAGGGCATCGTTAAACTACAGGTATCTAGGGAATGGAGTTGCGGGGTGTGTGTCCATCATAACGCCCACGAGAGACACTTTGTCTTCCAACCTACTTCATGCTCATGTAGGAGATAGTTGAAACATAAGCTGAACACATCCAGATAGGTGCTTTTATTGAACAATCAAGCTAGTGGTCTATTTAGGAACACCTTCAATGATCACCTTTAGTGTCTTCTCTTCTGCCCTCTTTACCAGCTCAAACGCATCTTCAGCTTCTGTAAACTTGAAACGATGCGTGATGAGTTTCCTGGGCTGGATCTTGCCGCTGGCAATGAACTGAACTGCTCGGGGATAACATCCGGTAGAGTAGCGGATCGAGCCCTTGATAGTCAAAGCACGAATACACGCCGTCGTGATAGGAAAGACAACATTCTCGCGTCCCATACCGGCTTGCACATATGTACCACCCTTCTTTGCAGCAAAAATGCCAGCTTGAACGCAGGCTTCGGCGCCAGTGCACTCGAGAACAACATCTGCACCCTCACCGAGTCCAAACTTCTTGACAATCTCCTCACCCACGGCCCGAGCCGCATCGACGGGGTCAACTCCCTCAGGGCGGTTGGTGCTCGAGACGTAGACATCGTCGGCAGCAAAGTCTCGGGCAAATTTGGCTCTCGACTCTGAAATGTCGACTCCAATGACTCTGCTTGCGCCTGATGCTTTGGCCACGGCTTGGCAGAGGACACCAATTGGGCCACAGCCAAAGACGAGAACCGATTGACCAGCTCTGAGGTCAGCGACCTTGACAATCTGAACTGCTACCGCAACCGGCTCCACAAGAGCGCCATCTTCTGATGACATGTGGTCTGGGATAGGGTACACATAGTCTGATGCCACAATGTAGTACTTTTGCAAGGTCCCGTCATGGGGTGGCGTGGCAGCAAAGACGGTGTCGGCACAAAGATTGTATGCGCCTGAGCGACAGTAATCGCATCGTCGACAGGGCACGCCGGGTTCAATGGCAACACGGTCGCCAAGCTTGACGTTCTTGACCTTGGCCCCGACCTCGACGACTGTGCCGGCGCTTTCGTGGCCGAGAACAATTGGGCTCTCTAGGATAAAATCGCCGATGCGACCTCGTTGCCAGTAGTGAACATCGCTGCCGCAGATGCCCGTTTGCTCAATGTGAACTCTGACATCGTGTTCATCACGCAGCTTGGGCAATGGCCGCTCTTCAAACTTGACGTCTTTGATGGCCTGGAGAACGAAGGCGTGGTTCTGCTATTGTTAGTCGCAGTTCGGGCAGCAGTGCAATGGTAGCGCAACTCACAATCTCGGACATGATGACGATTTTTGACAGGGAAGTAAGTGTACACCCTAGGTAGCTAGCTATGCAAGGTCGTCTCGGTACTTGGGCGAGGGAAGAAGGATGTCCTTTTGACGGATTCCGGGCCAAGGCTGATAATTGGGACGAGGGTGACAGGCTGCCGTCGAGCCACATATAACGCTGTCACAAACTCATGTGTCACAAGGACGCAGTTAATGTGCAGATTCACTTTGTTCATCCTCATTCAATCCATACTCCGCATAATGGAAGCCACCTATCAGTCCCTAGCCGAACGCATCCAGCAGCAATGGACCAGAAAACAATCGGCAGAGGGTGACAATGCCCGGCTTCTTGTGGCCCTCGCCGGAGCGCCGGGGTCCGGGAAATCGACGATTGCTTACCACGTCGCCAAGATCGTCTCCGCGTTACCTGATGGGCCGTCGATCATTGCCCTATCCGCCGACGGCTTCCACTTTCCCCTCTCCACGCTCCGTTCATGGCCTAACGCAACGGAAGCTCTCGCCCGCCGCGGAGCTCCCTGGACCTTTGACGGACATGGTCTGGTGGCCATGGTCCACACACTCCGTCGCAGGAACGAAACAATCGTGTTTCCAACGTTTGATCATGCCGTCAAAGACCCCGTCGATGATGGAGTCGTGGTGCAGCCGAGCATTCAAGTTTGCATTTTGGAGGGAAACTACCTGCTCAGTGACGAAGCGCCTTGGAATATTATCGCTGATCTGGTTGACGACCGTTGGTATGTGCATGTCGAGCTGGGACTGGCTCAGAAGAGAGTCGCCCTGCGACATAGAGAGGCGGGCATTGAAACTACCATGGAGAAGGCTTTCAAGCGAGCAGAAGAAAACGACATGGTGAACGGGGAATATGTGGCGAGCCGAAGTCGGGGACGTTACGACATGTTGATCGAAAGCGTTGAGGAAGCTTAGTTGAATTGACCCCTATCTCTCCGTGTCCCTGTTTCCCACCCTGCGTGACCAAGGGTGACTGAATACCTTGTAAAAAATGTACCTCATCAACAGTAGGAGGTCAATTCCCTAGGGAGACTTGTCTGACGCTTCTACATGAACGGGGTGGGTAATCCGGTGCCAGTTCAGTTGCAGGTGTATGCATAGTGATGGCGTGGTGTATATGAGTATTGCGAACCACTTACCTACTACCGTGAGCTTTCTTAGAGTCCTCTGCGTTTGAAATACCTTTCTCGCTTCCTCTTCTTAGCCACTGCTCACTCATCTTTACACCATGTCACAAATCAGCAATGGTAATGGACGCCAGTCCATCCGTAACCCAAACCCTCCTATCGAGGATAGCGTGTTCAAGTCACTGAGACTTGATGGGCGTACTGTGATCATCACCGGGGGCTGTGGTGGTATCGGTTATGAGGTTGCTCGTGGCCTTGCCGAAGCTGGCGCCAATGTTTGTCTTCTCCCCAAGTTTCCAGCATGTACTTACAAACAACAGTTGGCTTTGTGGTACCACTCATCTCAGAATGCCGCCAAGCTCTCAGCAAAGATTGCTAGCGACTTTTCAGTCACCGTCAAGACGTACCAGGTGGATGTGCGAGACAACACCCAGGTGGAGGCTACCGTCGACAAGGTGGTGCAGGACTTTGGCCGACTGGATGTCATGATTGCCAATGCCGGAATTCCTACAAAGGCCGGTGGCTTGGATGATACCATTGAGGATTGGAACAATGTTCGTGCAATCGACTTTGATGGCGCTTATTACTCTGTACGCGCTGCTGGTCGAGTCTTCCGCGAGCAGAAGCGAGGTGTGGGCATCATTACGGCCAGCATGAGCGGCCATGCCGCCAATGTTCCACAAGAACAGACCTGTTACAATGCCTGCAAAGCTGGGTGCATTCACCTTGCAAAGAGCTTGTCGGTTGAGTGGGCGAAATGGGGAGGACGCATCAACTCGGTGAGCCCGGGATACATCGACACGGCTATTTCTGGTGACTGCCCTTTTGAGATGAAAGAGGAATGGTACAGCCTCACTCCTCTGAAGCGTGACGCGGATCCAAGGGAACTCAAGGGCATTTACCTCTATCTCGCTAGCGATGCAAGTTCCTATACGACAGGGGCCGACTTTGTCATCGATGGTGGATACACTGCTCGATAGATAGAGTTGAAAGACAATATGAAGGTAGCTAGGGTAGATATCCATTTGCTAAGCAACCTTTGGCTCAATAGAAGCTTTTACCAAACCTCTCCTCAACTGCTGCTCACGCTGTTATTCACATACTTGTTTTTCTTGAAAATGCACCATAAGCCCAGTGTGACATGCGTTGGTTTATTATCGTCTCCTGGTCAGGATCCCCAAGGTTCAATTGGTAATACTCTACTCAACTTGCAGGTGCTTGCACAAGAATAGAGACGAGGCACGCTCAAAGATCACCGTCAACGCGTGCCAATCGCCTACACCACCCCGCAACTAAGTCCCTACTATGTGCGCGTTCGTCGGATGGAAAACGTTCGATTTCCGTCGTATCGCCACCGGTTTCTCCGACTTACGGACGCGCTCAATCCTTGTAAATGGTGGTCGCTTCGGTAATCATCTCCCGGTCGGCTGACAGTCACCCTTGGCCACGGACGACCCGCTCCGTAGTTAGCCTGCCTCTGTGTCTCCATAGTAATACCCCAGGTTTTGGACAGTCTGTGGGGTTAGGAGAGTCAGTTTGCTGCGGAGAAGCATCAGTTGCAGCTTGCTTGCATAAATGAAACAGGTCTCCCCATTGTCGATCTCAACTCTTGCAACGCATGCACTGAAGCCATCACTGCATCTATCTACTCTTAGCTGTTTTTTTTCTTCACCTTTGACAGTATCATAGTCATGGCGTCCCAGGTAGAACGTGATGCCAAAATCGTTGGCACAGCTGTTGCCGAAGTGCTTCCTCGCTCAGACAAGTACTGGTTTCAACAACCTCACCTCCTCCGCCTAAACTTGCTACTTCTTATCCCGCTGCTTTCAAGTTCTGTTTCAGGATATGATGGTTTGTTCTTCGTTGTCAAAATTTGAACCTTGCTCACATTCGCCCCTTAGGCTCTCTGATGAACGGTCTCCAGTCTCTCCATCAATGGCGCGAATACTTCAACCATCCCGAAGGAGAGGTCCTTGGACTCGTCAATGCCGCTCAGTCCATCGGATCCGTCCTCGCTCTCCCCTTTGTGGGCACTTTATCCGACAAATTCGGCCGAAAGCCCGTTCTCCTGAGTGGTATCATAATGATTTGTATCGCTTCGGCGCTGCAAGCCGCGTCGGTAAACTACGCCATGTTCGTCGTGTCACGGGTCGTTGTGGGATTTGGTGGAATGTTTGTCGTTCAGCCGAGTCCAATGCTTATTGCCGAGCTCGCATACCCGACGCATCGTGGAAAGTACACATCCGCGTTCTGGACATTGTACTACCTCGGTGCCATCCTGGCCTCGTGGACCACCTTCGGCACCCAAGTCTATGAAGGCGCAGTGTCCTGGAGGCTACCTTCTGCTCTTCAGGCTTGTTTCCCGTTGGTCCAGCTGGTCTTCTTCTGGTGGCTTCCAGAATCACCCCGATGGCTTGTAGCTCAAGAGCGAACTCAGGAAGCCTCGGCCATTCTCACACAGTATCATGATCCTTGCACCGATGACAGTCCCTTGATCAACCTGGAGCTTTCGGAAATTGTCGAGACTATCCAGAGGGAGAAGTCAGCCGAAACCACAGGATGGTCCGCTCTGGTCAGCACCCCCGGGAACCGAAAGAGAACATTTATCGCGGTTTGCACCGGTCTGATGGCACAGTGGAATGGAATCGGAGTAGTGTCATATTACCTGACGCTTGTTCTTGACACTGTGGGTATCACCGACACATTTGACCAGACCTTGATTAATGGTTTGCTTCAAATTTTCAACTTTGGAGCCGCTCTGAGCGCAGCGTTCCTTGTCGACAGGCTTGGTCGCCGAGCACTATTCCTGTGGTCTGGCGTAGGCATGCTTGTCTCATACATTGTTTGGACAGCATGCTCAGCTGTCAACTCTGACACAGGCAGTAAATCGGCCGGTATTGTCGTTGTTGTTTGCCTTTTTACCTACTTTTTTCACTATGATATTGCGTGGACCCCTCTTCTCTTTGGTTACCCGACCGAGATCTTCCCCTACTCGCTACGATCCAAGGGCATTGCTGTTGAGCTGTTCGCCATCTACGGCTCATTGATCATCGCCGCATTCGCAAACCCAATTGGTCTTGAGAACATCGGTTGGAAGTACTATATCGTCTTTTGCGTTTTGCTGGTTATATTCTTCTTTATTACGTATTTCTTGTTCCCGGAGACAAAGGGGTATAGTTTGGAAGAGATTGCCTGCATTTTTGACGGTGACCAGGCCGACATTGTAGAGCATGCTCCTCAGGAGACCTACAAACTTGGCAAGAGGTCTTCCGAGGGAGCGGCTCATATGGAACAGGTTTAGCCCTAGTATTGTTTCCTTGCATAGGTAGTCAGAATCTACACCATTCTCCACCAGGAGCTCCCACCCCACCGTTGCTTGCAATTTCCCAGGTCATACAAAAGAGCACGGCTGATTCTGGTGCTTTCATACCGGATATTGAGGCTCCTGGGCTTCGACATGTATCAACTGCAAGACCGAGTTCGACCAGTTCCCTCGACGATCTTCGGGCTCAGTTAACCCATCGAGGGCCGGGCTGCAACGATAATAAAGAACAGATTTTATAATAGGCTATTAGGCACGATCTTCGGGCTTAGTTAACCCATTAAGGGCCAGGCTATAACTATAATAAAGAATAGATCTTAAATATAATATAATATTATAACTTAATATTAATATAATAGCCTAATTAAATTTCTATAGTAATAAAAGAATTATATTTAGTTATATTATTATAAAAATCTAATTTCTTATAGGTATTTTAATTATTTTAATCTCTATATAAGAAATAAGAGAATTATCTACCTCTTTATCTTCTTAAGCTATAATCTCTTAACACCATGGCTTTGAACCCGATGCCAAGAACAACTATCAATCGGTCACACGGCATCGCTGCCGAGTATAGGAACCGGCACCCTCTCCCTCTGCTATTAGGCACACCCTGGAGGGATCATGCACCACTGGTTTATTCACCTAGTAGTCTTATATTGTCCTAGGTTAGCAATGGTGTGCTCATATCTAATATGCCTAATTCATCTCCAGACAGCCAGGCTGACAGGTCGACTAGCTCTTCAACCTGTGCTGATGTATCCTCGACAATAGCAGTTGGGGTGGCTGTTTCTGTCCCCTGTGGCGTTTCCAGCCGGAAATCGATATGGGGGGTTAGGTCTATGAGTCCCAGGACGCTTTCAGAGTATTTTAGCAGTGTAGGCAAGAGATGTGATTGACATCCGCGGATAGTAGATAGGGACTCTATGACTGCGCAGAGCAGGTCCCGAGGGCCGGTTTCGAAAGATGATGAGCAGCTCCAGCTCGGTAGCCTGGCGCTATCCGCAAGACTGACGCCAACGTCAAAGAGTTTTTGTTCCTAGAACGTGTCACCAAGGTTAACTCAATATTGACGGCTTCTTACTCACCATTCCAATTCCGTGACAATCCATTGATTTCGGGCCCACAGATCCCAGCGCCGACATGATAATCTTGCCCGCATCGATCGGCAGGCCCGGCGGCAGTAGCGCCCCAAAGTTGTATGCCGACGACGACGGCTTCTTCCCGACTGCGAGGCGCCACATGCATATCCTCAGCCACTGTTGCGTGATGAGCGTATCGAAGCGCTGGCTCGGGATGACGCTCTGGTCGGCCTGGATGGTGCACAGCTTGTCATTGATGGTGTGCACGAGCGACAGGTGCGACAGGTCCTCGACCTGGTTGCTATCGCTGGGGTTCTGCCACTCGTAGAGCGACCAGGGGAGGGACTCGAAGAGGCGGATGTGGTTGATGAAGTCGTTCATAACGATAGGACAATCCGAATCGATAATCCGGGGCTTTGCGATAGAGCTGCGGAGTGTAACTAAGCGGCGGTGTTGGAGGGCAAAGGTTCTGTTGGTCAGCTATTGCACAAGCCTTGCTTACCAGGGGCCTTACCGTTCTGTCACAAAGAGCAACCAGAAGACGCGCCGCCTCTTTTCTCTTTCGATATCGGGTAGATCGTGGTACCCTGTCTCGTGGGTAATATCCATCGACTGAGCAAGCGAGATGCTTTGGTTAAGGTAGAACCACGCATGCCGAGGATTATTGAGGTTTCCGTAGCTTGCAAAGAGGAAAAAGGAAGTCAGTATGGAGTCGAGGGTCATATCGTCTATGACGTTGTACTGGCGGAGCGACGTCTCGGCAAGGCGGATGAGCATCTCGCCTGTTAGATGCGGCTCTGATGGTATATCCACCTCCGGGCCTTCGCCAATTGGGGCATTATCCATCCCGAACTGCATTCTAGTGGCGGCGCAGAGCGCAAGAATGAGTGCGTATCGTGAGGGGGGCAGCTCTTCCAGCCGGCCTGCGTCAGCGAGGAGCTCGTCGCCGTCGATAACGGGCATGATGGGGAATAGGGCTTTGAGGAAGAGCTGGATGTGGGCGATGAGTGAGACGGACAGCAAGCTGCCTTGACCTGGTCTCTCGGGCAGTTCATTAATTAAAGGCAACGCCGTGTTCAAGGCGTTATGCTGAGTGATGACCTGCGCCGATGTTGGCGTAGGACTCTCCGGACTGCGGCTGCTGACCTCCCCGAACCAGAGTGGCGCCGCATCCTGGCTCATGGTCTGAAAGGAACTCGAATTCTTGCCAAAATCGGCCAGCCTCCGCCGTAGCTCCGACTGCCTGCGTCCCTTGCCCTCCTTGGGGCCCTTGCGGTTGATGGTGTACAGGTACTGGCACAGCAGGTCCGCGGCGTGGCAATTCTTGCATGGCTGCCCGCGGTCACATTTGACCTTGCGAAACCGGCAGCTGTCGCACGCCTGGCGAGGCTTCTCCCGGTTGCCGGCCATGTTGGGGTGGGGTTGCATGGGGAGTTAAGTTGAGAGTGATTGATTGATTGTCAATTGGGAGGAGATGAAGTCCGGCGGATTACTGCGGCTCTGCTGGACGCCTGGTTCTCGGTGAAACCTTAATCACATCACCTGCCCTCCTCGATGGAACCCCCCCTCACTGCAGGCCTATAAATGCCTCAATCTCGGCCCGACATAATGGTTGCCCGCATAAGTTACAGCCTCTTACATTATGCAACAGTTAACATAAGTAGTATTAAATATAACAATAAGCTAAAATTCTATATTATACTTGGATATTTATATTTACTATAACTTGGACATTGAGAGACAGTAGCAAGTTCTCATTCTCCTGCATTAGGACAAACGCCCGCCAGTTGACTCAGACATTGAACACAGGCTACACAGCACAACTCAGTCAGGATGGATGTACACATTCCGCAAAACCGCAGACACGATGATCAATGTGAAAGATCACTAATCAACTAGTAATAAAAGGTTTACTTTTTACTATATTATAGTAGCTTACCCCTAACTCTCCTTAAACATATCCACGCTCAGCTCCTATCAACTCATGCTCTAGCATGTACACCAAGTAATTAGACGGCGTCGTTGTTAATTTTGCCAGTGATGCCATCAATGACAGTTGTATCAAAAGGATCGACAACGGTAGTCGCAAATTGGCGTGCTGGCACCTTCTTCGCAAACAGAATATCGAGCTCGTGGTACGACCGGTTCCAGGTCTCAGGCAGACGGAAGTAGCTCCAGACAAACATGCAAAAGCAAGTACCGCCCCAGACAAACCCAGTATAACCCTTGAGGTTCCACGCCTGCGGGTTCATAAAGTACTGCTGCAGAGTGCCTCCAATGGTGCCCATAATATTAGACGAGTCGCGAGCGAGACAAATGGTCTTTTGTCGAAGGCGAGTCGAGCCCATTTCGGCAGGGAGGGCCCAGCCAAGCTGGCCGGCAGATAGCTGAAAGATGAAAGTCCAAAGGAGGGTGAGACAGGCCTGTGTCATCGCGACAGCCGAGATGTGAGTCCAGACGTTGAGAATACCGATGAGAATGAGCACAAAACACATGCCGCCCATGCCCCAGACGTAAATCGTTCGTCGGCCAAAGTTTGGCATAAGGACGAACCAATTGATCAGACAGCCAAAGAATGCCAAGCCGGTTCCTCCAAGCGTAAGAGAGTAGGTCGTGCTCGTTCCGAGACCAACTTGGGAGAAAAAGTAGGAGCTGTTATAGGCGAAGGAGATTCCACACAGGATCTGACCAGCAAAGACGACGCAAGCAATCTCGGTACGGCGGAGCTCAAAGCCCTTGAAGCAGTCCCAGTAGCTAGTTCCGACCTTTAACTGCTCCTCGAGGTTATTGGTGTAAATGATGGTGGAGAGCGTCTTCTGAGGATCGACGTTGGTGGCCTTTGGCGACTGTAGGCGGCGCAGAGACTCTTCGGCTTCGTGCAGCCTGCCCATTCTGACTAGATACCAGGGAGATTCGGGCGACATCCAGATGAGAGGAATGAGAAACACGGGCCAGACCCATTGCAAGGCAAAGGGAACTTTGTAGCCCCATTCATCAGTGCGCGTGGAGAGTCCTTTGAGAACACCAGCAGAAATCAGCTGGCCCATGATGAAGCACATATTCGTATATGAAGTCATGTAGGTCCGGAGAACTGGTGGTAGAACTTCCGAAGTGTAGGCCGGAGCCGTTGTGGCGAGAATGCCCCATGGGACACCGCAGAGGATCTCGCCAACAACCAACGTGGGCAAGTTGGGGGCAAAGAAGACGATAAAGATGAAGGCAGTGAGGGCAGCCAGAGCAGCTAGCTGCACCCGTCGAGAGCCGTACTTGGACACGAAGTAGCCACACATCAGGCAGCCAAATATAGAGCCGACTCCTGCGCCCTGAGATAGTCCGGCTTGCCAAGCCGGGGTCAACTGGTATCCCGTTGGGGTCTCTGGAGTAACTCCCACGAATCGGCCGTACCTAATCAAGAACGAGGCTAGAGTTCGCACAGCAGTCAGCAACCAGTTTGAATATTCACGTTTGAGACAGTACTTACGATAGGCAAAGAAATTGGAAAGGAGGTTCGTGTCGTAGCCTTCCATGATGACACAGGTAGACGACACAAGCGCCCACATGATGGCCTGGGGATAAGCTCGGATGGCATCACGAATGCTGAGTTCGTGTTCATCGGCAGTGCCTTCCAAAGCAGCCTTCTGGAGTTTGGTGTTATGGATTGTCGCTACCTTGGCGACTTCGGTCAAGGTCGTCTCGAGCTCAATTTGGTTGACCGAGTGCGAATCATGCTTCTCCATCGTGTAGGGGAGTGGTGTCGGGTAATTCAGTTCAATGTGAAGAAAGGTTCGAATTCAAATCGAGGCGGGTAGTGTCGATCTGGAGAAGACTATTTTCGATGATCTGGGGAACACATATATAGGAATTGGTGGTCAATGAAAGTGAAGGCGATCAACGTGGTGTCTCCAAACGACGTTGTTTTGCCCAGTCGCCTAATGGGAAGATAATTTCGCCACAGAGCCGAAGGGGAATTATTCGGACGGAGGCATCGAGGAAAAGTCTGGATTGCAGGAGCTAAGTTACAGTAGGTTACCCGAGCACCTAGAATAATTAAGTTTGTCGGGCCGATATGTCCCCTTGGCCAAGCATCGACAAAGCAGCTGATCGGTTGAGACAATTAAGTCCAGGTCGTGAGAGGTAGGATCCCCATGGGGTGACTTTGCAGTCTCCGCACCGATTTTCTGGGGAAGCACGGGGGACAGTCGACGCCACCGGGCCTTTGACTCGCAGAGTCCGAGTATTACCCCTTTTGGACAAGTCTTCCGCCTTCGGGGGCATCCGGTGCTGCTAGTCTAAAGTCTAAGTTAGAGTAGAGGAGGCCCAGGGTTTTTCCAGGAGTGATTGATGATATTAAAGGTTCTAACGCTCTGGTTTGTGTTGCTGATACATTCTCCTCGGGTTGATCACCTTGCTGGTCGCCAATGAACAAGGCGTAGTCGACCATCTTGGACGAGGAAGCCAGACCGTCAGACATTTTCGGCAGGTATCGAGGGTCGATCTTAGCGTTCGTAGTGGAACAATGAGTCAGAACAATGCACGCGAAACTGTGGGAGCAAGTTCGTACATATATCTCCAGCCAAATCCAGAATCGTCATGACCAAAGACTAGGCGCAGGACTGCTGAATGGCTAAGGACTGTCCTGATCGAGACGAACGAGAGCTCGGTAACGAGGGTTTGTCAAATATTGTTTCGCAGTTGGCCACTGTGTTAACATCGGGTCATGATGTTATAATGTGTTGAAGATCTGTTCTTTATTATAGTTGCAGCCCGGCCCTTGATGTGTTAACTGAGCCCAAAGATCGTTTGGTAGTTGGATAAACCCTTGCTGTACTGTGCTGGACCAAAGTCGCCATGACCGACGGGCTGGCGGTTGCTGGATTCCCCAGTGGCGCGCGGCGTTGCTTCTGGATCGGCACGAGACGATTCGCTGCTCGCCCATGTATGAAACCTCGTTCGTCGAGTTGGCTTGGTTCGTCGCGATGACCATCATCACTGCCCTGGCGGCGGCCGCAAAGAAGTACAAACTCGCGCAGGACATTCTTGGTAGATCTGAGTCCACCTGGGTAGCTTGGAGTGAATTACATTAGTAAAGAATAGAGCCCACCGTGCATCATCTTTCACAGTGACTCGCTCCAAGACTTAGCAATCAAGACGCACCAGTAAGGCTAGAAGGTAGTCGACCTCCCAGCCCGAGCGCACTCCTCTGACAAGAAGAGTTGGGTGTCGATGTCGTGCAAATGGGGGATGGACACCGCATTCAAAGTCATTGACTTTGTCCAGATGCTGAAGATCATTGCCAGACTTGCTCTGATGATTTGATACAAGTCTTTTACCGTCTTCGTCAACGTCCAAATCTTCTCGACCCAACGGTCAAGCTCGGGGCTAATTCCCGCGTCCTTCCGGGCTCTTGTAACGGCAACCCACCAGTTGGAGGAGACCGCAAGCCTCTTTGCTTTCAGTCGTCTCCTCTACGCATCTCTAAGCCGGCAGTATCGGTTCAGCTCAACGAGACCCCTTCGTTCCCCATTGAGCAGTGCTGGTTTCTCACCCACCGCCTTGTCCCAACCGGCTGCTGCGTGATACTGGTCTCCGCCGTCAAAGCGCGCAAAGTTCCAGTTATACATCAGGTCTAACGCCTGGGTATGAGACTCGACGCCGTCATCGCGGCTCAGCAAGATAGCCTCGAGACGTTTGAGCGCTTCCTTGTTCTTATCACACTTCCCGTAGGCTCCCGCGTCGGCCATCAGTGCGTCCATAGGTGCTGTGCGAATGGCGACTGGCTGCTGTCCACTCAAAAGCTGCGCATATTGGCCGGCTTGCACATTGTCCGGAACATGATTCAGATCCCACCTCACGTCATACATAGCGCGTGACAGATGGCCCGTGTCTCAGTTTGTGCTGCTCCCGTGCAGTTTACTTTGTTCAGTAAAACCTGGGTGAAGACGTTCGTTCATGTGGACTAGTCCTTTAGGTTCTACTCTGTGGTAAGCGTTTCCGTTCCAAAGACGCATCTGTCGAGCCTAAGGAAGATGCATGCGAATGTTTCTGTGATCTTTAGCTGTGCTGTGAAGACATGTCTTTAGACTCTTACAGCACTTGAAGCCTCGCTTGGCGCATCTTTTGACCAGCGACTCTACGAGTGACAAGGTTCGTGCTGAGTTTTGGTGGCCATGGAGGGTGTGTTTCTTGGAGAGGGCTCAGAGTCATCATCGACCAGAACAACCATCCAGACACCGATCGCGCCGTTGGAGCCTAGCAGTGGTGTAAAATGAATCCAGCGGCTACGGCCTCGAGACGCTGGTGGAGGTTGACCACCGCCCTCGCCATGGCTCTCATGGTTCATGACGCGCGAGTGGTGGCTTTGGGCTTGCATGTCTGACCGTGACAGCCAGCGGATCTTGGCAGTTATGCCGTGGCCATCGGCAAAAGCATGAGAGAGGGTGTCCCGAACGCGGTCAGAACCTCCGATGCGCGACAGGAGCGGGCTTTGCAGCATGCCGGGAACACGTAGTGATGGCGATGCGAAGAGGATACGTAGGTTTGGGTATGGTCGGACGAGCAGATAGTGCTGGAAGATACCGCTGAGGCGTCCGCCCCGGTATGTGTTGACCGACTCATGAAGAATCGGATCTGATGGCCGCCGGTTGATTGAGGCGTCGTCAGAGATGACCAACCTCGGCCTGTTCCAGTTGGCTGGCATGGTGTCCGAGTTCTTCACCTCCTCCTGGTGCATGCGGTGCAGAGCACCACCCGACTCTCGTACTGTCTTGAGCTCGGAGAGATCAAACATCTCAGCCAGCTCACGGAATTCGTCCTTGTTGTGGTCTGAGTGATGTTGAACGGGCGCCTCACCTGGGTACTGCTCAGGGTTCTCCCGCTGCATGAGTCTCGAAAGCGAGTCCAAGCCTGAGCATTCCTTGACAAGACCAGACACATCGACTTGTGCGCCCAGGTGGTAGCGCACGACACCCCTAGAATCATACAACGGAGCCACCATGAGCAGGTTCATAAAAGGGGAGCCGTCGCGGCGGTAGTTGAGGAATGTCTCGCAGTGTTCCTTGCCGGCTTCGAGCTTCTCTCGGATCCTCCGTACACTAAAAGGGTTGGTTTTGGGGCCCTGGAGGAAGCGACAGTTCCGACCGATGGCATAGTTCATGCCGTACTGGGTCGTTCTGTGGAACTCTGTTTCGCATCCATGTTAGCTATGTGGTAAACGAGGTCGGATTGTCTGCTTACCTTCACTTGCAAAGACGATGGGGTTGTCGGGTCGTGATGGGTCAGATAAACAGAAAACTTCGGCAAGTCCTTCTGACATGTCCCTCAATTGCGGCGACAGCGTGTCTGTTATTCTCCGCTTCATGGTCACACTGACTGTCTGGATGAATGTATGCGTGATGTAGGCAGGCAGGTCGTGGTTGGCCATGACCTCGAAGGTATCGTCAGCCCTCTTGCGCAGCGCATTGTTGATGGTGCTGGTGACAGGATCTTGGGTGAATTGAAGCCCGTTTATGGTCTTGAGTGAGCCCGTCAGAGCATTGGCGTAGTCAATGGCTTTGAGCGCCTTGAGGGTGTCCAAGTAGTAGGCCAACAGAGGCAACGAGTCTGGCCGCGACGAGGAAAGGAAGTTTGAGAATCGTTGGAGCAGTAAAGGATCCTCAAATATCACCTTGAGGTGCTTGATGGAGAAGAGTAGCTCGGATTGTGTTTCGAGGGTGTACTGCTTGCCTAGTGCGTGTGCTGGCACAACAAGATCAAAGGAGGCGGGGTCATATTCTTCCTCGCGCAATGGCTCGAGCCCGTCATTGTCCATGCCACCCTTAGTCTGGAGCGCGGGCAGCGTGGTGGGTATGTACATCGACGAGATGGACGACGCGTCTCGCTGGGACCACGGAGAGTCATGGGTGCGGTAGGACAGTGCGCTCCTCGAGGCCGTCGAGGCAGTGTCGATTTCTCGGGGATAAACCATGCCGTCACGCACGGACTGCGAGTCATCTTGGTAGAAGCTGTGCCTATTAGCTCAGTCGCCGTCGATTGACTTTTGGGCAGACAAACCTTCGCTTGGTTGACACTGGCCTTGGGCAATGCGCTCCCGTCGGAGTATTCTCAACTAGTCCGGGAGTCATCTTCCGAGGCACAGAGTGTGATTGCAGACTGTCTGACCGGGCCGGGATCTGGCCGTTGTTCTCGGGGTTCTCAGTAACGATTGAGTACATGGCTGGGAGAGATGACTTGACTTGCAAAGCCCAGAAACGTTGGCAGCGACGAGTTTTAAGACAAAAGTCAACGGCCCAACACGGCAACACCCAGGGGAGAGACAGTATGACGAAGCTACGGCAGACTATCACCGCGTAGCGCCAAGCTAGACCGGCTGAGACATCAAACTTTGGTGCCCTTGGGAAGATCCCACTTGACAACTGTCAAATGACGAACCGCGCCAAAGCTCAGGCCCCTTACATTAGCGTCTGCCATCCCGTCGGCAGATGCTGTAACGCCCCCAGCCCGATCGCCATGTAAGTTGATCGGTCCTGGGATCGCGATCAGAGCGTCGAGCTTTCCGATGTGTCGCCTAGGTTCATCTCGGCTCTTCTCCCTCCGAGCGTCTGAGTTGGTTACATGCCCATTTCTCAATTGCTGTCCCTTGCCTCTCATCTGCAGGGATATGCAGATCATCTAAGCGACAACAGGGCAATCCCATGCAGAGTCACTTCTTTAGGGTAGGCAGCCATATTCACACAAGAGGTTGGCTATTATCTCCTCCGCAGATGTGCTTCGAGCCACACATAGTTTGTCTGTTTAACGTAGCGAAATTCTTAGTTGAGACAGCGCTAAAGAAATAACAGAAACGGCCACCCGTAAGTCACCGTCTCGTGGCGGGACGGCGTAAACCGTGGGAGATTAAATTTCACGCGCCGGTTCGACGGTACCGGCGTGGCGTCTCGCGTGGAATCAAACCTTGGCATCATCGACGTTCGTAAGCTAAACCAGGTTTGAATGTTTGGATTTTACCTTTCATAGTCTCGACCGCTATAAGCTTCCGGGTTCCGGGCGAACAAAGAGTTGTGCCTGACCCCGGCAGTCAAAAGCGTCTCCCCTCCCCCAATACCAAAGGGCGAGGTGATTCCGCACTCATCAAGAAATTCCGCCCCCGGCCAACTTTTTAGCACCCCCAAGACCCATTTCGTCAAAGATCAACAGAACCACCTTGGTCCTTCACTGCAAACTTGGTGGGGTGGAACTTGAAGGCACTGATGCGTGGTTGGGCAGTGCGTGGTAAATCTCCGAGGAACCTGACTCAAGTAGCTCTTGACTGACAGCTGAAGCCTAGAAGTTGGCGTCGTCATCTTTGCTAGACTGCTGTCAGTAACCATCCCTAACCAAAGGCCAGATTTCTCAGGGCAAACTCTACGCTTTACAAGTGACACCGATCAGGATTGGCAATTATCTTTAAACAATTGAATTCTGGTAAAAAACTAGCTTTCCCGTAAGATGCCTTAAATGAGATGGTAGTTATCTTTGACTGATCGACAGTATTGCATATTTGTCTATCGCCCTGGTAGCCGACTGCTTGACGGAAAGTGAAGAGCGGGAAGCACTATCTGCCAACGTCAAGCCAGCACGACCGGCTTGTTATGCCCTGCGAAACAATATCTTGTGACAATTGATCTAAAGTTTTGATTCCCTAGGCTAAGATGCCCGTGATTTATATGTGGCATTTACTCATCAAAAGTTTTTCTTCACTTCTCTATCACCTTCTCTGTCGGTCGATAGTATCATCGGCAAATATTATCCATCTCAATCACTTCTACATTCCCGCGCACATCCTTCGTCGCATTCTCTGCCTGAGGCCTGGGCTCATACTCGACGCTAATTTCAGTTGTCCAAGTGATGCCCCCTCCGCTGCCGCCATCTCCATCCTGAGGGCTCCGTCCCAGAATGCTGCTGTCGCTTGCGCCGTCTTGGTCTTCCGGGTGGGCTCGCCCTGCCGTGACGGTGCGGTTATAGAATCTCCCAGTGCTGTTGTCGCCCGTCTTGAGATATGTACCAGCTCTCGGCGTCGAATCGGTGCGCGTTCGGACGTTGCGGATGAAGCCACGGAGGACGGGGATGGACGCGGAAACGATGGTGACTTTGGGCTCGGCCATGGACCATATCCAGTAGACCGCTTGGGTATTCAGGTCTATAGGCGAGCAGAAGCGTTAGTATGGATGTGGTTTGTGTCGCAAGGTTCGAGAAGCGTCTTACAGTCGGGAGATCGCACGTCGATCAGCATATACCCCTGGACGGCTTTCATCACGCCCGTGATCCCAGCGAGGACACCCATGCTCAACGCGAGGGCTATACCGATTCTCTCGTTCCTTTTTATTTGCAGATTGAATATCATCCTCCACGGCAGCAGGGCTAGAATGAAGTCGCAGAGGGCAGAATACACTGTCGCCGTGAAACCACATCAGGGATATTCCACGGTAATCCTGGACAAAAGAGGGCGAACTCACGAGCGCTAAAGACGGTAAAAGTGACAGACTGGCTCAATTTCCAGCAGTTATCCCCTCCGATATGTCCCTGGTCGGGAGCACCACAGATGGCCTGCCATGTAGCGATCATGTGCACGGCGAACTGCAGGTTCATGGAGATGATAAGCCCCCAGATGAGTTTTGCCTCCCAGCCCCCGGGCATCAAACGCAACAGCGTGATTCCAAAAGACGTCTTGGTCAGTCCCAGGGCGAGAGACTGCAGATTGTGATGGGTTCGAGCGACAGTGATCTTTGTCAAGCTGCCTGGGATCAAGAAGACCACCATTAGCCAAGACAAGCAGGCCGAGGCCAGGAGAAGAAAGGTCCACCCGGCGAGGAGAATCCAGTCGTCCGCCTGGAGTCCGACACCGACTTTTCGAAGTCGGCTGTAGCCTCGGAGTCCCATGAAGATGGTCGACACGAAGAGTTGCTATGAACAAGGGAGGAGTCAGCGTTCTAGTATCTGGCGACGTATGGGATCCGAGACGGTCGGTGGGAAAACTCACTGCCCATGTCGTTGCGTGTACAAGCACCGAAAGATCATCCCTATCATGGGCCATCTCGTCGATTGATCGACAGACACCGCCTACTTGAACCACGCAGCCCTATTTAAGCATCATTGAGACGACGATTGTTGCTCGCGAATCGTGGTTTCTCTCGTGGGGAGAGACATTAAGTTATGATTGCGTGGCAGCCATCCCCCGGAGTTTCGACTATCCTCAAGTCAGCAGGAGGCGTGTTGGCTGTCTCACATGTTATATCGCTACTCATGCGACGGCAGGGGACCTACCAACACGAACAAGTCTTCTCCGTACCGAGTACAACCCGAAGGGGTCTGTCCGTTTTGGCATACAGCACTCCTGCGGCGTAGCGAGCACCCTGTAAAGCAATTTGTCAGTCAGGGCACTCATCTCTATGGCTGGTTTATTGTAGCGCGGTAGAATTGTTCCCACCTTTTAAGATTAACAGATCCTTGTGGGTTGTAGGGCGGAGGCAGCCGAGAATTGACACTCGGATATTAGCTGCTGCAAGGTGCAGCCAACTGCATAACGTTATCAGACAAGGCCGTAACAGCCAAACGTCGTATAGCGCTGGAACTCCCCCAAACTAGCGTGGCATATCCTGGTGTGATATGGGTACATACACTGCTTTACCTACTCGCGGGAAATGAGTGTAAAATCCGGAAGAGGTTCCCCAAGCTGTGAGAAGTGATAGACTTACAGGCCCTTGATCACGAATATGCATACTATTGGTGGGGCTTTCTGTCCCGCCGGCCCAGTCGCCACCGGCACGGCAGCTTTAGATTCCCGCTGTGGATGGCTTGGGAATCATTAAAGGGTTGTTGTGTCTTCTGCAAGCCTTGTTTCCAGAGCTGTCTGCAGTTTAGCTCTCTCTCCGACACTCGTTTTTGGTTTTTGAGTTTTTTACCAAGTCACTCCTTTATTTGTGTGTGTTGTTTCTACCATGCTCATCAAGTCTGTTCCGGTCTTGGTGTCGTTGGGATTGTCTGCTCGTGTTGTTGCTCAGCAGTACAACACCACCTCAACCGGCTTCAAAGGTGTATGGCTTCCTTGTCTATCATTCTTGTCCCCCTCCTCTTTCTCATTAACCACACATTTCCTTCTATTCAATTGTTGATCAAGAATGAATAGTGCGATGCCCTTCTCGATGCCGGTCTCGAAGATATCCTGGTCTTCCCAGAGGACGTCGCATACGTCGACAGCGTCTCGACCTACTATGCATCTGAGAATCGCCGCCTTCGGCCAGTCTGCATTGTGCAGCCTCGCTCAACCGACCACGTCTCCGAAGCGGTCAGGGCTCTGAGCCGAGCCAGCGGCGCCGGCAACTGGGACATCGCCGTCCGATCCGGTGGTCACAGCGACTTCGACAACAATGCCGTCCATCGAGGTGTCACCATCGACCTTACCTTCTTCAACTCGACAGATCTTGTCAAGCGTGACAGTGTTAAGTGGAAGGGCAAGAGTACACTGACCAAGGTAAGCGTCACACTGCTGCGTTGAAAGAGACAGTAACTGACACCTTTGTCAAGTCAATCGCCCAGATCCGCCCAGGAGCTCGATGGGGCGAAGTCATGACTTACCTTGAGAATCACAACCTGGGAGTTACAGGCGGCCGTTCCGGTCATGTGGGCGTAGGTGGCCTGCTCGTCTCGGGAGGTGCTTCGTACCACACCCAACTCTGGGGTCTGTCATGCGACAACGTCGTTAACTACGAGGTCGTCCTGGCCGATGGATCCGTCGTTGAAGCGAATGCGAGGCATAACCAGGACCTTTTCAAGGCTTTGAAGGGTGGCGGCAGCAACCTGGGTATAGTCACTCGTTTTGACATGCGGACCTTCACTACTCCTCCCTCTGGTGTTTACGGCGGCCTGCTTTTCACCTCATGGGACCACTTGAACGTCGTCACTAAGCAGTTCGTCGAGTACGCCAGCTCCATAGGCTCAGGCAACCCTGACCATCAGTTTGTCGTCTATCGAGCCGATGCGGGCAATCTCTCCCTCATGGCCATGGCGGTCAGCACTGACGGAAATGATGACTCTCCCACCTTTCGAGCCTTCAGCACCATCCCCCTTACTAGAGACCTCAGGAAGAAGCAGCCCCTCAGTAGCGTCGCCGCATCTATCGCGGATACTGGTGGCTCGAACTACATCCCCTTTACTCTTAGCCTCCAAGCTACCACCGACATGATGAACAAGGCTGCTGACATCTTTGTCGCTCTGACGCAAGATCTGCGCGACGCAGACATTCCAGTGTCTGTCAACTTTGTCTTCCAGCCTCTACCAAAGAACCTCGCTTCCGTTATTCCTGGCAACAACCTCCTGGACCTTGACAAGAACCTGCCGGCTGATTCAATTCTCTTCGAGGCTAGAGGTACGCTGGCCGCTGACGATGCCTCGTATGAAGGTCTTGTGCGAGCCAAGATGGCCCAGGCGATCGGGGAGTTGGGAGCGTACTCGGCATCGAAGGATGGCCATTCTGACTATCTCTACATGAACTACGCCAACCCCGAACAAGATGTCATTGGGTCGTACGGCTGGGAAAATGTAATGTTCCTGAAGAAGACGGCTCAGAGATATGATCCGACCGGCTTCTTTCAATACCGCATTCCAGGCGGATGGAAGGTCAATCGCGTCCTGTAGGTAGTATACTAGGGGGCGAGACAGTGAAGATCCGTAGTCCATTGATTTTCCATTAATAATTCAGACTACCAGATGGCTTTGCCCTAAGTGACGTCGCCAAAGATATCCCGGTCCACCACAGCCGCTTCACTAGGCCCATGATCGAATTTAGCAGTTGTGATGTTGTTACCACTCGACATACCGTCCCGTCTGCCCCCGTCTACAAATCCTGGGCAAGACTTTGCTACAAATATATTGAGTCCAGCCCAGCCCGTTTGAACATGACGAAATCAAGCGTCGGGACTACTGTCCCGTCGTGAAATGCGCAGGGGAAAATCTTCAATAAGCCAAATACCCTGCAATAACTCTTAGCTCATCACAGCACAAGCCAGGAGGGCGCATTACTCACCGCGTTCATGATATGCAGAGGTCTTTCGGGACGCACCATGGCAAAATCAAAACGTCTCAAAAGCTATTGCAGCCATGTCAGTCTGGTTAGGCCTCGTGAATAGATCGACATGCACTCACCTCAACGAAAATCTTGTTTAGTTCCATGAGTGCTACTGGCTTGCCGAGACACTGGTATTTTCCGCTGGAGAAGACGAGGTTCACCACCTCAGACATGCCTTCGACCTGTTCTGGTTCTGCTTCCAGCCAGCGTTCCGGTACAAATAGAGCCGCGTCGTTGCCGAATATCTTTTTAGAATGGTAGATGCTAAACGGAGAAGTGCCAATCTGCGTTCCTCCAGGGATGAACTTGCCATCGATGGTATCACCTTGCTTGGGCACCGTTTTGAAGAGAGGACCGGCTGCGGGCGCCTTCATCCGCAGCCCTTCTTGTATAGCAGCCTGGAGATAGGGGAGTTTGCGCGCTTCGGCGTCGGTAACGGGTGAGGATATTTTCCCAGCCTTGATGGCATCGTCAATTTCCTTCTGTAGGTTTCTGTAGGCCACTGGGTTGCTGAGCAGGCTCAGCATGATGACGCGGATAGTGGTTGCCGAGGTGTCGCTTCCGGCGACAACATTAAGCAGTGATTCCCTAGACGCTTCTTCCTGGGTGAGACCATGACGGATGAAGGATCCGAGCATATCTGAGTGCTGTGTAGCGTTTGGCGCGAATCGCTCTGCAACCTTTTTGTTCGCCACGCTGGGTGATTGTAAGGATTTTGCCTGCACGGCGATAGCACAACTGACTGGGAACTCACCCAATGAATGCCCCGAAACCAAACTTGTCGCTCTCTTTGGGCAAAAGACCCCGGAAAAGACGCGAGTGTAGGAGGGAAACTAATGAGGGTATGTTGGCTATGACGAGAGTGACTGGGAAGAAAGAGCGTGTAATCTTGATAAAGTCGAAGACGTCGTCATCTTGATCCACGTAACCGAACGGCTGGCCAAAAGCTAGATCGCTGATAACGTCAAGGGTGAAATATTGAATCTTCTGAGCAAAGTCCGTCGGGCGGTAGTCTCGAGACGTTGAGAGATACTTGGTTTCTATGAGGTCGACAAGTCGTGCAATGTGGGTGTCAACTGTGCGCTCCAGTGACTCGTTCTCCTTGCCTGAGTACTGTACAGAGCTTAGCCATTTGATTGCATCACATACATGTGGGATATGTAGGAAGAGCCTTCCGATAGATCACATAGACACTGGCAAGACAATGAGGTTGAACTTACGCCGGCTGCCATCTTGTTACGCAATTTTGCATGAGCATCATCATCACGCATCGAGAACAAGTTGTCTTTGCCAGGCTCGAAACGGAGTGCGTTGTACCCTGTATACTCGGTAGGCAAATGGCCCCAAACAACATCAGTGATGAAGGGTTGTTACTCACAAGGCCCTCTCGAATACGGCGAGCGACTGGCCATCATCCGACGCAGTAGTTTGGGATCATCGGTTGCCAGCTCATTGGGGCCAATGCGCACAAGCGACCCTGCAGTTGAACCACTGAGTCTCGTAGATCAACTACAGTAGTTGAGGATACCACTCACCATATTTTTCATTGGCCGCTTGGATGGCGTAAGGCTGTGTTCCCTTGAGTGACTGTCTCACCATCCAAGCCTTGGAGAAACCGGCCCAGAACGGACCAGGAACGTGTGACAAACGGTACCACGTCCGAAGCGAATCGGCTAAGAACAGCACCACCAAGCCGATGACGGCTGTGAGAATCACGGTCCCGGGGCTGAGGGCAACAAATGCCTCCCGCAGCAGGCCTGGCGACAAACCTTGGCCAGCGCTCATCGTGTCCAACTTGGTAACTTATCTGCGCAGTGAAATGTGGGAGTGAAGGGGGAAATTCCTCAGGAGCACCAGCTAAGCTATTAGCCACGGACCTCGGCGGCGTGGGCGCGTCTCCCTCCATTGCAACCTAGTAATCACGAATAACGCACCAATGATTGGAATTCGGGGACCCGGAATCAGTCCCTAGCTGCGCCACGAACCGGCAGATAACTGACACGACTTGTGCTTGGCACAAAATTTCCCCGCTTTCTTATTTTTTGCCGAATCCTTTGCGCTATTTCATATTGATTCTCCGTCGCGTCACGAAACAACACCTGGAAGTCAGTCATCCACAATGCCTGCGACACCATCGCCAGAGCGGAGCCCCAGCTCCCAAGGAGGCAGCGAGCACCATGTTGAGCCAACCATAGAGATAGAGGATGCCATTGTATGCCGTGCATCCTAATCCTACCTAGTTTTGTTGTGCTGGAATAGTACCTAACTGGAGACCACCACAGGCCGCCGACAATGACTCAACCCTGGGCGAGGTGCGACTCCGATTTCCTCTCCAGCGTAGCCGGCGTATTCTTTGACGCCGACGCTAGTCTGGTAAAGGCTGAGGATGGTTTATTTACCGGTATTTATAGGAGTCTGACCAGTCCCACGTGTCCCTCTCGTCGAGCATCATGGCATATCGAGAAGAAAACGGCCGACGTTATCATGCCCTCAGTAGCGGCAGTAAGTAAATGGCTCTCGATGTTGGCGTAGGAGACTAACACACAAGTTAGAATACGTCCTTCCCAACGACGACGTTAGTTGAACCCACCCTTGGAAATGACCGTGGTATTTCTCGACTGAGTCGCCATTAACAAATGATCCTCCACTGTAGGCAGAAAACGATAGACTCGGTAGGCATAGATGGTAGACGTATACACATAATGCATAACGCATGCTGATATCGATGGTAGACCTCCAGCACGAGCTCTACGTCCGCACCCTACACGGGGAGCTCGCACTCTGTCCAAAAGCTAGAGACGCGAAACGAGTTCTAGACATAGGCACCGGCACTGGATCATGGGCCATTGACTATGGCAAGTAACCTTGGCTTCTGTGCATTATCTATGCGCGGATGTAACGTACTGACATGGATTTAAAGCGGATGCGAATCCCGAAGCTGAGGTTTGACACTCTACCCCTCTTCAACGTTGACATGTTACTTTGACTTATGCATATGCTAACTGCCAAAGGTGATTGGTGTTGATCTGAGCCCAATTCAGCCATCGTTGTGCGTCCAAATACCGTTGTTTAACCAAGGAATTCGATACTAATACAACATCGGTACTGCTAGTGTTCCCCCAAATCTTATCTTCGAGATCGACGACCTCGAAAAGGAGTGGACCTGGACGAAAAAGTTTGATTTCATTTTTGCTCGAATGATGCTCGGCTGCTTCCAGGATTTCCCGCAAATCATCAAGGTAGCATTCGACAACCTCGAGCCGGGCGGCTACCTCGAGCTCCAAGACATGAGCCTCCCTGCGCGTTCCGACGACGACACCCTACAGCCCGACAGCTACCTATCCCAGTGGTGCAGGTGCTGTTTTGAAGCTGGCCAGAATCTCGGACGCCCCGTATTCCCCACCACCGAGTACAAGAACTACCTCGCAGCCGCCGGCTTTGAGGGTATTGTTGAGGTGCAACGCAAATGGCCAACAAACGCCTGGCCTCGTGATAAACATTTCAAAGAGTTGGGTAACTGGACGCGTGCCAACATTGCTGGTGGACTTGACGGTCTTTCTCTCGCCTACTTCACACGCGGCCTGGGTTGGACGCCTGAGGAGACACGTGTGTTTTGTGCACATACCAGGAAGGACATGGAGAATCCTAAGATACATGCTTACTGGCCGATGTAAGTGTTTGAACTGATCCAGCGCTTAATCTCCCCCACTTCCAGCGGCAGCTTTACTGATGACGCCTCTTGTGTCAGATATTTTGTCTATGGGAGGAAGCCCTTGACTGCCGAGTGATATCGGCGTGACCCCAAAGCGATGAGAAAAGATGAAATTTTGCTGTTGCAGAAGTTTGAAAAAGGCCACTGTGTCAACATCGGGTCATGATGTTATGATCTATTGAAAATTTGTTCGTTTTTATAGTTGCAGCCCGGCCCTTGATGGGTTACCTGAGCTCGGAGAACGACAAAAGATGGCAATACTATTCCTGTTTTTTCCCCGACGATTATTGATTGAAAATTAGACTGAACGAAATTCACCTGATATTTAGAAGTATCTTGAAATCTAGACCTCTCGAAAGCAGCATCTTATGCTGTCTAGTGTACCAAGAACCGCTTAAAATAATTTACTAAATTACACGCTCCATTTAGGAGGCTAATACCTAAATACGTTAGCTCTACGGAGCAGTGGGTCATCTGTCCTGTCGAAGGATCCATCAGACATGGAGGGTGATTGATAACGAGCCAGCTACCTGCATCGGATTCTAAGGCCGAAGAGTCGTCGTCTATTAGATCGCACTTTAAGTCCGAGGAGACCCACACTCACGCGGGGAAGAAGATTAGTTATTCTCGCAGTCTGGTATGAAGATAAGAGGGTTTTGAAAAAGGGAAAGCCCTTCTTAACTGTCCGTACGTTAAGTCAAGTGAGCATCATCGCGTCCGTCAGACTCACATTTCAACCTCGACCTTCATTGACCGCTCACCAAACATTTTCCAGTGTTCTGACCTGGCTAGCAATCTGCAACATGGCGCCAAGTCCCAAGACTTTTGACAGTGACGACAGTGTCCTTGACCCAGCTATCAAAGCGCATATCGCAAGCCTATACTACGCTGTGGATAACAAAGAGCTTGAAAGATGGGGTTCACACTTCACCGATGACGCTGAGTTGAAGAAAGGCGCGACCAACGTCAAGTGCAGAGAGAGTGGGTAATACTCAAACCGTGACTACGGTGCTCCTCACTGACATAGCTGGACTAGACTTGGTCGAACTTGTCACTAAGTCCTGGGCTGTTGTTCAGAGTCGTGATCATACCGTTTATAAGGTCTTTCCATTCGGTGCCAACTCTGATGAGGTGATGATGCACGGGCGAAGCAACAATGTGTCCCTGGATGGCGTGAAGTCCACTTTCACCTGGGCCGCCCGCATGCACTTCCGCAAAGCAGAGGACGGTAGCGTACTAATTGACAAATACACTATCATTGTGGTACGTTTGAGTATTTATCATCCACTGGTTCTGCCTTGCTCACTCGATTCCAGGATCCCCATCCGTCGACCTTGTAAATGCTTGGGTAGATAAAGGCCAAGGCGACGTTGACCTCTGTATAAGGAAACGAGGCCATAACAAACTCAGACAGCGAATACAATTAGTATAATTTGGGTTGTCCCATAAAACCTGACATTTCATTGTTCTTAGATCGGATTCGCACATCTCATATCGAATTCTCGACGTGTCTGATTGGGTTCTGATCTCTTCCAGCCTTTGAACCAAGGCCTTTAGCTTCTGCTACGTGTCTTTGGCTAAGGAACCTAGCGGCTTGCCATGCGGAATAGACACAGCCAGTAATTAGAAACAGTCATGATATTGCTGTGAATTGAGCCATATGTCGGTAATATGACATTGCAATCCTACAAGGCATCCGTAGCCTGCCGTGGAATGGTCATGACCCCGGCCCGGATAATGTGCCAGGGGACCACCGCCGCTCGGAATTGGGAGAGAACCCGTGTCTCGACGGCCAGACCGACAAATTCACCTTTGAATATTCAGAGAATGTACCACAATCCAGGGATGTGCGAATTGTTCTCTTCTCTGTAGAGCTCAAAAAAAAAAATGGTGCAAACCGCGGAGCTCGTTTGAAAGGCCATGTCAGCCATGATGGATATGACATTGGACTTATTCATAAAGTAGATGGAGACCTGAACAAAATGGTCGATATCCTGGAGCCATAGGGCGCTTTGATAACCGTGGCTCCTCACTTCACTTCATAGAACATGCATCTTAGCCGCCAATGGAAGACTTGAAGCCATTCCCACAATGCTTGAGCTGAATTATGTTCCCAAACCGTCGCTCTCTGTCAGACTACGGCGTGATCTCCTGACCAGCCACGGCAGCGAAGAAAGCGTCAGCTAGATAAGATCCAGCATAGCTAGGCTTGTGGAATCCATCCACAATGGGTGGCGCCCTGGACGGTTTGGAAATCTTCTCAATATACCCCGCGATGCCGTCTTGCTGCCACTCCTTTGCGAATTTCTCAGCCGTCATGTTAAGCCCGCCGACAGCCCAGATCGGCTGGACCTGCCAAACAATGCCCAGCTTGGCCATGTCGTCACTGAAGGAGCGGATTTGCTCATCAGTGAAACCGGCCTTTGTATAGTCGTACATGCCGGTGAATCCGAAGGCAAAGAGCCGATCAGGAAAGATCTTACGAACTTCCGTGTGGAATTCGAGAATGTCCCTCCAGACTGTGCAGCGTCAGTTTCTTCTTTCCTGCTGTCATGCCATCGTTGATATTCTTGCTCACCTGGCGCATCCATTCTTGCCCAAGTCATGTCTCCCAAGGGAGCAGCTGCAACAGCTCGCTCTACGATTGTCTTGACGCTTGGCTTCCACATATACTGGCCCTCTTTGGACCTCGGCAGCTCCCAGTCGAAAACAACGTCCTCTCCTACAGCATCCTTGGCGAATCGGCGTCGATCCTTGAGTGACGTGCCGTACACGGAAGCCTTTGCCAGATACTGCTGGTACTTCTGCTCGTTGCATCTGGCCTTGACCGCCTCGTCAAAGGTCATCAAGCCTGCGCTGGCCTTCCATTCATCGCGTGCCTGCATGTACGTCTTGCCCTCAGCCATTCCCGATGAGACCGCCTCCACGAGAGGCTTCACGTCGTGGGTGGCGCCTAGGATGTACTCATGGTCCCTCGGATCAATTGTGCTCGTGATGAATTGAGAACGGTCTGTATCACATCGACACATCAGTAACGTATTGACACTGGAGAAACCTCGTCAGCATAAGAGTCACCGTGAGGCATGAGCGTGCATGAGTACTGACCCCATGACATCGAATTGCATGCGAACGGCCGTGAGGCGAGCGATATACTCGCTGGTAGGCACCACGGTTCGGCCCTCGCCAATCGTGAATTTCTTCAAGCCAATGGCGAGATCATCCAGGTGGATCATGGCGACTCCCGCCTCCACAAATAACTTGGTCATCTTGACCGTCGAGGTCAGGCCTCCGAAGCCCATGTCGCCATCGGCAATGATGGGCGCCATGAAGTCGTAAGCTTCAAGCTTCTCCCGCTCAGCCTTTGTGTGGTGTAATCTGAACTGCTTCTGGCGCTGGTCGTGCCACAATTGGGCTTTGAAGATCTTCTCGACAACCTTGGGAACTGTGTCCCATGGGTAGTCTGCATGATCGCAGCCCGGATGCTGAACTTCCGAGAGACCGCAAAGTGCCCCCGAGACGTACACAGTCTATTGTTGTGTGTAAGTAAATTTTGACACCTATGGGCTCGACTCCAACTTGACTCACCTGTTGATGCTTGACCATTTGGGAAACCACGGTAGGTTCGGTCGTACCAAATGTCTTCTCATGGGTACCATTTTTCAGGTGTTCATTCAAGAGATCCCAAAGCTTATCGCCTTGCAAGCTCGATGGGTACGAGATGGGGATTGTGTTTCGCAACGCGGCAATTGTCTTGGCTGAGTAGGGTCTAATAGCTGTAAGTTTGCCTTTGAACCATCATCTATCAGAACATTTGCAACGCAACCTAACCTTTTCAGATGTGCCTGTCTGGGAGATTGCCACTCCTGCTCGATCGAATCCGCAAGGTCCAGAAACGCTGCTTCCTCGGCGTCCAGATCGATTTTAGTGTTTCGCATTTTGGGACAAGTAGGATCAACGGTATACAGGGACACGAACTTGCGGCTCGAGACTGCGGATGACGGTGCGGCCATGTTGTCACTGGCTCTTATTAGTTCACTCACATAGCTACTGGCCCTTCGGACACTACTAGCGTTTCGCGGACACTCAGTCCGAAGACCCCGAAAGACCCCGACCAGCATTACCCCATGCTTCTTTCCGCCAGGAGCGTCTGTCGCATCGCATCCCGATCGGATGCCAGTCCATTGACGTTTCTCAACTTGATTGGATACACTTCATCGGAAAGGACTTGAAAATCCGGGGGAGGGGAGCGTTCTTATCGCGAAAGACCATCCTGATCTCGGTCCCGCGCGCGCCAAGTCGAATCAAATCGGGTCACTCACTCGATCAGAATCAGGCTTCGCACCGCGCTCGGCATGTTGTCTTCCGATCCTGATATTTCGATCGTGCCTTATTCTGCATCTGAGATCTTTTACCAATGGCATCTTTCCGTAAGGAGATACAGTCAGAATATCATGAATGACTAATTGGCTGGTGGTTCGTGGTCCGGCCGAACAAGTAGGTATCTCACAACCACGGAGCCCACTTACTGTGGGTGCGGTAGCAACGTTACAAGGACAAAGCCGAGTTAGACAAACAATAGATTTTGAACACACAATGGCCTCCGTGGCGACGGACATTGACAACTAGCTAAATCAGATAGCTCGAGAGAAACAAAATAGTACACTACACGTTTCGGCCCACCCCTTCATCCATATTCAGCCAACAAGTACATTCTTAACCTTAGCAAAAATGCCCTTGTGAGCTGTTTCTTCGTCTGTACCGCCCAACCACTCTCTCCGGCCGCTCGTGATGTCAGCTTCGGCAGGGTTAACCCATTTCGTTTCTTAATTATCTCGTTAGCAAAACTGCACTCAAGGCTTTCACGGGCGAGAAACCTACTGTGCCAGAGCTTCCACCCGGCGTACAGGGCAATGAAGATGGGGATAACCAGGTAAGCGAAGATGAAAGCCTTGAGGTCAAAGGGTGTCAGGAGCGTGGTGTACCCGGAGATTATGACGAGGAAAATGTTGGCTCCGAAAAGTGTCCAGGGGACATAGGGGTACCCCAAGGCCTTGAATGGAAGAGAGGAGAGGGGCATGCCCTGGGCTTTCACGGCGGCGCGGAAGCGCACGTGAGTCAACCCGATAAATGCCCAGGCAATGAAAGCAGCTGAGCCAGAGATTGACAGCAGGTAGCTGAATACATTGCCAGCATTCTCCGAGATATTGAGCAGCGAGATGAGGCCGAAAAGGTTGGTGAAGACGATGGCGTTGACCGGGACACCGTTGGAAGTCGCCTTGGCAAGGAACCGCGGGGCCCGTCCAGCCTTGGCCTGAGCATAGATGGTGCGACTGGCAATGTAGATGGCGGAATTGATCGAAGAGAGCAGCGTGATGATGATGATTGCATTGATCAGGTTGCCGGCGCCCGCCCAGCCCGCTTGGTTCAGGGCGACAGTGAAGGGGGACGACGCCGACTTGGATGCGGCGTTCAACAATCCTTCCGAGTTGTAGGGCACAATTAGGCCGGTGAAGAAGATCATGCCAACGTACACGATCAGGATGCGCCAGAAGGTCTGCTTCAGCGCCTTGGGGATGTCCCTCTTGGGGTTTCGAGACTCTCCGCCAGTGATTGCCACTGCCTCAGTTCCCGAGTACATGACCGCAGCCAAGACCAAGACCTTGCCAAAGCCATTAATGCCGTTTGCGAAAGCACCAGGATCGTCCCAGTAGCGAAATCCAATGTAGTCGCCACCGATGGCCCCAGTGTTGATGAGACTGGAGTACCGTTGTTAGTGGTCTGTCTGGGTGTGCACCCGGAGGCTGGGAAGGGAGGACAACTTACATGGCCACTAGGTATAGAATGATTGTCACGATGAATTTGAAAGTCGCCAACCAAAATTCCATTTCACCGTAGACCAAGACGCCGAGCAGAGAGGTGCCCATGAAGAAGACCCAGCAGATCAAAATCCAGGCGTAGTTGGGGAGTTTATCGGTCCAGAAGCTCAGAACCAAAGCAGCGCCATTGTACTCGTTGGCCAGAATCGTTCCCTGTCAGGGTTAGCGAATGATTCGGGCGTAGGCATCGGATGAAGCATCGAGATCAAGTCCACTTACCCACATATACCAATAATTCCACCCGAGGGCAAAAGAGAGGGCAGGATCGACGAACCGGCCGGCGAACTCGTTGAACGATCCGGTCGTCGGGAACAGCGTCGCCATCTCGCCCAAGGACTGCGTGACGAAGAAGACGTCGAGTCCCACGATGATGTACCCAATCAAGGAGCCAGCAGGACCGGAATATTGCAGGGCGAAGCCTGTGGCGTAGAACGTTCCGGGGCCGATGACACCTCCGAGGGCTATCATCTGCAGATGACGGGATTTGAGCGCTCGTCGAACGCCATCGTCGATGATTTGGTTGTCGTTGTGAATCACGACCTCGCCGTTATCGACGTCGCCGGTGTTCTTGTTCTCCGCCATGTGGAGTTCTTTGCTGTCTGAGTCGACGGCCATCGTGTCGCTCGTGAACAGGTGCACAACGGAGTTGAATGATTTAGCGACAGATATATTCCCAAGGGACGATGCTCGGCGACGTATATACTCCTCTTAGGAGCGTCATGACATGCTCGCCCATCTGTTATACTTGTGGTGTAGTCCGAAGCATCTAGGCTGCATCGCCGCATCCTGAGTGGATGGAAGATAAGACCCTTGCTCATGGGATGCTCGTCGGACAACGTGGTTGCGGGGCCGAAAAAGTCCGATGACGAATCGGATCTCTTATCTGCCTCAATGATATCTTCTAGGGTAGCTGTCCCTGACTCGTGCCCGGGGTGACGCTTCGCCCCAGCATAACTGAAGATAAGCACACCCTTGGCCAAAGATGACCGAACTTGATCCACGGTGAGATAACCAAAAATACGCAAGCATGGCTAACTGCTAGTTTTCTGTATTGATTCAGCTCTGATCCGGCACGAGGCATCTGACACACTGAAAAATTAGGTAACTCGAGTATTTATTCAGAAAAAACAAGTTAGGTTTGCCCATCTGGGTGGTAGTTGAGCTGTATTCTGTTGCGGCCAACTGCCCTAAAGGCGGCTCACTGATACCGAAATTGCTTTGGTCACGAGGTATTCCTCAACCGCAACATCCTTGCCCGCCTCTTTGCCATATCCCGACTCCTTGATGCCGCCGAAAGGCACCTCAGCTCCCGCGATAGAATTCGTATTGACACCGATCATGCCTGCTTCTAGAGCATCCATGAGGCGCCAAGACCTATCCATATCTTTGGTGAAGACATATGAGGCCAAGCCCACCTAGTTGGTGTGGTCAGAAACCGACGAAGCGGTTGAGAAAGAAAGGACACTCACAGAGGTATCATTCGCAGCCTGTATGACCTGTGCTTCGGTCTCGAACTTGAAAAGGCTCAGGATTGGGGCGAAGCATTCTTCATCGGCGAAACGCATCGACTTGGTTGCTTCGGCAATGACGGTTGGTTGAAAAAAGAAACCGGACGTGTCTTTCAGCTGTTCGCCCCCCAAGAGGATCTTGGCCCCTTGGGCTTTGGCATCTTCTACAAGTTGCTTGGTACGCTCGAGCGCCTGCGGAGTCGTCACTGGCCCGATAGTTGAGGTCGCCAGGCTGCCATGGCCTTGAACGAGCCTCGACGTCCGCTCCGTGATGAGAGACGCAAACTCGTCATACACTGCAGAATGGACATAAACTCGATTAGCAGTAACGCACGCTTGCCCAGCATTTCGCCATTTCAATCCCATGAGCGCTACGTGCATGTCAGTATAGATGTCACGGAGCGAGGAGGCTGGGAGACCGACCATTGACAGCTTCGGTCAGATTGGCATCATCAAAAATGATAAAAGGACAGTTACCACCTAGCTCAAGGGTCACTTTTTTGAGCCCTTCTGAGCATAGTCGTGCGACCAGCTTTCCAATCCTAGTCTGGACCGAGGGTCAGCCGGTTCCATAGTGAAGTGCAGCTGGATTGACGTACTGAGCCCGTAAACGTCACCTTCTTGACCAAGGGGTGACGGCAAAGCGCTTCACTGACACCTGGCGTATTCTCGAGACTGGTTGTTAGGACATTTAGAACACCCTTGGGAATCCCAGCTTCCTCTGCAAGGAACGCGAGCGCCAAGGCCGAGAGGGGTGCCTCAGGGGATGGTTTGATGACCATGGTGCATCCGGCCGCAAGAGCCGCTCCGGCCTTTCGAACCACCATTCTGTACTCTGTCAGAGAAATATCCGATGCAGCTCTGCTCCGCAGAAACCTACGAGACGGGGAAGTTCCATGGAACAAGCGCAGCCACGACACCAATGGGCTGCTTGATCGTCAAGACCTTCTTTCCAGGAATTGCGGCATCGAAAGCGGTGCCTTGAATGCGGTCTGCTTCTCCCGCGAACCAATGAGTCGAACTCAGGGCATAGTCCACCTCGGCCAAGGATTCTGGCAACGGCTTGCCCGTCTCGAATGTGACGATAGTTGCCAAATCGTCCTTGTGCTTCTCGATAAGCGTTCCCCACTTCAGAAGCCACTGTGAGCGGGCTCTGGGTGTGGTTCGCCCGTAGAGACGAAATGCTTCGTGCGCAGCTTCGACAGCAGCAGCCACGTCAGTTGCACAATTGTCTGGTGCTGAAGCCCAACATCCGCCAGTGCCAGGATCTACATCATGTTAATAAGTGTCTCTGTCAGGACGACGGCAGATCAAACTGGCCTATAACCTCGAATCGGGCTTTTGAAGCCGCGGCGACCCATTCCCCATTTACAAGTGACTGGTCCTTGAAGATCGAGGGCCATTGGAGCTGTTGTTGAAGAGTCAGCACTTCTATCTTGACCAGAATTGAGTTTCAGGCACCTTGAACGGCAGTGGCTCGGTTGTCGGGCCCATGACTGCTGTTGGTATTCAGAAACTTGCCTGGAACAAACGATTATGACATGCGTTCATAATTGTAGGTATCAAAACACGAATAGCCAGGATATCTAACATGTATCTGGACGTCCCCGCTCCACATTTTCTTTAGCTACATCCTGCCTCCGAGACCGATGCGATGAATCGGACTCGGTGTCCGACAGGACTAATCGGAGACCAGGCTCTAGCGGGTTCCGGGCTTCTGTATCTGCACGTCGACCCAATGCCCAGGATGGCTATAGAAGTCGGGTGTGAGCATGATGAATTCGGGCCCATCATTCTCAATCAACATCAAGCTACCACCAAGCCAACAGCGCCGTGTTCCTGCCGCCATGACCTCGCTTCTTCCTCAAGGCAAGCAGATTAACCTGCAACTGGGATGGCCGTCCCCTTCTCTCTTCCCTTCAGCGTCCCTGAATGCTGGCGCCGATGACGTCCTCAGAGACTTTGACCGGGCCACGGCTGCTCTAGTCTACGGACCCAATCGAGGAAACGCACCTCTACGCCAACAGGTTGCGCGATGGCTGGGATCCACGTACCACAAAGATGCCCACGCCATCGACGAAGCGCGCGTGTGCATCGCCGCTGGCGCTTCTCAGAACTTGGTCAATGCTCTCATACGCTTCACAGACCCCACGTACACCAGGCGCATCTGGATGGTCGAGCCAACGTACTTTCTGGCTTGTCCTGTGTTCGAGGACTGCGGATTCGCTGGCAAGCTGCGTGGAGTCCCCGAGGACGATGAGGGCATCGACTTGGACTTTCTTCAATCAGCCCTGGCGGAGACAGAGGCAGAGGTTGCGGCTCATGGCGAGTCGGATGAGCCCAAGCTGAAGTCAGGGGCAAACGGCTACCAGAGGATTTACAAACATGTCATATACGTTGTACCGACGTTCTCGAACCCAAGTGGCAAGACCATGTCCTTGCAGCACCGGTACGACCTTGTGAGATTGGCTATCGAGTACGACGCTCTAGTCATATCAGACGACGTTTATGACTTCCTCTACTGGCCTGAGGAGAGAGGACAGACGCTTGACCTAACCACACGCGTTTTGCCCCCACGACTAGTGGACATCAACCATGAGATCGACCCTCAGAGCAAATGGGGAAATACCATGAGTAATGGCTCATTTTCCAAGATCGTCGCCCCAGGCGTCAGAACATCGTGGGCGGAAGGGACACCAGCCTTCGCGACGTGGCTGGCCAACACGTAAGTCTTGCACCAATCTCCCTATAAATGCCCCCATTTCCATCATTGACCCCGATAAAGTGGCGCCACAACTTCGGGCGGAAATCCTTGCCATTTCATGTCCACCTGTATCGAAAACATGCTTGCCACGGGAGCACTTGAGAAGCACATCCGAGACACGCTTATACCTTCCTACTCACTACGGTACTACGCCATGGTCGACGCTGTCAAGGAGCACCTCGAGCCCTTGGGCGTCCGCATAAGCAGCGGCAAACCATACGTGACGAGTCAGTTCAATGCTGCCACTGCGTCAGGGCAATCGGACAACAAAGCGTGCGGCGGCACCAGGATTGCTGGAGGCTTCTTTCTGCTGCTCACCCTGCCAGAGAATCTTCCATCCGCGACAACACTGGCCAAGGTTGCAATAGATCAGCATGATCTGAAGTTTGCGCATGGGAAAATGTTCGAGGTGAAGGGAGATCCGGGGAGCAAGCAAAGATCAGATGCCACTTTCGGACGCACTATAAGGCTGTGCTGGGCATTCCACGAGGCAGGCGTTATCGTGGAGGGCATAAAACGCATGAAGCTGCTACTTTCCGAGCACTTGCCGGCTTGAAGCAAGTAGTTAGCTGAGAAATGGACAATAACAAGGAGGTTTTCCATAGACACAAGTTTTCTACACATGCACTAGGTCTAACCTGGCCACTCCCCAATCCAATATCTATTATGATCGTACGGGCGGGTACTCTGCAAGTAAGTCTTGATAGCTCTTTTATTATTTTGCTACCGTAGGCTCTAAGAGGAAAGAAACTATGATTTCTGCCGCAATTACTGCATCATCCACAGCCGCAGCGGACGCAATCGCCGCCTCTGTAAACTTTGCAGGCCATCCAACACGTGCACTGACGAGTTTCAGGCACTCCATCTCGATAAACTGGTCAAACTCGGGATGCCCTTGGTATGTGAGGAGTCTACCCGGCTGATAGATGCCTTGATTTGCGCAGTGAGGTGTTGAGCCAATGACGCAGGCGTCTTCCGGCAAGACGCCTGGAGGCAAAATGACATGATCGCCGTGTAGGAACTGGAGGCGCAGAGACTTGGTAGGAAGTAGTGTAGCGAATCGTGAGGCGAATTCTTCTGACACGTTGATGGTGTGGACGCCTAGTTCGTAGCCTGCCGGATCTTTCTGTATGATTGCGCCATAGTCCTCAAACAGAGCCTTGCAGATGATTTGATGGCCAAAACAAGAGCCGTACAGCTTGATATGCGGTCGTTCGATGTAGACACCTACTCAGCAGGTTAGAAGGATGCCCATGACCTGTATAGAGACGACGCGTAACGCACGCAAGATATAACGCTGCAGAACATGAATCCACTCTAGTGGTTGATATGCGCCGTTGGGCGATCCGGTGATGATGATGGCATCGGCTCGGTCCAGGCACAACGGATATTTCTGGTTCACAACATCCCACCCCTCGAGCTGTAGGGTAGGTTTTTTCGTCAGGGAAGACGAACGATGCACCGCGTCCCGCAGAAGTACTCGGAAGATGTCATGATATTGGCCCCTCTCCTTTTCGATAACGGGACTCGTATACCCGCAGTTTAAAACGGCAACGTTGATTACTAGAGAATCGACGGCCATCTTTCCAATCTGGAAGTGCTTGATGTGCCGGCTGTGGAATCATGGGACAAAGTTCAATTCTTTCTTTGAAAGGGCGGTTGGTGCAGGCACATAAAATATCTGCCGAGCCTGAGCGCGAGCTCCAGCGTCTCCTCAACATGAAGACCCCCAGATGGGTATTTTGGAGGATCTTGGGGCATGCCATGCCAAGCCAAGTTGCTCACCGTGTCTTGTAGACGGCGCGTCGGAACTCGCCCCGATGCCGCTCCGAAACGGTCAGCTAGTCCGAGTCATACAGGTAGTTAACTACGTGCTTACCTAAGTATGCCCTTTCTAGTTCCATCTTAGTCTGTCCAGTAACGGGTCTTCGCACCTGGACTCCGATGACTTAACCCGCTGCTGTCACCCACCCGATACGATTGTCAACAATCGTTCGTTTTCCTCGGTGTCCTCGTCCGACCAAGTGCCGCCCACTTCTCAGCTGCTCAAGGTAGGGCCAGCATCCATCCTACGCCTATGCGGTACCCCTGACGCAGCCAAGGACGCGAACCAAGATGGCGGATCCTGGGGAAACGAGACTTGCTAAGCGGCAGAAGCTCCTTGCTTGCCAGCGCTGCCGCCACCGCAAGCAAAAGGTCAGCATGGAGGGCAGTATTACCTGAAATTGGCCCCATAATCGCTCACCACCGATCCTTTTCAGTGTACCGAGGAGCGGCCTTGTGAGAATTGTATCCAGTCAGGCGCAGGTATGGGGTCATTGCAGTTTACGGGGACGGCGGAGACTCTAACCAGGCAGCAGAATGCCTCCAGACTCAGTCAGCATCCTCGAAACTAGCATTGGAGCCAGAGTACGTGCCTTTCGTTTTTCTCTTGTCATCTTGTAGCTCACTATTGTCGTAGCTACGTCCAACGCTTGGAGGAACGTGTTGCACAATTAGAATCCCTTGTCCCGCAGGAAAGTCTCGATCATATTCACACCAGACCCCCGGATGAACCGGCTACATCGAGAATAAGGACGACACCGAACGACAACAGCCCCGGACGACATCTGCAGGGCCCTGGCTCCGCCCATAGCCGCGATGACGACCATCGGACTAGGTCCAGCCGGCTAGAGTGGCCTAGCAATCAAGAATTCTCCTTGATCAATTCTAACCTAATGCCTACAGCCCAGAGCACTCCAGATAGCCTCGGTTCCCACTTATTCGAGGCCATCACAGGAATTCCAACCCAACACGCGCGACGAGAAGAGCCAACGCCCGAAGCATTGGATCTAGACTCAGACCTAGAGCGCTTTCTCATCCAGACATACTTCGAGATGGCGCATTCGCAGTATCCCTTGCTCCTCAGACACGAATTTCTAGGTTGGGCCGACTCATGGAGGCGCGGTAAAAGAGCCTGCCCGCCAGAAGAGCAGTGGAAGGGTTTCATGGTGTACATGGCGAGTCATGCCTATCCCCTGATCATCTAGGATGAAGGCACTGATGCCGTTAGGTCTACTCGATCGCATTTCTCATGGCCAAGCGACGCATTAATGGCCCTATGAGGTCCGAGGTAAATCATCTCGACGGGGTTCCCCGACGCACAGTGGTAATTTGAGCCATCCTTGCAGCTCCTGTATAACCTAGCAATCTCTCGATACTTTCCCTCCCTGATCGCGGCCCCCGATCCCCTCATCCGCGCCCAAGGATTCCTCCTCCTCACTGTGTACGCTCTTCACATGCCCTCCAAGGAGAGCATAATCACCCTGTCGTCATGGACCATGAGGTTTTGCGTCATGGCACAACTACATCTTGCTGATCCTGAACCTGGACCAGAGCCCTCACCGGTCACCGGCGAGGCCTTTATTCGGAATCAGCACCGCAGGAGAGTATTCTGGTGTGCCTATGGCATCGATCGTGCCATTTGCAGCACATATGATCTTCCAAGTTGCATCTCAGATAGCTACATCACTGTCCCCGTGAGTAATAACCCCCCGACCCCCCAACCCCCCAATGCTGGAGGGCAAGAATCGCGGTCACCCATTCCAACTGAATTACTGTAGATATTCGACAACATCGATGACAACACGCTCCTTGACATAAGTACATCCACAGAGTCACAAAGCATCGAGCCTGTGACGTCGCCAACCAATGTCTCACCGGCCCTTCATGTACTTGTCGGCCGCCAAATTGAGTCGGAGATCCAGGACATGATGCTGCACAAGGACTACAGCGAACACTCGGACGCCGCAAGCGCTTGGCGCGTACAAATCAGCGAGAGGCTCAAGGAATGGGACCGGGATTCTGCCGCTCTGTCACACCCATCGCAGACGGGCTACACGAGCTCGCGATGGCTGAAGATGATCTACTACTACAACATCGTCACGCTCTACCGGCCCACGCGAGGTATGGCGCAAGGTGTCGCTGGCGACTTGTCGGTGCAAGCCTGCTGTCATGCGCTCCTCTTGTTCCGGAGGTTCCAGATGGCAAGGGAGATTGCAAAGCCATGGCTTGGGGTATGTGGCTTTTCCTCTCGTGATTGCCGTGCCCTCTTCAAACCCGATTCGATTCTAACGTGGGACTGTCGCAGCTCTTAACACAGTTCCAGATCGGAGTCACTCTGCTCTACTGCTTCTATGCCACGCCGATTGCTCTCTGGCGACCATCGTACAAGTCCGCTGATGTCCCCGATGCCATCCGTGCTTGCTCAAGCACGCTTGCCATTATGGCCGACCGGTGGACCGAGGCCGAGTGCCTGCGAGACGTCTTTGACATTCTGGCGCGCGAGGTCCCTCTAGGAGAGACATGGGATCGGCCCCAGCTGATGAGTGCCGCTGGGCGCAGGAACATCCTTGAGGAGAACTGGCAGCAGATGAGCGAGATCGTGATCCATAGGTCGACTTTGAGGATGATTCGTGAGATGGCGACCGAGTGCTTCGTGTCTGAGGTAGAGCTTGGTAACTACGAGCAGCTACACCCCGACGCTGGTCTGGATGCAGAAGCTGCCGCATTGCTCATCGACGCAATGGACCTTCAATGGGTGAATGCTGCACACCCACCGCCGCTGGAAATGGGGCAGGGTTTCAGCTACTTTCAGCTGTAAATGAAGGGCAACAATGCTCCCTCCGCAAGGAGTATGGATGGATGTGTCGCCATTGGGACCCTGGGTGGTAACTATGCAAATTTACGCCGTGAAATTCTATCGTCTCTAGCCTAGTCTATTTCGCACTACACGGATGCTCGTCTGCATGGGGATCCATGGGAAAAGGAAACACAGAAGCAAAGACTGCCACAAGCCTCACAACTTGGACTCGCAGCAGATTTGGGCGCTCTTGTGCCTGCTCAAGATCGCCGGCACCGGCTGCCCCTCGTACAAGGTGCTCTGGTTCGACCTCTGCGTGCTCTGGGGCACGTCGAGGGCCGGGTTGTGCTCGAAAAAGCCGCTGGGCTTGAGACTGACCATCATGGTCTCGCAGGGCATGACGGGGTAGTCCTCGGGTCGCGGATTGTGCGTCAGGCTGATGGAGTGCCAGAGTACAATGTCTTCGCCGTCGACCTTGTCTCCACGGCCTGCCCACATCGCGAGATCGCCCTTGCGCTCCTTTCCGGGAGACTCATTGCCTTCATCCTCGCCATCTGGGAGGGATTGATAGGTGTGGTCACCGGCGGCATACAACTCGCCGTCCCGGTACGTTGTCACCCAGTACGGCTGCAGAGCGAACTTGGCACGCTTACCGTGCCACGAGTCCGGATGGGCGAGCAGCATCTGCTTCTGGGGGCTGTGGATGGAGTAGGCGACGGGACATCCGGAGATCTTGTTGATCACTGAAGGGTTGATTATCTTGTGCACGCGGTTGGGCTGCGCTGTCGAGTATCCAGCGTTCTGAATCACCCTCTTCTCGGTAACATAGCCGACACCTACTGGATTGCTGCTGTCAAAGGGCATGGCCACCGAGTCTTCTTCCAAAAAGCTGTTCTTGTCACCGTCCAGGGCCGGATCAATGCGAAGCGAGAAGACGTGCTGGTGGTAAGGGGCCATGACGCCCTGGTTGACGTTGGTACCGTACGGGACGGTAGCACCAGGCGCAATGGGCACCGTGGACAGGATGCCTGTTGCCTGGATCTTGTAGTGCAACGCTGCGGCCTGGTCAAAGTTCCACATGAAGATGTACTCGTAATTGCCGACCGTGATAATGGTCTGCAGAACGAGCACGCGCGATCGCACGATCGAGACCTCCTTCGTGGCCCCGTCGGTGTGCTTCCAGCCGATGCCGTCGTCGATCTCGTGCATGCAGATGACGTTGGGCTTCTCTACGGGCCTGCCGTTGGAGTCGCTCAGCGTGAATGAGAAATACTGCCCCATCCGAGTCAGCATACCCGATCATCCTTTACGACGTGCTTGTAGCCCCCCTCCACGATGCTTCCGTACCTTGATCAAGCCCAAGCAGTCACAGCCAAGAGACAGATTGTTGGCGGCGACTCCAGCGCCGATATCACCAACGTCGAAAACACTCTTCCGTGAGTAGGGCGTCCGTGGGTCACCATAAGGTACAAACATCTCGCTCAAGCTGAGGCGATGGAACAGTTCGCGCCCAGCATACGTCACGTCGTGCAGCACCATGCCTTCGCGCCAGTTGAAGCCGACCCGAAATCGCCACTTCTGCCACTGAACCAGGCAGCCGTCGACGGTGAAGGACGCGCCGAGCGTCTGGTTCACTGTCAGGGGCTTCAGATCCGTGCGCTTCGGTTCAGACTGTAGGTCGTGGTGCCATTCTTTTGGAGGGTGTGGGATGTACTTGACCTCGGGGGATAGGTTGTGGTCCGAGCCGATGGGTAGATCCATGATGTCGACGAGCTCCTTGGTCACATAGTCGATGATGGGGGAGAAGGGCAGCGGGTTGTCATATGAATTGGACCCTGGGTGCGACGAGTCCTTGGCGTACAGAAAGCACTGTGTTGGGTAGTCAGCGATCCATGGCCCATCCCGCCGACGTGCTGTGGGATAAGTTACCTGTGCAAGTCGTCGAAGCTTGCCCCCTGTGTCTCGTCCATATGGCCATGTGTCGCATACGACGGTGAAGTTATCGGGCAGTTCATACCTGTCTATCCGTGCCTTGACCGCCGGGTGTCTCAAGCAAGTGTCCCTGACTTCGATGACTTCGTCCATGTCGGCGTGTCCATGGTACTTCTCGTCGAGCATTTCTACTTGCTCCAGTTTCGAGGCGTCCAGGTTCACCGTGGCAAGGAACAGGTCGACTGTCCTACGGTGATAGAAGAGTGCAGAAGCTCGTCTCGTGGGCTTGACAGTTCCGGTGGCTCCCTTTCTCTCTGCTGCAAGAAACCTCCTCGTCTCGCTCTTGGGCGGTTCAACGAGCGTGATGTTCTTGAAGTGGACTGCGCCCTCAGGCTGGCTGCTCTTGACGAGCGTAGCCACCACGGCAATCTCCGCGGGTGACAGAGGGTCGAGAGGATGATGCATTTTGCGGTATCGAGTACGGATGGACTTTGAGCTTGGTGAGCGGCTGACTAGCTGGTCAAACGAACAAATAGACTACTTGGATTCTGTCTGCGTTTTATGCAAGGCCGTTTTATCGCCCACATCCCACATCGGGGATGAGGGATCGGCGGATATGGCCAGTCAGCCACTCCGCAGCGGTGGACACAGTCGAGTGATGGCGATACAGGTCCATTGTAGGAACTGTGATCGGACGATGCTCCGACAAGATTCCGACGAGTCCGATGAGTCCGATGGGTCCGACGAGCGGACTGATAGGTCCTGGTCACCGAGGCGGACAAATGCGCAGATAATGTTCTCCCGCCTGCAAGCAAGGTTCTGTCTAGTGTCTACATGAAGAAAAATATAACGTTTGAAGAACATGTAGTTTTGATCAAGTGTGACGGTAGGCTCACCAGGTGAGTTTGGTGGCCACCTGCCAGCGCTATTCTTCCACACTGCGTAAGAGAGGCATTCAATATCAGACTTTGGCATTCGGCTTACAAATGTTCTTAACATCATCAGCAATTAGTAATGCAACTCAAACAGTACGAATGACGGGCCATCGGAAAAGTCGGAAAAGTAGAAAACATAAAAAGGATGCAGGAGGGGAAGAAAAACGTAACCAATTCAAATTTATTGAGAGTTGACTCCAAGCCTCGTAACACGTCCTCTCAACCTCATTATTGTCGCTTGGGTGCTGTATTGCCACTAGTACCGTCGTCTCACCGCCCTTCATATCACCGGTGTACCATAAAAAGGAATTCCAAAAGAGCCTACGCTATGGCTGACAAGTCTGATAAACCAACCGCCTCCTTTCCTCTGGCAGGCCTCGCCGACGATGGCTGGTTCAAAGATGATGAAGCGACCGTGACTTGCTTCTGCGGTGCCGTGCAGATTGCCTTTGTAAGTTGAAGCTTGGGTATTCTGATCAAAATCAGGATTAACAAGTCATTACCGCAGCCAACGTCGGGGCCCGGCTTTGTCAACACTTTTGTGTGCCACTGCACAGACTGTCGTAAAGTCACAGCCTCCATGTTTGCGTCCAACTTCACCGTCAAGAATGACGCTATAAACTTCATCCGTGGCCGCGAAACCCTCAAGAGCTTCGGACAGGCCAAGACAGTTGGCACCCACAACACCATGACCAACTATTTCTGCTCCACATGTGGAACTCTTATGTGGCGCGAGAGCTCTGGTTTCCCCAATGTCAAGTTTATGCGCATCGGGACTGTCGATGATTTCCATTTACATGAGACCAAACTGCGGCCTCAGGTTGAGCAGTTTGTCGAGTCTCGTGTGGGATGGCTGGAGCCAATCGAGGGTGTGAAACAGGTGCATGGCCAGTCAACGGGGAAGAGAAATAAAATAAGAGTATCTCTTTAAGCCTAATCCTACTTTCTAATAACTCAAGCCCATGTCGTAAAATACTATAACCTTAATCTAAGATACCAGAGTAATAGAGTGTGCGCCTCGAGTAACAGGAATTGAATAGCTTGTTTTGACAAACTCTATCCGGTTAATATCAGCGTGGTCTCCTGAGATTGGCCAAAAATCAACTGAGCCCCCAGGCGATGTCTTGTCGTACTGATCGAAGGTTGTGGCTGCGACAAATCGACTCGAAGAATCGAATACAACGCCTTCCGGTAATATACCATCATAGGCAAACGTCCCAACCGTGTCTAGAGCACCTGTCTCAGCATCCACTCGTAGGAGGCTAAGAGAAGAAAAGAAGCCTTGGTTGGGACTATCTAGAGCCGGGGTGCTTCGCTCAAGATTTGCTGTAACAGCCCATTGTCCATCCGGGCTAATGGCAAGACCTTCGGGCATGACTCCAACTTGGGTGTTCTATAGTAAACCTGTTAAATGTTGGCTTCCACGATGCATCTAGGGACTTCCAGCCGCTTACCCCCATCGAGGAGGAAGGAGTGGCGCGGTGCGATGAATGGCTCGAAACAGGGAATGGTTACTTGATTGAGCAACAAACACGTCCGGGGACTATTTCGTTTGTACTATCCTCGAATCCTCTGGCTTTGCTCGCCTGGTAAGTGCAAGGGATCGTATCGAGCGACTAGGGCTAATTCGCTGTTCAGGGTTGGTGAAAAATTCATTCATTGGGCCGACGATCGAGAACCGATAGACTTGGACGAGATTCTGGCTTCGATAAGCCTATACTGGTTCACGAACACGATTTCCCGAAACATGTGGCCCTATCGATCGTTGTCGAAACTTCCATTAAACCTGGAAAAACCGCTTGGTTACTCGTACTTCCCGAGAGAGACTTTCTTTGTGCCTCAGGCTTGGGGAAGCAACTTGAAAAGCTTTGTCCGATATGAGAACGAAAGGGCAAGTTGGGGCACATAATACCATGAGAGATTTGCACTAACGTATGGATAGGGGGGGCATTTTGCCGCTTTGGAACAACCCGAAGCCTTCATGAGAGATGTTGAAGATTTTGTCACAAGGCATAGTGGGTTATATAATAGGTAAATAAAATACAGATTGTTACCTCTGAAAGGGAAATTCCCGAAGTATGATTATACAGAATGCCCCCGTGCTTGGCGATTCGATCTTGGATGCCCTGGAAGGGAATCGCCACATACGGGGGCGTATTACCGCCTGAGCCTTCCCCCGTAATAAGAGTACCTACCTTCAAATGCCTCCCATCCGAGGTTACTCTCGTAGCCGCCACCATAACGGCCAGGGTTCTTCCACGGAGCCGCCTTGTAAGTTGCATCTTTTCCATAGATGGCGAGAAACTTTGGCCTCTCGAGAGGTAAAGTGACATTGATATTTTTGACCACCACTCTTGCTTTAGTTTCCACACGCGCTAGGGACGCGGGCCGCCTCTGCATGGGCGGCTAGAATCATCCGAGCCCGCCCCGTCCATGAGCGTCACCTTGTCTTCAGGAAAAGGGGTGGCTTTTTGGAGTGAACCATATGGGAACTTAGTTATTCGAGCAATAAGCTTGGCGTATGGCGTATGTGATACATTCCTCGCTTCTATAGGTCTGCTAGCGAGCTGCACCTACGAACAAATGCACGGAGCGAAGAGACAACAGCCATCCCTGCAGAACGAACGGGTTCTTGTGCTCCGAGTACGCCAATCCCTACTAGGTCATTGCGACTATTAGGTAGGTTGAGGAGAGAGGAAATGATTCTTTTCTCCATGTCTCACATTACGAAGGAGACTGACTGACGATTGTAATCCACAAACCTGAGACATGGCCGCGTGGCATACCTCCATAAACTGTGGCTAGCTGAACTTGGGCCGAGACCAGAGAGTCTCACTCACATGTATTCTCTGTCTCTCCGGAGCAGTCCAAGAATCTCAACGTTAATGCAGTTGGCCAACAAGGTGAAGTTTAAGGCATGGTGCCATAGCTTGGCAAGTGACTATGCTCTACAATGCAGGGGTTGGCACGTCATCGATTCGTCTGCCACCACTGCCGAGTAGCCCAAGAACCTGCACCGGCTCAATATTCTGGTTGTGGGAAAAGAGGCTTCAACCAATAAGCCAAACTGACAAGGTTGGGCTTTCGAACTCAACTAATTTACGTTTTCCACAATGAGTGCGGCGGCTAAGATGCCAACCTAAACATAGCCAAGACGGAAGAATGCTTGGGCTCTTTGGCCGTCAGACTCTATCTCAGCTATGTGGAGTCTATCGTCAAGATTCACGACCAGTCAGCAAATGGCTCCGAGATGACGTTTATTGAGGCTGAAATAAGGAAAGATGCTAGTTCAAAAATGGCTGAATATCCGGGGATGGGTGCAGATCCTGTCCTCCGTCGTACGATCCAAGTTGAGACTCTGCCAATTGTCGTAGCAAACCCGATCGACTATTGCCGCCGCGGTGAGAAGATTAATAAGACACGCGTGAAGGCAGTGCTGCTCCTCGCTGCCCAAGATTCTAAATAGTTTCCCCTACAAATCATAAAACCAAGACATGCAGAAATGTGACGAAGGCATAGGTCGACAGATATGCCGCCATAATGTCACGCGATGGCGCCGCTCCCCCTTGGCTCTGGACTGAATCTACCGTGGTAAATTGGCTCCCATAGTCACGGCCTGGATCTTTTTTGCACTATATGCTCAATAGAAGCTGTAATACTGTTTTCCTTATTACGTGGAGTAGAATTTGCTCGGATTGGTTGGTATTGCAGTCGCTACATACGGAACGCCCGGCAACAAGGTTTGCTAATGGAAAGGAAACCACGCCGTCTAGCAAGTGACGACCTTTAAGCGGTGAACAATGTCTGAGTTTGGTAGAGATCTGTTGGAGTGGTAGTTTCAGCCCGGCTGAAGACGTCCACAACGGGGTATCAAAGGGCGAATCAAGGCGAGATACCCCATTACCTCGCCAGGAGCCACAGATATTCCGCCATCAAGTCAACATGTCTCTTGTCTAGGAGTTCGACAGTTTCATTGGCCCCTGCCATCATGCGTAGCAGCCAAATCGTCTGCCGCTCTGCCCGAGTCTTCAAATGTTGAACGACGATCGTTGTGAGAACTCAACACGAGGAGCATCTGTTGACACCTCAAGGCAAGCCCATGGTAATCAATGTACCATCTCGGCGCGTAGGTGAGTTGGAACCCCCCCTTGGGTTTGACTATAAAGATAGCCTATGATCCCGCCTTGAGATTCGGACAACTCACCATCCACACACACACACACAAACATTCAAACATTCTTCATCAACTCCAAGCACAATGGCTTCCGCTACCTTCACCCAGAACTTTGTCACTGTCGACGCTGATCCTACCGTCGGCTCCATCAACCTCGGCTTCACTGAGGGCGACAACCTCCAGAACAACAAGGGCGGCGATGCTCCCATCACCGGAAAGTCCACCCTTGCCATCGTCAAGTACGAGGCTGGCGGCCAGGCCAGGGCTTTCAACCTTACCAAGCCCATCGTCTTCCCTCCCTTGACTGCCATCAAGATCACCGGTACGCACCATGCTGTCCACTTGGGATCAAAGCTGACTTAAATGAATAGGAGGTGCCAAGAAGGACAACACCCTCAAGGCCGTTGATGACCACGGCAACGAGGCTATCTGGTCTCTCGCTTAAGTGCATTGCACTTGATGCGTAGAGCTGTTCCTACACAGGCACGCTCCATCCTGTCCACAGTGAGGCGCAAGGCTTCCTCTCTAGATATGGTTATCTCTGGGATACGACAAATTCTTCTCGGGTGAGGGCACTTTTGGCCTTAGTCGAGGACATTCCTTAGATAGTCCACTATCAAATACACACTGTTGCCTCATTTCTGCCTCAGTGCATGTGAAATCGCTGAAGATGCCAGGCCGTGCACTTCTTCTCTTGACTATTAAGTAAGGCCTTAGTATGTGTGTGTGGATTATGAAAATACCATTCTAAAAGTGCTTTTCTGGACCATTTGGCAATTCTCTGTGATCATCAAGGCCCTCTTCCGTCTGGAACTCTTCAGGAACCTACGGGCTTGCAATATGCACACAAGCTGTGCCAGTATCTTGACTGTTGCACCTGCGAATAGTCGTCCCCTGTTGATTGATATACTTGCGAAGAAGTCATCAGAAGATAAATTATCACTATGTCTATTCATATAGTTTTCAGAACACAAAACGATGACAAATTAGGAGTACACGTTCAAGTAGCCCAGGTGGCTGACAATACACCGTAATGCCGCGGCCACAACCGACCCCACCACCATACGGCGCCTTACTGGCGATGAGCTCTAAGGTAGACGGATATTGCGAACATTGTAGTCCTCTGTCACTTGACTTGGTCGATCTTTAGAGATAAATGTTGTCCAATTACTCGGACTACTAGAAGCCTCACCGCCGCGAACAAACTCGACAGCTAACCTACAGATACGTTCGGCGTGCCCTGGATAAACACAGCATAGAGCCAGTGTCCTCACTTAAAAGTCCCTCAGATAGTCGCCAAAGATGCTGGCCGCCTTGTCCCTGAGCGACTCGATGCTATCGAAGCCCATGCTGCGAGCCCACCCAATGGCTTGGTTTCCAAGTAACATGACGAGTTGCACGACGAAGCGGTGCTAACTCCAATCTTAGCGCTGTCTGCCTGATCATAGTGAAAGAACGTACCTGATAAGGCCTGTTGTTTTTATCATGAAACACGAGGAAGCGCTCGGTACGTTCTTCGTTCTGGCCATACTGGAAATCGTCGTCGATCTTGACAGTGTACTTAGGGCCATCCTGGCCCTGCTTATCAACCAAGGTCTGGAGCTTGTTGGCCTGAATGAAGAGCTCGCCTCCCTTTTTCTCTAGATAATTATCAGCAAAAGGACAGAAGAAATTACACATGATTGCAACCTACCACTAGAGCTAACAGTGAACCTGCAACGGATGTAAGTTTCAGTTCGGTCCTTGACCATTTGACGCCACTTGATGGTGAGCCTCGTTGGGTCTAGCGACCCATTTTGAATCCATAGAACGCTGTCGGTAAAGTGAATAGTGTCGCCTTTGGTGACGAGGAAAGACATGATGAGAAGGATGGTGAAAGGTGACAAATCAAAATGCTGCTGGATGGTAGGAACGCGGTGGAGGCGGATGATTAGCCTGGCCGGGGCCTGGCCCTGTCTATATATATACAAAGATCTAATTTGAAACGGGCTATTTTGTAACTGTCCTTGGCTTTCTTAATAAAGTAACCGTCGGGTGGGATCCCGTCTAGCTGTTGTTCTTTGCCACATAGCGTACGCTTCTGGAGTGCCCTTGGGGTTCCAATCTGTCTCATCACATTTTGCAGTTGACCAATAGAGGTAATGCCGAGCAATGTCTCTCAACCTCCAGACCGTGCGTACATGAAGTACTGTATGTCTCACCCGTTGCGGAGTTCAGCAACGCCTCACCGAGATGGTCAACACCAGGCTCCGCATTCGGACGGAGGCTTGATCGCCCCCGCTCCATGTTGAACCCCCTCCCTAACAGACTTAGACCTGCATTCCATCTTGGGTATTGGGACGGGTACGTAGTTAGGTAGTCTTTGCAATTGTAAATGCCGAGTCTAAGGGGCGGGCTATTGCCCATATTTCTGCACGTGGTGTAGCCTGGTTATAGAGGTAAACTTTCACCCTGATTGGTCTTCTGACTTTCTGGATTATCCGGTTTTTTCCTCCTTGCCCTCAAACAATCCAATAGGCACTGAACTAAGCTGCCCATCCTGCCTCTAGTCCATCGCACGCACTCCACAACCGGGCTCGGGATGATCCAGCAGAGTTAATACCCAGCAACTCAGCAAGAGAAGTACAGTTTCACACACAATCAAGCCATCATGTGCAATGCCTTTCAACGGAAGACTCAATATCAAATAATCTCTATAGATGGTTTCACGCTCAACACTGCCTCAACGAACCATGTATTCCTTTCTTAATACTACATTATCCTATCACTCCTTATTCGTCGAGGTCGCCGTAAGCTGTCTCTTAGCAATGCTTCCTGCATCCCCAGTCTCCTCCTCCTCCAGCGATTGCCCAGCACGGTGCCCGATGATGACGCCGCGCGTATAGACTATGCCGTCAAAGAGCTCGTCTATCTCCTCGAGCGTCCTGCCCTTGGTCTCCACAAACAACCCGTACACGACAATCAGGATGCCCAAGTTCCAGCTGCCGTTGATGGCATAGAACTTCCAGCCGATCTTATCGAGGGCGAGCGGGGCGGTGTAGAGGTTCAGGAAGCTGAAGGCATAGCCGATGGCTTGGGCGACTACCACGCCCTTGGCTCGCTGGGAGTAGCGGAGGACTTCAGGGGGGTATGTATAGGCAAGAATCATCCTGTTTCGTTGTCAGTGGAGTCTGGATTGAAAGGAAGAGCGGGAAGACATACCAGCTGGTAGATACTGCAAGGAGGAACAGACCAACGACAACGACAGCACCAATAGCATATCCTGTTTCGTCGGGATGTTCATCCGAAAGGTACGAAAGACCAGAAAGCAGGCCGAACAGAGCCACAGTGGCAGAGGTTCCAGCGACTAAGGGAGGTGTCAATTTCAACCAAGATGATGGGTGGAGCAGTCAGACTTACTAAGAGGTTTGCGAGCGCCAATTCTGTCGATGAGGAAGACGCCTCCAACACTGCAAAAGGCCTTCCAGAGTAGCAGGCCAATATTGATAAGGATTACAATTCTCCTGCTTTCGATTCCGAGCTTGCCAATGAGGAAGGATGAGAAGTAGCTGTGATGAAAGCGTCAGGGACAAAGGTCAATCATTACAGAACCATGAACTTACAGAATCATGTTTCCTCCCAGGATCTGGTAGAAGATGTTCATAAGGACAGCAATGCCGAATCGCTTCAGATTGGGGGCTGCATTCTTCATCAGATGTCGTCTAGCTGCAACGGGAAAAGTCAATCATACCAGGGGATACAAGGTCCTTCCAGCCTCCGTCGTTCTCCTTCTCATGCTCCAGGGCGCCAAGAATCTCCTGGCTTTCAGCGACGATAATTGGATGCTCGACATCACCGTCTGCGTGCAAGCGAGCGAGGATATTAGTAGCCTAGGCCAATGTCAGTCGAGGTTGGACCAAGAGTGAAGCAAAATATCTTACTTCTTCGCCGCGCCCCTTGTAGAAGAGCCATCTCGGGCTCTCATCGACAAACGGCAAGAGACAGAGTGAGATAATAGAGGGCACTGCCTCTCCCTTGACGTGTGTCAGAAATTGCAAGAACCGTTTCCTGGGGCACTCACCAGCATGATCCCCCTCCACGCCCAGTTTGACTGCTTATCATATATCCCCAGAATGATGCAAGTGACCAGAAACGAGGTGAACGGCACCGAGACGAGGACTGAGCTCGAGAGCATGGACCTGTACTTTGGTGAGGCCAGCTCCATAACCCACATGGGGGCGATGGAGCCGTTTATGATGGTGGCGAAGCCAATGATGAAGCGACTGACGATGAGCTGGGCGACTGAAAACCATGTGTGAGCCTAAGTCTGGATGATAGGTTGGTAGTCATCACTTACTCTTGCCCGCTGACGCTTGCAGCACCACTCCGAGGATGATGCAGACTGAGCCCATTGCAAGGCCAGTCTTTCGTCCCCAACGATCCACAATGGGGCCAACTACCGGAGAGCCAAAGATACATCCGGCGCTGACGATGGCGACGTTGAGACCGATGAGATCACTGTCGAGGTTGAAGTCTGCCGAGCTGTTAGCGGAGGGCCTTGGCTTAGTGTGGTTGACCAACGTTCAAAGTACGGCTGAACCGCATTGAGGTTGTTGATCATGCCGGCGTCGTAGGACAGGATACAGATGTTGCACATGGCCACCACTAGGATGAGCACATGAGAAACGACTGGCCCCAGAGACAACAAAGCCATGGTGAGAAGAGTATTGAAGCAAGATGGTTTCAGGTTCTGATTGATGTCGATGTGATCCGACAACGTGTTTGGAGCTTCAATGCCATAACTTGGAAGGGCCGACGTGTATTTGTAGACACGCCGCATAACCCGTATCTCCAGGCTTGAGGCGGCGTCGATAACAACACACACACAGCACAGGGATGGATGTGTCTCGAGCCCCCTCCCCCGAGACTGTCCAAGTAAGGAAAGAATTGAAACCCGGGAGTCGATCTGAATCCCCGTTTCAATTGTGGGCCCAAGCAAACCAGGACCAGCTAGTCTTGGTTCATGCAGAGAAACCTGGGGTCGAGCTAGCCCGATGAAGCTATCATGGCTTGATTACCGCCTCACATGGTATCCAGCTTGTACCTGGGCACATTAGAATATCCTCCAACTGTTGATTACTCGTGCTGATTTATTGCGTATTTTGTTCATTTTTGGTGATTTATTACTTTCAAATGCTACTACTGATCATGTTCTCCAGGCTCATCCAAAACGGCCTCCTCTTGCTCTATCTCTCCTTGCCTCTACCTGTGAGATAACGTATCTTTACCTTGGTCTACTACACAGCGACCCCTCCTCTGCTAAACTCTGTCGGCGTCGGCCCCCTTCAGCCAGAGATAAAACCCAGGCCCAGCCTCAAGAAAATGACCAGTCCATCCCAGCCCGCCGGTGTATTTTCCCGAGTATCCCGAGACCAGCAAAACTTCGGCCGAGCATCACCGTCAGCGCGTAGCGCTCAATAACCCCGCTTCCCGCTCTTAAACAACTACCAATTATCAGTGGCTAGCATTTCCTTGTCAACAACAGAAACAGGGGCACTGATAGCTTGTGTGCTGTGTCGGTAAACAACTACGAGGTACGGCCATGTTGATGTCGGAAAATTCACTGCTAACCCGATCGCAATAACGTATCATTTGCCGGACTTTTGAGCCATGTCAAGGAAGAAGGCCACGGTCAGGTCAGATAGACGGACGATATTGGCAGTCGACCAGTCACACGTCGGGCAATTCTAAGCTATCCCCCCATGCAGCCGAGTTGGCCACCAGTCGTCGAAGCGAGCACCTGTGTTCATTTTTCTCGAGCCGACAAGCCCCTTTGACACATCATGTTGCATAGTTACGTGCACCACTAAATCATGCTCGTATTTTCAAACTACCGTGTCTTGCCTATCTGGACGGATACCACGCAGAATGCAACGCCTACCTTTGCCACCGAGTGCGTTTAGGACTTGGACCATTATATCAGCCGGAATCAACGACAAAGCTAGCAAGGGGACCGTGAAGTAAGGATTTCAGTAGCCAGGATGGACCTGGGCACAGGGTACATCCAAGTGTTACAATGATACACTGCAAGACTGATCTGACACAAATATTTCTATCGTTCAAATATCTATCTGTTGCAAACATGTAAACAATAAACTTGGCAAGGACAAACAAGCATCCATGGGACCATCTAGCAAAGCTCCCTTTACCAATATCCGCCCTCAGGCGGAGCAACAGCCACATCGTCCAGATGACCCACGACCCCCTTCTTGATATCCTCAGCCACCTTGGGAAACTGCTCAGTGGCAAACTGCAGCGGGTCCCACGGCTTCAGCTTCGGAAACCTCTTCTTCGCCCACTCCTCAGGCGCCGCCTCGATGTCGTCCCAGGGAATCTTGTAGAACGCATCCCTGTTCGTCTGCCCGCTCTTGTGCACGGCGTTGGACCGGTGGTAGCGGATCCGCTGCGCCGCCTCCAGAGCGAGCTTGACGCCTCCCTCGGACATGGCCAGGCACTGGGCCACTGTGACGGCGTCCTCCAACGCCTGGGACGCGCCCTGGCCGGCGGTTGGCAGGTTCGCGTGGGCTGCGTCGCCGATTAGGATGGTGCGGCCACCCTTGCTCACCCAGCTGTCTATCGTGGGGCGGTAGACGAGCTTGAAGTCGATGGTCTTGCCCACGGGGGTTACTTCGTACAGTGCCTGGGCGTCCTCGGCGGTGAAGTACTTCATCCACTTGGCCAGGTGCTCTCGCTCCGCGATGTTTGACCAAGACTCGCTGGATTCTTTGTCGTCCTATCATGTCGAGTATTAGACACGCGTTCGTTGTGTCAAGGCTTCCCAGCTTACCGGATGAATCAAAACCCAGGCAATGTCCTTGCCCTGGTTCCAGACAAAAGCCATGAGGCTCAAGTTGTCGTACATCCAAAACCTGACAGTGTCCCTGTCGGTATGATACATATCCTTTAGCCCGGGATGATTCAGCATTTTCTCGTCGGTCTTGAAAAAGCTTCTGAATACTGCCCAGCCGCTGTTCTTCCCGTCCTTGCCATCATTCTCTAGGCCGAGGACCTTCTCGCGGGCGATGGACCGCGGCCCATCTGCGGCAATGACACAGTCACCCCAGAGAGTTTCGCCGGAGGAGAGCAAGACACCCGCTCTGCCATCTTCTTCGAGGTACTCGGTAACAGCTATTCCGATCCTGATGTCCTTGACCAGTTTCTTTGCATGGGCAAGGAAAATGGAATGGATTTGACCTCGGTGGCCGGCGTACGTAATGTTGTGTTCTTTGCCGTCTCTCGCCCAGGGTACGTCGATGAGGAACTTTCCATCGTACTTGCAGAGCTCCATCGTCCGGATGCGGTTGCACCCGGTTTCGTGAATCTGCTGGCCGACCTTGCCATTGTCCCATCGATGGATGATACGGCCAGCGTTGGGGAAAAAGTCAAGAATGTCTATAAAGACACAGGGATGAGTTAGCTTGTTCCCGAAGACAGAGATGATGGACACTTGGGAGATTATGACTTACCACCCTGGCTGTTTGAGTCGGGGTACTTTTCAATGACAGTCACATCCATGCCACGGTCAGCGCATTCAACAGCTGCCCCCAAGCCGCCGAAGCCGGCACCGACGACAATGACCTTGAGCTTCTTGACCGTCATCTTTCACGTAGTTCTAGATGTTTAGGATGATGACAATGCTACTGTGATGTGATTCGAGAGATACTCCAACACATCCCACGTCTCCATATACGGATATAAAAGTATCATCTATCGTGTGGATCGAGCTAATACTGACCCACACCGAGCCTAGATAATCCCGAATGAAGTTATCTCGACCAGCCTCGCCTCGGAGTCCCGTCCGAAAATCCCGACACGCCCGAGGATCCGCGCTACGCAACATTGCATTGGCAAGGCTTGTCGGAACCGAGCTCAAGGAATCCATTGGCCTATCTTTAGCGTGAAAAGCACAGGAAAATGACCATGTTCGTTCCAGGAATCCCTCAGCATTGCCACTCTCGGTTCACTACTCCTCCCTCGCTGGCGGTTTTCCACCACCAATCACAATAGTTGTATTACCTCGTTGTCACAACTCTACAACACTCAACCTCAAGTCAACCTAGCAATCACCATGACAACAACCGCAGAGCCAGAGCACGTCCCTGAGTTTGAGACCCTGCAGGTCCACGGAGGCCAGACGCCTGACTCGGCGACCCTGGCCCGCGGTGTGCCAATCTACCAGACCTATGTCTTCAACTTCCGCAGCTCGGCCCACGCCGCCCGCCTCTTCAACCTCGAGGAGGAGGGCGAGATTGCCACCCGCACGGGCAACCCGACCACAGCGGTCGTCGAGCGCCGCATCGCAGCGCTTGAAGGCGGCGTGGCGGCCGTGGCAGTGGCTTCCGGCCAGGCTGCTGTCTTCATGACCATGGTCGCCATGGCCGGGCACGGCGAGAACATCGTCGCCAGCAAGCACTATTACCACGGGGCGTACAACCAGTTCTCCTTCCTGCTGCCCGAGTTTGGCGTCGAGTGCCGCGTGGTGGAGGAGTCTGCCGAGGCGGTGCGGAAGGCCATCGATGAGCGCACCAAGGCTGTTTACATCGAGACTGTCGGGCATCCCAACTTCAACGTGCCCGACATTGAAGCCATCGCCAAGGTTGCGCACAAAGCTGGCGTTCCGCTCGTGGTCGAGAACACGGTGGGCTGCGCGTACTTCTGCCAACCCATCAAGCACGGCGCCGACATCGTCGTCGAGAGCATGAGCAAGTGGATCGGCGGCCACGGCAGCGCCACAGGTGGCATCATCGTCGACTCGGGCAACTTCAACTGGAAGGACTCGACGCGATTCCCACAGTTCAACAAGCCCTGCCCCGGCTTCCACGGCCTTAACTTCAGTGAAAAGTTTGGACGGGAAGCCTTCATCATGCGCATCCGAGGCCAGATACTACGCGACGTTGGCTCGTGTCTGTCTCCGTTCAACAGCCAGCAGTTCATCCTCGGCATTGAAACGCTAAGCTTGCGGTGCGAGAGGCACGCTCAGAATACCATTGCCCTTGCCACGTGGCTGCAGAAGCATGAGAACGTCGAGTGGGTTTCGTACCCGGGCCTTCCAAGCCACCCGCATTACGAGCTCGCGCTCAAGTATCTGCCTCGGGGCGCTGGAGCGGTGCTCATGTTTGGCATCAAGGGCGGGGCTGATGCGGGCGAGCAGTTGGTTGACAACTTCAAGATGATCTCGAACAACCCTGGGTAAGACACTCCTGAACTGAGTCTGACCTTTCAGCTGACAACTTTAGATATGGAGATGCCAAGACAACAGCTATGCATCCCTGGTCTACCACGCACAAGGTAATGTTGCCGCAGGAGAAGATCGACCTCGGTGTTGCACCCGAGATGGTGAGGGTCTCTGTTGGTATTGAGCACATTAAGGATATCATGTATGATATTGAGCAGAGCATGAGCGTGAGCCCGGCGGTACCAGGTGGGAAATAATCATCTAGAGTAAAGGCTTCTCGATCTTCAGGCTCAGTTAACCCATCAAGGGCCAGGCTATAACTATAATAAAGAACAGATCTTAAATATAATATAACATTATAACCCGATATTAATGTAATAGCCTAATTAAACTTCTATAGCAGTAGAAGAGTTATACCTAGCTATATTATTATAAAAGTCTAACCTCTTATAGGTATTTTAATTACTCTAACCTCTATATAAGAAATAAGAGAATTATCTACCTCTTTATCTTCTTAAGCTATAATCTCTTAATATTATAGCTTTAAACCTAATACTAAGAACTATAATTAATTAAGTAATCAAAGTTATTAGGTTATATAACTATATCGCCGCTACCTAATATAAGAACTAATATCTTCTACCTTTTAGCCCCCTCCGTGAGATATATAATTTCCTTCGTAATATATGATTATTATTATTTCGGGATATTAATATAATAAGGGCTACTATAGACTAAATTATTAAGCTAGATATTTATCTCGAGCTTATAATCCTAGGCGGAGAGATATTCCTTATAACCTTAGAGCGCCTAGGGGCACTATAGAACCTTAGGCGCTTTATATGATACTAAGAGCTACTACTACTTAAAAGTCTTAGGGATAAAGAGCCCGATAAGTACCTATTTATCGAGGTCATAAAGAGAAATATAGCCTAGATCGATAGCCTGCTAGATGTGATCTAGTAGCTAAGAGAGGCCCGGCGAGAGGAAGACCTGCGTGGGTAAAGCGGGGAAGTCGGGGGGGGGGGGATTAAGGTTTTTAAGTCATTAAGTCATAGGAGTGACTTAAGGGAAGGAAAAAGGTTTCGGTCGTGAAGATAGAAAGGTTTAGGTGGTGGAGGAGTACGGGAAGGAAAATGTTAGTTAGAGCTTGAATGTAATATCTCGGCGAATTGCCAAATGGTTGGCGCACACATCATGTTTGAACACAATAGTAAAGGCTTCTCATTAGGCTTGGTCAGCATTGCCAATAAGCATGCTCTGGATATCAAACTTGACCGAAAAGCCCTAGCCAGTACCTGAAATTCGGCTTGCCATGACTAGCCTTTTGAAAGCATGAATACCTTGTTTGAACACTTCTTACATTCTAAATGAGCTTGATGTGATAACAAGTCGGTTTTCTTCCATATTTATTTCCAGAGTTCCAGATCCGTTTCACTTCCTGCCCTTCAACCATGCCTCAGCCTCCTCGATGTCCTTTTCAATGTCATTCTCCCAAATCCACCTCATCCTATCCTTCAAGTTCTCTCGAATCTTATCAATATCATCCCCCTCCGTCTCAAAGTGCCAAACATGTCCCGCCTCCCTGCTGGTCTTGACAAGCTTATTCGTGCGCTCGACCCGAGCCCTGCTAAACGCTTCAAAGACAAAAGGCAGATCAGTTGTCTTGTTAGCATGCTGCAGAAGTCGCCCAAGCACGTATGCATCCTCCACGGCCATACCGGCGCCAGCTCCCTGGAACGGCGTTGAGCCGTGCGCCGAATCTCCCAGCAGACACAGATTTCCCTTGTGGAAGGCGTCTGTCGGCGGGTGGTCGAAGAGGGCCCAGATGTCGGACTGGCCCATCAGCTGGACGATGTGACGCACGTCGGAGTCCCAGTCCTTGAAGCTGTCGACCATCTGCTCCTTCGTGGCTGGGATGACCATCTTCTCGTGTGGCCAGTCCTTGGCTGACTGGAATGCCACCACGTTCATCATCCGGCCTCCGGCCACAGGGAATGTGAGCATGTGGCCGTGGTAGCCGAGGTAGGCCTGACAGTTCACGGCCTTTTCCTCGCCGAGCAGCTCGACCGCCTTGTCCATGGGGACCAAACCACGATAGCAGTATTTGCCAGTGTATACGGGATTGGCGGCGGGGTTGCCTTCGCCTAGCATGACACGTCGTGTGCGGCTCTTGATGCCGTCGCAGCCAATGACTGCACTGTGGCGTGCCGTTGATCCATCCTCGAATGACAACACTACACCTTCGGCGCCAAGATCCTGGATGTCGACAAGATTCTTGCCAAAGCGAGCAATGTCTGATGGAAGATGCTTGGCCAGCTCGTCAATGAGATAGGTGCGATTCACCATCCAGCTCCCAGGCTCAGGGTGGTTGACGCCGCCAAGAAACGCCCCGGCGACAACACCTCTTGCCCTGGCAGCCTCGTCGACACCGTCGATGCCAACTCGAAAATCAAACCACGTGCCCTTCTTCTCTGGGAACGTGTTTCCATTCGCACGAGCGCCCACGGCAGCCGCGAGAGGCTCTGAGATCTTATTCATGGCCTTGATGACGTTGGGTCCAAACGCGACTCCTGCGCCAATCTCGCCAAACTTTGGCGCGTTCTCGTACACCGTTACAGGAATGGAGGTGTACTTTGTGATGGATACGGCGAGGCAGAGACCGCCGATGCCGCCGCCGACGATGGCGAGGTTGAAGTCTGGTGCAGTCATGCTTGAGGGCTTGGGGGGGAATGTTGATAGACGGGTTGCGAGGTAAGATAGATATGTTGGTATATTGGATCCCATGAGGTGAAGATATAGATGCTATATTTCTTGAAGCTATTTCTGAGACATACGTATGAGTGTCACTTTTTCTAGTACGGGTTCCCGGGTTATGCCAGTTGACCGAGGTGAGCCAACAGATCCCATCACGGACTGTCATTTTGCCAAGAGGAATTTGAGATCTCGACCCCGTCAGATGACGGCAAGTCTTTTTTTCGGCCCAAGTAAAGTTCCGAGCCCTGACCCGACGGCATATCAGAGGACCATCGGGGTCTCAGCTGGTCGGCCGAGGACTCCGTGAGGACCGTCGCTTATGCACATACACCCGGGTGTGGCTCCGAACGCGGACTCAGTGCGATATGGCTGCAGCCAAAGTCTAGTTTGCGTGCAAGAGATATCGTCCAGCTGGCGGAGTTGTTCTTTATTCATCGTCTCGCCCGTTCTCTCACCCTAGTCCGCCATCACCATACACACTCTTGCTGAACCACCATGTCGGCCAAATTCGAAATTTACTATCCCATCCTAGCATCCAAGCTTGAGCAGAATGCTCTTGCGGTAGCGGGATGGGGAATGGTCAGCGCTGTGCTCTTCGGAGCCTTGTTTGTCTGGTCCTTTGCGGTTGACGCCAGGATGCCGAAGCTGCCCATTGCCATGCAGGAAGAGGTGCCAAATAAGAAGAAGCGAATTGAAATTTTCATCAAGGATACTCGGAGACTGCTCATTGATAGCTACAACAAGGTATGGTGCTGTTTCTCCGAGCTGTTGGGTGCTGACTTGACATCTTCCAGTTTCAAGATCAAGTCTTTGGAATCACAACCACAGAAGGTGAGGATACTCAGGACCCTTTTCCAAGTTCTAAAAAGGTTCAAGGTCATTGACTCATTCCCGTCCAGGAACTAATATTATTATCCCTCTCGACCTACTCCATGGCCTTGGCAGTCAAAAGTCGTTGAGTTTCTCAGCATTCTTGGAAGAAGAGGTATATATCCCATGCAGTTATAAGCTCTAAAGCATTACTAATAGTTTTCCTCTCAACAACAGTTTAGTATGAAAAAGTACACCAAAGTGGGCAATCTAGACGAAAAGCAGATCAACATTGTGAACAGAAAGCTAAATCCAACGCTTCGTAAGTGCAGGCCCATATCCTTCACATCAAGTGTTTGTTCTAATACTTCTAGCGCAATATGTCCCTGTCATTCAAGAGTTGATCCGCAGACACTGGCCACTGGAGAGTTTTGACAGTAAGTGTGCCGTCCGAAACATCCATCGCTTTACCAATCCCCCTGTCTTGGCCACTTGAACCACCACTAACCATCCCACGTGCAGAGCCTACTGTCACAAAGCCCTGGCCGCACGTCATGCGCCTCGTCTCCCGCATCTCGGCCCGAATCTTCCACAGCGCCGCCTCGGCCGACAACGACCACTGGCTAGACATCGCCAGTGAACATGTACACTCGGCCGTCGTATGGACCGAGAACCTGAAGAAGTGGCCCGCCATGCTCCGTCCCCTCGTTTACCGATTCGTCAAGGGTAGAGGGTACATGATGCAGCGCTTCGAAGAAGGCAAGGCCCTGGTGGCTCAGACGCTAGAAAACAAAAAGGCAAATGGGGGCAAGCCTCTGAGCGACCCTCAGTCGCTTCTAGATTATCTCTACGAGAGCGGTCTAGGCCCTGATGATGTCGAGGCGCATACCATTGCCCAGATTAACCTGTGCGTGGCTGCCATTCAGTCCATGGCTGCGACGGTGACTCAGTGTCTCATGGATCTTGCCACGCATCCCGAGTATGCACCAGAGCTCATTGAAGAGATAAAAACAGTGGTTGAGAAGAACAATGGTGTGGTGGATAAGCGGGTACTGACTGAGTTGTGGAAGCTGGACAGCTTCATCAAGGAGACTCAACGGTTGAACCCTCCCGACCTGAGTGAGTTACCCAAGCATCACCGCACAGAAAGAAGCGGCAACTAAAACCCTGCAGCCAGCTTTCAGCGAAAAGCTCTCTCGGACATGACCTTGTCCAACGGCCTTCGCATCCCTAAAGGCGCCCGCATTGTCCTTCCAACGGGAGCGATCAACATGGACCGGGAGTTTTTCGAGGACCCCCAGACCTTTGATGGCTTCCGATACTACAGGATCCGAACTGCTAATGAGGCGGCCCGGAACACAAACCAGATGGTCACTGTCGGCAAGAAGGACTTGACGTGGGGGTACGGCAAACATGCCTGCCCCGGTCGGTACATTGCCGAGGTGGCCATGAAGCTGCTCGTGGTCGAGTTTCTCATGCGCTATGACATTCGGCTGCCGGAGAATGTGAAGGAGAGGCCGAAGAATATTGAGTTTGAGGGCTTGGTATGCTGCTTCCATCCTTGACCATGAGCTGGTTGGTATACTAACTTGGTCAGATTATCCCAGATCCCGATTGGGAATTGGCAATGAAGAGTCGATGATGTCCAGTATCAGAGGGCAAGGGTGGGTTACCCTTGTTTAAACTTGGGGTGAGTGAGATACGAGGGAGATTGGATAGGCGCGAGGTTGGTAACCATGTTAAACAACGACGGAGGGAGTCATAGAACCATGTGATTAAATATATAACATGCTTAAATGATCTAGGTTTTCCGTAAAAGATGAGGTGAGATGACCTTTCCCGTTGTTTATCATGTAACAGTTAGGATGATATTATGTTGCTTAATCACTACCATGATACATTTTTGCCAGTTTGGATAACCCGCCCGGTTGTTCATTCTACAAAGCACTCAGTTCCAACCATTGTTAACAAAGTTTTCAAAAAGTATCTTGTGTATTCTGCAACTACTTCATCGAGACTCCTCCAGACAATAGCATAAACTCGCCGTTGATAAAACGAGACCGCTCTTCCGCAAGAAAGGCGACCGCCCAAGCAACATCCTCCACAGACGCAGCTCCACCCTCGACTGGTGTCTCGGCAATCAGCATTGCTTTGATCTTTTCCCACTCTTCAGGAGTAAAGTGGTCAAGAAAGGTCTCGGTCAACACCGGCCCCGGAGCCACCAGGTTGACCGTACAGCCGTACTTTGGCGGCAGCTCCTTGGCCCAAACCCGCAAGATGGAATCGAGAGCGCCCTTCGTGGCCGCATAAACGCCCTGGTTTGCCTTGGGCACTCGCGAAGCAGCCGAGCCGACTATGATGATGCGCGACCCGCCAATAGCACCAGACATGCTCGGGGGATCAGCTGGCTTGTACGTCGTCAGGTGCGGCAGCGACGCCTTCACCAGTGCAAAAGCGCCACGGGCATTCAAGTTCATCGCCTGGTCCCACATGCTCAGGCTGGCGTCCCAGAGAGGCGCTATGGGAACGTAGCCGGCGTTGCTGACGAGGATGTCGATATGGCCGAACCTGGCTACGGCCTGTCGGACGAGCTCTGATGGACCGTCGACGGATGCCAGGTCTGCGCACACGGCGATCCAGTATGTTTTCAGGGTTTTCCCCACGGTCTGGCACTCGGCTTCCAAGGACGGGTAGGGGTAATTGAGAACAATGTTTGCACCGCGATTTGACAGTTCCAGGGCGATGCCGGCGCCGATGCCTTTGGAGGAGCCCGAGATGACGGCTGTTCTGCCAGCCATGGTCTTTGGGTGTTGTGTTGAGGAAGACATGACCGTGATTGAGGGTTGGAGTGCAATACCGTGGACGGATAGCGCTTCAATAACCTGTGACGGCTTTTTAATTCAGCTCGACCGGAGTATTATCATCTTTGAGCGACTCCATCCCATCTAGCGCCGGCAACGTATCGATTCAAAGCCCATTGGCAGATCCGAGCTCGGGAAATACAGGCCGATGCTACCGAGCCCACTCATGAGGGTTTGGAATGGGAGAAATGACGCTCATAATGGGTGTCTTTTCAGTTCAGAAATTTGATGGAGTCAATTTTTCACATGCTCCTTAGTATTGCTTTGCAAAGAAAATATTCAGTCACACTCCCCTCCCAAGCTCTTTCTTCCGTACATCTCAAGCCTCGATAGGAACAACCGGAATATCTGTAATGCCAGGTAAATCCTCAAACTTCTTGGTAAAGAAGGCTCGCGGAATTTCCGGACCCCAGCTTGACACCGTGGCAGCGACGGCAGGTTCATCCGCATGCGGCGAGTCTTCGTTGACAAGATCGCCGTCAACATAGTGCTCGACGATGAATCCGGACGAGTCAAACCTCCATCACCATTAGAATAGGAGCTCATTCTCAGAGGTCATTTCATTTACTTACCAGTAGTCAAAGATCTGGCTGCCGAGCACGTGTCTTCCCACACCGAAGACGTTGATGTAGCCCTTGCGGCGTAGGTAATGATGGCCGACGACCTGGCTGTCCACGTCGTCGACTTCGAAGCTGGTGTGGTGCGCTTTGATGCCCTCTTTGAGTTCGGGTGACCCGGCGATGAAGATATTCTGCCCGATTATTAGTAAATCATATACTAGAAGCAGCCTAGCGCAACTTACATGGTGGTCGACGTATTCCTTGCCCTTGTCCAGATGAATGAAGATCATGACCGTCTTTTTGCTCTGCGGCTGGAATAAGGTATCCGTCTTCTTCATATTGAACGTCTTGCTGTACCAGTCAAAGACCTCGTGGATCTTGTCCACATTGACCTCAAATCCGTAGTGACCCAGCTTATGCACCTTAGACGGCAAATCTCTGTCCGGGCGCTGGAAATCGCCCAGCCGCTTCTTGTCCTCCCAGGTGTTCCACATGACCGGCTTAGGAACCTCCCTGGGCTCCGGAACTCGATCTTCCTGGCCGTAGATCAGAGTCACCCCCTCCCCCAGCAGGTCTTTGATAATGACTACTTTTCCCCCGCCCGGCGCGTCAAAGTCATGGATCGGCGTTGAGCCCGGCAACTTGGCTGCCTTCTCCAGCTCGGCCATGGACTGCACGATCCAAGCGCCGCCCCTGAACTTTCGCTTGCCGTCGCTTGTCTTCTCCGCCACGTAGCAGAACTGGTCTATGCCGAAGCCGCGGAAGTAGACCTTGTCATCTTTCTCCTGGACCGGGATCAGGCCGAAGTCTGTGAAGAACTCCTTTGCCTTTTCCAGGTCTGGATGTCCGTAGCGGCAATAGTAGAGCCGATCGAGGAGGATGCGACTGTCAGTAGATGATTGAGACATTGTAAAAATTGGATATCGTTTCAAGTAGGATGTCTGATACCGTGGCGATTTGACGGTGGCATATCCCCAGTTGCTACCATTATATGCTTACTCGGTACAGCCGGGGCCCCGGATCCGAGGTGCGGGTTAGGGAGTGTGGGGAGTGCGGGGAGAAACCCACAACCCCAGACTGGAAGCCGAGAAACCGGGACTTTGCCCGGTAGGTTTCACTCGGGATATTGCAACAGTATTGCGGTTGTGATGATGCCATGCTAACTCCGAAGCTATGCTCGGGTCGGCTTACTTAGCTGTGTTGAGTAAAGCTATTAGAGTACTGGAAAATGCTCTAAACTAATCGATACCCTCAACTGTAGGTTACAAAGTCTTGAGGTTTCTGCAAATTTGTTCTCCAGCTCTAGCTATCCTTAAACGCCGCCGAGAGCTCACAACTTTCGCTTTTCATCTCAAGATGTCGTTTGATAGGCTTATCCGATTCCTGGATAAGGAAGGAATCGAGAGATATGGTAATGTTGAAGGCGAGATTCCAGCCTCGGAACTGGAGGGCAAGACAGTGCAGCTCGTTTCCGGGAGCATTGAATCTGGGTTCAAGGTCTTGGACGAAAAGGCCGAGCTGGTCAAGGTGAGCTACCGCCCAGTTACCATACCCTACACGGTACTTACGTCTGCTCAGCTACTGTGTCCATTACCCAGCACGCCCATCATCATCTGCGCGGGAGTCAACTACAAGTCTCATGCTAAGGAGACAAAGGTGAGCACACCCCCCAGACTGCCAGAAGGCATGCTGACAGGCATGATAGTTTCCGCCGCCTAAGAAACCTGTCATCTTTGCTACTACTCCCGATCGTCTGGCTGGACCACTGGACGGTATCAAGATCCATCCAGACGCGCAGGAGCTGCTAGACTACGAGGGAGAGTTGAGCGTCGTGATTAGCAAGGATGGATACGACATCAGTGAGGACGACGCACTGGACTACGTGCTCGGCTACACAATCAGCAACGACGTCTCGGCTCGCAACCTTCACGCCATCGACGTATCCGGGTACCAGATGGGCTACGCCAAGTCCTTTGACGACTTTGGCCCGACGGGACCTTACCTGGTCTCGCCGAAGCTGGTGCCGGACCCGCAGGCTCTGGACCTGAAGACTACGGTCAACGGCGAGGTGCGACAGACGACGAGCACGGCGCAAATGATATGGTCGTGTCGACAGCTCATCGCGTTTGCCTCTCGAGGCCGTACCTTGCGCCGTGGGACAGTGATCATGACGGGAACCCCGGAGGGCGTTGGATGGCATACGAATGGGTGTCTCAAGGATGGAGATGTAGTTGAGGTCAGCATTGGAGGGCTTGGTTTCATTAGGAACAAGATGGTATTCCATAGAGGTGCTTGAGTCTCATACATAGAAGTTGTTCTTATCTAGAAGATCGATATTAGAGGTTTCGTTTTATCAGCGTCACGTTTCTACATCGTCAAGAGGTGTTAGTTTTTATGCCTGGATTTTATGCATTATATTATTCAACGAGCTGCATTAGTAATAAGTGACTACCAAGAATCTAAAAATAGGCCCTTTAAGTTAATCGCCGGATATCTTATAAAGAGTGAGTTTCCATTGATATTTAATACCGCACATCGACGCAAATCTTCCGAAAAGTCATCCAAAGTTGAAAAATCACCATATCTTCCCAAACTCGCCAAGCCACTCATAGTACAGCTGTCCAGATTTGCCTTGAGAACAAAATTGACTTGTGTAGGGTAAGTCAAGAGGAACCAGGCGGACGTCGTTCCGAGCACAACCTCTTCCTTGTCTCACTGCGGAATTCTCGGCCGAGAAACCCGACTCATATCAGGGTTGTGATTGGTGACAACCAACGAGCCCACGCTGATAAAGACAGTGTCGGAGACAACCTTTGACGAAGCCACAACCTATCACAATCTCAGATCAGCAGACATGGCATCAGTAGCGGCATCATCCTCAATCCTCCTCCGAGGCGGCACCCTCCTCTTCCATGATGATAAGGATCACGTGAACCCCCTCCGCAACACAGACATCCTGATCCAAGCCAACCGCATCGCCAAGATCGGCAAGGGCCTCGTCGCGCCGGCCGGCACCGAGCTCGTCAACTGCAGCGGCAAGATCATCAGCCCTGGCTTTGTCGACACGCACCATCACCTGTGGCAGACGCAGCTCAAGGGATGTCATGCCGAGCAGTCTGTTTTCGACTACCTGGTGACGGGCTTCTGGCAGAGTTATGCCTACAAGCCGCGGGATATGTACTGGGGACAGCTCGGAGGAGCTTTGGAGGCGATCGACGCTGGGACTACGTTTGTACTGGACCATGCCCACGGCAACCAGACCAATGAACACGGTAAGCCTCATGGCCAATTCTGTCGAGGACAATGCTAATGTGTGAATAGCAACCCAAGCTCTATCCGCGACCATAGCATCTGGCATCCGGTCAATCTTTGCTTACTCTCACCCTCCCTACTTTACCAAATGGGACTCAAGAACATGTGAGCCATCGCGCGACATCTTGCCAGATTCAAGCATGGCGCACATTTTCGGGCTCGCCAGGTCCCAGCCGTACGGGAACGGCAGGGTCCAGATCGGTTTCGGGTTTGACTACTGGTTTCTGCCCAAGGAGGCTGTCGTGGGCATCTTTTCCGGGCTGCGCCAGGCGGGAATCAAGCTGTTTACATCTCACTATGCTAAGAACCCGGCTCTGGGTAAGTTCGGCCTCAAATCATCTTACGTGACGTTTCTGACAAGGAAAAAGGAAGCAACCCGTTGATCTCTACCCTCGAGTCATACGGCCTCATCAAGTCGCCCAGCGATATTCTCTTGTCGCACGCGACTGGCCTCGACGCTAAAGAGGTGGCCAAGTTGGTCGAGACCAAGGTTCCAATATCGAGCACTCCGGATACGGAAGCCCAGATGGGATTTGGCTGGCCAGTTGCTTTCACATCGGGCATCAACACCACGTTTGGCGTAGACTGCCATACCAGCAGCACAAGCTCCATCCTCGCTCTCGCCAGGTCTGCGTCGCACATGGCACGCCAGCAGGATGCTGTGGCCGAGACGGAAAATGGCACTGGCGCTCCTCGCCGGATGCATCTCAACCCGAGAGGCAGCACCCAGGAGGCGTTTAACGCGGCCACGATCAACGGAGCGCGTGCAGTCCTTCTAGGAGACCAGATTGGCTCAATCAAGGTGGGAAAACTAGCAGATTTGGTCATATTCGATGCACCCAGTAGCCCTTCAATGAGCTGCGTCTCCGAGTCGGACCCATTGGCAGCTGTTGTACGACACAGTGATGTGCGAGATGTCGAGGGCGTCATTGTCGACGGAGTATGGAGGAAGAAGAACGGCAAGATCCGCCCGGTGACTGTCAAGGAGACGGGAGAGACGCTGGAGTGGTCGCAGATTAGGGATGAGCTGCTCAAGAGCCAGCGCGATATCCAGCAGAGGCAGAAGGGTCTGAACCTGGACAAGGCGAGGGAGGCGCTTGTTGCCATGTTTTATATTGACAAGAGCAAGCTGATTGAGAAGCCACGGGATTGATATTAGATACTTATTTTACTTTGCTTTAGATTGACGCCAATAGACCCGAAGATATTGACTCGGGCATCAGATAGCGTACACAGCTATGAACCCGCACCTCGGATAAATGATACGGACGCTTAGCCGATAATTGGATGAAGATAAAAGATATAACACGGCTCAATAGGAAAGTTTACAAACTTGATCTTGGTCACACAATTCTTAGCCCGGGACAAGTCGACAAAATGCCCAAGCCACTGCCTCCCCTCATCACGCTTGAAGAGCACTTCGTCTCGGCCAAGCTGCTACCCGAGCTCTCCGACATCTACGAGGAGCAGCTCAAGCACCTGCCAGACGTGTCAGCCCGCCTCACAGACCTCGCAACCTTGCGGATACAGGACATGGACACCAACCGCATATCTCTCCAGGTCGTGTCTCACGCGCCGGGCTTGGGTCCCAGACCCCTACACCTCAGCAGCCTGGCAAACGACGAGCTGGCCCAAGCGGTGCGCGCTAACCCGCAACGTCTTGCTGGCCTCGCAGTGCTGCCCATGGCCGAGCCCGAGTCGGCAGCAGCTGAGCTCCGGCGCTGTGTCCGAGAGCTCGGGTTCGTCGGGGCGCTGGTGGACGCCCATGTGGACGGGACTCACTACGACGACCCGCGCTTCTGGCCCGTGTTTGTCGCAGCGGCTGAGCTTGATGTACCCATCTATCTACATCCCACGTACCCGGGGGAAACCCAGCGCTCGGCTTACGAGGGCAACTACGTAGCCGGTGCGGCTCGGAGTCTCGGGTCCAGCGGGTTTGGCTGGCATCAGGACACTGGGCTCGGGGTGTTGAAGCTGTTTGCAGCCGGGCTGTTTGACGAATTGCCGACGCTCAAGATCGTGGTCGGCCACTTTGGCGAGATGCTCCCCTTTATGCTAGAGCGGGTAGAGAAGCTCTCGGCGCGATGGGGAGAACGGCAGAGACCTTGGCGCCAGGTGTGGGACGAGAACATCTGGATCACGACGAGCGGGGTGTGGAGTGTGGCTCCAATGGCGTGCATCCTGAGGAACACGCGGGTCGATCACATCCTCTACAGCGTGGACTATCCGTTTGAGAAGAACGAGAACGGTCTGAGGTGGATCCGGGAGCTGCAGGACAGTGGGTTGGTTACCCCGGAGGAGCTTGAGATGATCGCCTACCGGAATGCGGGGAGGCTGCTGCGGGTTAGAGCGGGGAGTCCGGGGAAGTCCGGGGATTGATGCATGGATATTCTCCTGGTTGTGTTACGTACGTGCTGGTGTTGCTGTATGACGGATATCTATGATTACCTCCTTTTCCATCTCACTCTCGAATCAAGCTTGGTGCCTAGCAGAACTTTCAGTGACACTTTACAAACACCTATCGACAATGCCTTCCGCAGACAGTACAGTGGTTAAGTCCGTCGCCTTGGCCGGGGTGGGTACAATAGCATCTTCCTTCGCTAGAGAACTACTCGCTGATCAATTTCCAGGCCGGAGGACACCTCGGCCGGCAGGTGCTCGATGCACTCCTCAAAGAACAGTCTTTCGACGTTATAGTCCTAGCAAGCCGCGGACGCAAGCCAATCGACTATCTCTCAGGGGCCAGAGTCGCGCTGGTCGACTACGAATCGCCCGAGTCACTTCGAGACGCACTCAGAGGAGTCGACGCCGTTGTGTCTGCCCTAGGCAAAAAGACCGGCCTGGAATGCCAGCTTAAACTCATCGACGCTGTGGTAGCTGCCGGGGTGAAGCGTTTCATACCCTCCGAGTTCGGGGCCGATCTGCAGAATCCCAAGATTCGGGCGTTTCCCACGTACCACACCAAGGTCCAGACCGAGGAGTACTTGGAGAAACTTGCTAAAGAGAACGAGCTTACTTATACGTACATATACAATAGTCTGCTGCTAGACGATGGACTCGATCTGAACGTGTTCGCCGACTTTACCGCCAGGACAGTCAATATCTACGACGGCGGAGGTACTGCATTTTCCACCGCAAGCATCAGTACTGTTGCGAGAGCAGTAGTGGCCGTCTTGAGAAACTTTGAAGCGACGAGGAACAGAGCTATCCGCATCCAAGACTTGTCAACCACGCCACGCGACTTGCTCCAGACGCTTCAGAGGCTCGACGCGGGACACGACTGGACACCCGTTGCCGTCGACACTGAGGTCCTGGTCAAGAAAGCACAGGAAGACTTGGCTTCGGGAATATTCAGTCCAAGGGCCTTTGCCGCCTTTGCAACGAGGGCGACCTTTGCGCCTGGGCTTGCGAGCACTTATGATGCTGACATGGATCGATTGGGCCTCACAGAGATGACCAGGGATGAATTTGAGGGCTTATTGAAGGAGCGGCTGGTGTGACACTTGACGGCATGTACTCGAATGCAATGAACATTTAGACTAGTTAAACTTGGTTTAGTATTCACAGACAAAGTACAGCTGACCATCATCATCAGGAAAAGTACACATGTCCTCCCCCAGTAGAGGCCCCATCTTGTCACTGTCATCCCCTTGATACGCATGCGCGAGGTCAATTTGACCGCCCTGTGAATTGTCTACCGTTGGCCATGGTTGCTGGGCAGCCGGACTCGTGTTCTGCGGCGCAGTAGACGAAGACCTCGCCGACATGGCAGACTTGCGTCGCCCCAGCTCCTTCTTCCTCCTCCTCCTCGCCTTGTCGATGCTCCGCATGACCGACCGCCACTGGTGCACCCTCCGGTGCCGGGTCGGCGAGTCCCAGCGCAGCACGGCGCTCTGTTCCACCACCCGCCAGGCCTTGTCGGCGTCTCGCACCAGGGGCCGTCTGGAGAGCTCGCACAAGATGACGGCGAAGGCGTGCCACTCGTTATAGCATTTTGTCAGCCATGACCAGTGTGCTACCATGGGGTCGGCTCGCAGTCGGTATGAGTGCGTCATGCATTCTATCGCGTCCTGGAAGACGCGTCTTCGCTGGTCTTCGTTCAGCGAGGTCTCTGAACCGAGAGGGTTGAGGGCCATGAGATGGAGGTTGGAGATGATGGTGCCGATAAAAGCGCTGACCAACTACAGGATGTTAGAACACGCGTTTGCAGACAGACGGAGGCTTACACAGCGGAGCGACTCCCGGGATGTCTTGTTCCCGGAGAATCGGTCGACAATTTTTTCCCGCTGCTTGTCGACCCACGCCTGCTTCTCCGCTACCGTCATGGGCTTGAAACTCTTCCCGGTATCCGGGTCAATCCTGCGCGTGTCAATCATGGTCCGCCAGATGCTGGAGGCCCAGCAGCGGGCGGCCGTGAAGGACATGTCGGTCATGCTGCGAGACTCGCTCGGATACTCGGTCATGTCTGGGTGCAGATCTTCGTCGTTCACGTTAAGGGGCGGTCTGGAGTCGAAGCTGCTTAGCTCCATGCTGGACATGGATCAGTTCGGGACATTGCATAGAGACGCGGATGATTTGACTTACAGGCCTGGAGAGCACGAGTAGTCCTCCGAGGCAGGCGTGTCGAGGATACATATACCCCACCACAGCCGGCGACGCATCTCGGCATCAAAGGGACTGAGGTTGAGAGCGCTTCCGTCGCGGTGCATCCCGAGAGACTGCGCGAGCCGAACAGCTAGCCCGGTCATGTTCCAGGAGTATGTAGGATCGCGGGAGCGCAGGAGCACCAGATACACCACAAAAGTCTGCAGCGTGAGCATGTCGTCCGTCTCCATCAGCCTCGAGCGAGACAGGGCGCTGTCTGCGCCTCGGCGCAACTTGGCTAGCAGGGTAGACTGCTGCACGCCGAATTGCAGCTTACAGTCGTCTGAGGAGAGGCTGTTGACGGCGCCAAAGTATATTACGAACAGGAGAGCCTCAAGCGGTGGCTTGAGGTCCCGCGGGTCCTGTATTGCTTCGAGCACCATTTGCTCGACCGAGGGTATGTGCAGGATGGTCGCGACCGGGTGGACATTCTCCTTGAACAGTTTCCACGCCTTGAGTCTTTGGTGCTGAGGCAGGTGGGGAGAGTCGGGACCGATTTTCTGGGCACAGGTGTTGAAGATTGGGGCGTATTGTAGTGACTCGAGGCCGGATGCAGGGGGACTCTCTTCGCATTCAGAGTCATCATCGTCGCTCACTACAGCTTCGTCCATGTCGTGCTAGAGAGAAGGGACATCAGTAACATGGAAGTGACCTACGGGAAGTTTGCCCACCTCAGTATGCAGAGCCTCCCAGAATGCACCGCTCACGTATCTCTGCCGACCGTCATCCCTTACCAGCTTCCCCATTAATGTCCCGTACGGTGACCAAGCTGAGCCTGAGGCTTCTCGAGAGCCTTCGCCAGACGCACTCGCAGTATTGGCAGGGTTGAGCTGCAAGCTACTAGTCGAGTCTGTGTCCTGCAACGGTGAGTGAGACTGCTGGAGAGGGCTCGGAGTCTGCTGTGTAGCATGCGATTCATTGCCGACGAGACGGTACCCCGGCTGATTTCCCGTGCCGCCGGACCCGACCGAGTGAGGAGGCATCGGTGGCGTCGGCGGCATATTCTTGGGGTCTGGCTGGCTCTGGGGCAGAACGGAGTTCAACACAGAGGGCGGCAGCGTGCCCTGCTCCATGCAGCTGACCAACGTCTTGAACATGGGCTCGAGGCGGTGGAGCTGCTCCAGCAGTCGCGTGTCCCGGAGCATCTGCTGCGCGTCCGGGTTGTTGTCGGGCGGGTAGACGCACTCGGTACCGGACTTGCTGCAGTGCTGGCACGGCTGCTTCTTGTCGCAGCCGACCTTGCGGCGGCGGCATGCCGCGCAGACTCTCCGGGACATGCGAGGCTGTGTCTGCTGCTGTGCCTGCTGCTGTTGCTGTTCTCGCTGTTCCTGGCCGTCTCCAGTGGGATTCCATGCTGAGATGATGGTGTCGCCTTCAGACATGGCTTGGTCACTCGGCGGAACTTGAGACTGCGGTTTGTCCCGAGACTCCATCTCGCGCTGGTGTTGGCAGTGGTGATGTTCCGGATCCGATGACGGATTGTCCATGTACCAAGGCTTGTGCCCCAATTGTCAAGGCGGCGCCAAGGGAAGGTCGTCTACGTCGCCAGTGGAAGCGATTACCGTCCAATGTGTGCAATAGTAACGAGCCAGAGCTTGGGAACTACATGCGACACTGAATGATTGTGAAGAGGGGAAGTCGTCGTCCACGGTAAGCGAGCACAAAGAGGAGGCGAGATAAGACGGGCAACGCATTTCCATCCATTATCACTAGACACCCATGCTACATGGTAGCGTACGCCACGAGATTCCTCCTTAGCGCAAGGTGGTATCAAGCGGCTTGCAAAAGTGCGGGGAAGCACGAATCAGGGTAAGGGTATTTGCTCGGCCAGATTTCAGCGGGGAGCCTGGCCTATTATCAATCCTGAGGAGATGGGAATCTAAGAAAAGAACGGTCGCCACGGAGTACCAAGTACCACTCAAGCATGGCATGTCTCTGCTGTCTCGGCTGGGTAGGCGGGGGCCGGATAAGGTGACCAGGAAGGGAAGAGATAAGCAGACTGGACCTTGGTAATCTACTAATCTAAGTAGGACCAGCACCCATGCTCGGCACACAGCGGCCGGGGCTCCGGGGTCCGGCATCCAGAGACCCGTCCGATCAAGACTTAAAAGACTTGGGTCGACACCGTGCTGATGACTGTTGGAAGTAAATTAAAGAGCCTCATATTTGCATCAAAAGTTTTATCCAGCATGACCTCGTCAACCTCTGCAGTGGAAAAGTCAGAGTGGCTCATCCACATTCCAGACCTCCCTGACGCCAAAGAAAGGAGAGCCGCCGTGTTTCCGTGAGTATACATTCCATGTGTCAAGTAACGCTTCCATGACGACTGACCCCCATCAGTCAGCACATTCAAAGGATGAAATCGGACCCTCAGGACTTTTGGGTGTTTGGAGGTGAGACAACTCTGTTTCGCTCCACAATGACAATCATCTCTGATCAATATGAAGGAGCCACTTTGAAGGACCGTGCGAGCCCGGGACAGCCCCCGCAGATAACCGGCAGCGCCATGCTGGTTTTTGCCTCCAGGCGGGACGACGTCGTGGCCCGCCTCAAGGATGATCCCCTGGTCAAGGAGCGGGTTTGGGATCTCGAGAATGCGCAGATCTATCCTTTCTTCCGACCCAGGCGAAGTGCTATTTGATGGATTGTCCGGATATGGGGCCGAGAGGGTAGAAGTCAATGCGTGTGTTCTCCAAACATATATCTCGATTTGATATCAATACATGTCGGTTTCACTGCCGTCGCATACCTACTCAAGACCGCCCATGTTTGCTCCAGATCTCTCTCCAGAACTCCCCTAGAAGCCCCACGCTCTTTGCATCACCCGCGGGAAGCACTTGGCTCACGTAGACGGCGCCCAGATCTCTATCCCGGTTCACAAACCAGCCAATATTGGGCATTCCATTCCAGGTGAGCGTCTTGGATGGGAGATTGGGCACATTCCCCTGAACAACCAAGCCACCCAGGCCAAATGCTACCTCGGGATGACCCGTGTCGTCTCCAGTTAATTGCTTGTGCAGGGACTGTCGGCAGTCGTTAGCGAAGCGGACCATGACCGGTGGATACGGAGCGTACCTCTTGTCCCACAAGTCCCTCGTATTGACGTGTTCTCGTCTCAAACTGAGTCGTAAACATGGCCGCCGCAGAGTCCGGCTTGAGGAGGACGGGCTTCTCCTTCAAAAGATCTTGCAGAATGGCGATCAAGTCCGAAGTTGACGTAATGAGGCCCATACCGCCGCTATCATCTTGTGCATCTAGCGGATACGGAGACGGAATCGGGGCCAGCTCTCCCGTATCTGCCCGATGCCACATCTGGGCCAAATTTGTCAGGATGTCTGGTCTCGTGGATGGATGGAAGGTCGAGCTTCGTAGTCCAAGAGGCTTGAACAGGTTGTTTTCCATGTAGGCGGCCAGTTTCGTGTTACCGTTGAGTCTCTCCACCAGCACGCCAACCCAGTCGAGGCCTGAACCGTAAACCCAGCTGCTCCCAGGCTCGAAGAGGAGAGGCAGGGTAAAGGCCTCGGCCACCTTGCCGCTCATCACCAAAGGGGGTTCCCCTCTGGACTTTCTCCATGCTACCAGTATCGGGTGCATGGCGTCGTAGGAGAGGCCGCTTGTGTGAGTTACCAGATGGCGCAGGGTGATTTTGTTTTTGGCCGGCACGAGCTCAAAAAGTCCGTCGGGCTTGGCCTTGATGATATCCGGATTCTCAAGTTCTGGCAGCACGCTGCCAACCAGGTCGTCCAGACCAATCAAGCCCTTCTCAACGCATTGTAGCACGGCGATCGTGGTGAGGAGCTTCGTGCAGGAGAAGCCCCAGAAGGTGCTGTCGAGTGTGATTTGCTGACCCTTTTCTTCTTTGAGCTGCCCTTTAGCAACGGTGTAGAAAGTCTCTGGATAGATATGTGAGTTGAGGCTTAATCGCAGTTTACGGTGGCTGTACCGTCTTTACTAAAAGCAGCAAGCACTACTCCCGGAAGCCCAGATGAGAGGTCCTGTGTCAGAGAATCGAGTGTTTCTTCGCATTTGAGTTTCATGATGGCAAGCTCGTATAGGTAATCGAGATGGTAACGTGCTCCTAGTCAGGAATTAGCAATTGGCAGAGGGCGTATTGGAATTGCTGCCATCGCGAGACATGATGTAGCATGACCTCGTATTTATTTACGAATATTTTTCCAACTGTTCACCTTCTTGGTGATGTGATAGATAGTGGAGCCTAGTCTCGATCACCATAGTGCTGCTCGGCGGTCTCGGCCGACGGGTCAATCCCTGTAATTTTGGTCACCTCGATCTCGAACAGCGTCTGTAAGTCTCTCGGCCGGGGTCCCGGAAGTCTAATCAGTAGTGCGACTGTCTAGATCGTGCTTCATACACTCCCATCCCCAGTCTCGTGGAACCGGGGCTAGGTCACGGCACGAACCAAAGCAACATGGCGGACAAGCAGATACCCTCGACAGCGAGCGCCTCCGCCTCCAACACAGCTCCAACACACACAAGCAATGCCGGCAGAAAACGGCGCTCATGCTTGATGTGTAGCAAGCGAAAGGTCAAGTGCGACAAACAGAAGCCATGCACCAGCTGCGTCAAGGCTGGAAACGAGTGCGTGTTCCCCGCCAGCATCGCGAACCGGGCTCAGGTTGGGATGGCACCGGAGATCTTTGAGATGCTGCAGAGACTTGAGAAGGCTGTGCAGACACTGGAGCCCAAGGAGTCCGAGACGGCTGAGGCTTCTTTGCCTTCCAATCAGTTCTCTGATGGGGATGGTCAAACGGAACCTCTGCAGCCTGTGGTTCCCACTGCTGCTCAGGAAGGAGCAGCGTCTGAGATTCAGCCTGAGCCTTACATCCAAGAGAGCTCAACTGGAACTGAGCACCAGGCAGAGGGACAGGAAGCAACTGGTAAAACCCCTAGTGCAGTGTCGAGCCGCAGCGAGAGCCCTGGCAAGATTGTCCGCGACCACGGCAAAGACATATACGTGAGGCGGTGGTTCTGGGACGACGGAAGCACCGAGGTAAGAGCTCGTAAAACCCCTGCTTGGAACATTTCTAATGATATACAGATCAGCAGTGGCTCCCAGTCAGATACAGACGACAACGACACCCATCAAGATCAGAGCGACATGCAGAGCTCGTCGACAGGTCGCCGTCCGGGGACACTGGCCAACCCCAAAGAACAAGTTATGCAGATTTTGGTTGCCCAGAAAATGCATCTTTGGGGCATATACAAAGAAAGGGTGGAGCCGTTGACCAAGTTGTTGCATCTTCCGTCGCTGGAACAGGCTGTTCTGGGATGGCATTCACCGAGCTCGGCCGACGGTATGCAGTGCAACCTTTTGGCGACCTACTACGGAGCGGTGACCAGTCTGAGCGAGGAAGAATGCGTCGTGATCTTTGGCAACGGGCAGGCACATGTCCTATCCCACTTGAGGGAGGAACTTGAGGCACTATTTGCCAGCGCCTTGCTCATCCACACTGGCGACATCCGACCACTGCAGGCCCTGGCTCTGTACCTCGTGTTTCTCCAGCATCATGAACCCCGATTGTCTTGGAAGCTGTCAGGCCTGGCTGTTCGGCTGGCTCAGACCTTTGGGCTGCACAGAGAGGATAGTTTCGTTGGGCTGTCGATATATGAGGTGGAGATGCGACGCAGGCTTTGGTGGCAAATTGCTATTTTGGATGCACCGTCTGCGGAGGCTTACTCTGGAGAATACAACCTGTAAGCACGGCACGTCCCAGTTTGAACTTTCCGGTGCCTCATTCTGATTTGTTGACGCAGGCTTGAGATGAGCAGCTCTGACACCAACCCGCCCCGGAACCTAGACGACGCACAGATATATCCCGCCATGGCAGAGTACCCGCCTGAAGCAAGACGCATCACAGAGATGACCTTTACGCTAGCCCGCTGCCAGATCACCAGCATGTATCGCTGTATGGCTGACTCGAGAAGACTGTGCGGAGCTACAGGGAAAGCGTACGCGGAACTTACACCTCAGGAGCGGGCTGATTGGGTCGAGGCTTGCGAGTCGGACTTCTCAGAGCGCTTTCTTCGAGAATGTTCTCCGACAAACGCCTTTCACTGGGTGAGTTTTCAGGCCGCTGTACTGTAAACGAAACGTGCTGAGATGAGCTTCAGACTACTGTCATCTTCACCAGGATGCTCTTCCACAAAGCCAGACTGCACGGATGCAACCCACTACACGACGCAAAAACCATGCCAGAAGCCACCCGCGAGAGGCTCTTCCTCGTCGCTGTCGAGGTGATGGAACTCAACTACAAACTGCGGACCGATCCGCGTACGCGCCCGTGGCTCTGGCTTTTCAGCTCCTACACGCAATGGCATGCATTCTCGCTCGTCCTCGTCTGGCTGCAGATGGATCCGTTCTGCAGATACTCGCGTCGAGCGTGGGAAGCGGTCGAAAAGGCCATCGTGCTGCGGTGGGAGCATCCCGCTTCGCTGCTGAATGGCAGGAAACCTCAGCAGTGGCGGTCCATCATTAGGTTGCTGGAAAAGGCGCGGTCGGCACGGCGGGAGGCTTTGAGCAAGCGGGCTAGACGAGGCTCGAGGAATGCGAATGACTTGAGGCGGGCATCTTTCAGAGGTTCCGTGGCGTCATCCTCATCGGCTGTGCCAGTGATGCATACTTCATCGGCTACCGCAAGTTATCCCAGACAGGAAACACAACCACAGCAGCCACATGGTCCACAGCAGCAGCCCCCTATCAGATCAGTTGAACCAAATGCGTCTGGCCCCCCACAGGCTACCACGGATGTCTCGTCATTGCCTCTGCAACTCACTGATATGATACAGAGTCCATGGCGTCAGGCATATACTAACACGATGCCGGATTTCTCCATGGGTGGTATACCAGATCCACTCCCAGACCCGGATCAGATGATGATAGATGGCCAGTTCTCTGTTGATGACTTTGGATGCGTGCAGGACTTTTCGTTTCTCGATGATATTTTCTGATGAATGGCGGGGTGTGGTTGACATTGGACATGTATCAAGTGATTTTCTGCGTCTTGGGTACTACTGGAATCACGGAATAAGTGTAAATGAAAAGTTTATCTTGAGGCTTCAAGGGCCGGGCTTTAACTATAATAAAAACGCATTGTCAATATCTCATAGCATTATATCCCAATGTTAACAGAGTGGCCTCTTTTTTTAACCTTCTGCCGCCTACAGTAGAAGACTCATACCTAGCTCTATTATCATGAAAGGTTAAACCTCTCATGGGTTGTTTAACTGCTCCAAACTCCGTACCAGAAATAAGAGAATTATCTCTTTCTATCTTCGGGAGACTCAGGTAAAAGAGTAACTATGTAGTAATAGAAGGGGTTCAGGGGGGCTTACTCATGTACTGGAGAGCTTGCCAATCACACCAAAATCATGCAAAGAATCATCTAAACATTCAAATGATGTCTAATTGTCTCAGCTACTGACTCTCATAGGTGAACATCCTGAATCTTCTGATGTATCGCACTGCTCCCTTCCAACCCCGCGTGCGTTGCCTCATCCATACCTGGAATAATCATCTCAAACGTCTCCCGAATCACCGCATACTGAAAATACCCGCATCGAGCAATAGGTTGCGTCTTGGAAACATCCAACTTGCCATCGGTCAAGACGTCATCCCGGATATGCACCGCAATCACCCTACCAATGACGACGTCGACCGTCCCCATCGGCGGCTTAGCAGGCAGCCGCAGAGTTGTGTGGTAGACACACTCAAACTTGACGGGACTGTTCTTGACCATCGGCACAGGATTACCCGGCAGCGCGCGGCTGTACTCCTTCTCGAGCCCCGCGCGCTCAAACTCGTCCACGCCGTATTCGACCTGCTGCGCCGAGATGTTGACGGCCTCGCGGAGGTCCCAGGTGGCCAGGTTCCAGCAGAACTTGCCCGTGAGCTCGGCGTTGCGGACCGTGTCCTTGCGCTGCGAGTCGGGCTTCTGGTTGGCCGAGAACATGACGTATGGCGGGTCGAAGGTGAGGTTGTTGAACTGCGAGTAGGGCGCGATGTTATGCGTGTCCGGGTCTGTACCGGAGATGGTAGAGATCCAGCCGATGGGGCGGGGGACGACGCATGCCTTGAAGGGGTCATGGGGGAGGTCGTGGGGGATGTTTCCAGGTTCGTAATACATTGTACGGTTCTGTGAAAGTCTTGCTTGAGAACTGAAAGGAATTCTAACACTTCGAATTGCAGATCTTATTCGAGGTTGTCAATCATGGATCTCATAAATGCAAGGGTTCATAAGGAGCACGACGTGTTGTCATCTGTTGTTCCGGAGCTGTCTAGCGTCTTGACACGGATTTACGAGCACGGCCCGCAGCTCGTGTTCAACGGAGAGCCTCGGGCATTCCGCATTCAGTGGAAGACGCGGCCGAGGATCGTGAAGCCACGTTCCCCCGCAAAACTCGGGGGATGAATCCGGGGATGAATCCGGGGTAGAGTCTCCACTCTGTTGGTGACCGAAAGCGATTGAAAAGAAGGCCTCTTTTATGGTAACCTTGATGTGCCTGTAATTCTGTATCTTGTACAAACAAACTTATTCCTTGCGAGCTACCCAAACATCTTATCATGTCGCCACAGACTTCTACCATTGAACCCATTGATGATGATGTCGAACTTGGCCCTGGCCGTGACATCCCCACCGATGGCATCCCGGTGAACTTTGTGCCAGCCAAAGCCGGCGACATCATCAAGCTGGGGCTCATCACCTGCCGCGTGCTGGAAGATGGGTCTCGCACAGGTGAGTGCGGCCAGCCCCCAACAGGAAGAAGCTGACCCGTGACTCGTCGGGTAAAGACAACCGCATCGGAGCGGCCGAGTTCACTCTCCCCCCAAAGCTCAAGGGCCCACCGGCCCACTG